ATGGAGAAAAAGGTGGCGTTTTCAGGAGGATATGTGAACAGGTGCGCCATGTCCATAGTCTTGGTATAAATTTTCAACATACCGCTCAGGTTGGCTGTTACGAGACTCATGTGATCCAGACGGTAGCCGGTCGAGAACTTCGCTGGCGCACAGCTGCTGGGAAACTCGAATGGATTGTACCCACCTCCTCCATCTTGGCGTGCGTGTAGTTGGGGTGAGCAACGCCTGGGTTGATCCCAAGAAGAAAAAAGCGAGCGGGGTGAGTAGTTGTAGGAGGGAGCCGAAAAGGAGGTTGTTGCGTCTCCCGAGGATCTGCTGGAAGAAAGAATCACTGCTGCTTTGTGGCCGTTTTTGAGCACCGCCGTCGTCTCTCTTAGTTGCTCTTTAGACTCTGGGTTTGATTTTTGCGCTATCATTAGGTAGGCAAGTAAGTGGATTAGCTTCTCGTCTTTTCGAATGAACAATGCAAGTACATGTGGGGGCAAGGCTGACACCCCTTGAATTAAAAAAACGCAGATAGTTTCTTCTGCTGGAGAATGGACTTACTATTCTGGATATTGAACGATGTCTCTATGATCGAGTGTTCCTTTCATACAATCAATGCCTGTCTACTAATTCGTGACCTGATCCATCAAAGGATTTCCAGCGATATGAATGAATCCTCTCCAAGCCTGGTGTCTTGAGGCTGCAAGTCCACGCCGAGCGATCCATCCTCCCTCTCGCCATTATAACATCCCCATCGACGCTATAGTATCAGCGCATGTAAGATGTTCCATCCGCTTTCAAAGCCGCCCGCATTGCACAGTCCACACCCAATGAAGGTATGCGAAGGTATGCGAAGGTAGGCTATGCAGATGGCCGATAAGCGTACGGGGGTGGTTGTGCTTGGCTGGCCGGTTCAAGCGGGAGTTACAGAAATACGGGGCTTTTAGAGACAGTTTGTACCTAGATAGAGAATATGGTTGTTTTTCTCGTGAATGGGGAGTATGTTTTACGTTTTGGGAGGCCGTTGGCGAAGAATTCGATAACCAGAGGATGGGTGATGCGTGAAGTCTCCGGGGTGGTTATGGGGGGCACGCCCAGGGCAATTATCTTAGGCAGTTAATCACATACCTGGGAAGAAGAGTGTCACTAACACGAACCCCCCTGATTTTAGGTCAAGTGCCATGAAGTTTCAACTAAGTTTGCAGCCCGACAGGCCCGAGAGAGCCCCTAAATTAGCGCCACTTCGGCCTCTCGTTAATCCCGAGGCGGCCCAGAGTTTATTTGGAGTGCGAGATATCAAGTAGATGCCAATTGCCTCAAATTACCACCAGACAAACACGTTACAGCCTTGCATCAGGCATCGCACAAGTCTTTCAACTAGCGCTCTCTTCGTCTCACACATCCAAACAGGTAATTTCCTCAGCTAAACATAATAATGAGCGACCTACAAAGATCCTTCGCCAAGAGCCACCTGTCCAAACTCCCACCGGAGCCACCGCCATTCTTTGATGAAGAGGACGAACTCAATGAACAAGTGGCCGAATTGCGTGCCAGTTCGCCAAACGACTCATCATCCTCAGCTTCTTCGGCATCTTCAACAGGGACAATAGTACCCTCAGCCAGTCGAAATCTGTTTGAGAAACCAAGAGGCACAGCCATTAAATCCCGCTCCGCACCTCTTCCATGGGACGATTTCTTTGCCCAAGACCTCACATTTGAAAATCAGTCTTCTCAGGAAACCATTCGACATCATGCCTATCTTACGCCGCCGTCTTCTACCGGCCCGCTAATAGTCACCCATCATGGTGCCGGTTCATCGGGTTTATCGTTTGCAACGTTTACCACAGAATTGTTAAAACATTTACCTACCGCCGGCGTTCTATCTCTTGATGCTCGTGGTCATGGCCTCACATCCATCACCCAGTCTACCACCTCAACACCAGCCAGCAACAACGGCACTGCTAGCAAGCCACAGATACCCGATCTAAGCCTCAAAACCCTAGCAGGAGATCTCGCCTTCATCGTCCACGCCACACAAACACACATGAAATGGCCCAAACTACCGGACGTTGTGCTCATCGGCCACAGTCTCGGGGGCGCCGTCGTGACTGAGGTCGCACACCAACGACTCCTGGGGAACTCACTACTGGCGTACGGCGTACTCGATGTGGTTGAAGGCTCCGCCATGGATGCGCTGCAGAGCATGGACACATATCTCTCCACACGACCGAAATCCTTCCCTTCCCTCGCCTCCGGCATTGAATGGCACACTCGCTCCCGCACCATCCGCAACACGACGTCCGCCCGCGTCTCTGTGCCAGCGCTCCTCATCGAATCCGCGCCCCGAGACACATCCAGCACCACCTCAAGCACCCAGTGGACATGGCGCACCGACCTCGCATCCACCAAGCCCTTCTGGGAATCCTGGTTCGTCGGGCTGTCCCAGAAATTCCTCACATCCCGTGGCGGCAAACTCCTGCTGTTGGCCGGCACGGATCGGCTTGACAAGGAACTTATGATCGGCCAGATGCAGGGCAAGTATCAGCTGCAGGTATTCCCCGACGCTGGACATTTCTTGCATGAGGATCAGCCAGCCAGGACTGCGACGGTTGTCGCAGACTTTTATCGGCGCAATGATCGGAGCGCGTTTGTTATGCCGCCAAAAGTGGATGATCTGGTTAGGCAGGGGAAGTTGAAGCCGCCTCCGCCAAAGAAAGTGTAGGGACTCGATGTTCACTATCGAAGTGAAGGTGAAGGGAGAAGTAGTAACCGAATAGGGCGTTGCGAGATCTGACTGACTTAAAATCAGCTTGACAGGTCGTGAGAATCGTAAACTCGGAAAGCAAAGTGTCTTAACCTTTGAGAAGATCTCTGAGCCAATGTGTGCTTTCCTCATTAAGAAAGTTAGAAATAGCACGATGGCTTTACGCATATTTTACTTATCCTCATTACGACCTTCTTCATCTTTCCCGTCGACTTCTCCCCTTCGTCTTCTGAAAACATCCTCTTTACTTTCTCTCGTCTCCTCCATCCTCCGCTCATCATCGTGGACAAGATCTTTTCTCGATCAGCATTCGTCAACTCAACATATATCATATCCTTCAATATAGCTTCACCACAAGCAGGTCAACTTTGTGACACCACAGATCTAACAGTCGTTCTACAGAAAGAAGGGATTGCAGTGACCACCATGAGCGAGGAGTAGACTGAAGACCACCAGGGATCTTGGTGTGCTACTGTGTTAAGGAAACTACTCCAATCACAGCCAACATTATGTGACAAAGGTATTCTCCGAAAGATCCATTCCCAGAGCATGAACAGTTCGAGTCCATCACCGCCAGAGAGACATCGTCCACTCATTGGACGAATCGGGTTGCATAGCACCAAGAATCTGATGACAAGAGCGGAAAACCGGGACGCATCGAATAATCAATCTCAACAACCACACAAGAAAGGACAGGCGTTCCTTTTATTCCAAACGCCTTACAAGCCATTGTTGCGACTAGGAACCCTGATCGTATAAGACAAGGCTTGAGAATGAATGGGTGGCTTGGAAGTCCCCTACATCTTACGGGTCCGGGAGCCCTCTAAGTCCATCTAGCTATGGGTGATAGGGCACCCTGATACTCCAGGCAGGAGGTACTAGATCGGGTGAATGCTTGCCTACAAACAACGTCATTCCATGGAACTCTAGTTGACAATCCTTGGTCACCTTCGCTGACTGTTGTCAGTCCGATGGTAGAGGCCGCTGGCAACAATACTCAGTCCCTTGGCAGTCCTCTCTCCCGATGAAGAGAGTCTATGTCAGCCATTCATCTGCGCCGACTAGGAGGTCTTCTTCAGATGGGAATCTGGAGACACAACCGGCAATTCGACCAGGCATGCTGCCCTCATGGGATACGTTGGTTGGAAATGCATATGTGCTTTCACCATCACCATCAAACCAGAGAATCGCCGGAGCCAAAAAGAAATCTGGCATCATCTCTGGTCTCATGGTCCGTGACGAATAATCTAGGATGAATAATTGCTGAATTTAGCTATGGTGATGAAGGCCACCCTGCATTGGTGCGTGCAGTGCCCTAAGATTGCGATGTCCGCTACGAGGATCTGTACTGGCTCCTACTCGAGGGATCCCACCAGCTAACAAAATCTGGCTTCGACATGACGACCGCTAACAAGAAAGAGATCGCGAGGAAGATACTTGCGACTATGCTCCGGCGCCCACCCCATGTACAACCCGACTGGAGTAATGTCAAGCGAGATCGAAATCAGGCCTTGCCCTCGTTGTGTGTATGATCGAGGCAGCGTGGAGAAGATCGAGAAGTGGGATGAATACAAAGAGAAATTCGGGTAGACTTTTGGGCACCAGGTGACGAAGGACGTTGGACCGTGGGACTTTTTGGCTCGATATGCAGAGTCTCGAGATGTGTCTTCTGCACAATTGGCGTTCCCAGAACTTTGTCACTACTCAGTGGGGCATACAACAGAATGGATGGACGAAGTTTTCGTTGAACAGTTCAGGAAAACATCTGTTCTGCTGGGGGACGCTATCATGGCATTGATGAAACATGAAATATGAGCTGGCGACGGGGTGCCCCTAATAACCAACGAGCACGAGTTCGTTTAGTTATGAAGTCTCTCTCCTACTCGTAAAATAAATGAATGCCTCCTAGAGGACATCAACGTTAACGCTGTTAACATGGAGATATCGCTGGAGTCCTGATGCTATTATTCAATACCTACTTTACCCTAGTACTCTTCTAAATTCTAGTGATCCCCTCCTCTTCCAGGAAGACGCCCTCATAAACAGCACATAAAGATTCCTGGAGTTCCCAGGGTATCAATCAATACCTGCTTCGACCCAATACTCCTCTCAGTTTCGTGACCTCCGCTTCCCTCATTACAAGTTAATTGCTCCATCGGCAAATCCCTATCATTCGTTGCAAGAAGAGTGGAACCAATACAATCACATTGCTATGCTATGCTATGCTTTATTCGCTAATTTACGACTGTGATCATCTCCTGGCCTTCCCTTTCCCCTTCCCCTTTTTCGCGCCCTTCACAGCACCCCCTGAACCTCCAGCCTTGCTCTTCTTCGCCGATTTACTCTCCTGCTTCTCCCTCTTAGAGAGGGCCTCACTGCCCTTCCCCTTCCGCCACATCTTGCCCTCGACACGATCCTTCCGATCATCCAGGCGCTTTTTATCCTTATTGCTCAATTTCTTCTTCTCCGACTTCACACGCACCGACCCACCATTGGGCGCGTTCAGTTCGAGATGGCCGCGCTGTTTGGCGTCGCGCTTGTCTTTCTCGCTCTCGAACCACGTGCGGCGCGGCCGCGCCATGATTTCCGCTTCGTGCTTGACCAGGTTCTCGCCGCGTGTGATCTGTGTTTCGACCTGGGCGAGCTGTTTCTCCTCCTTCTCCTCCTTGAGGATGGCCTCGATGTCGGCTTCCATGTCCTCGACACGCGCGTGCATCTCGTCGACTTCGTTGGATTCCATCGCCCGTGATACAATCTTGGCGCCCTGTGTGCGTCCGCTCTTCACAGCAGCCTTCACGACCTTCCTGTCTGGCTCGGCAGCGATCGTGCACGCGCGCCCAGAGCGGCCTGCACGGGCAGTTCGGCCGACTCTGTGGAGGTAGATCTCGTGGGTTTGGGGCGCTTCGTAGTTGACTACGGTCATGACGTTCTTGATGTCGAGACCGCGGGAAGCAAGATCGGTGGCCAGGAGATGTGTCATTTTGCCTTCGCGGAATGCGTTGACGGAGCTGATACGCTGTTCTTGCGACATGCTGCCGTGTAGCTCTCCAGCTTTGACGCCGAGAAGACCAAGCACAATACGGACACGGTGCGCTTCCTTTTTCTGCCGGAAGAACACTATGGTTCGCTCGTTGAACACGTTCTTGCAAAGAAGACATAGTGTAGCCAATCGCATAGACTCACGCCCAGGTCGTAGACGGACGAATTCTTGTACCAGGCCTGCGGTGGTGGTTTTCTTTGCATCGACCGAAAGACGTACTGGACGGTTCATCCCTACTCGGACCAATTTATCGACACTGTCTGTCATGGTAGCGGAGAAAAGCATGGTTTGACGGCTTTTGGGGATTGTCTTCAAAATCTCGTTAAGCTCATCCTCAAACCCAGTCTCGAGCATCCGATCGGCTTCGTCCAGAACCAGAATTTCAATGTTCTCCACGGCAAAACTGGCGGAATTGCGCATATGATCGATGAATCGACCGGGGGTTGCGATGACAACATCTGGTCGCTTCTTCAGGATTGTCTCTTGTTCTCGCAGAGAGAAACCACCGACGACTTGAGCGAACGTAATGTCGGTGTATCGTGCAAGTGCGGTGGCAACATTGTAACATTGCACGGCCAACTCACGGGTGGGCATTAGGATAGCCACACGAGTGGTGGGGACTTTGCGAGGTCGGTATAATAGACGTTCGAGTATAGGGAGTAAGAATGCGGCAGTCTTGCCGGAACCAGTGACCGCGGAACCCACCACATCAAGACCTTGCAAAGCCACTGGTATAGCACGTACTTGAATGGGTGTGGGTGCGGTGAATGATAGTGATGTCAGGCCTTTTAGTATCGGTCTTGAGAGTGAAAACTGTTGGAAGGAGGATGTGGTCTTGGTGCTCGGCTGTTTTGTCTTGTCTTCGGGCGCAAAGAAAGCTTCCCTCTTCGCTTGCTCTTCACGATCTGGCTTCGAAGTCTCCGACTCTGCATCTGATTGATCTGAAGCTAGGTCGTCAGGGTGTGCTGTTGGCGAAGCGACCGAATCATCATCCGAGGCATCTTCGTCTTCTGAATCTTGTTCATCGTCCTGTTCGGCCTCACTAACAGGCTCCTCCTCTTCGTCGTGATCGACACCAGCCCCGAAAGTATCTGGAGCAACGAGCTCGTCATCGTCGAAATCTGGCATGACTATTGATGGCTCTGAGCCGTCGTCGCTATCATTTCCATCCTCTTCCTCTGATCCATTCTCGCTTGATGCTTGCTCCTCCGATTTGGCTTTGGTTTGAGTCTTGGAAGTCTTTGCCGCTCGACGTGCAATGATGTCGTCAAGATCAACCCCTTTTTTGGAGGAAGCGCCTTTCGACTTGGTCGCATCACCATTACCCCACCCATCAAATTCCTCAACTTCTTCGAGAACGGCATTGTCGCCCAAGTCAAATTCGAAGTCAGGATCTATAGCCCTGTCTTGGACCCCTTGCTCTTCGTCACTTTCAGATTCTGGCAATTCAGGCTCCTCGACTCTTTTCACCTTCTTATTCGGCTTGTTTTTCTTCCCTTTTTTGGCAGCGGCAGTGATACCGACATCTTCCCGCTTTCTTTTCTGGCCTGCGGTAGGTACAACGGGGGAGTCGGACTCGGCTTCACTGTGAATGGATTGACCGTCGTCATCGGATAGGGTAAAGACGAAGTCGTCTTCACGTTTGGAAGGACCCATGTTTACTTGGATTGTGGAATCGCGGGAATTGAAGAACTAGAACGGAGTTCCCAAATTCGCTGCCGAACATGAACATCGATTGAAAGTCGAAATTATTTTTTTCTCCGCACTCCAAGATCACGTGATTGCAGAGGTGTCTAGCCCGCTTTTGGGAGGGGTGTTTTTCTTTACCCCTCACCGTAGCACTCTCAATGTTGGTACCGAACTAGGTACCTAGGTACGAGGAGGTATCTCTTCGGCCCGTGTCCATCGAATGTGGGAATGTTGATCAATTACTCTAGTTGATAATAAGATCAGCCATTCTAATGATCCTCAGCCCTAATGGCGAGCCTTTGGATACCTACCTGTCAACTCCATGCCTGGTGGGCGGCAGATGGGCGCCTCGGGCTCCACGGTCCACCACAGAGTGTTGGATTTGCAGCGGAGCCTCCCTGTTAACTTTACTCAAGATATCGCTACGTAGGTTGAACTGTCAAGATAGCATGAACGTTTGTTGATAGGTACACTCTCTGGCCAGAGCTCAGTCCACTAGCATGTCTGGGTCCACATCTCAAATCTGGTCCAAGTTGTCTATTCAGTAGATATTCATGTCTAGCCAGCAGTATGAGTAGGTTTCAAGGCAACATGTTTTTGGCACCGGAGAAAGCAGGCAAGAGATTCAAAAGTACAGTAATGCCTGCAGGTGGTGGGTCAGATCACAACACCAAACGCATCCCATACTAGGACATGACACCCGAGTTTCTACCCTGGAGCCCGCCATACTCACCGATTATACTATGCCGGATATCTAGCCATGGCAAGAACTTACAAAAGCAACACCTAAAAGCGAGCCTTGTGCCGCTAATCGAGATCATTGGTCAAGAGTGCGGAAACACCTCTGGATTTGTGATCGAAGCCCCCACGTGGTCTTATCGTGCTATATTCTAGTATCGTCCGTGACTCACAATTGATTGTTGAGGTGCAATCGTCAGCGAAGCGAAATTTAGGAGCCTCGGAGTAGACTATCGTACTGCATTCAGATTGAGGACCCTCAATGTCGCCTTCTGAATTGTTGGGAAGCATATCCATGTTGCTCGTTGTAGGATTGTTGTTTCGAATCACCATCTAAACGCAGATTGCTACGGATTGTCTAATATGAATCGCAGTTGAACTCGAACCACTTCTTAGTGATCATGACTTACGAGTCCATGTAGAATTATATATCTACCGCCCGTGGCGGGTCTCGCCGGATCCTCAGTGAAACCCAGAGAGGCCGAGGAGCATGTTGTGACACAAGCTGGTGACCCACTCAGAGTTCTGGAAAAGTGGCTTGCAGTAGCTCCATGACAGCGTTCTTGGGGGGGTCCTGACATGATAGTCACCGCTACTCTGTGCGGATATTCCTCGTATGAGGACATGTCCACAAATCTTGCATCGCGGGAGGCCGCTGCTGAAAGGGCAGGATCAAATTCAATCTTTCAAGACCACAATTCGATTGGCAATTAGCCGAAAAGGCTAGAGGTGAGTCAAGGTCGTCGTTTGCCTGCATGAAATGCCGATCACACAAAGGATCCGTGGATAAGCAACAGGGCTGGTCCTCTATTCCAGAACATGTCCTCTAAGAGCCGCGAGTGGAGAAACGATTGGTTACAGCGGCCAAGCCCATGTGATGGAAATAGTTCGAGTGGTCGCAAACAAAGTGCTAGGATGCGCCGCGTGGAAAAGCGAAGAAAATGGCTCAGACTCGTGGCAGGTTGGCAACACAGCTTGACTTGACGAGAATATCCGTAATGGACAAGTCATATTTGACCCGTATTCATCAAAGTCAACGTCCATGTTACTGCAGATGCAGGATGACAGTGGGGGAAGAACACGAATCTAAGACAGGGTATGACACCACCGCGTAGAATCGTGCTCAAAATCGGTCAATGAGGATTGAGAGCTGAAGCATGATACGAATGCCTGTAGAATTTGAGAGTCGCAATGGATAGAATTCATGAGAGAAGATGCTCTGAAACAGCATCGGTCCACTCACGTTCGGAGGGGATGTATCAGACCTGGATCGATCCTAAGTACCTCGTACTGTAGATACCTAGACAGCCACCAAAAAGATATCGACCACCTGGAAGAGTGGAACAACCTTGATTTTCAGCTCCGACTTACAAGGCCGTCGACTGCTGGCATGATGCATGGCACACTGCAGCCGCCAATCCACCCCTCCACCCCACCCTTTCTCAGCATTATTCCTAATTGGCAACACTATCTAAATCTTTTTATCGGTGGCTGCCATGTTATCTATTGGGGTTGTTGGAACGTACCAACTCGTCAGCAGCAGCCATGGAAATTCCATATTCAGGATCCTGTGGCCAGGCTATGCCGTGCTCCACAATCTATGCCGACGACCGGTGGACTCCCAAAATGCCAGTGGATGATATGGAACAGCGCATCCTTGGACTCGTCAGGTTGGGTATCCCGTGAAATTGCAAAGAGCATGTACACATGTCACCATGGGAATAAGATGTTAGTCAACCTCTGGCTCCCAGATTCCGAGTGGACCGCTTGCTGAGGGCTACACCGCCGGGTACAGACTGGCAGACAAGAACTATGGTGATATCTGTGTTTGGTGGTGCAATGGACGGGTGGTCTTCGGCTACAAATCACGCCAGACCCTGTCAAAGGTCCGTCAGTGTCAACTCAGTGGTGCATAAGAAAACATCAGAACCACAAGTTTTGCGCATTACCCGTTTGGCGTTGCGGATGGCGTTGGGATTCCCCCGGCCGCGAGTCGAAGCTGACCCTCAGGCCTTTGTAACGTCCAATGTTTACGGATAACACATGCAAGATGCAACGAACAACCTTTGGAACCTGTGTTGAAGTTGACCGATGAAACTGGATCGAAATTGTACTGGAGCACCCGGAGGGCACAGGCGAAGCTGGAATAGCGCCGCAACCCTAGTTCTGTGTAGCGAGTACCTAGTTCCGAGTTGGAGTCCAGGGCCTCTTGGTCCCCTCGGTCCCCTCTCCCACCCAAATCCCTCCCACCTCCCGCGCTGCCATGCTGTGTGCTGTGTGCTGTGGTCTGTGGCCTGTGGCCTGTGGGCTCCCTCGTCCCTCCCGCTCGGCCCTGTAGCCTGTAGGCCTGTAGGCCGGCCGTGGCTGTGGGTTGCCCTTGCATGCATGACTGATTCGCTCTGCTCTTTTCGTTCTTGTACTACCACTCTCTGTTGTCATCTTTTTTTTCTCTCGTCCCATATTTATCCTGCCTGTTTCCCTCTTGCTGCCTTGCAGCTCTCCTCTCACCATGTCAACTGTTCCCCCTACTACTGACATTAGCCATGGCTCCGCGCGACCAGAGTCCAATGCCCCCTCCTCCTGTATGCAAGCCTTACCTCCAAATTCTTCTTCAGCCTTGCTAACTTTCTAACCCGCAGCCTCCCAACTCACCGGTCCTGAAGCGCTGCCAGAACTGAAGAAGCGTATCAAGGCCGGGTTGAGGACTTATCCAGACTTCCCCAAGGTAAGCTGTCCGAACATCGAGACTGCACTCCCCCAGGTCTAACAGCCGTTGTTCAGAAAGGCATCTTGTTTGAAGACATCCTCCCCCTCTTCGCCTCGCACTCCCTCCACAGCGATCTCATTCGAGCCTATGAACTCCAAGTTCTAGAAAGTTTTGGACCGGACAACACCCCAGATGTGATTGTCGGTCTTGATGCCCGTGGATTTTTGATTGGGCCAACACTGGCACTTCGTCTAGGAGCCGGCTTTGTTCCAGTCAGAAAGCCAGGCAAACTCCCTGGAAAAATTGAAACTGCCGAATTCGAAAAGGAATATGGCACCGATACCTTTGCCATACAGTCGGATGCAATCAAACCCGGTCAAAAGGTCCTGGTGGTCGACGACTTGATAGCGACTGGTGGATCGGCATCGGCAGCAGGAACACTAATCCAAAAGAGCGGAGGAGTACTCCTCGGTTATCTTTTCATCATTGAGCTCACCTTCCTCAAAGGCCGGGATAAGCTTAACGCCCCCGTCTATACGTTATTAGAAAGTCAATCGGAGTGAGCTTGCACTCTTACCACCGATTTCAGAACCATGATACGCAAGCCAGTCCTCGCACTCTTGGCTCGGGGTACCCAGCACCCAAACGATATTCCATCATCAATGCACCAAAGGCTGAATCAGTCAGAACACACCTACTTGAACAATCTCAACATTCTCAAAAAGGTACACACCCAGATAAATTTGGCAGCCTGGTGCTTGCCAACACTTATCTAGCTCGTCCGTGTTGGGCACTTTTGAATTTATGTATTATACCATCGCACCTTAGGACAGCCGGGAGATATGGGCAGTCGCAGATCGAACCAGATCTGCTATAGTCAAAAAGTTCACGGCAATGCTCAGGTAATGAACCTCCAGCCAGGTACCAGTCCCAGCGGTGCATAGCGAGCTTCCCCCAGAGCAGAGCCGAGGTGAATCGAAGATCAGGCCTGCCGAGAGGAGGACTTGAGAATATCTTGTCGGTGTATGAGGCGTACATGACAAGCCTGATAGTACCGTTGCAAGCCAGTGGCAGTAAATGTGTGCTTTGTTGCCTTCAGGTCGTCCTGTAGGAGCAACACCAGTTGGACCGATTGTCCAATGACTCCATAGAACAGATCAGGTCCAAATTCAGGGTTAAGACAATAATTGATCTTATTCTCTTCCCATGTTTTTATACCCCTAGAGAAACAAGGACAATCCATTTTGTGCACAGAGGAATCCTCGTTCCTTCCAATTAAGCGTCCATGAAAATTGGGGTTCGGAGAAACCCTCCCAACGTTAATCCGTGCCGGGCGGCCGCCTCTAACGGGTAGGCTCTCCAAAGTACATGCTACCAATAGTCAAGCGCAACCATCCTCCACTGCACCCACTACCGACGCCGAATCCCTTCAACTATTCCTATGCCCCATGTTTCACTTTTCCTTGAAACCTCGAGAAGTGTGCTCGCCGCCTCACACCTCGCATTCAATCACTCGTCACTCGCTTAGTATCTGCTGTTGTATTTGCTCATCTCTATCGCATGTCCCCTGGCCTATAGAGCCTCGTTGGTGGCCTGGTCACTCCAGAACAAAACCCTCCCCCACAAACTGCTCTGTCTGGCCACAATTAAATGAGATCACTACATTATGGCATCGATCAACCCCGACCTGGAAACTGCCCTGCGCAAGCTCGATGAAGAGTTGGAAGAAGGAGACATAACGAAAAAGGGCTATGAGAAGCGCAGGACGCTCATTCTTTCCCAATATCTCTCGCCATCTCCATCATTCGCGACCGCCAGCGGCCCCGCCCCGCGAGGTCTTCGAGTCCATTCAGCCGAGGACAGCGACCATCCTGCCTCCCTATCTCTGAGCTCCAACGATGCCTCCAGAGCTGCCTCCCTCGCTGCCCTGACCGGTTCCCCGGTACCCGGGTCTGCGCGAAATGGGACTATGACAGACACATATCCTAGCATTACCCGCCAACGGGAAGAGCAGTACCCAAGCGCAACCCCACAAAGCCATGTTAATAGGTTTCAAGAGCGGGAGGTCGGCGGTCGACCTCGAGGATCCTTTACAGGCTCTTCTGATGCCCGCAATGACACCTTTATCACAGCAAATGATCAATCGAGGTCCCAGACTCTGATGAGCCAGAATTATGCCTTCAATCCCGATACTCAACAAAATTACATAGTTGGCGACACCCGGAACTCGACCATGTTGGATTCCCAACAAGGCTACTTCTCCGACTTTGCCGGCCAACAGCGAGAGGACCATCAGGAAGCATACGGTGGACATGTGCATCGATACTCGCAAAGTGAGGTCACATCGCCGACTGCTCAAGTGGCGCCTCCATTCTTGAATCCTGGGCAACTTGCAGGCGGTGCCGCGGTTCATCAGATGCCGCTAGAACCCCGAGAAGTGCCATTTGCCATCTGCGATCCGCATGATTCTCATATCGAAATGTCCAGCTTCGAAAATATCGCCAGTGTGCTTCGATACCGTGCGACAAGCAATCCCAAGCAAGCAGCTTATTGGGTCCTGGATCAGAAAGGAAAAGAGCTTGTTTCCATCACCTGGGAGAAGTTGTGCAGTCGAGCGGAGAAGGTTGGCCAAGTCATCCGCGACAAGAGCAGTCTATACAAGGGCGATCGCGTAGCCTTAATCTACAACGAGAATGAGATCATCGAATTTGCTGTGGCTCTACTGGGCTGCTTCATTGCAGGAGTGGTCGCTGTCCCGATCAACGATCTCAAGAACTACAACAGACTCAACGTTGTCCTGACTTCTACACAAGCACATTTGGCTCTAACTACAGAGGCCAACCTCAAAAGCTTCCAACGTGACATCACTGCCGCCAAGCTCAACTGGCCCCGAGGGGTGGAGTGGTGGAAAACCAATGAGTTTGGAAGTTACCATCCCAAACGGAAAGGTGAGGATTCTCCCCTCGTCGTTCCAGACCTCGCATACATCGAATTCTCCACCGCACCAACAGGTGATCTTCGTGGCGTTGTCATGAGCCACAAGACAATCATGCATCAAATGGCAACTTTAAGTGCAATGATCACTTCCGCCACGAGCAATACGAAGGCTGATACTTTTAATCCTTCCCTGCGTGATAAGCAAGGACATTTAATAACAGGTTCCCGTCACGGCGAAACCTTACTCAGCTATCTGGACCCCCGCCAAAGCATTGGAATGATTCTCGGGGTGTTGCTGAACATTTACGGCGGTCACACAGTCATATACATCGATCAACGATCGATCGAGACCGCTGGTTTGTACGCAAACCTAATCACGAAATATAAGACAACACTGCTTGTTGCCGACTACCCTGGCTTAAAACGAGCAGTGTATAACTATCAAGCCGATCCTATGACGACTCGGAATTTTAAGCGGAACTTCGAGCCTAATTTCAGTAGCATCAAATTGTGTTTGATCGATACTCTCACCGTCGACGCTGAGTTTCATGAGCTTCTAGCCGATCGATGGTTGAAGCCACTACGAAATACGAGAGCGCGAGAAATCGTTGCGCCAATGTTGTGCCTACCAGAACATGGTGGGATGCTTATTAGCATGCGTGATTGGTTGGGAGGTGAGGAACGCATGGGTTGCTCCCTGACTCATGAGATGGACCATGACCATGATGTCGAAGAGGATGAGAAAAGGGAAGGTGAGCTTCACTCAGCCAAAACTGGTTTCGGGAGCAGTTTGATTGGTGGTGGTAGCACCAAACCTTCTGCCAAGGTCCGGTCAACAGAAGAACTCGGCGAGGTTTTGCTTGACAAAGAGGCTCTCAAAACTAATGACATTCTCGTTCTGGCCATGGGATCGGAAGCACGTGCCAAAGCGAGCTCCTTCCCAAATGCGGTCAGATGTGGCGCCTTTGGCTATCCCATACCTGACGCGACAATGACGGTTGTCGACCCTGAATCTGGTCTACTTTGCACGCCAAATACCGTAGGAGAAATATGGGTCGATTCACCGTCTCTCTCAGGTGGTTTTTGGGCTCTCCCTAGACACACCGAAACCATATTTCATGCACGCCCTTATTGCTTTAAAGAAGGCAATCCCACCCCAACGGCGATTGACCCGGAATTCCTGCGCACAGGTCTTTTAGGGTGCATTATTGAGGGCAAAATATACGTGCTCGGCTTGTACGAAGATAGACTCAGGCAACGAGTGGAGTGGGTTGAGCATGGTCTCGATGTCCAGGAGCATCGCTACTTCTTTGTCCAGCATCTCATCTTGAGCATCATGAAGAACGTCCCCAAGATACATGATTGCTCGGCATTCGATTGCTTCGTGAACGACGAACATCTTCCAATCGTTCTCCTCGAATCGCCATCTGCATCAACTGCTCCGATCTCATCGGGTGGTCCACCCCGTCAACTTGACATTGCTCTCCTCGATTCTCTTGCTGAGAAAGCAATGGAAGTCCTCTATCAGGAACACCATCTCCGAGTCTATTGTGTTTTGATCACCGCGCCTGGCATTCTACCACGCGTCACCAAGAATGGACGCCGAGAGATTGGTAATATGCTTTGTCGGAAAGAATTCGACACCGGAGCGCTCCCTTGTGTCCATGTACGATTTGGAGTTCAGAGAGCTGTGCAAAACTTGCCTTTCGGTGAGGATATCAGTGGTGGCATATGGTCGGCGGATGCAAGTGCAGCCCGGGTGGATTTGTTGTATGAACAAGAAACCCAGTGGTCAGGGGTTGATCCTCGGGAAGTGGTCATCGATGATCGGACTTCCACTGCGTTGAGTAACTTCACAAACATATTCGACTTGATGCAATGGCGAGTAGCACGACAAACCGATGAACTGGCATTCTGTACCATTGATGGAAGGGGAAAAGAAGGCAAGGCTCTGACGTGGAAAAAGTTTGATACTCGAGTTGCAGCTGTGGCTGTTTACCTACGGAACAAGCTCAAGCTCAAAACGAGTGATCATGTCATCTTGATGTACACACATTCTGAGGATTACGTTTTCGCCATTTATGCCTGCATGGTATTGGGTATTATCGCAATTCCTGTCGCTCCCCTCGACGCCAATCGACTATCTGAAGATGCCCCTGCCTTTCTACACATTGTAGCAGATATGGGAGTGAAGGCCGTTCTGTGCAATACAGAAGTCGACCACCTCTTCAGACAAAAAATCGTGTCTCAACATCTCAAGCAGTCTGCACAATATCTCAAGGCACATATTCCCATGGTGTACAATACCACGAAACCCTCCAAGCAATCGCATGGTTGTCGCGACCTTGGACTCACGATGAACCGCGCTTGGGTGTCTCCTACAAATCCTGTTATCATCTGGACATATTGGACACCCGACCAACGTCGAATATCGGTTCAACTAGGTCACGACACCATCCTTGGGATGTGTAAGGTTCAGAAAGAAACCTGTCAAATGACAAGCTCAAAACCAGTTTTGGCATGTGTTCGAAGTACTATTGGAATTGGATTTCTGCACACCGTGTTGATGGGTGTGTATAATGGCAGTGGAACTTACCTGATTTCGCCCTTGGACTTTGCCCAGAATCCGGGCTCCCTGTTCCTTGCTCTCTCTCGCTACAAAGTCAAAGACACGTACGCCACGACTCAGATGCTGGATTTCGCCATGGGTCATGTGCCAGGTAAAGGTTTCTCGCTTCACGAAATGCGAAATCTGATGATTGCGACCGAGTCCAGACCTCGGTTGGATCTTTTTGCAAAGGCCAAGATGCATTTTGCACAAACCGGTCTAGAACGAACTGCCATCAACACCATTTATGCCCACGTTCTCAACCCAATGATAGCATCTCGAAGTTATATGTCCATTGAGCCGATTGAATTGTGGCTGGACGTCCGGGCACTTCGCAGAGGCTTAATCTATCCCATTGACCCTGATAGCGATCCGACAGCCTTGTGCATTCAAGATTCCGGGATGGTGCCTGTGGCTACACGGATTGCAGTTGTGAATCCAGAGACCTGCCAACTGTGTCGTGTTGGCGAATTTGGGGAGATCTGGGTACAATCAGAAGCGTGTGCAAAGGCATTTTACATGTCAAAATCACCTTTTGACCAGGAGAGATTTGGTGGTCGTCTTGTCGGCGGTGACCCCAACAACACGTATGTCCGTACTGGAGATCTTGGGTTCCTTCATAATGTGACAAGACCGATTGGACCTGGCAATCAACCCGTGGAAATGCAAATCTTGTTTGTCCTTGGGAGCATCGGCGATACATTTGAGGTGCACGGTCTTAACCATTTCCCCATTGATATTGAGAACAGTGTGGAGAAATGTCATCGAAACATTACACCTGGTGGTTGTGCTGTGTTCCAAGCAGGAGGAATGGTTGTGGTTCTGGTGGAGGTTTTCCGAAAAGCGTACCTAGCCTCAATCGTACCAGTCATCGTCAATGCTGTTCTGAACGAGCATCAGATTGTGGTTGATATCGTTGCGTTTATTGGAGAAGGCGACTTCCCCCGAAGTCGACTATCGGAAAAGCAAAGGGGTAAAATCTTGGCCTCTTGGGTTACACGGAAGTTAAGGACAATTGCTCAATTCGGCATTCGAGATGCGGAAAATCCCGATGCTCAAGACGCTGGCATGTCAGCAGATCGACGAAGAACAAGCATGGCCGGGAAGAGTGTTAGCCAGCAAGACCAGCCTCGAGCTTCGATGGCATCCGAGACGCAAGCGGGATCAGGCCAATTCGAGAAAATATCCACCCGATCGAGTATAATGCCGGAACTGCCCCTCTCACTCCCCCCGAACCATTACCAGATCGATCCGACCGGGCTATATGAACAACAACCGTCTCAACGGGAGCAACGGGCACCGGCTGTGGCATTAAATGATAGGCCGTATAGTCTACCCGAAGGTGTGGTGGAGATGCCCACAAACTTTCAGGATATCGAGGAACCTGAGAACCCGTATCTGACCGACGAGAAGTTCTTTGATCCCAATGCGGACTGGGAGCGTCAATTCGATGATGACAATGACTTGACACCTGGTGGTCCCCCTCGTTTATCGCTCGTGAATCCCGACAATTACTCCTCGAATGGCAGCAACGAGAACACACCCACTTCGTACACGGCGACGGCAACGCCAACATCGACGCTTCGAGCAATGAACCCGTCTGACGACCATGCAGATGAGAGCCCGTACGAGGACCAAGGAAACCCATTCAGAAATTCGATACCTGCCTCCGTGCCCAGTTTCGATTTCGTGACATCTCCAACAGGACGGACTCCAGCACGTGAACAAATGGCCAATGCTTCCGCGGCCTACAGTCAAATAACATCGACCACCGGACGTGCGTTACTTCCGAGCCAGCAAGCCCGCTACCCGAACTACCAGCAAGAAGCCCCAAGATCACGGCATTTCAGTGAGAGCTCTTACGAAGCAAAAGATCTTCCCGAAGAAGCGATGATGTATGCCTCGGGGTACGGCAGGCAGGCTTCAGGGAGCCAGCCACAACAACAGCAGCAGTCTGATACTCTGCGTGTACATGGCCGGGAAAGTGTGGACTTGAGCAGTGTCTCGGGTAGTGTCAGGAGGCGATACGACGGAAGTGGTTACGACGATTACGAATATTAGTGAACAGCCACTTGAAGAGCCCAGGCAATCTTTGATGAGTTTCTCCACGTTTGTAAAAGCAAAAAGTCACAGGAGGGAGAAGCGAGCAATGATGAATATAATGATGCAGGATCTCTTTTTACTGGGCATGCGAATCAAGAAAACATAACATGATGGGGTCGAAGCGACATAGCATGGTGGTGTTTGAATGAATATGTAGCATCAGGCAATCAATAATAGCATGTGTTCGGTTGGTCTCATGAATGTGATCCCTCTTTCTTCAGCATTTCAGCTAGACTCGCTCTTTTTTACCCAAAAAGGCATATCTGTACGGTTGAAACTCTGGTTCGAACAGCTGGTCAAACATATGGACGGCCATTTACAGGATTCACAATGTAGGATATCCCATGCCCAAGATAACGGTGTGTTCAAGTGGCAATCTGTCGATATACTAATAGTACAGAAGGGGAATATACGAAGCCGGTGTTCTGGGTACCTAGCAGACACCTGAGGGAAGTTTGGGGTTCAATACCTACGTTGATACTGACCTTGAAGCGGGGTTCTGGCCGAGTTCCTCATCACGACCCCTGCAGAAGAAGCCGAGAGCCACCAGGTCGCTAGCCTCCTGACTCCTGGTCGATATCTGTCTAGGTACGAGGGGATCAATCAAGAGGTGGCTGAGGCTATTTCGATCGCGATATTATTACTCAAATCGATATAACGCTCCGCTTGGCAAAGAAGCATCCATAAGTGTTTCCTTTAAAGCTCCACGACCACCAGTCCCTTGTTATACAATAGGACAGCTTGATCCCTCAGATAGGACCTGTCCTAGACTCCCCAGCACGCCCTTGCGGCTACCCCCGGTTTTCGGCTCCTGCCAATCCAAGCCGAAAAAAATAAAAAGTCCATCACAACTTCCCCCCCTCATGTCTAAATTACTTCGATTGAACCCCTCAAGCTCCAGACTCTCTTGCTCAGTCTCCACGCCCTTGTCCGTTCGTGCCAGTCGCTTCAATCAGGGAATGCAAAGACTCCAACAGCAACAGCAACATCTATCCCAACCCCAGTCTTCCTCTTTCACCAGCACCGCCAAGATGTCCGACAATGGCTTGACCAAAGTCTTCACCAAGAACGCCTGCCCTCGTAAGTCTGACTTGATTATCTATCCATCTGCATAAGGCAAATACATATCAAATCCAGTCTAACATTTCCTCCAGCCGCCGGCCCATACAGCCAGGCCATCAAAGCCGCAGGCCAAGTGTGGGTGGCAGGGCAGATCCCGGCGGACGAGCAAGGAAAGCTGGTCGAAGGCTCGATTGCTGAGAAGACGGCGCAGTGCATTAAGAACCTCAAGGCGATCTTGGAGGAGGCCGGCAGCGAGATTGGCAAGATCGTTCGTGTTGGTGTGAGTTTTCCTTTCTTTCTTTCCTTCCCTCTTCTTCTCTCGACACACGTCGAGCAGGAGACTGGTGGAATGTGTTTGGCTGACGCGGGTGGTGATCATAGGTCTTTCTTTCTGATATGCAGCACTTCAAGGAGATGAATGGCGAGTATGAGAAGTGGTTCACTCACAAGCCCGCCCGCACTTGTGTGGCTGTCAAGCAGTTGCCTTTGGGTGTGGATGTGGAGATTGAGGCGATTGCTATTCAGTAGATGTTCCACATCTGGACGATCTCAACGGATGGAAGGCTTGATACAGTATACATAGCCAATATCAAACATCAGACGAGATGTATATTTTATCTACCTCATCGACCACCAAAAATATACCTAGGTAGTCACAAGCAGCAACGTGAACCCGCCCTCCTTTCCTACAGCTTACTCCGGGCATCCTCACCTTCATTCTCTCCCAACTCGACAACAACCTTGCCCCATGTATCTCTCGCACCAAGGGCCGTCAGAGCGGCTGGGATGGTTTCGAGGCCCTTATATGTTTTATCTGTGTATGTGATGCCCTTCAATTTACCAGAGGCGATCAGGTCGAAAATGCCCTTCCACACCTCCTTGACCGTCTCCGTCTCCTTGGTGTTGTACATGCCCCAGTGTAGACCCACGATGCTGATGTTCTTCAGGAGTACGCGGTTCAAAGCGACCTTTTCGATGTTTCCACCCGCAAAGCCGATTACCAAGAGTCGGCCGTTCCAGGCTATGCACTTGATCGAGACGTCGATCATGCCTGTGGGTGATTGTTAGCGTGTCTGGGTCCCACTTTGTCTTTTCTAGAGGAAAGTGGATGTCTGACTTACCAACGGGGTCGTAGACGACGTCCACTCCGGCCTTGCCATTGCCTGTCCGGTGCTTGGCGCAGAGTGCAATCACCTGCTGCGGCCAGTCTTTGTTCCTATAATCGATGACATAGTCGGCGCCGTAGTCCAAGCAGACCTGTCGTTTCCGCTCCGAGCCTGCGGTGGCAATGACGACCGCTCCAAGTGCCTTGGCGATCTGGACCGCCGACAAACCGACACCTCCAGCACCGGCGTGCACAAGCACCCACTCTCCGGGCTGTGTCTTCGCGCGCGTCACCAACGCACCATACGCAGTTGGCGTCGTCACGTAGACGCCCGCTGCGTCCGCGAACGACCAGCCCTCGGGGACAGGGAAGAGCGACTGCTCCGCGGCCAAGACATGCGTCGCGTATGCGCCCTGGTTGGCTCCAAACACCCTGTCACCAACTTTGAACTGGTGGTTCGTGCGGGTGCTGATCGTGCCGTCGATGCTGCTGGCCACGGCGCCCGAGGTCGACGAGGTCCCCGTTGGCGTGGCGATCACGACGCCCGCGAACTCCATCCCGGCCAGCCATGGTAAGGGCGGCTGATGCTGGTATTTACCTTGGATCTGTAGGATGTCGAAGAAGTTGGTGCCGCACGCGCGGATCTTGATCAGGTATTTGTCGGGGTGCGGAGTCGGGGTTGGGAGGTTGGTCACCGTGAGCTCATGTGGCCCAGAGACGTATTGACTGATTTGCACGGCTTTCATCTTGGGGGAGTTCTTTGAGGGAGGATGGCTAAGGTGAGGTGGTGCTTGGTTTTGTTGGATTTTGTGAGGAAGAAGAGATCGCCGGAAAGAAAGCCATTGATCGGTCTAGCTATGTAGATTGTAGATTGTACTTTTCTCTCCGCGAAACCCCATACTGGCGGAGATACTCAGCATCTTGGAGTCAGACTGCTCTCTCAATGGTGGGATTGCCCGTGGGCCGCTTGGGAACCTCGGTTGAAGGACGGTACGGGAAATAGTACGCTAGCATCCGGTGGAATGAAGTCACGTGCTTACCGAGAATTGCTCCCGCTGCTGTCTTCCCCTGTAAAAACATAACTCTTCAATCTCAATAATCATCGGCTTTTTCCTGACCGTTGCTTCTATCTTATTTAATGGACTATGTTTATCCAGAGTATCGTAGGATTACATGGTGCACAGAATAAGTCGGTAAGTGAGTACTCCCCCCAGGCGGATTCAACAAGAGGGAGCAAAAAGAGAAAAAGACCAAAAAGGGTCCAAAGATCAAAAACACACCAATTTGGGAATGAAAAGCCATTTGGAAGGGTTGGTACTAACTGAGAGTTATACCCCCAGATCCTTTTTTGATTTATAAACAATTCCTGACAGTGGAAGAAGCGCCCATTAACTGTGGAACCTGATGTGTTGACCATTAAGCCATTCACACCAGATCAAGAAGCGGATGCACTGCTCCCGGATCTAGGAAGTTGTTGGACAGATTCTCGAACTTGTGATATATCTGCTGCTAGTTGGCGGCTTAGTGGTTAAGGCTGGTCGGTGCCTACTAGGCAGGTAGGTAGGGAGGTAGCTGTACTAAGATCGCCAGCGGAATCTGTGGCGAGCCGGTGTATATGCCTGAAACAGTGAATGATCAAGACCATCACTTCAAGATATCAGTACATCAATGCTCTCATTTCGTGTCCTGCCAGGATTTCGACTACACCGCGCACAAGGCTGAAACTCCCTTTATCGGCTGGGGAGCCGGTGAAGTTAACTGGGTCCTTCGGTTCGGACTAAGATCTGTCCGAGTTTCCTCAACAAGTGGAATGAAAGCAGCATGGTAACTCTCGAGTATCGGCTGAGGGCGCCTCAGGAACCTTCGACCATGGTTCTAGTCTCCCGATGCCAAACGCGGGTTGCTCGAGAAGTACCTACTTAGGTACCCTGGACCACCGCCAAGAATCGCGTGATGAACCCCATGAATGGCGAAAATTCATCAAACACCATCAACCATCCACCCTTGTCACCATCTTGCATATTGCTTAGCACGATGATACCTACCTATTTAGTAGAGCTTGATGCAGCTTGTCGTGCTTGATCATGTAGCCATTTTCTTGGCGTATTACATTGAGGTCAATCATGCCTCTTCCGGCCAATCTCGAGCTTCGATCGTGCATGCTGATGACGGCAAGGATGCTTTCGAGCTCTAGAGCTTCAAGCTCGCGATGAGCATCGCGTATGGCGATACCCCGCGCAGTTTTTGGAGAATGGTAAAAAGAAAGGTTTGTCCGTGAGGTACGATTTGGTTTGGTGCAGTCCTCAAATTGCTGTTCTCCTTCTTCTTGAAGGTTTGTGTGTTTGCAGGCTATCCTACGTACCAGAATCTTCAATCAGCAGTTATGAAGCTCATCGCCTTTGCAACTCTGGCATGCTTGGCTGCAAGTACCAATGCTGCAGTCATTAGGAGGCAAAGTGGCCAACAACCGACCTTTGAGAATGGGGAGCCTATCAATGCCAACGGCAGCCGAGGGGCACCAATATCAGGTATTTGACTCTCGAGATTTATCCATTCAACAAGCTGAGAGTCTCGTGTAGGTGGAACAAATCACGAGCTGGACTTGCAGAACCCTGATGGTCTCGGACGTCAAAGTACCGATAGTGGAACTGTACCCAACTTGAAATGGTCATTCTCTCTGTCCAGGACTCGTATCTTTCCAGGCGGCTGGACACGCACTCAGGTCATTCAAGACTTACCGCAAAGCCATGATATTGCTGCCGCTCAGCAACATCTACATCAAGGCGCAATCCGAGAGCTTCATTGGCATAAAGTTGTAAGTAGTAGATGCGAAGGAAATAAGACATACTAAGGCTGACGACCTCGAATAGGCAGAATGGGGCTTCGTGTACACTGGACGAGTCCTCGTGTCTGCGGTGGATGAAAATGGACAGTACCAAGTCGAAGAGCTAGGTTACGGAGATATCTGGTACTTTCCGAAAGGCCAAGCACATACCATTCAGGGTCTTGACACGGAGAACGAATACCTGTTGACTTTCGATGAGGGTAATTTTGACGCAGTTGGGTAAGTTCAGTGGCACAGTAAAAAGGGACTATTATTGATAACCTCAGCGTGACGTTTAATCTCGGTGATTGGGTCGCCCACACACCCAAGTCGGTCCTTGCGAAGAACTTCGGCCTTAATCAATCGGTATTCGATACCATTCCTCAAGTCGACCCCTACATTTCGCAGTCGAAAGTCAGTAACCGTACCGATGTGACTGGCGGAGCAGGCCCATTGACGGGAAATGCTTCCTATGTCTACCGAACGTTCCAGCATAGTCCCGAGTCAGTGCCGGGCAATGGTGGTACATTCTACAAAATCGACTCGACGAATTTTCCGATCTCCAAGACCATTGCCGCAACCTTTGTGACGCTGAAACCCGGTGGCCTTCGAGAGCTTCATTGGCACCCTACCAGTGAGGAGTGGCTCTACTTCCACAGCGGGACTGGAAGAGCGACAGTGTTTATTGGCAATGCAAATGCCAGAACATTCGATTTCTCAGCTGGTGATACCGCAGTTTTTCCAGACAACAGTGGTAAGGAGTATTCTTCGCATTCCCATGGCTTTTCGACACCGCGACTAACATGTTCTAGGACATTACATTGAGAACACCTCAAATACAGAAGACTTAGTGTGGATAGAAATATACAAAGCCGACCGAGTGGCAGACATTCCACTGGCCCAGTGGCTCGCCCTGACGCCGGCGGACATTGTAGCGAGCATCTTGAAGATCCCCATTGATGTGGTCACACAGATCAAGAAAGAAAAGCAACTACTGATCGCCGGACCATCTAATTGATGACAGATGAATTGGTGGCTATGGTACACAAGATTAGAAGAAACAGACCAATATGTATGACCCTGTTCTGGTCTGAGCACGAATGAGTTGGCTGGGAGTTGTGTAGCGGATTGTCAAGAACTGTCAGGGTACCACGGCGAGGAATCGTATATCAACCTACATTAATTAACAAGCTTAAGAGATATAAATAATTACATTCCACTTGATAAAGAAGTCCAGGGTTCGAGAATTCAAGAAAAAATCACGCTCTTTGATATCTGACTCGCCTGCACCGGATCTTTCGATTTTCGCATATCAACTTAGACACCGACTTCTAGCGCAAGAGCGGTCGCCTTTCACATTCTACGCCATTCGTGCTTCGAGAGTACAGCGTCCGCCTGCACGACAAGAGTGAACTAGACGTAGAGAGAGATGATGTCGGATACTTAGGTCTAGGTGCCTATTACTCGTAAATCTTGCACCGAAATACTATCCCCAATTGGGTCTAGAGTCTTGGCTATGATGTTGAGATGGTCTGATCGAACTCCGATTATGCCTTTTCGCAGTTACATAGCAACCTCGTTCTGAAAGCGAGTAATAGCTTCTCCTCGACCTTGATGGAGGGCTTATACACATGTCTGAGGTGCACTAGGGCCCTGACCGCTACAGGCTCAAGGCATACCGCCAGCCGGGTGCACCGCTCGTTGACTGTCAACCGCTTGTTCACCTCAAGCTCTCCAACACTCCATAATCGTGCCAACACCAGCGAAGGCATCGGCGCGGCCTGGAAACAGTCTGCAAAACAATTGACACGATCATCATCTACCTCTACAGCCCCTCTCGAGGAGCCCGACAACTTTGAACGCCACAACATTCCTCCTACAGACTATGGCGAATGGCGAGCACACGGCCGAGTGCTCCTGCAACCGGACAATCTCTTCCACCCGTTCTCCCAGTCACCCATTCCCGAAATAAGACAACGCGCTCGTTTCACGAAACAGCATGCTCTTTGCCCGCATCCTGCACATCAACAAACAAGAGTCCCAACTTCTCCGTACGATCCCGAGTCAAGAAAAATCGCTGGAAAAAGCACGCAGCCGCCTTCCCATGTGAGCTTCGAATGCCCTGATTGCGGAATAGCTACATACTGTTGCGAGGAGCATTGGGCCGACGATTTTGAAGCACATCTTGAGATTTGCGACACCCTACGACAGATCAACGAAGATGACCACGATCTGAGATCTGGGAGATGGTTCTCCGAGTTTGAGTATCCGGGACCACAGCTGGATGAAATCTTGGTCAATTTGACCAGTTGGGACACTTTCTTATACACTCGTCAGTTCGAGGCCATTAACGAGGAAAGAAGTATGCGCCAGGCCACGAGACTCCTGACGTACCCATTGTCTATTGGAAGTGTTCTACATGAGCTGAGCCCTTACAACATCCGGCGTGGAGGTAGATTGACTGCGGAAGGCTTGAAGAGTTTGAGTGGTAGGTCTCCCCAATTATCGTTCTTGAGACCAAACTGACACTATTAGCTCTACGATACACACTCCATCCACCACGACAGGGTCAAGGTATTTCCGTCGCAGGATTGAGACTTTCGAGTCCACCCGTGAGGATATTTATCCTTGGTGCGCGTGCTGAATCCTCTCTACCACGTGAAGTCTGGACTCAGCTCAACCACATATTTCCCCGAGCCACCATCCACCTCAACTTCATTGGGCCAGAGTCCATGTTAAATCGTGACTCCGAGTATCCACTACCAGAGCGGACAGCTTCTAACCCCTTCGGCGCAATTGTGGAGGATCGAATCTCGGACAAAATGAAGATAACGACCTACGTGGACTATTTCCATACCCTGCACGAGGCCAACCTATTCTACCCCTACGATCCCTACTTCGACTGCTTCATGCTCTACCACCCAGGCCTGGGCCACCCAGCATCCTCCCACGAGTGGGAAAGTACGATTCCGAAGCTGCTCGAGACCAAGATCCCGATCATCTGTACCGGTTATACGGAATGGGATATGCAACGAGATCAGAAGTGGGTAATGGAGAAGTGTGCTGGAGAAGTGGACATGTTGATGGAGCCCGGAGAGAATAGATTTCGGTCGTTGAGATGGGATTTGAACGACCTTGATCCCCAGGATGTCAGCTGTGGCAATTGGGGCATCTGGGCATTCAGAGGCAAGAGGTATGAGGCCACACATCGCAATGTAGAATAAATCAAGAGCATAAGCTCTGGAGTGTATAAAACAGAGAGCATCCAATTACACACTTGGTCCCCACCCCGTGGACTACATCGTTAAGCCACGCCGAAGGCCATACAACAACACTATTGCGCATGGAGTTTTTGGTAATGAATCGACTAAAGATATAGTGTTGTACACCTTGAGCTTGAAGTTGCTCCTGATTCAATCTGCCGTAACCTAAAATGCTCGCCACTAAGGACCAGATACGGTACCAGTATGTTATGGGCGCTTTCAGTCGAGAAAGGCGCATCGCTCTCGCTAATATAGACCTGATGAAGGATAGAGTATTGAGTAAACGACGCATTTGAGGTGATCCACGAATCCGATTTCCACGGGGACTTCCTAAATAGTCAGCGCGGTCGAAATCCTATTACTGTGGCGCCATCCTGCCATAGAAAGCATAAAGAATGATAGATGACCTCCATCGCAAGAAGGACTAAGGGGGGAAAGGGTTGTTTTAGTAGTGAGTATTGAGATGTATTAAAAAATAGCGGGTATTTTTTATCTACATATAACAATAGATTCTCCAAAATTTTGGACAAGAAACACCCCCAACACTGATACAATCTTTCGGAGTGTGACAAGCGCAATTGGTCTAGTGGTATGATTCTCGCTTAGGGTGCGAGAGGCCCCAGGTTCGAACCCTGGATTGCGCCCATTTTTTGCATTTTTGTCAGGGCAGGGATATCATGTGAGTCAAATAGACCCGCGTTAAGGTCAAGTTTGACGCATGTGAGAAGCCAGGTCTTATAAATATAAGGTATAAGATAAGGTACCTAAGTACATAAGTTAGGTTTGGAGCTTCTCATGATATCCTGGCGCATCTACTCACACAACAGCACTTGCCTCCCCGTTGGTCTCATACAAAATGAACTATTTTGTGTGTCCAGAAAATGCCACGGGGCTAAATAGTCAAGTTCTAGCGGACGAAGCGATGGCCTGACTCTCTACCGAAATTCTTGCGTTATTAAATAGGATCCAGGTGAATCAGCCTACGCCGGCGGGATCACAATACTTTTATTCCACAGACATACCACTACTATCACCTCTTTAATTATGTCGCAAAATGACGTCCCTTTTTACAGAATCTTTCAAGAGATTTCACGGTGGCCACATTCTCCTCATTATTTTCCTCTTCTTTGGATGCCAAGAGGGCTAGAACGAGATTCCTCGTATTGTCGAGCAAGCAGCTGAAGGATGCCCAGTGTTGGCTTTCATATGCTTCGGCCTTATTATAGGCGTGACTTGACAAAAGATACTATTCTCATGCCATCGGTGTATCATCGCACGAACGTTCTTAGCCAGTATGGCGGCTTCCCATGCGGAGGACTACTCTGGAAAGGAGGTTGTCCATAGCCCTCTACAGCATTCTCTGGGACCTGAAGTCGATGGGAGGGGAATCGAGGCAGTGGAATCGCAACCGCCTCTCACTCCGACCAGAAAAGCTCCCTTTTTGACTAGAGGTCGACTGGTGTTCGCAGTGCTGCTTGGACTTTGTGTCGTTGGAGCCATTGTAGGAGGAGCTGTGGGTGGAATTGTAGGCAAGCGACAGCATGAAAGCTCCCAACCCAGGTATGAAAGATCCCTTTCTCCATGGTGTATCCCAGAAATGTAATTGGGGCATTATCCATTGCCTCATCACAAGAGATTGATTATGTCGCTTAGTGCAACAACTTCGCCAGGGGCTCAAAATGAAACCATGACTGGGTCAGCGGCTGATCAAACGGCGCTGCTGCGGTATGCAACACCCATCTCGACATTTGGCGAGGGCACAATCGATGTCTACCTCCAGGGAAATGATGGCCGTGTGTATAGCAAGCAGTATATCAATGGCTCCTGGCAACCCTCCGGTACCGCATTCTGGAACTTGGGTGGCATCGTAACCTCTAATATTGGGGCTGTATCTCGTTCTTTTGGACACACAGATCTATTTGCACGAGGGATAGATTTTGACATCTACAATCAAACTCGAAACAACACCGACCCCTATGGTTCACCACAGTCTTGCCTTTGCTGGGATCCCATGAACGGTACTGCTCTCAGTGGACCTGAAGTCGCCTTCTCTGAGTCAAACTCATTTGATGTATTCCAGTACGGCTGGGACGGGATCCTGTACGACATCCCATGGCGGGAGTCCTCTGCATCCTCAACGTTGACCCGGGGAAATTGGAGTTGGCTTGGTGAGTATGACGGGTTGACTAACGACTGGTTGAATTTCACTCCCTCTGTCGTATCCTGGGGTGTGGGCCATTATGATTTCTTCGGTGTGCGAAGCTCTGACCACGCTCTGTACCATCGTGCCTTCAACGAGGGAGCTGGATGGAGCGTCGACTTTGGAAGGCTGGGCGGGTACTGCACAAGTCGACCAGCAGCAGTATCGGTTGCAAGTGGCCGCTTAGATGTGTTCGTTCGCGGTGGAGACGCAAGAGTATGGCATACTTCCTACTATGCTGGTGATACCAAAGGGTGGAGTGATTTCGAATCGCTGGGAAATATTACCATCCTAGGAGAGCCGCACGCAATACGATACCTCAGCAACGGCATCTCTGTGTTTGTGTGCAACCAGATGGATCATGCGGTGTGGCATGCGGTGTACGATGGCAAGGTGTGGACAGAATGGGTGAGTCTTGGAGGAGACTTTGGAGCTCCACCTAAGGCAATATCTAAAAGCCCTGGACAGCTAGACGTTTTTGCAGTCGGGCGTAAAGGAGAGTTGATGTGGCGAAACTGGGAGGAGGATCGAGGAGCTTGGCAACCACTTAGTGAGTGGGTGAATCTTGGGACTGCTACTTAGGTTGGTGCAAATATCGATTTGATTTTGATTAGCTGCACATACCTTTATGGTAGCGTGATGGCGATACCTGGGCCACATCGTTTGTTACAATCAAGGCAATGAGGAGCTTGATACCAAGGCCAATTCTCCAGCGACGCTGGCTGACTGGGAGATGAGTCGTCTATCAGTACATACTCTGAGTATTGCCAATTAAGCCTGTTAGAGCTTCATACTCAGCCTTCTCATGTGATTCTAAACACCATGGTTTGATAGTCGTAGCAGACAATCATGTCGTCGCCAGCATGTACTAAGCCGCTGTCAAATGAGATGACAAGATTCTACTTTTACATCATCACTGCTTGAGTCATGAGATTTGGTGCGAAAGACCTACGACTTCGGGTGCTGCGGAATATTTTAAGGATTGAAGTACTGGGACAAGGCCTCTGGAGGAGCATGTGAGGGTGAAAGCGCGCATGACGTGCGAAAATCAACGGAGGCCGCCCATCGGCGAAAATCCCGAGTAGAAGGCCACGTACCTAGGTAGTTTACCTTATTCTCTACTAGCCTATACCTATTCTGATTGGCAGAATCTCTCTTGATAGACGCCTTTCTGTATCATTAGGGTAGGTTTATACAAGTGATTTATGCAGTGAACGTGAACGATTGCTACTGTTTCTATGTAACATTACTATAGATTCGTCCATTCGATACATTTGTGCTCAGAACAAAACGGACGGCGAGGAATCTACTTGGTAAGGCAAGTGACTGCAAAGTCATTGACTATGGTCAAGTCCGGCTTTGACATCTCTTGGTGAACGACTTTTAATAATTTTGAACTGAGACTGCGAATCTGAAGATGCTCGAGATTTGACATGGAGTCTCAAGGTCGAGTAGACTAACATGATGACATCACCACATAGAATGATGAGTTTCGCTCATAGGCTACCAGGTGCGCCTTCGACGCAAAGGATGTCCATGTTCAGGGTTTTCCGCTCAAAACCTTCCGTACTTCTTGCTGGCAGCAGATTTTATTCCGCCTCTGACTGTGCTAGGACTTGGAAACTAGACAGCGATTTTCAACGGGATGATATTTGTTCCAATCGTTCGTGCTCCTGAACAACCCCGTCTGCTACATCCCTAGCTTCTCATCATCCAATCTGACCTCTGCTCTCCATGACTATTCTCAGGCATCTTTTAACTGCTGATGAACGTCCTCAACGGTAGCAGAGATAGGGACGCCCTTATCGGTCAGACCCATGTCGTCTGCAAAAGTACTATGGGGCGTCCAGGATGCACTCTTCCTTGGCGTCGTCTCCTCTAGCATTTTGTCAATCTGTTCCAAGCTCAAGCCTTTCATCTCAGGGATGAAGAGGTAAGTGAACAGAACACAGAGAGAGCACAGTGAGCCCCAGAGGAAGAAGACTTTAGCACCCAGATTTGCTTCACCCCGTCCATTACCTACTAGGTAAGGAGTGATTGTGGCAATGATCTTGTCACTTAAATTAGCGACGAGCATTCAAACAGAAAACGTGGATGACTTACACAGTTCCAAAACCAGTTGCTCGCAGTGGAGAAACCTACAGCTCGGGATCGAATTTGCAGGGGAAAGATCTCCCCAACTATGATCCATGCCGCTGGACCCCAGCTCATTGCGAACATCGCAATATTGATGCAGATAAACGCAATCATACACCGAACAGCCGCGGCGTCACCGCTCTTGCCTGCCGTGACACCGACAATGCCAACGATGAATTGTGAAATCACCATGCCAGACCCACCAGCCAGTAAAATGTGACGTCGGCCGAATCGTTCAACCATCCAGAATGAGAAAGGGGTGGAACATGTGTTGACGAGGCTAGTAATTAGTTGAATCAAGAAGGGATTGTCGATGGTGCCGAGGTTTTGGAAGAAGACAACGCCTGTTGGGAGGTTCAGAATGTCTGGAGTGTGTTAAAAAGCTACTTACGTACCGAAATAGAATATGAAATTTATTCCTGTGAATTGTTGAAACATCTGCATAAGAATTCCTTCGTGCCGTTAGCCGTAGACCGTACTGAGGGTCCAAAAAAAGGACACGGCGTACCAATGAGGGTGCGGCGAGAATTTGAATTGCCCTGCAACAGTGAACCCTGGAAGCAGGTCTTCCAGCTTCCGAGATAGCTCAATTGAGGAGTCAATTGCTTTTCATATTCATGATTCGCAATGATCTCTGCTAATTCGTCCTGGATATACTGCGAAGCAACATTTTGACCGCGCACGTGCGACAACGCCTTTGCTGCGTGCTCGAATTTTCCCTTTTTGACCAAGTATCTAGGGCTTTCGGGGAGGAAGAAGAGACCGGTCCCAAGAATGACTGCCCAAACGAACTGAATGGCAATGGGAATACGATAAGAGCCACTGTCATCTCGGTTTTGGGTCGAATAGCAAACGACATTGGCAAGGAGAATTCCGATGGTGATGCACCAATTGTTTCCCGCAATCAACGCTCCACGCACCTTCTTTGGCGCGATTTCCTATTCACGGTTGTAAGCTGAATGGATAGGCTCACCCCCATGAGAAGCAAACCTTACCGACATGTAGAGAATTACAATTGCTGAGATAAAGCCCACACCAAGTCCTCCGATCAAACGACCCGGAACCATGAGACCTAGGCTTGTCGAAGCAGTCTGCAGAATACATCCTCCAATAAAAATGAGACAGCCGACAATTATTGTCGTTCGCCTTCCAATCAAGTCTGCCATGTCGCCAGCTAGGATTGCACCGAAGAACGTCCCAGCCGACAGGATTGATACGATGAGAGACTGCTCGCTAGCCCGAAGATGGAAGGCTAACACCGCAGCCGGATCGCTGGGATCCGGATATGGTAGACCGGTGTACTGGCGGATGAAGTATCTCATGCCCAGAACGCCGCCCATGTAGCCAGTGTCATAGCCGAAGAAAATGCCTCCGAGCGCAGCGAAGGCACATAGTAGGTAGGCTTTGACAGTGACTGGTGCTTCGACACGAGCTGTATCGGCCGTGCCAGTGATGATGACTGACGTTCCTCCAGGCATATTGATTTTGTGATAATTTGTAAATCTGATGAGGGAGAAATAGTGATGCTGCTCAGCCTGCAATCTGGACCATCACTGATGGAAGACATCCCTATATATAGCAGTCTGCCAGCTGTCGGAAGATGCCCTAACTCCACCCCCGCAAGTCAACTTCCCCAGGAAAGAGAGGATTAAAGCATATCCGGACAAAGTTTCCTTTACTTCAATCCCAAGTTGCTTGAGATCGGGATGCCCAAGAGTACTCGACAGTCAGGGCGGGAAAGTCCTTTGCCTCATTTTTTGGCTTCCACCAGGCCTTATGCAAGACCCGGAAGTACGGAAATTCTCTAAAAATATGGCCTATTGCAGGGGTATATTTCGCATTGGAAGAGCAGCGTTTTGTAAGGTCTTTCATAGGCAGGACGACGGAATAGTACTCAAGGTAAATAATCAGATGAACACTACTATCACGGATGAAAGATATCCCTAATGTGCCAATCCCGCTCACAAGCGCCAAGTCATACATATGAGATCTGAGGGACTATTGTCCCCGTACATAGGATGGCGGGATATCAATACAGATGAGGAGATCAATCCTAATGCAACGGAAGAGGAGATACCCGGGATATCGGCATTGAATTTGGCAGATGAGCACGACACAAGCTGTGTGAGTATTCCAGTCGTGGTTCTCCAGAGTAAAAGAAGCAACATCGCCGTTGTACCGTTGGCTATGAAGAAAGTGAGACTTTTATGTGCATTTCTAGAGGTTTGTCTAGAGGTAGGCTTTGCAAGTTTCGAGAGTTTCTGTCGGAAACGTCGAACTCCCGATCCTGAGGTCCAAGGTATCAAGAAGCATGAAATTCGGCTCAAACTTTGTCTCATTGTATCACATGCACAAAGTGGCATAGTGCAGACGAGACTCTATCCACTGTTGCGTTGCCACGTTTCCTTGATAACGAGCGGCCTCGTCTGGGCCACGGCCAAATGCTTTTTATCCTTGACTTCTTGTCTCATACATTGTATCCGAGGGCTTTCATGAAATGGTCTTGATCTTGCCTGCAGCGGGAATTAGCACCAGTGCAATAGTCGTGTTTCAGATGGGCAACAAACATTTCCGCATTATCGAACAATTCAAGGTAGTCGAGAAAAGGATCTTCTTCGGTCATGGCAGGAAGGGTCTCTGTATTTGAGAAGTCTGTTGTTTGGGCGGCCGCAGAGTCCGACGTGACGCGAGGATTACCATCCTCAGCTGGTAGCATTTCGTGCGCGAGCCGCTGTTGTACTGTTCCCACCCTGCATCTTTGAGAGACATCGAGCGGCAACGTTCCGGGTCTAGGAAATCTATAGTTGCCATGGGAGGAGGTCATTATGTCCTCTTGTTGTTGCGTTGTTGGGAAGCGAGAAAGTTTGGCTCGTACTGTTTGTGCGAAGGCGGTAGTGCCATGCCCACTCGTTTCGGGCATGCGACAAAAATTACCTCTCTCTGTGAGCGGGTTCGTCCGAGAGACACAACTTGTATCTGCGGTCGAATCCATAACACTAGGATGTTGAGGTTCGTCATACAGATGAAGAACGTAAGCGTTCCTTGTCAGTGTGTTAGTTCTCAAACCACTATCCCCGAAACCCAGCCTGGCGAGGTCTTGTTTAAGTTGTTTCAATACTGCCTCTCGCGACTGTATCGGAAGGGATTGTGCAGCCGATGCAGCGTCAGCAAGTATCTCCCACGATGGAGGCAGCCGTTCCGATGCACCAGAACCACAGAACTGGATAATAACCTCTGTGTCTTTCCGAGCAAGTTTTTCGATCTGATGGTCTGAAGGATTAATGTGTAGCTGAATCACCAGGCACAAGTAAACAAAACCTAGGTTAACAATGTTAGGTGGTGGAACTCGATCAGGCATACCCCGACCTCTTTGGCAACCCGCCTGCTTGCAATGTCGCGGTAATTGCGCTGTCCAGTCAATTAAACTTGTAATAGCCTGCAGGCTGGCATCGCCCGGATCTAGGTGCAGGAGATTGTTCGCAATACAGACGAGGCGGACCAGTTGGCTGAAAGTGCTCGAGGTGCGTATAGGTAGACTTGGCTCTGCATCTGAGTGTGAGCGGAGGGGTCGCCACGGTTCCCATTCCTCCATGCCAGAATCATCGATCGGAAGACAGGGTTCAATCGCCTGTGGTTTCAGATAGGGTACTCTTTTCAAGCGCATCGCCAGAAGAGATTCTACCACAAAACACCCAAGCCAAACTCGGTCCGCGTGGCATTTCTGGTGCTGCCAAGCGGTGTTGATTTGATCAAGGTCGATGGAGAAAGCAATTGAGATTGCGTATGTGATTATAGACGAGGCCGCTTTGTAGTCGCGAGCTATCCAGCGACATATTGCAAGTATCGTCAGTGCTTGCACATGTTCAAGGCAATACTCATGCTCGTTCTCCCATGGGATAAGGTTCCGAGCGTGGGCATAGAACAACTCGGAGGTTTCAATCGACTCAGCAAATGAGGTCGGTGTCACCTCCGTCTGTGCTTCCTCCAGTGAAGCGCAGGCTAATATTGCCCAAAGGACCGCATGATCTCCGGAACCCAACGATTTCCGGGTCACAAGGAACCCTTCAGCAGGATATGAAAACAAGGTCCGGAAAACCACATGCCGTTCCACGATTGGTAGCCAACAATGCGTGTAAGTAAAATACCAATCGATTAGGCGAGATGAAGTGGAAGGGAGCTTAAGCAAGTGAGGTATTGTCGGCTGGTAGAGGAAGACATTAGCATTATCACAGCCTGTCGTTGTTCGGATCTCATCTTCGCCCAAGGAAGATTCCAATGACCCCACCAAGTCTTTCTCGGCAGTATTCAGCGTAATTTGTGGGATTTGTGCATCTTCTCCAGGTTGCTGGGCGTATGCCCTCCACGAAATCAAAGGATGATGCTGTTCAAAGCCTTGCACTGTCTCAAGTGGATTCCCAGTTGCTTCATCATCCGAGTCATCTGTTGATGCGAGAAGTTGGTTGATCTTTTCTGGAATTTTGCTTCTCTTCCAGGAAGCAAGAAGGTTCTCAACATCCCCTGTACTGCCCGCATTCTGATCTCGTCCACGGAAGTCCAGCACAGATGCTCTGCCTAGAAGTGACTCGACCGCAGCCTCACTGCCATCAATCTTTTGGAGCACGAGACCCCACAGGCATTCTAGCGCACGAACGTAGCCCGTCTTGAGTCCACGCCTCTTTGCCGCAGCACCATACGAACAAGGCTTCCTTGTTTCCAGGCATTTGGAGCATCGAGGGCTGCGTCCGTCACACCTGAGCTTTCCATGTCGACACTGGTCACAGGCTCGCGCAACTCGACGTCGTTTAGCGAGTTGAGATCCCTCGTCAGGGTCTGACATGCCAGTGGACGAAGTTCCGGCAGGGTGAGAATGTGTGACGTCCTTGTGATTGTCGTCTACACCTATAGCGGTGCCAGGAACCACTTTCTGCTAAACAAAAGGTATCATTCTACGCCCCTGAGGAGCATGACTAGAAGGCTTTCGTTTTGGTACTGGTGCAGTATCTGTTGCGTGAGATCGCGATCTGCTAACGACAATCAGTTCGCGAAGTCTCGTGAGGAATTGAATCAAAAGATGTTCAGGACCTTGACTCCACCCTCGCCCGGGAATCGTCCTGAGCAAAACATCTGGGTGACATCTTCCCCACCTCCAAAGCCCTCGGCCCACAAGAATACGGATAATTAGTTAGCCGGGCCTGAAGCAGCACAATCTCATTACACTGCCAACCCCCAGGTTTTCCACAATCCAACTTCACTGCCGCTAGTTTTCGGCTCATCGGCTTTGCATCCATAATCAGTCTGAAGTTCTCCTAATTGCCACCACTTCTCAGGAATGTACAGGCGAAGGACTCGTGATTCAGAACCCTACTCCTAATGCAAACAGTCACTGTGCAGACTAGCACTTCGCAGCTTGCTCAGGACTCGATCAGAGACCAATCGGAAAACTTGAATGAGGTGTCAAGGAAGCGAAAAGGGGTTGTCGTGGATGAAATCGGCGGTGCCTCCAACTTGATTCCCTTGCTCTTGACTGGGAAACGTAGCAGAACCGAATTCTCAAGCCCTGATGAGCTTGGCCTAATGACAGCGAAGATACCATTTTTTCAGCGACGGGTGAGGAGCTTTGAACAGGATGCCTCGATCGCTTTCGTTGGCCCGCGAGGTAATGGAAAGTCCAGTCTCGCAGTTATTGCTGCCACGGCACTTCGAAGAGAGGTCGTGGATGCCGACCAGTATTTTACTCAAATGACGGGCATGACTCTGTCTACATTTCGAAAAGCATATGGCGTAGAGGAGTATCGACGTCGTCAAGTTGAAGTGCTAAGAGATATGATGTCGCGACATCAAAAGGATTGTGTCCTCATTTGTGGACCACATGTCGTTGTTGGAAAAGGCAGAGAACTCTTGCAGAATTTCAGTCAACGCCACGCTATCATTTATGTCGGTCGGGAGGATGATTTGATCAAACAGTGCCTCGAAGTCAACAGCCAGGAACGGTTATTGGACGTCATTCACGAAATACATTCGGTGCACCATCAAATTTCCAATTTTGAATACTATAACCTTGCGGAGCAATGGGGAAGCGAGGCTCAATCGCCCGCGGAGATTGAGCTGCTTAAGATCCTGCCCGATCGTGTTTTTCGACGAAGATCATTCCAGACGCTGCAGAACACCAAAAATGACTTGGTTTGCTTTCTTAATGCTGCACTAGGGCTGAGATCGTCCGAGGATCCCTTTCATACCCTCCACCCTCTCGAGCCTGAAATGCGGCCGAACACCATGGCCTTGTCCATCCCGATTGACCAGGTCGAGTCACGAAGTGCAAATTTAAATGATCTCGAATGCGGCCTCGATGCAGTGGAAATTGTTGTCGATGTAACATTACGCTCATTGAATTCTATGATTGTGCCAGTGATGTGCGACAGGTTAGGCAGATCAATAGCAATTATCCGACGGCGTCTTGCGGTCCCTGTCATTTGCCATTTCAGCTTGGATTCTATCGAAGACAATCAACTTACTTCAGATTTTATGTCTGAATACTTTTCTCTTCTTCACCTTGGTCTTTGTTTCGCGCCAGAGTTTCTGACAGTTGACCTTCGGAGTTCGTCCGAGGATGTTCAACATTTGATATCATCAAGAGGTCGCACCAAAGTCATAGGCAACTTTTACGATCGTGACGCTGATAGTGGTTTCTGGACAGGGAAAACCCCCGAAAGGATCTATGGAAGAGCAACAGAATGCGGCTGTCATGTTCTCCGTCTTTACCGATTGACTCGGTCAAAATCAGAAAATTTCTCCTGCCTTACATTTATGTCGAGGATGAACAATAACTCAAATGGAATCCCGGTCATTGCATATAACTTGGGCATTTTGGGCAGCCTTTCGAGCGCTTTCAACACCTTCCTAACACCGGTGATGCATCCACTGTTACTGGCTGATAAGTCTGCGGAAGGAAGAATGGCTCCCTTACCAACCGCACCAACGATCACGATGTGTGATATTCAACGTATCCTCTATTCCACACATACTCTGAACGCGCTCAAGTTCTATGTATTTGGCTCGGACGTCAAGTACAGTCTTTCGCCTGCCGTGCATAGGGCTGGATTTCAGGCATGCTGGACACCTCACACGTATGATATTCGTCAATGTAGTTCTTTAGAAGATGTACGTGCTCTCGTACAAGACGAACGTTTTGGTGGTGCAAGTATCAGCATGCCATTCAAGCGAGAGATTGTCTCTTCAGTCGACTCTTTGAGCCAATCAGCAAGAGCAATTGGTGCTGTCAACACGCTGCTCCCTATTCGGCACCAGGCCGGCCAGCATTCACAGGGGCATCCATTCTCGAAATGCCAAAGGAACCAAGCTGGGCCTGTTACAGCTTTGCATGGGGCAAACACCGATTGGATGGGTATATATGCCTGTATATCCAGGTATATTTCTCCAGCGAATGCTCCATCCCCCCGGACAACAAGTCTCGTCATTGGAGCTGGTGGAATTGCACGAGCAGCAATTTATGCCATGGCACGACTTGGAGTGAGCAACATCTTCATTCTCAACAGGACCCTAGAAAATGCAGAGACACTAGCGAAGCATTATAACTCCAATGACGAAAGCCATTATGGTCTTCGCAATTCTAGTGCAAATTCAAGTGGTGCGTCGCCTGCGGTAAGAGCTGTCGTCCACATTCTTAAGTCCAGGGAAGACAGCTGGCCGGAGGATTACTCGTATCCCAGTATTGTTGTATATACGATACCAACACGCCAGGCCGGGAAAAGCGGTCACGCCGACCTAAGAGTACCGGAACACTGGCTTCAGAATAGCACAGGAGGTCTTCTTGTTAATGTAAGGCAAGAGACATTCATTTTGTCCCTGGCTGCTGACGATATTGCAGGTGTCATACCATGATTTTGAGCCGGCGACGGTGCATTCGACTGAGGAGGCTGATCGGAGGGGGTGGGTCTTGATAGATCCGATTGAAATCTTCTTCGAGCAAGCTGCAGCTCAATTTGAGCTGTTTACAGGTACCCCAGCTCCTCGAGGTGCCATGTGGGAGTCTTGCCTCCACCAGTACGGCCAAGATGTTTCGAAACACGTTGATGGCTAACGACGTCCAACGTATTGAGGGGAGCCTAGGACGAAGAATGAGACAGTTGATTTGTTATTACCCGGTGGTAATGAATGGACGCACTCCAAAGACTGGAGTTTTGCATCCCCAGTATATCGCTTACAATACTATTCTCAAAGTAGTAGTTTGTATGAAACGTTCTAGCCAGGAGTGTTAAATTTCATTCGACAAGCAGAAATTTCGGGTTGGGCAAAGGTTAACCTTTGGTTGTTTTGTCATTCATTTTGTGTCTAGATGGTCACAATCTAGGTACATCTGCATAATGTGGTACAACGAATGTGCTAGATGACCGAGATGCCTCCTCTATCGGGCCTTGGATTGACAATCATGCTTTCGTTAGCAGCTTGCTGCAAACATTTCCACATTCCTTGCTTGTCGGGTATTTGAAGACCATCATCTCCTACCCATGCTCTCCACTGGCGCTCCGCCTGATGGCCAATGACATGGGTGCCTTCAACTGTCCGCCATTTGTATGATTGGCCCAGTATGATATGCCTTGTTCGCCTGGGTTTATAACACATATCAAGTAGAACTCCTTTCTCTGATCGCCCAAGGAATTCCGTAAGTAGAATTTTCAATAATTTCTCCTCTGCCGTGACCGGCTCGGAGTCCGGTACAGTACCGATGATATAGGCGGGTGTCAGCAGTGCTTGAGCATCTTTTATGGATCTGACATGTGTGATATGAGGCGGAGAGTCATAATGCTTGTCGACATCTCGCTTGAGACCCAGCACCTCATTCTCATCTCTATTCAAAATGTATACATGATGACAGCCTAGTTGCGATGAAAGTGCATAGAGTGCGGCTCGCGCGGCACCGCCAGCACCGATGACAAGTGCAGTTTTGCGAGACGGTAAGGGCTGTTTGATGGAAGCCTCTAAAAGAGATCCGGAAATGCCACACCAATCGACATTGGTGCCCATAAGTTTGCGACCTGTCGTAGTATGGTATACACACACCGTATTACATGCTGCCAGAGTTCTTGCAAGTTCATCCACCTCGTTGAGTTCTCCTAAGATCTCGCCTTTATAGGGCATAGTAACAGAAGCCCCAGCACAAATATCTGATCGCAAAAGGTTCATACATTCTTCGATCGTGGAGCACTCTTTGGTACGGAAGGTCCAGGGAAGCTGAAGGGATTTCGCGATATAATTGTGCATTGCGGGTGCAACTGAATGGCCCGTGCCAATCCCAATGAGATATAGCTCGCGTGGTCTTGTGCTGAAATGCATTCCGATCCTTATCGCCTCCATCCTGCTACCATTTGAGGGTTTGAGGACAATGTTTTAAATACACGAGGCTAAGAGGGAAAAAAGGTGGTAGTGCATGGAAAATGCCACACTGGATAGCCATTTATGAGATGAGTTACAATGCCGATTAGCTATGCTCACTCTGTCACATGTAATGCTACCCAACCCCGATTCTATTACCTTACAACTTCACAACTTCCTACCGGTCAAAGATAATCCCGTGGTGCATTGTGCGCACAGAGTTGGTTTCCGCGCAACTTACCCAGATCAAAGGCCGTGTAGGTACTTCGAGTTACTGCTGGGCAGACGCGCTGGGAAGGCACTTTGAATTTTCATGTAGCAGTTCTAAGCTCTGTACAGGCGCAGATCTCCCTTGGTGCTAGTTGCACTCCACTATCTGTCTCTTACTGCGCAACATATTGAAGGACTTAAGTATTACTACCGGATTTGTTCATGATGCTGTAAGCCGCGGCAAATTCCTAGACGCAGGTATTGATGTCGACCTGGATCATCTCAGTTGTTCTGAGCAGGCGTTATATCTATGTAGCAGTCATTTTCCAAGTAAGGCATGTTGTTGCGCAGTTCTGGAGAGTCTTATGTTGAATGGTTGACTGCCATATGGCATTCGGGTGTACCATGACCAAGCAAAATGATGCGGAAGTTTTTAGTCCTAGACTGGCTTGCTCACAATTTTGTTGGGACAAACACACATTCTGACGGTAAAATCTTTGGACTCACATAACGAACATTGAGAAGATCCCGTAATACGCTACTCATTGAGCATTTCGGGGTTGCACTTCCATCTTCCTTTTCGACCACACGGATGAGTTCATAGCCGATACAACGGCGAATTGACTTACAGATCTTATTCAGTGAGCTTTTATATTGGAACACGTTCATTTCAATCTGAGGACAGTAAATCCCTTTTCAATTGTACGTTTCATCATGGCTGACTACGAGACTCGGCACTTCATCGACGGCAAATTCGTCAACGGAGAAAGCCCGAACACTTTTGACGTCGTTGTAAGTCTAAAAAAGATTTTGTGGTGTACAATAGAATTGACGCGAGCTTCAGAGCCCTGTCGATGGTAAGGTGGTTGCCAGCGTCCCGTCTGCCTCGGAACATGAAATCTCCTTAGCAGTCGCCGCGGCGACAAAAGCTCAGCCCGCATGGGCCGCTCTCGCTGCCAGCAAACGCGCAGGGATACTCAGGAGGTTCTCCGATTTGATGTCACAAAATGCTTCTAAGTTAGCGGAGGTAGGAAGATATTGTGGTTACGCTCAGGTCTAAGGCTGATAGTGACTGTAGCTCGATGCCATGTGCATGGGCAAGCCAATCTCTGCTCATCGCGAAGAGGTTGATACAGCTTGTAGCATTACCAATTTTTTCGCTGGCCAAGTCGAGCAGGCATATGGGCAATCGTCTCTGAATGTACCGAATCATCTGAATATATCGCTTCGCCAACCTTTCGGTGTTGTTGCCGCCATCGTTCCGTGGAACTTTCCCACCATGATTGTAAGTTAGCAAAGAACACAAGTGGGAAGACCATGGTTTCTAACCGCTATCGATGCAGTGGTGTCACGAAGTGCCCCCTGCGTGTGGCGCCGGTAACGCGATAATCTTGAAAACATCGGAGAAGAGTCCGTTAAGTGTAGGACATCCCCAATCAAACTTAGCCTCCAGTTGAACTAAGGACCGCAGGGTCTCCTTCTTGCTCAACTCGCACATGAAGCAGGTTTTCCTTCCGGCATTGTAAACGTAATATCAGGCGCTGGAGCGACTGGCGAGTTGCTCTCTTCTCACATGAAGATTCGGTAAGTTTATGTTTCGTAGTAGATCAGACATGTTTTGATAAGACGTTCAGGAAAATCAGTTTCACAGGATCGGTTCGAGCCGGACGAGCAGTCATGCAAGCGGCTGCCCGGTCGAACCTCAAGTCTGTTTGTCTCGAGTTGGGAGGAAAGTCTCCTCTCATCGTGTTCGCCGATGCTGATCTCCAGTCGGCAGCTGAGCTGGCAACAACGTCGATAACGTACAGTACGTTACTGAATCACTTGTGTGAGCCTTGTTGTATTTTCGCTGATATACCTCCAAGATTCTGGTCAAGTATGCACTGCATCTTCTCGTGCATACATTCAGCGCGGCGCCGCAGATGCCTTTAAGAAACTCCTGGTAGCTCGGTTCAAATCGCTGAAGCTGGGGCTCCCGACTAGTCAAGAAACAGACCTTGGTCCACAGGCCGATGCAGGACAGGCTCAATCGGTCGCCGTATTTTTAGGTATTGGAGAACAGAATGGAACTGTTCTAACAGGCGGGAAAAAATCGCGCATTGGACCCAACTACATTGAGCCAACCATTTTTACCGACATCCCGGATGAGAATCGCATTAACGTGGAAGAAGTCTTTGGACCAGTTCTGGTTTTGCATGAATTCGATACCGAAGAAGAAGTCGTGTCGCGTGCCAACAACACCGAATGTACGTTTCAGAAGATCCCAAATTCCTAGAAGTCAACTAACGAAGTTTACAGATGGCTTGTATGCATCTGTCTTCAGCTCCAACATCGATACAGCTCTTCGTGTTGCACGTGCTTTGGAGGCTGGCAATGTCGGAGTCAATTGCACATCACCGTTTGACTCGTACGAACTGCCATTCGGCGGTTACAAGTCTTCGGGTATAGGACGCTCTAAAGGTTCAAATGCAATTCTGTCCTGGCTCGAGGAGAAATCTGTGTACATTAGACAAAAGCCGGCACTTGGAAAATAGGGAAATCAAACCACCGACTAGGGCGTATAAGGCCACTAGACCTGCGCGCACATAAGGGCAAAGTATGTGTACCAAAGTTACACTCCTTGAAACTAAAACACCGAGCCATGCGATAGAGTGAGCAACTCTGATTGCCAGCAAGGAAGGATATTTGGACTCACAAACCTTGAGACTAAGTCGAGCAGTGGCCTCAAAACATATACATAGCTCACCAAGAAAACGAATCTTCCACAACGTATGGTATATGAAAATGTCGAGGTGCCAGCGGCGTATGGGTTGGATGAAACAATTTCATAAGTTTCCTTAAGATAAGCTCATGTCAGATTGGGGGAGAAACCCAGCTAGATCACCAAACGCTTAGAAGCACGGCCTCTTTCAGGAGTTTTGACATGAGTATCCCATGAACAACAAAACCTTGTGGCTCAAAGGAGTGAACAACCAAACGATACTTAGTTACCAGTCTAGTAACGACTCCGGTCCGTTCAGATTAAAAAGGGGGTTTCTATTCCTTAGACATAAGACCACTATCTACGCATAATGCCCTCCATCAGCTCGAAGAATAATCCCTCTAATGATATGAAGCAATGGTCAATTCGACACAACCAATGAAGAAGGTGCACACTTACGTTTGGAAATCATTGAAATACGTCGAAGCAAAGTATAGAGTCGCCTTTGCAATATCCAGTGGTGTGCAAAGCCGTCCGACTGGTACCTCGGTCGCCGCAGTAGACAAGGACTCGGTCGTCGGTTCTTCGCCGATGAATTCTCGCATTAGGGGAGTTTCACTGATAGACGGCGAAACGGCGTTAAACCGGATACCCTTCCCAGAATACTCCCGCGCCAGAGAGCGAGTGATGACCTCGACGGCAGCTTTGGTGGCTGAATACCACATCAGTCCATTCGTCGGCTTGCAAGTAATACAGGATGCAATATTGACAACACTCCCTGAGCCCTGGGCGATGAAATGTGGTAGAATGACGTTGATGGAGTGGAAGATACTCTTCACATTGATGTCAAAAACTCCTGACACATCATGTTAGCGCGGAGAGGAAACCGGCTTTGTATTCCTTCTGGTGACCTACGGTCATACTCAGCTTCCGTCACAGTAAGCGTGTCTTTCTTCATATAGGTCCAGCCAGCATTGTTCACGAGGATGTCCAAGGTGCCAAGCTCTGATTTGGCGATCTCTAGAGCTCTTGTCCAATCTTCTTCTTTAGTGATATCGGTCTTTGCGAAGATGGCTTGTCCGCCCCCATCTTCGATGTCCTTTGCAACCCTGTAGATATAATCAATACACAGTAATGCGGCCAGAGCCGCAAGAGGGCCTTACTGTTTACCACCTGACTCATTGACTATCGATCTACATTAGCCTGGAGCGTTATTCGGTCCAAGAATCACAATGGTTTTGGTCGAACAGAATAGTTTTTCAAAGACCAGGGCAACTCACTATCTGCGACCACGATTTTGGCTCCTTCATTCGCAAACAATCTTGCGATACCTTCACCAAATCCTAGAGAGCACGGTAGCGTCAGTGCTTTGCTACCCGCATGAATGTTGTGTTTACCATACCGCTCGCGGCGCCGGTAATCAGGGCGACTTTGCCTTCAAGTAAGCGACTTGGAGCCATGATGCTTGAATGAGAACTAGAGGTTCGGCTCTGATGGCACTTTGATACTTCTCAAATGATATATCTCACGTGCATTGGTCGGCGTTAGCAGGTCGTCACCACTCATGAGGACGGCAGCAGCTTCCATTAGGATTTAGCCAATGCTTAGCCGCAATACCGTCATTAGGTTTTAGCCGCCCAGATAGCCGGAAGAATCTAATACCGTTGACAGCGGATTTTGCACCATGATATCAGCTTCCTTGGTCCCTCGAAAGATGATCGGAAGCAAGAGATACTGTGCGTTGCCAGCATGGCAAAATTCCAGCTTAGGTGGGGCATTCTTGCTACAGGTGGTATCGCGGAGACTTTTGGTCGGGACATCCTCCTTAACCCTGTCACCAGAGGCATCCACGACATTGAGCATGTCATCGTTGCCGCCGCGGCATCGTCTTCGCAATCGAGAGCCCGCACTTTTCTCGACAAGATTGGTGCACCAAGCTCCGCGGTTGCTTATGGCTCGTATCAAGAACTCACTCAAAATCCGGACGTCGACATCATCTACATATCGACGCCGCATAGCCATCACTATCAACACTGCATGCTATGTCTCGAAGCCGGAAAGAATGTTCTCTGTGAGAAAGCCTTCACGACCAACGCTGAGCAATTGAAATTGGTCATTCGAAAGGCGAGGGAGAAGAAGGTCTTTCTGATGGAAGCCGTAGGTTGATTATCTTCATTTTACTACCCATTTCTTAACAGCACTCGAAGGCATGGACAAGGTACTTCCCCCTTTCGCTCTATGTGCGAGGACAGATTAATTCCGGCGTGATCGGGACTGTCTACCGTACCTTTGCCGACCTAAGTATGCTATCAACTCCTGAATCGCTCCCGGACACGCACCGGCTAGTGAGTCCTAAACTAGCAGGTGGTGTATTGTTAGATACTGGCATCTACGCTTTGACCTGGATCTTTCAGACCTTGTTCACTACACAAGAGAACCCGGCACCCCCTACTGTTTTGAGTACTTTGCGCAAATACCGACTTGGTACGGACGAGCAAGTTGCGGTGCTATTGACCTTCCCAAGAGAAGTTGACGGAGACGCTCATGGTATTGCAACAGCAAGCGTTCGCACATCCACAGATCCAGATGGCAGGGGTACAGCGGGACCAGCAGTGCGAATCCAAGGCTCGAAGGGGGAAATCCAAGTCACACATCCTGCATTCCGCCCTACCCACACCAAAATCATTTTCACTGACGGTAAAGTCGAGGAAAAGGAGTGGCCACAGCCGGGCCCCGGACTGGGAAGTGGCTGGTATAATGGGTTTCGCAATGAAGCCGGGGGTGTTCTCAATCAAGAGGGTGAGGGCCACGGCATGTTCTGGGAGGCCGATGAGTGCGCTTTCGCACTCAGAGACGGTCGGAAGGAGAGCCAACACCAGAGTCTGGCAGAGAGCTTGCTCGTCATGCAAGTTATGGACCAGGTGAGGGCGCAGAATAACATTCTGTTCCCGGACGAGATCGAGACCACAGATTATCCAATAGCGATATAAAAAGGCTCATATTTGTTGAGTAAAGGGTGCATGGCCACCCTCTTTTAAATGCTCTGCCACCTACAGGTCCCAGAGTTCAATGTACATAGCAGGCCTCCAAAGTCCTCAAGCAATTCATTCACTTGACCCAGGGTTTTTGATATTGTGGTACAAGGAAACTGCATTGATTGGAAGTTGGCTTCAACTGACGCAAACGATCCTCTTGCTAAGTCTAGTGACGTACCCGTTTCCTGGATTTCAAGCCCCAGTTGCCTCCAGCAGTTCTCCCCAGCCCAGTTTCTCCCACACTGTTTTGTATGACAACTCAGCGCGATTGGCATAATGGCTTGGAACACTCGAATCCGACTGCCAGAGGTGTCGCGAGAAAGTCTCCATGCTGATCCAACCACGATAGCCCAGTTCGTTGACAATTGCACGTACGACACTTAAGACTGGCAGATATCCTCCAAGATGCTCTTCGCACGGGAAAAGCCTTGCAGCTCGTGACCACGTCATCCGACACGGCTGGCCTTCCACATAGAGGGGATGTCCTGCTACCAGCGGATCCGATAGCTTCTCCGCATCAGACAGCTGTACATAGAATACCTTGTTTGGGTCAACGTCGCGTACAAGGCGGGACAGAGAAGCAGCAAGTTTCGCATCTGCATCTGGAATCATTCCCCCAGGGACCGAGGGGTCGCCCCAAACTCGACCAGCAATGTGGAAAGTGTCCAAGCAGAGCCCAAAGTTGGGTCTGTCGACTGCTTTGACGATGTCCCAGCTCTGCTCCCATGAGTCGCAATGAGTACCCCATGCAACACTCTCATACGCAATGCGGACAGGTGGGGAAGCGCAGAGGGCAAGTTCAGCGATTTCGACCAAGTCGGCAACGACTCTTCCAAAGTTTCCAGTTGTGCCCGAAAGCATGAAATTGGAAGGCATCTGAACAATATCGCAGCCAAGCGTATGGGCAAGTACGAGCCAATGGGACCATTTGCGAATTGCATGCTGGTGCGCCTCTTTGTCGAGGAGACCTTCGTAGGAATGAAACGGTTGCAGAACAATAACAACAAGATCCAAAGCATCACATTGCTTTTTCACATCCTCTGCGGCCTGAATCAAGGCAAGCTCTTCAGGTTCATCCAAGGGTACTGCATTTCGGGTTGCGTGTTGAAGTAATGCTTCGTAGCAGATTTCGATGCCCTTAATGCCATGTCCTGCCGCTGCCTGCAGTATTGCCTCGATGCAATGCCCGCCTTGGGGTTTCCCAAGACTTGAGCTGGCAGTGGCCAGTTCTAAACTATGCACCATGTTCGCGCTCCACTGTACGGGAAATGGCTCTGCTAAAAGTTCACAGTGGTTATGAGTTCTCCTGAAGATCTCCGCCGCGTTGAGATATCCCACGAGCCATTATTGTGAGTCCTGAGGATCGGTGTTTAGAATTGCCGATAGTGGTAGCTGGTATTCCGGACCGCCTCAATCTCGACCCCTCGGCCTTTGTATATCATGAGGCTTCTCAATTTGTGCTGTTCTGTACCCGGCGTGTGATTCAACTGATGCAGGCGGACCTGATAACACCGGCTAGGCTCACTAATATGGCCTGACTCGGTGATGTGATGAACTCGCAGATCTTTTCTGTAAGGAGGCTAGTCCCTCTCATGATCTCAGCAGTTCGAAGGATATATCCGTACGGTTGTGATTTCATCCGACCCAATCTTAGTGACACACCATGCCGGGCTCCTGAGCTTTCTGTCTCGCAAGGCTGCGAGGCCGCGAGGTTGAGCCGTTTACCTACCTAGGTAACCTTCCGATGTCGGACGCGTCGCTTTGCGGCGAATTTTCCGCACCTTGGCACTGACTGCACTGACTGCACTGCCACTTACTCTGATCACCAAATCTTACTTTGTTCTCAAACCTGTTACCTGGACCAGAAGCGAGGCGTGTCACGCTGTCTCAAGTCCATCTCCCTTCATTACATCTCCCAGCATCCAAATGACTACGCCCTGTTCTTCTGAAGCCCTTCCTGCTATTTTTGACTCCCTGACATCTGCATTTCAGACTCTTCTCACAAGCCTTCGAGCACATCGGGAACTTCAGAAGATCCTGCGCCAGAGGCTTGATTTTGCCGCAAATGAGGTATGCATTCTGTCTTTCTTTTACTCTGCTTCCCATCTGGTTACGATGAGTGTCTTTTGATTAGCTCTAGATCAAGAGTTACTTCTGTAACGATGAGCGACATTTGCATGTATTACCTGAACCACCTCTCTCAATTTACAGTCTCTTGCCATTACTTTGTGATCTCCCTGACTAATGCTATGGCTCACAGTACGAAAAACTCATAGCCGCAGACGGCAGTGCCTCTGAAGCCTCAGTTGCTGCTAGTCAAGTAGCCAAACTTCTACGGGCACCATTGCCGGACCCTGAAGACCCCGAGAAGTTGGACGTAGTCAAGAAGGCAAATTCTCATCTACGGAGGAACAAGATGGCCAATCCCAAAGCAAACACCAACATTGCCCGATGTCCAGTGAAGCATGTGACCTTGGATCCGGAAGACATGGAGAGAGACTTCACAACGCCGGGAGTCCAAGGCAATCTAGGTTGCCCGTTCGCAAAGATGACGTCCGATGGGCAGCTACATACCCCGAGTAGCTGTGAAGATCCTATTGCAGCTGAATTCCATCCAGACATTGCTTCTGCAAGGTCGGTTGCCACTGAACAGCGTCCAGGCCAGTGTCCCATACGCTTTCTCGACCAACACTCCCCCGAGGAAGTCGCGCAGTATTTCGAGAATCACAAACATGAAATTCCCCGAAGCCATGAAATATGTGTGAGAAGGTACCAGGGAGACGAGACTAGCGTGAGGCAACTCGATGCAAAGTACGGCAACTTGGTCAATATGATACAAGGATTAGGCGTCAAACACAAGGCTTATCTTCCTGGGAAGGATCGTGTTGAAGAGCAGGAGCATGCACCCGGACGTACAGTCGAGACCTGGAACGATGATGTTGATTCGTATTCAGAGCCCACACCCCCGACACATGAAATCCAAGTCGAAGACGAGGATGCTAGGTTATCACGCTTTGAGAAACCTTTGAGAGAGATTCGAGTTGGTGAGTCTCCGAGTCGGCCTTGGGGTATCTCTGTACCCCCTGATAAAGAGCCCACCCCGAGTGCTCTGCAGTCCGATGCGGGGGTTGATCACCCTGAACTAAAACCCATCCAAACATCACCCAAAAGTCAGTCGCGCAAGTGTCCTGTGGATCATAGACAGGCGGCCACTACCTCCCAGACTGCTCCAAAGGAGAAAGATGATACACGGGAATTACAGAACACACCCACCCAGATCATCTTCAATGGTCCCGTCTTTTTTGGCTATTCGGCCGAGCAGGTGGCGGTCCTGCTGCAAAACACAAACTTGGGCAGCACGAAGCCACCTCCTGCATGAGGCTTTGGGAGCTGCCTAAGTCACTCTTACTATCACTTGTAATCATCTATCACTTTTAGCGTTCTGAGCGACAGCATCACGATTGAAATGAGACAAATGTATTTCTATTTTATGTTATGGACACTCAAGAATGTAGAACGCAAGGAGTCATTTTGCCCATGGAAGGAGAGCCCGAAGACAAACCCGAATCAAAATGAACTATGAAGGTCCTCGTGAAGATTGTTCTTGCAACGAAGTGTGATAAAAACCACCAGCTCGAGCTAACCGGCCCACAGAATGCAGAACCTGAAAGCCACGACCATTCCCGAAGGTCTGGAGCTCCGTAGGAGAAAATGCCAAAGCAGCTGGAAAGTGATGTTGCGGTGTTTGAGACGAGACCATCCGGGGAGACATGCCTCAAAAGAAGACTCACCGTTTGAGAGACCAACCGTGATCAACTATTTTGTTGTGAATCATCACCCTGTTATCAGTGGTCTCCCCTTTGGCTGTCATGGATATTTTCATAACAGTAATGAAGAATTCAAACATACCTTGCTCTTGGGACTTACCTTTGAATTGTGGAATGCAGGGAGTGTTGGCGAGACTTTGCAGACCCGAGCACGTTTGATATCATGAAGTGAGATTAAAATTGGTAAAATTCAAGTTCGGGAGAGAGAGGTGGAAGGGTGAGAGAGGTTTATATAGACTGGTGCAAATGGAGATCCGAAAAGTGAAGTGAGAGCCAGATGTCTTGGCGCGATGAGGCTGGGGTACTGCCAAGACTCTTCGAATTCCAGAAGTTGCAGTGGACGCTTTCAAGTTCGTCTCATACTAGTCACATACATATTTGAGCTCGTGAATCCTTTATTGTGTCGAATCTTGGTGCGGGGATGACTACTCCCGGGCCTGTACGAGGTACTCGATGCGCACGGGAGGAATACACAATGTCTCGCGCCAACACAACAAGCATCTTCCTATCAATTGCATAAACTTCCAAGAGCACCTTGAATCTGACATCACCTCCTACCCAGTTACGCAGGTAAAATGTCATCCCTCCTTATTTGGAGGGAGGAGGAGAGACCACATAAGCGAGAGGAGTAACGGGGTCAAGGTAGGTATTGATGCTGGAGAACTCTTGGAAGCTAAGAATGCTAACTGTGTAGATCTTGCCCAAGGCGCTGGGGGACCACCATATGTAGCAAACACTATGAAGTGGCACTATCCTCGCCAAAAGTAAACCCTGGAAATCCATTCGCTCTTATCTCAGCAAGAGCTGTCCTGAATGTGCCTAACCCTCCAAAAAACACTCGTGGAGACACTTTTTTGCCAGGAATATTCTCACCAAAGAACCATGAAGGAGTCTTGGAGAATAGTGTCGCATTTGCAACTTGCGTAGATGCCTTTAGCCATTCTTCATCAGCCTCCTTAGTGCTCTCTATCACCCCAGTGCCCTGCCCGGTCTTCCGAATCTCCTCTGCGTGCGCTATCAAATCGGCCAAAAACCGTGCGCCTTCTTCTGCCGCTGGTGGGTTGTTGGAGAAAGGCGCCCCTGGCCCATTGGCGATAAGCAGATTGGGAAAGTCTGAAGTCGTGGCACCATGATGCGTCCTGGGACCATCAGCCCAATGCTCTTCCAAGCTCTTCCCTCCACGGCCCTTGAAATTAATGTTGTAAAAGCTGCCATCCAGCGCGTCGAACCCTGTTGCAAAGACTATTAGATCAACCTCATGTACCTGCTCATCGCTTGTTATGATGCCTTCAGGGGTGATCTCGACGATGGGTGTGTCCTTCAAGTCAACAGCAAAGACATTATCCTGGTTAAATCGTTCATAGTATTTGTCATCCGTCAGTGGTCGTCGAGCGAACCAGTCAGACGAGGTAAGCACTTTTGCTTTTTTTGGATCCTTCACGATCTCCTTGATCTTCCTATGGATGAAGCTGATCGCTTCCTTATTTGCCGCTTCATCGGTGGCAAGGTCTGAAAATCCTCCAAAGAGGAATCGGAATCCATTGCCTTGATCCCAAAGATCCTGAAAAATTGCTTCCCGCTCCTCATCGGATACGGAAAAGGTTGGTCTTGCAGGTTCCACGAATCCAAAGGCTGTTGCTGATGCAAAAACCTGGTTCCAGATCTCCTCATACCGGTCATTGATCTCTTTTCGCTCCTCCGGGAGTACAGGCCGAAGGGATGCAGGGAGCACGTACTGTGCGTGTCGAATGAAATGCGTAAGAGCTTTTGCTGATTCTGCTAGGGCGCTCGAAAGTTGTACGCCGGAGGCCCCGCTTCCCACAACTGCAATTCTCTTGTTTTTCCATTGGATTTCTGGGGTCCACGACGCACTATGACTGATTACTCCCTTGAAAGTATTTAGCCCAGGAATATCTGGTAAATATTTTTTGTGCACCAGGCCAATACCTGTCACTAAGTAGCGAACCACAATTAGCTCACCAGTACTGACTTTCGCCTTCCACGTGTTCGAGGATTCGTCCCACCTGGCTTCTTTCAATTCTGTGTTGAACTGAATATGTTGATACAGATCATGCTTGCGAGCCACCTCCTGAAAATATGCCTGGAGTTCCGGTTGAGTGAGATAGTTATTCGGCCATGGCGAATCCTTCAAGAGATCTTTGTCCCACGAATAGCGATAAACATGGCTCTCGACATCGCTTCTAGCTCCAGGATAGCGATTCCAGTACCATGTCCCACCAACATCTGCTGCTGAATCAATGGCCTTCACATTGAGGCCAAGCTGTTTGAGCAGGTACAGTTCATAGAGCCCAGCGAAGCCAGTCCCCACGACCAATGCATCATATTGTTGTTCTACCGCCATCACTAGTTTTCTGCTTGTGGAAATATGGATCGAATATTCCAGTTATCACCGGATCGTATGAAGGATGGGAGGCACCTTGGCCAGGGGGACAAGTCCAAGATCAAATACTCTTTGACAGGAACAACCGCCCAGGGAGGTCTTCATGCCGAAAGGAGGCATTGCAATTCATTTTCCTTCTCAATAGCACCCTTCCTTATCTGCAAGCGGGACCCTCACGAGAAACGCGGTTCTGCTCACTATTGGGCAGCCCAGCAACGTGGAGGCGTCCACTGCCTCTAGCCTTGCTTCTATATTCGTCGCAAACCTCCTCATGGACTGAGTCGGAATCCACTGAAACCCAGCACCCACTAAGCGAATTATGCACCAACTGAATGGATAACCTTTTGTAACGATCGAACTTTTATCCGTTTGGCCGAAGGAGCAAGCCTAGAAGTGGTATCATTTGAGAGGCAAGTTGCTTCATCAATCATTCATGGCATGAGGGAAGTGCGGGAGAGATTTGGGGGGATTACGTCTTTCGGACATGCGATGTTATCATCGCCTTACCTAGTTTCACTTGTGTGGCCAGGTCAGAACACAACCTCAAAATTCCAATCGTCGTGATTGTGTCGTATAAGTCGCCGTCGTTGCCTGTGCTGATTCGTTTGCAACATCGCCTCTACCTACGAGTAAGTTACCTCCCCCCCGAGTACTGAGGATTTGATACTAGCAATCTTATGCCAAGGCCGGGCTTCCCAATCCAACACTTCGTGTAAGCAACTAGGAGCCGGACACCTGAATCCTTTGAATACCTTACGTAAGGTAATTGCGTCGTCGTGGGATCATGTCGCGCGAGGCAGCGCATCTTATGTTCCGTTATAAGATCATGGATATCAATCATCCACTTAGTAAACTAAGTATCTGGACAGCCAGTGATGAGATTGTTCGGGACAAGGCTTTGTCCCCCTTGACGACAAGATTCAAGCTGACCATTTTCCCTTCAGCATCATGCTACAATCCACAAAGCAAAGATGGCAAATCCTACGTCAGGATGGCACTGTCCAAAATCTATGCTATGTGTCGGGTTGCTTCCTTCTATCAAAGTGTTTCATTTGCTTTTAGTACATGCCTGTCATGCTATGGTCTTAGGATGACACCGAGCCCCTCGAACTTGCCCGCCTTGCTGGTTGCTCCCCCTTGCGCTGAGTCTGCGTGCGGAGAGTGTGACGCAACGCCGAATACGCGACTCCAGGGCCCGTGAAAGCAGGTTCATTTTCAGAGCGTAAGATCTCCCCTTGCGCGATAGTATTCGAGACAGATCTGTCTAGTGCAACCGTAGGGAGGCTGACTTCTGACGAAAGTATTGACGATCGAGCTGCGCTCTCCCTTTGACGGGGCCTTTTCGAGCTTCCATCGCCAGTGACCTGGGCCATGCGTGGAGGTGATCTCGTCGTTGTGGTCTTGTTTTGCGTTCCTTGGAATATCGCTTTGAGGGCAGATGACCTTTCGTAGGATGAGGTGGGACTTGCTTGAATATCACTATCTGTGTCGCTGGTTTTTTCAGCTTCCCAGCCATGAAATTGAGCGGGCATAAGAACAGATGATCTTCGGTTAGGTGAGCGGGAACTTTCTTCGATGTAGCTATATTCTTGGATGTAGCTATCTGTGTCACTGATTTGTGCAGCTTCCTGGTCAAACCGTTGAACGGGCATGGGAAGAGGAATCTCCTGTAGCAGCGTGTGATGGTTATCCGGAGCACGCTGGTGCGAGCTAAGGTCATGAGAGTAGCGACGAGGGCGAACCAGTGGGGATTGTTTAGCGTCGATATCGTCAGAAAAACGACGAGCCAATTCAGGGATCGGGTCGCCTTGCTGGACAAAGGGATCATCTGGGTCGCGATGAAAGTTGACCAAGGAGCCCTGCGGGATCTCCACCTTCCTGTCTTTGTCGCCCGAAACACTACTGGGGATATCAATCCCGAGTCGATGGTCGTCTTCCTGTCCTCTTTCCCTGGATTTGCGCTCAGACTCCACATCAAGAAGCATGCGCTCCAACTGTTTTATTTCGCGATCAAAATCTGGCCTAGCGCTAGCATGATGGCGGTAGTGATCAAGTAATGATCTCGCGTTGTGCGCGTATGCGACTAAGTCTTGGGTAATCTCGGTGCTCAGGGATACCGGAAAGCTGAAAAACTGGGACACCATCTGCGAAGAGCGAATTATCCATGGAATTTCCAACGGGCGTTGGGACAACATGGCCCGACGTGCATCCTCTTCCTTGGTGACACCGAGAACTATTTGCTGAATGCCTTTGGGCATCTGGAGGGCTCTGGTGCTATCAAAGTGGACTAACGAGCTTGACGCCATCAAAAGGCCATTTCGGCATAGCTGCTCAATGCTGTCTCGAGAAATTTTGAAGTTGAGTTCTTTAAGATATAAATTGTAGAGCTTGACAACCCTCATTGCCGTTCCTGGATGCCAGTAGGACCAGACGCGAAGAAGAGAGATGGAATTTTCCGAAAGGCCCTGTGAAATGGTTCGAAATAACGGAGTGAGCCGATCTCCTAGCCATGGCCAAAGTCCAGGTGCATCAAGTGGCATTTTTTTGTTTTGCAGTACAGATATAACATGATGCAGAAAAAGTGGCAAACCGTCTGTTCTCTCATGGATGGTCAATGCCCCTGCTCGCTGCTCTTGCGTCGGAAGGTTTTTAGCACCTGGTACGCTGAAGATGAGTTGGAGGCTATGTTCCTTGGACATGCCATCTATACGCATTTTGGGGATTCGAAATTCCTCTGTCATTATGTTCTTGAAGAAATTTTCGTCCCGCGTGGTGAGCATGGTACATCCTATAGCTTGACGCAGGATCATGCGCCGAAAATAGTGAAGCCTACCGGTGCCAGTGCTAAAAGAGTGATTCATGTTATCAAATACCACGAGCCACTTTCCACGCCGAGAAAACCACATTAAAAGCCGTTCGAGAGCGAGCGAAGAATCTTGCACGTTGGCAACATCTGTAGCTTTGAAGATGCTGTCAAAACCGTTGACAGTGGTTTCAGCGGTAGAACAGTCTATCCAGAATATGCCACCAGGATACTTGGAGTTGTATTGCCGGATGTACTCCATGGCGAGATGAGTTTTTCCAACGCCAGGAGGACCCCAGATCAATACACCTGGTACACCCGACGGCGGATCGAGAATACCCGCGATCCTTGCCAGGTAGTCGGTAAGCCCCACTGTGTAGGTCTTGAGCTCTCTTCCAGTTGGTAATATAATCAGAGCATCCTTCACAGATCGATTACGCACATCATATATTACAAGATCTCGTTGCTTTTGGCTGAGCTCCGGCTTGATAGCACTCCAGTCCTCGTCTTGAGCAACTTCAGGAACATTCTCGACTTCAAGTTGATAAGAGTCATGTCGATATTGATTCCAGACTCCCGCTAGCTGCTCTAACCATTGAAGGACTGTATCATTGACGTTTTCAAACTGAAGCGTAGTTTTGACCATGTCAATGAAGCAAGACACTTGATGGTTGACGGCGGCCTCTCCGGTCATTTCACCTTCGGTATACAGTGGAATTCGATTTTGGATTGATTTTGTGGTGAACCGATAGTAGGTGTGCAGCAAGTACTTAAGATCAAATACTGCGTCTGGTTTCGGCCAGGTGCTCGCCCTTCTCATCTCCAAGAACACGACATAGTATACGTCAGTGGTGTTCAAGCGTTCTGTACGGTTGACATCGATGGGGAGCTTCTCGATATCCCCACCAGGTATAACACCTGGTATGTGTACCATCATCCGTTCTAAGTAAGCCATAGGGAGTTTGCCTTCAACGCCCTCAGGAAGGGCTATGTTGTCCATAAAACCGTCAAGAGGGGTAGTCGTCATACCTCGCAGATCTGAGTTACTGGAATTGGAATTTAGTGCCTTCGCGGAGCTTGCTTCCGAAATGACTCGCAATAGACTATCAGTTTGGGATGACCGTCTTTCCGAACCTTGAAAATTGCCAACAGATGCACTGGAATCTCCAAGCTGTTCTGCTCCTGCGCCATCTGGAGCGTGATTCCTTGGAAGGGCGAATAGCGCGATTCGTTCTAGATGTCGTCCTATGTGATGTTTTAGGTGATTTGTTGGCCGGCCACAGAGATTGCATTGTTCATCGAGGCGTGGGACCCGACGAAGAAAGATTTCCGTCTTCGATGTGTCTCCATCGTGTGAGAAGGACGTAGAGTGGACTGAACTCATGTGGTCGCGGAAAGAGGCCAAACTGTTATAATTTGGGTGAGTTGGTATGCCACAGAAATAGGCCGAGTAGTGCTGAGACTCGTGACTAAACCAGTCATCCCGATTGTCAAACATCTGGTCAGGCTCTGTGCATTTTTCATACGTGCACACATATGGCGCAAGATCTCGCATGAGGTGCTTTCTTGTACCAGTCAGCTTGACTACAGAGAGCGGAAGTGTAAGTACTTACCTCCATGCACGATCAGACCTTAAGTGTTTGAAAACTCCACAATAAGGGCAGACAAAGTCGGACAATTCTTGACCTTGGCGGTCTTTCGGTCTTGCTGGAAGAACTAAATGCTCTTCTACTACAGTTGGTGCAATAGACGATGCTTCGTCCGCTTCCGATATGGCACTCGACAGGAGATGGTCGGTATCGAGTGGCTTGGAATCTATCGGCCGGAAAGTTGATGCCTTCAAACTCGACTTCGGAAGACTTCTAGGCTGTTTTTGAGTATGGTTGTCACTTTCAGGAACAGTCGGGTCATTGGGCGATAAGTCAGAAGCATGATGGATCTGTCTTTGGAGATGGCTAGCCTCCCCAGACTGGACCGCTTCTCGCTGTAGGTCATCGTTGTACAACTGACGATAGCGCAGGATGCGACGCCTATTGGTCACCAATTTGCCGAGCCGGGAAGTAATGCTATCTTTGGCGTTTGGGAAGGCATCGTGGACAAATCGTTGGTCGAAGTAAGAGTACATATTGAATTCGCCGTCGTCGGTTCTTTCGTACCTCTTCAGACGGTTGTAATTTGCTGGCTCACGGACTGGAATTCTGTACAGATACGTGATGGCCATCTCGATTGACGCCAAGGTCGATTCCAATCTCGAGTCCGAAGCAAGCCATTCTAAGCCAGTGGCCATCACTTGAGGCAGGGCAGAGTCACAACAATCGCCATCCTTTGCCGAAGTCGTATCGCCATCCTCCTCAGAATCTGATAAAGTCCATTTCACATTCTCATGTGTTGTCAGGCCGTCATCTCCACTCGCTTCGTCACTGCTGGAAGAAAGGTCATCCTCGACTTTGCCACTCACATAGGATTCTGCATCTACCAAAAACTGGTGCAGCTGTTTCAATACATCAACAACTTTGTCGCGGTATTGCTGAGCCTCACGAAGTCGATAGTCCAGCGACTTTTTGTATGTCTGGCCAGTGTGGCTGGCACCGGTATTTGCTGCCCAGATTTTGTAGCGATCATAGTCATCTTGAATCTTCAGGTTCTTTGGGGAGATTTCTAAGATTTTGTCGAATGCAAGGCGGCATTGTCTGTCTTGCGCAGAGATGAAGTTCTCCATGATCTTGAAGCATGTCTCCCACGAAATCCATCAGCCTCACCCTACTTTGGTACCATTTCAGTTCACGTATAAGCAGGCCTGAGACTGGCTCGAAACTTGAGACTTGGTACAGCATACGGGTATGATCAACGTGGGGAAGATTGCATGATCTCTACATGAGTTCTGAGTCGATTAAAAGATGTCTAGCGACGGACAATGAACGGCTGAATCATTGAATGCGTTTCCCGCTGAATACTCCACCCGTGTCTACCATCGTTCTTGGTGGAAGCCGTTCTTTGTGCGAAGTCATCTATGATATCTCTTCCTGAGTCCTAACATCCCAAGGCCTAGGTATCTGTTGGGCCTCTGTCTACAGACAAGCATATGGTATGTCACTCACGAGTCTCCTACGCTGTGCAATCGTTGGGTATGGCGTGTCTCTACCCAATATTTCGATACGTACCTAGGCACAGTATGTTCCCCAGTAGGCGAAATTAGCCCTCCGGGTGGTGCCAGATACCGGGAGCGGGGTCGGCTGGATAAATCGTGGGGAACGTTGGCCTGAGGGCTGTCAGGCCCCACGGTCTCTACCTAAGTTACTAGTAGCTTTTAACTTATCAACCTAGTTTACTTAGTGACAGTCCACCCAACCACCTGGCCCTGCGAAACTCTTGCTGCGTCTGGTTATCCCACTTCCTGAAATGCTCTCTGGCTCAGCCTAACTGAGCACGCTTCCAACATGGACATCCGTCTCTGAAGGAAAACCCTGGCTTTGTGGTGGGATATGTTCGATACAGTATAGATTATACTAGCCAGCTCATCTGGTCTACAAATATGCCATGTCGGGCCTTGAAGTCGTGGGCGTTGTCCTGGGAGTACTTCCACTCCTCGTAGAAGGCCTCAAAGCAGTACGTCCCGGAATGAAGTATGAACCATATATATATATATATATGTGCTAACCTTCATAGTATCAGGAAGGACTCAGCACTGTCTCTCACATGGTCAAATATGAAAAAGCTATTCAAGGCTTGATCCTCCGCTTCAGCGTCGATGCCTCTCTTTATATGCATACTTGCGAACGACTTATTCGTCCATTGATGTTGGAAGTTGACGAGTGGTCAGATTTGGTAGACGACCCGGGCGGCCCAGCCTGGAAAAGCGAAGAGCTCGGACATCAGATAAGCGAGCGCTTGGGCACGGACTACATGACATACATTGAGGTTGCGAAGCGCCTGCATGCCCGTCTCATAAAATTTGCCGTCAATCTCGACCTCAATGTCTCGGCTGGTTTGAAGGTACTTACTGCCTTACGAGGAATGGACGTTTCGTGACTAACATGGTCTGTAGCCAAAGTGGATGACGCCACAGGCAGCAAGTCAATCCAGTCTGCAGGAGAAGTTCTTTAAACGAACCAACCAGACATGGAGGGGCCTCAAAGTTGGATTCAAAAACGGTAGCCTGATGAAAGCCTTGGAGCAGATCGAACTGGATCTCACACGTTTGGATAGGCTACTGGATGCGAATGAAAGAGAAGCCCCGGTGAGACTTGAGCGAAAGAGGCGTGGGAATGCCAAAATATGGCAGACCATTCGAGAGGCCGCGAAGAACGTGTATGGTGCCCTTGCTGCTCATTGGCAATGTCCACCTGGTCACCATCATGCTGCCAGTCTTAGACTTGAGACTCGTAAGGCCACGGAGATTGGAGAAGCTCCTCGGTTTGGGCTTATTATATCCCTCGATCAGGCTGGGTCACAAGTTCAGCAATTACTGTGGCGCGAGCTGGAGATTGAACCACAATTATCTGCTTCGTCAACCCAAATGGCTCCAACAACTGCTCCTAAGCTACCTGTCGGCACGTTTAAGGTCACCTTCATGACAGCTACCCCGAGCATTACGATTGCGCAAACCCAGACACACACAAGTTCCGATGGCATCATGGGAACCAAGATTGATGATCTTTGTGTTTGGCAGCAGACTCACTTATTGACCAAGGACGAATGTATCGGATTTCTCGAGCATCAACTCTGGCACCACCGTCTTTTCCAGAAGAAGATAGGTCATGTTAAACCCGATGACCTATGCTTACTTCCTCTGCGACAATGTGCTACAGGAGTGGGACTTCCCAGTGCAGCACCAACCCCCTTTGCAAGGGGGTTAAGCACGAAAGAAAAGTAAAGTCTATTCGCCACCATGTTTATGTGTACTGACCATTTACAGGTACCACATTGCAACTGTGCTCGCAAGCTCTGTTCTCCAGCTTGCCAACACCCCTTGGCTTCCTGGCTCAAGACTTGACTTGGAGGCAGTATTTTTGATGGACCTAAAGCAACGAGCACTGACAACAGCAAATCCATACATTCGCCGTGACTTCCCCTCGGTTACACAAGCACATAAAAAGCCATCGACACCTTTGATTGAGAACGAATTAGTCTTTGCTTTGGGCGTCATTTTAATCGAGCTTGCATATCAACAGCCACTGGCTAGTTTCAAGCTCCCAGGGGATGTGGACGACAACGGCAACGACTATGCTCACACCGATCTTCAGATCGCAACTCGACTGGTCAAAGATCTGAAGTCTATGGAGGGTGAGAAGTATGCAGATGCAGCTAGGAAGTGCGTCAAGTGTAACTTTGACGTTCATGATTACAGTCTTGATAATCTCGACTTTCAAGAACAATTCTACACAGGAGTTGTTTTGCCGCTGCAAGAGCTGCGGTCTCAACTGAGCTGAGAGCGACAGGTCATCTTTCATATGGCTTATGCACGATGGACCAACAACCTACCCGGCTCTTCATTGAGAATATAAAGGGTTCGAGATCAATTTGAAGCTACGACACACCTATGAGATGTCCTCCTTTTCACTAGAAGGTGGTGGGGGGAACGATATGCGCGAGCTGACACAATACCCCGTGGTCTTCTAGAATCTTGTGGACTTGATCACCAGCTAAAGTCTGAGTTTTTCTCACTATCGACTAGCCATCGACGATTTCCAATACAGGTTGATTCAGTCGCTTTTGGGTAAAGCGTACCACAGAGATCATGGTTCCGATGCTCCTATGATATGTTGGATACCTCTTGGGTCGAAATAATCCAATGAGGAAATAGCAGTGGGTGGCAGTACGCCCTGCCATTACCGACTTCTCTGCCTTGCCATCATATGGACTCTACCATGTAGGGCCAAACGCAAGTGAGATTTACTATTACGAGCGAAAAAACCCTAATGCATTAAGCACGGCAATTTACAGACTATTCAGTCGCGGGAAAGACCCAGGTGTAATTTATGAGCTGTCTAGAATGGCTGTGCAAGCATCCATCTCCCTGGGAAACAATCACAATGATATACGAATACGTGGGGCAATATCGAAACCTGTCATCCAGCGGAAGTACATAACCCCAAACACTTTTGCACAGAGACACTGTTAGGCCTCGGCATCTGAGTCGATGCGTGATTGCTGCCCAGGATTAATCTCTATAGCTTGATTTATGTGGCGCAGTGTTGTTAGCACCACATTCGAGACTTCATATTGCCCGGCACATTCAAACCGAGTGTGCCAAGGGAGAGTCCTTAAAAACAGGTGACGTTGTGGACGTTCTAGAAGACCAAGAGCAACTCCATGAGGATCCTATACGTCCTGCAGTCAGAACATGATGGCATGAAGAACTGGTGATGTAATCGCAGGATAGCGTGGAAAAGCGTGTCATGTTAAGCATTGAGGCAGATATGACAGTACTTGGGTTGTGACAAAAATCAATGATGGTGATGACCAAGAGATCAATGAGCCAACTCAAATGCCACCAGATCGACCCGCAGAGATCCCATCCAATTGATGATGCGCATGATGGGTTTCTTCTGTAGAATCTGGATGCTTGGTTGTTGATCACTGGTCCCCTTTCTGGGCTGTGCAGTGGGATTCCCCTCAAGAGGTCGAGGCGAGTTGACAATTTGGGCCTGAAGCGCGTCACTGGGCGGATCGCAGCCACCGGAATGCCAGGCACTCTTCTAGGCGCACTTGCCACCCACTCCCTTGTTAAACCTCAATCCCTCGATTGTCACTGCGCATACAATAGACTCCCATCCATTCTCTATCTCGGACTGTTTCATCTTTCGCGTTTCATACAAACGGACGCTTCTTCTCGACGTTTGCTCCGCACTCGATTTGTATAACCACACGACAATTGCATATTACACCGCTTTTATAAGTTTTTGGGTTTTGCAAGGCAGACTACAAGACTGATCGCATATCCACCTGGTACTGAGCGCATTCCTATAACATTTATTTAGTTGCAGGCGCACGACACGCCCTGTCTCCTGTACTCGAATCAGTAAACATCACGACACGATGAAGTTCTCCTTATCATTACTGACCGTCACGGTCTACCTCACATCCCTTATTGCCGCCGCGCCGCCCTCATCATCACCCCATACAGACCTCTCAACCCGAGACGCTTCGCCACTTGAGTCGTACAATGCGCTAGAAAAGCGAAAAGGCGGTGGTGGTGGCAGAGGAGGAAGCGGCGGAGGTAGTGGAGGCGGCGGACGAGGCGGCTATTCATACTCAGGTTCATCAATGGCGGGAGGTCGCACGATTTCCGGCTCCGGCACTCCCAAGGCGTATGGCAACAGATATACCGGCGGCGCCGTCGTACCGTACACGGCGGGCGCAAGCTCGCCGACCAGAGGCATCGCTCCCTACGCACTTGGTGTGGGCGCCCTTGCTTTCTTCCCGGGTCTCTGGCTCTACTCCTCCGTGTATGCCTACCCCTACGGCTACCCGTATCATTGGTACTACAATGGCCAGAACCATACCAGCAATGTTACCTGCCTATGTCAACGGTACCAAGTCTGTGGCTGTGACCCTACAGACAACAGCACATTCCTGGACGAGGTCATCCTCAATGGCACCGCTCAGCCAGTAAATTCGACGAATGTGCGTACGGTCGACTTTGGAAACGGCTCAGTCTCGACATTCATCAATGGTTCGCTAGAAAATGGCACCACCGCTGATGGCGGCACAGATCCTTCCAATGATGAGCAAGCCAGTCCTGCTGTCAAGGTGATGATTGACTTTGGTGGCTATTGGATCATGGTCGCCACTGTTGTTACTGGTATGTGGATGGCAGCATAAATGAAATACGTTTACTGCTTGAAGTATTGCAAGCACGTCTTGCCACGAATTGGCGATTTGTTTTACATTGGGCAAAGTATTTCTTCTTTTGCGGAAGCAATAAATGACTGTCAGGACAGGGAGGGCATTGCATCACGGGTTCTATGGCTTCAGTGATGTGTTCGTGGGGCTTGTCTTGGTTTTTGGCGTCTTTTGTTGATTCCCCATACGTTAGTACACCTGTGTCTTTCTCGGACTTTGCGAGATCAAAAATCAATATATATCTTTATTCAACAAATCTAGCCATCACTATCACTCCAGAAGTGTCATACCTAGACACTGAAACGGACGCAGAGCAATCATGGATTCCGTGTAGAGGCTAGGGTCGGACTCTGAAGAATAACCACGGAGTAAAAGATTCGACAAATGGAACGGTTTAGTACTTGATACCAAAAGCCATAATTTCCTTAGTCCTTCACTACTTCGTCGGTGTCGAGCTCTTTGGTATCAAGCCTCTAGCAGCTACGATATCCAGTATGTACCTAGGTAGGATTTGGGGGACAGAGTTGCGGGTTCCGATACCTGGCGGACCGATCGCCCTGGGCACGAGTTCAGGCTTCCAACCGAAAGTTGCCTGTCGAGAAGGCCTCCAGATGGCTGCCTATAATTAGGTAGATGGAAAAACAAAGGGAAGATGAACCTCTTCCCTCGATCGAGACATTGGGAATTGGGAACTGTTGCCTACCATAATAGTTACTGGAAGCTCTCGTTTTTGCTACCATGTAGTTCGGGCATATAATTCGGGCAGGAATAGTTGAATGATTTTCAATTTCGCCATACGACACACAGGCTCCATATGTACAAGGCACCTTTCTTTTTAACAAAATAACTGATCGTGTTCTTTTACACTTCATAGCTATCACCTGCTTGGAACGCCTAGAAAAATCCAGTTAGCACACTCGACACATTTTTGGTGGTGTACGACTCGTGGAACTCACCCTGTGTGCACCTGGGCCTCCCAATTCCTTCTCCAGTCCACCTTCGTACTCGGTCGGTACACTAGGTTTGCCGGGAAATGTCGCGCGAACAGCGAATGAGACGGTGAGGATGGCGCCGATGAAGCCAGCCCACATCAGCGCACCTCGGGCGGGAGTCATGTGTGTGTAATCCTCCAAGGCAAAGATACCCAGGACCTCGTTGTCCTCGTGCACAGGCTCTCCAAAGTTACGGCGCTCCTGCTTGTCATCCCAATCGCCGTAGGGATCACGATGTTGTCTCTTGATTCGTGGTGGGTTGATGTAGTTGCCGTTCTGGTGAGGCATGGTTGGTTAGTAACGTTCTCTTGCTGTTGTGGATTTGGGACCATATATGTACCATTTCCGGATCATCGACCTGCTGTTCCGCCCTTCTAGACAGCGCGCTGGAGAATTGTGCTCGTTGGAGGAGTGGTTGAGGAGATGATCGGGCCGTGGTTCGGCTTGACCTGGCGGCCAGAGTCAATGCTCGTCGGGACAACATGGTGATACAGTGAGTTAGGGCGGGCTCGATGAGCCGGGTGAGAGGTTGTCGTAGCAGTCGAGCGTGCCTTCGCTCCTTCGGGGTTGAATGAGTGTGGTATTGGGCGTGTGTAATGAGAGGGGAGGTCGCTCGGTGATGGAATTGAAGCCCATAAGGAAGCGGTGTGATTGGTTTAGACGTGGAGGAGCTCAGTACGGCGGAGGGTAAAGAGGCCAGGCGTCAAGTCAAGCCAAGACGTCAAAATAATCTCAGACTTTTTTTAGGGGGGAGGACAGTGGTGTTAGGCGTGGTTTAGGCTGGTGAGCAGGGATCACCGCCTAGGAATTAGTTATCAGCACACCTCGTACTCTGCCTGCCCTCCCTCCGCCTTAGCCTTACTTAGCCTGACCCTTGCTCTGCCCTTGCCTGCGGCTTTCACCTTCTGGCTTCAAGTTCTAGTTGGTTCCCTCATCACCACTTTTTGTATCATTCTCATCCACCACAACTTCATTTTCCATTCAGCACCTCATTTTCGTCGCAGCCCTATTCAAACTTTGTCAGCGATCACGACTCGACTCACGCTTCAATTTGACTCCCGAATTATTCATTGTTTCGCCCTTTCCGTGGAGTATGCTCGTCGCGTTTCCATCGAATTAGTTAAGGTCCAGGGTCAATTCAATTTTGCCATGCCAGTCTCGCTGCTCTTCTCGCTCTCGCTGCCCGCTGCGCCAAATGCCCGATTCCTTACCGACCACCGAACCGGATCTGCATCTCAACTCCAGGATTCAAGGTAACAAGAGTCTCTCTCTATCTTCGACCCCATGGCTTGTAACTCTGACATTTTCAAAAGACAGCATTGAGCATCCTGCTGCACCCACCTTGCCTCAACCAGACCGTGACTCCCCTCCCACGCAGCAACCAGAACCAGACCCGCAACCGGAAAAAGGTACTCATGACAACAGCGAGCCTCCATCCAAGAAGCGAAAACTCACAGGACCTGACCATCAACCTTCCCCGCGACCAGTCTCTCCTCCTTGGAAACGCGTGGCAGCCGATGGTCCTACCACCTTCCTGGAGAATGGCCGTCGAAAATCCGGAAGAACCAACGTTGTCCCTCTCGCCCTTCAACCCCAGTCGAATAAGAGGCAGACACGCGCCCAGTTCGACAAGACAAAGATAGAATATGGGAAACATGCCAAACCCAACTACAACGTATCGGCCAGACCCATCAAAGTCGAGCCGCCTGCACCAGCATCCACAGCGGCAGCACTCGCAAAACGATCCGACAAGCCAACCGCCATCAATGGCGACCTACAGCACCCTCGACCGAAAGAGACCGCATCCCTCTCCAGACCAACTCGACAGTCAAATAGGAAATCATCATCATCCGCCCCACTACGGCCATCATTGAAAAGCCCATCTCATAAGCGCACGACAAGCTCTCCTCGTGTCAATGGCACTGCTCAACCTCGCTCAAATACCAATGTTGTTGTCAAGATTGAGCAGGAAATAAACCGCGCTGCAAGTGAATCCGACTTATCCAGCATCGCGTCTTCCAGACCACCTAGTCCGCCAGTGACATTGCAACGAGTCAAGTTCCGAGTCAAACTACCCCAAGCTGCCGTCGCAACCCCAGCAAATATCCCAATCTCCAAGAAGTATTCCTCCTTCAAGGAATTTCTGGATCTAGATGAGCTGGAGCCTAGAGCTGGCGAGGATCTTTGGACCTCAGAAGAAATTCACAGTGAAGCCATCGCTCGTAATCGAGTCCTCGAGGCTCAACAACCCGGAGGCCTACTGGACAAACATCTTTCTGATACGTTACCGGAGAAGCAAATCGAACCTAGGAAGCAATACGCTCATCACGACCATCTTCTTGCCCATATCATCCATTTCAGAACACTTCTTCGACAGGAACGCCGCGACCACAAAAGAAAGGCGGAAATCATTGCAAACGAAGCCAAGAGGTATGTCGAAGAAAAGCGTCGGAAAAACAAAGTCAAAACCTCGGAGGAAATCGAGCAGGAAAAATTGAATGCCACCATAGCTTTGTACCGAATTGTTGTCCGGGACATTGACAAATTGTGGGGTGCGGTAAAAATCGAGGTTGACGCAAATCGTCTCAAAGAATATGAAGACCAGCAGCAGGCTAAGATGAAAGGTCATTTGGCTCGTGTTTTGGACAGGACAGATCAAATGCTGAGTCGTGCGAACGAAATGGAGGATTCCATAATGAACAGCGATGCAGATACTGAAGTTTCCTCAATCGAGCACACCGACACCGAATCTGAGAATAGTGAACAGATGTCAGAAAGTGAATCGGAGTCAGAAGTGGAAGAAGAATCCAACAATATGGACGCTGATTTGTCAGTTGAAGAACTAAGGCGCAAGTATGAAAATCTCCCAGATATCCCTGCAGAAGACGACGATCTAGCCAATCCTGCCTCTGACGACGAAACTGCAAAGAGCCTTGCTCCAAGCGATGACGAATCGGATCCCGAAACGGAGATGGACAGCGAATTTGACACCGATGACAGTAACGAGGGTGAGAGTGAACAAGACGACGATGAGGACGATGATGACTCCCGGGGAGGCTTGCTATCGCTGTTCTTCTCGAAAAAAGAGATTGAGACCATGGCACCGGCCGAACAAGATGAAGCAGAAGCATTGACTGAGAGCAACGAAGAGGATAAAGACATTCCTAATCCTCCTCTCCTTCAGGTCCTGGAAGAGACAGAAACTCCAAAGACTGACGCACAAATCGACTCAGATGATCCGACTATCGTTCCGGACGACCCTGCTGCTGATGAGCATCTCCCAGAACAGAAGTCTTCAGACATGATCATTGACGAGCCTGATCATCCTCTTTTACATGTTACAAGAGATGCTGCCAGTCCAGAACCTAGTGCACAGACTTCACCTCATACCACTGCTACTAAAGTATCAGACCCAGATTCAGCCTCATCAATCGATGCTCGTGCTGAGTCTGCAGCTCCCTTGACCCCTTCAGAACTCAAATCTACTATCAGAACACCAGTCCCCAGTCTACTTCGAGGAACTCTGCGTGAATATCAACATGAAGGCCTAGACTGGCTTGCGGATCTTTACGCAAAAGGCAGAAGCGGAATTCTGGCTGATGAAATGGGCTTGGGCAAGACAATTCAAAGCATTTCGGTACTAGCCCACCTTGCCGAAGTCCATGAGATTTGGGGCCCTCATCTTATTGTCGTCCCCACAAGTGTTATGCTCAACTGGGAGATGGAATTCAAAAAGTTCTTGCCGGGTTTTAAAATCCTAACTTACTATGGTAACCAGGAAGAGCGAAAACAGAAGAGGAAAGGATGGATGGCAGACGACAGTTTCAATGTTTGCATCACCTCTTATCAGCTTGTCTTGCAAGATGCGAACTCCTTTAAGCGAAGAAGATGGCATTACATGATTCTCGATGAAGCGCACAACATCAAGAATTTCAGGTCGGAGCGATGGCAGACGATGATGACTTTCAATACAAGAGCTCGGCTCCTTCTCACGGGAACTCCTTTGCAGAATAACTTGACTGAGCTCTGGTCCTTACTTTTCTTCCTACACTACGGTCAAGATACCGAGGGCGAAGACGATGCATTCGCTGGACTGAAAGAATGGTCAGAGTGGTTCAAACGACCTGTCGAATCAATCCTAGAACATGGACGACAAGTTTTAGATGAAGAAGATAAAGAGCAAGTCACGAAGCTGCACAAGGTGATTCGACCCTTCCTACTCCGCCGACTGAAACGAGATGTGGAAAAGCAAATGCCCCTAAAGTATGAACATGTCGAGATATGTCGATTATCCAAACGCCAACGGCAGCTATACGACGGTTTCATGTCGAGAGCTCAAACTAAAGACACACTTGCCTCAGGCAACTACTTGTCTATCATCAACGCATTGATGCAGCTTCGAAAGGTGTGTAATCACCCTGATCTATTCGAGACACGCCCTATCAATACATCATTCGCCATGTCAAAGTCGGTTGCAGCGGATTTCGAGATCCGAGATCTCCTTGTACGCCGAAAGTTGTCTCTGGACGCCAGAAACGACCTTGACCTGGATTTTTTGAAGCTCGTGCCAATATCACACGAAGGCATATCGATGATCGAATTCGTCGAGACTAACAAAAGACATGCATACTCCCAATTCAAGACGTTGAGAGATTCACAGTCCAGAAGGGTGCGTCGTGGGTTAGCTTGGCAAGGGGAGAATCGAGAAGGAGTGCTTGGTTCTCTTGAAAACGTTGGGAGAAGAGCTCGACTTCAAGATATCGATCGGACCATGTACTATGAAGCCTACCGTCATCATCAGCATCCAATTTATGGTCGGGGTCTTCTAGACAAGTTGCTGCTCAAGACCACCAGATCTCGACTAGCAGGTCTTGCCAATGATAGATCCTCCAGTCCATGGGTTATCAACTTGCCGAATCAGTCATTAGACCTAGTGCACTCAATCGCCACTCGATCATCCCAGATGGAACCATTTGTTCAAAAGTTCGCCTGCCTTACTCCTGCTGTGGTTGCTACCGATTTAAGCCTAGCTACGGTAACCGAGGAAGGTGCAGTAGCTCTCCGGCAACAACCACAATCCAGCAGTGGAAATGAAGACCCTTTCCACCAGGCCAGAATGAAATTGTCCATTGCATTCCCGGACAAACGCTTATTGCAATACGACTGTGGTAAACTTCAACGACTCGACAAGCTTTTGCGACAGCTACAGGCTGGTGGACATCGAGCTTTAATATTCACGCAGATGACGAAGGTCTTGGACATCCTCGAACAATTCCTCAATATCCATGGTCATCGATACCTTCGACTCGATGGTGCAACCAAGATCGAACAGCGGCAGATTTTGACTGATCGCTTTAATAACGACACTCGCATATTGGCGTTCATCCTGTCTTCTCGATCTGGTGGATTGGGAATCAATTTGACGGGTGCAGATACCGTCATTTTCTACGACCTGGACTGGAACCCAGCCATGGACAAGCAATGTACAGATCGTGCCCATCGAATTGGTCAAACACGTGATGTTCACATCTATCGTTTTGTATCAGAGCACACCATCGAGTCAAATATACTGCGGAAGGCAAATCAAAAGCAGTTGTTAGATGATGTGGTGATCCAGGAGGGTGATTTCACAACTGATTACAACAACAAATTGTCCTACCGAGACATGCTGGATGATGAAGCAGAGAATGACGCCGCAGGTGCTGCCATGGATAGAGTCCTAGGCAATGACAAAAACAGCGCGGTTGTACTTGAGCAAGCAGAGGATCAGGAAGATCGAGCAGCAGCCAAGGTTGCAGTGAAAGAAATTCAACATGCAGACGAGGGAGACTTCGAAGACAAAGCTGTTGCCACTGCTACCGCAACACCGCGCACCAATGAAGCACAAACTCCAGGACCATTTGGTGCCACGGAGATGGCACTTGCGGACGCTCAAGCGGCCGAAAGAGCCTCGAATTCTCATCATATTGACGATTATTTTATCCGCTTGCAAACCTTCCTCATGAAAGATATCCCACTTGGACCAGGCAAAGATCAGCGGAAGAAAGGCCGAAAGAGGGATGAACACCGTATCAGGAGGGCGAGGTGACCTGATCGAGCCTTTCCATTCACATTTTGTGAAGATATCTACGTCCTAATGATGATGATACTCACTTCGATGTATGATCTCGCGATTAAGAAGGAGGGAATTGAATGTCTGTGGAATTGGCCACAAGAAGTTTTGGCTTCACAAAAAAGCTGTTTCACAGAAAACCAGCACTGTATAAGTAGTAATTAGTATAATGCATTTTCTTCCTCAATTCTCCCCGTCTCTCAAGTGGTTATACCTCTTAGTAGCCCTCCGAGCACTGCAATTGATGCTCCTTGTGTGCCCAGCTCCGGCCTGGAACCGTACTGGCTGAGAAGCCCCAGTGATGTACTTCAATTCATGTCTCAATCCGTAAGGTGACGCAATATGGCGAGCTACGTCAGAATCTATGAAGGCCATCCCCATCCGGGAAACTCCAAGGAAGGAACAGAAACGTGGTTGGGAGTCTTTTTGGCAGTCTAGTTGGAGAGCTCCAAAAGTCAAATCGGGAACTACATGAGCTGTGAACACTGTTGGATGATGCTGACTCTCTGATAGACATTTGCTCATGTCATCGGGATCCACTGGCATTTGTCTCTGAGTCTTGTTCCTCAATTCCATTTGGGTACATAGCTATCGGAAGCCTGCGGTTCGAGTGTCACCATACTTTTCTAGTTACCTGGGAAGCGTATGTTACATGTGTATAGGTATTGCGGCCATCTAGTGGAGGTTCTCTTTGGCTTCTTTCCCTTGTCTCAACAGCATTTTCATGTTCCGTTGTGCTATTAAGTCTCCATTCCCGGCACTTCTCTGGGACCACTTCAGGAAGAGCAGTTGATTTGACTCATGCATAGCAGTCCTGTCCGATCAGTCGACTTGATAGCCTCACTACAATCCAATCCACCGGTTCTGCAGAGGCAGTGAAAACGGCAGACATGGCTCCAGATGCGGGAAAAGACTCACAGCTGACACTCCCACCGACACGCGGGCCTCTTCAAGTCCCGCTCTCAGGCCGCCTCCTGCTAGACAGTCCGTTCTACAACAAAGGCACGGGTTTCACGTCGCAGGAACGGCTAGACTTCCGCCTGAAAGGCCTGTTGCCCACCAATATCCAGACGCTTGACGAGCAGGTAAAGCGCGCGTACCAGCAGTACAGCAACCAGGGGGACGACCTGGCGAAGAACACGTTCATGACGTCCATGGCCGAGCAGAACACGGTGCTCTACTACCGGCTGATTCAGGACCATTTGAAGGAGATGTTCAGTATCATTTACACGCCGACCGAGGGGGATGCGATTGAGAACTATTCGCGTGTTTTTAGGAGGCCGGATGGCTGCTTTTTGAGTATCAAGCATCCGGATGAGGTGGAGGAGCGAATGAGTAAATTTGTGAGAGAGGGGGATCCGGACGGTGGGGTTGATTATATCGTGGTCAGCGACGGGGAGGAGATCCTCGGAATTGGTGATCAGGGGATTGGCGGTATTCTTATTAGCGTGGCGAAACTTGCACTCACGACTATCTGTGCTGGTCTACATCCGGATCGGACACTACCCGTCGTGTTGGATACAGGCACCGACAACGAAGACCTTCTGAGTGATGACTTGTATCTGGGCCATCGTTTCAAGAGAGTCCGTGGGGAAGCGTACACCGATTTCGTCGATCGGTTTGTCCGGACTGCAAAGAAACTGTTCCCAAAGGCATACATCCATTTCGAGGATTTCGGGCTTACGAATGCACGCACGCTTCTGGATAGATACCGAAACGAGACGGCAGTATTCAATGATGACATTCAGGGCACAGGCTGCGTCACGCTTGCTGCCATTATGGCCGGCCTACACATCAACAAGGTGAAAATGGAAGAACTGAGAGTGGTTATCTTCGGTGCAGGAACAGCGGGCTGTGGCATCGCAGAGCAAATCCAAGCTGCAATCGCCACCAAGGCTGGGAAGTCCAAGGACGAAGTCGTCAGCCAGATATGGTAAGCACGAACACCTTTCCTAGTAGGCCAAGTGGAAAAAAACATTCATCTTGAGACTAACTCCATTACTGAAACAGGTGTGTCGACAAGCCAGGCCTCCTCCTCGAATCCATGGGCGACTCCCTTTCAGCTGCGCAGAAACCCTACGCTCGACCATCATCAGAAGGCTGGGAAGATAAAGACCACAAGTCCCTCCAGGCCATCATCGCATCCGTCAAACCACACGTCTTGATCGGCACCTCGACGAAGCCCGGCGCCTTCACCAAGGAAGTCGTGCAAGAAATGGCACAGCATGTTGACCGACCATTGATATTCCCACTCAGCAACCCAACACGGTTGCACGAGGCGAAGCCCCAGGATCTGGCGGAGTGGAGTGAAGGGCGCGCGCTGGTGGCGACAGGTTCCCCATTCTCACCAGTCAAGTATGGCGGGAAGGAGATCGAGGTTGCTGAGTGTAACAATTCAGTGTGCTTCCCAGGAATCGGATTGGGAGCGGTGCTGAGTCGGGCCAAGCTGGTCACGGATAAGATGCTGGTGAGTGCGGTGACTGCATTGGCAAAGGAGGCGCCAGCGCTCAAGGATCCAGACCGAGGTGCTCTTGTCCCGGACGTTGAGGATGCCAGACGGGTTAGTGTCAAGATTGCCATGGCTGTCATTCGCTGCGCGGTCGAGGATGGCCTTGCTCAAGTCCAGAATATTCCGGTGCGTAACGATGAGGATTTACAGGAGTGGGTGGAGGTCCAAATGTGGGATCCGGTCTATAGGGAGTATAAAAAGGTGTAGACCCGAATGTGAGAATGGATGATGTGAACACAATCAAAGCACAGATCTTCCGATTCATCAGGAAATCCTGAACTTCTCATCCAGGTGCTCTCAAAATCCACCGTTGGCCTTCATCTAACCACTCCACCGTCCCTCGCAAGTCACCAAGTCCAACACTCTGCTATGGAAGAACACCAGTCCCGAAAAAATGACTTTCCCGTCATCCAACAAGGCGAGAACGAACGACTTTCCAAAACCGATCTGAACCCTACTTCCTCCTCCTCTAGCTGGAACAAGTCACCCCTCCAATGGGAAGCATGGGATCGACAGATCTCAGCTCCTCTTTCCACCTGACCCATAAATACACTGAATAAACACTCCAGAACTCAATATGCATGGCATCGAAATGCGAGTCTCAATCTCTCCAGCCAACCATTCCCCTAAAATCCTCGACGCCGATCTTAGGCTTTTCCGGATTGAACAGGCGTGGAAGACTGTGCCTGTGCTACAACTGAACCGACCAACAAGGGGGAAAGAAATCCTCCAGGATTTTCGCAGTGTGTTTCGGATTGGATTGTCGAATGACCTCATGCCAGATCCACATCCACACATTGCTAGGGGATCAAGATAGAGGCAAACATTGCAGTGAGATTAGGGTTGTGGAACTCCCCGACACATGACGTCCAAGGAGGGGAGAAGGGCTTTGTCGAGCCCCCATTGATCCTGTTCTGTGCGGGCCTATGAGGGATAAGGGGTGATGGGATGGAGATGTGGTGGTACAGGGGATGCTCATGTCCCCAAACATTCAATGGCGATCTGTTCGTGATCGGCAAGGCTGAGTGAGCATGGGTGGAGGACTATTATGTAGTATATCTGGAAGAGTTCCTCAAAATGCCATTTCTGGCCAGAACGATCTCGTCGTCGGAGATTGCCCCGTTGACGTGATTTCTATGGTTTTAGATATGGATAACACGCGGTGGACATAACAGGGTGGTTCGAGTTCTGACTGTCGTGGTCAGGAGTCAGGCTAGAGTAAGACAAAAGCATGAATCAACACGGGTAGATGTGATAAGTCGTTGTATGGATCATCCTGCATCATTACTATCTGCTCTTACAACTACTGAGTTGACTAAGATAATCAATTAACCCTATCTGTCTGCATTCTTGGAAACGAGTTTCAAGATCAGATCGAGTTGTTGCTATTGTTGAACAAACGAGGGTCCATAACCATATTCCCGTGTTCCTTGAGCTAGGGGGTATCATTGCATGTGATGTTCAGTGACTGATATTCATTTCAGTTCGTTGGTTATCATCATGGCGATACTGTCACTGCTTAAACAGTCTTCTCTGTATTTTCTTCTCGTTCGACTGGAACAATATCTTCCGAGTCGAAAGTGTAGAGCTTTGGAGATGTAAGTCCCTTTCTTCGGAGAACCTGAGTCTTGAACCAATATGGAAGAACTTGCGAGACTTGGTAGTGCATGTGTGTACGAGTCGGCACAGCAAAGACATAATCAAGTTCTTCGAGAGATCGTTGTTTGGTCTCTGGTAGCCAAAGGAAGATCATGGTGAAGGCAACCATATTGAGTGCAGCATAGAAACCGAAAGCTCCTTGTGGCTTCATTGCTCGTAACATTCGTGGCCAAGTCAAAGCCAACACGGATGCCCAAAAGTTGTTGGTTGCCACAGCCCATGACATACCAACTTCACGATGGGACAACGGAAAGACTTCGGCTGAGTAAGTGAACGGAACTGGTCCTTCTCCAGGCGAGTAAAATGCGTCAAAGAGGTAGATAAAAGTTGCAATCAATCCTAGATGGGCATTATTACCCTCAGGGATCCAGAAGCAGAATCCAGCGGCCAAAAGCGTCCAGCACATGTTTGGGAAGGTGAAAAGGAGCAAGGCTCTGCGTCCGAAAGTGTCGATCGTCCAAACTGCGGGCCATGCAAACACAAAATTGACCAGACCGAATCCCCAACTGGCCAACAGGGCCTCGGTCACAGAGGCACCGGCCTCTTTGAAGACACTACTGGAGTAGAACGCGATGATGTTGATACCACACATTTGCTGGGCAATCATGACAATACCGGAGGCCTGGGTAGCTCTTCGAATACGTGGAATAGTGAAGAGTTCGATGAATCTGGTGAAGAAGTTACCATGAGTGGCAACGGCGGATTCTTCCACAAGGATCTCTTCTTGGATCAGTTGCGCATGAATAAAGTAGAGGTCGCGAGCAGCCTGAAGAGGAGTATTTCGCAGCCGGACAAGTGATTTGTAGGCTTCGGCATGTCGCCCCTTCTTCATGAGCCAACGAGGAGACTTTCAAGCCGTTAGTTTGTGATGCAGAGACTAATCAAAGTTCCTGAACTTACCTCGGGGCAGAAATAGATACCAATGACCAAGGGAACGGCAGGAATGAAAGCAGAACCTAGTTGTAATCTCCAGGCAATCCTGCCGACATCTTTGACCGCAAGATTTGCACAAGTTCCCAGGAAAATACCGAAAGCCGTCCAAACCTGCCAGGTCATGACCAAGCCTCCACGAATGTTGGTAGGAGCGTTTTCGGCTGAGAAGACGGGGACCGTGACTTCCTTCAGACCCATACCGATCCCGAGCAGGATACGAGTTGCTACGAGTTGACCCCAAGTCTGGGTAACTGCCATGCCGATAGGAGCAATCAACGAGAAGACGGCACCAAGAAAGATTGTACCACGTCGACCCAGAAGATCATTGAGGGGATCAGAAATCCAACCAGCACTATTGAGGATGAGTAAGAGCTCTTGAACGGTGAAGTGAAGCGGAGGACTTACAAGAAGGCAATGGCGATGTAAGGACACGAATTGACGAAGCCAACGATCCATGAGTTCTTGTCGCAGTTTCCAGCAGCTTCGCAAACATCACCAGAATCCGGGATACCAAACTCGACTGGGAAGGACAAATTTGCACCATTGGAACCAGTCTGATCCCAGCCCTGAATGGCGGCCGCGATGGAGTTGAGGATGATGGTGAAATAGAGGGTTTTGGGATGTTTCCAACGATGGCTGACCTCCTCGCGAAGACTGAGGCGATCAGCCTCGTCAAGCTCTGGCAAGGATTCGAAAGCGTGGGGACTTTGAGCGACGATAGCACCTTTGCGAAGCAGGGGGAGGATGTCGGACATGTTGTTCTCGCCCGCAAAGTTCTCGACATCTTGAAGCAGTTGTTCACGTGGAATACCTGTAAGAGGGTTGCGGATCCTGTGACACTTGGTCAACTCAAGTGGGAAACTGGAGATATTGCGTGACTCACTCTCCGGTAGTGTTAGAAGTCAGTTGGGCAATGCTGGCCTTTCTCTTGTTCTCATCATTGAAGAGGACTGAGGGACGTCTAGCCCCGGTCTCTGAGTGCTGGGCTCCTTCAGTGATGGCATCTTTGAGAGTGGCCATGTTGGTGAAACGATGAGGGTCAGTGAGGAAAAGTGTTGCACGGAGGTGACAGGTGGAAGGCGAAGGGGAGAGTATGAGAGGGAAGGCAGTGGGTAAGTGGGTTTTATGAGAAAGCCAGGGCAGGTCTCGAGTGAGGAGGATCAAAGGGACCTAAGGACTAACAGACTCGAGTTCTCTGTCGTGAATAGCGAGCGGGACGACTTGGCTAAGACCTAGATCGATGATACCCTGTAGACCAAGATGTACCTCAATTGAGCATGTGGTAGGCAGGTAGGCAGTAAGGCAGACTGTCACTGGCTATGACATGACGCTGGCGGGGATGAGTTGCAACACTCAAGCCTGGATGGGAGTGGTCAGAATGGATACCAAGCCACTGAAGTCACACGACGTCCAAGGTTTGGACAGAGCATCAATGCATGCAAGTCAGGAGGGGCAATGGAAGTGAGAGTCTGAGCGCTGGTTGTAACAGGGATTCGATTCCACTTGGCAAGGCTCTAAGTAACCTGGGAGGGGAAGGGACCAGGGGGTTCAGTTGAAGGTGAAGGCAAAAGCTAGACCTAAAAGGAGCATCCCAAGCATCTGAGAGACTGGAGAGGGAGAGGCAGCGGGGGCTCCGCATCTCACAGTACGGAGTCAGTGGTCAGATGGGGACCAGAGGTTCAACGGGTGGCAGCGAGATGGCGGACATGCAGATCGGGCTGATTCTTTACGAGAGTTGACGGGAAACAGACCAGGGCCGAATACAATAACCGATGGCAATGGCGATGACGCGAACGAGTCTCAAGATGCGCTGACCAATGGCTCAACCTTCAGGGTAGCAACCGTCTAGAGACGAGTACTCGTAGGTCGTTAGAGACTGAATCAAACCATACGGATAGTCGATGCTCACCCAACTTTTCACGTCCAGTTGCAGCTTAAGCGAGCGGCCCTCTATCGCAGTACAGTATTCCAGACGGGAGGCTGAATTGAATACCTATACTTGATGGCGTTGATTTTCTGTTTCTGCCAAAAGCTTCAGGATGCTTGGGCATTTAAGAGGCGGCAACTCCAGGTGGATCTGTAGGCTTGGTTTGCTTGTTGGTCTTGGAATTTCGCAGCCTCAGGCTGGGAAGTGTTTGGTGGTACTGGGACTGGGACGGTCTCATCCAGTGGAGCCTCTACGTCATGATCAGAATCAAGGCCAAGCCAGTGGCGCCCGGGGACCCCTCTTAAAATGCAGCCACCACTGGCATCCATGCACCATCAAACATTAGGTACTAGTACGAGTGGGTAGTGGCATGTCGGCTCCAAGTTTCTCCTCTACCTCACCAAGGTTTGCCTCTGGCTCTCCGTCGGGTAAAGAGCGATCAGCCGTCCTACGACTAGCTGACGCTGCAGTGGCCTTTTCGACCTCCCTGCCGCTACGGAGTACGAGTAGCCTGCTGCACAAGCCCAAACCTTTATGTCAATTTCTGCTACTCGTACACCTCTCTTCTACTCGTAGGCATCTGTTAGTTGAAGATTCTTTGCCCAGATACTAATAAATCATCACTTAGCATCAAAGCCAAGGCCACTCTGCGCGGATGCTGAAGCGATGTGTTCGTCCGCCGGAGTTTGCCATCGTTTCTGTAAGCTGATACCTTGATTTCAATCTCCTTGAACACTAGTACTCTGGTCATCGTCCGTCCGTTGATCAAAATTCCGGTTGACTTGCTGCGACCTTTCGCCACACGATCAACCAGTCTGGTAAATCACAAGTGACAGTACAGTACTCACCTGGCAAATCGAGAACTCAACACGGGAATCACACTATCTCACCCCAAGTAGAAAGCTTCCATTTTGGCAGCTAGCACGCCAACGCGAACGCGAACAAAGTCTAAACCATTGACACTCAGGCCTACACGACTAGACTCTTTCTCGTAGCTGGCTTTGGGAAGACTTTCTTTCTGAATGTTCTCGAAGGTTGCCTGAATCAGCCTGACGAGCACTCCCCAACTCCATGTTTGAGCCTTGGCCCAGCAAGCCACCGTGGGATCGTGGAGATTTAGTGTGCGGTCAGTCGGCATCTGCTGACAACTCCCACACAGATTAGTGCCTCGTAGTCCCTCCTGGGCCGCTCGCCCAGCGTACTCGGTAAAAGCTACTCACGACCGCATTCTCCGTACGGATATTGATCACATCTCTCTTAATCTTCAGGCGCCCTGCCGCCACGGTTCTGAGATACTCATCAAATCATTTCTCCGGACCGCCCGTAAACTGCTGGTTCTCACTTCTCCAGTGTTTTTTTCCCCATTATCATTGCTCTCGACCCGTCCGCGCTACTGTGCAGTACTCCACTTGCCTACTACCTCCTCGTAAGGGGGAAAAATGACTCAGAACACTCGACCTCCATTGCCATTCGCTCCCTCGCAAAGTCCTTCCTCAGCTGACTGACAGACAGACGTCCTGTGGGCATTGTGGAGAATGGAGGAGCACCCCGGAATCAACAGACAGCAGGACCTACGAGTGGTCGGGCCCTCCTCACGAGCCTCGCATCTCATGATCGATGCCGGATACAGGCACTGCATGCGAAGGCGAAGACGATGGAGAAACAGTACGAGTAGACCCCCCGCTTCAAGGATGAGACCTGGACTCCAGGCCAGGAGTGAGCCATGTTCAACCCTGCACGATGGGCCAGGCGCACTCAAAGGTGAGGATTTCCAAAAATGAGATCGACAGGTACTGTTTCCGTCTAGGTTGGTCGTGTCGTTGTGTTGGGTGTGGACGTCGCTGCGCATCGACAATGGATGATGATGGCTTCTGTCCGCTTGGTCATGGTGGTAGCGTGCTTGCAAACTAGATCGTAGACTTGTGTCGGCGCTTAGACCTGAGATGGACGACGTTCACATCCTTGTTTGGGTCATGTTGAGAATGGCCCACTCGTTGTCTCTACTGTGAAAAAAGGAAGGGATGTGTGAAGAGACACTCTTTCGCGACAGTCAATAATTTGATTGCTTCCACCGTCGTGATGGACTATGAGCGTTCGCTCTTTGCAACGTGGGTCTTTGCTCTAGCAGGAGGGTGTCATTGGAAATGTGTTAGCACAATAGAATTGATTGCTATCATCGTTGGATCCCTTGAATCCCACCATACCCATCGACTCCACCCCCTGATTCTCACTGGTATTGGACAGCCTCGTTATAGCTGCTATAGCAGCAACGCTTTCCATATCTCACTTTTCTCACCCACCCCTTAATCAAACTCAATAAGATCACCTGGTTCATTGACTCTTGAAACCCTCGTCCTCTCTCCACCCTCCTCAGTTTCAGCCTTTTCACCCCCTTTCTCACGAGCTGCAAGCTTCTCCTTATACCTCCTCTCTGTCTCGAGCGCAGCAGCAGTCTTGATTGGCTTGATAAGCACTGGAAATGATGGCAGCTCATCTACTGCACGCTCCTTGGCATCACTGAATCCGAAAACAGTGACCGGGCACCGTTCTGTCTTGTGAGACCTAGTTCCACACGTGTCACAGCGGACGAGTAAGAAAGTAGGATTGGATGCCATGGACATGCATGTTGTTGTTGGCCGTGGTGCTGGAGGAGGAGGAGGAGCCGAAGAGTGTGCCGCCGCTGCTATTTCGGCCATTGGACCAGCATAGCGTGATGTAGTAGGCTGTTCAGTAAAGCGAGGCGTGCGGCAGTACTTTTGAATGTGGCCTAGCTTTCCACAGTTCCAGCACATGTATGGTGCTCGGCATTCCCGAGCGAAATGGCCTGGCATCTTGCAATTTAGGCAGACTTTTGGACGTGTGGTACGGCGGGTTGGGGAGATCTTGGTGGCACGAGGAGGTGTTGAAACAATTCTGTCTGCCATATTGGAGAGATCGGTAACTGATGATCGTGTGGATTGACTGAATGGAGAGTTAGCAACGTGTCAAATCTCGTGGTCCAAGGACGAGGAAGAGTGATAGCATAGAGCTGGATTGCCCGGTGATCTGGAAGCTTGGAAGCAAAGAAGGATCCCTGGATGTTCTCAAGGCTCGGAACGTTGAGCAATCAGGGGAAACTGAAGGCTGAATTGTTTGCCTAGCAAACGCAATTAGAATGTGATCATTGACGAAGTGATTGTCTGTCTGGAAGAAGTGAAAAACAAAAGGAAAAAGAGTCTCTACCTGGAGCAAATGATTTCATTGATGAGAGTCACAGTCTCACGGCCGCGGTGAGGAAGTGACAGTCTGGAGCCCAGCTCGTTGAGGAAGTCACTGTCTTATTGGAGACTTTATTGAGGCATTCGCGGGCCTATTCCTTCCTGTTGTTCTGTCATGAAGCCATGACCTTCGCGGCAGGATTGGCCTTGAAATGGTCCTGAGCCATCACGTTCACAATCAATGCGGCTTCCTCCAGACTCGAGACCGTGTGTTCACTCGGGCTCCATGTTCTAGTACTTCTTGCTGGACCTTTATTGTCCCCTCGATCGAGGTGCAAAGCATGGTGGCCGTATTGTCGTGCACCCTCGTAATCCTTTGTCATATCATCCCCAATATGTATCCAGCTGACTTTCCCATCCGAGACTCTGAGACTTTCAATCAGGATGTTCTTATAGTCATCGGTGGACTGCTCAACACTACGACCATGAAGAGGAATCCCCAAAGAATTCTCTGCTCGAACTGAAGCGATACCCTGAGTGAACGCTTCAGCATATGCCCAAATGCCACTTGCAGGCTTCTCAACCCCAGCATCGTAGCTTGTGGCTAAGAAGTCAATATCATTGCCTCGGTCGTATTTGCTCTTTGAAAGCAATAGTCTCGCTTTATGACCTCCCATAGGCAATATCTGCGCCGGTATGGCAACAGGTTTTGAAGGCCCGACCTGGAGACCGAGAGACTTGAGGACTGATTCAGCTCGAGGATCTGAGTTGGTGATGACACCAACACATAGCAATGGACCATCTGGATCAGAATACTGATCTTTCAACGCATGCATGGTTTGAAGGAATGAAACGGAATCTGGATAGAGTTCGTATGCATCCTTTGAGGAGAATTGCTCGTAAAGCATTGGTGCCAGCTTGGATGGGATGCTAGCCTGATGCTTGGTGACATCGGTGAAGGTCTCCCCAAGCAGTCTTGTCCACCATTCCTCTGGATGATTGAGCTTGCCTTTACCATAGTTAGGGAAGTCTTGGCTATAACGCTTGAAGGTGGCTCTAAAGGACTTCTGAAGAGCTTCTGGCTTGATAGCTCTGGTATCCAAGCCACATTGATGAGCAGCCTTGAGGTATTGAACAACAATAGGTTCTCGGAACCCGTACAAGGTTCCCAATGCATCAAGAGACACAACGAATATGGGAACAGCCTTTCTATTCCGAGCGGCTGCGCTGAACTCTTGAAATGTGCTCATAGCATGGCCCATCTCTGCTTAGCCTGCTTGGTAGTTCATAGAGGCTCCATTAACTAATCACTTGAGCAAGGATGGCATTGCAGTTGTAATTGACAATCGTACGACGTTCGAAGGTCTCGGCAGTATCCAAGGACCACTGGAGGAGTGCCTTGAGACTATCTCGACCCCAAAGGAATGATTGGGATTGAAAAGGTGGTTACCGAATAGTACGATCTATGCTTCCAAATCGGCGAATGAGACTTGAGATGGATGTTGTTTGATGCCGTGATCAACGTCTAGATCTAGACAGCTAGCTGATTAGGAGCTATGGCTCTCCAAGTAAGGTGTCGGAGGTTTATCTAGACCTTTCTGTTTACCTCAGCAATGCCAGGGGCTGAACAAGGGTCGCCCAGGCGGGATTCAGACTTGGTGGGGGGAACCCGCCCCGGTGCTCCTCGGATGGCATTTCTCATACGCAAAAACAGAATTTGTCAATCCATTTCCTCCAAACCACGAATATCTCTCACATCAATCTGCCAACTGATACTGCCTCTTCTTCAATAAATACCAAGACACCATCTACAGTCCCCCTGCTTCCTCTCTCGCAAATCTCCATACCCGCTAGCCAAACTGTTTTCCTCGGCTTTCTTTCGTCGCGCGACCCGCCATCCCCTCAATTCCTCCATAACTCTGTCGGTCGCAGCAGCTTCAATATCTCAGCAAAGGCTTCAATCGCCACCAGGAGCAGTAGGAGCAGCCGTAAAGGCCTTCCCATCCTCCCAACAACACTACTACTCGACCACCACCACCTCCCCCGTTCACCGCGCCATGGCGCCTCCTCACACCAAAGTGGCCATCATCGGCTCCGGGCCTGCTGCCCACACCGCAGCCATCTACCTTTCCCGTGCAGAGCTGAAACCCGTCATGTACGAGGGCATGCTCGCGGGCGGCACAGCAGCAGGAGGACAACTCACGACCACAACAGACGTTGAGAACTACCCGGGCTTCTCCAAGGGTATCGGGGGCTCGGAGCTGATGGATGAAATGCGGGCGCAGTCGATACGTTTCGGCACGGAGATCGTGACAGAAACAATAGCGCGCGTCGACTTGACCTCCCGGCCATTCCGCCTGTGGATGGAATATAGCGATGGCGAGAACGACGAACCCGCACATACGGCCGACGCCGTCATTATCGCCACGGGCGCCAATGCGCGCCGCCTGAATCTGGCCGGCGAGGAAAAATACTGGCAGAATGGCGTGTCAGCCTGTGCGGTCTGCGACGGCGCGGTACCAATCTTCCGCAACCGTCCGCTCGCCGTCATTGGTGGTGGCGACTCTGCGGCCGAGGAAGCCATGTTCCTGACGAAATACGGCTCGCACGTCACGGTTCTGGTGCGCAAAGACAAGTTGCGCGCGAGCAAGACTATGGCCAAACGTCTTCTCGCGAATCCCAAGGTCACGGTGAAATTCAACCACGTCGCGCTCGAGATTCAAGGCGAGGATAAACCACGAGGTCTGATGACGCACCTAAAGATCCAAAACGTGGTCACAGGCGAAGAGGAAGTGATGGATGCGAATGGACTGTTCTACGCCGTGGGCCACGACCCAGCCACCGCGCTGGTGAAGGGCCAGCTGGAAACGGACGAGGATGGTTATGTGGTCACGCAGCCCGGAACCAGCTACACCAGCATCCCCGGCGTCTTTGCCGCGGGCGACGTCCAGGATAAACGCTACAGACAGGCCATCACGAGTGCCGGGAGTGGATGTATTGCGGCGCTGGAGGCGGAGAAGTACCTCGCAGATCTGGAAGATGATGACCAGCCGCAATTGGAGAAAGATACCCAGGCGAAGAAGCCGGAGGCCAACGGAGACAGCTCCGCGCCCGAGTATCGCTCGAACCCGCTGTTGTGATATAAGGGCAGTGGTGGAAGTTGGGTCGAGTGAACTTGAAATACTGTGAGCGATGAGGAGTGAGGTTTTAATAGACAGATACAGATTCGATAGAACCCGTCCCAGCAAGAGCCGGATGAGGATCCAAGCCATCCATAGATCTGTTTGCTTTGGATTCAGAAGAGCAAAAAATCAAAGCAGATGATTTAAGACTTCAGAGGACAAATCAAATGCCATTCTCAACAGGGTCATTCTCCTATTCTCTGGCATTTTAAGTTGTCTAAAGTTGAGGACCATATGGTCAGAACGCATCCCCTTTTTTTCTTGTTGAGTTGATACATTCGATTCACCACGCCAGCGCTATGCTATTCTATGGTGCCAGCGCGATGGCTTTCCCTATCCACCCCAACTCATGGCAGTAGTAATACTAATACAGAGAGTGTCACAAAAGCCACATGTATCCGTACATACATATACATATATACAACAAACCACCAAAAATGTCGCTTTCATCTCCTTCGCAAATACCACGCATAAGCCGTACTGTTCACATACTCGTTGAACGGAGTCGGCACCTCGGCCAATCCCGGTCTCGCCACGGGATGCCGGAGATACACGGCGGCGCAGATGTTGTGGTTGACCTCGAGGTAACGCGGGATGAACGCAAAGGCGCTCATGTAGTCGCGCGGCATCCAGGGGGTCGCGTACGGCTTCGATTCGTCCACGGGGTTCTCTTGCATCGATTGTAGCGCGGCGAAGAGTTGGTTATAGTCGGTGTCGGAGAGGATGTTGTCTGTTGATGTGGGTGAGAGTGAGGGTGTTTCTTTGGGTTTGGTTGGGTCGGTGGTTTCGCCGTCCTTGGTGGTTGCGGTGTCGGCGGCTTTGTTTTCTCGTCGGATCTTGAGCTGTTCTTGAATCTCGGCGAATTGTGCTTCTATGCTTTCCGTTTTAATCGTGGCGGACTTTCCTCTGGATAATAATCGTCGGATGGATTTGGTGAAAGCTCGCAGGTCTTGCTTTCTCTTGGCTCCGATGTTCTCCCTCGGCGAGGCGAGGATGCTCTTGGCTTGTGACTGCAACTCCTTCAATATGTCTCGTGGGTCTCGGTCATCGTCGACGTCCTCTTCGGGTTCGGGTTCGACAATAGCTTGCTCTTCCTCAGCTTGTGCGGCCTCTGCCTCTGCATTCTCAGCATCCACCTGCGCTTGAGCTTTTCGCACAGCAAGGTTGACCTTCGGTTGGCCTGCCGCATACATGACTCGATCTGGTACGACCTGGAACATATCACCGGGATTGAGCAGATACCCTGGATATTTCATCTATATGAAAGGCAAGGTTAGCGACTTAGAAGACCGTTGGCATCAAGGGATTGTGGGAACCTACCCGCTGACCATTGACCCTGACGGAACCATGAATCACGAACTGTCTCGCCTGCCGGATACTGCTGGCGAACATTGATCGAAAAATAGCCGTGTCCAGCCTCCGCTCCAGGGGGGCATATGTCATTTGCATGTAAGGTATAGGGAACTTTTTCTTTGCTCGACCTTCTGAGGCAAGACCTGAACCACGACCAGCAGATTCAATCGTCCCATCGTTGGCCGCGAGGTACTCTGGGTTCATGGGAACAACAGAGCGCAACCGTCGGTCGAACATGCGCTGCCATACTTTCTCCCGCACCTGGTAGCCATGGTAATTTCTCGACAGGGACTTCGTCTTCCATTTAGTCTGGAAGAGGTTGTTGTTTCGGTAATCGGAAGGGGCTACTCGGCTGAAATTATACAGGTTGTATTTGCTCCATGATTGTCGCAGTTTCTAGAGTGCAGTGTTTCTGATTAGAACTTTTCCAAATGGATCGGGATGGTCTCTACAACTCGTAACTTACAATGACTTGATTCGAATCTTTGACAGTCTTCAGTGGTAGAAACCTAGAGCCTCGCGCCATCACAGGAATAGGATCGCTAGCAAGGGCGCGATAAAAGGGAGCCCTCTTTGGTCACTGGCTGTCCTCTGAGCTTTGAAGTTGAGATACTTCTGCCAGTACTGTACTCGTGATTCAAGACAAACCAAACAAATATGCCAAGGGGTTTTCTTACAAACTTGCCAAGACAAATCCGGTAGACTTAAGTTATCCATCATCTCGAGCTTGGTTCTGAGATTTCTTTTTCCCTCTCCATACTTGTGAGCTGACCAATCCGCGCTTTTTGACTTGATGTACGTTGCTAACATGAATGTAGACCTTGTGGGAGTGGCCCAGCTCAAGCATTGGGTCTACTATAACGGTTTCCCTGCATTGCACATCGCGGAGGAGATCGTTATTAAGTGTCCTTCGGGGCTCTTATCCGCGTATTTTTTGGCCCATTCAAACACGCGTTTACTTTTTCATCATTGCCTCTCTGCCCTTGTGCAAGGTTCTGGAGAAGAAGAAGGAGAGAAAGAAGAAGTATCAGTTTCTGTATCAAGTCGGATGGTAAAAGGACTGCTCCATCAGACAGAGAAATCCTGCTGGCAATCTGTGCTCAAGGTCTTGTTAAAATCCATTGACTTAGGTAGTTATTTATCCAACTGCGTTATCCGGATTCGCAAAAACCTCACAGGTCGAGTCACGGATCGTGAATTGTGACTAAAGAGTGAGCACTGCACGGGCTCAACCGGACGATATAAGGCTGCTTTGCGGAGCTAGGAAGGTAATGATCTATGATATGCTCTGGACTGAAAGAATCACGTTTGAAACATCTCTGCACTACCAGGAAAATCAACTCATACCCGGCCTCACAGCTTCTGATAACCCCCAACGCCTTGCTACAAATAGGTATACATACGGTCATCATTCGTCGAAGAATCCCAGCAAAGACTTCTCAGCCTTGCATCGTCTGCCAAAAGTAATCTGCATAGAAATATGTAGAGAACTTTGGATCAATGTTGACCACATGGACATCACCCTTTTTGGTATTACCAATGGTTGCCTTATTGTAATTGCCAGCTTCATCTTGTCCAAGTGTAATCCCGAGCGACCGATATAGCCATAGCCGTAATCTGTGTGTCGATGTTAGCATTTCCGAGGTTGCTTGAATTGTATCTGTGTTCAGGACTTACATTGTTGGATCCTCAGCGTCCCTGGTCAGTCGACTGGCCTCATCCCCTTCGACTCCTTGCTCTTCCAGATCTACCAGGCGCATCTTCAATCTGTCAAGGTCGGCCTCCAACCTCTCATTCTCAATCTCAAGTTCAGAGGCCTGTTTTGCAATGCGAAATTTCTTTGTGTCGAGTTGAACAATCTCACTTGCGTGTCTTCCACTGTCGTGACCAGAAATGACTTCTCGGTGTTGTGAGGAGAGTGTCGCAAACTGGCGGGACAACTTTCTCAGAGCGGTCTCTGCGTCTCGAGTTCGGAGGCCGCGAGACTGTTGTAGGGTAGAAAGGGAGTCATTGACGCGTGAGAGGGCCGCTTTGTCGGGTGCAATGTTGAAATTTGAGACAGTGGCTCGGATCAGCTGAGGGTTTGTTAGTTAGTGGTGCTGAGGTCACAATTGAGGAAGTGAGTTACATACCGCGGCAGGATCTTCGTCGAGCAGCATGTCGAAAAGTGTTTAGCAGATCGGTCTGAAAGGCAAGATTCTTTGGGTTGGGGGGCGGTCCATGAAGTGTAGAATGTTCTGCAGCGACAACATGCGTGGTTTGTTGATATCCGTGGTTGCGGAGAGCAACGGGAACTGCGGTGTGGCTTGCCTCCCGCTTAGGGGTGTTGGCCGCCTAACAAGCTTGAAGCTCGCCCCTCGGCGCTCCCCCAACACGTCATTGCAAGACGGGATCAGGCACAGCCACAGTGCTCCAAAAGTCCCTGCGTTTGAATCCTCGTGGTCAGTGGCCACATGCTCAAGATTAAATCCTATCCGTACAACACCTGCGACTTATCCTGTACAGTATTTTCTCGTCCTTGTCGTAACTTGTGGACTCCGAATCTCACCTGAGAAAGAAATTCGCCTATCCATCATGTCAAATCTACCATGTAAGCTCGAATCAATGCGCTGGCAATGGAAGATGGATTTTTGCTAACTATCAGAAGATGCTGCGGACGCTGAGAGGTGGGCATCTTTCAACATAATGGCCTCTAGAGTGAGACTGACTATGCGAGTTTAGCCCGCTCAAACCTGCCGAACTACAAGTCCTTCGAGCGCAATACGAGAAGGAAGGAGACTATGTCGGAGTACAAACGAAATTCAACTACGCCTGGGTAGGAGAGTTCCAACATCATCGAGCGGCGACCATTCGGACTGACGTTAAGACTAGGGCTTGATCAAGTCCAATCAACGACCAGAACAGCAATTGGGAGTACAACTTCTCTCGGACATTTTCAAGACCACACCTGAACGAAGAAGGGAATGTCTATACTATCTGGCGCTGGGCAATTACAAGCTCGGGAACTATGCAGAGGCAAGAAGATACAACGATTTACTCGTGGAGAAAGAGCCTGGTAACCTGCAAGCAAGCAGTCTCCGGCAATTGATTGATGACAAGGTGTCGAGAGAAGGATTGATGGGTGTTGCCATTATCGGCGGCGCGGCGGTGGTTGCAGGCATTGTTGGTGGTATCATCATGAGAGGTTCACGGAGAAGATGATCAAAGGAGGGCAGTGCATCAGGCAATTTGCGGGCGACTTGCCGTGAAGTGAACCGAGGGGAGGGGACGTTGGGAGTCGGAGTGGCAACTAGCACATGGCCATGTCACAGGTGAAGAACTTGAAGTGTACGATACAACATACATAAGTCTGCAGACATAAAGTAATGCGATTGACATTAAACGGGATGCCTAGTTTGAGGTGTGATTCTGAGCGACCGAGGAAACAGGGAAGACCTCTAGGCTCTGAGCGCCTGGAAGTCAGGATGGAGGAGCACCTAAAGAGACCGAAGAACGCCGAAGGACATGGAAGCTTAAATCACCCTTATGATGTCTGGACTCTGGAGATCCAAGCTGCAGGAAATGGTGCCAGTGGTTCAGGGTTCACTTCTGAAGTGGATTTTGTTATCGATAACCGGAAAAGTGACAGGTTGGGCTTCAAGTGCCTGGAAAGATATGTACGTCAACCAACTTGAATTCACAAGTGACGCCTCATTCACTGCAGTCCGACTCCGGTAATCAACGACCACACTCATTGCTTCCATCAACCAGCAAAGGTGACAACAGATTCAGTCATTCATCCTTTGTCCTCTCCATCTTATAGTTCTTCCCGTTCTTCCTTCCTTCCAGTCCTGCATCCTTTCCCTTCTATTATCTATTTAATCCTAATACTTCCGTCGGACCTCAGTCCTCCAAGCTCTTCAATACAATCCCGACCCTGCAACCACGGCCGTCCCCAGGATTCCACTTTCACACCCACCTAGCTCGAATTTTTGGACTACCATTGACTCAGGCACTACCTACCTGTGATACATCTTATACATCACGGCTACTGGGTCTCCGGGTCAATATCAATCCTGCAGGGACTACCGGATTCCCCCACTGCCGCTGGTGTATGACGCAGCCTCGGTTTTTGTCTGGGTTACACTCTCAATCCCATCGTTCAATGCACCCTTGAACGTATCGATTTCTACCTGTCTTTGGCCATAGTAATGGCCCATTCTCGCCTGGACGGGGAACGGGTTTTCTGCCATCAATGCAATCATGAATGGGACCGCGCTCATGGCGGTTTGACCTGTCCGCGCTGCGATGGCGACTTTACAGAAATCGTGCGTTCGCCCACCCACCGCGAGGTCTAAAACCTAACTTTTGTTATCTAGCTTGAACCCGGTACTACTTCATCTCTAGAATCCTACGATCATCCTGCCAGATCACCTTCTCCGCCTCCATCGCCTCCTCTACGTCCTCTCTTCGATCATAATCCCTGGAACAATGTTCCCCATGGCGATGAGCCCGACCCAGATCCGCGGAACAACTTTACTACATTCGAGTTTACCAGCAATGGTGGCGGTGGCAGAGTATCGTTCAGTACAAGATCTTTCGTAACGGGCGGTGCTGGGCCAAATGTAAGCCGACTTCGACAGTTCCACAATATCTAAGCACCCTATGGTTTCTAACCTCTCCCGTAGGCTCGAGGCATGCCGCCACCACTGGGTGCCTTCTCACCTTTTGCTGCTTTTGCTGGACCTCAACAACCTGGCTTTGGGAACTTCCCAGGAAGGGATCCCCATGCTCCTCCTCAAGGCGCAAATCTTCAAGAGTAAGTTGTTAATGATTTCCTTCCCACGAGATCTGGGGCAGTGTAACTAATGCTTGCAGTTTATTTTCCATGATTCTACAATCAATGCAGCAACCAGCCCCGCCTCCTGGCTTTGGCCAACATGGACAACCCGACCACGATGGGATTCGTGGTCAAGCACAAGTCCCGTACCCTTTCGACCTTCTCCATCAAATCTTCAATCCTGGAGGTGGCCGACACGGGGATATGGTCTTTTCTCAAGACGCATTTGACCGGGTCATGTCTCAATTGATGGAGCAGAACAACAGTAGTAATGCTCCCCCGCCTGCGTCAGAGGATGCGATTGAAAGTCTAGAGAAGAAAAAGATTGACATGGAGATGATGGGAAACGACGGTAGTGCTGAATGTTCGATATGCATGGATGATGTTCCATTGGGCTCCGAGGTTACCGTTCTTCCGTGTAAACACTGGTTCCATGGTGGGTGTGTGACATCGTGGTTGATAGAACATGATACATGTCCACACTGCCGGAAACCCATTCAGGAACATGGTCCAGATCAACAGTCAGATCCATCACAACCAAGAACTGCCAATCGGCGACCATCATCTGTCTCAAGTCCACGGGCTCCGACCACGGAAGGAACTAGACACAACCCAATCAACATTCCTGAAAGCCCTAGTGAACTTCGAGACGCGAGGAGACAATATTATGGGGCTCGAAATGATGGCTCAACAGAGCAACAGAACAGCCGGCAATACTCCACCAGTCATGAGTCACGCAGGCCGGGATCAGGGAATAACAATGGAAACAGTGAGGCAAATCGAAGTCCAACCAACGGGGGAGTGACAGGCTGGCTTCGAGACCATATGCCTTTCTCGTGAGAGGTTTGAAGCCAGATCTCTTGTCCTGCAGTTTTGGGCGCCAGACGTCTCAGACGTCTCCGTCAAGCAGAAGATATCGACGGTCACAAACCAGCAACTTGAACTATGGCGCCCCATATCCGAGGATGGAATAGTCGCGGTCTTCTCCAAGCTGGAATTCCGCCCATTCACTGCCTTACGATTCAATCAATGAAAAGGTGTCGATTTCAGGCGCCAAAGGCATCACGATGCGGGAATTCTTCTATTCCCAACCATTGGATTATTGCTGTGGCTGGCTGAGAGTATCTGAGCCAGCGTTCAACTCAGCAGAAATAACCGAACTTACTGAGCCAGGAGGCGAGATATGTATGTCTTTGAGTTGGACCAGAGTCAGTCAGTTGATCACAACCCACGAGGGTGTAATCAGCCTGGCCAGCCAAATGCGAACAGAGAGTGTCGAGAATGGGTTGGATGCTACGACATGACAGTGAGCAGAAGAAAACATGTAGGATTATACAAAGTATTACTAGTAGTAGAGCATTTGGTCTAGACGAAGCGCCGAGTGCCGTTAGATGAGAAGGACGAATTCTCATCACATGACCCGAGAGTTGAAACATGTGGCTGTTTGCTTTTTTCCAAGTTCAGGCATCCCGCTCCGAGCCAAAGTCCGAGCCCGAGTCCAAGTCCATCTCGATTCTCGATTCTCGTGTTCCTTTCTTCACATGCTTTCGGCTTTCCGCTTCAGCCCCCCTCCACTGAGGAACGACAACGTCAGTTCCCGCCTCCACCATGGTCACTACTGTGCCAGTGCTGAGACGGAACGGACTTGAAAGAGGTCACACGTCCTGTCCAGCTGGACTTGCAAACACTTCAACTTGGACAACCCTATTTCACTATCTTTCTTTGGTTCTTTGGTGACCCGGTTCCACGTTCCTTGCTCTGTATAACTTATCCCACAAAACGTCTGTGCATGACATGGCTTTGCATTGTTTTGCCGTCCCTTAGTATCGCTGTGCACCTGTTCTTCCATTCTTATTGTTCAGTCTCGTGCACCGAGTACATCAACCATGATAGGTACTGTTTATTCAACGATTCCGGATATCGACGCGATCTTCCAACTGACATTACTCAGACCATGTACTCGGACGGCCATCCTCTCAATTCCGCAAAGTCCAGGTCTTTGCCGTCGTCTCCTTCTGGTCACTCTACCTGCTGAGGTACAGTACTCATCCGCAGGTCGTGTACCCTTGGCTGACAAGTCCCAGAGGCGATAGACATGGCCCTCCTGTCCTACGAAACCTATCCCAACGGCTCTCCAAACGATCTACCCCATGGCAGTCCGTCGTCCTTACTCTCCTTTGGCTGTACATCTGTCGCAATTTCGCAAAAATCGTCGGCCTCGAATCCCCCGAACCTCTGGCCAATTTGTACAATAGATCATACTTCCGGGCAACATGGATCACTACTGCATTAGACGCTGGCTTTTGGAGCGCCATGAGGATTCGAAACAAAAGAGTTAGAGATCTCGCATCCATCATTTTCACTGTATATTATCTCATTGCGGCCGAGCAAGCCGATGAAAAGGTCCGCAAAGTCCGGGCTGTGCTGACTGTCGACCACCTACGAATTGCATGGAACAAGCCAAATACTCCTTATCTGCAATGGTTTACCGCTCTGATGCGCCCTCGGTTCACCAAATACAAACCCCGCCGTATCCGGATCCCCCGTCCAAGAGGTTCCGCGTACAAAGAGCCTGTCGTTGCTTGGATGTACTTTGATGGCTCTCTTGCCGAGCTAGAATCGCAGAAGAATCTGGTCCTCGATGTTCCTGGTGGTGGCTTTGTCGCTATGGACCCGAGAACCAGTGATGACAAGCTGTTGGCATGGGCGGGAAAAACAGGGCTTCCAGTTTTGAGCCTGGACTATCGAAAAGCTCCCGAATATCCCTATCCATACGCTCTGAACGAGTGCTTCGACGTCTACACGCAAATCGTCGCCACTCGAGGCCGCTGCATAGGAATGAAGCCAGACTCATGTCCAAGAATAGTGCTCACAGGAGATAGTGCTGGTGGGAATCTGGCAACGGGAACGGCATTGATGATCATTCAATCCAACCAGGCAAGCAACACTCGAGGCATTCTTCCATCTCCAGCTGGACTGGTATTGATGTATCCTGCCCTGGACATGAACATTGGCAGTTGGATGACGGACGATCAAATGGCCCTGATCAGAAATCCACGAACTTCCAAGAAATACGAGACGTTTATCAAACGCAAAAGCGAAGACATCGATAGACGATATACACCCACGACCCCCAAACCATCAGACGACGGTGAAGATGACCCCAACCACGACTTCTTCGCGACCCGCGAGGAAAGCCCACAACAGCAACAGAAACCACCTCTGAAACGCGTCGACACCGACGTCGAGGCTCAAAAACAGGCCGTCGCCGACTCCAAACCGCAACCCCTCCGAACCAGACTGGCAGTGTCTTCGATCATCTCCTACTTTGGGGACCGCATCCTCACGCCCGAAATGATGCGTGCCATGATCATCCTCTACGTCGGGCCCTTCAACCGCCCGGACTTCACAACCGACCACCTCCTCTGCCCGGCCGTCGCACCAGAGAACCTCCTCGCCAAATTCCCCAAAACCTACTTCCTAACCGGCGAACGTGATCCCTTGGTCGACGACACCGTCATCTTCGCGGGCCGGCTACGCCAGGCAAAACTTCATCTCTTCCAAGAACGGCAAGAAGTCGGACTCGAGAAGTCCACCGCCGAGTTCAACGAAAAGGACCACGTCGAGGTCGCCTTGATCCCGGGCATCTCGCACGGCTTCGTGCAGTTCGTGTCCATCTTCCCCGAGGGTTGGAACCACGTCTTCCGGTGCGGCCGCTGGATCCAGCAGATCTTCGAGCAGCCGCCGCACGCGTTCGAGGGTCCGGCGCTCGAGTCCCGGCTACGCGCGGGAACGCTATCCAACGGCGGTGCCGCCGCGAACGGGAACGGCAGTCACCTTGAGCTCGCGGCCACCACGCAGCTAAGGCACCATCGCCGCACGATGACCGGCGAGAGCGTCGATGACGACGCCCCTCTGGCCATGTCGAGCCTGCGGGCCGACGACGTCAATCGCTCGCCGCCCAAGGCGAATGGTACGGCGCCGCCGCCGCAGGAGAGTGGCCGTGGCCGTGGCCGTGCGCGCGCCGAAGAGAAGTCCAAGCCAGAGCGTACCAAGAGTCTGGTTTCTCTCGGCAGCGAAGAGGATTTGCTCAAGCGACGCATGAAAGGGCTGACCGTGGGCTTGATGGGGTCGAACGATTCCTGATGTTGGGGTATACGACCTCGTATCTTGTTCTTGCACTGCGTGGACTGCTTGTGCCGGCTACCACGTACGTACCTAGGTAGGTAGAAACCCCTTTAATGCATTTAAGAAAATCATGTCAAGGAGAATTACTTTCATGAAGCCATCCATTCCTGAGCAAGATCGAGAGATTGAGGGATTGACGAACGCCTCTTCATCAAGTTCCTATCCAAGTATCCACGATAATACCGAAAGGATAGTGATGACCTTGCGTGCCCCTGTTGACTCCGCAGAATCACAAATAATCGGGCTCCGGACAGGGGGGGCCGAGCCTCAGGCCACAATCAGCAATGCCCTCTGATCCATGTTGGTTACCTTGCACTACGAGGTAAGCTGACCACTTGATGTGCTGCCTAGTTAGGTGGTAACAAGCGCACATGTACCCTCTCGGCCAGGTTTGGGTTCGACAAATTCGTTTACTGGTGCGACTGCTGAGGTTCTTACTACATATCAGATAGATGGACACATAGAGGTGTTCCTACAGGAGTGTAGCCCCCCTTTAGCCTAGGTACCTACAGATGATCTACCGGACTTTGCCTGCTTCTAGATGAATCTTGGAAGTATTTTATGTTAGTTAATCATCAATAACAGACGATTGATCATGCATGATCGGTGGGCAGAGCGACAGCACTGCACCGGCGAGGCTCTTTGACTAATACCACTTAGAATTCCCACAGCCATCGACCCACCCCGCCATCGTCATTGACTTTCCCAAAGACATCTTTGATCGCCTTGCTTGCCTGAGCAATACACTCCCTCTCGTCTTTTTTCCATGCTTCCGCCCGCCCCAGTCGTCTCCCGTCGACGATCCGATCTGCACCCGTCAGGATCGCGCTAGCGAAGCAGATGCAATTGATGCCTTTTTCGTCCACACCTGTATGTGTCTCCTCGGATAGTGTGCTCACGACGCGCACGCAGCTTTGGAAAATTGCGAGGAGATTTAGGCGTGCCAGAGGTAGAAGAGTAGACTGGCCTTCAGGCTCGGAAGTGGACTCGAACTCGGGCTCGGTTTCGGTCTGTGTGAATGATCGCTCGATCGCTTGAGCTAGGTCGAGTAGTTGTCCTTGACGAGTTGATAGTTCTACCACCGAGGAAGAACGTCGTGTTTGACTCTTGGTATCCTGGATTTGTCTAGGATTCAATAACTTGGCCACAAGTTGCCAGTCGTCATCATCAACGTGATAGTCCTGTTGTTTGATCTTGAACACCAGACCCGCGGCCTTCAGTTGATGAATATCATCCTTTGGTCCAAGACCGGCTGCACGTCGAGCCGCATGTGCAGGTACAGCCATGCACCAACTGTCCCTACTATTCCTACTTCTGTGACCCTTCTTGAACTTTACTCGTGCTCCGACATATCTACCCCAGCATGCACGAAAGCTGCTTTTCGGGCAATTGCCTCCAGGGAAAAAGACGTCCCGGAATTGGTCAGAAATACTTTCCAGGATGGGAATTGGCTCCAACCCCGCAAGGGTTTTCAGAACGTTGTAAGAATGTAGAACCGCACCAACGTAATGGCGATAGCTGAATAGTCGCATCCCGTAGTAGTGACAGAGGTCAAGGATTTCCAGAATGTGATTGCCCGCCACCCACGGCGATTGGAAGTATAGATCCCAACGTTTGTGCTTCGCGAAGTTTTGTACATCATCGCACAGATTCTGCAAATGGTACGCGAGAGTTTGTGTGCAACGACATGGGAAGCAGTCCTTGTCATCTAGGATTGTGAGGACTTGAGAGTGTGCTTGTTGGGCGAGTCGGAGAGCATTGATTCGGCAGCTTGAGACCAAGTTTGGCTGCGGAATCGCATGCATGTAGGTCTTATACCCTTGACTGAGTAAATGCAGTCCAAGGACGGGCGACCATGTTTGATTGTTGTCGTTACTGTGGGTTATGAGATATCCGACATCAGCATACACTGGAGTGCCGTTCCGAACAATACTGGTCGGAGCGACCCTCTCCGTGACTAGATGGATGATATTATCGACAATGGCAGTCACAAAGTGGGAGGGACTCTTGCCCTCTTCAACTTCTGGAGCTTGAAGATAGTCGGTTGGCTTCTGAACACACGATGGACAAGATCGAACTCGAGAAATTTGATGACCATCTTTGTAATGATCTAGAACCCGCTCCGTTTCCTGCAACTGGTTTAGTAACGAATGTTTCGGGGTCTGGCCATTCTGACGATCGAATGAACAACATATTCTATGCAATCCCTTCACTGTCAATTTTTCATCATATTCTAACAACTCTACCCCAACTCGACGAACTTGAGCGAACGCCACGTTGTTTATGAACGCAGCAGTCACCGGCGAGATTTGACCTTCACCGGCAAGTTTCCAGCATTCTTCAGCTGAATTGGATATCTCTTGGGCTCGCTACAATCACGTCACCAATTGAGTTCGAGTGTTTGGATTGTACTTACCTGTACGGCGGCAGTGATCTCAAGCGCTGCACCCAATTGATCTTCCGCAAAACTGATTTCCAAGATATTGTCACACGGTGGTGGTGCACTGATAGAACATTCGGCACATTCTGATGGCAGGAGCCTCTCTTCCGTGTCGCAATCTTCGACATCCTCAACAACTAGATTATTGTAGTGATTTACAAGTCCGTTTGTGGAGAGGGCCGATTTTCGAGACACTTTGTTCGATTTGATCTGATGATTCGATTTGCCACAGCAAACACAGAGATCGGCGTAGATCTGAGCAAGACTTTTGAAACTATCAGCAATGATCATTCCATATGACGGAGAACTGAATGACCTGCTTGTGAAGTGTTCATGATTGATCGTATCTACATCCTCGTCACCATCGTCAACGTGACCACGAAAATGCTTGCTGAGCCTCTTCCTTGCCGCGATCGTTTCTCGAAAATGGAAGTGAATTATGTCGGGTAGAGATTTAGTGCTATTTGCGACTGTTTGGGCCAATGTAGCCAATTCCTTGATTGGCAAACTCTTGACACGTCTGTTCGGAGTAGAGCTATACCGAACGAACCAGGCGACGAGAGCTCTCGTTCCCTTCTTGTACCGAACGTATGCATCGAGCACGTCTGGAGGTAAACCACTGAATGTCACTTTATGTGATGGATTGAGCAGCATGATTCACAAGATAGGAGTGATAGGGCTGGATAGTAGAAGATACTGTTGGCCTTCACGAGATAAAGTAGGAAAAGAAACAACTTAGCTTTAAGCCTTCAGACATTGAGGATACAACGACGGATCAAAAGCTCAGTCTGTACGAGCAGCAGGAGCGGAGGACTTGTTTTATGGCACAAGGGAAGTCGTGAAGAGTTTGCGTCATTGCAATTGAGGACTGCGAAGCCGCGATCCACATTGAGAGACCAAAGTTCATGGCGATGATGTTGGTAAGCGCAATTTCCTCATCAGAATCACGATCAGCCCGTTACTTGGTACACATCATTGGTCCGAGATATGTCTGAAAGAACCTCGATCGTCTAGTTGGCTAAAGAAGGGCGCGATGGGAGTGAGGACCTTAATGTGAAGTGAAAGCTCCGGTCGTGATTTCCCAAACCGCCAAGGTTGTGTTTTGCGCCGGCAGCGGCACGTGAGTGCACGTGGCAAGGAGCATCGGGTTACATTTATCAACTGAAGAACTAGATATGGGTCACCGTTTTAGGTATTATCAGCGAGGACCAGACTCTACGTGTGTATAGCGAGCGATTTGGGGAAGAAATTTGGTCGAAATCACTCCATGTAAACGTGTTGGCCCCCTTCCTTCCTTCCTCCGTCCCCTGCAATCAGTAGATTATGTGTCGTCCATGTTTCAGCTTCCGTACTCATGCCAGATATCTTGTGGATATAAAGGAACTTATTTTCGAACATCATTCCACCATCTTTCTGAGCGTCAGTCTGCTCGGAGGAAGTCTTGTCAAGGACAGCTACTTGGTATGTTCGGAAGAGTTTTTTCTGACCGACTGGTGAAGTTTAAGTCTCAGTGTCTCATATGGCGACACATAATATGCTTGGTTAGCCATTGAAAAGGGGATGATGCCCCCACCAACCCATAACACCGAACTATCGTAATCAACGTTCGATCTTTCTGTCAGAGGGCTTGCTTTGTGACCATTGTCATATCAACCACGGAGCAGTCTGAAATCTTTTGATGCATGCGTTTCATATTCAAGATGTACCCGGTGTACATGTTTTCCGAGATTATATCAGCTTGCTAAACAACCACGATTGTTTAAGCGCAGTCATCTCGAAAGTTAGCCGTAAAAGGACAAAGCGGGACCAGTGGCGCGACTCCTTCTCCAACCATCCATACTAGTAACCACTGTGTAGCGAGTGAGAAGTGCATGTATGTTTTCAGACTCCGGTAAATAAGCCGATAGCGTGATCTGCCTAAAGAACTTAGCTGCTTGATAGTGGTTGCCATGGATGATTATTGGTTGAAGCTGATGGCGAGCAACATGAGCAATGGTTACCAGAATTCATTCAACCAAAGCCCATCATCGTCTGCTGAGCATTGGATGGTTTAGTAGGTTGTCGATATTCAAGTCGTCCATAGCTCTTTTCCGTCTAGCCTTTCTTAAGGCAAGATATTGGGCATCTAAAGAATTGATAGGTGATACTGGGGTAGGGGCCGTGGGAACACTAATGGACGGAACTGCTTGGACTTGTCGTGTTCGCAACGGTTGTTGTTGATAATCTCCAGGGTTATAGAACACATGACCAGTATGCGGATTTATCACGGCAGCATAGTGATGTTGGTTAGACCATGATCGATGTCGGGCATTCGAAGGGGGCGGTGGTGGCGGTAGAGATGGTGGTGGTGGATGATAGGAGTAGGGAGGAGGTGGATCGAGATGATCTGGTGGTAACGCAGCAGCGATTTCGACGCTCAAGAATTTATCTTCGTCCATTGAACTTGCATTCGCATTTGGCCGGATTTGGGGACCAGACCAAGGATTCCGAACGTCCAGCGCCGACCTGCGACGATACGTTCTGGGGTTTGGTTGTATCAGAAATGGTGTGGTAGTATTTCCTAGTGGTTGAACCTTGAAACCAGGTGAAGCTGTACGTGGTCTTGGAGGTGGTCCGGGAAGTGTTTGTGGTATCGCCGCATAAGAGGCATAATATCCTGCAACAGGTCGTGGGTTCTTTCTTTGAACTGGTCGATACTCGACGGGGACGTTGTCCCAAGGTATCGACGACTCATGGTTATTGGTGGTTGATACTGGGAGCACAATGCTCGATCTTGAATGTCTCAGTTTAGTGCGAACGGAGTTGAACAGGGTGTTATTGCATTCATCCATTTCAGGCGGCAACAACACTGTTCAATTGCAGTATGAGTTGAAAGGCAAAACAATATTCTTGATATAGGTAACCGTTCTCAGGGCTCAGAAGTGATCCCTGACAGGCTCCGAGAGGCATATATAAAAGATAGATATGTGCAAACTCCGTAGTCCGTGGACAGCTCGGCGTGGGATCTTGAGCCAATTCCAGTCTCGCGAGATAGGATTCAAATAGGAAATCCCGCAACACTTGGCCTGGGGCAATACAGGGTACCTTCGTAGTTCCAGATATAATGCTAGGCGAGCAGGCTCGGCGGTATGCAAGACCTACTAGCTTTTCTTTAAATGGTGGGCAATTGTACACTTGTGGTATATGAAGGGGACAGGTGGAGAGTACGGCTTCCATGATTTTGGGGGCCCGATATCAAGCACAGCAATATTAGTGATACAGACAGTCCCGTAAGAATTAACGTACTCGGTATCGTCGCTCGAAGTCATGCATACCTATTGGGTTTAGAATGATAGTCAGCGTGACAAGCGAAACAATCGAACTCAACAGGATAGGACGAGGATGCATGGTCATGGGACGATGGATTATGGGTGGACATAGGGGGCCAAATTGACTGCAGACGACCCAAGTAGTTAGCAGGAAGGCGTAGAAGACTTCGCCGGCGCCATTTTTGTGTGTTTGATGATTAGGCTAGCCAAGTGGTTAAATTTATTCGCTGGCTGTGCACAGTGAGTAATTCTGTTTTGATCCACAGGCGAAGAGATGAGAATCCAAGTCAAGCTTCACTTCTTGTATAAATGAAAAGCCGATTTGAAAATAATATCGATTCAGTTTGTCAAAGGTGAAGATCAAAGCTTGATGAAGTTTCTCGTGAAACGGGATTCCTCCCACCGATGGGGATTAAAGGGCGGGGGCCAGGAAAAATAGCGATGCCCAAACTAGTTAGTATGGCTTACCAGCGAATGCTCACATTTGATCGGCGGCTCTGAGTGTATTTTATTACTCGTATGCTGTAAGCTGATCTGCCTAAATACTAAGTTGGCTCCAACTGGGTATCAGCTAGCATCGGTGGTGAGGATGATTGTAGACCCCAAATGTCCATCCTCCATGGCACATAGGAGGTCCGTGTCAGGTCAAGACTTTAACTCGTGTTCGGAACGGAGGGTCTGGACTTGGTTTTAGTCTAGATTCGTTGTACTCTGGAATACTAAATAGCGCGAACATGGTTATAGTGAAGGAAGCAAGACACTTGAAAGGCTCAAACTGCAGAAGCTGATGTATCGTATCGTTCAAACGCTCAAGGGACGACGGATAAGATAGCCGAGTTTAAATCCACAACTCCTCAATCAATCATTATATTGAAGTATATTAGGTGGCCCGGATTCACTCCGAGCAAGTCATTCTAACTTGGATTGGGGACACATAGCATCCTGCAGCGAATAATGATGAAGACAACAGTGGCGTTTGTTGAGGTTGCACCCTTAACGGAGCTGCCTGACCGAGTTCGTATACCATACAAGCTTTATGCCATCGAAAGCCACTAGAAAGAGTGCGGATGAAATTGAGCTCGATGGGTCATGCAATATTCTTCAGTCCTTCGTGAAACTGTGATGTCCGACCAGCCATGTAATCCTCTTATAGTAGAATAATTCTGTGCTCTGGAGTGGTTGCACCATGCGAATATCGGTCTGGCTTCGCGTGATCGTACCTAAAGTGGAGAACATAGCACACTTTGCTGTTTTATACTCTTCCACCGTGCTAGCCCGATGGCTCCACGTTAGAAGAACACTCAACGGACCTAGTAGGAAGAGTGTTGCTCATTAGGGCGGTTTCCTTGAATTTAATTTTCAGCCGCAACCCCAAAAGAAGTCTGCCTTCGAGTGTCTGTCGAAGATGGCAGGTGAATTCTTGTAAGTGAGAAGAGACCATGACAAACGAGGTCATCAAGCCATTCACATTGATCAGTTGGGACGGGAATTGGAAAGAATTCGGACCCTCAGACTCATTCAATCGTTGTTCGTTAATTGGGGCGAGCTTAGTTCGCGATTGCTGAGGAGGTTGCCATTGGCACGTCCTGGGTATCTTGAACCTCATGGGTGCGTAGTCTCTAGTTCGAGGTAAAGACTGAGTTTTCAATCTGCGGAATGAAAGAGCTCACGAGCTTCTCCGGAGTGGATCCATATGAATCCTACCTAATATAAACAACATTGTAACGCTGCCTCGTTTCCCTCCATGGGGATATTGTGGTCAAGTCGTCCAACTCGGATTCGGCAATTGACATCACGATTCAGGAGAACCAAAGCTCCGAAAGGTGGAAGCCGAAATAAGCCATCATCATGCTGAAGTCTTTGCATCTGTATCCGTAGTTCAACCAACGCTGTTGCACTAGGAACTACGGGCATCAACGTCCCGAAGAGGGGAAGAGTAGCTAATTGCTCCGAGCCAGAAAGCGGCCAGATATGGTAGTCAGCTTGAAAGTCGGAAAAGATTTTAGAATCAAATCAACCTGAAGACGAAATGTGCCCTCTAATAAGCGGAGTTTGGATGGCTAGAGCCTTAACAGGAAGTCAGAGACTCAGGGTCACGGGGGCAGAATAACACGCGTCTTGCCGAGTTCAACCGCGTCAGTTCAAGTTGCCGCCACAAACTCAAACTTGGCAACAAACCCCGATTGTGACAACATTGCAATTTCCCACCATAAGCGAACGAGGTCCCACCCCAGGCTCTCAGCTCTCACATTCCCCTGTCCACGTGCAAATAGATATTCGCCCCAAAGAAAATACGTCTATACTGATAGTCGCACTTCGAATTCATGCAAAGTTTTACACGACATCCTGTTGCTTTTCGTTCAAACAGTTTGACCTGTTCAGACGCAAGCCGCAAATCACAATACGTGGTCACACCATTGAGAATCGAACGGGAAAAATCTCGGTATGGAACACATCAATCCGGTAAGAACAGGTATTACGCAATGCTAGCTACAGTGGTCTAGCCAGCATCTCCTTGATGCGTCCAAAAATATGCATAGAATGTCCTCCCCAATCGACCTTCACCCCCTCTTTGATGTCCCTAAGGACTAATTACAAAGCCGAATTCACCTCTATTTCATCCCCAGACATGCTTGCTGTGGTGGTTTTGTGCTGCGACGGCCATGGTACTCGTGACAGGTAATCAAACGCGCGAAAAGATTAAGGCGTTTATGCGATGACCATGACAGCGGCGGCAGCAAGACCAGCAAGAGCGAAAGAGCCAGCGTTGACGTTGGCGGCACCAGTGTAGGTGGCAACGGCAGGCTTGACGGGGGTGCTACACGTTCAAGTCAGCATTCAAAAACTCTCGGGAAATATATGAAATCGCTTCTCCTTACCTGCTATAGGTCCAGACACCGGTGGTGGCGGGGGCCACTGGCACGCTGGAGGTCCAGGTGGTGACTGGGGCAACGGGGACGGTGCTCAAGGTGGTGGACTCCCAGTCGGCCCAGACGCCGGTAGAGCTGGCTGGGGAAACGGGCTTGGTGGTGGTCGTGGTGGTGGTGCTGGACTCCCAATCCTTCCAGTCAGGGTCGTAGACGCTGGTGGTGGTCTTGACAGCAGGCTTGGTGGTGGTGGTCGTGGTGGCATGCTCCCACTCGTTCCAGACGGCGCTGGTGGTGGTGGTCTTCACGACGGGCTTGGTGGTAGTGGTGGTGGTGGTGGAGCTGGTCCAGTCATCCCATGTACCGGTGGCAGTTGGCTTGTAAGGACAGTTAGAGACAGTCGGTTCGCAGGAGGTGATAGTTACATCAACAGTGTCGGTAACGCTGATGGTCTTTGCGGATGCAACAGCAAGAATGCTGGCAGCGATGGCGAAAGAGGCACGCATTTTGATTGATTTTGGTTTGGAGGTTTTGGAATTACCGAAAAAAATCGAAGGTGGCGGAGGTACTAGGGTATTATGGTAAGCGAATGTGGTGAGCTGAACTCGAAAGAATGGACGACCGAAGTCAAAGAATGTTTTCTAGGATACTGAAAGTTCTGGCTTGGAGTATGAAGAGAAGATCAGAGAGAGGCATTGGGCATCTTGCGATACTTAAGTCCTCTGGCTGCCATGGCAAATTGGACCGGGCAGAAGTTGGTGATGGGCCGACCAGAAGCCAGACTATTTCCCTGCTCTCCACCAGAGTCCACCCACCCCCGTTGGCTTTGGCGCTTGAGAGAGCTCACAAACAGGCCTTGGTGGAGGAGCATGTGGTCACCAACTAAACTGGATTGAGAGACTCTGGAGATTCTAGTACACGAGTGGCACTGAAAAAGCTGTTGTGACTGGCCATGTCATCTGGTACCTGCGCAAGACTGCCGCAGCCTTAATTTCACGCTTGATCACTTTGCCTGGTGCCGACTGGCTCCTCTTCCCCTAATTACCCCTGTCGGTGGCGCCGTCTAAAGGCTGCTTCTCCAGAGCGCAATCTCCCCAAGCACCATGCAATTGAGAGGATTTTGTGCCTCGAAATAGGAGACCGATCTCAATCTATTAGCTGGAGCCGTAGGTAGGGCTCCATCCAGTCTGCTGAATCTTTTTCCTTTGCCGAATAGTGGCAACAAATGGTGCAATTTTGGTGTAGTCGGTACAATTGGAGATGCTACTCTCCGTTTCAAACAAGCTCAGGGGAAAGGTGTCGCCTCCCCAATTGGTTCAAGCCCAGCTTGGCTCTTAACAAATAAACATTGCCAGTCAAGGAGCCGAGCAACCAACTCATCGATTGATCATCATGGCTCCACGGTCCAACTGTAGAAACTTGGTGGTGGACTTGCCTATGATTGCCTCGATCGTTCTGGTGCTTTGACGATCTCGCTGGTTTCACCTTGTTTAATGAGGCACCCTCCCCCGTAGAGAGTAAATACTATGGATCTAGGTGGTAATAGGGAGTAGGGAGTAGGGACTCAGGGAGGTCCTCCGTACCGTAGTACTCCGTACCCAACTTCGTGCTCCTACTCCATTCTGTGGTCTGCACCGGACTCGTACTCGGTACGGGTATGGTTGTCTCCTAGAGTCCCAAAGGCGTTCACCGTTGATTTCCTTCTCCCGTTTATGACTAACAATTATTCGAACGGACTAATCAAGGAGAGAACGGCTGCGGGCTTGAGGCCTACCACAACCCCCAATCGGACTAATACGAAGAACCTGCTCCTAAGGAATTAGAAGTCGTGTAGTGGCGTCCACCTTGATGCACAAGTCACATCTTACTTTCGTTAAAACTGTAGAATACCTTTGTCAACATAATAAGTACCGCTTCGTTTTTTCGACGGACCAGGATAATATATAAACAATACAAGATATGGAGCAATCAAACTTCCTGCGACATGACGTGGGACAATCTTTCCCTCAGTGTTCTGTCCCACGATCATTCTGATACCGAGACGCTTATAGAGCATACTCGTACCTCTAGAAGCAGTTCTCGAAACACTGCAGTGATACTACTCAAACGCCATACGGGGAAAACGTCTGGTAGCCAAAACAAGATCAATCACAATCCCCGACGCTACTCATGACTTTTTCCCATTCATGGACTCGGTGCGGATATTGATGAGCGAGGAGTTGGTCACCAATTTTGAGCTTGCCCATGTGGTTCTCGAGCAGTAAAGATATATTTTTACACACACTAGTCTCATCAATCGATACGCTTGACTTTCTCACTCCGTAACCGTGATCATGGTGGCGCTTTTGGCGTTGCGACAAAATGAAGCTTGAATATGGTGAAAGAAGCTTGGGCCTGAACTCCTTTTATGGAGATCAGGTCACTTAGTTAGAGTCGTACACGTTCCAGGTTACAGGACATGCCTATTAACCATGGACTTAGTACTCCTAGTCTCATGCGTCTGAGAACACTGGCAGAGTACCTTGCGGATAACGCTTTGCAACAGTGGCAACGTGTTCAGCGTGTCACTCTCGGGTTCAGGTCAATCCCGAATAATTTGAACAAATTCGATATTGCCTGGCATGGCGAATAAAACAGCGAGCACATTTTTCACACGACAGTGGACTACAGTCTCGATACAATACCGAGTAATGGTCACTAGATTTCTTTTGATGCGAAATTATTATTGGATGTGAAGCGGAAACGAACCAAACGAAGACACATGATAGATCTACGCTAATGAGAGTGCAAGCTTTCCACCTTTGCAGGTGAGGTATCCGTACGAGATGCTACTCCCTATGGAGGAATTCCCCTTCTGACTCCTCGTAAAACTCCAGAGGCGACACACTAAGCGCCCATTGCGCTCTCCTTTCTTCTCAACCTCCTGTTCAACAGTATCTCCCGAGCATTCCACCATGGTTCATATTTTCAACCTCAAGTTCGATTGGACAAAGTATTGAGTGAAATGTCGCATCAACATAGACTTCCAGCAACGTCTTCATGATGGAAAACAGGTCCGCAACTGAATGATGTCAGGTATCCGGAACCAAACTTCCGAAGCTCAAGCTTGGGTCAACGATACATACAGCCCACGAAGTGCTTGTCGCGTATTCAACGATATCCCGGGCTCTCAGCCAGTATAACAATGATTTGGGAAGTCTTTTCCTTCGGCCAATGCGATCATGCTTGTTCCTGCAGGTATCGGTAATCCCAGCCAGTCAACTACTCACAAGGCTCGCCTACTCCTGTGTCGTGAATCGTGACCTCATCTATCGTCGAGGCGAATTGACAGTTGTGAAAGATATTCCCGGATGTGATGCCTTGGGAAGTAACACATCCATGCTACTCTCAGGTTTGCACACGAGGAAACGCAAGGTTGGTTCAGGCTGGGGGGAATGTTGGCATGGTCATGCTGAAATTCCGATCCTGCATCAGGAACTGGTATCCGCCTTTGCCTAACGTCACCACTCTTAAAGGCCTTTCACCACATCCTTGCCATCCACTGAGTCAAACAGCCTCATGATCAACATTACAGAACATTCGTCTTTTCGCGCCCCACTGTTTAGCACATCTTTTGAACACTAAGTCCAATGCATCATTCGAGGCGTCATAACTGAGCTCTTCTTGCAATCTTTGAAGTACCGAGAATATCTAGCGAGCAAGCCGAGGTCGAATATTGCTTGGTTTCTGCCGGAGCAGTGGATAGACAGGAACTGATGGCAAGGAAAGCAATATCCGTGATCCACCGACTTGCCACAATGCAACAGGCTGAGTCTATGATATACTCAAAAATTGTCAGTTAGCACGAAAGAATGACGAAGACCTCGCCATTTCGGCTTTGTCGGACTACTGTGAGGTCATACACACTCCATCAACGCTTGCCAAAGATCTATAGCTATATTGCTTCAAGTCCTCTTCTACGGATATCCCTCTCCAGACATTCATTCATCTCAGAATAAGTCAAATTGTTGCAATGAAGTCCTATACTGGTATTCTGCTGAGCCTCGGTGCTCTGGCAGCTGCAGCGCCCCAGGTCACTCTGACACCTGCCAGTGGACCAATTCCACCCGTTCGGAGTGCTGACCCAACAGGGGAGACATCGCATGGTCCATTCGAGGGCACACCTACGACAACAGGTGCTCTTTCTGCACCTCCGCAGGCACAGTCTATCGCTCCCCTTCCACCACTACCCGTGACCTACAGCAACGAGAACGGCGAGCTACAAGCAGGATTTCAACCCGTCCCCTATCAACCAGCGGGTGGTGCTGGTACAAATGGCACCGAGCCATATTATCATCCGTTGTCGGACTTCGACTACGAATCACTCACTCTTGCACTTTATCAAGAATGGATTGAATTGGATCTCTTCAACAACGGTCTAGCTACCTTCTCGGATGCAGATTTTGAGGCCGCTGGGCTGACGGCAGAGGATCGTTATCTGATCTCATTTATGGCAAACCAAGAAATTGGCCATTCGACATTGCTCAGCAACATTCTCGGTGCGGCAGCACCACCTCAATGCACATACAACTATCCCTTCACAACGGTTCGAGAGTTCATCGATTTCAACCAGAAGCTCACTAGATTTGGTGAGAGCGGAGTTTACGGTTTCCTTGGTCATTTGGATTCGCGCGAATCCGCTACACTTCTGCTTCAGTCGATTACCACTGAGGCTAGACAGCAACTGATCTTCCGTCAATTCAACGGCCTTTTCCCTATGCCTGTTTGGTTTGAAGTCGGAATACCCCAATCTTGGGCTTGTAAGTGAAGTCTACTGCCTTCTGGTTAACGTTAACTAATATATCACAGGGACTCTATTGGCACCATACATTTCCAGCTGCCCGGCAAACACGACACGTCTTGCGTGGCAAAATTTCCCATCTTTAAGCGTGGATAATCAGCCAAATCCTGCCAAAACCGATCCAAACCTCGGACCACCTGAGAGCGTTACTGGTTCAAACCCTTTGAACAGTTCCAACATTGCGGATGATAACCTTTGCGTCAATAACACGGACTTGTTGAACGACTGTGGTCCTGCGATTAGCCAAAATAAATCCATCCCTCTCTCATATCCTGGTCGTCCCATTCAATTTTCTTGGGGCAATGTGAATGAGACCGTCGGGCCCAACAATAGCTACGTGACTGCGCGATCGCCTCTAGCAGACGAGCCACGTTACGCCATGTTCGTCTCTCAGCTTAACGCCACCTATGTTCCCCTGGTCAACGTCAGTGGTACTTCCGGCGCCGCAATCCAACCTAACATGTCGACTTTTGAGGGAGATCCAGCTGTTAATGGAACAATGTTCATCGTTTTGACCAGTCAAAATCCTTATCTGACGCCGTTCAACTTGTCCATGATCAACCCTTTCGTCTATGCAGGTCCAGTACTGTACCAAGCGGGATAAGCAAAGGCAGTTGACAGAATATGATCTGGCGATACATCCACAAGAATATGTCGGTGATTGTCAGTGTTTAGGGTCAAACTTTGATTGGTTTGGACTAACATTGTTGCGATTCTGGTCAAGCATATATCACTTTTGTAATAATCAATAATATAATCGATTTGACTATGAGATTCACAATTCATTACTTTCTTCACGCTTAAATCGAGGCATCATGACAAATCCACGAGTTTCATAAAAGCCATCGCGATCCTCAAATGTACCACACTTTATGGATCTTTAACTACCCAATGTTTATCACGAGTTTGACGTCTGTCAGCCAGTCAACCCATCATGTCAGCCACAACTGATAGACGTTGAAGACGTGTAGTCACCTAACAACTCAAAAAAGTGGCACAGGAAAGATTGCATCACCCCAATCACCTCTCCACATGGACTTCGCCAAAAGTTGTACCGATAGCATGGGCCTTGATGGTTGTTGACTTTGCTATTGCTCCGGGCAGGAAGAATGTCCTGCCACTTGCGGAAAGCCAAGGCTTGAGATTACGCTGTGATACATAGCACAACACAACTCCTGTACGACATCCCCGCCATTGAGAGCTTATCTCTCCTCGATAATCCTTATTCTGGGATGCGAAATCAATGAGATAGACAGGAGTCTCCTCAGGAAAACATGCGTGGCCGAATACCAAGCACTATGACTGTGTCAGTCCACGAAAATACGAAGTATGTTCCGGTTGGCACTCATGGGCTAAGAAAAGTCTTGGGGCAACGTCATCGTCAAACTCTCTGTTGAGCACAAGCTTGCTTGTTCGTTTTTAATCTTTCCTGCACGTTTGAAATCATACATTTTATATCCTAATAATCTCATCGATTTGAACATCATATATAACTCTCCTGAGTGCGCTTGGCTCATTTTTCAATCAATTTGGACCAATTTTGGTTCATTAGATGCTGTGGGTGATATAAATCTACCAATAGCCAGGTTCAAGTCCTTGTCGGCACCCATTTTTACTGGGACGTGGTAGTGTATCTTATCTAATTGTTTGTTTGGATTCAACATGCCGTTCAAATCAACATTTAATGCCTTGAAAGGCCAGCTCAAAGATCTACAAAACGAAGGCCAGAAATTTTTGGGGGGTTCCTCGCAGCCTTCGGGCCAGCCACAATATCAATATAACCGACCGCCGCCGCCACCCCCTCAGCATGCAGCTATGTTTGCCCAAGGCAATCCCGGTGGTGGTCAACCAAATCAAGGAGTATACTGGGCCGCTCGGTTCGACCCAAATACCCAGATCAGCCAGGAATGGGAGGAGAAATTGGGCAACAACAATGGCTGGGGAAATAATGAGCTTCAACACTACACGAACGACAGGGTCAACTCTTTCTTGTAAGTGATTTAATCTCCTATGGTACTACATAAACTCTTCTGTTCTAAAGATCCTCTATCCTTGGCGCATAGGTCGGAAGTGCGGCGATGGAAACTTGGCCGCACCAGAATTTGATATGGTGACATTGTGAATCTGATATAAGAACAGTACACCAAATAATCTTCTTGTCCTGCGCGCAATTTCGGCTCCAACAACTCCTGATCCAGCACGAAAGTACACTTCGGCACGGCTCGTGTCCCGCCAGCGGCTGGGCCGTCCCAGGGGTAGCCTTGTAGCAACCCTTACACTGCCATGTGCGGCTGGTATCTGGCCCGCCTTTTGGCTTCTCCCTTTTGAACCGTTCACATGGCCACACGAGGGTGAAGTCGATATTGCCGAAACCTGGAACGGCGATGGAATCAACCACTCGTGTCTTCACTGGGGCTTCTACACTCCGGAAGATAATTGGAAGCATCGTGTGGTGGGCACTTTTGTTCAAGGTATGCAGCAGGGACGTCCTGTAAGATACGAGTTCGCCTGGAACCAGGATGAAGGGTCTGGGCAAGGACGAATGGTGTGGTACATTGATGGACGCCCGGTCATGAAGGCCCCCATTCCGCAAGGGACCAGAAAAATGGCAGACTTTGTGATACTGTTGAACATTGCCATGGGTGGAAATGTGACTCAAGGACGTACCCCGGATGATGGTACTTACGATTTTGTTGTTCATGAGCTGAAGATGTTGGATCAGCCAGAGAATGGTGGATGGGGCAAGTTCGATCAAGATTTCAATATCACCCGCGAAGGTGACACCATTTAGTGAGCCTTCATGACTATAATGCACGAACGCCCAAGCGCTATTCAAGACCGATACGACGATATGAGATTACAAATGATATATTTGATGATAGAATGATTACACACTATGAGAAATGAACCTCGATCGATCAATCGATAGTTTTTGGTACCCATAGTTTCCACGACTCCGACTACCGTACCAACTCCCAATCCCGATCCAACCACGAGTCCCCCGTCCAGCTGTACACAACATCCAAAATGCTCAATACCTCAAACCCGTCCAGCGATCGAAAATCCTACAGGGATTCTCCTTGCCTAGTCCTCAGCCAGCTCAGCTATTGCGCTCATAGGCACGAATGGGCGAGATGAACGCCTTGATTGACCTGGCAGTCGAGTTTGCTTGACGTTATCGGCCTTCTTCATAGGATCGGACGTCATGAGAAGGACTCGAGCCTCAGTAGTGGGCTCTCCGTTGGACTTCCTCGGCACCCTCGTGTCATGATATTTGCAACTCAATTTCTGGCACCTGGCCCAGATGATCCTCTTCCTCCCGGTTTGCTTCACATCCTTGTCCGCCGGCGTTGGTGCAGGTGCGCTTACCATGCGACATTTGCCTGCCACCAGCGGCATGTTCGCATTAGCAGACCCGACCACTGCTTCTCTTGCATGTCGTAGTTCCCTCTCTGCTTGGGTCATCATCCCATCCCATAATTTCAGAGCCAGATGGATCTCGCGAGCGTCTGCTCCAGAGGTAAGTACGAGAGTAATATAGGAGTTTATATCCCTGAGTATCCTTGACCAATACATGAAACGGCCGTCAGAGCCATAGACGGATGACCAGCAGCTGGGTTTTGTGGGGTCGAATTGCTTGTAGGTGATCCCAGCGCACTTCCGGGCGTAGAAATGTGCCGTCGGTAGTGTGCAGCACTTACATTGTGCGGTGGGGAAAAGTGCTAGCCATATGCCGTCAGCTGCCCGCCCATTAAAGTTCCGGGTTTCATGTCGATGGCGGTCTACAAGCCGGTAAATGAACCTTTCTGTCTCCACAATATCACTGTCGACCTCCCTCCACACAAGTGTCTCTATTGGCTTTTGAGGGGAGCCAGAGATTGAGCCAAATGAATATCGACGACGGTCATCGCCATCGCCGCTACATCGTCGATGTGATTGACGCTCTCTCGTTGGATCTGGCGTACACTCATTGGAGAAGAGGTTTGATCGTATCGATCGGACGAACTTACTCCTCTGCTTCGTGTCACTAGGACCGCCTGGTGTTTTCAATGAAGCACCCATCGTAGAGTAGATAGAATTTCTTCAGGTTGAACCTAGAGTGGACGACATTTCCAAGTATTCGAACGTTGGTGGGTTTCTGAGGATCGCTGTTGCTCTATTGTTTTGCTACAGAATTCGATATGTTTGAGAATGATTCCAGGGTGCTTCTTATATACCTTAGGAGATTTTGAATTCTGGGGTCCTCGGTCACGGTAGGTCCTCATGACAGGCTTCATTCAAAACTCAATATCCAGGTCGGTGGGTCTGGGGTATCCACTGTAAGTAATGGATCACAAAAGGATCTTTCAAACCCTGTGCCCGTTCTGCGAACCCAGAAGAATTTGCCTACGGCGTCCTCCCTCAAACCATAGTAAAATACCGCAAAATCTCAATTCAAGCTCACTTGAACGTCACATGAAGTTCACTGGTTGAACTACGACGAGACAATCTTACGGAATTGAGCCAGGTGGAACTTAACAGATCTGGATTATTCATTGCAAGAAGTTTCTTCATTAAAGCGACTTGCCATGGCGAGATAGGTGGTAAAACTCTTCTCATCTTTGTTCCATCGACTTCTATCCACAACACCGACTGAAGCGACACAACAAGATGGTCCACACTCCAACCACAAGACTGAGTTTCCCTCATTGAGAGTTCTCTTCCTGCTCTTTCTTCATAGCATCCCAGCGCGCGGCCACTGCACGCTCTGCCTCCTCTCTGATAGCCTTTCTCTTCTCCTGCGTGTAGCCGTCCTCGTCTTCACCTCCTGACTGGTAGTCGTGGTCCCAGTCGTGTTTCTCGTCAACCCCCATCTCCCAGCTCTCTTTCTTTGGCGCCCCAGCCAGGCCTTCGGTGGCGAGCCATGGTTCTCTGAAAAGAAGGACCCGGAGACCTCGAATTGCTCCTCTGATGGTCACGCAAGTGCCACATTTTTGAGGAATTCGGATGGTTGGAACTGGTTCAGTACCATCGCCACATTTGCGGGTATCTTCGTCGTAGTCCTTACAGGAGCTGTACTTGTTCTGCTTGCAGTCGATGCAGTGATATTTGAAGCACATTGTAGCGGACTGTTTTTTGTTTTTTGTTTTTGCTTTTTCGTTGTTTCCTGTTTTGTTGTTTTGTTGTTTGGGTTTTTTCGGGGGAGTGGAGGGGCAGGGGTTTGAATGAACGAATGAAAAGAGAAAACAGGTCAAATTCTCTGTGGCGAATGACGAGAGGAGAATTAGAAGACTGTACTGGAAATGTGGTGGTGGTGGTGGTGTGTTCTCAATGTGGAAATTTGGTAGAACTGTGATACAATGGGCGATTTCGCGGACGGCGGGATCGAACTGTTTGAGAACTCTGAGTTGTCGGCGTCGTGGATTGTGTTTCGGTGTCCTGTGTCTCCACGTCCTGTTCAGAACCAGGCACGTCGCGGAATTTGATGAAGTCGAATTCGAGGAGAAACATATGAATGAGGATAGCAAAGTTGAGTGGTGCAAGTGAAACGGCCGCCGTTACGTCGTTCTTTGCAAACTTGAGGAGAACACGCTTCCAGGAGTGGGCGACTATCTTCGCCTGCTGCTCGAGCAACAGTCCGTTCGACACAGAGTAGACATCCTTCTCAGCCAGCATCCAGACTACGTGCTTTAGCATTCGCCTACGACATTTGATTGCATTGGCAACTTCATCAGCATCAGGCTCCTCCTCCTGAGGCTGGTAGTGTGCTTTGAACAAGGCTGGCCCCTTGATTCCGCTGGGAAATAACACCACTGTGTGCTTGGAAGGGATCATCAGAGGCATATTGAGATCGAGATAGTGGGGCTTCTTTGAGTTTGGAGAAGGGTTTTGAACCTCGAATATGAGTGGAGTGTACTCTGCTTGGAAAGCTTTGAGGGCATGAAATGAGTGGAGCATAATGGTAATTGTGGATGTCAAGCACTGATGCCTGCTTAAATACCTCTAAACTTCCCATTGCACAGATCGAGCTCGCATTCTTTTGTGCAGGAGATCAATCTGATGGTAAGTAATAGCCATTAAGACGCTGCGATCGATGGCCTTTCTGTAAATCATCGGCGAATAGCGTCGCTCGATCGCGCCTGGATCGATAATGTGCGATCTAGCATTCATCGGCGAATAGCGCGCACATAGATGGTCACAGTCGATCGATCTCGGTGTGCCTCATTGTGAATTTTTGTGCGCAGGATCAACGCAGACTGGGACAGAGATCACTCCTTTTCACTGAAAGGGGTGATCAACACACAACGGCGTGTTGACAGTTCATCCATTGCTTTGTCTTGCGGATTGGCAAGAGACATCATGTCGAACGATCCAGAGATACAATATGTACCACATTATGAAGATCAAGATGGCTTCACGCTTGTGAGGACCTATGGCACACCTTACCACGAAAGAGCAACTGGTGTGTATCATGAAGAAGCAAGGATGAAGTTGTGATATGTGACAAGCTAATGCAGCCACAGTTACGCCACACCGGAACAGGATAAACCATGCCACCGAAGGCATCCCTTACCAGCCACAGGCTAGGACTCAACATCATCACCAACGTCACCAACGTCCTCAACATCAACAATTACCTCTTCCATTAATCACCCTTACCGTAAGTCATATTCATCACGTCAAGGTCGCTATGGCTTCTCAGCACGATCTTTGCTTCCTTTTCTGATGTGCATATCTTAACTGACAAACAAAATCCGGTCAGCCACCAACCGAGATGGATCAACCCGAGCATCATTTCACCGTCTTCGTACGGATGCCATACAAGCGCGGCACCTTTGTTGATCCTCCTCCAGTCGTCTGGAACACCACCAAAGAACATGCACTATGGGATATTTTATCAAGAATGGCCAAAAACAGCGACACGGATTGGAAATCCTTGGCTGAGCAGTTCGAAGTCTCGGAACGATTCCTCCTCCAACAAGCTGCCTGGCTTTATGAGCGTAATCTACAACAGGTTCGTGCTCATATGAGACGTGTGGGGAATAGCAGGCAGTCTGCCACCCCTAGTCCAGTCCCTGGATCAACTTCTGCCAGCATGGTCGGTGGTCAGGCCATGAGAAGGACTGAAAGCGGTGGATCACGTGTTCCATCCAGACTTTCAACCCAAGCATTGGGTAGTCCCACTGTTGGCGGCGGGGATAGTACGCCAGGTACTCCTGCAAAGAGCAGAGCTTCTTTACCATTTCGAAATGTCCCTGGCAGCGGAAATGCTGGCCCGCCCCAGATTCGAGCTGTGTCAGCCACTGCAAGACCACTATCCCGCCAGTCTTCCAAGGATGCAGACAACGCAATCGGCCATGCCTCGTTGCAGTCAAGGCGTGGAAGCATTCAGCATCATATCAGCCGCTCGCCAGGACAACCACGCACTATTCTGCAACAGCAATCCCAGGCTCAACCCCAATCATCAGACTCTGATGAAGAAATGACACAATCACGAATGCTCACGAGAAGGCCTAATCCGTCATCAGTCAATCGTCGGGGCCTCTCTCTGCGAAAGGATCTTCAGTCGCAACGTGGGATTGCAGCTAGCCAGGAAGACTCAAATACCAATGCTCAACACTCAATCTCTGACGACGATGACGATGATGACTCTCCCTCATTCCTACCGTTCGCAACGCCTAGTACACAACCCAGCAATCTTGATTCTAAGCAACGTCCGTCATCTTCTTCACAGCAAGATCCCAGTGCTACTCTGCGTGGAGAATTTGCCCAACAGCCTGGCCCGTTCCAAACGCAGAATGCTCGGCCCGGTATTCATCGCCGAGGAACTTCTGAGCGCGTCTCATCACCCATAGTCGAACCTCCAACACCGAGAACTGCCCAGGATATCACAAGTTCTACGTCCTCAATTTCAAGCCCGACCACCGAGACTCACCCAAGTACGACTGCAACATATGTCACGGCTAGAACGCATCAATCAAACGTGGGTAGCAATGTCTCTCGTCAAGCTCAAGCCACACATGCATTCAACCGAACAGGAAATGTCAATCCTTTGAGTCCACCTCATCGTGCACTTTTGCCTTCCTCACCACGACGTCATGCAACTGGTGCGGGTAGTGACACAAGCCCCAGCATGGGAAGCTCGTTCTCGGATCTTGACGATGCGAGCGTGACACAGTCAGCTTTAGAGGAGGCACTTCTATCAGGCATGGGTAACACAACGATGACGATGCATGGAGGTGTTGCTGGTAGAGTTAGTGGCATCAGCCAGGCTCTCAGAAGTCGATACTTTGACTCAAGAGGGAATGGAACCGGCGAGCGTTAGGCAACAGTGCTATCGAACGATCGGAGAGAAGGCGATTGAGCGGTAATGAACGAGCATTCATGGATAGCACAGCAGATGCAGTAAGCTTTTTGAAGGATAAGTCGTTGGCTCTTGATTTGGCGCAACGTCGTATTTGATTGCTTCTTCTCTATCCCAGAACGACATAGCCATGAACGAAGTCTTTCCGCAAGAAGTGGCGCGCGCTATGAACAAGAAACCTTGCTCCAATCGCGTTTGGTAGTGGCACTTCGTTAGTCAGGCATTAATCATTCTCCAGTACTGAGTAGTCAGTCAAATCAGAAAGAGGAAATGCTCAACTTGGGTTCAGCAGGTGGCGCCAGTATAAACTTCTGGCTCCAGGTCTTGGCCTATTGTGTGGCGCATCCAACCCTGCATCCCTGGCACTCTTTGTCATGGTGCTAGCGTTTCCTTCCACACAAGCAATTGCAACAGACGAGTGTACCAGCGAGAAACAGCCCTGCAAAGCATTATTCATCATTCGAGTGGATAAATATATGTATTGAACCTCGCTTGGGTAAAGTTTACATTGACGAGCCATTCAATGCATAAAGTAATCTTTATCTCCCATCCAAGGATATAATTTATGCTTCTCAGAGGAGAGATGCAACAGACAGGTATTCAAAAAAGCCCACCACCAGTGGTCAGTTACATTTTTGCATATCAGCCCAAGAATACGCTCCAACCCTTCACGCAGCATATCACCAAAGCATTCTGGCTCAAGCATAAGGCCCAAGTAATGGCCTCAACCACTATAATCCCGAGCGAGATGATCACGGTCACAGTTCAGCCGACGACGCCATTAACGGCCACACAATCCAGAATACCAGTCCCCACCTCCCTCGCACCAAACGAGGTCCTTATCAAAGTACATGTTGCTGCGTCAAACCCAAAAGACTGGCTTCATCTAGTGACAAGAAAGCTCTCTATCAACTCAGGCGATGACCTTGCTGGAACAGTTGTCGCGACCGGAAACGAGGTCACTCTCCTTCGCGTTGGAGAGCGAGTAGCTGCGTTTCATCCTATGTTCGCACCATACGGTGCTTACGCTGAATATTCGGTGGCTCCTGCACACACAGTTCTGAAGATCCCAAGCACAATGTCCTACGAGGAAGCGGCAACCATCCCACTTGTCACAACAACGGCGGCACTGACCTTGTTTCGTCGGCAAAGGTTTGTGGCCCCGTGGGAAATCTCCCCGACCGCGGAGAAGACGCACAACGCAAAACCTCTGCTCATCTACGGCGCATCCACGTCTCTTGGACTTTATCTCGTAAAACTTGCAAAATTGGCAGGTATCGGTCCGATTATCGCGATTGGAGGCGGCAGTAGCAACTATCTTGAGAAGCATCTTGATGGGAACGTCGGAGATGTCTTTCTGGATTATCGATCTGGCACGTCAAAGGTCCAGGAAGCTGTAAGAACCATTCTCGTCGAGAAGGGTTTGGACTTGAAGCATGCTATCGATGCATACAGTGAGAGTGGAAGCTGGGTGAGCATCGCACAGCTTTTGACCACTGGCGGGAAGTTAAGTGTCTTCTCTGGTGCAAATCAATATGCTGAGAGTGAGATCCCTGCATCCGTCGAGATTCTCTATACTTTCGTCGGTACAGCACATGAAGGAGCGTACAGACCTGGAATGCCAAAACAACCACCACCTGACGAGGCACGAGGAGACATTGCATTTTCAGAACAACTCTTTCGATGGTTGGAGGAAATGATCGGGCAGGGAAAATTCGAAGGCCACCCGTTTAAAGTCGTTCCCGGTGGTCTTAATGGCATTGCAGACGGACTGAATATTCTTAGAGATGGTAAGGCCGCGGGGAGGAAACTCGTTTATCATGTTGTGTAGACCTGGTAAGTACCAAGTAAGAACGAATATGCTGAGTCTTACTAAGTACTTCTCAAGCCTTTGACCGATACTAGGTACTTAGTACTGTCTGCCTAGTTGCTTAGAAAGTCTTGCTACAGAAGACGACCAATTCAGTGACCACGTTGTTCTTCAATGGCTTTGGTAAGCTACCGTCTGTTTCCCATCGAACCAGTAAATCCTCCACATCAGTGTTGCTGCCCACTTGCAGTCCTCCTTTATCGACGATGTTGCTCACTGTGACAGGAATTTGTGATCTTGCTTGAGTTGGCAAATGCTCGAACACAAAGTCGACGATAGGTCTGGGATCTACTAGTAGGTTGGAGAAGATATCACTCACGCAGATGACACGATGACGCTTACTTCGTTTCGTCTTCCGAAAAAACCACATCCGCCTCGTACTTTTGCAAGAAAGAAACGCATGGGCGCACCAACGGACGATGAAGTAAGAGTACGAAGACTAGGTAGTAAGCCTTGTCATTACCTACTTCGTAATATTCTACGGGGAATCTCCTGAGCTTAGCGGCGAGCTGCATACCTTTCTTGATCTAGCGCAAGGCTCCAGGCTCCGCCGAAACAATGCTCCGGGCGCCTACGTCATCGCGGCTCTCTCGGGTTTTAGTCCGCAGATTCATCTCTCAGCTCTCGAGGTGCAAACGATTTCGCTCTCAATCCAGGCTTTCGCGGCTACCTTGGTCATCATGTCTTCGCCGCAGGGATGCAGTGGGGATAGGACAATGTGGACCACTCTCTATCACACAATACAAAACGGAATTGGGTGATACTCGCTTCCCCTACTTCCAAATCACCAATTTTTGTGCTGATTTGATGATGGTGTATTGTGGAAAGCCTTCCAAAGGCTGTGAAAACTGTCGACAGAAAAGAGCCAAGGTACGCTGTTAGCCTTCCCCAAATGTTCTCGACCTCTCCCTTAACCGAACGGAGTAGTGCGATCAGAAAAGGCCTTCTTGTAGCCAGTGCATCAACAAGGGCCGAAAGTGCCTTGGATATCGAGATGAGATTGATCTAGCATTCCGCGATGAGAATCACAGGATCGTGAACAAATACCATCAGGCAGCTAAACCCAAAAACACTAGTACCAACAAAGATCAGTCCAGGTTACATCAAATCGGTCAAAAAGGGGTACACTATCCGGCGGCCACGAAGTCAGAACAGATGTGCCCCACCATCACAGAGCCAATTCAAGACGTGGCTGTCACGTTCCTCCTCAACGAGTACATACGAGGTTCACAATTTGCATACCTGCCTGATGTTTACAGCAATATTGAGACCACAGGTGTTCTGTCGTCTACAATAAAGGCCGCTGGACTGGCGAGTTTATCGCTTTCTAGGAGGCAACCTGCGTTGCTAGACAAGGCTCTGAAGTTTTACGCCGAGGCCATCACCGATGTCAACAACGCCTTACAGTCTCAAGAGGCTGCACAGGGTGATGATGTACTCGCTTCAATCATGCTACTCTCCTTCTACGAGGCACTGACTCTTCGCAAGCCTAATAGTCCCAAGGCATGGTCAACACATGTGCACGGAGCATTGTCTTTGGTGGCTCTCCGTGGTCGGAAGCAATTCCAATCAAAGATTGGTCTTGAAATTTTCAAACAGGTTGCTAATAGCATCAAACTATTCTGCATACAGAATCACACGAGAGTACCCAGCCAGCTGTGCGAGATGTTGGACTTCATCGCCTGCAATACAGAAACACATGATATTGCATTTACTCGGCCATCTGTCACTGAAGCTTTTGCAGATCTTCGAGCCGATATTGCCGAAGGAATTGTGTCTGAGCCAGAAGATATCATTGCAAAATGCGACATCATGCTCCAAGTCGTTGACGATTCTCTACTGAGTCTTCCACCCAGCCACCGGTATGACCATATGGTGGAAAGTAACCCCTCCATTTCTGGTCATCGAAAATTTCATCTGCAATTCGGGGATCACCATATCGCCCAAATGTGGAACACAGCATGGATGGCCAGAATTACGCTGAATTTGATGATATATGAGCAGGACCTGATCGTCTCGAAAATTCAACACCCGTCAGACACGATCTTAGCCCCCAACGAGACTAGGAGAGCGCTTAGAGCTCGAAAGGAGGTCATGGATGCCACTGAACATATCTGTGCTACTATTCCAGAGCTCTTCCGGTGGGTACCTCAACAAGTATCAGTTTCCACGGGCTACTCACTCATTTGGCCACTTTTTGCTGCGGGGGCAAATCCACTGGTATCACCGTCAATCAGGGACTTTGCCATCACTCAGCTGAAACACATAGCTAGTGAATTCAGACTGCCTCAAGCTCAGTGGGCCGGGAATATGTTGGTTGCCGGCACAAGTACGGAAAAATGGATGCATATATACCATGTCTTCTGATATCCAGTCTTTCACGTCACTTTACCAGTGAGGAAAATAGCCCGTCTACAAAAGCGCAACCAGTCCTCGGTTTTGACTTTACAGTTAAGCTTCAACAAGAGGCGCATCATCCGAATCTGCAATGGCTTACAATGCGCGAATTCCCCGGATGGAATGGACCTCGACCGCGCTTTCCCATTTCGGCATGCAGTTCGCCAGGCACCAATAAAATAGCATGATCCACAATTCCGATCTTTCGAGTTCGCCATAGAGTCGTCCCTGACCGAAGCAACCTGGCTACTTAGTATTCTGGCAAAATCCCAGCCTTATTAAAGCGCTCGCATCCCCTCGACGAAGACATGCTCGCCGCTGAAGACATCTTGTGCCTTCACCCTGATCAGATTCGATATCCGTCTGGCCTCAAACTCTCCGAATTTACCCTTTCACAATTACCTGGCCAATACAATGGGGCAATTCACATATTCCGATGGGGTCGCTACTGGCAAACTCGTCTACTACATACCGGCACTCGTGGCTAGCATATTGGTGGCTTCTCGGCATGGCTTCAGGAAGAGTTCGGGTTGGATCTATCTCACAATATTTTGTGTCATTCGGATCGTGGGCTCAGTAGCCCAGCTGATATTGATATCAAATCCAAGTTCCGACGGAGCAAGTACAACTGCATTGATATGCACGGTATTGGGACTGGCACCTTTGCTACTGGCTTCTCTCGGTTTACTAGCACGCTGCTACTATTCGATCTTGAAACAGCCCTGGAGCACGGTATTTTCACTTTTCGGCCTCAGGGCCGTCCAAATCCTACCTACTGTGGGCCTTATTCTCTCCATTGTTGGGGCTACGAACGCGAACACCGCAGCCGAGATCGACAAGCAGGACACAGTCAAGATAGGAGTGGTTTTGTTCACTGTGTCATTCGCAAGTATCTGCCTCTTGTGCGGCATTGCTTCACTCCTGGCAAAAAAGACGAAGGGTGGAGAAAAACGGCTGATTAGAGCGGTCGCTTTTGCATTGCCGTTCTTGTTGGTTCGGGTGATCTACTCTCTCGTGGCAATGTTTGGCAACCGTAGCGACTTCTCACTCGGAAATGGCTCAACTGCAGCAGTCACGATCTCACTGTTCATGGAAGTGTTGGAAGAATGTGCTGTGGTACTTATATATGTTTTTACTGGGCTAAAACTACCCACAGTACCAGTCGACGCTGACGAGGATGGTGTCAACCTGGCATGTCGATCTGAACGAGGGGGCTTTGGGAGCGGCAAGTTCGGGCTATTCTCACTTGGTGCTGCCGTGCTGGGTCGAGCTACCAAGAAACATAATGGCTATGGGGATGTTCAATCACGATAGAGCGATGGCGAGACGAGACCGCGCGCCCCGACCCCGCGAGCAGAATTTTCAGGCCGTGTCAAAATCGAGAATACAATCAGTACAACTGGCACCATGAACATAGATCTACAGACTTGAAATTCACCGTCAGGCAAGCTCGCCTTTCGGGAAAGACCCAACAACACGCACTTTCGATACACAGAGTCACAGAGAGTCTCGAGGTATACACGTGGTAATGATACATCTAGTATATTTGAGACAGAGACTTCCAGCTAGCTACTTACGCAATACATATGTCTTCCATACCATATACTGGGTCAGTAGGTATGTATCATGAAAGACATGTCAACTTTCTCTTGTGGCCATGGTCAACTGGTCAACTGGACCCCAATAGGCAATCACTAGGATTGATATCCATGTCGAGTTCTTAACATACTTAGTATTTTCTTGTGCTTGTATAGAATAACTATACCGAATAGATTTTCATCTGATCCCATACTTGCCCTCAATTACGTAGTATACTTCCTTCCCCCCAGTACACAATCCTTTACAAGGACGACTTTGCATCATTGGTGAAGGTTGCCATCTCAGCCGCACCACTGACGTTGGCCAGCCAGGTGGCTCGCTCACTGACATAGAGTTCCGCCGCAATGCCCGAACTCAGCAGAGTGTTGTCATGGAGGGTTCCCGCTTGTACAAGCTTCAACCCTTGGAACATGTCTGCGCTTCCCTCCTTGTAGATTGTGCTCCCGCACTGTGGACAGAAATAGATCGTGAGCGTCATTCCAGACTCATGCTCCTTTGCAAATTTCGTCGGGGTGCCCTTTTGCAGAACGAAATTCCCATCGGGGATCGCGAAGTTGACCGTGTTGCTGCTGCCAGAGACTTTGCGGCAGGTGATGCAGTGGCAGAGTGCCTAAGTTATGGTATGATCAATAAACATCCTTGCGGATTCAGGTGAGTATGGGAAGGGTCTAATGCCAAATACCTTTAATGCTGGCTCTCCAGAGTATGTGTAGGCACATGCACCACACCAGCAGCTTCCAGAAGGCATTTTAGATGAACGATAGAGGAAAATGCTAGTAAGTATTTGTATATTGATCGAGTTTGTTTGAGTCTGCAGGCTTCTGATTGTTTCAAGTTGTGAGACAGACTGTTCTCCTTCCACGGATCACACTGCTGCTTTATATACCACCAGGTAGTGGTCACACGAACCTGGAATACAACAGTGTCTGCGTGGTTTCTCGTAGTCAACCCGATTTCAATCGCGAACACGATCAACATCGGTGTTTGTCCGATGCAGTTGTTCTTCGCCCCAGAACACCTTCCACCTATCCAATTTGTCAATAAGAGAGTGAACACAGCCTTGCCATCGAGTGATTATTGTCAGAATACGGGCAGCGGCTCATGCACGTCGCAAAATTTAACAAATGCGGAGAGATGCCGGTTGGCGCCGGCTCTTTGGGGTCCACACGGGGGCCGTGTAAGCAGGCCAAGTGAAAATGTAGCATCCGGTTCGGCAAGAGATGTCATACGCAGAGCGAACACGAGATCTTCGTAATGATTTCGTGTTCTTGAGAGGTTGGAGGGTCTGGAAGTCTTCGTTGCTACCTCGTATCTGATGGTCGCTCCTGGCACACCATGAACACGACCCGGTACACTTGGTCGATGACAAGCCGAGGCCTTTACAAGATAACAGAGATGTCGCCTGAAAGATGAGTTCCCCGGTCGCATCAATGAGAACAAGCACTTGATGCCTTCATTGTCATAGAAATGGTTCGATCGGTTGCCAGAAGTCGAGGCTGTGCGACATGTCGACGACGTAGGGTGAAGGTATGTGCACGATTTTTGACTGATTTTCTCCGATGCACGCATGCCCGTTTCTTTTCGACCCAGCACTAATCTCTGCACCATCGCAGTGCGATGAAGCAAAGCCCGAATGCAGAAATTGTCTTCGTATTGGCAAAAAGTGTTCTGGCCCCTCGTCTGGAATCTTCATACTGCGCATGTTGCTACCAGCTGAAGTGTCTTGCTCAGAGTCGACATGGGTAATTCACCAAAAAAATGCGACCCACGGCAGCACGCTATCCCATTATCAACCATCACAAGCGGTAATACTCGAACAAATGTTCATGTCTCATTTCATCACCTCTTTCGCTCGTAGCATGACGGCCAAAAGCCGACGCCAATCATGGATGACTTATCTTCCCACTCTTCTCGTTGATTGCGAGTCGGTCAGACCTTCAATACGTGCAGCAACATTGGCATACTATGCATCATGTACAAATGATCCGGCCATTGAGAAAGAGGCGGTTCGATGGTATGTCGCGGCCCTCGCTCGTCAAAGACAATGTTTGTCAAGGCGATATGCTGCAATAGCGGACCATGGGGCCTCGGATTCCATACCAACAGATCAAGAGATCTGTACTTCTATGATGTTGCTGTATTTTGAGCTCATCCAACCAACAGCAACCGCCAGTTGGATAAAACATTTCAGTGGCGCCTGCCAACTAATGGTTTTGCGAAGGCCAGTCAACTGTCGGAGGGGTGTCTCAAGGCTCTTCCTGCAGAGCCTGAGAGTTCTCAATGTAAGTTTTAGGTCAACCACCTATCGCTTTATTCGTCTTTCATTAATGCCTGGCTAACATCGTCCCTAAACTCGTCTCAGGTTCGACACTCAATAAAATTCCACGCTCTAAGTCCTCTTGCTTCAGCTGAATGGCTTCAGAGTCACGAGCAAGTGGATACAGTCGGAGACTCGGATGAAGTGCTTGATATTTTGCTTGCTCTCCCTGCATATCTCTCCGGGCGACAACGCGAAATGAGGGAGGCCTGCAACTCTTCAAGCAGTGTGCCCCGGATTGTCGCAGAGAAAGCGAGAATCATCGACCTCCTCCATTGGCTCAGCAAATGTGAAAGTCGATATTCGAGCGAACATGGTCGAGAACACGAATTGATGATCAATCGTGACCAGTGCGATCTTGGTAGTGGAGACTTCTGCTATTTCGATGTTGGGGCAATGCTTGATTCAGCTATGATCATTATAGCTTACCTGATACTCTCACAACGTAGCATCTGGTCACAAGATGAGCGGAACTCGATCCAGGAAGAGCAACATCGGCGATCGACGACCATTGTCCTGAATGCACACCGAACGCTGAAGCTGAACCCGGACGGCCTGAATCCTGGTACATGTTTGCAATTCGTGTTTCCCCTGGAAGTTGTGTCGACTTATAGCTCTGATGAACTACAAAGAGAAGCTGCTCAGAACATCCTTGACGGAATAGGATGGGCGAGATTGTAGGTCGTGGGTGTTATGTCATCGACTTGAAGCATTTTGCGATCCTGCTCCTTGTCAGTCCAGCCTCGTCACATTATGTAATCACGCTGACGTAAATATTTTGGTGAGGCACCTGCAGTCCTTAGAATTTCTCGTGTCTGTGTTTCACGAATTGAAGGTATTGGATCGGTTCGTAGGCCTCTTGTAACCCGAGACACTTCCATCAGAGTGTGTGTATTCAGGTGGCAATCCTGACCTCCGTCAACGTCATCGAGCAGAATCAGATGTGGTCTCTTCTCCGCATCAATCCCGAGGTACTAAGTAAGTAAGTACTAGTACCATGTATGAACAACGTGTGGAGAAGGAGAGCTGCCCTGTCAACCGACTAGAACAGTGGCAGTATATTTACTCCTCGTTCCCCCTGAAATCTCGATAAAGTATGATAATTCACATCTTTCTTCCGCAGGGTCTCAGGATATCGTAGCATATGAACCATAAGGAAGGTGACCTACTCATAAGTACTAAGCTAGCAGTTTGAGGCTTTCGGACCTCTGAGGTACTGAATGTCGACCAGCACTGCGCCATTATCGGCATCGATAGGTCCTTCATACCCGGACTTGCGAGACAAGGTCGCACTTGTCACAGGCATCGGCCAAGACGGGCCACCCAACATAGTAGACAACTGGGGTAATGGTGCAGCGATCGCACTGACGCTTGCGCGCAACGGAGCACAAATATTCGGATGCGACCTCAGCCAAGCGGCAGCGGAGCGGACGAAGTCACGTATCGAGGCTGAGGTTCCCGGTGCGGTCGTGGATGTGATCGTGACGGATGTCACTTCCTCGACGGCGGTCGAGGAGATGGTACAAGCGTGTATCCAACGGCACGACGGACGGATCGACATCCTGGTCAATAACGTCGGCAGGAGTGAGAGGGGCGGGCCGGCAGACATGGACGAGGCGACGTTCGACTCTCAGGTTTCAATCAATCTCAAATCCGTCTACTTGACCTGCCACTCCGTGCTGCCCATTATGGAGGCGCAGGGATCCGGTGCTGTCGTCAACATTGCCAGCATCGCCGGGATTCGATATATCGGCAAGCCTCAGGTGGCGTACGCGGCTACCAAGGCCGCCGTTGTGCAGTTCACGAAGCACACTGCCATTTTGTACGCTGACAAGGGTGTGCGGTTGAATGCGGTGTTGCCTGGATTGATGTTTACACCGTTGGTGCACACGATCGCGGAGAAATATGCCGGTGGTGATTATGAGGGCTTCGTGAAGACAAGACATGCGCAGGTTCCCACCGGAAGGATGGGGAGTAGTCGCGATGTAGCGAATGCCGTGGCCTTTCTCTGCAGTAACTCTGCCGCCGGATATATCACGGGGCAGAAGCTGATTGTCGACGGCGGTATTGTGTCGAGCACGGGACGAACATAAGAAAATACAGCTTAAACAGCAGATGATGGTTGATTAAGAGTAATCGAAACTCCACATGATGCTGTGTCTCAAATGATGGCCGATATGGGCCAAAGCCTGCAAGATAACAGTTGTATGCTTGCTTGAAAGCTTCTGTTTCCTATTCCAATTTATGTACACCTCTTCAAATTTTACTGCTGAAAACATCTGGGTACGTTGTAGTCTCAGCCTCGCGAGTCCATACTCGATAGCAACTGGCACTTAGCCACCTGATCTCTTCTGACAGTACCGTTCTCATCTGGTACCAAGTAGATTGAGCGACCAGGGAAGCACAGCCTCGTAGCATCCTCCATCTAGATTTCGAAGTGTTGGCCAGGTTTCTCGAGTCTTGTCGCTTCTGGTTCTGCATATTACTCCCCTAACGGAGATTTTATCCATTGCCTAAGCATATCTGCCCACGAATGAAATCAGAGCGTCATCAACGTCCTTTGGATGCGAAGCGGAGAGGAAATGCGCGCCTCCCTCAACGACTACAAGGTCTGCCGAAGGACTGTTAGTGAACAGTTTGATTTCATGTTCTGCGTTAGCAACACTGTACACAACATCGTCGGTACCCTAGATATCAGGACTCCATATTAGCCTCATCAAGTTTGATTCAAAGATCTCAGAGAATGCTTGCAAAGAGGGGCTGGGGCCTAGGACACTCACATGAAGCCACATAACAGGGCATCTGATATCGAAAAGGCGACCGTGTAAGCCATCACGTTCACGGAGATTGATTGCGGCCATGCGAGCTCGGCGTCTACCATCGTCTCCCTGGTAGTTGGAAGGGATGATCTTGCGCCAGGTGTCTCGGGTTGCCTGGGGGCAATTCTTGCCAAACCCGATGTCGATGAGGAAATCGCAGTAGTCTTGGTCTGGTTGAAAATCCGGTGTTGATTCATTGCTCGTCCATTTATCAATTGGTCCTGTGCAGGCGGCAACACCATCCCAGCATCCGAGCTTTCGCGTTCGCTCGGATTCATAGTCCAGAGATGTGCCGAGTGGAATGATTCCTTGGATCTGGAGATGTTTGAGGTCAGAATTTTTTGGCAGGCTCTGTGGGCAGCAGAGAAGAGTGTAGGGAAAGCTAGATGGACAATGGACGAAGTTGAAGTTGCACGATGCGATAAATGGCGTCACGTACCTTGTCTGGTGCCAACAATGCCATGCGAACGGTGATCCAGCCACCCTGAGACGTGCCTAGGACAAATGCCTTTGAAATCCCTAGAGCTTCCATCACTTGGAGATTCATGATGGCGGTATCCCAATATGTAAAATTCTCGGACTTTGTCCTGGTCTGACCGTGGCCAAGTAGTTCAATGGCCACGAGATTCATCTTGTCCGTCAATTCCTTGTTGGCATATTGTTGCCGGTAAAGTTCGGACGAAGTGGTAAAACTGTTCACCAATACCAACGTCGGCTTGGACGAGTCATAGACATGGGGCATCTGGTATGCTGCATCGATTCCCCCCAGGTGAGGAACATGAACGGTCTTGGTGTTTGGCATTTTGTTGCGGTTGTTGGCGGGACTCGCTAGGACTCGTGTTGAGCTTCTCGAGATAGTTGAAGATGATGGTTGTGAGACTTAAGTCACTTTAAGCTGTTGTTTGAAGAGCCATCCTCTCCTCCAGAGAGCAGGCTCAAGATACTTATAGTCCGAGTAGCTCCTTCGAACCCCATTCCTCTCTTCCCCGCGGTATGATCAATATCGGAACACTGATCCCGCCACCAAAGGTATGACAGAATTCATGGATCCCCAACCCTGTTTATTGCCTCGTCACCCGCTGTACAACGATGACACAACATGGGACTGCCTAATACCTAGGTAGCCACTTCCCATCAGCCGTGATCCCGCTGGTAGTCAAACCTCACACTGCGGGGAAAAATTCATCATCAACTGCAGTAGCGGAGACGACGGGTCGAGAAGCTATGACGAGCACTGGCAGGAGAAATCAGTATTGCTGAGTTCTCGCCAATCTCGACACGAGAAAGAAATTCCCCTTCTGACTCAACTTTTCGTACCATGGAAAGATGCGGAACAAAAGTTCGCCTCGTAGTTCACGGCGCGAACTCGAGGGCTTTCAATCGGGATTGAATTTACTTCTGACGATCGGGGGAGAGTTGCTATTTGATCCACTCCTTCAACCCGGAGTTGCAAGGGAATTGTCTTAGCGGGTCCGGGGTGCTCGATTATCTGGGGACACGAGTGTTGATCCGTTGCCTTCAGACTTTATTCGTGCGGGGCTTGGAATGATTTGCCGGGATTTGCGAGTTTAGCGATCTAGTATCGTAGTTACAGATCTCCGTCGGAGACTTCGAAGTGAACCTTAAAAAAGATCTTGCCGACATTAGCGAGAAACCCTCGTATAGGTTTGCGGAGACACCACCACTGCAGTGAAATGTCGTTGATCACAGATTCAAGGGCATAGGGACCGGAAGGAATGCAGATCACAGAGGCTCGTTCCGGTAGATGCTGGTGGAAAGTTGAACAGAAATGTCGCTCCATTGCTCTAGTTCGGAGCCAATTCACGATCGGACAAGATATCCATTAGGACACGACGCGAAGAAGATTTAGGACTGTAGCCAAGTGCATGCTAGGATAGGCATGGAACTTTGAGGACTGCTATAGGTAGGATACCAGATGTGATGAATGCGGCTGGCCAGCGTAAAACTTCCAAGTGCTGCAAGGGTGGACAGACGAATCCAGCACAAAGTTGAGCTTGTAGTCAGCACCGAAATGAGCTTGATCGATACTAAGTCAGGTGTGAGCACACATATTCATTGTGGGAAGCTGAGTTCCGATTCCAATTTCCCAGTCTAGTTATCATGCTTCACACAACTGCGCTTCTGGCGATTGGAAGGGCTGAACGTTTGCTCTACCGAAACAAATGTTGGTGATGTGGTTGCGTTGGTCTGATCTACAAGCATCCCTGCTTCAATAGGTTGGAATGCAGCATGCTCGCGGGAGGTGGACATCCGATATATAGGTCACACGGGTGAGGCAAAACATGAAGAACAGATTCTAGTGTACTATCCCTGGCCGTGTGAATGCATCAGTTCTTTTCATGTAGTTATGAGACATTGCTATGTCGTCCTACCGCTCATTCTGCGGAAGTCCTTGAGGAAGATGGACAAAGCTAAGCAAGAAAACAACGCCAGGTCATTGCTTGCGCTTAGAACTGATCTACAGGCAATTTGTCAGTCTCCGAGGTAGCCAATTTGACTGTGTTAGAGGGGCTCACCTAAAGTCAGACTCAAGCTGACGTCGGTTGACTCGACCATTGTAGTGAATTCTTCGAAGCTGATCTTGCCGTCGCCATCCTTGTCTGCTTCCATGATGGTCTTGTCCACAATCTGTTGTAGTTGTTGATCTTTGAGATTGCTACCGACCATCATCTTCAGCACGATGAACAATTCGCCGTTGGAGATATATCCATCGCGGTCGATATCGTAGACTTTGAAGGCGAACTTGAGTTTTTCTTCCTTATTTCCCTTTGAGCTGAAGGCAGAGAGACCGAGAACAAACTCCTGAAAGTCGACATCACCACCTCCATCCTCATCAAAGATGGCGATCATTCTGTTGGATATCGCTTCAGCCAGATATCCTAGGAGAAACACATCGAGAGGGCCTGCGAAGGCATGAAAACATACCTCGTTGCCAAGGGGTTGGAGGACACTTGTGGCAGTGACAGAAATTCTTCTCTTTCAATTGTACCGCTGTTGTCCTGTTCGAGGCCTTGTCAATCTAAACATGTCCGGTCCCATACAATTCCTGGGATGTCTGTTGTACCTTATCCAGCTTCATGAATCTCTTTCTTAATCTGTCTACCTCATCTCGATCAACTGTTTCGCAACATGGTTAGCACGTGCTCCAGTCGGCCACATGATGCAGGAGAGTTGCGATTTCTGCATGGTCAGGCCAGAAAGGACCGGCCAAAACGTACAATTGGAGAAGGAGACGATGTTGTCGACAACCTGAGACCCCGTGATTGTCTGTCTTCGCCTTGACTCGTAGAGAGCAGCATTATTGGGTTCAGCGACGGTGCCCGACTGAGCACCATAGGCGGGCGTCGCCATGATTGAGCGAAGTGAAGGGGCGGTCAGGTCAATGAACCGGTAAGGGCTGCGTTGAGGGGCTTCGTTGCGAGCCTGTGGTATTAGTGAGAGGATGGGTCTAATGAGGATCGGCGGAGGGATGAGGTGGTGGTGGAAGTCTTATTGATTGTCTAAGAACATCTGATAGCTGAAAGTACATTAACTGAATCCGGGGCCAGTTATGAATAGACGAGTTTCAGGGTCGCGGTTGTGACCAAATCCACAGCCGCCGTTTGGTATTTGGGCCTGAATCACCACATCCCCCACTTTCTGGTGATGTGGGAGTCAGCCAATCCTGAAACAAAGTCTTTTTCAACGGTGACCGAAGTTCACTAGCCACTATTCGAGATCACTAGCCACTGTTTGTGCCACAGATAGAATGGCTTGAGCTAAACCCAACACAGATTTGGAACATCAGGGGCACTTTGAAGCATGCCTGGTTGAGGGGCAACAGAACATATCTGAGTCTTTCACCAGTCTAGAATCCGTGATAGTTTCTAGATTATTAATAGCGATTCGGGTCACCTGCAGGGTGCCATATGATTAAATGATCACATTTACTCCCCAAACCTGGAAGCAGACCTCTTGGTCATGGTCAGGCGGTCACCTATTACATAAATCCCACGTCTCCATTGTGACTGCAGTGATGGGAAGTAGTACTTGATGCTGACATTCCGAAGTATCATTTGCCAGAGGATGAGAGAGCCTGGATGGCTTCACCATCAACTCGGAGTAGCCAGATTACAGTTATCCTCCGCCGTAGTTGTTGGCGTGGGCTATTATATGCTCCACCGGAAATGTCTTAAGCTGTACTAGTAAACCATGGACTGAAAAACGGCTGGCTGCATACCTAGGTATTTTGGCATGTCAACCCGTCTGCATGAGACCAGGCTGTTCAAGACAGGTTCGAAATACTAAAAAGAATCAATAGAATTCTTGAAAATCACAAGCCATTTGGGTACCAACTCGCACGGAGGTAGATTCACGCCCGTCTGAAGTTAGGATAGTCCCTGGTAGATCCCCCTATCGGCCTCCCAAGCGAGAGAATGCCCATGAGGTGTGATTTAGTGGTAGGCTGCCCACTGAGAATCCCTCGTCTGGCGGCATGGACCACCTCCAAAGGAAAAGTGACTTGCTTGAGCGACCCTAGGCACGTCTAGGCACCCACAACCCGAAAGTGAAATTTCGGCCGCCTCTGCTAGGCACGCTCTGGTCGCCAGTCACAGCCCGTTGTCCCTGCCTGGTGCCCAGTGCCCACCCAGCTGATTACTTCACTTTGCAGGATAGAGACGAGAAAGATGAACCCTTCTGCACGCCAGAGCAATAATGGAAGAGGGAAAGACCAATGACCATCAAGCCCAGGTCAATAATGAATATTTCCGCCCTGCAAGTGTCGCACCCTTTTCACCACCCAACAAACGGCACTACCTGCTTCAGCTTGCCCATCTAGACGCGCTGCGGCTGCCTTGCCCTGCACTGCACTGCACTGTGCTGTGCACAACAAACCAGGCGAAAGTGAGCCAAAGCAACGAGCAAAGCCCACATCCACACCCACACCCCCTTTGCCCATCCCCCCTTCAAGTTCCCATTGTTTTTCAACTCTCTCATCCCGAGTCTCCACTCCCTAGAAATCTTGCCATTATTATTGCAGGTCCAACGTGCAATTTGCAGCCTGCAGCCAAACCTGGGCACCACACCACTCCCAGAACCAAACTCCCCAAAGGGCACAACCTACTCCCGTACACCAACGACCTTCTGAATTCTGAGTCCCCAAACTACGAAAATTTTCACTACCAGCCCAAGTGTCCCATTCCCGCCCACCTCAACGGCGAGAATTTTCTTCTCACCATCCAAATCATCACCACCACTTGATCAATTCATCACTTTGAAGCCTTTATTCATCTCAGTGGATTAAGCGCTACAATTTGATATACATTTTGTGAATTGTCAAAGTGAATTTGCTACTGAACGGGTTTTGAGGTGGTCTTCTCTGATTCACCCTCGCCCTTCTTTTCACTTTGGCCTGTCTACTTTTGCCCTACACTTGCCACTACTGCAGTGCAGGCCGCCCCCAAAAATATTTCGGGTTAGGTGGCCTGCCACCCTGCCCGCACCACTCTTCCGCTCCAAACTCCCTCTTTCTCCCATGAGGTTGTTCCCCCAAGAGCGTCCATGTCGCGCGCGACAGGCAGGCACACCCGCCCCAAGAAGCTCAACGCCAAACAGAATGTCCAGATTTTTCGTGAGGATCAAGTCGAATCATTGATCGACTATGATTCTCAACGGGCTCAAATAGAAACCGGTGTTGAGAAGGCCGAAGAAGCTGTAAGTTTTCCCCTTCATCGCCGTCACAGTGCTGCCGCTTCCAGTTTGTTTTTCTTGCATCTGGCCTCTTCTCGCCGCTTAGTCACCATGGTCTTGGCACAACATCACTGACTTTTCGCCAGGAATACCATCTCCAACAAGCCATCAAAGCAACTCAAATAGCAAAAACAGATGCTAAAATCAAAGATGCATACATCCCCACTCCACCTACCATTGCGAATGATGTTCAGTATGACGTCCTCTATCCCAAAGGCTTTCAACAGCCAGCAACATACATCCGCTCATCAGCCACGGTCGAAGACTGTGCTGGAGTGGCGTATTGCATGGACGAGGAAGATGAAATTGCCTTGAAACTGCTCAACGCAAGATTACCTGCAGAGCATGCTCCTTGTACTGAAGATCAATTTGAAGAGGTCATGAACTTCTTTGAAGAAACGGCTCAGACAAAACAGCCTTTCGCAGCTGTTGATAGTCCTCCCGTCTTACCTTTAGAAGAACTGCAAGAACAGTTTGATAATACCATTCCTTCATATGTGAGAAACCTTTCCAAGTTCCTCTACGACCATTGGAAAGCGCGGCGAACCATCACTGGAAACCGCGGGCTGGCTCCTCGGCTCAAGTTTGAGACCGGCCAAGAAACGGATGATTCCGATCCATATGTCTGCTTTCGAAGACGAGAGCTGCGGCAAATCCGAAAAACCAGAAACAGAGATGCTCAAAGTGCCGACAAATTGCGGAAGCTTCGGCTTGAGCTCGAGACTGCTCGTAATCTTCTACTCATGGTGAAGAGGAGAGAATTCTTGCGCAAAGAAACCCTCGAGATGGATCGATTGGTGTTTGAACAACGCCAGGCATTCAGAGAAACAAAGAGAAAGTTGGGCATGAAGGGAGACGAGGATCTGCTCATCAATCAAAAGGTAACCACATCAAAGAAAGCCCTACCTTTGAACATGAAACTGACTTGCTCGTGTAGAAGCAGAAACTCCCACCTGGCATGACACCCGGTCAAGCTGCTCTTGCTCAACAACTTCGAATGCCCATGGTCCCTGGAAGTGGTCCAGAATTGCGTACTCTTGAAGATGTCATGGCCGCCAAGGAACGTGAAATGGAGAAAGAAATCCAGACTAATGTCGATAAGCATATTCGATGGAACGAAGGATTTGTTGATAAGACCATGGCTCCACTCACACCAGAACTCGAACCAGAACATCCAGAGCCAGATGACCATTTCCGAGAAGCAATGGCCGCGAGTGTGTACCTTCCAACACCGCCAGCTAGTGTTTCGGACGAAGATTCTCAACCACAGCAGAATGGTGCAGACGTCGTGATGAAAGATGTAGCTCGCCCGCCGACACCCATTCGCTATGCGACACCTCCCAGTGACGATCAGGGCATTCAGATGCCATCCTTCCGAAGAAGACTCGGAAGAGGTGGTCGAATCATGATTGATCGAAAACTTCCACGACCGCGACGAGATCCAGCTGATGATGACCGATTCAAATATGACTCTGATGACGATGAATCGTCCGTCTCCAATTCAAGGACGGATGATGTACTTGGCCGCATGATCCAGCGTGCTTACCTCATAGGTAATAGCAGACCAACGGAAGCTCAGACGTCCTCGGCGAGAAAATCCCAGCATGAAGCTGGTGGTCCGAGTCAGTCGTCACCAGCAGGTCCACAACCCTCTACACAACAACAGCAACCGACGCCTGCACCTTCTTGACCTGTCGTGAAAAACGACTATTTGTTTTGTGATATTTTTCAACCCGTTGAACCAGAGAGCACAATTTTCAAAACTCTCTTTTCCTCTCAGCTCCGAGACGAGTACCGAGCTTGTCGAGGCTGTAGAATGTTTTCGCCTCCCACCAGATTTCATGGGTGCTTGTAAGATGATGGACAGTTTGAGGGTGACGGGTGTGGGTGGGTGTGTATGTGTGTGGTCTTGCTTTGGGAACTTGGAGATTGCAAGCTGGTGATTGAGGGTTCGGATGGCACTCCAACCGAATCGTCAAAGGAGAGTAGCGAGGTTACCACCGACAGTGGTGTTTTGTACAAAGTATTATAAGGCCAGCGCCTAGAGTTTCAAAGCCCAACCAAAGAGACAATGCTCAAAAGAGTTTTGATGTCAAATTCTCCTCTTGCACAGACAGACCTTCTCTTTTTCATCTTCGAGCTACTTTCTTGGGTTGGGTGTTTGTGTCTCCATCGTGTTTTCGCTTGGAAAACCCATTGCTGTTGGGACCGCGTAGCTCTTCGGACTTCTGCTTGATGTGCTCTTGACATATCGAGAGCAGTTGGTGGAGGATCTCCTTCTCGCCCATGCGTACCTGGAGGGCCATGGAACATCGCCTCAGGCTCTTGCCCGCAGCAATATCTGCATCGTCGAAACCGGTTTGGTTGAGGCTGGCCCACAGGGCTTGATCGGCTTCGTATGAGGTACTGTACTCGGTGATGCGTTTGGTGAGAATAGATTGCAGAAGAGCTGCCTCCTCGACGGTGATGGAGTCCTTTGGCTTTTTGAGATTTGCGCCTCCATTCTTGTCATGCGTACATAACGCTCTCAGTAGCATGTGAAGTTCACCGGGGATGGCATCAGGCAGTGTGGTGCTAAGGCCCTGCTCGGCGCGAGTGATTGCATATCCATCGTCCAAGAGGCCCAGTTCTTCGAGCTGCTCTTCTTTCTGTATCCAAGCAGGATCATGAGAGGTTTTCCTCCCCGAAACTTCTAGTAGAAGATCATAGGAGATTTCGACCACATCGTACTGAGCGTAGTTGTCTGTCAGATACCCGTACATGCGGAGTAGGTCGGACCGTGGAAGGGGGCCATAGTCATTGAAAATCTGTTCGCCTTGAGAAATAGGCTTGGTGGCTTTCATTACTAGATAGCCAGTTTCTTGGTAGAGTCTTGCCTGGAGTGGAGAAGATTTGGTCAGCCTGAGTCTTGATTGTGAGAAAGGAATGGATAAAACGTACATTGTTTCTATCGGCATCCGCGTTGAGCATATCAGCCAAGGGCACCATGCCCTTGAGGGGTTCGGCTTCGTCGTCTTCTTCCCAGTCATGATCTTCTGAGGCTTCATCGTCATTTTCGTTCTTGTTCTCGTCGCGATCGATGTCAAAAGCATATGCCATGAGAAGACTGCCCGCCATGTGTGCGAGCTCGATTAGCTTGGCGGTCTTTTCTGCTTCGGTTGTCGCGGAGGCAAGTGGGAATGAATCAGGATGCTGTAGCATCAGTGGGATGATAGAGGATTTCCATGATTCTTCGGCTGATCTCTTTCCGATTTTGTCGACCACAGCGCTGGCCTGTAGTTCTTCCAGCTCTTGCTGGTTCCAGAACATGAGGCTGTCGAAGGTGGTGGGGAGAACTTGAAAGTAAGGATACCATGGCGATTGCTCATGGCGAAGATATTCATATATTATGGTCACGATCAGAGGAGGCCACGCTCCCATATCTTCGAGAGGCTCGAGTAGTGAAGGTACGATACTTGAGGTGGTTGTGGTGAGCACTAGTGACCGTGGGATTGCAAATAGTTCCTCGTCTTCGACGATGTCATTTTTGGCGACTGGAGATGAGGACAGTCAGAATACAGCAAGATAGTCGGTGTGGGAAAGCTTACCGGCGCCTCTCCCAGCATTCTGGGCCCTAAGATCCTTTAATTCAACCTTGGGGCTTATCCTCGTACCGTCTGCAGATGTAAACCAAGCGAGGAAGCGAGAGGTTGTCTGATCAAAGTCCAAGGACGCTGATGGGCCAACAGTATCGCCCATTTGATTGAAACAGTGTTAACAACGAGAAACCAAGGAGCGGGGTGAAATAGAATATTTGAAAAGAGAAAATTGGTGTGTAGTGGGTGAGTAGGTCGTATGTGGTGAGGAGTTAAACGCAGTCAGTGGCAGTGGTGGTGGGCGGAAGATTCACAATATATTACGGAGGAGCATAAATACCAGTATCTCCGCCGCGATGAAAATCGGATAGGAATTTTCCGATTGGTAGGTGACTTTTGTGCGTCATCCACTCTCTTCACTTCACTTTCAAGTCGAGGTCGACCGCCATCAGGCTGTCCAAATGAGGGGTGGGAAAACAGAACTGACAGTGAGAAAAAATACATGCATCATTTAGGTCTTTCGGATCACGTCTAAGACGATAACTACGGGGAACAATTTTAAGAAATTGATTATACGAAATTGAAACAGTGACCTTTTCCACGAGGACATGTCTATGTCACAGTCAGACCAAGAGGAAACATCGTGAATAACAATCTCTCAAACAAAGATATTGCATCAGACTCTCACCAAAAATGATTGCAATCGGGCTCGAAGGCTCAGCCAACAAACTCGGGGTTGGCATCATCTCACATCCAACAGCAGGTCAAACAGGACCCGCCAAAATCCTGTCCAACATCCGCCATACATACGTATCACCACCGGGCGAAGGGTTCCTGCCCAAAGATACAGCCAAACACCACCGGAGCCATGTCGTTGCACTCGTAAAACAGGCTCTCCGGGAGTCGAATCTCTCCATATCCGACGTCTCATGCATCTGCTACACCAAAGGCCCTGGCATGGGTGCACCATTACAGTCTGTCGCGGTCGCAGCACGAATGCTCTCGTTGCTGTGGGACAAGCCGTTGATCGGCGTGAACCACTGCGTCGGGCATATCGAGATGGGTCGAGAAATCACAGGCGCGTCTAACCCTGTGGTACTCTACGTATCTGGTGGCAATACTCAGGTGATCGCCTACTCGATGCAACGGTATCGGATCTTCGGAGAAACGCTCGACATTGCGATTGGAAACTGTCTCGATCGATTCGCGCGCACGCTCGGCATTCCTAACGATCCAGCACCGGGGTACAACATCGAGCAATTGGCGAAGAAGGGAGGAGGTGTGCTGCTCGATTTGCCGTACGCGGTCAAGGGCATGGATTGTTCCTTCTCCGGCATCCTCGCGCGAATCGATGAATTGGCGCACCAGATGCATGCTGGCACACTGAAGGATACGGCGTCAGGCGAACTGGTCACTCCTGCGGATTTGTGTTTTAGCCTGCAGGAGACGGTGTTTGCGATGCTGGTGGAGATCACGGAGCGAGCCATGGCGCACGTGGGGTCGAATCAGGTGTTGATCGTCGGTGGTGTCGGCTGCAATGAACGGGTGCAGGAAATGATGGGCATCATGGCTCGGGATCGTGGTGGGAGTGTTTATGCCACTGATGAACGGTTCTGTATCGATAACGGAATCATGATTGCGCATGCAGGCTTGTTGGCGTATCAGACCGGTGTGAGGACCGAGTTGGAGGACAGCACGTGTACGCAGAGATACCGGACGGATGATGTTTATGTTGGGTGGAGAGATGACTGATCTTTATGTTGAATAGGTCAACAGCACGGACTGTCTTGACTGATGCTTTTATATTATCAATGATATCCCTTTGACGCTGCGCTCCGTCCACGATCTCAGAGCCCTGAAGCCCTACGATTTCCGGAGTTACATGACAGCGACGCGGCGGCCTCCTGGTCCATCGGCATCATGCTTGAGTCTAAAGCAATCTCAATCTCGACCGAGGAGCCGGCATCGCCATCTCCTTCACACAATACCTTCATACTCACCGTCGATACTGCACCAACCAGCTCCGAACAGCACACTACCCACTAACTAGCACAAGCAAAAATAACAATCAAGGCTCGCAAAATCTAGCTCGAAAATTCTCAAACTCCCTCGCTTGCGTGGGAATTAGAGTCTACAACCCCATGTGCTCCTGTCTTTAGAGCCCTAGAACTGTTACAAGGGAAGCAAGGGTTCCTGCGCGCCTCAAGTCTCATGTCAACCGTACACTTCGCATCAGCCAAGGGTCCATGTAAGTGCCTCAGTACCGCGTTTACCTGAAAAGCAACCGCCAACGGTTGAATGCCTCTATGCAGCCGAACAGGTTTTCACCTCATCCACGCTGGTGCTTGCAGCAGAAGTGTTTGTTGGGATTCCGCAATGGTTGCCAGGCGCCTTGGTTTTTCTGTGCCTGTCTGCAACTGCTTCAAACTGCGCAACAAAATTTATCTCTTTGTGAACTCTGTTATTCAATCTTTTGTATTGTGTGGAGTGTCTGTTGCTTTTCTACTGCCTGTTGCTGATGCCTCCTACCAGTAGTGGTCCCCAGCCGTCTATCTTTTTTATTGGGTATTTCCTGAAGGAAAAACATAAGAACATAGAACCTATTTGCTTTCAAGACTCGTAGCGATGAGAGTAAACGCTGACCCTCCTGTCTGTCCTCAGACACAAGCATGTCACTTCCAATCATGAGCTCGTGAATTCTTTGAGGTGGATATCATTAGTCATCGATTCAGCCTCTGGAGTTGTGCCATCACAGAACAACACCAGTGAACACTTAGCACTTAGCACCGATATGTCCACTACTAAGCTGCAGTTTGGAATCTCGGGACTGGCTTGAACGATATTGTCGTCACATACTGTACAGTGTGAGAATCAATAAGAAGAAAAACTGGATCTTGAGGCTTACCTTCTTCTTGTATCTCGTGGTAACACTAGTGGCCAGGACACCATTCTTGACACTACTTGTCATGAGATGATTGAGAACCGTATGATTAGGCAATGTCAAGACACTGTTGTCGTCCTTGACTGGAAGAACACCATTGAGAATCGATCGACTTAGAAAGAGTGGCAGGCTCGGAGGAGCCGGAACCTCGGTGAGGATTCGTTGTGCCGTTTGGTTTCTTGGATCTTCCTCTGGGAGGTCGATATCGACCAAGGCTTGTGGAATGATGCGTCGGAAGTCTCCCGCTGGTATCTCCTCGATCTGGAGCTCATCGGTAACCGACTCATCCGGGGTCTGAGCGCCGGACCTGCCCTGATCTTGCTCGTCTGCAGTAAGACCTGGTGTTGCTGAGGTTCTAGTTCCCGGTTGGGTGCTCTCTCGTCGTGGTTTGGAAAGATCTTCGGTGGCAATTTCGATGTAGTTGACGAGAAAATTGTTGAAGTCGACAGCTGTGGGCAAAGAGGGACTTGTTACCATCTCACCATCTACAACGAACTTGAGATGATGGGTTCCCGAAGGCAGATTGATCGTTGTGAACATGCCATCGGCATTCTTCCTGTTAGCAAGATCGTCAGCGAGCATTCTGGCATGTTGGGCAGTATATTTCGAGCAACACACCTTTGATGAAGTCGGTATTTCTTCTCCCAGTTTGCAAAAGTACCGGTGACGTAAACCTTGTGCCCGCCATGATTCCATTCGATGACAGTAGGGACGGTCTGAGAGTTGTTGTTCTCGGCGGGAAAGGGCTGCAATTCATCGCCAACATCTTCTTCGGAACGAGTGGTGGCTTCGCTTAGCATGGAACTCTTTCTCCGCAATTCGGGTTCCAGAGCAGACAGAGGTTCATCGGTCTCGAACATGGGAATGTCGGCATTGCTTCTATCTGCTGGAAGGATGGTTGGCGATTCAGGGATGGAGACATCGGCAATGGGCAGAGGAAGACGTGGTGGACGAGTCTGGGCAACAGGGGTGTATCTGCGATCATTGTAGGCATTGCGATGTTCTTCAAATCTCTCTTCGATCGTATCTTGCTTGCTCCTAGAAGCAGGAACGTCCATGGGAGTGGAGGTTTGTGGTGCAGGTACGGGAATCTGATGCCTAGGTTCCTTAGGCCTATGCTCGAGATCTTGCTTCTTATCTCTGCTGGACCCAGACGTGGACCTCTCTACCTTGGACGCGATTCTGGCATGATGTTCGGGGGAAGATGAGTTCTGAAGGTATTGTTGAAGAGGAGCTTTCTCGAGGTGTTGCGAAGTGGTATGGGCGACAGCGGTCTCCTGAGAGGCTGAAGGGTCAACGGGAGTAGCAGCTCGACCGTGGGTCAAGGCCTGGATGGAGACTCTCCGGTTGACTCTTCGGTCTCTCTCTTTCTCTCGTTCTCTATCTCTCTCGGACAGGGGAGAAGTGGACTTTGACGAGGAGCCCTTTTCGGCGGATTGTTGCTGACCCATTTTGGAAAGATTGTGGATGGAACTAGTGTTGATGTCAAAGAATTTGCATGTGCAAAAAAAAGCGTTGATATGCGACACGTGCTTTTGCGGATGTGGGCCGTGTCAAAGATGTCAGGGAGATAGGAAATCCGAGGGGAATGTTGCCGGGGCCAGATAGATTAGCATTCGGCGTGTGAGTGAAAGAAGGATGAACGGAGGCTGAAGAGACGAAGGAGCAGAACCAAGTTGATGCTCCAAATTGTCAATTGCAGACCGTGGAAGCCATTTTCTCTGAGTGATGAATCAAGCAAGCGACGTGGAGTGAGAGCAAGGACAGAAGGACCTCGAACTTCAAGTTGTGATCGCGGGTAAAACTGATGGGGCTAATTAGCTCGTTACTTGGTTTGGAGGTGGGTGAGAAATGAAGTGAGGAGAAGTGGGAGGGCCAAGTTGGTGAGGGCAAATAGAGGGGCGAGGGCCTCGGGCTTTTTTGAGGTGCAATTATTACTCGTAGTGCCCATTATTAGTGCCTGAAGCCTCCCTAAGGCTAGGTTCTTAGTTGACAGATTCTCGGCGCCATAGGCTCCCTCAGGTATCCATGCAGCCCCAGACACCTTGCGTCATCGGCGATCCCATCAACTGAACCTTAGCTATCCCGCGGCTAACTAGCTCCTTGTTCCTGTAGTCTGACCTCAAACAAATTGTAGTTTACAGTTTCCCAGCCATCATCACTGGCATACATATCACCGGGAACATCAACACCTTCATATCGTCGGAAACTCTACCTTGTAATTCTCATCATGGACAGATAGAATCAATGACAACCTTCGATGCTCAATCACCAAAGAGCGACTGGCTCACAACCACCACCACCGTCCTCTATTATCTCCTTGTCTATCCCATTCTACTTTTATTGAAAGCAACATGGTACATTGTCACAATACTTTCCATCCCATTTTTATACATTGGACGAGGTCTGATTCGCTTGTCCACTATACCATGGCGTTTGTTTACACGTTTTGAGGTAATATACACTGTTCCACCTCAGTTCGCTGCTCCTGCAGGCACTCACTGAAACCCCACCAATGTTTTAGGCTCTCTGGTATTTCCTCGGTACCGCGGTCCTTCTGGGAATTCTTCTCGGACTTATCCTACATTTCACCCTACGCGTCTTCGTAGTCGTCCTTCGTCTTGATCAGAAGTCCCTCCCTCAACCTGCGCCCAAGCCCAACCCTAAACCTAGGCCGATCCCCGCAAGGGGACATGATGCAGTATCGTACAGGAAAGCAAGAGAGGAGAAGAGGAGGAAGGCAGAAGCGGAAGAGCAAGAAGTTCTGGCTGCTCAAGCAAGACTGATAGCATCACAACCACTCATCCAAGAAGTCGTGCGAGAAGCGAGGAAAATGCCCTTGTCGGGCCCTCACTCATCCGGACTCCTGAGTCCAAGTATACCAGGGCCAAGTCGCCATGGACTCTTGCAAGAAACCATTCTTGAGCACACTGATGAGGATGATGACGACTCCGTATTCTGACAGACTGAGGTTTCATCGCAACCCAGCTTTGACAAGCGCTGACTGGAAAAGATCCTTGCAACGGACTTGACTGCCCAGTCGGGCGCACAACAGGAACGCTCCGCTCAGCTTGCGGTGCAGGCTGTATGTTTCCTCTGGAGGTGGAGCCAGTCGCTCTCTCAGCATGACGGGAATGAGCCCACGCACTCGATCGGTGATGGTTTGGTCCTTGAAATCATAGACATCCGGCGCATAATTCATAAAGGGCTCAGCAAGTGTCATGACAGAATCCACATGTGCTTTAGTCATCGTCTTGGACTCGTAACCTGTGAGATATCCCAGCTTGACAGAGAAGTCGACGCACCCTGCTCGGTCTCCTCGGGATGCTGCATCCAGAACTTTCACGTATAGGTCGATGAATTCGGCTGGGAACTCGCGTGACGCTCCAAAATCCAGTAGCTCGAGTTTATTTGTTTCGGAATTGTAAAGAAAGTTGGTCCAGTTGGGATCGGTCTGCATGTATCGGAACTCGATGATTTCCCGGAGACACAGCCGCAGTATTTGTGTTCCGATCCAATCCCTTTGCTGCTGACTGAAGTTCTGAACCTTGGTGACAGCCACACCCTCCATCTTCTCCATGGTCAGGACCTGTTTGCCTGAAGCCTCATCAAAGATTTCAGGCACCGTGAAGGTGTCCTGCTCGTCTTTCAACAGCTCTCGAAACCGGCGGGCTCCCTCTGCTTCTCGGAGATAATCACATTCCCATGCAAGCTCGGTGCGAGCATTGGCAATTGTCTTGTCCAGATAAAGACCTTTGGGCAGCAAACGAGAAGCGGTCAACAGCAACGAGAGGTTGTTCAGGTCCGACGAGATGGAATCCGCGACACCGGGATATTGCACCTTGACCGCGACTTTCTGACCCGACCTGAGCACCGCACCGTGCACTTGACCGATCGAGGCGGCCGCCATGGGTCGCTCATCGAACTCATCGTACTGGTTACGCCAATTGGGGCCTAGGTTCGCGGCGATCACAGCATCCCTCTGAGAAGCGGGCATGTAGTCAGCGCTATCTTGTACACGCTGGAGCACGTCATGGATGGGCTTGGGGAGCATCTTTGCATCTTGAAAGCTCATCATTTGTCCTAGCTTCAATGCGGCCCCGCGCATCTTCGACAGCTTGGCCACTAGCCGCTCCATGTTCGCCGCACTCAACATCAACGACCCGTCTGGCCCGCCTGTACGAGAAATGCTTTCGCTAACAGCCCCAAAAGCCATCGATGCTGCTAGTCCTCCGTACTCGAATAGACGGGATACTCGCGATGATGGGACCCTGGACTCCCGCATTTGATACGCCTGAACATTCGGTGCTTGCGACGCCTACAGCTGTCAGTCAATCAGTTGAGATCACTTGTATCATGGGTAGATCAATAGTTAATACTCACACTGAGCTTTTCGGCATCCTTGGCCATATCAGCTGCTAGTTGCTTGATGCTCTCTGCATCTGTACTCGAAGCCTTCTCCTGGACCACTCTCGATGTGTGGAAGCTCCTGCTCGAAACTCCCCCACTGGGAAAATGCTTGGCTGCTTTCTGCGAGAACAGTTTGGAGTTCTTAGGGTTGCGAAATAGTTGAGAAAGTTCTTCTTCAGTGGGCTCAGGTTCTCCCTCGTTTTCCTTAGCTCCCGAATAGTAGACGTCCGCATTAATACCAGGAGGGATGTGTGAATCTCCCTCCTGGATATCATTCTCCGTCTTGGGCACACGCACCCGTGGCAAAGCCGATAGGACAGGCTTCACATGCCCCGGCGGCTGGTAGAAAACATCCTTTTCTTGCTCAATTCCAAATTCTTGAAATCCACCTTCTTCTGCCGTTGGAGGCTCTGCGGTCCTCGCTGGTATTTGGTCTTCTGATTGACGTTGAAGTCTCCTCGCTTCCTCCGATGACAGAGATCTGCCTGCAGGATTTGGAATCGTAGACTGGTTGGAGGACTTTGGTGAAAGGTCTGCATGTGCGTTCCTTTCTAGCGGGTGTTGTGGCGTTTCCCCTACAGGTCTCTTGTTGAATGTAATGCCATCCCCAGTCTCTTGGCCAATTGGACTTTCCTGCGATGGAATAGTGCCATCTGGAAGCGGGTTTCTTTCCGCTTCTACCTGCTCGACATCAAGGTCTTCTGTGGCCGGAGGGTCTGAGGTTGAGTTTCTTTCGGAGGATTCGTAGAAATGATCCTGCTCGATGCCTTCTCGTGGAGAATGTGAAGGTGAACGCGACGAGGCAAAGCGGGAAGCTGCAGCAGCCACCACAGGTGGACCTTGAGTCTTCAACGCTTTAACCAGGGATGAAGTCTGGCCATAGAGCTGTACCTGGGAAAGTCGAATGTCAAAGTGCTTGATTGCTATTTTTCGGGAGACATTGAACAGAGCGACAGCATCGAGGATGCGTTTTCCCGACATTATTGTAGGTTGAGGTTACAGATTGAAATTAGAATTCAGCACACTCATTTTGCTATTTAATATCCACTTGTTGTTGCGCTTACGGTCAGGGGATTGAGAGGTGTGGAAGTAATGGTGTTGATTGAGAGTAGCAGGTCGAACTACATCATCGATGGGGAGCATCGGCATCGGAATTAATTTCATCCAAGCTTTCTTCGTTCCAGAGAAGCTTAGATAATGGAACTTGCCCAGCAATATCACACAGCATTCCTTCTTCCCCCCTTTCTCTCTCCAGGTTGCAGAACATTTACACTGTATCGACCCGTCTAAGACCTCATAAATGGCTAAATGAACATCAACGATGCAGGCGCCATCCGAGCGCGTATGGTCGAGCTGGAGGCTGAGCTCCAGGCCACCAAAACTCTCCTGCGTCAAATAGAACAAAGCCCAACGAAGCCTGAAGATGGTTCAGGTAAAGGCAACAGTTCTTTCAGTATTCCTGTGACACTGCCATTGGGGTCATCAATCCATAATTTAATGCTCCTATCTGACTCGGCACTCCCACTTGGCTCGTTCGCCTACTCGAGTGGCTTGGAATCCTTCCTTGCCCACCACAAGCCTCTTGCTGCTAGACAGACCACCCTGTCACTTTTCCAGAAGTTTTTGAGCCTTTCAATCCAGTCAGTGGCATATACTAATGTCCCATACGCTCTCGCCGCCTTCCGAGATCCGTTGGCTTTGATGGACCTGGACAATGATCTCGATTCCTCGACCCCATGCACTGTAGCGAGAAGAGCAAGTATTGCTCAAGGCCGAGCTCTGCTCAGCGTCTGGGAAAAAGCATTCGTCTCATCATCCAAGGCTCAATCAGACGACGGAGGACTTGAGACCATTACGGCGCTCGAGGTGTTTTCCAAAGACCTCAAGCTCGCCGCCATCTCCACAGACCTATTACCCGTCAATGGGCACTTTGCGCCGCTGTGGGGCGCAGTATGCATGGCGCTTGGTCTCAACCTAGAAGAAGCAGGCTACCTTTTTCTGCTCAATCACGCCAAGGCAGTCGTGAGTGCTGCTGTCAGGGCATCTGTTATGGGTCCTTATATGGCACAGACCATCCTTGCGAGCAATGACTTACAGGATTTGATCCGTACCAGCTTGGAACGGGTGTGGCTTCTGAAACCCGAAGACGCTGGACAGGTCGTGCCGTCCATGGATCTGTGGATTGGCAGACACGAGCTGCTTTATAGTCGGATCTTCAATTCTTGAAAATTTTTCTCGACTTTGAAGGACAAAGGCTGCCACATAACAGTTTTCAGCCACAACCTTCTTGCATAGGGATTGACAAGAATTCGCTTCTTTGTATTGACAATCCATTGTGACACAGCCTCGACCAACATATATAATGATCGAGCTCAATCATCAGGCGCTGAAGTTGGTAGTAACTGCATCCCGCTCAGGCAACAACTCCAAAGCTTACGAGAACATTGATCTCATCGATCTGTGCAGACGAACTTCTCAGGAACCTCATTAGCCGCCGAAACATCGTTGCCACTACATTGTGGAAACATCCGCAGCAATGCCCGACTCTACCGGATTCTACATTCTCTTTTGCCATGAGTTGTTGTTTCGAGCTTTGCGAAACGCCTTCATTGCTTCAAGACAGTTTGTCGCCAACCTTCTCAATCTCTTCAAATCTGCGATGACCTTGTTGTACACTGTGTGCCTCCTTGCTGTATTCCTCTATGAACTATTGGCCTTGGTTGCCATCCTTTATCGAGTTATGGAACCTGTTATTTGGCGTCCCAGCTCGTTCATGAAAGCTTCATACACCAGTTCTGAGTCTTCGGAGTCCGCTCCCACCGGCGACCCGCAAGACGACCCAGATCAAGACGACCAAGATCAAGACGACCTAGACCAAGACCAAGATAACCTAGGAGCTTCCCCACAGAGCCCACTTTGGACAAAAGTATTTCCAAAATACGACCATGGCATCTTAAGAGTGCGGTCACCTCGTTACAGGGAAGCCTCTGAGCCGCAGATCTCGCCAAAAACCCTTGCCCGCCTCAGAACATCACCACGAGCTTTTGCACGAAACATGGGGAATCATCACTCGATTTGAAGTTCGGGCTCTTGAGGGTGCCGTGCTGCTCGAGTAATACATCCGTGACGATAAGTTACTGCAGTAAATTGTGCAGAGTGTGAATAACTAGTGAATCTTCACAGCCGGATCTGTGGCTACTGGAAATGCAGAAAGCTGTTCCCACGTAGCACGCGATGTGGGCATTCTGATGTTGCAGCTTACAAAGTTCTCTTCTGCGCCCTGGGTAACCCTTGTCTATGCTCACGAGGCAGCGAAATGGTGACTGCTTCGGAGTACAGCAACTGCCTCAGCGTCGGTGAGCTATATATGTTGCTATGCATGAGTTGCACCCCGGAAGGTTTGTGTTCAAACAAATTCTCACTCTGACTACGCAATCGATTCCTGACAGCCTTGAACTTCACGAAAAGAACCACCATCATTATAATCCTTTACTCGGCCATCACAATGTCCGTTGATACCCGCTACAATGTCTACGACTCTCTTGCCAGAACGATGCTAGTGTTCGGCCTCTGTGCAATGGTATATTCTGTTTTACCCGCCCATAACAGAACTTTGTTATTCCGAGTGTACGACATTCTCCGCCACAACTTCGAAGAGATCTTTGACGACGATGGTGGCATCCTTGGACCAAGCTTGTGGGCACTTGTTCATTTCCTAGTGTTCGGAATTCTGTTCGACATCCTTTGGGTTGTCACGGTGTCACCCGACGCAGTTCCGATGGAGTACATCTACAATGCGCGCGTTTAAAGTCGGACATCAATCGCAAATGACCTTGGAGTCTGTCACGGCAGCACTGCACCAAGGCTCCTGATCCGACTTGCGTACTGGACAGACTTTAAGTCTTGGCTAATATACAGTACGAGTACCGAAGGGGTGAAGACGAGTGGGTGGCATGATTGTCTTTGGATATAGCATCTGGTGATTTCGGGCGTTTGGGTCAACAAACATGACATGAGGCCGTAAGATACTGAACGAAGTTGGACTCTACTTTTCAACTACTGCTTTGGTCTCAACTACGGTTCTGATTTCGGTGGTGATAAGTTCACCATCGTATGTCCATTGTGTGCACGAGTGGCGAGTGGGCTTGATCCAGGGTTGGATGTGTCTTTTCCCCCCTACCAGCAACCAGGTACCACAATTTTCCTTCTGTGTGCGAGCTTGCGGACGGTTCTCGAAGTGATGGAATCTGACTGCCTGGGAGTGCAACAACGGCCTTGGAGTGGAACAATGAAGGGCAATAATGGATTTCGACAATGAAGTTCGACAATGGCCCGAGCCGTCAACGGCTGTCTTGAAGATCAGCAACTGCCTCACAGTCGATGGGCTATATATAGATATCCCTGTGAACAGGAATCGTCTTTGAAATTTCATGGTAAAAAAAGCCCAAACACTGACTCCTCGGCTCTAAACAAAAGGCCTATCTTGCATTCAACTCAGCATTGAAACACACTCACCGGCCTCTATCCACCAGCGAGAGCAATAACAGCAGAGGATACCAGCTTCTCCCTCGGCTCTTTCGACACGATAATGGCGCAATCTCTCAATGCTCAGGTTGCTTTCTTCGAAGAGGCCGCATCAAATCCATTCCTCGTGATGGGACTGGTGGTGACGTTTTCGCTCCTAGCTCGTTACTACGAGTTATTGGCTGGCACTTCCCTGATCATCTCACGACTCCTTTGGCTTTTCGTCGTCATCGTTGCGTGGCTAATCTTCATGGTGCTCATGATCATTGTAAGTACTGTTGTGATCCCTCTGCACTGCGTCGCCAACGCTGTCTGGAAGAAGGGAGCTGGAATAGCTAATGGTTGTGACAAGCATCGCCAAGAACCCGCCAGCAATGGTGACAAGCTCTGGCGGGAAGGATTCAGCGAAGGCTCAAGCTCGAGCGATGAGTTCCTCAAGTTCTCCAAATTGCCAAAGTCTCCCAATTTCCCAGATTTCCCAGATTTCGAGCGAGCCTGCATCTAACCACGACCGTCGAGAGACTGGACAAGGCGCAACCTCGCACTGTGGGGATCTGAATGAGTACGTCACAGACCATACGTGGCTCAAGGCCTGCAAATACCACCAGCCGCCCAGCCCGGTAGGAATGACCCTGCTGCTGGATGATTGTTCATATCTGCGTGGGGGAACAGCAGGACGAGATGTGGAGGACAGGAGACGTGCATATGAACTAGAAAGGCCAATCGCGCGTGAGCAACAATACTCAATCCAATCCAGGCTTGACAAACACAGAGGCGAAGAAATTTCGGACGCCAATAATTCATGGAAATCAGCCATGTCATGAAGTTCAAGATCGAAAGTTTAAAAGAATGACATAGCTGTCGTGGGAGAATATTCTCACGTGTTCAATGTAATGTACTAGAGTTCTAATTAATTGTGATTCTCAAATCCATTCAGAAAACCGGGGTATCAATGCGTCTTATCGTTGCAACGAGTCACCAGACTCATGTTCAAATCACGTCCATTTCATGCATCAATTCAGCCGACCTCGTTGATCGGACCGATTCGTTCCTCCACACCCTCAAGTGGCATTCGGCTCTTCTTTCTCTGCCTGCCTCTAACACTAGCTGAGTCTCGAGCTTTGCGCGCCTGTTGTTGCTGTTGTTGCTGAGTATTCTTCTTCTTTGGCGCCACAGCCGCATTGACAACCTGTTCTGCGAGAGCAGAGATGCGATCGAGGCGGGCAGCGTGTGCTGATTCTGAAGGCTGATGTGTGTCGCTCTCGTCCTCAGTTGGCTCGGCAGCCTCTCCATCGTTGTCGTCCTGCTCGGTTGTCGGTAGCGCGATGTCGGCTGGGTCTTTGATGAAGCCTTCGCGTTCGCGTCGTTGATCATCTTCTTCTCGTAGACGCTTCTCTTCGGCGTCCAACTCGGCTTGAAGGGTCGCGGGGTCGATGAAGTCCTGCTCGGTCAGTTGCATGTACTCGTCCATATCGACAGGTTCTTTTGCTGTAACAGACTCCTGAACCCGTTCGGGGTTCGCTCGCAATTCGATGGTGTATTTCAATTTGACCTGCCGACGCTCAAATTGTGGGAAGAAAGGGGCGATCATGCTGAAATCGGTCCCGAACCAGCGGAGACCTTTGTAGAAGAGCTCAGTTTTCTCATCATCCCACCGATTTCCACGGCGGAGTCCGGCGTATTTCCCCACCGTGCCCTGGTTGACATATTTGTAAATACGGTCATCTTCCAGCGCAACATCTGCATCCTCAATGACTGCTTGCTCAACTCCAGCACCAAATGCCACTTCTCGCGATTCCGCCGCCACAACAATCTGTCCATTAACGATGATCTGCTGCGGAGCATGAATTTCCTCGGCCTGAGTTTCTACCGTGCCGAGTGCTTGTCTTCCATGCCGGCCTTGACCAGCAGCCTCCCTCCGCCTTACAACTTCTTCTTTTCGCCTCTTTTGAATCTCGTCCCAGTTTTCCTGCATCTTCTTCTCGGTCTCGGATTTCCTCCCCACCTTTGTATCGCGAATCAATGCATCCATAGCCACCTCCTCAGGGTCGATCTGTAGTTCCTCCGCATTCTCCGGAGTCGACTGGCGAGAATGGTACCGGCCACCTCTGATCGCGTTTGTGACGACATCCTTGGCTGCTTGCGCAATTCTCTTCGCACGTTTCCTCTTCTTCGTTTGTTTGGCGGGCTCTGGGGTGGTGTCGATTGAGCCCGCACTACTTGGGGGCGCAGATTGTGCTCCTAGAGATCTTGCTCGATTCTCGATGGAGTTTGCAAGCTCTGAAACTGCAGCAGCCTGGCTGGTGGCATCTTGTAACAAAGCGTCTGAAGTGCGTGATCCACTTCTTGCAGTTCTTGACCTTCTCCCCAGAATCAACGCTGCACTGTCCGAGATAGATGGAGTTGGACTTGGCCGTGCAGCTGATTTGGTCTGATCTGTGTGTATTGTTTTTCGTCTCTTTCTTGGGGAGAGGGCATTTCTCTCTGCTTGATCCAATTCAGCCCCGACTTCAGCTTCTCGATCCGAGTCCTCTGATGGCCCAGGGGTCGGCTCATTCGTCTCTCTCCGGCGGGATTTATTAGACTTAGTTGTTCTGACTGCTGGGATGGCCTCTAGCCTGGGCGCAGCTGATAGTTCGGTAGGCCTTGGTGGTGCAGGTATCTCAACAGATGCCACAACCGAAGGAGTACGATTCAGTCGCGGGGAGTCTGGTACGGGTGTGGAAGGAGCCTCGACGGATTCTAGCACAGGAAGAGAGGCATCGGCAGACTCTATATCGGTGGGCAGTTCGGTTGACTCAAGAACGGTAGAAACCTGTGCATCTTCTTGGCTCGAAGCGTGATCACCAACAGAATCACGAGCAGGACTCGCAGCATGACTTTCTGGGGTCAAAGACGGGGGCGCGGTGGGCCGGGCACTCTGCCTCTGAACATTTCGTCGTGGAGCAGTCTTTGGGGTGATTTTCTGGCCAGGCTTGCGGACGACGGAACTGAATGAGGACATTGTAGAAGCAGAGGCTGGGGGAATGGTATTTTGTACATGCGTGTTCACATTCTAGCAGAATGCTTCAAACTGTGTTTCCCACGAAAAGGGAAAAAGACGGACTCTGGAGTATTCGAGCGCAGGGCCAGGATAAACAACTCGAAGCCTGAGTGGGATGCGTGACCTAGAGGCTCATTGTGTGGCGGTGGCGTAGCATCACGTGTTCTGTGGCGGTGGCTGACTAGCGCGATCCCAAAACAATCCATTGAAGGAAGTGGTAATCTTTCAGTTCGGCACCTCAAGCCTTTGTCTCAATTACCCTCTGTTCTTGACAGCCTACTCACTCATCCACAATTTCGCATCCAACCGGCTCACCTGCAACGATAGCCATTATTGGCTTCGTCAAGGACGTTCGTGGCCAGAGACAGCCTCATTTCAAGGTGTTCTAGGACTGATGACGGCCATCGAAGTTCCCCTTTCTCTCTCCTCTCAGCAAAGTCTTGTCAAGATGGATGAGCGTAAAAGACCTAGTCCATATGATCAGGTTGAATCCGCTCCTCCTCTGAAAAAGCACCAGTCTTCTGCCAATGGCGCCTCCAAGGCTCATAAAGATGACGATATGCCTTGGAAGGATGACCTCGAGGTGAGCACCTTTTCTTCAGCCTCAACCTGCGCGCCGTCTCTCGTAACATAACACTAACATCTCTCTTTCGCACAGAGGTTTCAGAAAGATGCCATCTACCGACAAATGCAAGAGTATAGAAGAGAAAAGAACACACTCGAGACACAACTGAAAGAGATGCGAAAAAAGACAAGATATCACGACGATCATCTTCGAATCATTGATTCTTGGTTTCAGCAAGTGGTTGACGAGATCAAACTTGTTTCTAAAGGGAATGATGAAGATGTAGACATGGAGTCTGCGCCACTCCCCTCTTCACTGCTTTTCTCCGATCTTGAACACTTTGAAGAACATCTGCGCAGCCGCTCACGGGAAATCAAGACTGTTATATCGCGTTTATTCGCGCCTTCTCGCTCCTATACGTCGGATGTCACAGAGCTTCAATCCAAAGTGTCTCGGTTGTTGGCCGAGGAGAAAAGTCACGTGGCCGACTTGTCCAGGTTACATGCTGAAAAAGAGGATCTCGAGAATCGACTAGAAAATGCATCCTTGCGATACATGATGGCAGAGAAGAAAATCGACAGGGCCAAGAGCGTCACGGTAGCTAAACTCGAAAAGCAGGCTTTACTGGGTGCTACAAAAACGTCAACAGAAGAAAGCGGTCAGGTCAAGCGTGAAGATAGCGCGGCCAATGGAACCAGCGACAATTCGGAAGAGCTCGCCGAGTTAGAGAAGGAAATGAACAAGACCGTAGCAGCTTCCGAGAAACAGAAGCAGCACCTTGACCGATTGGAGGAGGAAAACGCCAAGCTTACTGCTCAATTGACGGAGCTTTCGACCAAATCAACGCTATTAAGCGACGAAGATTACGCCAAAACTGAATTGTTCAAGCAACTCAAATCTCAGCATGAAGACGTGATCAAAAAGATCAATAACCTCGAAGCCACAAATGTGGAGCTGAGGGAGGAGGCACAGAAGCTACGAGCGGAACGAACGGTTTTCCAGACACAACTGGAAAACGAATCTCGAAATATACTCGCCGAAAAGGAGTCACTTCTTACTACAACAGAAGCTACATTGACGAGGATCCGACACAACAGAGATGAGCTTCTAGCAGACCAAGCGGTCAAGAAGGCCACTCTGGATGAATATCAAGAGGCTAGGAGAAAGATTGAGGATCTCCTTTCGGCGCAACAAGATCGCATCCAGGCCTTTGAATCCGAAAATGAACGCTTGGCGGCGGCATCTAGTGGCATGGCAGTGGATAATACAGAATTAGAGTCTCTAACTGTTGAAGATCTGCGAGCAAAGTTCACCGAGCTGTCGAGGAGTAACGATCTTCTAAAAGTTGAACTTGGGTCGATGTCAACCGCCTTCACAAAAGCATCGAAAATTGCAAGTCAGAAAGTTTCAGATTTTGCGATTCTCGAAGAAAAAGTGGTGCGATTGTCAGCGGAGAAAGCCAAAGCAGACCAAAAATATTTCGCGGCCATGAAAAGCAAGGACACCCGGGATGGTGAAATCCGGACACTTCGATTGCAAAATTCCAAGTCTGGTGAGGCTGTTTCTAGCTTGAAAGAAGCAGAGGCAGCCAGTCGGGCACTTTTGACAACATTGGAAAAGCAATTGTCTGAATTGAAAGAAGTAATAGTAACTAAAACAAACGAACTTCGAACGGTGCAGCAGCAGAATATCACCCAAGGAATGGAGGTGTCCCGACTTCAGGCCCAGGTGACTGAGTTGAAAGGTCTGCTGTCCACAAAAGACGCCAAGCTCGCCACAACCTTGAGTCTGGGTCGAGCAGCCGAAGTCGAAGTCGAAGAACTGAAATCGTCTCTTAAGGATACTCGAAGAAACTTGGATTCCTGGAAAAACAAGAGTGGACAATCTGAACAATATGAGATGCTCCGCCAAGTTGCGTATTGCAACATTTGCAAGCGGGCGTTGAAGAATACGGTCATCAAAACCTGTGGACACACCTTCTGCAATGACTGCGTCGAGGAGAGGCTGACGAGCCGGTCAAGAAAATGTCCCAATTGTGGAAAGAGTTTCGGAAGCAATGATCATATGCGAATCACTCTTTGAAGCAATCCGACAAGAGAAGGACCCGAAGTCCAGCATCTCCGACAACCCCAATACCACTGTACTCGCAATAAATCTCGTCACCCAATCTCAACTCGGATCCGCTCGAAGTCCAATCTTCTGAATGGCCGAGATATAGCATGTGCCCTGAAGACAAGACTTGCTCAACCAACATCACTCGTCTCTCGAAAGCATGCCACCTTGTGTATGAATATAACATAGTCGCTGAGGCTGTGCTCTAAGCGGTGAGCACTCCGCTCTACAGCGCTGAATTGTTGGACACCGACCCGATCGAGGGATATGTTATGCTTGAGCAACATGCATATTTACAATCCAACTTTCCATTGGATCATGATCATGGACACGGACTTGAGGTTTACTTCACCCCCTTAGGTTCGGCCTCGTTAGTCGTGGTTGCGCTATGATGCATGATATCACCAAGTCAATACGACTTGAATGGAGTATTCAGCCACTCGCTGACCGGCGCAGACCAACTTCAAATGCGTTGTAACGTGTTGGAGGCTAGGGCCTCCCGTGTATACCCAGCAGCAGAAGCCAGCTTACGTCCAGGCAGCTTGAAGACAACGGGGGACCAGAATATAAGGAGGATCATGCTCCGTGCACGCAGGAGCAATTCCGTGGGAATACCTGTCGACCCGTACAGGGTGCTTAGCTCCCAGTCGTGCCTTGATCCGATAATATAGTCGTAAACGCTACTCGCTCCAAACGAGTATGAATCATAATCCATTGTCAAAGGCTGTGCATCACTCCCATCTCACGTCGAATCACTCTCAATCATTCATTTCCACATCTCCCGAGTTTTCCACCTTGATGATCTTGATGTCCTGGTCGTTGTCGTTGTCGTCCTGATCGTCCTCATCGACATCATCATCATTGCCGTCGTCCTTCGCATCTCCATCTTTCTCGTCACCGTCGCCTTCGCCCTCTTGATCGTCGTCCCCCTCATTATCATCATCCCCTTCCTTCTCCTCATGGCCCTCCAACGGCGGAAAATGCAAATGCTTCCAGTCCTCAATCTCCTCGGTGACGCTCTTGAGACGGTCGCGAATGCTCTCGACGGCGTACGTGCCGAGCAGCAGCCGCAGCGGCGGATAGCTGCAATGCCCCAGCTGCCAGACCAGCTCGGCGGCCTTGACGACGCTGGTGTTCTGATGTTCGCCGATCCACTGTAGCGTGCGCTTCGCATGGCCCGCGGGCGAGTCTTTCGCCATGTACGGCTCCGACGGCTTGGCGACCTTGAAGTGCCCGAAGATTGGCAGCTTGACGCCGTTGGCCATGGTGTGCACGTCGTCGCGGCGCAGGTGGCCCGGTTCAACGAGGGTCGAGCGGATGTCGAAGCCGTCAACCTCGTACAGCATGCTCTCGATCAGCCCCTCGACGGCGTACTTGCTCGCGCAATACGGCCCCTGGCCCGGCACGCCCAACGCCCCGGATGTCGAGCTGAAGATTAGGTACCGCCCGGCCTGGCGTTTGCGGAAGTAGGGCAGTGAGAGCTGGATGATGTTCAGCGTGCCCATGAAGTTGGTCTCGAATTGGTTGCGGATCTCGGCTTCGTCCTGGTCCTCGCACGCCCCGATCACACCATACCCGGTGCAGTTGGCTATGATGTCGAGCCGTCGGAACTGCCTCATGGCCTGTTCGAGTACTCTACTCACCGTGGAGCGGATGCGCACGTCGCATAGGAGTCCCAAGTAGCGATCTGAGTCGTCGTGCCACTTCTGCATCGATGTCTGTGAGTCCACGTGGGACTGGCCCACAGCGATGGCGATGTCACCGTGCTGTAAGGCCGCTTTTACAATGGAGCGTCCCATGTGGCCGGTCGCGCCGAATACTAGCCATACCTTTTGCTTGGGTGGGTTGGATGGTCCTGGTGGTTCGGTGGTCTGCGGGAGTGAGAGTTTGGATATGTCGGATGACAAAGTCGTGTTTAATGAGCGTTGTGTTGATGGTGAAGACGGGTTGTTATTGGTGTTGTTGTCTAACGACATTGTGTTTGAAGATTGACCAGGGACTCTTGTTTCCAGTTCGAATACCAGTTCAATAACAAGCTGTCGAGCTTTGGCTCCTCTTCCTGGCTCGTACTGTAGCCCTATCCATCCAGAGAAACACAAATTGACTAGATGTGATTGGCTTCCATGTGCCGGTCAGCATTGATCACCCCCCTCCCAACATCTGCCGTGGATTGTGTGTGGTTTGCTGCTTCAGCGGTGGTAGTAAGCCCCTTAAATTTATGAGTACAAGCTCAGTTTTGGAGTACCCACATGAGCAGCAATGAACGACGGCGTATGTTATTGGCTTGGTGTAAAAGGACAGATCAATTACCCGTGTGATATGTTCTGGATGTGTTCTCGAGCAAGAAGCGGAACAAGATGTGTTAAACGAGTCATGGCAATCCTGAGAAGCCCTAACCTCAGCTGCTGAAAGGCGTACGCCATAGCCGTGGGGGCCCTGGGCATCGTCACTAGGTCTTGGAGAACCGCAACGTCCTTGTGGCAACTGGCAAGCGCAAGTCGCTTGGGGGCGTTTGGTCATGCCTAAAAAGCGGCAAGGCGCAACGTGATTTAGGCGGGATTTCGCAGCCACTCTGGGTGCATCCTTGATTCCCCGCACCTGCGTCAATAATGGCCTGCAATGGCATCACTGGCAGATGAAAAAAAGTGGGAGGCAATTGCGCAAGACGGATGCCCAGTCAGTCTGACCATTCGTAAAACACTCTTCTTAAACGTGCAATCGCTCGAGCACCTTGAAGATTACTTAAATCTCTCACATTCCCATATCGCAATATAGGACTGCCAGTCAAGCATTCTGCCCACTCAAATATCCGACCTAGCAACCCTATCGTCCTATTGCGATCTTTGACCAAAATGAAGGCTTACTGGTTTGACAACCAAGAGGTATTTGCGACCCAGCAATAACAATTCCTGTGTTGATATCATGGGCCCTAATATGCGAGTGCTTCCCAGGGAGACCAGCGTCTAACCCATGACTCTGGTCGCGAAGTTGAAGCCTCATATTTGGCCAAACTAGGTGTGTTATACCACCATGCACCTGAAGTTTCCACGGTGGACACAATCGCCAAAGACCGCAGCTACAAGAACCGAGATGAGATCACTGTCAGTCCCTCGGCTATGGGCGATATATACGAGGACAAAGTCAAGTCGTTCTTCCACGAACACCTGCACGAGGATGAGGAGATCAGATATATCCGAGACGGCGCAGGCTATTTTGACGTGCGAAGCGAGGGAGACGAGTGGGTACGCATTCGGTTGGAGAAAGATGACCTGATCATTCTACCCGCCGGTATCTATCATCGCTTTACAACGGATGAGAACAATGTAAGTGTCTCGGAATCAAGGGGCGATTAAAGTGAAAGATACTAATGATGGTCAACTTTTAGTATATCAAAGCCATGCGGTTGTTTAAGGATGAGCCCAAGTGGACTCCACTGAATCGGGGCCCTGACACGGATGTCAACAGTCATCGAGCTGAGTACTTACAGTCGCGAGGTGCTTGAATGCCCTAGTAACGATACACTACAATTCCACTGTACTTGATGTTGATTTGTATGTGGTCAATCTTTGGGGGTTCATCTTTGATCCCAGTTCGAAGGCGAATAACCTGCAAAAGACGGATATGTCTTTCCATTGCTGACATTCCATATGAAGCTCGTCAGCCTGAAATCACGTGCGATACCTGGAACGCCTACAGGCTCAACAATGTGTGTATATCATACCACTGGTCACCAGCCATTACTCTGTGGAAGCCTCGGCCTTCTGGAGCAAGCACGTGGCTAAGGATAATTGCAGACAGGGGCCGCAACCCGTTAACAGTCATTCGTGAATGAAATGTGACACGCTATTCCGAAGGCTAGAGTGATATACACATATATAATCTTATTCTTTTCCGGGCACGGATTTGATCAATCACACAGTCGAAGTGAAGCCATGGGCTGCCCGAACTAGGGAGCATCGAAGCCCCAGCGTCCAGAATGCGATCATCTGTGCTCGTATCGAGAAATGGGCCACAGACTGAACGTGTTTAGTACCTGGCATCCACCTAGGGAGCAGCTTTTTCACCGTAGTCAGCCTAGAGGATGACCAAGGATCGTTCTTCGGGTCCACAAAGTTACCTAAGACGCCCTCTAACCTAGTCGATATCTGAATCCCAGCTCCCACGAGTTGATCCCCAATCCGCTTCCAACAAAATTGGACACCTATTACTTTGTACGTGCCTAGCAGGAGGACGACCTCGGCTGTCTTGCACCAGAAAAGGGTTGGATTCTGTGCCTAAAGAACATGCGACGAGTTCACTGGCCGAGGCACCCTCCACGCGGGGTTCAGCCGCTTTCGACCCGACATCGAAAAAGTCAGCTAATCGGTTGATGCCTCTCGATTTGCGGCCCTGGGAAAATTAGGACGATCTAGTTAGGCTGTTGACTAGCGGTGTCTAAGTTCGCGAGACGGATGTGTTCCAGGTCAGACATCCTCAGAAGAAGCTCACCTAACGACCTGGGACTCAACAACTAGTTACTATTGCTGACACATCGTTGCCTGACTTTAAGACATCACCACAACGACACACTAAGTACAAGGCGTGCACTGCCCTGTTCGACACCGAAGCTGATGAGCGCGTTCGAGGCTCCCTCGTGTCCAGTAGTGACAAGCTTTTTCGTGCGCTAGAGATGCACAACAACCTCGCAAAATAAAAGGTATCTTCTTTGATGTCCAGAAGCCCAGGGCGACATGGCCACGGCCACACCCAATCCGAAACCGGGAGGAGCAGACGGCAAGGGAGGAGGCCAAAATAGCAATTCACGCTTCATGTTTGTCGAGTTCTCGGCGCCTTCAGAACCCGTACCCAAAGGCACGAAGAAACGACGAGGCGGTCCTAGTGAGGTCCGCGCCCATATCACCAAGGAGTATCATCGAAAACTACGCGTCAAGCGTCTGGGCGTGCCCAAGGCTACCAAAAGTGCTTCATCTATCCCAGATGGAAATGACGAGGTTGAGGAGCACGCTGGTATTTCGCTACCAGAACGAACAAGGTCGGCTTCTCTGCCGGATCCGACAACCCCGCTCGACGGAGAGTATCAGGAAGAGAACGACCATGAGAGAAGACACTCGCACAGCGACGCCATCATGCGTCGTGAATCCACGTTATCATTGAGAAGTACTTCTGCAGCCACCGAGACAGCAATCACCACGACATTAGCACAGCACAGTGAGGTCAGGCTGAGCTTGAGTCGATCACCAAAATTGCGTAACATGCTAGGTGAAGGACGTCTTGACCCTTTCAACGCTCTGCCATCGCAGGGCTCCATGCCAATGTTCATAAACAGGGTTCTAGACCACGGTAAGTTTGCTCCTTGACATCTTTAGGAGCATGTTGTGCTTTTCCACGTTTGCAGACACGCTTCCTTGAGTTATGCTCTTTCAAGAAACAGGACCGCTATCTTACCACCACCGCACAGAAAGCTAGCTAACAGACGTTCCTCTTCTCACGCACAGCTCTCGTCCACTCATGGCCCAACACGGTCCCCGCCCGCTCGCACTCAAACATGAACCCTGTACAAGCAGCGTGGTTCCGCCTGGCGATGGAACACCCTGTGGCGTTCCACAGCTTGATCTACGCGACGACACTGCACATGCTGTACCTGCACCGGGGCAACGAGATCGTGGCCGACGCACCGATGCTACGACTCGTGCACAAGACCCGCACGATCGAACTGATCAAGGACGCGCTGAGCCTGCAGGACTCGCATACCCCGCCCAGTGACGCCCTCATCATGGCCATCGCCATCCTCTCCATCCACGGCTCCAAGGACAATGTCGTGCATCCGCATGTCCACCCCACAAGTCCGCTGGCCCAGGCTCAGAATCTGCATGTCTACGGAAATATGGTCAACGATGATACGCACGTCCAGTGGGTCAAGTACATGATCATGCAGAAAGGTGGGCTTGACGGTTTGAAATTGTATGGTTTTGCTGATACTATGGCTTTGTAAGTCACCTTTCTCTCTCTCTTTCCCACCCTTTCGTGTACCTACGGTTTCGTGATCGAGAAGTTGTCACTGAACACACCGGCTCCTTGTCTAGATGCGACGTCTACTTCTCGACCAAGCACGTCTGCCCACCGTCATTCCCATTGCGGAAAGAACCAGAGTCTCTGGTCCTGAGCGGCAAGCACATCATGGACGACATCTGCATCGACCTTGACTCGGAGCTCACCACTGGCTTCAAATACTTCCAATTTACACCTGAAGCATGCGAATTACTGTCGGTATTGGATGCATTTTCAGAACTCACTGTCGCTCTAGATCACTACGCTAGAGGTGGCCCAACTGCTCCAGATCTAGTGGATCTTGTCGACGCGCGACATGCGGCACAACATCGTCTACTAGCACAACTTCCACCGCCACAGTCAAATTTTCTGGAAGGGGATAAGAGTGTGCTTCATGCATGTCGGTTGGCAACACTGATCTTCAGTGATATGGTTATCTTCCCTCTCCCGCCAACACAAGGGGTCAAACATCGCCTTGCACCTTTACTTCGTCACACACTGCAGGCATGCGCTATGGCTTGCAACTGGGAACTCCATGCTTATGTGCTTGTATGGGCAACCACCTTGGGCGCCATTGCTGCGACTCATTCGCACGAGCGAGGCTGGTACGTGGAGAAAATGGTTGCTCACGTTCAAAATTTGGGCATCGATCACTGGTCCTGTCTCAATTCCATATGCTCGAGGTTCCTATGGTGGAAGCCCGTTTGCGCGGAACCTACGGAGAAATTGTGGGTGGAAATGTTTCCCACGATTGGGGATATCACCTGAATGCCCAGACAACGATTGGGAGGTATGTATGTCCAATAGGGTAGAAGTTGAGTGAACAGCTTCAGAATTCCTAAAATCCCAGCAAGATGAAGCTTTTTCAAAGGCAGAAAGCTCGCGATGCCATGATTTCACGCGGGTAAAGCCCCAGGCATCGTCCTCACAGCCTGTGGGGTGGGAGCATCTTCCTCACCCATTATAGCTTGACTGTTGGCTCGGGCACGGCCACTGCGAAATCGGAGATTCTCGAAAATCTTCTCCGTCTCCTCCTGAGATGGAAAGCCATCGTCGGCACGGGTATCTCTTCGGCTCACAAATGATGTAGCCCGATGTTCGTCCTGGGTCGAGGGTCGGTCATCTTCCTGGCCCTCCCTTACTCTGACCTTACCCATACGAGGCCATAGACCCGGGAGAGGCACGACTTGGACTCTAGGCTCCACGACCCTTTCTTCGAACCAAGCGTGTGCTCTAGCTTCGATGAGTTGTGCGATTTTGGGTACATCTTGCAATCGAGTGCGAGAACCAATCAAACTTCGGACAGAGAGATCTAGACGATAGTCTGGAAGGAAGGAGAATGCAAGATTTGTTTTGGGATTGCCAGCGGTCGAGGGTTGCTTGGCCTTGTCCTTAATCGTTGGGTCGTCCGGTGTAGCAGGCACAAAGCTGATGGACAACGTGCCGGAAAATCGGACCACTGAGACCGCCAGAGCTACTGGCAGCACAGCAGAAAGTGGCTTGGGATAATTCAGGATAAGAGCAGTTTCGATTGCCAGAGTGAGATTATCATCAGACAGATCTACATCCATCAAAGCCTGCAATCTTCCCCCAGTGGCACTTGAAGTATCGTCCTCCACAGACATGACACGTACATTGCTGAATATGGGAAATTCCTCACCCATAGATATCTCAGTGATTTTGATTTTGTCCATATAAGATGGCCGCTTGTCCGGGTTGTTGATGGCAGCCTCGAGGCTCGCGATAATGGTAGAAGAACCTCCAGCAGAGCCATCTCTGAGGTTGTACGCTGTCTGCCGGTATTGGGCAATGGTCTGTGCGATCAAAACATTCAACCAGTCGAGACTCTCAGGTTGATGGGTGGAATGGGCATTTTTCCCATGGCCGCGGGTGGGGATTTGGTAGTACGTCTTTCTCAAGATCGAAGCTATATCTGTAGCAGTTGTCGGCACAGGCCTTAGCACATTCGTTGCACTGGCTTTATTTCGAAGAGATTGCGGAGCGGAGCTCTTGGAGGATGCTAGGTTATGCAGTGAGGGGGAGCGAATGTGTTTGGTGGTGCGAACAGATGATCGCGACGGGACTGGAGGAGCTTCGCCGAAGATGAAGAACTTTATGAACGCTCCGATTAGGAGGACAACGGAGAGCTGACCGAGGAGCAGGCCTTGGGTGAAGGTCAAGGTTGAGGACATGGCTGCGGATGAGAGGACGCAGCCATTACTGAAGAATAGAAAAACGGCACAGTGATGCTATTGGTCTGTAGTTCATTATAAAGTCAGGGTCATGCTTTCGGCCAGCATGATATAGTTTCTCGAGCTGTGTACATTGTTCTAGTTGTCGTATGTCGAGTTGTGTGTGTTTTTTGGGTTTTGAATTTCGGCAGGAGGGAACACTCAACCGACGTCACTGTTCCTTCCTCACCCAGGTTCGGTCAAAGCGATTATTATGATCCACCGTACCGAGCAATTCAAATGACGCGCATCGAGTACACCTGCTTTGCAACATCGTGACCATTCATGTAAGATAGTCAAATCTAATCATACGACACGGGAGATCGGAATTGTTCTGAGTACTTTTCTTCTGTATCATGACTTATGAGAATTTGATATATTAGATCCAAAAGCTGGTAAATTGCGGTGGAGGAGAGAACCCAATTTCTCCCAAAAACAGTCCGCGGGCAATGCCATATCTGATCCAGAACTAAGATTTATGATTTGTTTGCGATCGAACGAGCAGTCCAAAGTCTACTTCAGTTGATCATCATTAGTTGTTATCATTGGTATCACGTACTGGCCGGCCTCCTATTCGTCGATAATGGCTTTACAAATGCCCGAGCCAACAAATCCTCCCCTCCCATTAACAGAGTACAAAGTCTTGTCCTTCGATATCTACGGCTCGATCATTGAGTACAAGGCACATATATTGGACTCTTTTCAACCTCTTCTGACACGGCTGCCGCAATCTTCACCATATCTAGACCCGACTCCCTTGGCATCCACAGTTCCGGATTCTGCCACCGTTGGCTCAATCGAATTCCTGAAACTCTTTCAGCGGCAGGAGGATGCGATCAAGCTCGAAAAGCCGGTGAAGCGATTTGATGAGATCCTGGCTGAGATATGGAGGCGCATCGTCAGGGAACTAGAGGTCGAGAGCACCGAGGATGAGGCCCGACATTTCGGCAGCGAATCTGTCATCCAGTCTTGGCCGACATTTCCTGGCACCCTTGAAGCCCTCAGAAAATTAGATAAGCGGTACAAACTCGTTGCTCTCTCCAATATCGATCGGTATGCCTGGGCACAGACGGAGTCATCGCCAGTAAGTCGGCTTGGTGAGGTCAATTGGTGGAAGATTTTCACTGCAGAAGACTTCGGTGAGGATGCCAAAAGGGCAGATGAAATCAAGCTGGAGACTGTAATCCATTTTGCTAAAGATAATGGCATCAGAAAGGAGCAGATTCTACACGTTGCGCAAAGTCTCGGTCACGATCAGGCACCGGCAAAGAGGTTGGGTCTCAGCAGCGCCTGGCTTGTAGGTGACGGACCTCGATGGGGCAAGGAGGCTGAAAGCAAGATGGTTCTCGAGAAGAAATTGGTGGGCTACGCATGGAAGTTTCAAGATTTAGATGGCTTTGCCCGGGAAGTCGAGCGTGCCTTTTCTTCCACTCAACCAAGTGCGATTGACTATGCAGCACTCATGTGATGCGTTCGACTATCATTCCAAATCCGCTCATCACTTAGTACTACTTAGTGCCTAAGGAGTCCTTCTTCAGGTATTCTAGGTTGTTGGCGCCAACGAAAAACTAACATACTTTGGGTTTGCCTTATGATTACTTAAGTAGTACTTATACAGGACTAAATAGTACTAGCGCATTCAGAATACCCTAGTAAGAATTTAGAGATATTCGTGCCATCTACCTAGGTACTTACGAGCTCCAAGCCGGCTTCACCTCAGCTTTAGACCAGTTCTAGACCAGTTCTAGACCAGTTCTGCTCGGTTTACCCTACTTTCGCTCCCTGACCAGGCTGATTTAAATTGGATTCAAAGATATCTTTATTGTACTTGGTGCTTAGAGTTATCAAGTTTCGTACTCAGTCAGTAGAACTCTAAGAACTAACAACCCTTGTCGAGCCTTGAGCTAGGTACCGTGAGGCTCGATGTAATTTGAGTAATACTAAGTACTTAGTAAAGCTTTGGAGTGTCAGGCGAAGAGATATATAAAGAGCGGCAAGAGTCATGTAAGTATTCGTGACCACTGCAGTCTTCTCTGCAGCGTTCAAGGCCCAGGCTGCTGTGAGATTTTTCCAGCATATTAAAGTTCTCACAGCAGCCTGAAACTTGAACGCTGTCAACTACTAAAGCACTAAGTACGATGGTTGATAAAGGGCCCAATGTCCACAATGCTCGGGTCTATACGTTTGACTCGAGTGCTTCAGCAGCGGCGTGCGTTTTGACTCTGGATCTCATGCTCAGCGATGGCCAGCAAACGCGGATTGTGACGGAAGAGGCCAAGCAACGGATTTTGATCAATCGCTGGGTCAATCGCTTCGATGTAATATGATGGTCCTTATTATCTCTGATAAAAGTCTCTCCCAAGTTCGCCAGTTGTTCTTGAAGAGGGAAGGGATGCAAATTTAAATGTCAAAGATGGTCTTTTGCATTATCTTCGTCGCAATCACAGTATCACCTCCAACAAAATGGAGATACCTAAGTAGTAACTACTTGACTTTTCTCGACAGTTGTCAATATCAAAAGCGCGTGGCCGTGATGAATAGCAGCAGTAATATTGTCGAGGATGCAATCGGCTCGGAAGAGATAGTACAGTTGTATAACAACTCGCCTTTTCCCAGTCTCGTCGGCCAATTTGCTTTCTAGATTCTGGCGTATCAACTAGCACGAGTTTGCATTTTCCTCGTCGTTTCAGGTAAGCAGAGGTTGAAAGGGCAAGACTCACCATAGTACTAAGTACTTGATGTTGATGTTGCTTTGTCGTACATTCCTGACCTGATAATCCCCCAGTTCCACCAAGAAAACTCGTTCGATGGCAAAATGGACTTTTCCCACTGCAGTGTGTTGACAGCAAGTCTTTCATAATAGCGGTCGCTGAAGTGAAGTATACACTTGGGACAAAGGTATCTCGCAAAAACGATCGTAAGTACTTATCGCTATTGATCGGTGGTGTAATATTGATTGTCAGGGCATTAAATGGATCGGAATTAAGTACCTTCATTGAGAATTGATACTGCTTGCAGTGTCCATTGGAATCGCCCAGCTGGCGCAATCCTAAGCCTCGACCTTTCTTCCGGTGTACATCTTTCCTGAGCAGAGATATCTGTTTCGAGTCAAGCTTGGTACTAATATTGCAGTCCACGACGTAGGCCTCCGTATACTAGCTAGTGAGTTCCGACCGCTCATAGCCCTTCCTACTAATGGCAATCGGGAATCGATGGATATATGGGTAGGGCAGTCCTATTTAGCTTATTGTCAATTCATACCTCGCCTATCGAGAAAAAAGTGGCTTGTTTTCTTTTTGCATTGGGATAATGCGGCCCGGAAAATCAGTCTTCGAATCAACGGCTCTTGTGCGAAAAGCCAAACCCGGCGATCAAATCAGTAAATATATGGCTTGTGAAGCTAACCCGGGCCTTGTCTAAGGCATAGTGCTCTGCTCGTAGGCTCGAATCGGGTCAATTGTTAAGCAGAGGCGGTACGGTGAGTAGATTGAAGCCCATTAGTCTCCCATTGGGTGGCTGGACAGAAACTCCGAGGCTTGGGCGATGAATCGTGTCTTTGTAATTGGTAAAAATGGACGCTGGCTGAATACGAATTGATCGCAGATGAGTACAATGGTTAAGTACTTACTTACATACTGAAATGGGCTCGATCCACGTCTAGAACATTGCCGAGCAGGGTCCAATGCTGTGGTCCAATCCGGCTTGAGGTCAGTCATTAGAAGATTTTGGGAAGCACCTTGGATAAATAGTATAAGAAATACATACTCAGTGGTTTGGTCAGGTATCTCTTTTCGCACATACCACGATGGATTTTCACAGCACTTCAAAGAGGGCAAGAGAGCTTTGGATGTTCTTGCACCTTGTTAAGACCTTGGAGCTGCAATCAGTAAGACTCCCGAAGTTTCATTGTAAGAGAACAATTCTCGGTGGTGAATGTTACATCGATCGTCATGAGGGAGCTCTTGTAGATGATATTCTGGAGAGTGCCTGTAGACCTATATCACTGCAACCACATGACACGAGCAACCGAAGATTGACTGAAACAACGCGTGCATGGCACACGATACCAATGAAGGTATGATGGTTCGATGTCTGTCATGTTTAGCATAAGAACAACTGCTGGAACGGGACCCTTCAGCTTTCCTACGAGGTAGATACTAAGTATGTATTTGAGTCGAAATCGAGGAACGCCAAGCCCTGGTCAACAGACCCATCTTGACCCATCTTGACAAAACGTCGAAACTGATTTCAATCATATTGCTTGAGACTTATCCTCGAAGCACAGGATTTAAATTCTGATCCCGGAACCTTCGAGGAACCCTATCCTGATCGACCCCAGAAGGCGAATATGGCCTTTATGAGAAGACAACGCACGAATTAGCAGTGCAGAGTATGGCTCTTCATTGACTCTTGACTGCAAGCTCACACAAGGACTTGGAACTTGAACCGAACTAGCCTTCATGAACCCCATTGATCTCCTTTCGGCGCCCCGAACATTTCGTGAGGATCTCTTCAAGGCGGTGGCATGGCTTTCAACTTTCATATGGCTTCGATTTCTGTCGCAGAACTTGATCGTAAACAAAGTCGGCCATCCGTCAATGAGTTAGGGAGAGTCTACATCCAACAACTCAAGGCATATAAATGGCGTTGCCAAATGTCAGCACAACGATGGTCGCTACCTTAACACAATCATTGGCCAATCTTCATCTTTCATTGGCGAGGCTTGACTCCATACGTCTCTCGTTTCGACTATACTCTGGCTAATCACCATTCATTCCAGCGATGCTCCGGCGGGGCCGCCCATTCTTAGGTACCTATTCCATCCAGAGATCGATTACGGGTGATACTCTGTCATTACAAGGAGACTTGATCCTCTTTTGTCAGCAATTGATATGGGAAATTCCACCTTCTCCCTCTGGTTCATGCCCATGCCTGCACGTCTCCCTTGGCATCCCGCTTGTTACACGAGGACCGACCTTGGCATGACGCCGCCTCGGGGACGATGTATATAAACCATTGAGAATTTTGGAGCGGGTATTCGTTCACCCAGGAGTTCTTCTCCGGTAAAAACTTCACGCGGACCGTCAAGAGGACGATGCAGCGGAAGGGTTATCTGAGATAGTGTCCTGCAGGATACGTGGAGCGGGGCGGTTGACTGGGGAAAGGAGAACGAACTGGACCACCCTCTTTTCGCCTCCACCCCCGCATTAAAGGATCCGGGGGGTAGTGGATGGGGGTTTGCTAGAGATCCACTGCCCAAGTTCCAACAGTTGATGATACGTGGCTAAGCTCCACATCAAGGAGCTCTTGGCAACATGGCGCCCGCACCACTACCCTCGTGTCCAACCTTATTCGCCCCGAGGCCATTCATACCACCATTTTGATCTCACGCCCAGACTTCTCTGACACTCTCAAGCAACACCGACCCCGGACACCATGTTGTAATTCCCATGTTGTTTGTCCACAAGGTGAGCGACCCTTTACCTTAATTCGTGGGTGCGTCGATCTAGCTCTCGTCTGCAAGGGAAGTCTGTCCAAACACCACTCATATTGGTTGCCAATGCAGCATATGGTCATTTCCTGGCACACAATCGTTGGAGACATATCGACTAGGGACTGTGGGAAGGGAACTCCTCCACGCTGAATGTTATACATGTACACCTCGTCCCATCGATCATCGTCTTTCCTTCTTCGTGGCAAGGACATCTCTGGCAGACTTTTTTCTGTGCCTTCCTACCTGCCCAACATGAAGTTCATTAACGACGTGAAAGAATCTCTGCGTACCGATGTCAACTGGGACCGTGCTGGCAGGTATTCCGTCATCGGTGCCAAAGCCGCCCCTGCCGCCGCCGCTCAATACCTGGTGGACAAAGTCCCTATTGTGGGATGGCTACCCAAATATCGTCCTCGATGGATCATCAGTGATGTTATCGCAGGCCTAACCCTCGGTATCATGTTGATCCCGCAAAGCCTTGCTTATGCTGCAATTGCTACAATTCCCGTCCAGCACGGGTTGATGGCAAGTTGGTTGCCTGCCACCGTTTATGCCTTTATGGGCACGTCCAAAGGTCCGTTGATAGTCTTTTATATCCCCTATACCCTCTTACTAACCCGTCCAGATCTTTCCACTGGTCCAACTTCACTGATTGGTCTTTTGACTGCTGAGGTCGTCGAGTCTCTCGAGCCAGAGGGCTATGAACCTGCTGCTATTGCCGCTGCAGTTGCCATGTGGATGGGAGTCTACTCTATGATGCTTGGTTTCTTGAAGCTGGGGTTCCTCCTTGAGTTCATCTCAGAGCCCGTTCTCACCGGATTCATATCTGCCGCCGCTATCATCATCGGTTCTGGTCAGATCAAAAATCTTATTGGACAAAAGGGTATCCGTTCCGGATTCGCCAATATCGTACATGACACATTTGTCAAGTTGCCTAAGGCCGATGGCGTCACTGCCGCCATGGGCGTAACGGGCGTTCTACTTCTATGTTTCCTTCAACATGTGGGCACCAGATGGGGTAAGAAGAACAAGGTTGCCTGGCTAATCTCGATTACTCGCGCCTTCACAGTACTCGTACTATTCACTGGCATCTCTTACGCTGTGAATAAAAACCGTGGAGAGGATGACTATCTCTTCGCTGTCACGGAGATGACTCACAAGGGCATCATTCCACCAGCCATCCCACCTTCAGACCTCCTGGCGAAGACTCCAGCAAAATCCATTGCCGCTTTCATTGCCGCGTCCGTTGAGCACGTCGCTATTGCTCGTGCTTTTGGCGCACGTGGTAATTATCTGACAGATCCTTCCCAAGAATTGTGCTATCTGGGAGTCACGAATTTCTTCAACTCATTCTTTACCGCTATGGGTGTTGGTGGTGCGATGTCACGTACCGCTGTTAATGCTCAGTGCAATGTTCGCTCTCCTCTATCAGGATTTGTGACTACCGCCGTTGTGATCCTATGTTTATATGAGTTGACAGGAGCACTCTATTGGATCCCGAAGGCCACCCTCGCTGCTATCATTATAACGGCTATCTGGCCACTTATTGGTAGCTGGAGAACTTACTACCACTTCTGGAGAACATCATTGGCAGACTTCATCGCTGCAATGCTAGCCTTTTGGTTGACATTGTTCGTCGATGCAGAGATCGGTATCGGTGCTGGTGTCGGCTGGTCCATCGTCTACTATCTTCTCCGTATGGCTTGGATGCGTACGCGCATCATTGGCAGTCACTCGAATTCCGCAATCGTCAGGTCAATTGACAACGCACGAGGCATGCCAAGCCATATTCCAGAGGATGTGCAAATATTCAAATTCGAGGAGAGCGTCTTTTTCCCGAACGCAACAAGAGTCAAGAACCAGCTCGTGGACGGAGTTCAAACCTATCATGCACCTGCTTACTCATCGGCAAATGGCGCTGAGAAGGACCGCATATGGTCTGTCGTGGGAGAACGACGAGTTCAAAGGCTTCGGAAGAGGGCTGGCCTCGACATCAATACCCTTCCACCAGTACGCATCGTCGTGATGGACTTCACCAAAGTCACCTATGCAGATGTCACGGCGCTTCACGTGATGAAGGAGGTGTTTGCCGAAGTAAAGAAATATGCTGGAGCCGACTGCGAGATCCGGTTTGCTTCGATGGCAGAACCTATCAGATTTCGATTCGAACGTGCTGGATGGGAGATGATCGACGCCGACTCGTCGGATGGAAGTGGTAGCGAGAAACCCGCAGGTGCCAAATCAGTCCGTTTTTACCGATCTGTTGCAGATGCCGTGGAAAGGCGGCCAATCCTCGGTGAGAGTATTGAAGTGGTCACCAAGGGTGATGACGGAACCACGGAGCACCGAGAGAAGGTATGAGATTTTTGAAAAACCTCAATCTATTTGTCTCGTATGAGAGAGTGTGTATACTGAGTCGTTGCAGGTGAGCCAAACGCCACCCACGACGGAAGAATTTAGTGAAAAGGTATAATGAGCCAGTATGATTTGCATGCCATTGGTGACAATTCCAAGCGTGTCGTTCATTTTGCTGGACATGGTGATAGAAATTGCCAGAGCAGTGATGTATCTATCTTGTGGCCCATGGCCAAACAATTTATCCGTGATTCAGACTGAGCTTCTTTCCGGTAAACGAGAATTTCATGGGTGAAACCGGGATTTTGAAGTCCTTTATCTCGAAACTCTGGAGAAGGAGCCATTGCAGTGGTCCACCTTTTCGATAATCGGACTTCACTCCGTGGACTCCTAGACATAATGTTTGCACTGTAAGAGTGCAATAACCAATTCTCAACCGAGATCAGTACGATGTATCCGCTATTCTATGGACACTGTAGCAACACTGTAGAGGGACAGCCTTTCTCTCCATGACCCACCGTACATGATCTCCGGGCAAGGCTGGACACCGCTCTTCGGCTGAGAGTGCGCGTGGTAACTATTACCCGGCGCAGTACGAAGCCATTGGACAACTTGAAGTTGCTGGTCTGGTCAGAGGTGGTCAGTAGGCTACCTGTGTCCGCTATTATGTTCAGCCGGCCGAACTGTTAACCCTTCTCCACCTGCTGGATACCGTTTGCCCTAGTTGTTGAGTGGTTAAGGTACCATGCGACTGCGAAGCGAACAAGATCCAACTGCTTTGGCGAAGTCGTATCGAAGGGACTCAGATACCGGACCAGCAGCCATTGGTCAATGGGACAAGGTAGTTTTTTTACTGTACGCATGCAGAATTTTGTCCTATCGAACACCGGTGCCAAATACCTATGTATCCACACCTACGTATCCAATGGGCTCCTATTTTGCTACTGTGTCCCCCCCTCAAGAACAACGCTCTGCTCGTTGATTGCGTCGAGAAAGAGAGAAATGCACATGCATGTCAAACGGCCCATATCCCACACCACTCCCTTTCTTTTGACCTAGTGGGAAGCAGCCTCAGTATGTTGGCTTACACCTGAGACCTGATAGACCGTGGTAATCTGGGCCATCGTGTGGCCATGTCAGATTTCCATAACTCTTGATATGATAGCCCTGGTGGTCGCGTTCCCTACCTCATTGACTTCAACTGCCGAGTGCTTATGGAAATCCCCTTCTTTCGCGGATCAATCCATTATCTATTCCAGCCGAATGGTTCCCTTTCCCTGCCATGATACCCACACGGCAGCAATAATGATCTTCAGCACTCCAGTGATCCAAAGAGGGTGTGCGATATCACCACTCTGTGTGAGGAAGCCGCTGATCGCAGCCCCGATGACCAGAGCGAAGGCAGACACAAATCTTCGATTACGCTTGAGGTTACCTCCACGAGCTACTGGAAGAGTAAACAGACTCGCGTCCATGAACAAATCACAGTAAGTCGATGTCAAGACAACAGTTGGAAGCTCATTCTATGAATCATACATGGTCAGCCATATATCAAAAATGCATAAGGGGGTATGTGAAACGCACATAGCCTAAAAAGCGTGACATGACAATTTGTCCTGCGGACTGGAAACTCAGAAGGCTGAGTGGTAGCAAGACTATGAAGTCATGAGGCAGTCTGTCACCCGCGTCCTTCGGCACGAAGCCAGTGATGACCATTGCGACCGCCGCAAAGCATAGGAATGCCTGAAATATGCAAGAAGAGACCATGGTACCACGTTTGAGTGGTCCAAGTACACGAGAGGCTCGAGAGAAGAAGAAGCAGCCGAAGCAGAAGGATGCAATTGCAGTGCTGGATTTGACCCATCGGTATGGTTGGCTGTGTGGCTGTCCTGACACACCGAGGCCAACGTAGACAGTATTGCCTGGTGCGAAACGTCAGCGCACTCGGAATGTACGTACTCGATTGGGAATCAATAGTCACTGCGGTCCAACACAGCTTCTCAAGAACACGGCGGGTATGGAGGCGAAAACATACCTGTCTGCATACTCACGAAGCAACTCCATGTGTTAAAGACTGCTGAGTCGACCATGCCAGAGATAAAACTGAGAATTATCAGGATCACGTCGGCCCAGTCTTCATGAACATCTTGGGCCATGAATTTCTGTGTACGTGAAAGCCGAGACTGCTTTTTCATTACTCCATTGGCATAGCCTAGTTGCATTTGTCAGAACCAGGGAGGTATTGTGTCAATGAATGAGCATTCGAATCATTCTTTCTTGAATGATCCGTTACATGGCTCATGGATAAGGGATCAACTCACCATTTAGTGACACTTGTGCTTCTGAGTCGGACTCTGAAGAAGAGGAGGGAGAAATATTCGCGATCACAGTTCTTGGGTTCGGCTTTTTGGCTGACATGGCTATTTTCGACCTCTCAGGTACTTGTTCGATATTCTAGGTGGAAGTGGTGTAATAGATATACTTGAGAGAGTTGTGATAACACCAGGATGTTTTGATGTACGAAGTATACACAAGGAGATCGAACTAAGTACCGTATTCACAGACAGCACTTGAGGGATGGCTGTAGTCGATCAAGGACGATTCGATAGGAATATACAGCTTCACTCCAAGTACTCCGAGAGGTTTGATAATGCAAATGTTTGTCTTGGTGTTTCTTGGTATGTGTTTGCTATCCATCTGACCTCTGGAGGACCCCAGAAGGAAAGGAACCCCAGATCTTTGCCAAGATAACACCCCAGATTGATGGACGCCCAACTGGTAGCTCCAGGAGCCAGATCATCCATCCAGAACGTCAGAAATCTACGGCACAATGATTTCGCTGACAGGGCCCACAGGTATCCGTAACGTCGAGTTGGAGAACTCGCTCTTGTGTCAGTTGGAAGTAAGCCGAGGGTTTCAAGGCTGTGAGCACGGCCAAGAACCCCGCGAAAGTAACCCACTGGAACTCCATAACTCGAAAGCTTGAGATCCTTTTTATGGGGTTAAAGTTGAGACCAGACTAGATAGAGGACGGGGTATTGGTCTGCAGTGCGCGGCGAGTGGATGAACGTTTAGCCTGGAGGAAACTGAGCGGCTGGGCCTTCCTGGATTCATCGTCTGACCTGCTCCACAATTATCGCCCAATACCATACAGTCCTCATACCAGAGATACGCGTGTTGTGGGTGCTTCTAATCAAGGCGTCTCTTGATATCGTTGCTCACCATCTGTAGTGCCGGGTGGTGAGACACCGTTATGCCCAGCCGAGGATTGCTTGTGGAATGACACCTGAGCATCAGTACTCGTACACAATACACAGCACACACAAAGATCGAACAGGGTGGATTCAGCCCAAACATGGAGTTACAAGACCATGCTAAGAACATAATCTATGTCCCATATGTAGACCAAGGCGGTTGAAATATATATGCTTCCGAACCTACATCAACTAGGGTCTCCGCGTATTCATACACATAGTTCTTGATGCCCATTTAACTCCCACTTCACTACTGACAACATCTCGTCCAGCCTTTATCATAAAGCATCAGCTGCATGACCCGCAAGCTCATATCCAGCCCTAACCAGCTCGACAGTATTCATAAGTCAACGACAGTCAACTGCCCAGAGACTACTAGAAGCTCCGTCGCAACAATGGCCCACCGAATGGCTTCCGTGCTCGATGAGCGTAGGGATCCAAATTTCAATACCTGGACCGAGATCATACCCCAGCGCGTCAAAGAGGCTCATGGGTTCGTCCTGGAGTTGAAAACATAGATGTGCGATAGCTAACATGATGTGTCATAGCGTTGTGCCAAAACGTGGTGGTAAAGGCAGCAATATCCTCGGACCCGATAACCCGGAACGCGCTGAGCAGAGTTACTCATTGGTTCGACCACCATCCACAGATGGAGGAAAAATGCCAAACATGAAATGGTTCGTTTGTTCATGGGACTAGTTTGGAAGCAGTCGCTAACAAAGTTCAGGTCTTTCACAGACTCACATATGCGTCTCGAGGAAGGTGGCTGGGCGCGCGAGACCACAGTGCGTGAACTCGGCACATCCAAGGAGTTGGCTGGTGTCAACATGCGTCTCGAAGCCGGAGTTTATCGAGAGCTTCACTGGCACTCGGAAGCTGAGTGGGCATACATCCTCAAGGGAAGCTGCAGAATGACCGTCCTCGACGTCGAGGGAGGGAGTTTCATCGATGATCTAGAGGAGGGTGACCTCTGGTAAGTGAAAATATGCCCCAAAAATTGCAATAGAGTAGATCACTCATGTCATACAAATGCAGGTACTTCCCCACCGGGTACCCACACTCAATCATCGGCACAGGCGAGGAAGGAACCGAATTCCTGCTTGTCTTCGATGATGGAAATTTCAGTGAAGATTCCACCTTCCTCTTGACGGATTACCTTGCTCGAACACCGAAAGATATACTGGCAAAGAACTTCCGTGTTGATGCTCGCACATTCGACACTCTTTCACAACACGGTATTGCCCACTTATTCCAAAAGGTACAAAGCAAAAGCTGACTTCTCTGAACAGAAAAATACATTTTCCAGGGCTCAATTCCCGGCTCGCTCGAGTCTGATCGCGCGCAGGTTATTGCTTCCAAGCATCGCTTCACTCACCGTCTCCTCAAGCAAAAGCCAATTAAATTTGATGGTGGCGAGGTTCGCATTGTCGACTCGACGAATTTCCCCATCTCAAAGACTGTGGCAGCTGCGCATGTCCTCATCAATCCTGGAGCTTTGAGAGAGATGCACTGGCACCCTAACGCTGATGAATGGTCTTTCTTCATTCGTGGTAAGGCTCGCGTCACCATCTTCGCCTCAAATGGCTGTGCGCGCACTTTCAACTACCAGGCTGGCGACGTGATGGTGATCTTAAAAAATCATGCGCACTACGTGGAGAATGTTGGTGACGGCCCAGTAGAAATGTTGGAGATGTTCAGAGCACCAAGATTTGAAGACTTCAGCGTGGAGCAGTGGCTTGCTCAGACGCCCAAGACATTCGTGGCCGAGCACTTGAATCTGACTGGGTCGAGGAAGGATGAGTTCTTGAATGGGCTAAGCAAGAGTCCTGCTGCTGTCAAGCCCGGGCTAAAGAAAAGTAAAAGCTTGAGTGACATGTGAGAAAGTCGATGGCACTGTCAATACTGCTGAAGTCATGTACATAGTAAAATATTGGTAGCAAATTGAGATACTGCAAGGATGAACATCAGAATATTCTCACTTACCTCCCATGTGACGCTGTTGGTGCGCCCGCGAGCAACAATCACTCTTGGTACTTTGCATGCACGAACACTATCTCTCCTGGCTCAGTGAACACTACAATTCCCTTGCCCTGCAATCCAAGGTTGATTGGGAGGAGAGCCGTTTAAACATTGCCCCGAGCGGAAACGTGATATGACCTAAGGTGAAGGCCAACTAGACTTATCAACGCGGGCGATTCAACAGTCCTTCCTAGCCAGCCGAATAGTCATGAAAATACCAGAGAAGAACCTCATCGCTAGTTCTTGGCGTGGGAACATGTCAGCCGGACGGGTGCTCAGATAGCGGAAGTATGTTTTGCCTCTCTAGGCTCCATAGCTCATGCAGGAGAATTTGGGCAACATCCTTAACAACCTGGGAAAGGGTTTGCGAGTACGCGTGCCCTCCACACAATGCCTTGGCAGTCGATGGTGGGTGGACGGTGGCGATTTGAGCGACAGCATGTGGCATGAACCTGCAAATTTTGACGTGCTTCGAGTCTAGAACGGCCTTCCCACACACTAGTCCGAACATCTTGGGCATCCTGAGAAAGACAAGGCCAAGGTACCAATGCACATGGGTCCACAACGATCAGCCTTTTAGTCAACAACATCAGTGGGTGATAATGCCCACATTGGATGCGAGGCACAAAGCAAAATACAATAGAATACCATGAAATTTAAACCAAATACAACGCAAGTACTGACCCACATAACAGCCCGAAAGTAAGATCCTGAAAAAAGAGACGCAATGGACAGTCGTTGAGCCGAGTGCTTCATGAGTAATGATCCGAGGATGTATTGCCCAACACTGACGATTTATGGTCCTCAAGTCAACCTACATCACACTCTGAACATCGTGCTGCGTGAAGAAGCTGAGTCGAAACATGAAAGATCTTATTCATATCAAAAATATCCCATCTGCCAATAGAAAGAGATGTAATACTTGAATGATGACTACCACATGATCAGCAGATATCTTGTTTGGAGGATTTTGGGTTGTTCTCTGCAATCAAGTGTGTGCCCGCTGGAAGAAAACACTATGCAGTTTGTTGCACACTGATATCTCAAAGGTGCAAGTAGTTTTCATTCCTGAACTTGACTGGCGCCATCTCATTCCGACGGAGTCTGGAGTATCGCCCTGTTTCGATATTCAGATAAGCTCATGAGGGAGCCTAATCTGGGGGATCTGTAGCACTGATCCTAAGACCATGTGATTCGTATGCATCGTATGGTGCACTAGAGCTACTGGGTATTGAGTGAGCGTATTGAATATACTCGGCCAGAATGCTCCGAAGTGAACTCTACCTTGGATAGGTACGGAGGACATCAGGTGAGATCTGGGGAAAGATAGGGGTCGCCAAGACTGCCTCGGGAAACCTTCTAATATTGGTGCGCAAGGCCGGAGCCCCTGAAGCTTGGCTGGAACAGATCTAAGTAGGAACGACCAAGACTCTTTAACTAGTCTCGATGTTCATCTGTTCTTAACTTGGTCGTCTCCGGTAGAAATCTTCCGTAGCATACATGATAGCACTGAATGGCGTTGCGGTAGACAAAAATAGCTCCTCTGTCACACAGGGTGAGGGATCAGCTATGATAGTCGTATCTGAGTGTGTCAGACTCCTGAGCAAAGCTGAAAAGGGTCACACGAAGGGAGCCGAAGTCATTTGCTGCAAGCTGTCGTAGGTCAGGTCCTGCGTATCCTTCACACAGGGTCAGTCTATTATCGGCACCTCTGAATGATTGAGGTGAGTTGAGCCGAGATAGCAAGACCTCTACATGCTGAAAGAAGCCCATGGCTGTATTGAGTCCTAGGCATTAGGTGATACGAGTTCTGTGAACCCAACCTTTATCGATTGTGGTTTGGTGTCACTTCCAGGATTCACAAAGCCATACTAATAAGTATCCCTCTGCATCCTATCCAGGCAAAAGGCGGTCAATCAGCAAAGTCGGAAAAACCTCTCGCTTGAGCATTGGCTTCGAACGCTAGAGCGTAACCTAAGTCATCGGCTCCATTACCAACACAATGACTGAGCTGGCCATGCTGAGGGTCACAGTGTCAGTGCGGCTGATGACTGAGATTCTGGGTCTGTTCTCTGACGATGTTCGCTAACTCTCAAGTGTGTTTTCCACATGAGAGTGTGTCGATAGGGCTTGCTTTGCACGAACAACTCAACACGATGACATATCACCTGTCCACACGATATTCTCCATCCGCTACCTTCTGACAGCGATCATGGAAAGCTGATGAATTATTGGCATTGGCATTGTATTGTGAGGCTGAGAATCGAAGTCTCACAATTCGCTAATCAGTACGGTAAGTCCAGCTCCCATAAAATCGGGCATATTGTTCCATTACAAGCTCTATAAGTATCAGATACATCTTTCTACACTTACAGAACATGCTCAATTCCATTATAAGTCATTGATCTCTGGCATTCTCTCGCGTCCAACTTTTCTTCTCGGCGTGTAGCCCACAACTTTTTAACTTCCCTGCGATTCAAATATTCCTTTTTTGCGGTCAAAAAAATATAAAGATGGAAAAAGAAAAAGTACTAATAATTGGAGCTGGCCCTGGTGGACTTGCGCTTGCGCAGATTCTTCGCAGGCACAACGTCGCGTATGAGATCTTCGAACGAGATGATAGCCAGCGAGGCCGGAAGCAAGGATGGGCTGTGGCCTTGATTGAGTGAGTATTTGGATGGATATGCACTGCTCATATTTTTCTTCACTAATTCTGTAACAGTTCTCTCCATGACCTCCGCGAGCTTCTTCCTGCGGATCTTGGAGATATACGAGTGACCAGTGTGAACAATGGTATTCCAGATCTCGACGTCCTGACGCTGCTGGACGGTTCTACTGGGGAGCATGTTGCCAGCCTAGGTGGGGTTCCAATCAATCATCCTGGCTATGTCCTTCGTGTGGCGCGTGAACGTCTCCGCGACTACCTCTGGGCCAATATCACAGTCACCACAGGCAAGAAATTCTCTCACTACGAAGAGGACGAAGACAGTGTTGTGGCGTTCTTCGAGGACGGAACATCTGCACGAGGCTCGGTTCTTGTTGGCGCCGATGGAGCTCATTCATATGTCCGAAGTCAATTACTGGGCCCCAACCATCAACCCGTTGCCAGCAGCCTTGTACCAATCGTTGGCGAATGTGAATTACCTCGAAACCTATACGAACCAATACATGCACTCGGATCAGCTGCGATAATATCAAGTAGCCCCGGCGTGCGATACCTGATCGGCTTGAGAACGATCAAACCAGATCGATCATCTGCCAATTATTACTATGCACTATGCTTCTACAGCGAAACCCCTGAAGTGGACTCGGTCTGGGCACAGACGGCAAGCAAAGCGGAACTTTATGAGAAGGCGGTTGAAATCACCAAGGACATGCCACCAATCCTGAAAAATATCATCAAGTACACTGGAGTTGAAAACATCCTCACTCCACCGCTCAAGTTCCTTGAATTTACACCACCTGGACAGATCCCAAACGGCCGTGTGACACTACTGGGCGATTCTGCTCACAGTATGATTCCCTTTTGTATCGCAGGCGCAAATTCGGCGATTCAAGACGCGTGCGATCTGGGTCGCATCCTGGCGCAGCAGAAAATTAACCACAAGGAGGATTTCGAACAGGCAATTCGTGAATATGAGAAGTTGATGCTACCTCGAGGACGCAGAAATGTGCTTCAAAGTCGAGCGGTCGGGGAAAGTGGAAATTTGATGAGCATGGTAGAGGGCAAAGTGAATACCAAAGACTTGCTAATGAATCCCGGTGCAGCTGCGAGACTATGAGATTGATTAACGTAGTGGTAGAGTTTCCAATCATAATGCTTCAGCTAAGAAATGTAACTTAGAAAATGTTTTGCCATCTCTCCCAAGTGGTTAGAATTGCTGGCTCAAGATTGAAACATATAGGTACGATAAGCCCCGTTCCTTCTTGATAATCACGAACACACTCCCACAACCATCTAGGCCACAGGTTGGCGCTAGAGATGATGAAGTATTCATAAATCAGCACTCTTAATCGCTGGTGGCGGAGAAGAGCTACAGTTCTGAGCCCAGAGAATTTCTGACGCCCTTGTTCCTACGCTGACTCCGTCGTACCGGCGTTCCATCTTTCTGTTTCGTATCCTTGTCTTGCTGTTGGCGGTGTACTTGAGCCTCAATGCTCGCCACTGCGGCAGCTACCCTCCCTCTATCCACGGCTGGGGTCTGCGCACCCCCGAGACCGTCTCTCTGCTCGACCAGTCCTCCGACCGTTGACGGTGGCTGACGAGTATTATTGGTCTTTTTGGTGATATTCCTACTCTTCGAGCGATTGTGACCTTTCGTGGGTAAGCCTGTTACCGATCGCTTGTCAACTTTTGATCCTTGAACTCCAGATTTATGCCTCTCGTCTCGCTTAGCCACTTTCAATGAAGGTAAAGTGGAAGGTATTGGTGGAAGGGGTGGCCTTGGGGGTGAGATGGATCGACTTGTTCCGCTGGCGGACAAGTCGACGTGCGGCAAGGGTGGTACCGAACCTCGATTGTATGGACTGTCAAACATGGTTATGTCTCCTCGTCTGGATACTGGAGATGGTGTAAGTGATCGATCCTCGTACGCCGGGGTTGATTCACGTTGCCAGTTTGCGAATGGCACTTCGGGCTCAACACTCTGACGAATGGGATCGACCTCAAGCCTAGGCTCAAAAAGATTGGGTCTAACTTCAGATGCATACGGTGTTGATGGGCAACTGTTTGGGTGTGGGCGTGGGGTGTCAGGACGACTGGGTGGTATTTGTGTCGGATAACCATGGAATAGATGTGCTGTCAGGGCCGATGTTTTGTCCTCTACTACTCCTATAAGGTCTGATACCGAGATATACCTTCTCGGAGCATGAGAAGGTTCTGTGAACTTTGTCATTGGCTCAGGTCCTCGGATTGAGCCAGTTGATGGGTGGTGGCTTGATGGCCCGCATTGACAGCCTCCCCCACATGCACATGCACATAATCCATAGTTCGCAATCTGTGCAGCTTGAATATCTATCTCGGAAGATTTTGTCTGACTGATGCCTTTATCACATTTGCAAGTGTCTGGCGTACAGGTAAAAATGGCGCCTGTGGAACAAGAGCACGGGGACATTTCACTCGATCTCGCCTGAACGTTGCCAATATCTGACCCAGGCATTTTTGAAAGAGTAAATCCATGGCGTTGATGTGACTCTTTGAGCTGGGAACTTGCGCAAAAACCACGAATGGCTACATCTCGTTCTTGTCTTGATATATTCTGTAGGGATCGTGGTAGTTCTGCATCAAATCGCTGCACAGTTTTCCACGGAATAGGGGGCGAGCTTGATTCGATGATCCAATTCCCTGTGTCATCCAGAATCTTTCGTCCACCTGGGAAAACGTCTCGCCACTTTAATGGTGAGGGCGGTGGGTCAGGCCAAAGATTGCGGCTGCTGTGCGTATCTGCTGTTTGGCGATCAACAGGGTTTTCGTTGTGGGCGTGCTCGTCGCAGTCCTCACAGTGACAGAGCCCAGGAAGACAGGCACACCTGCTTCTGTCACCGCCACCGCCGCATCCAGGGGCTTGAATCACTTCTTGCCAGAATAAGTGCATCATTGCGTCGATTTCGGCGCTATGATCGCAGCCAGCAGAATGGCATTCCGTGGGACGACAAGTACACTCTAGATTTCCCTGACAACTTGCATCGCTGTGCTTTGCAATGGAGCATGTTGTGACGGGGATTTCAGGTTCGTAAAGATCAGCTTTCTGATTTCGACCACCATGGGCCTCGTCTAGGTTCTGGGTCAAGTCTGTTTGTTTGGTGAAGGGGTTTTGAGTGCCAAAGCAGGAATCGCCCCTGAGTTGAGAAACTAGTTCAGAATCTTGAACACCTACCTGCGTGACGAGGTTGCGCTCTTCTGATGGAAAACTTGCATAAACCTGTGACGCAGGTCGCTTGAAATCCTGCTCGAATTTGAGTCTTGCAAGCTCCTCGATCGCTAACGGATAGGTTCTTCTACCTGCAGACTTAATCCCGCCATATGTTGGATTTGCAAACAATGCTATGTCGGGCTCATAAGAATGGGTTTCGGATAACTCGGAAGCTTTCGAGTCCTCTATGAGTCCACTTCCACCGTCACTGTCTCCGAAAAGCGAATCAAGGTCAGACTCTACCCTGCAGGTAATGCCTAAGCTAACCACTCTAGGTAAACTCGATGCTTGTGGAAGTCCCGAGTCGGTGTCGCATTCTCGAGCATCTAGAACAGACGTCGATGAGTATACTCGTGTTAGGGCCGCCCTTGACTTCCCTTCGTGTGCGTTTACCGCGGCTACCACGGCTGTACGAGTACTCTCCGAAGTATATTGAGAAGTGGGCGATAATGGCATACCAACGGGCCAATTGCTGGAGATTGGCATTGGCTTCGAGCCAAATTGATCTGCAACTCCATCTTCTTTCGACTGTAACTCTGGTTCCATTTGGGAGGGACTGTACTGGGGACTATATGGGGGACTAGAGTTGAAATCTTCTTCAAGCCAACCGGTAGGCATTGGAGCACAGGGTTGTGGACGGCGACGATGAGGAAGTAAGTCTATCGTTGTGGCAAGTCGAGTTGCGCTGCTTCCACAAAATGAGAGAGAAGGGTATGTCGAGCGATCCAAGAGAGCCTGAGAAATGGGGAAACCCATGCCTGGTGTTGTTGTGTCCGTGCTATCCACTGGAATGCAGCTTCTCCCCCATGAGAAGGAATTTGGTCGTGTTCCGGGAGCATACCCACAAGCATCCACGCATTAAGTTCAGGAGTTTGACTGAAATGAATTTCGACTTTAGTAGTGCCTGTAGTTTGCTTCTCTTCTCTAACTCGCTGGGTTTGGGCGAGGCTTGTGTCAAGAGCAAAGTAACTCAGCTGATGCTTGTCTAGAACTGCGGTACATTGTCACCACAGGTGTGCATTTGCCATGTGGCTCTACTCTGAGGAGCAATCAAGTCCCATCTTGAACGAGCTCTACGCTATCTCTTTCCAGCGCTGGACTGTTTAAGTCTCCGAGTGGTTTTTGCTGCACGAAAAATGCTGCGACTAGACCGACTGCTGCTGTACTCGCGTACATAATCCACATATCTTATAGACTGGAAGCATATGCCTTTCTTACCTCCACTTGTTGATACATCGGTAGGTTGTACAGTGTCAATACATTCGTTGCTGCAGCCGCGCCGGAGAAGTTTTGAGCTAAGTCGGGTCCGAGAACTAGGTCTAGATGCCTCCTTTGCGTTGACATCTGATTCTGGAAAATGACCCCACCCATGACAACTGATACAGACGTTGAGAGGCTGCGCACGAATCCAAATAATGCTGTCGCAACCGCTATATCTGATGAGTCAACTAGAGATTGATATGCTATTAGTGGGGCTTGAAAAGTGGCGCCTACGCCAATCGCCGCGACGATCTCGATGGCAATTGTGTTAGCAAGAGGAGTCGAATTGCCGATACTGATGAACAGACCAAAACCAAGGGTTGTGAAAGCCATACCAGCCCGCATGAGTGGGCGGATAACTCCAAAGCGGAATGTTATAGCTCCTGCTGCAACACCTATCACGGCTTGAACTACCACAATAGGCATTATGAGAACGCCAGAGCGAGCAGGAGAAGATCCCCGTACAGCTTGGAAGTAGAGTGGCAGAAAGTACCAAGATGAGATGTTGACCTGTCCTCAATCAGCATAGACACAAAGGCACCATAGGGAGATCAGCTCTTACAAAGCCGTGCGTGAAACAGACTATGAGCGGGCTGACTTTCGAGAAATGGTTTAGAAGCCGCCCTGGGACCAGAGGATTGGGGGCACCTCGAGCCTCCCAGAAAACGAAAAATACCAAAAGCACAAAGCCTCCTAAGAGGAGACCTAGAACTTTTGGAGAATACCAGGGAGAGATGACTCCACCAACATCTAGACTGAGCAAGATCATGATGGTCACCCCAATTATAGCGAGAGAACCTAACCAGTCCATACCCCTATTTTGCGCGGAATAGTGTATCCGAGACGGTACTGGAGGCATGGAAAAGAAGAGGACGGCAAAGGCCGCCAGCGAACAAGGCAGATTGAGCCAGAATATCCATCTCCATGTCTGTGAGAGAACGCCCCCTAAAAATGGTCCAACACCGGCAGATATCGCCCAGACCAGACCAGTAGTGGCAAGGAACATACTGCGGTGTCTAGAAGCTGTGAGTAGAGGATGTATTTGCCGAGAAGGAACCACAATGTACCTACCGTGTATCCCACAAATCACTGATCGAGATGTTCACCAGCACAATTATACCACCAGCAGCACAGCCTTGCACCGCGCGACCAGAGATCAATTGCGCGACGGTCTTCGACCATCCACAAATGGCAGATCCGATGAAGAGTAGTGCGATGGAGAGCAGCAAAGCGCGGTTACGGCCCCAGAGGTCTGCAGCTTTGCCCCAGACTGGCATGAAGGCGGCACTTGTAAGCAGATAGCTGGAGCCAATCCAGGTGTAAGCCGTCTGGGACCGTAGCTCTGATGAGATGGAAGGAAGTGCCGTCGTGATGGTAGAGAAATCGAGGGCTGCGAGGAACAAGGAACACTAAATATTGAGGACGGCTTTAGAACATTGGCGTATATTGTTGGCCGAAGTCTCGACTACGCACCAGCAGGCCTACCAAAGTGGCCACACGCTGAAGGTCTCTGTCCATCGTCATCGTCGAAGAGAATGTGAAGCTCTATGATTCGACGAAATCGACGTTCTCTGTGCTTTCGTCCCTGATAACGGGTCTTGAAACCAACTGGAATTTTAACCCAGGTCTCTTTTGTTTGAGATGTCCAGAAATCTATACTGTCTCCCACCTGAGTAGATATGCAATTGCGAAAGATGAGGCGGTGTGAGCCAGCCAATGGTGCCGAAGTACACAGAACATGGTGTCTCCTTATGACTTAGGGGTTAATCGCGAATGATATCATCTGGACGGTCCGTTGAGTTATCGTTCGGCGCTCGCACGACTAGTCTTCGCGGGTCTCGCAATTGCTTCCGGCGTGGATACACCTGGTAAGGTCTATCAGGTCGATCCCCATACGTCAGAATGCTTCGCAAGGGCTTGAGCGGTGAAACTTGGAGGATGGCTAGGTTACCAACACAACGGCTAAGTCCACCAATACAAGGGCTAACGCTAATGGGAGTGATAGCGACGTTGCCGAACTCAAAGGCGTTACATAGATATTGTTTGGCATGTATCGGGCTGCATTGTTGGAGTTCTCGGAAGTCGGCAAGCAGAGGACGAACACTTAAGCATGGTTGGGCGAATGAGCTTAATACGTCACAGCCGATTGGTAGTAATGGTCCAACGCAAAATTGAAGTCCGCTCAAAGCATCTCCAAGAAACCTAGAGGGTTTTGACACAGCTCAATGGAGTTCCGCCTCGCCTAGTCGTTGTGAGTCTTGGGGTTTGGAGATGTCGATATGTGCCCCGCACATAAGATTGATCACCTTGCGGAGAATATCGAGGCTGACTTCTGAATCGTGACAATGAGGAGGCTAGCAACAAAATCATGGGGCTTCGGCAGATACTTCGACTGAGTCTGGGAGAACTGCCGTACTCTTGTAGGATCCAGATATGATTTAAGTCCTTATTGTTTGCAAGAAGACTGTATTTCCAGGGGCCCCAATTCCTAGCTCAGTGGTCCGACAAACAAAACATTAGACATGCCTGGATTGCTTCTTACTCCAGACACAGAGTTCAAGACTCTTAAATTCAAGAAGTTGCATCCCACATTCGCAGCTGAAGTCGATGGGGTGGACTTCTCAGCACCGATTCCTGACGATGTGTTTAAAGAGATTCTTGCTGCATCAGCCAAGGTAGCGTCCCTGCAAGTGTGGCGGGCCAGCTACTGACAGAATTGTAGTTCGGTGTGGTTGTATTTCGTAAGACAGGCCTCGATGACCTGGGACATGTCGAGTTCTCACGTCGCTTCGGTGACCTCGATGATATTCGGCCATATATGGTGAACGGGCGAAAGCCACGATATGAGTATTACGAGCTCTTTGATGCAGGCAACATCGACTCCGAAACGAACACGGTCTTGATGCCAGATAGCGCCAGGGCACAGTATAACAAGGGCAATGCTCTGTTCCATGTTGATTCGTCTTTCAATCCTCGACGGGCATCATATTCGATCCTCAAGGCTCACGAGCTGCCACCGCCGAACACTGGGGGCAACACAGGGTTTGCTGACAGCAGAACTGCCTTCGATGAGCTCGACCCTGAATTGAAGGCAAAGCTTCTTGAACATGACTATGTTGGGGCACATTCGCTGTATTCGTCACGAAAGAAGGCGGCACCCGAATTTTTCAAGGACGTTGATGTAACAAAATACCCGATGCACAGACATCGCATTGTGCAAAGACATGAACCTTCGGGAAGAATGAATCTCTATATTGCCGCGCATCTGGATCATGTGGTAGATCTGCCATCAACAGAGTCTCAAGAGCTTATGGAGAAGCTCATGGATCATGTTACTCAAGAGAAGTACACTTTGAGCATTCCCTGGAACGATCCTGGCGACTTGGTGATCTGGGACAACACGTAGGTGTACTAAATTGGCATCGGTATGCATAGCTGACTGGTGGTAACAGGTGCGTTCTGCACCGAGCAGAGGGAGGAAGCTTCGCTGGGAAATACCGAAGAGATTTGAGGAGGACAACTGTCCATGATGATAGTAGCCAAGCATGGGGATTGAATGCATCAGCTGACGAGCGTCCTGGCTTTGCACTGCATGCATTATGATGACCTGTTCAAACGCGTATGCTTGAGATCATACTCATTGTGTTGAGATAGCAGTAGGCTGGGGCAATACCTTCACAATGATGATAGAATGTTCAACTGCGAGCAAGCACGAGCATGCCACCTGTCCCTGCCACCACTTAGGCGACCAAATCGATGTAGTGAGCAGTAAGAATAGAAGAAGTCTGGTTCACAAATGCATGCCCATAAATTTTGTCCTCACTCTCCTGAACCGACAATGGGAGACGAGATCGGTAATGCCGGTAGCCGGCAACTACAAACCTTAATGGACAACCGCACCAGAGCACATCAACTTCAAGGGTGTAGCTCATAACATAAGTACAGTGAAAGACGCGAAAGATTTTTGAAGCGGAAGTTCAATGCTCAATCACCAAACGACAAAGTGAAGATTCGGAACTCGTGAAAGATTATGAGTTCTGATCGCGAAGCTTCGGCAATGCCCACAGCGGGGTTGAGTGAGGGCGTCATCATTGATTCGTTGAATCAGAATAACAGGAGAGCATCCTTTGCTGAGGGTGGTGAGCCTTATCCCAATGGCGAATCTCGCAGTACAGGTGATGTTGAGCATGGCGACAACATCAATGGCTATACAAATGGTGCAACTAACGGCCGAGAGGTTTCTATTCCCTTATGGAACAGGCCCGCTTATTCTGCTTCCAAAAAGTTGCGTATCGTGACCATTGGTGCTGGGTTTTCGAGCTTAATTTTCGCGCACAAGCTTCGGTATGAACATTCGGAGATGGAAGTTATCGTGACCAACACGATATTTGAGGCAAGGGCAGAAGTGGGCGGGACATGGCTCGTCAACTCCTATCCAGGAGTGCAGTGTGATGTACCTTCCCATATATACGCCTTCCCTTTCGACCCCAACCCAGATTGGAGTCATTTTTACTCGACTGGACCGCAGATTCAGGAATATATCACCAAGACTGTCAAGAAATGGAACCTGGACCGTGATATCCAGTTCAGTACTCGCGTCCTTGGCACATATTGGCAGGAGGAACACGGTCGGTGGAGAATTGTTGTTGAGAATGAAGGCCGCCAACGCGAGGAATATGCCGACATTGTGATTTCTGCTCAAGGCTTTCTAAATACCTGGAAATGGCCTGATATCCCGGGGCTACAGGACTTTGAAGGCCACAAAGTTCACTCTGCATCTTGGGATCACTCATACGACTATTCTCATAAACGAATAGGAGTGATTGGCAACGGCTCTTCCGGCATTCAGATCTTGCCTGCGCTTGCAAGGCTAAATGGCACCGACCTGACAAGCTTTCAAAGAGGGCCGACATGGGTTGTGGCTCGAATGGATCCCGGTAGATTGCTCGGAAAGCCCAATATTGGATCGAATCCAGAATACACTGAAGAAGACAAGCAAAAGTTCCGACGAGACAGAGAACATCACCACCAGTACAGGAAGAATCTTATCCATAGGATTAACCTTGCGTTCAGGATGGTAAGGCGCTGCCTCAATGGCCCGTGAGATTTGCTGATTGCTTTCTTTTAGTTCATTAAGGGTTCTATGGAGAACAAAGACAATACAGCATTTGCCAAGCAACAGATGGCCGCAAAGCTGAACAATGACCCGATACTGTGTGAGAAATTGATACCGAAGTGGGAGTTGGGTTGTCGCCGAGTCACCCCGGGGGCCGGCTATCTGGAAGCATTCTTGCTACCAAACGTTCACCTTACCCAGAGCCATATTAAGAACATCACAAGCGACTCAATCATTACCGAAGATGGGCGTGAGCATAAAGTTGACGTCAGTAAGTATTGCTCTAGTCAGCCGAGTTTCTCTCTGTAAGCTCTAATGACCATTAGTCGTATGTGCCACCGGCTTTGATGTTTCTCATCAGCCGATATACCCAGTCATTGGTCGCAACAAAGTCAATCTCGCAGAAAAATGGGCGGACGAACCTAAATCATACTTCTCTCTGGCATGTCCTGAGTTTCCCAACTATTTCATCTTCACAGGGCCCAACGCCATTGTTGGGCATGGATCGCTGATCGAAGGACTCGGATGGGTCGCAGAGTATATCATCAAGTGGTTGAAAAAAATATCGTCTGAAGATATCAAATGCGTTTCTCCTAAGCAGCTTGCTGTCGACGAGTTCATTAAGTATGGGGATGAAATTCACAAGACCCTAGTCTGGACTGGGCAGTGTCGGAGTTGGTACAAGAAAAACAGGATCGATGGAAGGGTAACCGCGACCTTCCCCGGTAGTGCGCTGCTCTTCCGACGGATGATCACAGATATCAGAGGGGAGGATTTTGAGATCGAGTATAATTCTCCCAATCGTTTCAGGTTTATGGGTAGTGGCTTCACCGAATATGAGCTAGATGATGCGAATGACTTGGCTTGGTACATTAAGAAGACTTGATAGCATGCAGCTGTGTCGTTGTGCAGATAGAAATAAGGCCCAGAGGAGGATGATCAACTAGTGATGAAAGATAAAGTACGTAGGGCGGCCGTCGACAAGAGGGTTTGAGAGAGACAATCTTGATATCAGTATCTGGAGATCCAAATGTCTTGTGAGGTTCGGCTGGTCGGGGCTCCACAGGAGAGTGTGATTTGGCAGGAACTCTCTCTATCTATTCTCTGGAACTGCGGACGCGTGTGTGATCCAGAGAGTAGGAGCTATAGTAGACGCCGGATTTTTTAGTCTCTGGTTCAAATCCGGGTGGTGGTGTTTATTGACTCTTTTGGTATATCTAACATCAAGAAAATGTTGTAAGATTCGCTACGTATAAGACTCACTTCTCGCGTGTCTTAGTCAGCACAGGGCGACGCGCAGTGCGTTTGAGCGAACAGTACTCGACACTAGTATTCTGCCATAATCGGCAAAATGATTCACCTCAGCCTGTGCCCGCTTGTCCCGCATTGGCATCTGACGATGAATGATCAAGGTCGGCATTGTTGTATTCCAGCACGAACCTCGCTAACCTTGCTTGCGCCTATACAAGAACAAGACAACCCTGCGAAATCAAACCAGTGTCCGGAACTCACATTCACAATTTTGTTGGAAGGCAGGCCGTAGTCCTTCGAGTTTCATCCCACTCATCTCCAACACACATCGACAGGATGGCCAACTTCAACTGGCGGACAATAGACGTCGACTCGTACGACCCTGAAGCAGCCGTGAATTTCCCCCTGACGACCCTTCTGCCATCGAATCTACCAGCACCATCCACACCCGCCGAATCGGCTCAGATAGGCCAGCAAGTGCGCCAGCTGCTCCGAGCAGGCGACAGCACTGGTGCACTACAATCAGCACTGGAAACGGCACCGTTTGCTGGAGACGAGTCCGCAAAACAAGTCCACCTGGCCACAGTGCTTGAAGTACTACAGGGGATCAGGCAGACCGACGTCGGCCGAATACTCAATGAAATCCTCAAACAACCGGGCGGAAATGCGCTGGGGGATACTTTGATGAAATACATCTACAAAGGAATGGCGGTGGGTGCGGGTGGAAGCGGCACCAAAGGCGTGAGTCCGCAGACGACTGGCAGCGGGTTCAGTCAGGTACAGTCGAGGAATTTCGGCGAAGGTGGCGGTGGTCAGACTATGAGTGTGCTGCTCAGCTGGCATGAGAAGCTGACCGAAGTGGTTGGTGTTGGTGGAATCGTCAGAGTCATGTCTGATCGTAGGACGGTATGATTGGGGCCCAATGTTGGTGCACCAGAGACGCATAGTGCAACGATTTCATGAAAGTGGCACAACTTCAAAAGGAAAACAGGCATCAGAGGATAGACTTCGCTGGCTTGCTTCGATAGCTTGCCCGAGGCATGGCTTCAGAAATGCTTCAAATTTATGGGTATCACTATTAAAGACAGGACAAATGCACTCTGGTGAAGGCCCAGGGATACTCAACAAGAGACCCTTCCAATTCCCACGACCATCCAGTAACTTAGTTCTCTCTTGCCATCATCTGCATCTTCTTCATCAAGTCGCTTGTCCCTTCGTCTCCTTTCGATCCCTGTCTCCTCGTCCGTGATCTGCCACTCGAGCCTCACACGGATTGGGATCTCGATGACATCTTCATCCTCGTCTAGTTGTTCATCTTGCATCCGCACAATGCTTGCAGGTATGATCTCTAGCACCACGCTGGCCCAATTTCGCCCTTGATCGTAGAGTTTGCCAGCAATTTGCTCACCACCAACGGGATTGACCATGCCGCGGTTGGGAGGATTATTGAGGGCATCATCCCAAGCATCGCTATTCTTGCCGATCTGGAACTGCGGGCATAGAATAGTAACTCGATGGCCGTGCTTCCCAGGTGTTACGCTTGGGCTGCCGAGACTGACATTGACATTTTCAAAAAGTGGGTTTCGGAGTGTCATGATAAATTGTATGGGTTTGCCTGCAGACAGTACTATGTCGCTGCCATCGGGTCCAGGAGGAGGCAGGCCACCAGAGACTGGCAGAGGCTTGATTGTCACAAAAGGGATATAAGCTAATGCGATAAGTTTGATACGATATCGAGCGGAGCTGACTTTGACTTCTGGTCGAGTGAGGATATGCTTGCATGTTGCGCACCGTTTCGAGCGCTTAGAACGCATTATTGTCGGCATTGGTCGCAGGTCCGTCACTGTCAGGGCATCAGGACGGCCAATGAAAGATGGGTTCTGGTAGTCACGTTGTAACTGCGTCGTGGTTTCGTTATAGTCGGGGAGGACAGCGGAAGTGGCATGTGGCTGTGATAGTGCAAGACCTTCGCTGGATGTTTGCGCTTCTCGCATAACAGTTAATTTCTGTTGAGCCTTCTTGATAGAATTCTCCTTGTTCATGTAAAGATTCATAATTCTCTGAACCGATGATGGCGAGGAAAACGCCATGTCAAGGGCTGAGGTCGAGAATCCGGGTTCCATGGAAGATGACTCGGCAATTTGATCTTTGTAGAATTGCTTCAAAGCATGAAACCGTATTGCCGCATCTGGTAGGGGCTGCACAGGGCCTTCTTGACTTGGCTGTGCGGCGTCTGGCTGGTCGGATGCTGTTACGACTTGCTGTGATAGTGATGATTTTCGAAGCAACTCCTCACTAGGTCGATGGGCTTGGATTTGCTTGGGCAACTCGCCTCTGGCAATGGCAAGCTCAGAGAGCTGATTGCGAATGCCGGTTCCTTTTTCAAACTTGATCCCGATGTCAAGGGTGTTCCACATGCAATAACTGCAGTTCAAAAAGAATGGCCCAGTTTTCGGATCAATAAGGGCAGCAGTACTCATCTGGGATGTGCACAAAGGACAGTGAACACAATTCCTGGGGCATCTGCCTCCATCGGTCCGTGCCATGCCCTTGGAACTCTCAAAGAGACAGTCTGGACAATAAATTGAGGCGATCTCTTCGATGACGCACCGTGGACATTTGATCTCATGGCATTCTTCGCAATATAATAGATGCTCGGGTGGGAAAAGCGAAAACGCAGCTCGTGGGTGCCGAGGATCAAAAGAGTCCTCGGAATCTTGTATCTCCTGGTCCAGGTCAAAGTCTTTGGACAATCTCTTAGATGTCAAGGCTCTCTTCGACGCATCAGAACAGGGGCATGAGAGGACCGTGTATGGAAAAGACTGTGCCATGACTGATAATTGTCTCTCACATCCATACCAGCTATATCATTCTCGAATCACTAGGAGTAATATTATTAGCAATGGATTTTTCATGTAGAGGCTTTCGATTACTCCTCGGATGTTAGTGAAGGATCACCCTCCAGGAGCAAGCACGCTGAGTGGCCAGACGCGCGCCCTCGAACGCGTCCAGTCCGCCAAGCCGATAATTATGTAAGCAGTATAAACTCTGTTTGACATCATCGAGGACATCTCATGATTTCATCCAGAGAGCACTCTTCTCTCACAGCCAGACATTAACTTGTCTGAGCATTCTGAGCACTCCAACATCCAAAATGAAGCCACCGGCTTTACGCCCATGGCTTCCCACAGCTGCCTTGCGCAGGAGACTACTAGCGCAGCAACGAACATATGCCATGCAAGCACCTGGTGCTCCCACGCTCCAGATATTCAACGAGCACACCAAATACCTTCAAAAAGAACGGGCAGCTGCAAACGCGGAGTACAGTCGAAATGTCGACTATCTTAAAGACGAAGTCGCTCAAAGACTAGTCGACCGACTCCTTGACATCAATCGTCAGTTCGGCAAAGTACTTGACCTTGGTGCCAACAGTTGCAACGTTGCTCGGGCACTGTCCAAGCCCCCTCTAATTGCTCCAGAGGTGCCAGAAGGACAGGCAGATGCTAAGATACCGCTGTCGGAGCGGGTTCAACACCTCACATGCGCCGATGTGTCCTCGACTTCGCTGCATCGCGATGATGCTTTACCTGCGCCAAATGTTCCCATGACTCAACAAGTCCTCCCTTCACTCGAGACACTACCCTATGACGCGAACACGTTCGACGCTGTCATATCATCATTGTCGCTTCACTGGGTCAATGACCTACCTTCGGCCCTCTCAAGCATAAACAATGTCTTGAAACCAGACGGCCCTTTCCTTGCAGCCATGTTTGGCGGAGACACACTGTATGAACTGCGATCGTCGTTACAATTAGCTGACACTGAGCGTCATGGAGGCGTTTCGCCTCATATCTCACCACTGGCCAATGTCAGAGACGTGGGCAATCTGCTGGGTCGAGCAGGGTTCAAGCTGCTAACAGTTGATGTCGATGACATTATTGTTGAATATCCTGACACTTTTGCTCTCATGACCGATGTCCAGGCCATGGGCGAGGGAAACGCCATCTTGAAGTCTATGGGTGGACCTCTCACCCGGGATGTGCTGCTGGCGAATGAGGCCATTTATAGAGAATTGCATTGTAATGAGGATGAGAAGGATAGAATACAGGCAACTTTCCGAGTCATTTATATGATCGGTTGGAAAGAAAGCAAGAACACTCCACAGCCATTGGAAAGAGGCAGTGGAACTGTCAATATCAAGGACATACTGGGTGGAGGCGAATTCTCGTAGAGACAATGTTTCAATATCTGTACCAAAATATGATACTGTCAAACAGTGACCTGCCTACGCCTCAATTTCATTCGCAAACAAAGAAGCAGAGTTTTCAATTTTCTGGATTGAATGGTATTTGAAATCTTCGTTTGAACCCGAGGCACAACGCTACCATGTGCAGACCGCATGTCCGAGCCTGATTTTCATGCAAATGACACTTGTAACAAGCATCATAGTTGCCCCTCATCTATGCATATCGACGACGCAGCCTTTCTCGTTCTGGTCAAATCGTCCCCCCAGTCTCTCATCTCACTTAACAATGCAACATCTAGTAGTCGGCGGTTCCGCTCAAAGGGAATTCGAATCCAACGCCACGGCCAGTCAACTTCCGGTAGACCTCTGAGTAGGTATCAAGTCTGTAGTCCACACCACCGCGCTCCTTCTCGTCCAAAACAACCTTCAAGACCTTGCTGCCATCTTCCTTGGTTCGGAGTCTCTTGCCCACAATCTCGACGGGGTACACAACATCAGCGAGGATGGCTTCGTGCACAGCGGTGAGAGTTCGGCTGCGAGGACGCTTCTGAGTCTGAGATGTGCGGGAGCGGTTGCTGCGCTTGGGTCGGGGAAGGATACGGCGGGATGCGAGGATCAAAACATGACGGTCGGAGAACTTCTTCTCGAGCTCGCGGGTGAGGCGTTGTTGGACCTTGTGGAAGCCGGGGAGGAGAGGAACGGGGACAAAGATGACGATGGCGCGCTTGCCGTGGCCGACTTCGAGCTGTGTTATTGAAATTGTGTTAGTTTTGTCTGAATTACCACCAAATATCGTCCGTCTCTTTTAGTTCGGAGTTCCAGGGTGTTGAAGAGTAACTATTCATACCTCACGGGCAGAGACGAATTGAAGAGGTCTCAGAGCAGACTTGAGATCTGGGATGTTCGTCTCGAGTTCGTAGAGGGCAGTAGCAATGCTGGTCTCCAACTCGGATGGGTGTTGCCTCGAGGGGCTGTTGGCAGCGATCTTATTGAGTGCTTGTCCAGACATGATTGCGACTGGAGTCTTCGAAACTCTTTCCAATCGCCTTTGAATGTCTTGATTGTGCAGGACGTTGGTGAGAGGTTGCCGTTGAATGTCGTGGTCGCAGACTTGGTGTCTGGCCGAAATTCCTTAGGGTGGATTTCGTTTGGCCTGCGCCAAGAGTTTTCTAGGGCTTGAGATTGTGAGATCACATGATCTCCAGGACTTTGAGCCAAGATTTGCCTCTAAGATCTAATGTTTCGCCCTACCTGTAGCAGATGGTGCTGCTATGATCGTACGTAGGCTCGAATTTACAAAGCCAAATCCTGTTATCAACAAGTTCAATTATGTCATCCATATTCTTAGCAAGCTCGACGTCCTTGAGAAAGCGATCTGTTCATCGTGCGCAGCTTTCTAACGTGCTATTGAACAGGCTCGATTAACTGCTGCAGTTTCGGCAGGACGATTTTTCACATGTGGAGGAACCAGACATTCATTCTCGCGCAGACGCTTCGCGTCGAGGGAGAAGACGTCAAGATGACATCTCCATCTTGTGTGCGATCGGCAGTTATGCAGTTCCTCAAACTGTGACTATAGTTTGATACCAATCAAAGAGGAATTACATCAGACCACAAGATCTTGCATCTAACTGCTCCTCAACTGGAATGACAAATATCCAGCCGATACACAGTTCATCAGAGACAATATTGACGTTGACTCGTCTTCTGATATACCCCATTGATTGCCACGTCTAAAAGTTTGTGCATACGATTTTTTCCCCATACCCGATGCTCTCAAATTTATCTTGATCTATTGCCTAACTAATTGCACAATCGATTTTTTGCTCTTTTCTATTCCCTTGTGCTTTACTCACACAGCCATGTCACTACCAAAAACGACGACTGCTTGGATCCTTGAAGGCAAAGATGCCGAAAAGGGATGGGATAACCTTCAGCTTAAGAAAGACCAAAAGATCCCAGAGTTGGGAGAGCACGATGTTCTCGTCCAGATTCAAGCAGTGTCACTGAACTACAGAGACCTTGCCATTCCCAAGGTAGGTTGGTGTAGCAAGACCAAAAGAACAAGATATGGCGACTAACACCGGAAACCAAGGGTATGTATCCACTGCCCCTTGATCTCCCCAGGGTCGCGTGCTCCGACGGGGCAGGCAACGTGCTGGCGGTGGGGAAGAAGGCGACACAGTTCACCGTTGGCGACAAGGTCGTGACACAATTCAACCAAGGCCATCAAGCCGGCCCCGTAACCTCCGCTGCACTCGCTACAGGACTCGGTGGCGCTCTGGACGGAACTCTCCGCCAGTATGCGGTCTTCCCCGAATCTGGACTTGCACTCGCGCCATCAAACCTCACACCAACAGAGGCTGGAACATTGACCTGCGCCGCCCTGACGGCATGGAATGCACTATATGGTCTCGAGTCCAAGGCGCTCAAACCTGGAAATACTGTTCTCACACAAGGTACTGGAGGCGTATCGCTCGCCGCGATTCAATTCGCAAAAGCCGCTGGCGCCACTGTGATCGCGACAACCTCTTCGGATGAGAAGGCAAAGCGACTGGAGAGTCTTGGCGCAGATGTCGTTCTGAATTACAAGAAGGATACCAATTGGGGCGAAACAGCAAAAAGGCTGTCACCGGGAAAGATGGGTGTCGACCACATAGTTGAGGTCGGTGGTCCAGGCACCATGAGCCAATCGTTACAAGGTAAGTCTAAACAACATTGCTTGGCTTTGCCGTCCCGTACTTAATAAAAGTATCTTCCAGCCATCAAACTCGAAGGCGTAATTTCAGTGATCGGGTTCCTCGGAGGTCCGAAATCAGAAGATGAACCCAGTACGCTGGCGGCATTATCATCTGGCTGCATTATCCGTGGTGTTCTGATCGGGTCCAAAGCGCAACTCATCGACATGAATCGTGCCATCGATGCGAACAATATCCACCCTATTGTGGACGAGAGGAAGTTTGGCTTCGATGACGTGCATGAGGCCTACCAATATCAATGGGAACAGAAGAATTTCGGCAAAGTTGTGATTCATCTTGGAAGGCTCGAATAAATAGACCGAGCAGCCTGTGCCGACATTATGCCATAGATTGCATGTACTAATGTTATGACTGTTCAACAATGGGCGCTGGTTCTGACCACCCGACTACGTCTCCATCAAGCTTATCTCAATAACTATCTCGCTCCAACCACTTGGCACTGGCGTCATACAACGCCTTCAAGTCCTCGCCACCCTCCAACGCCCAAATCTTGTCCGCAATACTGAGCCTCACGAACATGTGCAGCCACCCGACAACCAAGAAATCCGCGTAGCTGACCTCCTTTCCGAGAAAGAATGGGCCTTCGGGCTTCTCGCGCAAGACATCAGCCAATTCCTTGACGTACGGCGCGGCTTCCTCGAAACCCCGATCGGCTCCTTTGGCAAATTCGTCCAGTGGCTGTTTCAGACCCTTTTCACGACTCTGGACGAAGTAGTCCCGAGAGACCGGGTTGAGGAAGACCTTGGGGACCAGAGGCGCGAAGGCCGGGCGGACGCGCTCCACGATCTTGGGGAGGAGGGTTTCCACGCGTGGCAGAACAGGCGAGTCGAGATGCAGCGGTGGCTCTTTGTAAAGGGGTTCAAGTGCAAATGCAATCTTTCGGGATTCCATGAAATACTCGCCGCTTGGAAGGCGAATGGTGGGTGAGGTGTAGCTGTAAAGGCCGGTTTCGTTCGGTGGGACACCGCTTTTGTGCAGACTGCACGTCAGTTTGTGTTTAGCATGGTGTGGTAGAGTGAGTCGTTGGAGAGGACAAGATCCTCCGACGTTGTCTTTAGAATGAGATTTTGAAGAGTACCTACGCTTTCTCCAGGGTTGGCTTCAGATCGGGATATTCTATCCATTGCGTCTTGTATGGAATGCCCTTGTAGTTCAGATACAGGCGGGCTGATCAAGACCGGGTGTTAATCCTGTCAGCCAATGCTGTATTGAATTGGTCGGCGACATATCAACACCAATGACTTACTTTTCCACGGGTTCAAACTCCAAGCCTTGCCGTCTTTGGCTGGTAAATCGTAGAAAAGGACTTCCTCAGACATTGTATGTGAATTGTGTATTGCTTGGGAAATGAATTGTGTTGGAGTGTGCCTTCGATGGCCAGCGCCAACCGCTATTTCCTTTTATCTAGTGAGATGGTGAAGGGAAGAACGCAGATGTACCAACCTGCCAGAAGGTTTATCATGTTTGGAGACTTTGGAGAAACAATACTTAGTAACTTTGGAGAAATACCTGCAACTTTTTGCACGTATTCGGACAGCAGCGATTGCAACATCATGAGTGTGATTCATACATGCCGAGATAACCGTACGCCATGATCGGCGGCGGTGGTCGTTAAAACGCCTTGTAGCCGCAACAATTAGTCAGCTAACCATTCCAACATTCAGAAACGTAGTGGTTAAACAGGGGGTAGTATTCCCCAATGTGTAATGTCAAGCTTGTGGTATACACCATACGGAAGATAATGAACAACAGATTGATTGGAACAAGGTTTTAACATTCCTATTGCCTAGGAAAATCCACGTGATACATTGATATGTTGATATACTCCTCCTCCATATTCGGGCAACGGTGGGGAAACATTAGATGAGTTTTCTTCACCCTCACAGAAGAGTGGGTTGTTCAGTCATTGAAGCCAGCCTTCCCATCTCCATCAGCGTCTTTGCGAGGGTTTAGACGATCCATCAAACTTGGCTTATGTTGGCTCGTGTTGGATGCTGAAGTGCCAGAAGCTCCAGTGGAATGTGTGCCTGCAATTCCTCCCGCACCTGTACCAACGGCTTTTCTTGACAGCCTATCCTTCTTCCTTCTTGTCCCTCCGACACTTTCTTCACTGCTGCTGCTGCTATATGAGCTGTTTGAACCTCTACGGCGATGATGAGCTGCAGCTCCGACTCCGGCAGCCGCAACGCCAGCGCCGGCAGCTCCTGTGCCGACGCCATGATGTCCAGTACCCGAGGTGGTATGATTACCCACACCACCCACTCCTGAACCAGTCTGCTGCTGATGATGGCCCAAACCAAGTTTGTCGAAAGTTGTCGATAGCTTTTCGTTGTATTGACGAGGAGCGCCGTCGTACTCTTCACGCGAAACTCCGTGAGTACCAGAAGCACCCGTAAGTTTGCCTCCGCTGCTCTTGAATTCATCCAGAGTCTTCATGGGCAGTGCCGAAAGACCATGGTGTTGGGCAGCTGCATGATGAGTTCTGAAAGGAGTAAATGTTAGTCCATCTAGAGGTGAAAGAGGCTGAGGACGGTGTTTACTCATGAATAGGAACCGTAGTATGAACCACCTCGGGCTGAATGGTTTCCTTGTGGACCACGGGGACCACAGTCTCATGGACGTGGTGATGAACATGCTCTCCGGTTACAGTTCCTCCGGCCGAAGTCGTATGACGAGTCTGCTCAGTTCGCGAACTGTCTTTGAAGTTGGCCAACTCGGATGCAAGTCGTTGTTGTGTTTCGTGGTCATTGCCATGGCGAAACTCTCGGTTTTCAGTGGGAAGCACGTTGTGGGTATGCTTCTCTGGTAGAACTTCTTGGTGCTGGAGGGGTTGCACTGTCGTGTGGTAATGTTGCTGGTGAACTTCTCGATCAACGGCCTGAGTGGCCTCCTCATGACGATGAGGCTTGACCGTTTCCTGGGTCACTGCTGGTTGAACATGTTCTTCCACTGAGGTATGATGGCCCTTGTGAGAGGTAAACTTCGAAATAGCTGCTTTAGCTGCGTCCATGATGACCGACTTCTAGAGAGATCAGAATATGTGAGTGTTGTAAAGGATAACGAGGTGAAGAAAAGTGAGATGTCAACGCGCCCTCAATTGCCGTCTTCTCAAGATCATATAGCCATTGAAAATGCTATAAGCCATATGACATAACTCGACACCACAATCGTCATAGTTGTGATCTCATGCCGTAGAGGAACAAGAAGGAGGAAAATGAATTTGCATCTGTGCTTCAAATGGAATCATCGGATGGTGAATCGGATGTCCCAGATGATGGTGGGTACTCAGTCGTCCCCGCGCTCGTCTAACACGCCGATCATGGATCTGGAGGCTCGATTTGCGTCGATTTTGAACGCTTTGGGACAGCTTGAAATGAGATCATCTGTAGCCTCGCGACGACCGAGAAAGCATGCTCCATGATCGAAGCTGTGAGGGAGCAATGTGGGTTGAAGAAAACCCTTGAGCGTCATTGTACAGCATCGACCGAGGGCCTGTAGAGCTGAATCGGTGAGAATGTGACACCACTGAGAACACCCGCCACGGATTGAGTCGGTCTAGATGTCTGTTGAAAACTTGGGACATTTCCACTGGCGAGTGTTCCAAAGATCTGGGTGGAACGGGATTTTCATCCGCAATCACCCAAGAAATAGCTGATCTGACAACGTCAAAGGAAGACTGAGGCTAACTCAGGCGACTGGTAGATACAAAAACAAGCAATGCAATGATGTGCGTCATGATCTAGATCTGGATTGATGAAAAGTGGGTTGCGGATGATGATATCTGAGAATGGTTCGAGACCATCCTGGAATTTCGAAACCGGAGTTTGCTACATCTCTTGGGCCCAAACGGGACTCTCACCTCTGACATTATTCTCGGGATCGATGTCAAGCCTAAGTCGACCTTGACATTTAGAGCAATGCTTCCATCCACTCAGGCTGGACTTGGTTTGTACATGTACAGGGATGGTTGTGCGAGCTTGCAGCAAACACTGATTTATATCATCAGTGGGGAGCGTCATCAACCTGAGCATTGGCCATCACAGCCGCTCAACTTCAATCCGTGCCATACCCTCTGTGATCTTTCCCTGCAGTGTGGGACACCCGAATTTGTAACTATTACGAAGTACGAGTTAGGTAGGTACGAGTGGGTGTTGGCCCTTGGGTCGCTCCTTCCTCTGTTGGTGTATTTTCGGATTAACCCTTTCGGGACTGGCCCGAGCATGGGTGTGTCTGCCGCTTATCACCGCAGGTCCCATTCAAGTCTCATTGTGGAATTGAATTAATCTGGTTGGCGAGGGTTTGGTGGAATTGTTCTCATTGTCCAGCCCTGCAGTCTTCGCTATCCAAAGCATGGCATATCCATTCACCCATGCCTATTCAGACTGGTTCACAGCTTGCGAAGTGGCCAAACACACTACTCCCTCCTGCTCCATTTCCCTCTTTCATTTTGGGGAGGGCACTGCGTTCTCGTACTCCGCAATCGGTACCCTAGTAGTACTATGATTCAACCTTGGAGCCTCCCGACGGGGATCCCTAGTTCTCGTTTGGACCCGTTTGTTTAGTCCGCAGCCACAAGTTCTGGCTGGCCTCAAATTCGCCATGTTGTCTCGGCTCGCTTGAATCCATGGTTCCGCTTCCAACAATGAGACTTCTTGACCTCAACGGCCAGTTCGTAAGGGGGTGGGCAAACTCAATCATGGCAGCAGATAGAGTAAGCCCACCTGCTTGCCCTGGACCGAGGGACGGCTTGTCCGCTCAAAGGCCCTGCAGGCTGCACACCATTGGATGTCATCTCTTCCAATCCAACTGTGCGCATTGCATTACTGGCTTCTGATTTCTATGTTCGAGAACCAGAGCCATGACTATCATGACAGCGGCTCAACGTCGTGGCTGGAAGGATCAAGACTTGAATCGCATGCCAGCCCAAATCTACCCAGGGCCATACGTCACCCATCAATCAGTGGCACTGGCTCATTCTGCCTCTGCTTCCACTCCCGGCTCTTCGGTGCCCTCAGCCACCTACTCACAGATATCCAGCAATCCACTCTACCATTCCGTCCACCAGAAAGCCCAAAGTGACAACTATGACCCCGTATGGCGCAGGCCAGCCCAGCAACTATCGGCTGAACATTCTGACCAAGTTGTCCGTCCTGTTCGGTCTCGATCTCGCCTGCAAAAACGTCCCTCTCAGCGCGCAATGAAATCATCACACATGTCTAGCATCCAAAAGAAGGCCTCTTTCGACAAGAACAACCTGACCGCTTTACCTCAACAGTCAGATCCTTCTACTGTCCCTGAGAGGTCTTCCTCCCTACGACTTAGACAAGTGCGTCATTCCGCAGGCACGGACCGACCGAAGACTGCAAAAGAGAAACCTGACCGCACAGACGCAGTCTATTCAGATGGCAACCAGCCATTCACACATTCACAGACCACCGTACCTACGAGACCCAGGACAGCACCATCAGTGGACAACCTCAAATCGAGAACACAGACAAGAACTCAACCTCCTCTGCCCACTCAGACTTCCACGGCTCCTGTCCAGAGCCCTCTACCTGCGTCAAATCGAACACCCCGACATGTCGCCCTTGCACCGTATGACCCATTCCCATTAAATCCGTTATACCACATACCGAGCCCACCTCTCTCGAGTCCAGACCTGAAATCCGCCCCAACCTCTCATCCGTCATTAAAGTCATCCTCTAAGAACGAGCAAATCACTATGGCCGCGCAGCAGCAGTCTCGACATCAGGATCGAGCCATCACCCCTAGTGAGAATGCAACACAACAGCTTGCGGCCTACGTACAGGCTCACCCTCCCAAGAAGAGAAGTGTCACAATACCTACGACACACGACACCGTTGTGACAGAGACAATGCACCCGGCAGTGACTCGCGAAGTTATTCGAGAGCACCGTATTGAGGTTTTGCGGGAAGAAATTACACGTGAGATTCATGTGCACCACTACTTTACACACGTACAACCGGTGCGGGCTCTGGAAGTTCTTCCAGCGCGGCACTTCCTCGTCGACCCCGAAACCGGGGAAAAGAAAGAAATCCCGGAGCCGGAGGGCTGGTCAATGCCCGCCAACCTGCAGCCAAGGACACCCGACACTTCTATCCTGGCGCCTGTCACCAGGCATTACCTTGTCAACGAACAGCATCCACTGGGGATTCTAGAGTCATCGCCCCCACCGCACCCACCTCCGACACAGCCGTTGCCAGCGGCACCGTTGATGGGGAAGGAGGAGGAGCATTATCGTACGCCATCAACGTCACGCCGGCCACCTTCAGCATATCAAAATGCACCGAAGAACGCCTCAGACGAAATGAAAGCATTGGCCGCTGCCAGTCATAAAGCGACATGGACTCCATTTCCACGTTCGACGAGCAAAGCAAGTCAAAGTAGCCGGTGAGCATGGCATGACATACGCTGCAACGGATGGAGACCGAAACGCTTTACATCCTGTCCGCCGACGCGGTGTGGTGTCGCGCTGCTTAGTTGGAACCTATTGTACCGATTGGTGTCGAAACCTGAAACACTGCACTTTTCCAACCCTGTGCCGATCCTTTGTCGATCCCGCACATAAATCCGTGGAAGAAGGAACACGTTTGGGGCTATCATCAGAATTGTGGTACCTTGTCTTCCAAAGTCAGCCAGCAGAATCGCACACCGCGCCAGGTATGGAATGGCGCGGATCCGCTCACTGGGTCAAGTAGGCAGTGATATTCAAAGACGGGAGACCAGGATCCCTCCTGACTTTGAACCTATCCATGAGGCATAGAAGGAAAGGCATTCACATAGGCGAACACCATTAATGCCCAGGCAGTCACGAAACTGCCGAAAGCTGGAATTTATCCGAGGCGAAGTTTCAGACACCAGGCCAACTTGCCACGTCTCACTTGACCACTCTCCGCATTAATACTTGCAGGCATGCAAAATGTCCCCGGAGCGGCCTGACAGGAAACCTGTAGACTTGTACATACTGTATATACTCGCATCGACTTGAGCCGTATGATTACTACATATGCCACTGCAAATAGCGCATTTCCAACGAGCATCGGAGGGAGGGAGCACTGAGCATGGAGCATTGATCTTGCACTTGTTGCATATCTGCATATCTGCATATTTAGCACTTTCTCCAAGCATGTATTTGTGTGATTCTGTATATATATATATTATATGTTTATTGTCTATCTGAATCTGAGCTTTACACCGTAGTTAGATCCACTGGGGGTTTCTGATCACCCAATGACACGTTGCAACAGCATTTGAGACTCTGTTCTCTTGCAGTCTGGTCGCCAGCTTCCGTGAAAAGCACACTTGTTCCTCAGTGGTTTACGACGTAAACTTGAGGTGCTCTTGCCGCATTGGCACTTTAGAAAAGGTAACAATACATTGTGGATTTCAAGTCATCTATGAAAAAAAAGTTGGTATCTCAGGTCTATTCTCGACCATGGTTTCAACCCCCCCAACGCCATAATATTAATACCCAATATTTTGATACGAATACTTAGTCGCTCATGCATGGTTTAGCCCCCGACTCCTTGCATGTGGTGTTTGGAAGGAACAACATGATATAGAATGTAACAACGGTCTGGACACACCGGATGCTGTCGGCCTGTGGTTTGGAAAGACTACCGATTTCGATCAACAGGTGTCTGTCGCCAGAGTGTGTCGCCACTGAGCCGACTGACAGATGCACTGACGATGTTTCTCCACAGAGATTGCGCATGCCGGTCGTTTTGATGTGTCTGTGAACCTCCCAAGAGTGGCGTTTCTACGTCTCTGCCTTGCTCAACATCATCATCCGTTCGATCTTCTTCGGGCCGAACGGGGATCGGAATGGCTGCACTGGGCTCGTCGTTGGTGGTTTGTGCAGCACGAGTCTGCACATCATCGCTTGTCTGTTCGTCTGGAAGCGTATCAGCTTCCCATCTTGCTGAGTTGGCTCTCGCAAGCGATCGAACTACATCTCCTTTGCAAATGGGGCATGTTCGCCGTCTAGTGACCAGCCATGGTGTAATGCAGTCGGCATGGAACTCGTGGCCGCACGGCAGAGACATGACTTGACTCTCGCCATCCACATACTCTTCCAAACAAACCACGCATTCGACTTGTCGACCAGTGTAGCGTTTTCGCTTAGTATATTTGGATGTGGATGTTGTCTTTTCTGCTGACGGGCTTCTTGGAATAGTTTGTGAAAGACCACCATCAACACTGGCACTGGGAAATACACCTATAGTAGTCTGTGAGCGAGTGCGATTGGGGTTGGTCGGACGGCGCGAAACGTCCTGTGAAGTGGAAATGAGAAGGGGTGAGGTCGGCGAAAATGCTTCTGGCGCTGCTATTTGTGAGGATGTGGTGGATGAGGTGGTGGTCATAGTATGGTATGTTCGGACTGGAAGACGTTCAACCACAGACTTGGGTGCTCGCCATCGCCTTCGCCGGATCCGGGACCGAAGTAATAGCAAAGCGTACACGACGGTCAGCGTAACAAGCGGGCTGACAACGAGAACTAGTAGGGTATCAAAGAAAGGATTGGTGGAAACACTTGTCGGGGTCAGTGTCACCCACAGTCCTTCGAGTTGCACTTCATCATTCGATTTGCGGCTTGATGGACCCTTGGTCTTGTGATCACTAGGCTCTGGGTCTTGAGTTGGTCTTCTCTTGTTGTCGTTTTCATCTACCTCGTCGGACTTGAAAAAGTCAAGCCACGAACCGTCAGAAGATTGTCCTCGTGGCTGTTCATCGTCTTTACCGGACTTGGGGTTACCCTTGGGCCGGTTTCCACGTTGTGGACGACTATTGGCCTGATTGGAGTTCTCCTGATTATACTCTCCACTACCAGGGGTAATGCTCCCTCCTTCGAGCGTGGCACCTGGAGTAGAGGATGGTTTGACGCGGTTTGCGGTTTCTGTTACGGCTTCTTTGCCATTCTTTGGTTTGCCGAGAGTCTCACCTGAACCTGGTGTAGGTCGAGGGGCTACCAAATCTGCATCTCGCCAATCTTGAACGCCGATCACAAAATCGTCGCCTTCCACTCGGCGAGAGGTGGAAGTCTTGGGGCGTGGTGAAGGAGTTGGAGGAACACCTCGGTTGTTGACACTGGTAGTCTGCGGCTTGTTGAGTGAGTCAGCTGGCCGATCGTCATCCCAGTCTTCTAGCAATACCCAGTCGATGTTTCCACTGCTGGGCGGCCTTCGGCTGTCTTCACCATGTGTGAATGGAGAGTTATCACTCAAACCAATGGCTGAGAGAATGTTCTTGACCCAGGTCGTGTCGTCCTCTTCACGACTGCCTCCTGCATTTGACGTAGCAACATTTGTGGGTTGTCTGGTGCCAGTCTTTGTTGAGGTAAAGATAGGTTTGCTATCATCAGGTTTAGGGATTGGAGCCTTGTCGGTGGGAGGCTGTGAGGTCTTCTGGCCGTCGATGGTGATATCATCCTTGTCTTCTGCAGGGACAAGAGAGGATAAAAGATGAGCGGAAGTATAGGATGTAAATAGAGCAGGAATAGTGACATTCGAAGTATCACCCCTCGCGTACATAATTGTAAGCTGAGCGCCGCGTTCATTATCGCCCACGATCAGAGCAATACCGCCACGACGTTGAGCCCACTTGACTTTCTCAAGAAAGCCACAGCCGCCACGGGCAAGCATGACAACCTTACCGGCAATGGCTGCACTCTCTTGTAAGGATTCAATATCAGCATGAGTTGATTGCTTGGTCTTATCGGCCTGGCCCACATCCGCCGGCTCGCCGGGGCTACCAGGTGTGGCAGGATTGGAGTCTTGTAGCGGGTGGTGAAGATAGTCGTCTGTACCATCGTCCATCTCCGGTGAGCCATCAGATAGATGGTCAGGATCATCTTGAAGGGCATCACTTGCGTGACCACTGGCAGGCAAGTCACGGGACACAACCGAAGACTTCTTCTTTGTGTAATCGGGGTGTAGTCGCTGAAGGTGTTTATGGACCGACTCGCCCCAGCCTGGAACATCCGAGCAGCCAAGTTCCCAGCCAGCAACGTGAATGCTCTCTTCCCTCAATAGAGCATCATCACCGAAACCCTTGCCCACCCAGAGCTGACCACTCAATCCCCTAGAGGGCAGACTTGGCCCAAAGGCAGCGGGTCTAGCGAGGAAAAAGGTTGAATTGTCATTGGTAAGGCTGATGACGGCCGAAGGGGGGAAAAGGGAAGAAGGCGTTGAGAAGGAGAACAAGGACCTTAAGCGACTCGATCTTGTATTGTAGCCAGCATGGAAGGAGTCGGCAGCGCTATCGACGGCGGTGAAAAGGGACCAGCAGGTCAAGGCTATAGGCAGAGCGACGAATATAGCCAACAGGAGGATGAAGCGGAAGGGACGCATGTTAAAGTGATGTTGGTGGTGGACAGCCGTGGTAGGCGGGGGGTTTGTTGGCAGTCGATTGCCCAGTAATCAAGGAGTACTTGGACTGCACGCCATACGCCGTGGATGGAGTGAGGTTGAACTGGCGTAGGTCTGAGAACGTGGACAACAAGTGAGGAGAATTCAAGATTGAAAGGAGGACGTAAGTAGTCCAGACAGTAGAGAGAAGAGGGCAATAATGGAAAGAGAAGTGGTGCAGCCTGCCAGTGGTTCTGGAGTTCTGGCTGGACCTTCACACTTGGTGGAGATGCAGGACATCAAGGTTGGAGCAGGCACGCAAACGCAAATGCAAAGGCAAATGCAAATGGCACACGCTCGCGCTTTCCCTTCAGGCTACGAAGTACGAGTACCAACGCCACCCACCCACTACTACTACCAGTGGTCACGTGAACAGTTAACTAGAAGGGCCCCAGACAGGCAAGTTTGATCACCAGGCAGTTCAAGTTGGAGTCTTACACAGGCAAAATAAACCCTTTGCTTTCTCTTTCTCAAAGATCAATACCGAGATTATCATAGTGGGTGATCAAAAGATGCCCCTTGAATGGGTTATTTCGCTCAATCTGGATCATGCTGCATCAACTAGTCCAAGTGAGTCAGAAGGATTGCGTGTCGTCCCTCAAAACCCCATCCACCACCATCACTCGAGGTTATCGATCTCAGAGGTTGATGATCTCAATTGATTTGAATCGTCGATCCCACAGCCAAGATAAAACACATTCTTTGACCTGGCCACTTGTTCGTGATCCCGACGGTGAATGACAAGCAAATATAGCATGACCATTCCTACCAAACTGCACCCATTGAAACACATGCTCCATCGAACTTGGATCGTCCGCGGCCCATAACTACTCGTAAAGCCTTTAGGCTAGCAAAGCCTAGCAAGAACCTTCTCCGGGCACGCTTTCGGCCGCTCATAACAAATGCCCAGGGAGCCACAGTCCGCAGAGACGCCCGAACGGCTGCACCAAACACGGGCACCATGCCTCATTCGGACGTCCTTTCGTCACTCGATTCAGATTGGCGACGCCCAGAAGCGAATTTGCAGGTCGTTGATCCCTTTCTTCATGGTTCGGGCTGGCATTTTTTCATCATTCGATTCCTTCACCAGCCGTCCTGCACCTTTGAGAGGCTTTGACATCCTCTGATCAATGACGCCAATGACGGTCATGGCTGCAAATCCCATGTCCCCATATCCTTGGGATGGCGATCTGTGCTTTCGCATTGAGCATCCTCTTAGCATTCTCCGGCGCACCAGTCGTGCATGGAGATCAATACCCTGCTATGGCTGTCAAAAAAAAGAGTCAAGGTCTCTCAGTCTGATTATGCTCCTTTTCTCCATTGTTGCTCGTTGTTCATGCTGCGCTGGTCAATCGTGTGCCTCTATTCCGTACCCATTCATCAAGTTGGATGTGTGTTTATTGTCCTACTGCCTTGCCCCATTGCCTGATCACGCTTGCCTTCAGCCTCGTATTCTGTCCACCCGACCCTCGTGTTCTGCAGGCTGAGCTTTCCTTGCGTCCATTCCATCCAGCGACCTGTTGCACAGAAGAGCAGTCACAACCCTTATGATGGAGAATATCAAAGAGAAGGCCGCCCCTCGGTCTACTTCAAACAAACCAAAGACAAAAGCATTACTGCCATCAAACCCATTTTCAGATGACAGGATGCAGAGCCCGCGACCTGTCTCATTCCTCATGAGGATCCCAGATGGCCCCCGCAATCATTTTATTGCAATGATGGGCGAGTTTGCTGGAACTTTTCTGTTCTTGTACGGTCCCCAAACTTTTTGGACTGGTGCTGGACCCAAATGACGTTTTCCATCTAGGTTCTTTGCCTTCAGCGGTACACAGGTCGCCAATACTCCTCAGACCACTTCTGGTAATACCAGCACAAATCTTCCTCAAGGTCCAAATCCTATCGCGCTACTCTATATCAGCCTATGCTTCGGTTTCTCCCTGGCGGCCAACGCCTGGGTATTCTTTCGAGTCTCTGGTGGTCTGTTCAACCCTGCGGTAGGTCGAACCAATACTAAGACACGGGGATGGACACTCACACGAAGCAGGTCACATTTGGGCTATGTTTGATTGGGGCTTTACCACTCACCCGCGGTGCATTGGTTTTTATTGCCCAAATGTTCGGTGCGATGGCTTCGGCAGGTGTCGTCAAGGCACTTTTCCCTGGCCCACTCGCCGTTACGACTTCTCTAGGTGGTGGAACAAATCTGGCCCAGGGAGTATTCATTGAAATGGTTTGTGTACTGTTTGGTAGTCCGATCGTTCATCTACGCTGACACTGTCCTAGTTTCTCACCGCTCAGTTGGTATTTACAATCATCATGCTGGCAGTCAGTTTATTATTCTATTCGCCTAGCTTCAGCGCAACCCACTAACCAGGAATACCTCATTAGGCAGAGAAGCACAAAGGAACATTTCTCGCCCCTGTTGGCATAGGACTGTCCCTATTCATTGCAGAGCTGTCAGGTAAGAGCTACACAGATCGATCACGGGCTGTGTCTAAAAAATCACAGGTGTCTATTACACGGGCGGATCCCTCAATCCAGCTCGAAGCTTTGGCCCATGCGTTGCCAACCGTGATTTCCCGAGCGAGCACTGGATCTATTGGGTTGGCCCATTGATGGGTGCGGCCCTAGCATCAGGCTTTTTCTGGATTATCAAGAGCTGCGAATACCAAACCGCAAACCCTGGCCAAGGTTAGATCTTCAGATACTCATTGGTCTCTCACTCACCAATTTTCTAGACTTCGACGACCTTGAAGCGAGTGCCTTCAACCCCGAAGAATCTCTCACCCGCCCGGTGGTGATGCCCAACGCGATCATTGATCGGCCAATGTCCAGTGACCGAGGCTCTCGGCCCTCTGGGGACGATCCTGCCAGCTCCTTGCTGGCGCGACTTCAATCCGGTGACCGTTCAGTGCTTCGTCAAGATTCCCGGGAAGCTCGAGCGGACGGTGTACAACGTGGCCAACAGTCTGATGGCACCGGTAGCAAGACATACGTCTCTGAGAAGGATGGTTCAACAGACAACAGCAATATTCACCACAAGACAACCATTGACCCATAACTGGCTGATACTTTGGTTAGTTTCGCACATCAAGACTTGCTTGAGAGACTTGTGAACAAATTCTGTGATACTTTTTGGGACTTTTTTTTGGTACAATCTTGGGCCGTTGTACAACGGGAGGATAGTTCTAAGCTGACTCGAAGATTGTTGGTTCGCACCTTGCCGAGCGATGTCGTGCGTTCAAGCAAGCCCTGTTCATATTTGAACGAAATCCTCATGTATCATCTATCTACTTAATTACAACTCCATCCATGGTTGGCAGACAATCACCATTATGATGCAATAGAAATTCTTTATAAAGCATAATTTGATGGTACAGTGAAGAGCTCGGTTATGGGTCTACAATATCCGTGTGCCACTTGGCCGAGAATCTGATTGACATCGAGATGGCCTCTGACAAAAGGGTTTGTCTGAAAGTGCTCAGTGCTCTCGCTCAAGAACTTTCGCCTTGACCACACCCGATTCCCGCTCCTTCCACATGTCTCTGGGTATCACAAAAGTGGCCAGGCCAGCGGACATAAGGGGCACGCAGGCTACGGGCTCGACAACCCCCAAGTCCCTCCCTTCGGCGTTGGAGCTATGTTGCAGCATTAATCTAACCAGTCCGTTCGCCATGTAAAGACCTTCACTCGCTTAAGTGTCCCTCCTTTCACTACTCTAGGAAGAAATGCCTGTGATGGATGGATGGTCTTGATAGTGATGTGGCTGGAGAACACATTCTTCGGCCAGGTTTCGGCACTTAGTGTGGCTTTTGTTGTGTCCGACTTCGATTCCTTAGACAGCTCGCGTTGATATTGGTGTCGCTAGTGATTTCGTCGTTCTTCGTTGGAGAAGTTCTCTTGGTAGCAGGTAGATCAGAGTTCACCGTGAGCTTAAATTCAGTCCATATCGGCAGCGTAAGAATCCGCGCGCTTTGAACAGTCGAAGGGCGCATATCATATGTGCTTTGCATGTGCCTGTGGAGGCGGCCTCTCTTCTTGGTAACCTGCCTGAGGGCCTGCTGACGGAGCAATGGGAGGGAAGCACGGCCTTGAAACCCAACCCGTCTTCCAGGACTCGCTATCACTCATCACAAGATGTGTCTGTCATGCATTCAGCACGATCTCACGACTTGTACCTGCCGTGAATCTGACGGATCTGTTCTTGGACATTGGGCCCCGGTTGTTGGTATGGCTGGGTTCCAACGCCGGGATAATTTCCTCCAACATCAGGCGCCCCTTCCATGCGCATTCTTTTTCTCCGTTCTTCCTCTTCCTGCTCACCCAATACACGCGCAGCGGCCTCGGCCAGAGCGTCTCCGCTAGAGCCTGAGCCTGACCCATCGGTCTTGGCTCGGAGACGCTTGAGGTTGGCCGCTACATCAGTGCCGCCAAGGTTGGTGGTCGAGAAACGCGAAGCAGCTTTGGCTTGCTGCTCTTTCCATCTGGGATCCAGCAGTTCGATACGTAAGTGAGCATCCAGTTCGGCAACGGGGATCTGTTGTCCACAGTTTGGGCAGAGTGCTGTTGCCGTCCGCGCGGTACGCTGTTGTGCTCGGGGAATGTAATCGGACTTGATACGCATAGGAGGCTGGCCTGGAAGTGATACTGGAGCTGGAGATGATGTTGATGGTGGGATGTTGTGGGCGGCGACCGGGACTGGTGAGGGTGCGTAGTTTGGAGGTACAGGGCTGATGGGAAGTTGTGGTAGCGAGGGCGATGGCGAGAACATTGGGACTGGGAGAGGCGCAGCGGCATGATTTTGTTGTTGTGCATATGAGTTATAGTCTTGGTAGGCATAACCATTCATATCGTCGGTGGGCATCGCTTCCTCGATGCGCATGTCAGGTCGCGAGAGAGACATCATGGCTTTCTGCTCTAAACTGGCACTCTGCAAATCGTTGAGAGTTGTGGGAGGCGGGAGATCTGCTTGCTCATCGGCATCGGTGAAAAGAACGGTTTCAACCACGACAAAGTCATGCCAGTCGACTTGGGCATAAGCCAGCTTTTCGGCCTCATCGGCCTCCTCTTTCTCCTGTTTCTGTGTCTCGAGCCACTTGACGTATTCGGACCGCTTCTTAGCCAGGGTGAGGACTCGAAAGTGGTCCTGGATGTTGGCTTGCAGGGCCTGTATTCGGGCCTGCTCCGCTTTCTGGCCTTCCTGGCCAGTTTGTAAGAGAAGAGTATATTGGTCGACCAAGCGTTGGAAGAAATTGTAGAGGGAATGCTGTGGGCGGAGAAAATCGAACTGAAAGTTTCTGGCTTCACGTTGGGACAATGCAGTCATCCAGCTTTTGCCTTTCCGGGCAACATGTAGCGCTGTGAGTTTGACAACCTCGAGATCTAGGGCACTGATATTGGGCATGCGGGCACTGAATTGAAACTCTGGAGGAGGCTCAGGACCTTTTGGTTTCTCTGGGATGGGTGTTGCATCACCGGCTCTTCCAGCAGAGATGGCTGTACCTCTACCCGAGCGGACCTCTGAGAGTCGCCATTGATAGAAGGGTGCATATGCGTCTTGAGGGGAGAGGAAGGAGAACTTTGAGTTTGCTTGTTCCTTGTCGCGGATGCGGTCTTCGAAAACGGGGCCATTTCGCGCGACATACCCAGCAGTCTTTTCGATAATGGCGCGGATGTCTTTGGGAGGAAGAACGACGCCTTCAGGAACCTTGGTGGCAGCCTCTGGTAAGTCTGGAACTGCACCGTTTTGAGCCATGATTGGCAGATGGTGAGGGTGGGAAGGGTTGCAGTGTCTGGCATAAAATGGAATGGAACTCGCAGAAAAGATGCTTGGGGATTTGGGGTGTGTGGCTGAAGTTGAAAGTGTGGCTGCGAAGATGTGGCTGATGATCCACGGGAGCACGTGATAGCGGTCGTTTTGGTTAGTGATTGATGTCGTCCGGTCTTAAACTTCCTAGGTATCGTTAGCGGCTGCTAATGCTCCTGGTAGTACGGATAGTGGATCAGGATAATAATAGGAGACGCGACTCAACTCAGCTCCGTACTCGTGCATGTGCGTTGCGGTCACGGTGCGGAGAGACAGAGAAACAACGTGAATTGCATTTGGTGGTTCGAGTTACTCGACTCAAGTCAACCGTGTCCTTCAATCCTGTCATTGCAACTCCTGATTTCTATTTCCCCTTCACAGCCTCAGGGCCTACATTTTTTTTCTTAACTCTACAATTCAACCCCTTCGTCGTCTCTGTCTTCTTCTTTTTGTTCTTTTCGCTTCTTGACGAGGGTCGTATGACCTACCCTTGATGATTTCTCCCAATTCATTTTCTTGACTCTCTCCAGTTTTCATCCCGTCTTTCTAACCCTTCTCTCATCGACCTTTGGTCTCGGGTGTATTGGCACCAGTTGCCTTGCCCATCACCATACCCTATCGCCCATCATGGCAAACACTCTCCCTAGAAAGCAGAAAGGTGCCTCACCTGCACCTCCACAAAATATCCCTCGATCCCCTGCGCAGCCCAGGAAAACCAAACGAAAGAGCTACGCTTCCGAGGGTGTCACCGACAATGATATCTTCCTGTTACCTGTCGTGGACTATCAGATCATGGCCGTCTTGACTCTGATCGGCGCTGCTGTCCGCTTGTTCCGCATCTCCCAACCCACCAGTGTTGTATTCGACGAAGTCCAGTACGTCCACCGGCTCCAATTCATGATTGATGCTAACCATACCTTAGCTTCGGTGGCTTTGCGACCAAATACATCAAGGGGAAATTCTTCATGGACGTCCATCCTCCTCTAGCCAAGCTCCTCATCACCCTGGCAGGCTGGGCCGCTGGTTTTGACGGAAGCTTCGACTTCAAGGATATTGGAAAAGATTACATCGAGCCCAAAGTTCCATACGTCGCAATGCGACTCCTGCCTGCCCTTCTCGGCGTACTGACTATCCCAACCATCTTCCTGACCCTCAAAGCTACCGGTTGCAGAACTTGGACTGCCGGCTTGGGTGCCGCCCTTCTCATCTTCGAAAATGGCTTCATTACCCAGTCCCGTTTGATCCTGCTCGACTCCCCTTTGGTCATCTGCACTGCGGTCACTGGATTAGCATGGACGGCTTTCACCAACCAACATGAACTTGGACCCGACCGGGCGTTCGATGCCAGCTGGTGGTTTTGGTTGGTCGCAACTGGTTTGGGTCTGGGCGCTACCGTCAGTGTAAAGTGGGTTGGTCTCTTCACCATTGCGTGGGTTGGAAGTTTGACTATCCTGCAACTCTGGGTCCTCCTTGGTGATACCGTCAATGTCACCCCTCGGAAATGGTTCAAGCATCTTTTTGCCAGAGTCTTTTGCTTGATTGTGATTCCCGCGGCTTTCTACGTGGGCATGTTTGGCATCCACTTCTTGTGCTTGGTCAATCCTGGAGATGGCGATGGATTTATGTCTTCCGAGTTCCAAGCTACTTTGAACAACAAGGGAATGGCAGACACTCCAGCCGATGTGGCCTTCGGAAGCGAGGTGTCCATTCGCCATCACAACACCCAGGGAGGATATCTCCACTCTCATCCTCACATGTACCCGACTGGAAGCAAGCAACAACAGGTGACCCTCTACCCTCACAAGGACGAGAACAATGTCTTCCTTCTTGAGAATCAAACACAGCCCATCACGGCCGACAATGTCACCATTGGTGGACCTCGCGCCTGGAGCAACCGCACCACCGAGTACATCAAGGATGGTGATGTTATAAGACTCTATCACATCATGACTCATCGTCGTATTCATTCGCATGACGTCCGACCGCCGGTCACAGAAGCTGATTGGCAGAACGAGATCACTGCATATGGCTACGAAGGGTTTGAAGGTGATGCCAACGACTTCTTCCGAGTCGAAATTATCAAGTCGATGTCGGACGGAGAGGAGGCCAAGACCAGACTACGCACCATCCAGACCAAGTTCAAGTTGGTTCACATCATGAGTGGCTGTGTACTATTCTCGCACAAAGTCAAGCTCCCTGATTGGGGATTTGAGCAGCAAGAAGTGACCTGCGCCAAAGGTGGCACTCTGCCCAACAGTGTCTGGTATATCGAACAGAATTACCACCCCATGTTCAATGAAACGGCCGAAAAGGTGAATTACAAAAATCCTGGGTTCTTGGGCAAGTTCTTGGAACTTCAGAAAGTCATGTGGAGAACCAATGCCGGATTAGTAGAATCTCATGCCTGGGACTCTCGGCCAGGATCATGGCCAATCCTTCGCCGTGGTATCAACTTCTGGGGTAAGGACCATCGTCAGATTTATCTGCTCGGCAACCCGGCTATTTGGTGGCCATCAACTGTGGCTATCTTGACCTATGTCGCCTTCAAGGCGATTGCTGTGCTACGCTGGCAACGAAGCTTCAACGACTATTCCGAGGTCAACTTCAAGCGATTTGACTACGAGATTGGGCAGACGGTGCTTGCTTGGGCGTTCCACTATTTCCCATTCTATTTGATGGCGCGCCAGTTGTTCCTTCACCATTACTTCCCAGCACTCTACTTTGCCATTATTGCCCTTTGCCAGATCTACGACTTTTTGTTCAACCGCATCGCATCGCTCGGTCTCAAGCAATACCCTGGGATTGGTCGAGGCGCGGCAGTTGCATTCGTTGCCGTTGCCATTGCAGTCTTTACGCTCTACGCACCTCTGGTCTATGGAAACCAGTGGACTCAGGACAAATGCAAATCCGTCAAACTTTTTGATACCTGGGACTTTGATTGCAACACGTTCCACACTGATGTAAGTTAGATGGCTGCAAGCAATAATTTTCTGGTGTGCTAACAGGAGTAGTATTCGAAGTACAGCCTTCCAAACCTACCGGAAGCCACTCCTACAGTGCCAGGACAAAAAGTCGACTCTGAGCGAAAGGACGATGTTGCGATATCGCAAAAGGCTGGTGAGCCACAGGTCGTTGGTCAAGAAGAAAACGTGGAATATCGTGACCAGGATGGAAATCTTCTCGATGAGGAGCAGGTTGCTCTCCTGCTTGCAGAGGGCAAAGCCAGTTTCCAGACCAAATACGAGACGCGGACACGGATGGTGGATGAATTCGGCAACGAAGTCAATGCATCTGGGGTGGCACCAGATCACCCTGATGTGGAAGGCCAAAATCCCGACACTAAAGGGGTGCCTGAGGAGAAGGGTCGAAGCCAACCAGCAGAAGTCAAAGCTGGAGGGTCAGTGAAGAAGGAAGATGATGGCAAGGCGAAGCCAGCAAGTGATGCCAGTGAGGCCACGAAGTGAATTGACGATGAGCTGGGAGAGAATGAATGTCCTGAATAAAAAAAATGTGTGTAATTCTACTATTTAGAGGCCTCTGGGTATCTGACGTACATACACTGGCAATCAAAGCAAGTGAGCGTGTCACGTGGCAATGTCTCCTAGAGGATTTATCCGTCGAGCCCGCGTCGGATTAATCATTTACTTGGGCAACAAGTGCAGTCGTGGTCAACATAGAGGGCGCCCCACGCCCCTGTAACAACACAACGTAACTGCCCAGCTCGTTGCCGGGTCTCGCCTGCCCCAAAACAACTTTCCCTTCCCAAGTTCTTGACCCCTCCACTCCAGGTTACTGATTCACTGCCTGCGCCTTGAATTGGGGGATTTTCTCATTCAACTCCAAACCTCCTGCCACAACAACATTACCAACGCTTGATTCCTTTTCCACTACTACTGCACTGCTTTACATTCCAGGCTTGTACTTCATTTCTGTCCACTATCCATCGCACGTCATCTCCACTGCAGATTTATTCTATTCTCTTTCCCCCGAACCACTCGCATCATGGGCGAATCAAGGTACACATGTCCACCCTGTTACTTTTGTCTTCAAATTATCCGCGTCGTCTAGCCATCAGCACCGCAGCTAACTCGTCTTCCGTGTAGGCAAGAACTGCTTCAATGGCTGAACGGATTGCTCCAATTGAATGTCACCAAAGTTGAACAATGTGGCACGGGGTAAGATTCACCCTTGATCTATGGATTCCAATGTCGCGTCCTGACAATTCTATCACAGCGCGGCCTTGTGTCAATTATTCGACACTATATTTCGTACGTGCCTTCTGCCTCAGCCATCACATACCACACCATAGAGAAACCGACTAACATGAACGACCAGTTGATATTCCCATGGCACGAGTCAAGTTTAATGTCAACACTGAATATGCGTATATCCAGAACTTCAAAATCCTACAAAGTGCGTACATGGCTCCCCTGCTCTGTATTTTGCGCTCATTCTGATGTCCCCGCCAGACTGCTTCACAAGGCATGCCATCGATCGAACCGTGCCGGTCGAATCACTCATCAAATGCAAGATGCAAGATAACCTAGAGTTCTTACAGTGGTCAAAGCGGTACTGGGATCAGTACTTCCCTGGACATGACTATGACGCTGTCGCTCGCCGAAAAGCTGCTGGTGCCCCTGCTCCTGCCGCCGCTCCTGCAGCCGCACGGACAAGCACCGGCGCAAGCACCACCAGAAAACCCGGTACCACTCCAGTCAGCCGTCCTGCTGCCAGAGGCGGCTCGGCCTTGGGTGCAGGCAGCGGAGCGCTCAGACAAGAGAACGACCAGCTCAAAGAGGCGATTGCCGGCCTTGAAAAGGAACGGGATTTTTATTTCAGCAAGCTGCGAGACATTGAATTATTGCTGCAAACTGCCATTGAACAGGATCCTTCGATTGAGACAGATGAAAATGGTTTAGTCAAAAATATCCAGACCATCTTGTACAGCACAGAAGAAGGCTTTGAAATTCCTGATCAGGAAGGTGGGGAGGAGCCAGAAACCTTCTAGGAACGGCCCTTTGGCGACACTACGAATATCTACTCTACTACGGCACACGATGCGATCAGGAAAATTCATGCGTTTCGAGCGATTTATGACACCAACAGGGAGAAGAGCGTACGGGAGATCGCTTCGATGATTTCATGAATGGTCATGAACACTCTGTTCATCTGAGCGCTCCATTGATCTGGAAACGACCACATACCACGCGTCAGATGGCTCTTTCCGAGTCGGCGCCTAGACCAATGTTAGACAACCCAAAAATAAAGATACCCATCCGACAGTTTCTGCCCCTAGATTAACGCGAGTAAATGTGCTGATCCAGACGGAACCAGAGGTAGTCCAAATTCGGCCCGGCCTAGGCTTGCCAAGTCACCCATTCTTAGAACCGAAGTATGCGACCGTGAATCTAAAGATTGGATTCTCCATCAAGTGCCATATGGCGCTGTTCATGAGTCCGCGCGGGTATTGTTCTCGAGAAGCACCTCGTGCTATAGTTATGTCTACCACCCCACTGCTCTCGGTTGACACTGATGACCGAGTACCTCAATCTCTACAAGAATCTCTTAGCTGAGCAAAACTACAATTGACATCATAATATACGCCATGTGGATCGCTGGACAGATGCTGGCCAATTCGGGAATCTGGCGACTTGATCCCAAAAAGCTACTTACCGCTCGAGACGCTGCCAGCATACTACGCAATGAAGCTCCAGAATCGTCGTGCGCTCACACTCGTTCGCCAGACCTCTGCATTTCCTTCGAGTGGTGATGAATCGCAACGGATTGTATTGCCAAGCCCGACAAGGCTGCAGGCCCCTTTCCAGCCTTACGGCAGAACAGGCGCGTTCTCGGCGCCAGCTTTTATACCCTCGTCTCGCTCTCCACTCAGGGACGTTTGGAGTGGCGCACTGCTTGCCATCGCATTGTTAGTTAATCCGTCTTCTTGACATTGAACTAGCGATTGCGACAGTCGAGCTCGTTCCTGCAACAGTGACATGAACATGTTGGGTTTGGATGTTCGTGACGATGATTGAGATTGACTACGTTTGTAAAAGCCTAGTTTGAGGTCTATATATGAGGATCTTCTGCAGCTTTGTTTCACAAGAGGTCTGCATCTCCACGAATAACCTGTTACTGATATCAACTAGTACACGAGAACCCCTGCATACAGACCTCACTGCCTATCAATACCACCCAGTGGGAGAAAAGGTTAATGTCCCTTCGGCATCTCGATCACCAGAGGCCAGGGTGCGGTGATAAGCAGAGACTTTCTGGACCATCGCGCCAACCAGTGGATGGTGAGTGGTTACTGGATTGCGCCGTGGGACGACGAACACTTCCAACAAGGCTACCATCGCCTCACGTCGGGGGTTCCAGGAAATCCACACTGGAACATCATCGGCTCTGCCAGATTGAAGTTCTGGCTCCGTGGGACTGCGATCGGCACAGCCATCGAATGCAGATACCACGCCGCCATCACCGACTCCCACTTGACAGCCTTACTCGACTCCCCTCAGTTGTGGATCGGCACTGACCATCGCAGGATTCGCAAAGCAACCCATCTTTACCGCACACGGAGAGTTTGCATCGTCATTGAAGACGAGAATATGGACGAAGTGGAAATTATCGCCGAAGTCGGGCACCATGTTGTAGAGTTTGCTATTGGCACCCGTGTGGAGGGCTGACCAGATTTCCACCGCACCGTAGAGATCAGCTTATGGTTCCCGATCGTCTCTACAATAGAGCGGGTAGACATTGTAGGCACACCAATCGAGGACTTGCCGCCTTGAACATACTCGCGATTGTAGCAATGTAATTAGTCAATCACATTGCAGTACAGTCGCAACATTCCGCGACAGATTTCTACCAGTTGCGGTGAACCGTATGTTCGACTCGTGGTAACATGACTAGTTTGACGTTCGAGCCTTAGGACTGGCGTTTGCACGCTCAAAGGCGGGCTTTCCTTGAGACTCAGTCACCGCCACCGTTCTCTGCCAAACGGTGATATGAAGCAAAATGCAGAAACGTTTTGTGTGAAGGGATTTCGCTTCCGAGGTCGACTGTGCCATATACTTGACTAAGGTATCATTGCATATCAGCGTATGCTTGGATGGAAACAGACTGTCAGACCTGCTGAACATCAATGGGGGTGATTTGGGAATAATTGTCATGGTTCCAATGGTACTTCTGCCTCCATTCCGTTCCATCCAAGTCACAGATTTGATGACAAACTTTCAATAATGACTAGATGACAATAAATCAGCCACAACTTTCAAAAGGTATAAATGTGTCCTTTTGCACCAGGGTCTCTCCATTTCAAGGCCATTCCAAAGGTTGAGAAGCACAAACTTCAGAATACCCCCTTGCCGACGATTTATCGACCACCCTGACACAGAAGCGCAAACGAGGTTATGGCAACGGCGGCTCAAAACAACAAGCAGATAACCGCAGTGGGATGTATTAGCGAATCATTCGTCCTGGGACCTGTTGATGCCCTGGGGCCTATCATTCCGCTGCCCAGTAGTAATCTTGATGGGTACAGCTCTCAGCCTGCTGGCCTATCCAATAACAAGAAGCTCGGTATCTGCGTTACTGAAGGAAGGGGGATGATAATCAATAACGCGTTCCGGCTGGACCCAACAAGCATTTGCGTCAGTGACTGGATAGCAAGGTACCCGACAGAAGAGCGTGAGACGCTAAAAGTCCAACACGCCAGACCTGGAAATTTTATAATCGACATCATGGGCATGGTTGATGTGAAGTTTTGGCTGCCGGTTTTGCCGCAAGGATTCATCAAGGTCGTGCTGTCTGCCTTGGTCACAAATGATCATCCAGGTCAAAATGGCTTGCTGAGGCTGGCCAACTCCCAGATGTGGATTAGATCAAACGCTGCGAGAATCTAGCCCGATCCATTGAGTCCTGGAAACTTCATCTGCAACGATGATGATGGAAGAGTTTGGCCCGTTCGACCTTCGGAGAACTCATCTCGACCCCGGTAAAGAGCCAGGATCATAGACGCTCTCTCAATGACACTGGCGGTCCGTGAGATCAGCTCGCACGGACAACAGTGCACGAGTACCCCAATGTATGTGAGTTTCACTCTTCAGGAAAGGGGTTATATGTCGATTGTGATGGTTGGGAACACGGAAGTCGGGACGGAAGGGGGTTGGCCGTGGTAAGTAAGATGTCGAAAGGGTGAGGTATATCATAATCAGTAGACCTGGCCATCCGAAGTGGCTTCATTCAGCATCATTAGCGTTACCCAACAAAGCAATATATGAACATGAAACTCCATTCGCGATAGGGTACCTAGGTAGCCAGACTCTCATGACCGATGGTTATCAGATAGTGTAGGTGGACCGCAACAACAAAAACCCCATCCCAAATTGCCCCTGGATCGACATTCGTGAGGATGGCAGTCTTCTAGTACGATAACCTTGGGGAGTCGAGTCTGTCCCAAGCCGCTTCGTGCTTCTTTCTTGAGACGATGAAGTAATCACTCACATCATCCACTGTGAGATTTGCCAAGGCCGGTACTAGGCCTAAACCGGACTGTATATAGAGCAGCATTCTTTTTCATAGATTCTTAGTTAGACCCTCAATTAACTTATCAGTTGAGAATCACAACTTGAGAACCACACGGTGAACCGTCACTAACGAAAGGATCTTTTTCATGTTTCCGGACAGGGTTTGAACCAAGCTGCCAGGCTGATTCAAGCTGGTCGGCTTGGTCTGCCCCATATGCTCTCTCCCACTTGATTTCCCTCAGATCTACAAAGTATGCAAACGAGGGAAGACAAATGAGATCTCAAACGGATCAGCTCAAGATGATGGACCGAAAGTATTTCTTCGTGGAAACTTTACCACGTCAGGCTCCAGTTCTAGCAAAGCAATTGCAGGCCTCAGAAGCTCGATCCCACTCTGCGACTGTTTCTCATATCAAACTAGCCCATAGGCGGAATAAGGATGAGCATCGACGGAAAACCTAATTACCTCGAAAGAGAACTGGCATTTCCCAGGAAGATCAGTCAGGTAATTTCCCTCACTTTGTGCCCATAGTAGCCTTGACTGAAAGACACTGCAGAATCCCTTGATGGCGAAGATAAAGATGGAAATCCTAAGCAATTACCTTTGAAGTCATCACGGCGGGCAGTGGCTATCGCCCCACCACCAATATCATTTATTGGCGCTGGTAAGCGCGATCCTTTCAAGACTCATCCCAGCCCGAAGCATTCGACGCGTTCTGATGAACTCTTTGATTGGGGTATCTCTAAGTTTCCTTGTAATCCTGAGTACTGCGGCTAATAATCGACCCAATCAGCTGTAAATGATGCTGCAGCCATGTTATTCGAGATCCAGCCTAAGAAGTCCCAATCCACTGCCATCGTGACAACAGTCCAGATGGCGATGCAGGATGAAGCTGCGTTTCATGCTGGTATGGCTATGTTTGCTTCCACACGGGAAAACACATGTGGCATCCACCTACCTCGTGAGGCGACATACCACAAGTCTGAGTGTGCCCGGATAATTAGCACTCGCCTTACTGGCAATAACTTGCCATCGGAAGGAACATTGTGTGCCGTCATCCTCTTATGGGCATATGAGGTATTGGCTGAAGACTAAATAAGCCGTCTTGGAACTGACAGGAGACTTAGTCAACCTTGATGAAACCCGAAGCATTGCACGCCCATGTCGATGGACTTGCATTGATGGTGAGAAGAAGGGATGGTATTGTAAACCTTGGCCCAATGATACAATGCATGCTAGCATGGTGAAAATGGAAGTCCGCAGAACTTTTGAAAACTGGCTGACGAGGCCTGAAGGTGCATTATTCTCAACCGCGGAGAGATCGAGGTGCCATTCCAAAACCGGAATGAAACTCCTACGACAACACCTTCCGGGACGACTTGGATTTTCTCCCCACACAAAGAAACATGGCATTTCTTATCTGATCTCCATTGGCTCTTCTGTTCGAATCCTTCCATCTTCGAAGACCAGACGAGGTTTTTCAAACTTGGATCTCCACTTCGCCGTCTACTATTTCCCACTGTCGACCCAGCGAGCCTCACAGCCTTCCCAGATCAAACGAAACATAATGTCATGTCCATGCCTCGTTTTATGTGCCTCCTTTGAATTCTAGCAATATTTCTGGAGCACGCCCAGTTCCCATCCAGGTTCGCAGCTGAGTTACAGGAATTGCAAAACCGACTAGTACACTACAGCCTCGGTGCTTCTGGATCACCTTTGATGCTGTGCTGGGTGCTTTTGAGAGACGGCGATTCAGAAGGCCTCCATCCGCGATCCTGGGCGATCGTGAGGTATATCAGTGTTATCAAGCCGTGGGATGCTGACAATCAGCAGAATTTGACGACGCTTTTACGTGGATATCTGCTTCGTAACGACACCTCTAAGGCACAACAACAACGATACTATGTTGTAATGGAGAATATGATGGGCAAGGTGAGCACACACAGTGAAGGGAAACAGTAATAGTGCAGTTGGACCTCTACATATTGGACTTTTGTAAATAAGGGTTGCCACACACTTTGTAATGCAAGATGAAGGGCCGAGTAATAATAATCTGCTGTTATCTATGGATTGCCCGAAGCCAGTAAGCTCATAGTACCATTGATCAGCTCAAGTGTATCCTGGGGATTGCGATTATCGAGCTCCAGCATGCAAGTCGAAAATAGCTCCATATGTGTACCCGGCGTATAGGAACAACTAGTCTAAAAGCTCACAAATGTCTGTGCGCTCATGTTGAGAATTGAAGGACACATGAAGATGGCCTTTCTCCTAGAATCAAGCAGGCAGCACTTCAGAAACGTAGCCTTGGTTCCCTACGGAAAAAAGTTGACACCAATCATTGCTCGAGGTATATCATCAAATATGAACATCGAAGTGGGATCATGAGACCACGGCGAGAGACAGGCACGAGACGATCAGATGTCACCACCTTCCAGTTGTCGCCGAGCATCCTGCTGAAGAATATGCTCCCAGTTTTGAACATATCTCTCCACCGCCCGATCCAGCTCCTCGTCAGTGTACAAGTCCTCGAGTTCAGCTTCAGGAGTGTTACGAGGTCGGGCTCCCTGCGCGGAAAGTTGCAACAGGCGATGGAATTCTCCACTCTTAAACCACTCAATGACCACCCTTTGATGGCGGATGGCCTGTACTATAGTACCGTCGGTCCTTGGCCTCAACTCTCGGTCTGATCTTTCCGCTTGAGTCCATGCGCCGACATCCACGAAATCCTCTTCGGCATTTCGGTCATTGAAATTGTAATTGACCTTGAACATTCGAGGATCACTGACTGTGGCCATAGTTTCAATGAAAGGAGAACTGTCAAGGCCCACCCACATGTCAATGTGAAATTCGTTCGGTGTGTTCGGGTCCTCGTCTTCAACCACGAGCACCTTGAGGCTCAGACTGATGTATGATTCGAGGTCTGCGCTCCACATTCGAAAGGGAAACATACCCTCGCCAACCACATTCATGACAGTATTGCATATCATGACCTGCGCTATTGGCGCCCTTTGGAACTGTCGGTATGCCTCAGGAATATCATAGAATTTCTCGGCTCGTACGAAAGTGCCGATTCCTCCGCCAATCAACATACGAAGAGCAAACCGTTTGAGCATATCACGACCGAGTTCGTGGTTGCCACCGCCAATGAAAAATCCCCATGCGTTAGGATAGTTGGAGGTTTCGTGAAAAGTCCAGTTTCTGGTTGGGATGTACTCGAAACCGCGCTGACGGATGTCCCATTCAGACATGTTGGCAGAGTATTTGGGTTCTTTGAAGTGCGATTTCAATGAGTTTGTCTGAAAGGAGTGATTGGTGAGATCTCTGTGCAGTTCAGTACTTGAAGAATGTTTTAGCGTAAGGCGTTGAACCAATTGTTCCGAATTGAAAGATGCCATCATGTAGCTTGGTGAACCAGAGCAATGTATACCTCTGCGAGTGAGTCTGGAGACTGTAGGGTGCGCCATGACTGTGAGCAGTTGTATGAACAAGAATATGCGACTCGGATTCTGTAGTAGTCAAGTCAGTCCCTGTCAGAGATATAGTCCACGAGTCATAAGAATACAGCGTCGAGGCAATTTGTTCCAGAGGCGATCAATTCACCGTCCCTGATGAATATTCCTGGAAGCGAACCAGTCCTCTGTAGGCTGTTTAATGCTATGTGCTCGAGGAGTATTGTGAAGAGTTCATCTGATAATCCTGGAAGTCGACACTAAATGACAAAGAAATATAGGACTCCTAAATCCAATACTAGCCTTGCAGATGTATGATTCAACGATCAGCTAGTTTCGAGGAGGATGAGAAGTCCACACAAGTCCATCAAGAAAAGTAATATATATTACTCGAGAAATGATGACAATGAGTATGACACCATACTTCAATAATGAGGGCATCGTGCTCGGAAGATTGCGTCAAGCGACTCATAGTCCAGGTTTCGAATATCGCACAGTGTGATCCATCACTCTTAATCTCGTATGCTTATGTGCGATGTAAGTAGTCTGACTATTTCATCCTGAACTTGCACATTATAAGAAGGTGGCTTCAATGGTGAAGGGTCTTTGCTTCATTGGATCGTTGGTAGCACACTGGTGTCACTCGCGAACGGAATGGTCGGATACCGAGATCATTCGACAAACGACTGGTTGAAGGGAAGGATACAGCATAGCTTGCCTGCCTTGGCTGAAACCTTCACTATTTTCGTTTCGTCTATCCAGTGACGTGTGCGCGCGTGCATATAGCGTGTGTCACATGCACAGTTCTTCGGCAACATTTCTGAGTAGGCTGCCCTCAAGCTGGAGAGAGATGCTTGGCTGTCTGTGACAAACATGCCAGATTGATGCTTTCCAAAACAACATCAGTTCTGACTGGTGATGGGCTTGACTACGTTTGACGAGACTCAGATTCCAAGGCAGGCGGCTCCTTCTCCAAAACAAGGGGTACAATCATTTGAAAATTTGTGCTGGGGCTCCCAACACTGAGCTTCCACTGTGCACTTTCATGTGCAGTAAAATCGTGGGTTGGTGAATTTATGCTCAGCGTATATCCAAACTCAGTGCTGAACGGGTAGCAGAAAGAACGCTCGATGATGAGGCTGGCGTAATGAGCAAATGTTTCTGCATATCAAAAAGTCGCCCCCTCGTTGACAAGACATCATTCGCATCATTTCACCAGATGCTCATCCAATCATCGGACCGCCAGAGCAGCCAAGCCCACTTTCCCATCGCCAGGCAATCTACTTGACCGACAATTCGGGTCTCTTCGATCATGACCATGAACCAGCGTTCGCGGGCTCAACACCGATGAGCACAGACGTCTATGTATGCAGGGGCCCAGATGGTCACACAGTTCCATGCATTAATCTGGGAACCAACTTTTGGTTCAGAAGGAGGCTCTCCGGAACTATGCCTGTCTCCTAAAGATCATGTTGAGGCTCAAGCAATTCTTCTCGGCAATTATGTTCATGTTCATTGAGATGTTAGTTTGGGGTTCCACAGCAGATGTTACGGCTGGGTCTGTTGCGAGGAATAATTTCATGATCAATGGTGTTTGCGCGGCCCCATCCAATCCTTTGCGCACAGGTGTCCTCGCATAGCTTGTTTAGTGTAGACGTTGAACCTTGCTCTCCTCCGTCAACCTGGGGTCCCACCAACCGACCGCGAAATTTACCAAGAGACCGGCGGAATGAAAGCTGACCAGAAAGACACGTCGAGGACATGAACGAGGTGGTCGCTAATCATCTGGAACGATTCGAATACCGCAGACTCCGGACGCCCACCCCAAAGACTCACTCGATGGGTGATGTGTCGAAACTTGCACCTCTTTGACTAAGTGGACAATAGCTTACTGCATACTCGAAATGCTCCTTCTGTGACTATACTAAACCTAGAAACTTCCAAGAGATGCATCTGCATACGGTAAATCCTCCTTGATCAGTGCGGGTGTCTCATGAGGTCTACCCGAGGCTCTATGTCGAACGGAAGAAATGGCGCAGGCCAGGCCAGGTAGGGTTAAGGAGTGCATGTAGGTTGCACAGAAATCCCAGTTACCTGCGTAAAATGTTTGTCCCCAATCGCTCATCTCCTGTTATAATGACCAGGTGCTGCCGCCAAGCGATATTTCAATCCAGGCAGTTTGGTCGGTTTCTGAACACTCAAATCGCTTCCAAGGAAAATAATTACACGAGACCTGACATCTAGAGACGTGCCCAGTGAGCGGCCAATGAGCTTGCTTTTCGAAACAAGCTTCTTTCTGCATGGTCTTCTCGAATGTTCTTAAAACCCATCACACCTTCGACAGTCTCTAATATGTTGTCGGTGAGGTGACTCTCCATGCACCTGCCTTCCGTGATGTGCAGTCCTCAACCTGGTCTGAGCTACCAGTCAACTAGGAGCTGAAGTTTTGTCAACATCGAGATGCAAAGGCCATGTTTCCATCAAGTAGGGTACAGGGCCCTCCAAGAGGGCAGGCTGGTAGGCTCAATAAGTATCGCTCATTTGTCAAGGCCTTCGTGTCCATAGGAGCGCACATGTAGGGGGTTATCGTTATTGTACCCCCAGTCCCTCATTTCACTCTTGCCCAAGACTCTTCTTTCTTCTTTCGATCTCAGCAACGTGATTTTGTCTGGTACACTTGGACCGTTCCAATAAATGCTTTCCAAAGTCACCAGGATTGGTGCTTACATTCTCACGGGATTGGGAATCACTGAAATATTCATTTTCCATCCTGGTTTCGGAGCCGTCAAGACTGGCTTGTGTGCAAGCAGGGCCGTCGTCTGTCGTTGATGATTTGGGTGAACGAACGAGGCAACCAAAAGCTCGCTTGATGGGTGACCGTTTATCAACATCTTTGAAGTCCAACATCATTAGAATGCTTGGGAGCAAGTGGAGAACGGTAAGGAGCAGGGCATATCGCTGGTTGTTATTGTACTAGCGATTTTCAAGAGAACCTGAAAGGAGGGCAGTGGTGGTGTCGTTGTCAATCTGCGTGTACGCCTCCGGAGACTCTCAAGACATCGATCATGAAAAATATGGTGCGCAGGGGTGATGTACAATGTACGCAGTGATAGGACTTTCGCGTGGATGAAGGCAGAGACCACATCTTGGCGGACACTGCTGAATCTCCGAGATACAAGCAATCGCTTTCTGTGAGCATCGGATGACAAAAGAGACCTATCATCAACGCATCACTAGGCAGTCGCAATGCTAGTCCAATAGGGCATAGAGCACTTCATCGTATTGCCCCGAGTTTGCTCAAAGCCCCATCTCGAATATTCGGATGCGTCACTGCATTCAGCCGTCACGTCCAGATCAGGATTGATACTCAGGCCAAATCAAAACATTGCGCCTCATGTAATGATCTCAACTGTTGGTCCTGAAACACCTTCAACAGTAGACAGATGTTTTTGACTTCGGAGCTTATTATGATAGCATGCAGTGAGATAGCCGTCACAGAGGCCAGTCGTACAGATATTGGAATACTTCCGTGTTTCGTTGCCATCCATCAATAAGACATATGATGCATTGTGCAAGAATGAGAGAACTCGCCCACAGGTTATGATGCCAAGGGCTAGGTTCTGATGTTGATCGTATTTCAAGTACAACGCAGAACGAAAAGGTGGATGTAGTGATCATGCTCTCATCGTAATTGATTTAATCCTCGTTCAATAGGAATAGTAAGCGTAGTGGGTATCTCAAGTCGAAAAATCATGCCGTCGTTGGATATTCTGCAACTTCAACGTTCGAAAAAACCACCATCACTCATGTTTCCATCGCTGTCTTGGTCTGGTTGATCTATCACATTTTCGTCTGCCAGGGACGGATCTCGCAGAAGTCTTTGGTCGCGCTCGACTCGTGAAGCAACTTCGTTTTTGTTGCCTACAGCTGTCAACTCCTTGTCCAACTTGGTCCCAGCGGTCAATTTGCCTTCCCGCAAAGCTTCTAATTTCAACTGGCCTTCAAGCATACATTCCTCGACTTGATACCACATTGGGGGTTTCTCATCTGAAGCCAACCTCAAAAGATTGCTTTGCTCATCCTCAAAATTGAGCAAGTCATCCGCTTCTTGACTGTTGAGTATGGCACTATCTTCCGTCGGCATGGGTAGATTGTTCTTGCGATTGCCCAAATTTGGAAAAAGACTGATGTACTTTTCTCCCAACGGAGCGTACTTGGTATAGTTCAAGTCTACTTCTCCTTCATGTATCTTTTGTTCGAGATGTACTTTGCTGGATTCATCCTGTCCATCAAGTGTATCTCGCTGCTGAATCAGCCTCTTCAGTGATCGTTCGCATTTTTGCCGCTCGATGAAGCGCACAAAATGATATTTGCTCAAGTTTCGCCGGCCATCATCAGCAATTCTCTTCTTCTCTTGATCGATCAACAACGCAGCAAGCTCGCGTTCCTTTTCCTGCCGGACCGTCATCGGTAGATTGCTGGAGCCATTGAGAAGCTTTTTGAGAGAATGGATACGGGTCGAGGGGTTCGTAGTACGTGCGCGCTTGGTCTTCTTCTTGATTCCAGCTGTCTTAGGAGGAAGTTGCTCAGTTCGTTGAGTTCGAGAATGGTGCTGGCTGGTGCGATCGCCTCTATCACGACGATCTGCCCTATCTGGCTGCTTTGCTTGATCTGGTCGGTAGGAATCCATGTGACGGGAGTTGGCTGGTGTTCGATATGAGCTTGAACGATGGTCACGTCCACGGCGATCCCGATCAGGACTCGCTCGATTCCTGGCCCGCGACTTGGGACTGTAGTGATCCATACCGCCGGATCAAAGTGATAGTATCAACTTCCCATATAAAGGAATGCAATAGCAGGATTCTGCTTCTCGGTAATGAATTGGAAGTCACTCGAACAACTCCGCAGGTAATTTTTTTGAGTTGTCGTCCCAGGAGAGAAATTCACCCGATGCCGAGGGGCTTATCGATAAGAACTTCTCGCTGCTTTTATGGTTTGAGACAAGTGGTGTCTCTAGCCTCCAGCTCTTCACTCACCTCAGTGACCTCGCCCAGAACAACAACTTGCACTTTAAGAACCCATTTTGCCCTTGAGGCGTGACGGTATTGGCGTTTAGCTCACCAGTTTCATCCTTACCAACTGCCTTATTTCATTATCCAATCGTTGCCCAAGAGCAATAAGTATTTTCTCTCGTTACCATCCTATTCCCAAGATGGTTGTGGGTTTTAGGCTATCGCAAATATTCCTGATGTTGAACGCGATATGAGTAGCGGAGTCCATTTTCCAGATAGAATACCACCGTCACCTAGATCCTATGGACGCCTGTGCTACGCAACTGACTCTAGTTCAAGGTCTCGACAGCTGCTCTCGGTCCACATACTACGAAGAAAGTCGCTTCCATTTCCACGATCTCTTGATTGGACGGTGGGCAGGACAGTCAATTCGATTCTACAATACAGATCTGCTTACCTCGGTAGATGCTCATGCTGATTAGGATGATCTCCTTAGTTCATGAAATATGGCGTCAAGATGTCCAGAGGCAGCACATCGGTATCCCTCGACGTCTTTGCCATGTCGGTAATCTGTTCTTTATTAATTTTGTTTGAGCTATCGCTCGCGTCTGATGTCTGGTCATAACAAGGGTATTGGTACAAGCTTCACGAAATGGTCAACGATTTAATTTGGCCGGCACATCATTTAAGCGGCCGCACCCTTGATCCTGATCACATTATGATGAGGACCAAACCCACGGAGGACCCTCAACTAAGGGCGTGCGGAGAACCCTGGAGAGGATCCAATGTTTGACTCTTCAATGATACTATCTGTCTTCACGAAGAACGGCAGTGATAACGGCTACAGTGTCCGAGAGTTCGATCCAACGGTGCAAGCCAAGCAACCGTTTGGAAGGCGTTTGATCATGCCCCAGGCAATTCCTTTCGTGGCTTTGAGAGTTTTGGGTCTGGGGGAACAACACTGCTCAACTCTGTGTGAATCTGAATTGAGTTAGCCCAGGTGAGAGAGGCGTGGACACCGAGTGACATGCACAACGAAATCGGCTTGGGATATTGCCACGTTCTTTCATTTATCCACGTCGAGGAGCTGAGAGTGCCTAGCCCAGCACCGCCATCGTTAAATTCGTCGTTGGCGCAAACTAATAGACAACTACTCATCAGCTGCGAATGATCCTCACATGCTGGCGTAGAGCAACTACATTTTACCGTGGCTAACATGGCATTTCGTGTTTACTATCTTCCAAAGTCCGAGGCAAATACCCGAAGGTGGAACCGCGAGAATGACCCAACGTGAAGTGCTCAATCGTCGAATCAGTAAGTCGCTTCTTCAGCCTTCAGTCGCAAGACTAGTGCGGTGGAAAAGCCCAGGTCAGGATTGCCTTCACGGCGAGTAAGCCGCTCGGGTAAATGGTTTATCCCAGGCTTCTGCTCACACTCGGCGGTTCAGACCAGTGGTCTGAGATAAGGATGTCAGCTGCTAAGGTTTATGCCAACAAAAGAAAGCACTGCTGGTGGAGTATGGAATTTATTCGGCGCTCCAAGGGTTGATGAAATATCACGCTGCACATACACATAGATCAGGCCGCACGCACGTCCGTCCTGAGCTCGTTCATATCCTGCCATCAAGCTTGCATTGCACAGACAAAGGCGGCTGCCAAAAGCATGAACATGGCATGAAGCCCCCTAACGACTCTGTCATAATCAACATGGTCTTTCAACACTCGCTTGTCACTTCATAACATGTCGTTCACACCTGCTTCTCGTTATGGGCGACGTTTACATTATCTTCTGAGTCCTGCTTTACGACGACCTCGAAGACTTCGTCAGGTTTCCGTGGCGCCAGAACGGCCTCAGTGACGGTTCTAAAAGACCTGACCGATGTCAGCCCTCGCTCATCATTTGAAGCGTCATGATCCAGCAAGAGCCATCCGGCACGCTCAAATCTCGACCGAACATGCTCGGAGACATTGGCAAAACGTATCTCAAGCTGATCACCGCCATATTTCATGGCTTCAGTGAAGAAGCCCTTGAGAGCCGAGGTCGCAGTGGTGTCGATATAGTTGACTTTCGTAAAATCGAGGATGATGATGTGGATTGGTGGGAGGTTCTGATCTGCTGTCTTTGCTTTCCTTCGAAGCCTGGCAACACGCCGCTCTCCTTCGACAGACCAAGTTCTGTCAGCCTCAGCACCGTTGATACTGCTATATGCTGGTGCATGGTAGGTTTGTACCACGTCGAATATAACTTTTCGCAATCGATGTGCATTGGGGAAGAAGAAAGACTCATTGAACTGGAACACACGGATGTCGGAAGGAATACTTGGTGGCAACCCCCTTACCGAGTCCAAGGACGCAGATAGTTCGGATCGAGACTCAACCCCGACATGAGTTACTCGAAGGAAGACCTGTCGGAGCAGACAATACACAACATTCCAAGCAACGGCACTGCCGATCCCAATTTCAGTACTGACGAAAAGCGAGACCCAGAAAGAGACCATGGCGGCGATAAAATCAGCAAGCGACGTTTTCCAAAATTGGTAGTAGATCTTGGGAGTGCCTATGAGGGGCCAGATCGCAGTGATGATGATAGCTGCAAGAGTGGCTTTGGGGATCCAGTAAAGAGCACCAGTGAATTTATAAATCGACAGAATGACGAATGCCGTCGTGACGAAGCCAGAAAGTGGTGATCTGACTTTACATTGGGAATTGACGGCAGTTCTGGACATGGCACCGCCAACACCCATCGCTCCGAAGAAGGAGTTGAAGAAGTTGGTGATCCCATAATAACAAAGCTCCTGACTGGCGTCTGTGACATAGTTGTTCCTAGCTCCGAAGGCCCTGGCGATGGCTAGGTGCTCGACAGTAGATGCAATGAAGGCAGCAATACTCCTGCCGACCACCTTATTGATGAGGTTGGCATCTGGCATCCTTGGGTGAACAATGGCACTCTTGGGCACCTTGCTGACCTCAAATAGGAAGTGCTTGGGATCGAGGCCTTTGTTGACGCCATAGCTGATACCAGTGAACAGGAGAAGTGCGATAAAGGCACGAGTGATGGACAAGAACCAGATGACCCTGTTCTTTGCACCCCATTTATCTCCTGCTTTTTGGAGCAATATTAATAAAACAACTCCAGACAGTCCAATACCTGCAGCTCTGCCATTGCAAGTGCCAAGGTTTGTGAACACATCATGGATGATATTGGCTGTTCCAGTACCGACATTTTTCTCACCAATCTGAGGCAATACATCATATCAGCAAGAAGTCCATGGCAGTACAACGCAAAGTAATAATATCTTGTGAAAACTTCGGGTTTCAGAGTCCACGACGTCTTTGCTTTCTCACGGACAAACGGAATGAAACCAAGACAGCGGGAATGAGCGGCATTGCCACTCTTCGAAAAGCTGGAACAGTGACTCACCAAATTCGCAATTTGACCAAGACCAATAGTGATGGCAGCGGCAGATATGAATCCAGTAAGGGTAGGGATGGAAATGAAATCTAGAATGAAGCCAAGCTTCAAGAACCCCAAGAGCATGCCGTAGACGCCCATCATGAGAGCCACGGCTGATGCAACGGCCTGCGCGGTATAGCCTTCTTTTGTGAGATCTTCAACGACATCCGCCGTGAGTAGACCGATAAGTGATGTTGGACCAGTAGAGAGATCTGTGAAAACGAGTGAGTGCTAGTTCCAAGAACTGATTTACACCACACCTACCCTTGGATGTACCCATGAACGCATAAATCAGCGCAGGGAGCCAGCTAGAGAGTAATCCATACTGCACAGGGATGGCAGCGATTTTTGCGTAGGCGAGACTCTGGGGTATAAGCATGAGTGCAAGAGTCAAGCCAGCCACAAAGTCATTGACGATCCACCGGTAATCGTAACGAGGAAGCCACCCGATTATGGGGACTTTCTCCATGACATATAACAGTGCTGCCGCTGGGGCGGCCCTGAGGCCTTTAGTACCGTACTTTGCAACCCGATTCCAGGTCACGTCGGTACGGACATCATCTTTGACACTTTGATACACTCCCATGATGTCGCAATCGGACCTAGCGAGAGATAGAGATGATGTGTGTTGTATGAAAATAGGGACCGGCTGTACCGGAAAGGGTTATTGGCACTCTTTGTCAAGATATAAATGAGAGCGATGAAATGAAAGATGTTGAGACTGGGTTGGGGGTTTATCAACAATTGTATGCAGATGAGGTGCTGCCCCCTCGCATCGATTTGATAGTCCAGGGAAGCCACCTGTTGTGAGTGTAGGAATCACCTCTCGAACCATGCAAGTGCGGCCTGGATCTAGCCCTCGAAACAAGCTTGAACAAGCATGGAGGACAAGAGAGATGGCCGATCTTGGGGGAATGCTACTGTTACCCCCTGTCGAATGGATTGTCAAATGTGGTCTTCTCGACACTCAGGCTGGTGAGATGCCGCACGTGCCGGTGAATTACAACTCGAGAGAATTCAGGCTGTGAAGAGGCCAACGCCTGATTCTGCCAAGCGCCCGCCTGTGGAGCTTGTCGTCAGCAAGCATGGCCCACTGCACCCACTCTCCGCAAATCAAAATAGCCAAACCCTGGGGTTAATATGCGGGGGAGGCTTGTCCCTGCGGTCAACAACCATCTTGCAAGCACATCACGGCCTCTTTGCTAACCAGTGAGGTTTCATCTGAGGCACCTTTCTCCGTCGTGACCTTCAGCGCATAAACGATCTGCCGTTGTCCAAGGCGCGTTGCTGTCCTCGTGAATCGTATTCCATCGAAATGTAGCAGTATTCGTAAACACGCATGGATTACTGAACTCGACCTCTGAGTAGCGAGAACTCTGTACCACAGCAGGTTCCTTTGAGCAAATTGTTTTCAGGCGTCAATTCCGCGTGGAATCTGTAACGATGTGTTTTTTTAGTATATACTCTTCTCCCCAAGTCACTGGTACACTGTATGTTTCAGCTTTGCGGCTGGGCACGAGCCTACCTAGGTACGTAGGCAATTGCGCAAACTAAAGACGGGGTTATCGGCTGAACGATCAAGCAGAGGCTGAGCAGCATCAAACTCTTGGTACCGCACGTACCAGGACTTGTACGAGGATTTTAGCTTTCAGCGACAGTAAGATACGCCAGATGGTCTCGAATGCTGCAGGGAAGCTAATGAAATACTAGATTCGTATGCTTCCAACCACTTGGAAGCTGCATCATGTGTGGATTACTTTTCATTGCCGAAATTTCCATGCAGTCTATTTAGGGTGGTGAAGCTTGATCGTAGTTGTAGGAACAAATCAAGGTTTTTCATCCCTCCCATGCAAGCAAGTCAATAGCATGTCTTCTGACATATTGCTTTTGTCTTTCAAGCGAAGGCTTAAATGTTCTTACCTACAACAAGCATCTGCCTGGGGCAACTTATATTCGCAAGGTTTCGATACTCCAACCAAGTCAGGACCTGATAAAATTATGAGCGATAGAACAGGCAGAACATCTCTATGTAGACCCATGAGGGGTTAAAAAACTGGTACTAGTAGGACCATTACGGCGAAGTCTGTTTGGGGATCGATCAGAGATTGGGCATCCCAGAAAATTACAGCTCATAGACTGGAAGAGATAACAAAGAACGGACGAAGAGTCTGAGAAATCTTACCGGATTTCAAGAGTGGCTACTTCCCTGTCATCCCTGCTAGTCAAGGTTGCCACACATTACCGACAAACTATGTCTACACTGTACTCCAGGGCATTTATGATAATGACCAAATTAGAGCCTGACTGTGATCCGTCGTGGCTATGAACTAATCGTTCTTCTTCGAGAGAAAAGGCAATGAAAACTGGGCGAGAGATGGAAAATACGAGTTCAATTCATCGTAGATGCAGTGATTTAAATCAGTCGATACGTGGCCTTGGTGCTTCCGGTCAAAGTACTGAGTTCATGTTCCTGTCCAGGAGCATAGATTGTGTGGAAACAGCGATGAGACCAGAAATTCAATTCGATACACAATACTGGTTGAACTTTTAACCAAGGAAGCCAGTCCAAGATGCCCAGAACAGAAAGAAACACGTAGTACCTTATATAGCGTCTGGTTCAAAGCCGCATAGTAGGCATGTATCTAATTTAGTTCTTCCTGGTACTAAACGGTCGTATCAGACGTCGCATTCTTTAAGAGACTGTCGGCAAAGCAAAGGTCGCATTCGTGTTGCGTAAGCTCCTGTGACAACATCAAGTCCTAGAGTCTTTTGATGAAGGAGGGACGAAGCACTAGGCGATCTTGATTCATGCCAACTTGGCTAACCTGCGTTCAGTTCGCTATGAGAGCTCCCGAGATCTGTAATCCTCTTCCAGCTGCGCGAGGTAGGATAATAGATTTGCCCTCTCTCACCGGCGTCTGGGAATCAAGGGAGGATTTCGCAGAGATGTAATCAGTCGTCATAACGACTACACTTCGTTCAAGCGATGTACATGGGGCTATGTATGATGTATTGTGTGTCTCATGTGATGTCTCTTTGTCGCTCAAAGGTGACCTGTTGCGGATTGATGATCGTGGATATCTGTTTGAAGGTGGTCAAAGGGCTGAAAACTCAGTCAACGGTTGACAAGAGCTCAAATACTGAATAGTCCTGGCTGAGGTCGTCTTATCTCAAGCGGATCCGAATGTGTCAGCGGACCAGGCCAACCGCAGAGCGGACAAACCGGCGCAGGAGAGATAGCCACTGTCCCAAATTCATAGTTGTTGAGTATTTAGGAGCAGGTGGATCTCCTACTCATTTCAGTAAGTCAACTTCCACGGCCCCCGAGTCTATAACTCGTCCTGCGGCACTGTATGAAGAATTATAACATGATCCGACAAACCACAAGTGAGCTCAAATGTCAGTGTGTCAATGGGGTCATAATACATTGCCTTTGAAGGTTTTGTCACTCACACCCTCAGTCCAGTGAGAAATTCTAAGAGACGTGGTTCAAGGGTTGGAGTATAGATATTCCCTACGTTTTCTCACCCCAATGTCCCATTATCGCTGGCAGGACTAGAAGATAGAAAGCAAAGTGCCAACCGATTCTCTTTCTTCTGTTAGGCAATATGTTGCGCAACGACAGGGCTGGTGACCTATCACACTCTCTAGCTTCATCTCCCGTCAAATGAACTTCACGGCAAGTCGAAAGCCTTGTTATTTTCATATTTTTCAAACTTCAATAGCTCGGACTACAATCTGAGGATGTGCGATGGAGTTCAACACTGTTGAGTGGAGAATACCAGTTTTGGCTGGCTTCAGGGTACTGAAACCATGCATGGTTGGTCTTTCTCCATCTCACGAGGAGGAGTGAGCCGGCCTGGCACCTCACATATACTGACTCATTATACTGAGACTCTGTCCTCTGAAAATTGACGATAAAAGATTTGTTTGGCCTACTTGGTCCCGTGTAGATACTGGAGGAACCAACTGACAGCAGCATTCTTTGCCCTTTCGAGCCCATCCTTCTGCAACTTATTGGTCGGGTCACCTCGTGTAGCGAAGCCGTGAGTCAAGCCAGGAAAATATTCATACGCATAGTCGATACCTAGCTTAGGAATCTCTTCATTGCAGAACGTTTTCAATTCTGGCGTGAGCGTAAAGTCGTTCTCAGGGGCTATGATCTGCGTCGGTACGCCAAGGTTGGTGATTTCAGACTTATCCAGCAGGGACGGGTGGGCAGTGCTAACGCAGTCGATGAGATTGTTACCCTTGCCCGCAAGCTGAAAGACTGCCCAGCCGCCATAGCAGAAGCCGATGGCCCCGACCTTTTTGTACTTGGAGCGGATTTCTTTGGCGGCAGCAAAGATGGCTGGACCGCGGATTTCTTTGTTGTGGCGGCCGACCCAGGCCATGAGGTCGAATTCTTTTGCCTTTTCTGGGTCTTCTAGCATTTCCGGTCCGATAACTTCACCGTCGTAACTGGAATCGGAGGGGGTTAGTGCGCAAGCCTTGGATGAGGGGCTGGTTGCTTGGAAGGTAGGTCGTTACTCACAAGTCTGGTATATATACGGTGGCATCAGCTTCTTTGGCATAGTGATCAGCCAGTAGCCTTGCATTGGTCAGTGTCCAGCCGAATATGTCGGCGACGATTAGGATTGCCACATTCTCGTTGCTGCCAGTCGTATAGGTTTTAAGGCCGGCAATGGTAGATTCTGTACCTACGGGCTTGCCGTCCCATTTGAACCCGGTTTTGCAACACGAAGACATATCGGTCTGTTGACTTGATTGTGCTTAAATGACGTGGTGATGTATAAGCTGGGATGATGCAAAGGGAGGGAGCCATCATTCGGGGGGGACTGAAAACCCCGCCGATCCCGTTCAGTCTGGTCCTCGGCATTTGGTGGGCTGAAGTCACGTGAGCGGGGGTAGGGACCAGGGGTAGTCATCTTTTTGATCCCGATTATCTTAGCCGGTGCGGGGGAGAAGGATTTCCAACAAGTCTGATATACAGACTACCTTCTTAGGAAGATAGCTCTTCATTGTAGCAAAAGAGGCCTATGTTATGGATCACTTTACTTGATTTGAGCGATTAGTGTCGAATGGATTTCGAAAACGAAAATTAGCGCTTTTGAAGATACGTAGTACATGTTATTCATCTCGGCTTGTTGATGGAAATGTCCCCCGACACATCATGGCCAGTGAGGCAAACGACACTTTCACCACCGTCTCTTCAATCGCTCGCCGACGCCATTGATGCTGGGCTGTCATCCAATTTTGCAGTCGCTTCCTGTACAGTTGACTCACCGCCAGACCTTACTCTTCCACCTTTCCATCTTGCAGCACCAGGTCTCAATGGTTCCTCTCGCGTCGTTGACATTGGTGGACCTCCTAACCTTCTTCCATCTCCTAACCTTTCCAAGAAGTATGACATGCTTTCAATCTGTCAACAGATTGATATGAACCCTTCCTCGGGCTTCATGTTGGGTGCTGGAGCTGGCCCCTTCCATGTGTTGGGACAAAACTCTGAGTTAATGCCCAATTTCGCCTATGGGTCAGCTGCTGGTTCCAGTCCAACTCGCAATCGCACTCACTACGCAAAGATCACACCATCTGATGACGTAACTTGCTGTCAGCTTCCCGACAGCACAGCTTTCGGCTTGATGTGCAACCTATTTTGTTCAGAAGGTGCTCCTGGTCCCTGCCTCCACATCGTTGCGAAATCCCGTACTGGACCGCTCAATTTCACCGAGACGATTCAACAAGCAATAAAGACGTCGTTTGGAGACAAACTCGTTTCTCTGGGCGGAGTTTTCTTGATCAAGCGAGGCAGTGTGAATCTCCATGTAATGCCTGACTTCCTATCACGGCCATTTGAATCCCGAGAAGGCGTGGAAGCATGGTTACGCTATTTTGATATGCAGTTTGACCATGATGACCCCCTCATTTGTCTCAGCGTCTTGCACTCGGGAAATGATGGTGGAATGGGGCTGAGGATGGAGCACACTCACTGTTTCACTGTGGATGCTAATGGCGACGATGATAAATCAACAACAAAAGGTGGGCATTACCACTATGATCTCGAGGCGACAAAAGAGGAAGTTGAGTACGAAGGATGGTTCAATATCGCCGAGATGTTGTATCGTATCGATCAGCCTTGAGTACCTAGATAGCAGTAATGTATTCTTCTGTTATCATTTGACTTTTCTTCGTCTCTACGGAGAAACACCGCCCGGTCAATTGCTATCATTTAACTTCTTGTGCTCCACGGCATGGTCGCCAAGACTCGCCCCTTATTGTTCAGCCTGGCTTGCTTGTTGGAAATTGACCACGTAACGTGAAGTACAAGTACGTAACATGTGCTTATACCTGGGTAGTTATGTAGCTTATGAACAGCGGTAAGTATTACTCTGCATACTGAATTCATGAAATGTCACAATCAGTAGATCGTTGGCCTTTCCCAATGTTCCCACCGAGTACTAAGTAACTCTTTGAAGACCCACTCTCTGTAGTTGTCACAAGGTGAGCTAGATAAAATGGAGGAGATCCTTCGTTGTCCTGACTATGGTCCAATCCTCATTCTCCAGCTCATGCCTTCCAGGCTCGGGATATTTCTTAATGTGCTCAATCGCCCATCTTGTCTCATCATTCAAGACTGGTGGACATCTTCCATGGCCCTCCAGAACAGGGAGCCCTGCCAATTCGAAGAGGTTACGGAGCCAATCAAGCGTTTCTCCATTCTCCCATATTATGTCGTGGAACTTGCGATGCTCTTTACTCACCAGTTGCCACCTATCTCTGTCCCATTGCTCCTGTTCCTTTTTGGGTGGAAGTGGCGAAGCGTTTCTCTTAGAGAAAACCCGCGCCAGTGCAATAGCTTGATATTCGAATGACCGGAATGTAAGTACTCTCGGTACACCAACTATGCCTAGCGTTGGATATTGGGGAAAGAACGTGTGCCAAAAGCTTCCTTTCAAACGATTCTGTTCGTAGTTCCAAAGCGCCGAACCATTGGCTTTCTCATTCCAGAGTGGGAATGAGGTTTTGTAGCCCGTACAGTATATGATGGTGTCAATATCTGTGAGCACCGAATCGTCCTCGAACACGACTTCGCCCGTGGGTAGGAATTCTCTGATAACAGGTTTCCATTCAACGCCTGGCGGAGGCTTATCTCCTTCCCATCGTGAAACTGATCGTCGAGACTGATAGACAGGAAGGTGAGCATGGCCTGCAAGACCAGCTGTGACATCGTGACCAGAGGCTGAATTTCCAATTACTACAACATTTTTATCTTTCCATATTCGTGGATTCCGGTAAATTTTGGAATGTACAACTCGCCCTGGAAACAAACGGAGATATTCGTCGAGACCTTTCACCTTAGGAACCTGAGACGGGATCAGTCATCCACAACGCAGAGGAACAGTAGTTGCAGACTCACGTAGGGTACTGTATAATGTCCGTTGGCGATCACCACGGCATCAAAATCTTCCTCCCACCACACATCTACATGCTTGACAGCATCATAATGTCGCAGCGTTATGCGCCACCTATCTTCGGGTAGTCTTGACACATCCTCGACAGTAGTGTTCAAAACCAACAAGGAGTCCGTTCGATGCTCGGAGAAGTAATTGGCTATGTATTGTCTCGGCACCCAGTGAGGTGGGAAAGGGCCATAGGAAAAACGGGAATCTGAGAAGGACATGGCAATATCAGGAACATTCGTCGTCAGGTCATCGTATATAGGCGTTCTGTCATATCGTTCTTGTTTGCTTGGGGCCGTAGTCCTTGGCAGATGATCCGGGATGCGGAGCGGTGGATCGGTCTCAGGAGGTAGGGCACCAGGGTAAAGCTTAAGATCGGGCCCTGGGTCTGGATCATATATCCTTTGCGTCGCGATCGTCAACATCATTTACAAAAGATGAAGTCTGGTAGAATATCAACACATACCAGGTGCCCCCAGGATTGCTCTTTCTTTCAAAGACTCTAATACGATGGAAATAGTCTTCCGACGCGAATGCAGCCGCAGAGATAGCACCTTGATTTGCATATCAGTATAAATCGCCACACGGCAGGAACAGTGTTGGTGTACCTGAGGCACCGGCACCAATGATCGCCACAGATCTGATCTTGATGCCAGACATGATTCCGAGCAACGACAAGGCTCTGCCTCCTATGTCTCAGTTGTATGGGAAACCTCGTCCGATATCCAAGAAACTTTGGTTCTTGGAATTGGAATCAAGGCTTCCAGGCCAATTCCGGTGGTACAGACACGTTAGATGTAATGTGATAGGTGAGTGGGCAACGCCATACCGAACACTATTGCGTGCTTCGGTTTATCTGCCATAGCAGCCAGTCACGGGTCGTGAATAGAAGGTGCTTAGCTCAGCAAGCTTTGTGGGAGAGGTGTTCAGCCTGACACGTGACACGAGATGGTGATGACAAGGTTAGTATTCGAACGAATCCAGGGCAACTGAACACATGCTAGCCAGTTGGCATCACTAGATAGATGTTGTCTCCCTGCGGAGTCGGTGGTGAGCTGCCATATGAACGGCACGACATCTTGCTGCGAAACATTGGTACTTGATACCGGGGAAACAGCATTCAACGCAAACTACCTAGCATTTACTAGCATCATGGACTGAGGGAGTGAGCATTTGAGAGGTCATGTAGGGGTAACCCAAGAGATGAGAAACTGAGGTTCGTGCTATAGTGTTTCAAACAGGATATAATACAAGAAGGAGAAATTTTCCGTCGGATATTAGGTATGCCCTCAAGTCGACGTAGCTGGAAGCTTGAGTCTATAATAGTATACATAACAAGCGCTGGTGATGCACTTACCTACTTCGTACTGTTTCAGCTCACAGAAGCTCTCAAGAAGAGACAAGCGAAGGATGTTTCGAGACCGAGATCCATCTTCTCGGATAGGAATTCGACAGTGGCCTGGTGATCGATGTTATTGCCTTTTGCGGAAGAAGCTGGCACCCATTCTGCATACAACCACGGGATGAATGTAGAATGGTCCGCCTCAATCGACAGCCCAAGCAAGCAGGAATATGTCCACCGCTTTGTGTGATCAGCAGAGTTTATTGATCCTCAGCAGAAATCTCCAACTGGAGGGGCCCTCATTTGGAGAAACTCCGACGTGCAAAGGCTTCTAACCGGGCCTCTAACCGGAACAATGTCTCCAATTAACCGTCGATTGAACAGTGTGACATAAGGAATCGTAGAATGAGAGAGCTGAGTTCTGTGACGAATCTCAATCTATGGCTGGGCTGGAATGTGCCTTTCAGATGGAGACAAGTGCAATCGCACCTGTCGGATACAGATGTCAGGGGCTAAGCGATAGTCAAGGACTGGCCAAGCGGCGTCCTGTCACGGTGGGATGTGACTGAGAGAGCCCGGTTCTAACACCAACAGCAGTGAAGCAAAAGCAAACATAGCTGTGTAGCTAAGTTCTTGAAAAAATTGTTTGGTTGATCGGATGCATAAATCCGTTTGTGCAAAGTACTGGAGCCTCCTCGGTAGGTAAATCTTGGCCATAGATCAACTAAAAGTCCCGTCGGCTCTAGCCTGAGGCAAACCGTGATGAGAGCGCCAACATCCATGCGGGGAGCCTCCACGTTATCTCACACACATATCGGCTCTTCGGCTAATAAGGGGTACTAATAAGGCACCTAAAGTATTTCAACCCATTCCAACTCGTACTAAGTACATCCTTCAAACCATCGCTGGTCACACAATCAGTTAGGTGCTGATAGAGGACGTAACACACCTCAGCTGGCAGAGCAATTTGAGACTACGGATACGCCTTCAATGTTCGACTTGGCAGGGGGTTTCTAAAGAGCCATGCCCCTCTCTAAATACGCCTCTCGTGGCCTTCCTGAGGTTTATCTCCATATGCTCCACTGCCCCGTCCTTCGGTGCCAGTAATCCCGTGAAATGTGCCTGATATCGAGATCCCTTCCCTATTCACCCGGGACGATTTCCATAAGCAGTGAGACCGCTGAATGCATGAACCGACCACCGTTAATTTGCTAAAGCAGGAGTAGTTCAGTTTGGTCGATTTGCTGCTTACCACTTGCTTCGACTTTGCATCCTCCCTGGGTCAGTCCAAAGCCATATCAACAGACCTCGACTCGTTGGATTTCTCCTTCAAGCGAGCCAGTCGTCCTTGTCAGGTTGTCGAATTGTTCGAATAACGTCCAAACATGTTACTCTCAAAGGATAACGTCTTGCACTTCACCTATGACTCCGAGCTCGTGCAGATTGAGTCCTGGGGCCCAAACGCTTTTCGGGTTCGAGCAACCAAGTTCCACACATTGCCGGTAGACAAATGGGCATTGACAGAGACGCCACCAGCCTCAACGCCATCAATAACTATCAAGGAGGACCATGCTACCATCACCAACGGCAACATCACCGCGACGATCTCCTCCAAGGGCAAAATAATCATCAAAAATGCCAAAGGAGATCGATTACTCGAGGAATATGTGCGTAATCGTGGTGATCTCCAGGACCCCAAGTGCAGTTCTCTTATGGTCGATGGGAGAGAGTTTAAGCCGCTACTTGGGGGTGACTATCACTTGACCTACAGGCTCGAATCAATTGATCCAAAGGAGAAGTTGTACGGTATGGGACAATATCAACAGCAATTTTTGGATCTGAAAGGACTCGATCTGGAAATGGCACAACGGAATTCCCAAGCAAGTGTTCCGTTCATGCTGTCAAGCTTAGGGTATGGATTTCTGTGGAACAATCCTGCAGTCGGCCGTGCAGTATTAGGAAAGAACACAATGAGCTTTGAGGCACTATCAACCAAGGCTCTCGACTACTGGATCGTTTGCGCTGATACACCAGCTCAAATTGTTGAGGCATATGCGGATGTCACCGGGAAAGTCCCCATGATGCCAGAATACGGACTGGGTTTCTGGCAATGCAAACTACGATATCAAACACAAGAAGAGCTCCTAGACGTTGCGCGAGAATATCGAAAGAGGAACCTGCCGCTCGACGTGATAGTCGTGGACTTTTTTCACTGTAAGCTTCCACACAAACTCTCCTTTCCCCCCAAACAACCTTCCACTAACCAACCACCATCAGGGCCAAAGCAAGGAGAATGGAAGTTTGATCCAACATACTGGAAAGACCCTGGTGAGTCAGCCATGCGAAGGTTATTGTCGACGTGGAAGGAGACGTCTTCTCTGCCACCGGCACCTTCCGATTTTGCCTTTGCTCCTCCTTGCACCTCCAGCATGAAGCTCAAGTTCGAGAGCAATATTCTTGAACCTCCCGTCTCTACCTTTCAAAAGCACCCTGTTGTGAAAATCGAGGAGTCCGAGATCTGTTAAGCTGAGTGTTTCCAAATTTTCAAACACAGACGCTATGATCAAGGAGCTGCAATCGTTGAATATAGAGCTCCTGGTCTCCATCTGGCCCACGGTCGACAAGCAGTCGGAGAACTACGAACATATGCTTGAGCACGGCTTGCTCATCAGACAAGATCGTGGTCTGCGAACATCGATGGATTTTCAAGGTGACACGATCCATGCAGACTTCACCAATCCAGAGGCAAGGGAATTTGTCTGGCAGGTCGCCAAGAAGAATTACTACGACAAAGGAGTGAAGTTATTCTGGCTGGATGAAGCCGAGCCAGAGTACAATGTCTACGACTTCGATGTCTATCGATACCATAGCGGAAGCGTGCTCAGCACGGGTAATGCATATCCAGTTGAATACGCGAAGGCATTCTATGAGGGAATGACCAGAGACGGGAAGCAAGAGAACGTGGTCAACCTCATACGCTGCGCTTGGGCAGGAAGCCAGAAATGGGGAGCACTTCTGTGGAGCGGTGATATTGCGAGCAGCTGGCAAGCCTTCCGAGATCAAGTCACAGCAGGGTTGAACGTTGGTATTGCCGGACTACCATGGTGGACAACGGACATTGGTGAGTAGTAGATGGACATGCAGGCTTGGCTTTTGAGATCGAATGCTTACCAAGAGCAACAGGTGGCTTCTTGGGCGGCAATCCAACCCATCCAGAATTTCGTGAGTTGTGCACTCGATGGTTCCAATATGGTAAGTACCCATTATCTACTCTAGCCAAACCTGCAGGACATTTTCGGCTGTGTGGGTACTCTCTAACCGGACTTTCTTCTCAAGGCTGCTTCTGCCCAGTTTTCAGACTCCACGGCGATCGTCAACCACAACAACCGCAGCATGGAACAACTGGAGGAGCGACCTGCCTCTCTGGCGCTCCCAACGAGATCTGGTCTTTCGGTGATGAAAGCTACGATATAATGAAGAAATACCTCCATCTGCGCGAGAGGCTCCGGCCTTACGTCCGTGAAGTCATGGCCGAGGCACACGAGAAAGGCTCACCGGTTATTCGAACGCTCTTCTACGAGTTTCCACAGGACAAGCAGTGCTGGGAAATCGACGACCAGTATTTCTTTGGCCACAGGTACCTTGTCGCGCCCGTGTTGAAGGAGGGCCAGACCAAAAGGGAAGTCTACCTTCCCAAGGGTGCAAAGTGGAGACGGTTTGATGATGGCGAGGTCAAGGATGCCGAAGAGCTGGATGGTGGACAGTCTATTGAGGTGGAGTGTCCATTGGCTGTCATGCCTGTCTTTGAACGGGTTTGATGACTACTTGTACCATCCGAGGTGTGCCACCAACCTCTTCACTACCCGTGATACTAAGACTGAGAGATCTTCTTGATGACGCATCGAGGGAAAATTGTACCACGAGTTAAAAGCTGGTAGACACTTTCACTACGAGAACTCCATTCATTTGACAAGACCTTTCATTTGTGAACTTACGCTTCTGTAGCACGAACGCCTGCGCTAAACCGAGTGGTAGTGGTACTACAGCGCACATGCTCTCGAGGACAGCGTAGACAACAGCGCATACTCGGATTCTAGCCCGTTCCCGGCCCCAATAGTAAAGCTCCAACTCATCTTTCCGACATCAACCAACTGGGCTGTGTATGACATGTTCCTCGTCTCGTTCGTATTTCCAACCATGCACCAACAATCCATGATCTCCGGGGTCAAGGATCTCACTCATGTTCAACCAGGTCCAATGACTCCCATCACTCGGCGTCTCATCCAGCTTTTGGCTTGCTTCGAACAGTGAGGTCCTCAAGCACATCCGCGGTGCCGCCATCGCCTGTCTTTCTTTCCGCGACCTTGAAGGAGGTCCCGTCACCACCTTTGTCAAGACCCTTTTCCGCCCGCTCGTATGCCTTCTCTGATCGGTCCGTCAGGATTTTCAGGTCCGATTCGCTGAGCACGGCTCCAGCACTGTCCATGTCGGGAACATCGTACTTCTCGAAGTCTTCATTTGCAATCACTCTACTCAATTCCTCGGCGTCGGTGCTGGAGAGGCCTTGAGCGCCGGACAACAGAGACTTGAACTTCCCTTTTTGGATGACTAGTTTCTCCAACTTTCGTTTGCCGTCTGCCTTAAACAGAAGGTTCTCTTCGACTGTACCGCGAGTTGCCAGACGGTAGACGATGACGGGCCTGGTTTGCCCGATGCGATGGGCGCGATCCATCGCCTGCAGATCTTGCTGAGGATTCCAGTCCGAATCAAAGAGAATGACGGTGTCTGCTGCTGTCAGATTGATGCCTTGTCCACCAGCTCGGGTAGACAGAAGGAACAGATTGTACGACTTGTCATTGTTGAAACTTGTGATTTGGTCATAGCGATCGTCTTGACTGACCGAACCGTCGATCCGGCATGCTTTCCAACCACGAAGCTCTGTGGCGTAAGTCTCGATAATATCGAGCGTCACCTTGAATTGGCTGAAAATCAAAACCTTGTGGCCTAGCTTGAACAAGCGCGGCAGAAGTGTGTCTAGAAGAAGGATCTTACCGGATGACGTGACAAGACTCTCATCGACCTGAGGATAATCACCGGACTCTTGCTCAGCTAAAGTAGTCGGTTTCCAAGGCCAGTAGAAATTGTGCGGACTGTTGCAAGCGAGTCGTGCTTGCATGATGGGATTCTGCATTTTCTTGGACGACATCTCCTTCTTGGCTGCCTTGAGTGTTTGCGCCCGCTCGAGCTCTTCAGCCTCATCTGAAGACATGCCTCCAGAATCTGCGGAAGGTGATGCTTGATCTAAGCTGACATTTTCATTTCCTTGTTCGATTTCACGAAGTCGAGCATTAAATTCGCGATCCGTGACATCTCGATAGCTGGTTCTGGCAGTTCTGCGAACACTCCTTCTTGAAGTCGCTGATCCAACTGAGCAAGGCGTGGACTCACGAGTGGCCTTGATGCTCTTGGCGGGTGTCGTGCGTCCACTCTCTATGGCCTTGCGTTTCAGTGAGGTACTGCGACTTTTGGCTTCAATACGTTCGACAGCCTTGCCCTCGAGATATGATCTGCCTGTTCCCGACAGAATCTCTCGATACAGATCCTTTTGTTCAAGCGTCAGAGGTGCGTACAACACATACTCTCTCTTCTTCGGTAAAGTAGATTCAACGTCCGTCTTCACGCGTCGAAGGAGAAATGGCTTGAGAATTGCATGCATCGTAGACACCAGGTTATTCTTCCGCTTGTGGTTGGTCCCATCTCCATTCGCCTTATCCTCCAAGACGCTCGAGAAGTCGAACCATTTCTCGAAACTATCGAGATCGTTGAAGACTTCGGGTAGCAAGAAATGCAGCAATGACCACAACTCAGCTATGTTGTTCTGAAGTGGAGTGCCTGTGATCAGCAAACGGTTGGCGGAGTTGTATGTCATCAGCTCTTTGATCAATTTGCAATTCATGTTCTTCAGTCGGTGTCCTTCGTCCACGATTATGTATCTCCATTGATAATTGGCCAGAAATTTTCTGTCCTGCATACAAATTTCATAGCTGGTGACCACAACGGGAAAGTCTGGTTGACTTTGTTGGGACATTTTCATGTTTTTCCGGCGCATCACTTCCCGGTCAGGTTTGCTTGCGTGGTAGAGAATCGTCTTGATAGTTGGCGTCCATTTCTTGAATTCTTCTACCCAATTCCTGATCGTACTGAGAGGAGCAACGATCAAGTAGGGACCTGCAATATTGTGCTCTTTGAAGAATGCAATCATGGAGATGGCCTGCAAGGTTTTGCCCAACCCCATCTCATCTGCAAGAATGCCGCACAAGCCGTTCATCCACAGCGACTTGAGCCATTCTAGTCCCTCGAGCTGATATTTCTTCATTTGTCCACCAGTTACAAGCTTCGGCTGATCTGTAGCAACGAGATCTTGAGCACCAAGACCCTCGCCTTCATACCCATCTGCAGCGTCAGCGAGTGCTTCTTGCACTGAAGGTCCCTCTGCTTTCATATCGACCGTATCGGAATTGAAATAGTCCGCAATGTTCTTTTTCGTATTGGTGGCTTTCGAAGTTTTCGCCTTTCTTCGCTTCTTTTTTTCAGCACCATCATCCTTCGAATCGGGATCTTGCTGAATTCTTGATGATTTTCTCGTTGAATCTCTGTGTTGTGCCTCTTTAGACTCTTTCTTCTCATTCTTCGCAGCAGCGCGACGTGCCGCTTCTTGACTTTGCCTTTGCTGTTCTTTCATTTTGTCTGCCATGATAGCGACAAATACAGAGCTTGTTTGGAGTAGTTTGGTGAGCGCCCTCGACTTGTAGTCAACAACCTCATCATCCTCTTCGTTGATGTCCATTTGATTTTCAGTAGCAAGACCCGTACCCTTTGTCTCTGCTTTTGCCTCGGTAGAACTCTCTTGCGCAGGCGACGATGGCGGTGTTTCCCCGTCGGACGACATGTCTGAATGTTGAGGGGTGGAGACTGTTGATGCGAGGGTCATTCTCCTGAGAAAGATATTAAGAGTGAGGAATGGTTCGAGACTGGGAAGTGAGATATGGTGAGGACGAAGGCGAGGATGAGGAGCAGATTTGAGAGTGAATCTGCTGGGACAAAACAACGAATGCGTTTGTCGCCTGCAAAGTGAAGTGAGTGGAGGGAAGTGTCAAAGGTCAGAGTGAAGTACTCATCAATCCATCGTAACAACTAAACAAATCCTCCAGTGCCTCAGGCAACAACCTGGAAGCGAGAGAATTGTACTGGCTGTCGAGGGAGGGTGCCTGTCGGAAGAATCCCTTAATCCTTGCCACCGCGTCATCGATTCTCGAATGAGGAAAAGACGCGTCCCCAAATATTTTATCACGCGTCGTGTCAGTTTCGCGATGGTCTGGCATAATATAATATAATGGAACAGCCGTCTTTTCATTTACCATTCCTTGATCGACCATTTACTGTTGAACCCATCTCTATCCACGCGTGATACAACATCAGTATAGTAATTATACACTAACACAAGTGAATCCGTTCGTAAATTCATCCACTCCTGAGGCGCTGATCATAAATGCGAAGCAAGTAGTTGACGAAGAGTCTAGGCTTGAACTCCAGTTGCTCCAGTTCTTGCTGCCCGAATTCTCTGGCGGTCCGGCCGCTTCAATGTGTATCTACCAGATCATGTTAGTCTGTGACTTAAAAAGACCGTTCTAGGTTGCATACTTGGCAAAAGTTCGTGCAAGCGCCTTCTTGCAGCTGAGTTTTTGGCTTCCCACAAAAGAGTCAACTGTCACAGCAATGGCACGATCGACATCCTGAGAACTGCAGAAGTCCGATAGTCGCATCTTGCAGAAAGCCTCGGCAATTCTCATGATGGCCTCAAGATGTCGGACCTGAGAGCTTATTAGTATGAAACTGGGATTGGATAACAAATTGACTTACCGTGATGGGATATGCACCTGTGGCAAGAGACTCCCTGCGCATATCGGCGAATAATCTTGCAACTTTGTCTTGATCAATCTGATAAAGCTTTGGTTTGCACTTCTCCCGGGCGTAAAGGATGTATTTGCGTAGTAATTCTTGAGGAATGGCACCTTCCTGTTGTGGCTCCCCGTTGTTGACATCGTTGGTATCCTCTGTATCCATAGCTGCTGCATCTCCGGCGTCCACACCAATCTTGGAGGGATGCGCTCTGCCGTGACTGTTGACGACGAACTTTGCGAGTCTTTCGTCTTCGTTGGGATCGACAGTGTCCCTGACTACGCACAAGATATCGAAACGTGACAAGATTGGTTCTGTCAATTCGACGTTCTGACTGAAAGGAACGGTGCTATTGTATCGTCCTCCTTGAGGATTAGCTGCGGCGACAATGGCACATCTGGCCTGGAGTGTTGTGACGATTCCGGCCTTACTGATGGAGATCGTCTGTTGCTCCATGGCTTCGTGAATCGATGTCCGATCTTGATCATTCATCTTGTCGAATTCGTCGATAAGGCAGGTGCCCCGGTCTGCAAGCACCAGAGCGCCACCTTCAAGAGTCCACTCTGCGGTCAATGGGTCTCGGCGAACAGAAGCCGTCAGACCGACAGCGGATGCTCCCTGGCCAGTGGCAAAAACCGCGCGATGAGCAGTCTTCTCAACGTATTTCAATACCTGCGACTTCGCAGTACCCGGATCTCCCAGGAGAAGAACGTTGATATCACCACGGATTTTGTGCCTGCCTTGAGCCTCCTTGCCGACACCACCAAACAGTGAGAGGGCAACTGCAGTTTTGATGTCCTCATGACCATAAATTGAAGGGGCGATCGAGCTTATGATCTTGTCCACAATTTTTGGATCCTTGGAGAGCGCCCTGATTTGCCTCTCATCTTCTTCAGTCAGTCGGAAGCCTGCCAATTGATCATGGGTTTTGATGATATGATTTGCTTCCAGCATTGTTGCGAAAACAGGGAAGCCATTTTTGTTATTAAGTTGTCCACTGTAATTATTGCGGTAGATAGCTGTAACCTCGATTTCCTCGCCTGGCTTAGCCTTGTCAATCAAGTCTGCCAGCAGGACAACTTCTCTGTGTCGAGGGAGCCTTCCAGCGGGAACTGTCCCCGGCGATTCTTGTAGTGTCAACTTTTGGTAATTGCGATAGACCGTCTTTTCACTATTGAGTGTGAAGGGTCCTCGTGACTGACAATTTTGACAGAATGTCAACTTGACCTCTGAGGATGTTGACTCCTGAGCGAAAGGACCAAGAGTGACACCACACTTGTTGCAGGTGAATTTGACCATCTGCAGTTGTGGAAACACACCTGTTCGTCTGGTGACAACACCCGAGACACGAACTAGGCAGTTCAGATGGGATTGTCGAAGCTGGCGGAGAGTGTACTGGACAGGAAGATCCGAGATACGAACATGAATCTCCGGATGAATTAATTCATAGTTTGGATAATGAAGGCGAACTACTTCGAAGGCAGCCTTGTCGAAGATCTTGAGCATCTCGGCCGGGGCATTTGCCAAGAAGTATGCTAAGATTGCTTTGGTCGAAGAGAGGTGATCGTATGATACTTCGAGAGATTCAGAGTTGACCTCTCCCAGAGTTCGAATGCGAGTACCATACACTGAAGTACCATTCGCATCAATGTACTCGGTCAAGAAGGATTTGAACTCCCGAGCAATGGTTTTCATCACCGGAGGACTGGTGACCCACTCCGTGATATTAGATGCCTTGACATCCTGCAATGTTTCAAGGGAGAGTTCTTCTTCCATAATATTTTCATCCAGATCCATGTCCTCATCTTCATCGTAGTGGTGTCGACGTCTTCGGGGTTGCTTGGTCAAGTCGATGCCAGCATCTTCATCGTCATCTGGCATAAATGCTGCAGGCATACGTCGACGAGCAGCAAGCTCACGGTCGCGCTTGTCCAGTCTTGCGTCAAGTTGACGACGAGCCGCGGCATCGAGATCCTCATACTCGCCCTCATCATCGATCATTCGTCCTTGGTAGGTATCCTGATCCCGACGCTCACGTTCATCATTCATAAAATTATCACCGAAGAGATCAATGCCATCTTCGTCTTCTGCCATCTCGTCTGCATCATCGATGTCTCCAATGAGATCATCTTCAGCATCCAAGTCGTCTTCTAGATCATCATTCTCGTTGGTTGGTAGTAAGGGGGGTGAGGAGGGGAGTGCTGTTCTGTCGATTAGATTCAATCCATAGACAGGTCTGGTCACACATACCTGGAGCGGGTGAAGATGACATGATCTCGTCTTCATCATCTCTGGCACGCTTGCGTCTGCTTGCATTGGTAGGACCTCTATTTGCGGCAGACATGCTAGGTCGCAGGGGAGAACTTGAGAAGGTCAGTTACTGCGCAAGAACCTCGTAGAAGAGCACGACTGTGACAGTAAGAATGTCTTACCTCATGTTTCACCAATATCGCAGTGTTGACCTGAAGGTGGGAATATGAGTTGAATGCGTTTGGTGGTGGTTTCATTAAACTGAAAGGTAGACCAGCAGTTGAAGCCCCCCATTTCTTGCAATCGAAAACCACTTTACGCGTGGGGAGACCACGCGCGTCAGACGTGTCACGCTAATCCTGCAGCCACTTAAAGTCGATTGGAATTGTGGGGAAGTATTCATTGAACTCGACTATCGAATACCTATCTCAAGTACTATTATCAGACTCTCACCATCACGCAGACTCACTCAAATCATCGCTCTCGTATCGCCTCATCTCACCATCAGTACTCGAGTATCGCGCAAAGATGGGCTCTGTTCCGCCTGTCACTTCCGTCACCGGTCAATCTACACAACATAGCCAGCCTTCTGAAGTCTCACAAACCGCTGCAGAGTAATGCCTTTAGTTCCGTCTTCATAGTCAAACCAATTTCCTAACAATGTTTTTCCAGTTTCATCGATGAGCAATTAGCCCTAGAAGCCGATGCTCGAGAGATCCTGCCTTATGTCTGATAACACCATTCCCATCATTGGACACAGCTGACAAGTCGCAGAAATTCGACAAGTGCACGCACGATCTTGGTGCATTACGCCAGAGTGTATTCGCTTGCCTAACGTGTTGCCCACCACCTGCGTCAGCAGCACAACTCTACACTTCTGCCGGTGTGTGCTACTCCTGCTCAATATCCTGTCACACTGAGCACACCCTCGTTGAGCTATTCAATCGGCGAGATTTCGTCTGCGACTGCGGCACAACAAGAATCCAGTCCGGCGAGCCATGCACTTTACGCTCGGATCCAAGCACTGGCAGCCGTGGAGTCAGCGGTCAACAAGCTTCGCCAGGGAACCACTACAATCAGAACTATCAAAACAGATTTTGTGCCTGCGGAGAAGAGTATGATGCACATACGGAAAAGGGTACTATGTTCCAATGCCTCGGGCTAGGCACTGTCGAAACAGGGGGATGCGGAGAAGACTGGTACCATCCAGAATGCTTGATGGGACTGAGCCGTGATTGGCATCAGGCTATTCAGACACAGGAGGGCGAGAAGGAAGCGACGGAAGAAGAAATCAGCCATCCAGTCCCACCGGGCTTTCCTGGGGAGGAGGATTTCGAGTCGTTGATCTGCTACAAATGCGTTGAGTCCAATCCATGGATCAAGCAATACGCGAGCAGCCCAGGGTTTCTAAAGCCTGTGTTCAAGAGCACTACCAATTCGGTTGTCAAACCCGCAGCCGAAACAGTATCGTTCTCGACAGAGCCACCGAGCCTCAAACGTAAGGCTTCCGACAGCGACCTCGATGAGGCTCCAGCAAGTCCAACTAAGCGCGTTAAGGACGCAGAGCAGATCTCATCTAATGAAATTGCTGCTCGCAAAGTTTCAGCAGAAGAACAAAAAACTGCAACCCCTCTACTACCTCATAAACACGATGCACTTGCAGCAGCACCCGAAGGAATATTCAGCTTGTTCCTCAAATCCGATTTCCGAGACCACCTTTGCCACTGCCCCAAGTGCTACCCACACCTAATCCCCCACCCCCAACTCACCGAAGAAGAAGAATCCTATGAGCCATCAATATCAGACTCCGAGGCCTCGGGTCCCAACGACCGACGCTCTGGCACCCACTCACACGGCACCGCGAGCCTCCTGGACCGCGGCGAGGCCGCACTGTCGACCATGGACCGTGTGAAGGCAATTGAGGGTGTGATGGTCTACAACCACCTGCGCGACAAGGTCAAGGCCTTCCTCAAGCCGTACGCCGAGAGTGGCCAGGCTGTCTCCGCCGATGACATCAAGGCGTATTTCGAGAAGTTGCGAGGTGATGAGAATGGGATCAAAGCGGCGGGGGCGAAGCCCACGGATGGTGATGCGGACGGTTCTGATAATAGGAGGGAACAGTCTGGTTATTGAATTCTCGCACTTGATGCACACTAGAGAGTGAAACGCTCTCACTACCAGGGGAATCATGCGCGGTTCAAGGGAGAACAACGAAGTTCCAAAAGCTCTCGGATACTCTAACAAAGACAATAAAAGTAATTCCAATCAAGCCTTATGTTTCTGCACATTAAACATTATTAATTGCTCAATCTATTTTCTGTCGCCAGGCATTCCAGTAATCACAACATTGAGGTACTTCCATCGTTATTGGGATTAAAAGGGTTTCATAAGAGGGTCTTGTCGTTGGAGCACGCCTGACCACTGGGTTCTGGTATCATTGGCGTACGCAAACATTGCTCAGCAAATATCTAGTCATCGTTCAAAGAGAGTAGCACTTGTTCTGGGTATAGCACGCCGCACTCCTACATCTTCTGGCTGTGGACCTTCTGAGCACATAGTCCCAGGGTTCTTTCAACATTAAAACTTTTGACACCCATCACGATTCTCCTTTCCAGCATAGCATGACTTCCCCCCTGAGTCGCGTTCTCCTTTCCTTTCCTTTCCTTTCCAGCATCGGTCCCTCTCGCTTGGCATTCATCCAGCTTATGTGATATGACGCCCCGCGCCGGTCAAGCGCGCTTCCTACCGCCATAGTTCCTCATCGGCAGCGCTCTGCTGCTAGTGACGATATAAGCAGGCCCGCTGCGAGTGTGTCTGGGCGTTGCCTCAACACCGCCAATTGGAAGCATTGCGATCATTCCGTGCATGGCTAGCCCGGACCCTCCTCGATCGATTCCTGCTTTTGACGATCCGAGAAAGGCTGGAAACTCCTCCAGGTACGCATTCTCGGGGATTGGAGAGAAAGAGGGTGCGCGATCGAAGTCTCTGGGCGATGGGACGATGGCGATTGGAGCGGGTCGATTTGGGACGGCTTCGTCTGGCAGACTCGCTGAGACTCGGTGGTTGAGGTTGGAGGGCAAGACATTGTCGTCAGTTTCGATGCTCTGCGCCAGTATTTCGGGTTGAGCTGGTGGAGGTGCGGATGCTTGTCCGTTCATAGTCACTGGCTGGAGATCCGCATTAAGACTTCCACTTGTACTCGAGATGTGGCTATCGTGTCCATTGGTGAGAAATATAGGCCTATCATTGGTCATTAGTCGGGCACGCTTCACAAGCACATCGGAGGTGTCTATGAAATCAGCCTTTCGCTTCCTACTAGGTAATTGAGCATCGAACGAAGCAGGGCCCTCGAGGGACCATGAATGCTGAGGGAGAGCCTGATTGGATGCTGCCAGTCCTTCTGTGGACGGCGAGGTAGAATAGTCGGTCGGAGACTGTAGCACTCTGTTCGCATGCACAAGTCTCAACTTTTCTGGACTGATCTTCAGAGTAACAAGTGTCGGATGGGCCTGACCCTCGCCATGTGTGGCAGGATGGGGTGTATGTGTGCGAATGTTTCCTGAAATATAGACTTCGGGTTGATCAGCGAATATCTTTGTGAGGTCCTGCTTTCGCTTGAATTTAAAGCTTAAGAACCCACTGCCGGGGATATCGGGTAGCGTGACAGTGTCTGGCTGCGTTTGCTCTAGAGTGCTTCCACCCTCATCGACCGGGATATCGTAGATGTGCTGTGATCCGCTGTCGAGATAGTACGGAGTCGCTGCTCGAGCAGGTGGAATACTGTTCCGGTCACGTAGTTGCATAACACCCGAAGATCTCTGATCGAACTTATGTTGAGTCTCATCTTGAGATGTGCCGCCCGGCAATGAAGGATTGAGATCTTGCTGGCTTTGTTGTAGATCTCCTGGTTCACCAGCTAGGGTACTGGAAACAGCTTCGACAGAGGTGACTGTGGCAAGAGGATGCCGGCCACGTTGCACTGTGGAATCAGTCTCCACAGGATTGATAGCCTGGAGATTCAATGGTTGAAACAACACATTCTTCAGAATTCCTCTGGGGCTACCCTGGTTATTTGGTTCCCTAGCTCGTGATATGGTAGGCCGTGCTTCGTGAGCGACCTCACCGACAATAATATCACGGGTGGTGGTATTGATGCCAGTAAATTTGATGAGCTCTTTGGGGATATTCCTGAAGAATTCAGTGCCTTTTGAGTCGGAACAATCTGGTACCCATATTCCAAGGATGCTGGTAGGAAGATTGCGAGATTTCAAGAATTGTTTTGCGCGTAAGATTTCGGATTCATAGGCAACTTCATAGTTGCTCGCGAAAACCATCGCATCAAGATTCTGGCGGAAGATATCTGGATCAATGCTTGAAGGGTCGCTAACTATCGAGTCATCAGAATGATTAAGATGGTTGTTGTTGGCACATTCATCCCAGATCTCGGTAACCGTGGCGGGCCACTCGAGTCGGAGGGCGACCAGAGCCTGAATTTCCCTGAAATGCTTCTCAGATATTCCAAGAGACTTTAAGATTGAATCCCGACTATTTGGCACAGCCAAGTGCTTGTAGATGTGATATTTCAAAGACAATGGTAATCCGTGCCACAAATCACGCGAGCGAGCCTGGTCAATGTCAGCTTGCAACACGTCAATCAGATGGATCGATCTCTACTTCTTTCTGTTCGGCTGTGGCAATGACTCCAAAATCTTCATAGTTCAACGGTTCTGATATTGTTCGCAGATCTTTCCGGACATAGGCACTGCGTCGATGGGAATGTTTGGGTTCACGTGCTTCAGAAGTATTTGATAGAGCACCACTTTCTCCTGCGTTAGACTCGGTGGATCGTGAGTTCAGGGGTCGCGAAGGGAATGCTGCAGGGGCTTGGTCTGGGTTGAATGCCACGACCTGAGATGCCATCAAGTCGGGATAGGCGGGTTTGGTGGTGGAACGAGGCTTCGTGACCATGATTTCCTCATCATACCGATCAGGCTGAATGATGCTCCTCCTCAATTGCATTCCTGTAATCGAGTGTCGTATGGCTACAGGAGACTCTTGAGTGATAGGCGTGGCTGTGAGAGTTATGAACGGGATTTCAGTAATAACGAAGAACTTAATAAGATGGTAAATAAAAGGCATAAGACAGTTTGATGCGTCACTTGAACTTGAGTGCAATTGTGAATATCACTTCTCATTCTTTGTTGAAGTAAGAGGATGACAAGATTCATGCACAGGGAGTAGGGTGATGTTGTTGTCATGTCTTGCTTCGAAAAGTCACTGCGTCGTTAGCCTTTATTCACTGGTGATGTTGTGAAAGACGAAAGTGACTTACCATTGTTACCGCTCGTGAATGAGGTGATCTGTTTGGGAATCCGAATTACAGGCGTGCTCCTCGTGGCCATCCCACGTAACCCCAGACTGGCAGCCTTGTTCATCACTGTGCCAAAAGTGTCTCTACAATAAAGATGGGCCCCTTTTGAATCTCTTCTGGCACTCTCCTAAAGGGTGTGTGCACCAACGCGCCATTCTTGATGACGTTCAACCGTGATGATAAGGACATTGGCAACAATCCCAAACCTCCAGTGCTCCTACTGGTGAAACTTATCGTACGCTGGATGAACTCAATTAATCACCGGAGTCTGTGAAAGGTGCAACCCCCTCCCTAATGCTGCACGATAGCCCATACTCGGAAGAGTCAGACTCCATATCATCATCTGACGCCTCCATGTCATCAAGGTTTCGTTTCGCAGACAAGGGCGAGCGGGAGAGCTGACTCGGGAGACTATACAAGTCGGTGGATTGTGCTTTGGCAGCCGATACAGTGCGTTGTGCCTCGAGGATATGTTGCAGGTCTAGCAGTACATTTTTAAGGTCATCAGACATGGTGATACAAAAGCGTTGAGATTGTATGACATGGATTGCAGAGAAAGCGTCAACGCCATAGATGATCATAAGGTATGCAGCGACCAAAACTGGTGAGCGGTTGTTCCCAGACTCGCAGAATATGAGCACTTTTCCAGCAATGTCGCTTACAGTTTCAACTGGGAGTTTTGTACAGGTCTGTTCAATGTGTTCGTTGATTGATTTTATGATGGAGCGTAATTTGGATACGAAGTCGTAAGTTGAATCAAAGTCGAAAGACAATGTGGGAATTCCTGAGGTCAGGATAAACGACGCTGGATTTAAGAAGGCAGGGCGAGCCTGCACGGCCTTGACACTGCGCACAGCAATCATCAGGGTTATGCCGGAGGCTTCGAGGAATGCATGGTCTCTTGCGGCGCTGCTAGGGCCAAGATAGAGATACGGGAGGACAGGCTGAGCAGCTCTGCGCATCTCGTATCGCCATGAGAGCATGCTGTGGATCATGTGGAGGCTATGACAGGATCTCATAGAATCCAGCAAAACGGGGTTTCCATATTCGGCGTTTGTGTGCTTGAATGTGTCGGTTGTTACATGAAAAGATGGCTTTCCATCCTGGTAATCAAGGATTGGAGGAGGGACATGAACCCTGGGTGACTCAAACTGGCGTTTGTCGCTGTAGGGAAATGATTGGGTATAAGGTGAGGGAATTGAGATGGTCTGGTCGTTGGTAGCCATAAATTTGAGTGGTTTAGAGACGGCTTCCGATACTGTGCGGCTGCTGATAGAGATCTGAGCTTATGAATCCACACCAAAGTCAAGTTGTGGACGATGGAATCTCTTCAATGCACCAAGAGAAAACACCGCCAACGGAGTTCCCAAGCTGGGGGAGTTGTTGTTGCCTTTGGAGAGAGTTGTCTCAAATCGCAGCCACTCTGCCATTCTTTGACTTGACCTTATTCCATTGAGACTGGATTCAAAGATTATAAGAGCGCACAAGGTTGGAAGGCTCTGAGAGAGCTGGGGAGGAATCCAGATCTGAAAATGCCTCCGGAGTCACTAAGTTCGGATCACCTGGTCGGATGTGCAACCATACAATGAGAATGGAGAAGAGTCAGAGACTTTTTCGCTTGAAGCCGTGGGATTGAGAGGCTCTGGAGACACTCAAAACACAGTTCTCACAAGTGCAACAACATAAATCTACACAACAATCGTAGCAAACTTCAACCTGTAAGACTCCGATGGTCTCGAACGTGCCTGTGGGATCTGCCTGTTTTCGGTGGGCCCGCACTCGGAAAAGAGGCAGCCGCGATGCTGCTTTTATGACACGTGACTTTGCATTTTATGCGCAATTTCAACTTCGTCTAGCGTTTCATCCATCCAGCCACCGATCTAAGCAAGCAACCTGATGTCCCTGTCCCAGCTCAGGTCGCAAAGTGTGAAGGAAGTGAGCTTGTTGACGTGCAGCTTAGATGCATCCTCGTTGCTCCAGCTGACCCTCTGATAAGCATAGAGATGGAACCGTTCTCAGTGCGCGAGCGTGTTCGACGCGTCAAACCGATGTTCGATAGAGGCAACTTCTTGGAGATCTGCACAGGTAGGTAACAATGGGCAGACTGCTTCGTTCACACGGAGCAGACGTGGACAATTGGCCTTTATGTCATCTTTGGTTGAATACTGCCCCTTTCAGCAACCATTCACCTTGTGGAGTGGGGTATTTATCGTGCTGTTGACATCCACTGTTGGGAGCAGAACCATCCAGTGAATGTGCAGAGGGATCGTGCATCATTCCAGGCGTCCGGGGCGAGATCGCGGCGTTATGGGCTAGTATAACTATATCCCAAAATGATGAATCTCACTCAAATGGCAATCTTATTGTCTGAGGATGGCAAGTTATTGAGACTCAGGGAGGAGGTGATCTTCCTTGGATATCTCACACCTCACAAGGTAGTGCGATCTCAGGGGCACAAGATTGACAAGAGATGATGGAGTGATCAAAACTTGAACGTGAAATGCAGATATCATACTTTTCGCCGGTTATACTGTTGCAACGAACGGAGTGTCAGAAGGAAGACATAGGCTGGAAGTGACGGGTATGTAATCAATTTTATTCCACTCCCAAATTGTCACTCTTCAATGGTTACGACGGTGAAGTTTACGGTGACCCTTTTGTTGTCACTGTTAGCTTCACTGCCTCGTCGCGAATTGGTACAAATTTCTTGTCTTCCTTTTTCTTCTGTCCATTTGCCTCATACACATCATCCACAATTCGTGATCCCGCTACATTTCCAGCAGCCAAGATGAAGAGAGCAATGTCAATTCTTTGTGGGCTCTTCGTGGTTCTCCTGGGCACTTTGGCAGCACCTCTGGACGAGCCAGTCACGAACATCTGCGCGTGGGTGGGCGCGATTCCGGAGTTGTACACCGAATACGGTACCGACGTCTGCCCTCCAAAGTATCATCTCGAAGAAGATGGCAAGGCCTGCAGTGACTATCGAAACTATGAAAATGACTGCGGTGCTTACTGTCAATTGCGCACCAACTTCAGATACGGTCCTGAGCAACCTTTCCTTCGCGTTCCCCTGTGAGTCTCTTCTCTAAGAGGTCATTCTGCGATTCTCTGTACATATTGCTAACAATAGTTGTTTGTCAGTTGCCGTGGCCCCCGCGATTGCAAGGTAATCAATACTTATCGACTCCATTGTCAAGCCCCCGCCCCCCCTCCAGATGGAATTACGCATGCCTTTTGCGCTTGCATGCGGTGTTGCTAAATCTCTTCAACTCAATAGATCGAATATGGCATTTCCCAGACATATGCTTACAAGGCTGGGGCAAACACTGTTCTCAAATCCCGCCCATTGATTGCTGGCGTATGTTTTTGCCCCGATCGACACCCTCGCTACCTACTGATGAAACACCCAGATCGCAGGAGGTTACAATCAAGAATATTCCAAGGGCATCTCCAATGAACTGTCAACAAAGCTTGAGCAAGGGGAATGTGGCTACTTTTCATTTGTGGGCATTCTGCGCGACACTTGTGGTACCTATACGGAGGTGAGCACAGGCCTTACATCCTGCGGTTCCATGCCTCCTTCAACAGTCGAAAACGCTTGCGTGCAACAAGTCGCGAGATTCAAAGCTAGTGATGGGCATCCAGACGAGGATGTGACTCGTGGCATAGTCATTTTCGTGCGCACCGATTGTGATCTCATGGACCCTCTCCCAGACGACAAGCAAAGTCCTGTCTACCGAGAGCCTGATGTCAAGTTAGATCGTGGAGCCATCCAGCAAGGCTACGCGGACTGGATGCAAAAAGACATAAGCGCCTTTACAGCAGGATCCACCACTTGCACATCAGACAAGAAAGCTACCAGAGGTGACTGCTTGAATGCCATTGGCCAAATGCTAGATGCCCCTTTGTCAGAGATTCCAGACGGCAAGAAGGGAGATCACGTCGACATCACTGTAAGCCTCCACCGTGGTCTAATGTGTGATAGGTGACTAACAAATAACAGTCTTACGGCAATTGCAAGATCTCGTACGAGTATGTCGATGACATCAAAGACTCTTGTGGAGTCGATACCATCAGCTGGGTTGAGCTTGCTGCTGCCGCGCAGGGTATTTACAACAATTGCCCTGACGGAAAGGGTCATGTGGGAGGCAAGCATAGAGTTGGGACCAAGTGCAAGGGGACGCTCGTTATCATGGTCAAATGAGAAAGAGGCAATGTCATCCTACTGTGGTGATGATAGGAACGCCTGAAGACCTGTAAACTTCCTCCTCTACAGGTAGATGAGTCCTATGGGATGACCCCTTTCGAAGAATTTGCAAGCTTTAATCGCAGGGGCTACAATACACATGCTTTGCTAGATCAGCTAGGATGGAATCAAGATCAGTGCAGCAAAATAGCTTACAATGTCACCAGCCGCAGAACTGATTCGCAAAAGCACAGTGCCACGTTGTGTGTGTTAGATCGTGTCATTCAAGAGGAGTTCATAAATTACAGAGTTGTGGGTTTTCCTTCATCATAAAATACATGCATGGCTTGACAAGGTCCCATCTTGTTACCAAAGCAAATAGTCGTCATCCTGCTCAATGGTTATAGTTCGCAATGGCAGCCATCCAGATAAGTAACGGTCCACGAAAACTCCAGACCTTACATTTTCCGGTTTTTCTTCTGCACATTTTCGATCAAGCGAGGTTCCTCTTTTTTCTCGGAGTCCTTCGACTGAGCATTCTTCGCTTCTTGCTCACGCATTTGTCGAGTGACCTGCCAGACGGCGCGTTCCACTTCATTACCGAGTTCCGGCACTTTTAGCACCCGTGCGACTTTGTTGTGGGTATCTTTCGTTAGTATCAATTTCTCCGGCGGTGCGGTGCCATCGACGATCTCGCTGCGCGTGACAAAGTGGAAGTCGGGCGAGTCCGGTGCAAGATCCTCGAACAATTTCTCTACCTCGTCGGTTGATTTGAGTCGGAAGAGCCGGTTGTCGAGAATGAAATCAAGGTGGTCGGAGCCTTTCAATGCTGCCGCCAATGTCAGTCATGCTCCTTTGCAAAGTCACAGCCATCATCTGGAGTACCCACCGTGCCAGTGTGACCAACATCGATATACTGTATAGAAGAAGGGGATATTGGGTAGGCTGTTTGCATCAGTATTTGGGACTACACGTGCTGGGGAAAGTGAGCATACATTGGTATCAGCCCGAAGGGAATGGTGAAGGGCATGGCCACCATACTGCCAATGAAGCGGTTCCAGTGTAATTGTTTCCGTTCTCGGGCCAGCCTGGCCATAATTTTGGGCACATCCTCCTGGTGCATGACATTGCCCGGGTAGATGACATCGAACTTCTTGCCATCGGTGATCTGCTCGGCCTGCAGCTTTGGATTTGAGGGCGGGAAGCTTTTCAACGACCATTCCTGATAGGGGATCCGCTGTAAGGCGCTATTCCCGTATGTGACCACCTTTTTCTTCCATCCTGACTCTGCAGCTTCCCAGTTAGACCATGTCTCGGCGGCCTTGGTTGTTACACGGTCGATGAGCCGTGGAGTCGTGCCCGCTTTGACGGGACCGCGTTGACAGTATATCAGTGCTTGTCGCGTGGTCAGAGGGAGGAGGAAGATGCGCATAGCAACTGTGGTGTGGGTGTAGATGGAGGCACTCGTTGGTGCTGGTATTACTGGTGCGTCTAAACCATCGCGTAGATTTTGGGGGGATGAAGACCTGCTGCGTATTTGCTACCTCGGAATCTTGATCTGAGAGCGAGAAAGGGAGGAGAATGAATGAAATAGTCAATGCGAAGCAGGGGCACTCTTAGCTTTCACCAAAGTTTTTCTCAACGACTTCGCATGGGAATTCCAACTTCCATCTGACCTTGTCGTCATTAGCCAACGACTGCGCCACAAATGAGATCAAGATCCACCACAGCACAGCCACACTAGATTCGGGATCGAGGAACATAATTTAACATGTGTGAAATTTTGCAACGAATATAACCACAATTCATCACTACTGCAAAAGTAGCCAATCCTCGATGGTCTAGGTTAGCAGCACATAGCCAATGGTTTGCTGGTATCGTACTAATTGTCTGATAGTGGTCATGAGTATGTTCACCCACTGCGCAATTTACAGCCATCAAAATCTAACAACAACCACAGTTTCCGCTTGTCAAGACATCCTTAACGAGCGCGGGAGACCAGGGTTCGATTCCCTGTCGGGGAGATTTCTTTTTGCCATTCTGTGTGGCATTGTAACTCGAAGATATGAATAATCGACTTGTGGTTTATCTATATCTTTACCAGTGGGATTTAGGCGGAAGCCGTAAAGTGGGGGCGGGAGCAAGAGATTAGAGTTGGATTGTAAAAAGGCACTCAATGGAATCTCTAAAGCGGCATGTGGCGGGCTTTCTCCGAGTTCCAGTTCCGGGTTGCCAAATTCAAGTTCAAGTCCTCTTACGCCAAGCGTCACTCCTGTAGTCTTGACATGGATGCGAGTCGCATCTCGTCTCCAGCAACCAGCCTCCATTCTCTGTTTACATATCGCTGGTCGAGACTTACCCAGACATAAATCTAACAACGACGCCGAATTTCCGATTCTTGGAACGAGCCTTATATTGCACAAGCACTCTCTTCTTAACGACCTCTTTTTTCCCTACCACTGACCAGGAAGCACCTTCATGACATGACCTGCTTCCGACACCGCAGCTAAGCTCATCATTGCCAGGCCGTGTGCCTGGTCGGCCTGGGATCGTGGGCTATGGCTCAGAATGGCTTTCCCTGGCTTTCACAATCTCGAGATCCAGAAAAGGATCCATCATTACTAGATCCCAGCCAGGCTATACCGCGTCCCGATGAACCCGCAGCCAGCCCTCGAGCCCCCTCCCCAAACCCACCCATACAGGGAAAGAAACAGTATTGTGCACAACAGCCTAAGAGACGTACAGGATCAGTCAAAGGACCGCCACCAGTGAAGCCTGGTCTGCTCAAGAGTCTGTCCGAACCCCAAGTATTCAAAGCGACCTCGCCATTACCAGTCCGAACGATCCCACGTAAGCTCTGCCCACCCACTTTGTAGTACGTTCTACGACTGACTCTACCATCCAGCTTGGGTTCGGGACGCAGAGGAAGACGATTTTGACGACACCGAATATTCCTTACCGGGCAGCCCGGGTGCGGCATTCATAGCTCAACACAACCATAGCCCAGCCGCTCTTCAACGCCCTCTCCTGTCGAGCAAAGCACCCGAACGCGATCAGAACATAACATCCTCAGGCGACACGAGACCGGAACGAACCTCGAGATGGGTTACGTTCGCACGAGCAAGTGCATATCCCCGAGAGACCTTTAACGGAGAGAAGGTAGATACCGAATATCTCGATCGGAACTTCACGGACTACTCCAAACCCTGGTTGGCAGATCACGAGGAGGACGAATTAGAGGGCAGCAGTAGATACCGTGCGTTCCGAAGAAAACGGCAGGCATGGTATCTGCGAGCACAGTTTACGATATTACGGAATCCCTTCATCCCTCTGGCATTCCGACTTACAATTTTTGTTTTTGCACTGGTAGCCCTTGGCTTGGGCACGTCCATCTGGAGAGAAACTGGAAGAATCACACATTGCATCGCTGAGGAGCCTCGGAGTTTTGCTTGTACATTATTGGTGGGAGAAGGCCCGCAAGACTACTACCGCGACCCATCGGGTCTGATGGCAATCATTGTGGACGCCATTGCTTTGATTTACACCGTCTACATCACGTATGACGAGTACTTTTCCAAACCCTTAGGACTACGACATGCTCGTGCGAAGGTCCGGCTGGTTCTCCTCGACCTTTTCTTTGTGGTCTTTCAGTCGGCGAATTTGAGTCTCAGCTTTGAGTCCTTAACAGTGGACGAGGGAGCCTGTCAGGTGGGCGATTCTGCGAGGACCAATTCGAGATTCGATCATGTCTGTCATAGGGCGCAAACTTTGAGTGCGGTGTTATTGGTGTCCCTAACGGCGTGGCTAATGACTTTCTCTGTCAGCGTTTTGAGGTACGTTTCGCACCTTGAATACGAGATGGCACTTGCTAATTATCTTGCAGATTGGTGGAAAGAATCAATACAAACTAGGTATTCGGTTAATATCAGGAGTATCACAGCCACTCTCGCTATTGCCACCGGTGGAGATGTGCCATACGAAACCTAGGTCCTTGATAGGGAGGCATTCTTCCACATTCTTATGGCATCATTACACTTGCAAGCATGGACCATTGTCGCCATAAATTGGGTCTTTTGTGAACCAATTCAGAGTGGCGATTTGCTTGACTTGCTCTTTCTCGTCGGATCGTCCATAACACATGTCCCACGAATTACCCACGGGATAACTCCCAACCATCTGGAACCCGCCATAGTCCTGGATCAGACGATGGCTAACGCCTGCGGGTATGATGACAACATCGCCTTTCTCCAAGATCGGTTCGACACGCCCATCGTTGTCTTCATGACCAAAGCAACATTTCGCTGAGCCCGATGCGATGGCTAGGACTTCATGAGTATTGGAGTGGAAATGGGAATCAGAATACATGGTGTATCTCCATTGAGGAGACACTTCGCCAACCGATTTTAAGTGTGACTCGATTATCGAGGTCGAGGACTTGGGGAACACCCCATGGTATATGAGCAAGGGTCTACCTTGGATGGAAGTGTTGGGAAAGCCCTTGAAGGCGGGGATTTGATGTTTAGATACTCGCAAGGCGCTCAGAGGGGTGACGGACATATTGAGTGGGCTGGGCTGGGCTGGGTTCACTTCTGAGTATTTTCCCCCTCAATATGATGAACACTCAATGGAGTGTGTAATGAATCAATTGTAAAGTATTGCTATATATAATTGTATCATCATGTCGGATTATCCCCCCGAGTGCTTCGGGTCATTTGCCTGATGGAAGTGGGATAAATGGTTTATCCGAGAATGCACCGCCAAGATAGCGTCACTTCTCTGGGGATTGAATCACTAGTGACTATCCAGGCTGCCAGCGCTGCTGGTGCCATTTTAGGGCCCTTTGGGTGAGTAAACCTGGTATCATAACCTAATCCATACAGCCTTACCTTCATCTCAGTCACTGCCTGCCTTCAAGTTCCTGCGCCGACTCTCACCACCTGCCTTCCCCTACCATCTCGTCTTCATCTTTACGACGCTTCATCTCCTGTTCATGGTTGTGCTCTCTTGAGCCACACTGTAGCAGGTCTTCCAGTCCAGACCAGCCGCTCTCTGGGACAATCTCCGACCTTCATCGAATTCCCCAATTTCACTTCAATTCACGCACTCGATCTACCAACGGCCACCTCCGAATCGCAGGCTACGACTTTGGCATTCTATCTCCCTTGAAATCGGTTTCTCTTCCCAGATATCGTACTCGTCCTCCTCAATCGCCCCCTCTTGACAGGCTCCTTCATTCCCACGAACTTCACTCCTGATTGAGAGTCGCCTCCGCAATCATGCCTCCCGCCACCACAGCGTCAACTCCTGCTAATCGGGCTCGAGATGATCTAGATTCAACGTACGTTGATCGATATGCCGTTCCTTGTACACTGCTAACTTGGAGACAGGTGGACCTATCTGGAAAAGAGCGTCAACAATGTCATGACCAAACTTCAAGAGGGTCTTGATATGAAGACTTACATGTGAGTGCAGTTCTAACCATTTCTTTGTACCCGTACTGATCAAGTTGCAGGGGTGTCTACACTGCCGTCCACAATTTCTGCACATCCCAAAAGGCTGCTACCACTTCTGGCACTTCTCCCGGCACATCCCCCCTCAGCGCAAGCCATAGGGGTGCACATCTCCTCGGTGAAGAGTTATATCAACTACTTGGGAAGTACCTCACAGAGCATCTTTACAGCGTCCTCCAAGCCTCAGAATCACATACCGATGAAGCCCTACTCACATTCTATATTCGCGAGTGGAAGCGATATACCGATGCTGCCAAATACAACAATCATCTTTTCCGATATCTTAATCGTCATTGGGTTAAGCGTGAAATCGACGAGGGAAAGAAGAACGTGTACGATGTCTATACTCTTCATCTCGTCAAGTGGAAGGATGACTTCTTCAAAGCAGTGGAGTCCAAGGTCATGGCAGCCGTACTGCGGCTGGTCGAGAAACAGCGGAATGGAGAGACCATCGATCAACTTCAGATCAAAGCCATTGTGGACAGCTTTGTGTCACTCGGCCTGGATGAACAAGACAGCAGCAAGTCTACCCTGGACGTCTACAGGATGTACTTTGAGCGCCCTTTCATCGCAGCCACCAAAGATTATTACACCAATGAATCGAGGCGGTTTGTTGCCGAGAATAGTGTTGTCGAATATATGAAAAAGGCCGAAGCGAGACTCGAAGAAGAAAAGGAAAGAGTCGGTCTCTACCTCCATCCAGATATCATGAAGAAGCTCATGGATACCTGCAATGAAGCACTCATCGCGGCTCATTCTGTTCTACTTCGAGATGAATTCCAACTCCTCCTCGACAACGAGCGCACAGAAGATCTTGCTCGGATGTACAAACTGTTGTCAAGAATCAAGGATGGCCTGGACCCTCTGCGCAACCGCTTCGAGGTGCACGTCAGAAAAGCTGGCACAGCTGCTGTGGAAAAAGTTGCTGCGAATGGTGACAATTTTGAGCCCAAGGTCTATGTCGATGCCTTACTGGAGATCCATGGCAAATATCAACAGCTGGTCAATGTCGCCTTCACTGGTGAGGCAGAGTTCGTCAGATCCCTCGACAATGCTTGTCAAGAGTTTGTCAATCACAATCGGGTTTGTAAATCCAACTCCACACGTTCTCCAGAACTACTTGCCAAGTACGCCGATCAACTCTTGAAGAAAGGTGCCAAGGCGGCCGATGAGTCCGAACTGGAGGAACTTTTGGTGCAGATAATGATTGTCTTCAAATACATTGAGGACAAGGATGTCTTCCAGAAGTTCTACTCTCGCATGCTGGCAAAACGCTTGGTCCATACAAGCTCTGTTTCTGATGATGCTGAGACTAGCATGATCAGCAAGCTCAAGGAAGCCTGTGGTTACGAGTATACCAACAAGTTACAACGGATGTTCCAGGATGTACAAATCTCCAAAGATCTCAACACCGCCTACAAAGATTGGCATGACAAGATTTTGGAAGACAGCAACGACAAGCGAAGTGTCGATTCAACATACCAGATCCTAGGAACGGGTTTCTGGCCGCTGAATGCTCCCAACACCCCATTTGTTCCTCCCCAGGAAGTCAGCAAAGCGATAGAGTCTTTCACCCGCTTCTATGATCAGAAGCACAATGGCCGAAAACTTACTTGGCTATGGCAGTTATGCAAAGGAGAAATCCGAGCAAATTACATCCGAAGTCAGAAAGTGCCATATACTTTCCAAGTCTCTACATATCAGATGGCGATACTGTTATTGTTCAATGAGACTGACAAGCTTGATTACTCAGAGATCAAAGATCTCACCAAACTGACCGACGAGACAATTGAACCAGCCATCGGCATTCTTTGCAAGGCTCGTGTTCTACTCCCATCCCCTGAGGATGGCAAAGCCGCCCCAGGAACGAAATATGCTCTCAACTACAACTTTAAGAACAAAAAGGTCAAGATTAACCTGAACATTCAAGTCAAGTCAGAGCAAAAGGTGGAATCGGAAGACACTCACAAGACGATCGAGGAGGATCGGAAGTTATTGCTTCAGGTAAGTCTGTGGTATGATGGAAGTCTACACAATACTAACAGGTTGATAGGCTGTCATTGTTCGGATCATGAAGGGTCGAAAGAAACTCAAGCATGTTCATCTTGTTGAGGAAGTTATTACCCAAGTCCGCAATCGATTCCCCCCAAAGATTTCTGACATCAAGAAAAACATCGACGCCTTGATGGAAAAAGACTACCTAGAGAGACTCGACAACGATGAATTGGCATATATCGCATGATCAATTTAACTAGGCTCGTTGATTGAAGTAGGATCACAGACACAAGCTTGGTTCCCATCTAACTCCAGTTGTGCATTTCCACGGGTGGTGTTTGGAGCGGTTTAGCGAACATGACAGTTTCATTTTACGATCTTGATCAAGGAATGCACAGCTACCGGGTCTTCATGCTCAGGCGCTGAGGCCAGAGTCGAATGAATGACAAGGAAGGCTTGGACGGTATCAGTTGGTGCCTTACAAGCTCGGAAGGATCGAGCATTTTTGGGCATTGCAAAGGAAGGGAAGGCAGCAACCATATCATTTTAGTGTTTTTCTTCCCAAGTGGTTACATGGTACATGACGAGCGATGATAACATGACACATCTCGCGATGACAACCGCTAGTACCGTGAGTTCCATGGGACGCTACCGGAGTCTCTTTGCGCCAGGAGATTGTGTAAGAGTGGTCTGGTCCAGCAAAAGTGGACTGGTTGAAAGTCGGAAGTGCAACAAAACCAAAAACAACCGAAAGCAGCGAACTCAGACCGGGCAATCATTGAGCTTAAATATCAGCCTGCAATGCGCCCGGCTTTTGAGGTAAAAAATGTCAAACAAAAGTGCAGAGAGCTCTCATCGCAGTGGCTTTTCTTGTGCTCTTCAATCTTCCTTTCGTCGCCATGTCATGCATGCGTTCAGTAATCCATCCCCCCCTCTTGTCACATCTAGTCAGAAAGACATGGTGTGATCGTAGAATGAAATGAAGACGAGGGAACTTTTGGGAATATGTATCGGCCAGGTTTGCAAGAGGATATCTAGTTGGTGTTTGCTATTTCATTGATTCGTCTCTCAGTTAGTTACTTGCATCGCCAGCGTCCTAGGCTCACGGGGTCTCAGAAGGCTCGCAATGATTATCGCATACCATGCCGTGCCAGGGCATACAAACACGCACGCACGCACGCACGCTCTACCCCCTCTCACTCTCGAGTATTGGGCAATCCGCCCACCATTCCATCCCGTCCACGTGGAGACGATGTCCCTTAACAACTCAGTCAGTCACCACCCCTCCTTTCACTTCTCGAACCGACCCTAACCATCTGCTTTCCCAGTTCCGCCAGGTGGTTTCGTCGGCTGCTGCTGCTGGACGCGTTCCTTGGCCCAACTGCCCCAGGAGCTGAGGTAGGCCCCAGCTTTTGCGGCATTTTCGCGTGCCGACGCCTGCAGCTGTGCAGTGTCGACGTTGGGTTTCTGGAACTGGGTCTTTGCGGCGCGGTCGCGGAGTGATGAAGCCCAGCCCAGGGTTGCTGTTGCTGTTGTTCCTGCTGTCGGTGGCGACGTGGAGGACGCGGTTGTGGTATCGTTGAACGAAGGAGGATGTGATGGCGCACTGGTGGTCTTGTCGGTCGCCAACGATGGGTCGACGTTTTCCTTTGGCTTGACGGCGTTAAAATCTCCTCCGACAATCTCCCAGTCCCCTCCTGCACCCTCGCGAGTCTGGCTTGCATTGCGACTTGTCTGCTGTTGTTTGGTCTGTCGTTGCTCCCTGGCCTTCTCCACTTCGGCCCAGAAGCGAGCGACACCCGCACCCACTCTCTCCTTGCCGGAGGCGAACGTCTTGCCTAGTTGTTCTCTTCCCTCTCTCACCCGTTCGTCGAGGTGCAACTCCGCCACGGTCTGCTGGACTCGGCGTTGCACATCTTCAACATTTAGTCCGCCGGCTGTGGGGTGGCGAGGCTCGATAATATCAAAGACACGGTGTTCTTCCGTTAAACGATTGAATAGCGCGAAGTTGTTCGTCTCTCGCCACATGGTGAGGAACTCCGGGTTAAAGTCACTGGCTGTGTCGTCTGGGTCTGGGTAGTGTTCAGTGTTGCTCACGCTGGCGGGAACATTGGCTTCCGACATCGCCTCGTGATATACCTGGTATGCCATCGAGCTGAGGAGAGATAAGACATATTCTTCAAACTGGAAGCGGATAGCATCTTCAGACCCTGCGAAACCCATGTTTTTGGGCCTTGATGGATTCTCAGGATCCCACGTGTCTAGTACAGTTTGTGTGAGACCGTCTATCCAGCGGCGATCTGCAGCCGAGAGGGACAGTGCGGTGCGCAGAGATGTGGAGGTAATTGTGATACTGTTGGATTCATCTAGATTGATGAGAATATCCGAGTAGCGTTCTTTCTGTTGCAGGAGAAGGCTATTTGTGGAGCCAACAACATAGGATTTCGTATCGTAATCAGCGAGAATATCTAGTTGTTGAAGCGGCGTATATGGACCGAAGAAGGATCCCTAGCAGATCGAGATTAGTTTTCAGATCGTTCTAATCGCCAGCAGAGGGAGTACGGACCTTGCCGAATAGCTGTAATGGCAAGCCCATATATGATAGCACTGCTGTTGTCAGCATACTCAAGTTCAAACGTATCTCATTACAGCTGGGACCATCAACGTACAAGAACTCCGTTCACTTGTCTTCAGTGTTGTCGGTCTCTCAACAGTGCGACTATAAGAATCAAGACTTGGATCGGCAGAATCCTGAAGATTTCGAAGCAAGCCCGGAATCAAAGATATCAATGCAAACTGCATCATGCAAAGTCGTTCACATTTGGAACCGAAGAATAGCATCTGACACCCCAAAGGACGTAAGCAGGTGATCCAGATGGAAGGTACATCGAATCATGAAACCTTGATGTGCCCGTACCTTTCTTTGCAGAAGTAGACATTTGACCAGAGCTAATGTCTGATGCCTGAATTCGTAGATCATTTCGCGTAGAGATAAGCCTGGTGGAAAGTCAATCCTCGAGTTTCAACTTGCCAAAAAGGTCGAGACTTTGCACAGAGAGCCCAGACATTCCTCAACCGAAAGGCCGTAGACATACCAAAGTGATGGTCTCTTCCATCCTCAAGCGAGGCAGGACCTTTATCGAGGCTTGCTTGGAATTCCTACAACGCCCCGATCCGACGGTCAGGGCCTTGAGCATCAGAAACCTCGTCAAGGCCATCAAGACATACCTTTAAAATGGTGATATCGGAGAAGTCCCTGTACCACAGTCATTAGCACATAACTCCAAGTCAACCCACCACCAAAGCCGAACACGTGGACTAGCTTCAGATCACGTAAATGAGAAATCGGGGGAGAAGAACACTCACTCCTGAGCAAACCAAGCGGCAGTGACGACACCCAGGCGCTCCCTCAACTCTCCCATACCCCTCGCGGTCTGCGAAATGACGACCACGGCCTTCTGCACCGTACTCCTCGTTACGCTGGCAGACCTCCGCTTCAACCTGTCCGACTTGATCTGCCTCGTGCAAGCGATGCCGAAGAGACTCGTTGCCGTGGCAGGCAGATCACCACCTTTGCCGCGTGGCATTGGCGGGGATTGCGTTTCCTTCGTCGTCGTCGTCGTCGTCGTCGACTGGTCATTTTGACTCTCTGCGTCCTTAGTGACGCTCGTGGTGTCAACATCGGCCGAGATCTTATCAACTGCTGGAGTGGGAGACACATCGCCTTTGTCGAGGAGCGCGAAATAAGAGAAGTCCTCGAGCATGGCGTGTGCACCGTCGGATAGAGCCATGAACGGCAGAAGCGACCAGTCGTTGTTCTTGGCGAGATTCTCGCCGACCGGTTCGACCCAGAATTCCACCTCAGGCCCGCTGTTGATTGCAAAAAAGGGTAGTGTTAGCCAGCAGGTCTTTCGCGCCTATCGACGCCGATGGGATGCGTCACACGTTGCGTGCGGTCAAGTAATCCTTAGGCATTTATATGAGACGGGAAGCTCACCGAGCATGGTGGAAGTCTACCACCACAACTTGGGGCGCTATCGGGGTCGCCATCTTGTTCTATTCCGTCTCAATCACAAGTCTCATTGGACTCTTGACGAAAGCGCGCTGCGAGGCGATGTTGATGGTCTGCGCGCCGGAGTGCACAACACATGGTGCAATTGATGTAGAAACATAAAATCAAGAAGTGAAGGGGACCAAAGTGGGTCGGTCAGATGGGCCAGCAAAGCACGAGGCGCAAGGCTCGAGACGCCGCCGCCAATTCGTCACCGTCTTGGCTGCCACTTCTCTTAGCCACGAAAGATAACGAAATCTCAAGTGCGACGGATGAGGGTATCATGAACATGATTGATTTAATCCATGTTTCTAGGTGTCTGTCTACTTTTAACCCTTCCTGATCGTCTCGCTGCATCCTCTTCTTCATTGACATTGCGCAGTTGCTACAGCTAATATCATGTCTGGCTCAGCGAAACATTTGGGCACGGGTTCAATTTAGAGGTTTGGCATTTTGTCCTTCACTCGATCATATCTTCTAGGTCATCCATCTTTCCTGGTCTAGGAGTCCAATCCTGTGCGTGCTCGGACCTGCTTTTCCTCTGCAACATCCAAAGGCTCAATGTTCCAGATAGTGTCGGCATACTCATTGATGCATCGATCTGTAATTTCACGTCAGCTAAATCCAGGAGAAGGTTCAAAGGAAGACATACCTGATGTGAAGAATCCCATTCTGGCCACGCTCGTAATGCATTTGGTGACCCACTCATCCTGATTCTTGAAGGTCTCATCGATGAGATCTTGTGTCTTGGTGTAGCTGTTGAAATCATCGCTCACTAAGTCATGGGTATTAGTAAAACTGTAGCTCGAGTCTCCACCACATATCTGATCACTTACCCAGGTAATAGTCGCCATGCTCAGTGATAGCGCCGATGAGGGCGCCGAACGAACCTTCGTCGCCGAATTTGCCAGATTTGATAAGATCAAAGACCTTCTGAAGTTCAGGGTCCACTTGATAATCACCATAGAAGTGGTTGTGTCTCAGATCTTCAACATCCTCGGAAAGATTGCCAAACAAAAACACGTTCTGTTCGCCAATTTCTCTGGTGATCTCAATGTTGGCACCATCAAGGGTACCAATGATCAAGCCACCATTGAGGACAAACTTCATGTTACTTGTACCAGAGGCCTCGGTACCCGCAGTAGAAATGTGTTCACTGATATCGGAAGCTGGAATGATGATTTCAGCCTTGCTGACATTATAATCTTCCAAGAAAATAACCTTCAGAAGGTCTCCAACATCAGGGTCGTTGTTGATGACCTCTCCGACCTTGTTGATCAAATGGATAATGGTCTTGGCCATCCAGTAGCCTGGAGCTGCCTTGCCACCAAAGATCGTCACTCTGGGGGCTAGTTTCTTGCGCTCCTCAGAACTCAGTGATTTGATGGCGAGATAGCGATGAATGACACCGAAAACGTTGAGTTGTTGTCGTTTGTATTCGTGAATACGTTTGACTTGAACATCAAACAAAGCCTTGGGGTTGACACTCACACCGGTTGTCTTGAGGATGTGCTGGGCAAGGCGGACCTTATTGGCATATTTGATCTCAGCCCACTCCTTTTTGAACTCTTTGTCATCAACGAATGGCTCAAGCTTATTCAAGAGAGTCAGATCCTTCAAGAATTCATAGCTACCCAGCTTCGAAGCAATGAGCTCAGAGAGGCGAGGGTTGGCCTGGTGTAACCATCGTCTGGGAGTGATGCCATTGGTGACATTGATAAACTTGTCAGGGCCATAGATTCTGACGAAATCCTTGAAGATGGTCGTCTTGATCAAGTCTGAGTGCAATTCGGCCACGCCGTTGACCTTGTGCGAACCCACAATGGCCAAATATGCCATGCGAACAGTCTTTGGCTGGGATTCTTCAATAAGGGAGACTCTGCCGAGAAGCTCACGGTCCTTTGGGAACCGACGCTCAACTGTCTGCAGGAAGGAAAGATTGATCTCGTAAATGATCTGGAGACATCTGTTAGCATTGATTCATCGTGACCAACAATGATATACAACGAAAATAGAAGTCATTACTCACCTGAAGATGCCGGGGCAGCAAGTTCTGAATCAACGGGACAGACCATTTTTCCAGTGCTTCGGGCAAGACTGTGTGGTTGGTGTAGCTGAATGTCTTGGTCACAATATCCCAAGCGGTTTGCCATTCCAAACCCTCCTTGTCCACCAGAATTCGCTGCAATTCGACGACTGCGAGGGTTGGGTGGGTGTCGTTCAGTTGAATTGCAACCTGATCGGGGAATTCGGACCACTTGCGATTGGTCTTCTTGAACCGACGGACGATATCGAACAGGGAGGCAGCACACCAGAAGTACTGTTGCTTCAGGCGCAACTCCTTGCCTCGCTCGAGGTTGTCGTTGGGATACAGCACAGCTGAGATGGTCTCGGCGCGCTGCTGGTCAGCAACTGCGCTTTCGTATTCTCCCGAATTGAATTTGGAGAAGTCAAATTCTCCACTTGAAGCTTTGCTCGACCACAATCGCAGATTGTTCACAGTGGGAGTTCCGTAGCCTGGAACAGGTACATCGTAGGCGACCGCAGTGACTATCTCGCCGTCTTGCCAAGAGACAATCTGCTTACCTTCATCATCGGTGTACTTGTTGACCCAGCCGTAGAACTGGACGTCCACAGTGACATCGTGTCGGGCAAACTCCCAAGGGTTGAAGTCCAACCAATAATCGGGAATTTCCACTTGGTATCCGTTCTCAATCTCTTGCTTGAAGATACCGTATCGGTATCGCAGGCCATAGCCCCAGGCTGGGTAGTTGAGTGATGCCATACTGTCAAGGAAGCATGCGGCGAGTCGTCCGAGACCACCGTTTCCAAGAGCAGCATCGTGCTCTTGATTGATCACGTCTTCGATGCGGAAACCGAGATCCGCCAGACCCTCTGTGTATCAGTTAGTGAAATACTCTCCAACGCACACCCGTTGAGCTCAGACCTTTTGCAACATTCTTCAATCCCACATTGAGCATAGCATTGTCAAGCGCTCTTCCCATCAAAAACTCGAGCGACAAGTCTAACAGCCATGTCAGAACCTTGGGCCCCAGAAATTGCTAGTCTCAATCAAACTCACAGTAGATTCTCTTCTGATCGGCGAATGTCTGCCTCTGCTGAGTCTTGTTCCAATCCATGATCAGACGATCTCGGAAAGCCAAAGCTGTTCCCGAGTATGCCGCGCTATTGGGCCATCAGCCATCGTCTTGAAAACCACAGGATGAACGTACAGCTCATCGCAGTTAAACAATGATCTTGCCAGGGTGGTCTCGATATGCCTGACAATTTCGGTCTAGAGTAGCCAGTATCAGCCCAATCTCTTGTGTGGAGCTCAGTTTTCGTGCTCACCTCGAACTGGTCCTTTGTCGTGAAGCCTGACGGGGACTGTTGGGTAGTAGGTCAGAGATCTGGAAACGGTCGAACGTTGGACAGTCGTACATATTTCCTCCATCTGCATTCCAACTGTGAGCTCTAGTGAACGGGAGTTCTGGTGGTGGGGTCACTTACGCCTCTCGCATATGCTCGGGAATGCTTGACTCGACTGCCTTGATGTCACTCGCTCCGAAGCCTGTAGCGGTACGCTTATGCTTGGGACGAGTGAAGCCAGGTCCGACAGGACCCTGAAGGGTGGAAATGGGAGCACTGGTGGAAGGCTTTCGCTCCCTTGGAGACGAAGCGGTCGCTGCCGCCATGATGAAGATAGTTCTGAGGGCGAGTGGGGAGAGAGCCTAGAGATAGCACGACGATAACGATAGAAGCAAAAAGAAGAGGGGGAACAGAGAGATGGGAGAATCCACGGAGATGAAGAAGAAGGCGAGAGCGGTCAGGAAATAACAACTTTGGAAGTTGTCTCAGATGCAGTGGAGGAATGTATATACAGAGGGAAGGAGCTGAAGCTTTGGAATGGCATGCGCCATGCACCGCGAGCCAGGGCCAGAGCCAGAGCGTGCACCCAACAACCGCTGCATTGGCAAGCATCCGCAATTCACCATTGTTGTAGGGCATTATCGTCATCATACTGCTACATGCAGCACACGGATCCATTTATTCAGCAACTGGGCTTGCATTAGTCTGCGACTGAGGAGCGGGCCTTGTGTGCAATAAAAACACCCAGTTGACGGATACAGGAAAAGTGAAAGTTCGTGCCTCGAGGTTTGATGCTTGAAGCAAGGGGGGGTGAGGATCAGGCCATGCAGGCATCAAGAAGCCCAATGGCTACAGAGGTCAGCATCTTTGCCGCTCCAGAGCTCCAACATGCTGCATCATTGGAGCGGGATGGCCTGTAGTTTGATCTTAGAGCGGTGTAGCATGGGGAATGCGTCTAGTTGGACTACTGATTACTGTACTTTTTGGATCAACATTGCCACAGGGCATACGAAGTAAGAATTTTCGAGGAACAGCTCTACGAGTACGAGCACTGCACTGCGCTGCAATGCAGCAAGTCAAGTTTCTGGTCAACAAGACCCGTGCCCCGCACTAAGTTACTCCGGAACTCTGGCAGCTCCCCCTAGCAACGGCGGTGAATTGAGAACGAGAGAAAAGAATGCAGGAACCAGGGCATACTTCTTCATCTTAGATCGAGGGCTGATCTCTCCGGGATTGGGTTCCCAAAAAACTGCACATGTTCAGGACACAGAAAAGCAAAAATCTAATAGCCGACGACTCATCACAGCTCTAGACTGCAGCAAAGGTAGGAAGGAGCATAGTGGGGTTCTGGGAGGAGGGGCAAGCTCTTTGGTGCGAACACCCAGCGGCGATAGTGGGACAGCATTCGTGCCAGGAAACGGCCACCGAGTCAACAGGGAGCGTCTAGGCGGTCCGTTGGCTCCCTGGGTGAGCCGAGGGGGCACTGGGCGCCCGCCAACCATCAGAACCTGGTTATTGGACTTTAGGGGTGAAAACTGTGGAGTGGTGGAGGGGCTGATGCTCTTTTCTCTTTCCTGATCCCCAGACTCTATCCGCCTTTAGTTTCCCCAAGCTTTTGGTGAGGCAAGCTATTGACAGCGAACAGTACTCCGTAGATGAGTGGATAGTCCATAGTAGAGCATTGTACGAGGTACCAAGTTGGCAGATTGCACTTTGATACCCTGCACAACGTCAATATCTCAGGCATTCTACGTTAGCTCCAGCCTGGTCAGTGCAGCCACGACCTTTCGGATATCTCATGATTCAGCCAGCTCAAGCGAGACCCAGCAGGCATGGATGACGATTCCGGGTACTTGACTTCGTCGCAGACTTCCAGGGTGCTCGAACCACACTGTCCCAGAATAAGTAGAAGCACGTATCTTTCCCTAGTAGTTGACGGTTTACATAAGCCCATCTCATCATATTCATCCTGATTATGCTTGATAAGTGGTTGCCCCAAAAGGGCAAGACTATTGTTTCCAACACTGCAAACCAGCGCAGTACGCTACGAAGAGTTAAATATGACTGGTGTGTTTTTTCTGGTCTTCTCGCTCGGCTTCAAACTTTACCATATTCATATAGTCTTATTATGAGTACACGGCGACGGAACGCTCGAGTAGATGTCGTGTCCTTTGCTTTCCAACCATGTCCTTCACAGCCTTTCTTGTGTGGTAGGGCGCTCTCTCGACTCTCACTGACCCTTTACGTGCACAATATATTTGTTTCCACCGAATGCGCGTCCCGCGAGGCAAGACTGCTGCTGGCGCTGGATGCTGGTAATCCAACCTTCCGAGATCAGCATTCCAAATATCAACGACTTACTCGATCAACCGACAAAAAGCGCAGTACTGGCCGTAGACACCCCCGTCTCGCCACATTGCCTTCATGACTCGCTCCAGCCTCAAACATCAACAAAAGGAACAGTATTTCAAAACGCAAACTTTTTGCGACAAACTCATTCAAAGACAAAGGTCAAAACACCCTGTGCTAAGCGCCATTCTCAACGGGCAAGAACCTCCGGAGACGATCGGTCGATATCAGATAGTGACGCATTCCTCCCAAACTTCGTGACCCCCGTTTCATCACATGCCACGCTAGACGCCGAAAATGCAGAACCTGAAGAGAAACAAGAACCTCGGTCGTGTATCTCATAATATTCCTGAATCTTTCAGGGCATTCTGTAGGATCGTCTCTTTGACGGCGGCGAAAACAAGACGAATGTTGGTCGTGTCTGTAGCTTGGGTAAGACTGTCATCAAGTCAGCACGGAACTAGGTACATAGTATACATGCGGTCACACTGACTGAGGGTAAAGGTTGAGCTGAGCTCGATTAACTTGATTGAACCGCCATAGGAGGTATTTGGCGGCCCGATTTACATCATTGCCACCCGAATAGTCGGGAAAATAGTTGCCCAGAGGTGACCGACCAAGCTTTTCCTTGAACAAGTCCACCTTGTTCAGGAAGAGGATAATGCTGGTGCGCATAAACCACCTGGAGTTGACCACAGAGTCGAAAAGTACCAAGCTTTCCATCATTCGATTCTAGAAATGCGTCAGATCCTGGTCAACAAGGATGTTGCGAGAACGTGGACTACCTGGTTGGCTTCTTCTAGAAGCACTTGATCATATTCACTCAGGGCGACACAAAATATGATTGATGTGACGTTCTCGAAGCAATGGATCCATTTCTTGCGTTCGCTTCTCTGACCGCCTACGTCGAACATGCTATTACGCGTCAGTATTTTATCTCCGGATGAATGGTGGTTCGGAACTAACTGAATACTCAGCTGGCCCATGGTAAACCTTGTTTCGTAGATACCCGTCGTCTTTGTGCGTGCTCGAAGGACATCGGCTTCGTTGGGTATATAATCGGGTGCTGCCAACCTTTTGACTTCTTCGAAGAAACTGGTACGCGTAAGCTGGTGTCTTTCCTGAATATGGACTGTAACACACTAGGGAGCGGAGTCCATCAGATAGAATTCACTTTGTCGGTCCATCGTCTTCGACGCCGACGGATCTTTCCAGATGGCTGCCACAGCATCTGCAGCCTTGGGATCTAACGGAGTATCGGGATCTGGGTCCACATTATATTCTAACAGATAATCCACGTAGTCCTTGACCTCTTGGCTTTCTGGTTCGATTTCGAATTGCTGCATCGCGCCGAGAAGCGCCTTCATGCAGTCCACCAAGTTCTTGTATATCGTGAGTCGGTAGAGCGCTCTCTCTTCTTGGGTATAGCCATTCTGATGGATGATTTTCATCTGCTTCACAATGGTGGACTTTCCACTCTCACCAGATCCTGCAAGTGCACAATCAGTTGTCTGCTGTGGGGTTCTCAAGCTGTGTCACACTTACCAAGAAGTAATATTTTGCATTCTCGCCGTAATCTGCGCGAATCTTGCTCGAGTTCCTTGTCTATGGCCTGACTTCTCTTCTTCTGCTCACTATCCTCTGTCGATGCTTCTTTACTTCCACAGGCACCCATGATGGAGGCGAGGTTGGGTCAGGTCGCAGCGGCAGCGAAGGCGCTGCAGATGCAGCGCTAGGTGCGGCTGCAGCTGCACAGGGAGCTGCACGGATAAAGTCTGTTTTGGCGGACCGTAGTCCTGGGGTAGTCGACCTCAAGACGTGGTGCACAAGGGATCAAGGCCGAGACGTAGGGTGGAATAGTGTTGAATCGCGAAGGTGAAGCTTGAAATGTCGAGGGCGTTGGTGGAGACTGCGGTTGATTACATGGAGAGGTTGACGATGAGGAGTCGGGGCCGAGACCAGGATTCGATGGAGCTTGGATGGGTTCAGGGATTCAAGCGAACAGATGATCAAGTGAGTAGAAGAAGGAACACGAGAAACACAGAGGCGTATATATGTTGAGTGTGGGATTTGAGATGATCAGAAAGGTATAGGAAGGTTGAGAGGCTGATCAAGCAGTGGAATTAGAAGTGGTGGTGGTGGTGGTAGCAGCAGCAGCAGTAGTAGCGGTAATGGTGGTTGGCAGACAGGTAGGGGAGCCGGCGCAGAGGAGGTTATGGGTTTGGCAGCAGTACGGATGGATAGCGGTAGCGGTAGTAGGAGTAGTACTCAGACTCGTAGCAGACAGCGACTGACGAGGGATCATGGATTCGTGGAGTGAGTACGGATGGTTAGAGGAGAGCGGAGTAGCCGAGAGCGGGAAAGCTGGGTGCCACTGGCAGTGGTGTTGAGTTCTGGGTGTGCTGAATGGGCATTCGTGGGTGTGGGCAGGTGGCAGCTGGCTGTTGGGCTGGAGATGGCGTCCATTAACTCATGACTACCTAGGTACGAGTCTCTAGGTGGCACCTTGTGTGCCCGTTGGACCATTTTAGTTGATGGCTAAGCCTGGAAACTAGCCAACTAAGCTGGGGAAAGTCCACTGTCACCGTCTACGGTTGAAGAAAAGTCCACTATCCATCAACATTCCTCCTCTAGATACCTCGGACTGCTCATAACAAATAATGGCATGGTGTCCCACAAGGCTAATTGAGGGCAATGTTGTTATTTATGAAAACTAGGCCTTCGAAGGGGAGGATGATATTCCGCACTTACTCCATACGTGGGAGAACGCCAGTCAACCTAGCAATGCGGAGACCTGAGTCTGCCACACGCTTTGTTTTTCTTCAAGGTGTGATTTCACCACTGGGGCCGAGACTGGAATCTGGAGGTTTTACCAAAGCAGCCTACTTTTCCCACAACCCTGCATCTCCAGAGCTAAAATTGACTAGTGCTCGGTTGCCCACTTTCATTCAGATCCTCGCTCTGAAATTCACGTCCTCCAAGCAATGAACATCTCGATAAACAAATGATATGGACTGCGGTGCTGACATTGGAAGCCACGATTTTGTATCCGACCAAGACTCTGGTCAAAATTTGACGGATTCGCTGGCAGTACTTTCGGTCTCAGTGACACAGCGATCAAACCTGGCATGCCTCGTGGCTTCGGGCAATTCCAAAAGCGCCATCGGTTTTGGCATCTGTCAGACAGAAGCAATCCCAGAGGAGAGACTTGCGATTTGTTCCTCAATTGCCAGGTCTTCAGGCAGCCTTCATGGTCAGACTTTCCAATATAAGAAATCAGCCTAGTCCAGTGTCAGATTTGGACGCATGGATTTTAGACACATCGGCTGTGAAAAGACTTCCAATTGGTCAGAGCTTGGCTTATTGATAACACGTCTTATTGATCTTGAAATTTCATATTACAGACATTGAGCCTTCGCAACAGCAAATGTCGAGGGCTGCGAGACCTCCCGTGTTATGCAAGTCGAATCCGCACCGTGCTTGCACAGCCTCATCGGTTCAGAACGCCTCAAAGCCAGTCAGGCTCGATTTGTCAGATCAAGTTGCTTGGCCTTACACTCTGATTCGAGCTGGACGCCTTCGTTTGCCAGTGGTTGCATTTGGCCGTTTCTGCCGAGAATACACCACTTTGGATGTCCTTCCACCACCAACAGAACTTCCCACACAGCTCGTCGTCGTTGTCGTGTAATATCCGTCTGATTCATCCTGTGCCATCACCTCATCTCTCGGCGTCTACAACCCAAGGACAGGCAGAGCTGCTTGCTCGGAAAATCGATTCATGTTACCGCGTTATCGATTGTGTGCATCTCCAGTGGCTCGTGGGCCCGATGTTCGAAAGCTCCTTATGTGTTCACACCCTCCGCGATGGGGTCCTTCATATCTATGCAGATGTCAACGCTCTGCCATGTTTCGTAAGTGCTGCACAAGCAATATTCGCCAACGGACTCCTGAGAATAGAAATCATCTCCATATTTTCAGTTGCAGATTCAATGACAATTCTGAAAACTTCAGCATTATGTTTGAAGAAAAATTGGTGGAAGTGCCTCGGCAATACCAATTATCGCCTCTATGTGAGTCAATGTCATCGCTCAGCTTACCTGCTGGCAGGTGTCAATCAATGGCAGAGACTTTGCCTACCTAGGCATTAAAATGCAAATATCATTCCCATCGCGAATCATGCTCAACAATGGGCATGGAACTCGCCTGGGTGGTAGGAGCTTGTGGGTATCATCCTGGGGAAGTCGTAAGTCCAACTGCAGACGAGCTCAATGTCCGTCCAGTGCCGATGGAGCACGGCCACGGAAAGAAGCTCATGGTCATGGCATGGAACCTGCCCGGTCCTTGTTCAATTGTTGGAGAGTGCAGAGGTAAGAAGATCGCCCATGAAGAACCACGGGTGTCGGTGAACATCTTGTTCAAATCTGCTTCACCCAATGCTACTGTTACCCAAATTCGAATTACAGGCAATGATAGTCAATCATAATGATGACCGGGCTCAGATGCCTGTCCACTTTGTGCGGTCGAATGCACCTGTTTGTAAGCAAAAGAAAGATATACTCGAATAAAATCGAGGCTGAGAATTCCAAGGGGTTGCTATTCTTGCACCTTGCAATGCTTCCTCTGCGAGCTACCGACGGTATACGGTCAGTGGACTGGTAAATTGAAACTTTCTCAAACCAACGCGGTGAAATTCCAGATTATATCCGTAGTCGAAGCCAAGGGAAAGTCGTCAATATTATGCCTGCTGCAAGCCCTGACACTCAGCTGAATCACAGGTCCAATGGTCAATAGATTCAAGCTCTTGAATGTATCGATAACTCCGAGCTTCGCTTTCGAGTGTCCAGTGCATCCAAAGGCAGGTAGAACATAGAGTTGGAGACATTCTGAGGGCCACTCATGCGTCAATTTAGTATCGCCATTACGAATACTAGTTGGAGACCACTCGGATTCTCAAAGCGAAGATTGGTGTTGTCTGTCTTTCGTGAGCACCGAAGATTGCTGACACACTCGGGCCTTTAGGTACGACACTTGGTGTGATTCGTGAAGATGGACCTTGCAAATCACGCTAACTACGCAAGAGGCATGGTGTGCCAACAACACTATCAAGTAGAGTTCACATGGCGCCTGGTGAGGTCATCAGCGCATTGTAAGCCCGAGTTGGAAGCGTTAGTCAGGCAAGGAGAAGCTAGGATACTACAAAGGGATGAGGTTGAAGAAGGCCACCTGAGGCGAAATATTGTGCTCTGTTGACACCGGGAAGACCGAAGATTTCTAAACTCTGTTTAATCAGTTGCCAGTGGGAGAAAGGGAAGAGGTTGTTGATGGTGGACGAGTCTCGGATACCTTGTTCCTCAGCAGAAAAACTTTGTGAACCGGAAGCAATATCCGGTCAAGTCAAAGGTTGAATGGCAGCACCTTGGATTGGGGATTGAAGGAAGGGGGGAACGGATATGTCAACAGGTCGACAAGCTACCAACGAGTAATGTCAGCCTGGGATGCACCTTACCGACTACCGGGAGGAGGCACTGTTGCTGAAAGAGGTTTTCAGGCTTGCTTAGCTTCTCTATTTCAAGCTACGGCGCCTACAGCAGCCCACTAACTGCCTAAGTCATAGGCATGTATACGAGGTAGGTACACTCGTAGCCGAAACCCATCGAGGGGTACTCTCGCCTAGGCAGGTTTCGGCCGGGGCCTTTAACAAAACTTGATTTCTGAGATATGGCATTCCCGGTCTGGAAACCTTGGTCCGGATACCCAGGCCAGCTCAGGACAGAACCCTGATGTTCAATACTGTGAACAACATTTTCTGCTTGTGAATTGCTGATGTGCCCTTTGTATGATCAAGAGTACCTAGGCAGCTTATTGTCACTCAGCCCGAGCTGGTAGTCAGTCGTTGTAAATAAATGCAAACAGAGGCAAAGCACAGCCAAATGGAAAATCGAGGGGGGCAAAATGCATACCGAGTAGGGCATCTCGTTAGGTTGCTTTCTGGAGACTCAGATTAGGGTAGGGTAGTCCGATTGCCCCACGCACTGCACTGGCACCAAAACACCATCCATCTTCTGAGCATGCAACCATACCTACCGACCTAAACCACTGACAACCTCGTCTTTTTCGCCTGCGGCCTTGTCAGTCTCCTGAAAATCGACCCAGCGGTGGTTATCCTCCTTCATCTAAATCTCCATCTTCTGTGCGATCTCACGTCCCCTACAAGACTGTTTCTTCTTCGCCCTCATCACCTACCGAACCCTCCGCATCCACCCCCCTCTCCATCCACTGTCGACAGTTCTCTACCACTTGTCAAACACACCTTGCTCTCTGCAACACTTCTCTGCGCACTTCAAAACAAGATGGCGGAATTCGTACGAGCCCAGATCTTTGGGACAACCTTCGAAATCACCAGCAGGTAAGAACAAATCACGCGGTATGGGGGATCAGAAGATTGATTGATTCCAAGATACACGGACCTTCAACCCGTGGGCATGGGCGCCTTTGGGCTCGTCTGGTAAGTCGACCGAAACCAGGGAAATGTCTACCGCCCGCTCACCTTCTTCAAAAGCTCTGCCAAAGATCAATTGACGGCTCAATCAGTGGCCGTGAAGAAAATCATGAAGCCCTTCTCAACACCAGTTCTTGCGAAGCGAACCTATCGAGAACTAAAGCTATTGAAGCACCTTCGACACGAGAATGTGAGAACAAGCCAGTCACGGTTGAATGATATGGATTGTTAATTTGGTCAGGTTATCTCGCTCAGCGACATCTTCATCTCTCCTCTAGAAGACATGTGCGCAATTTCACTTTCCCACACAGTCAAAGAGTAAACCGCTGATGTACAAACAGTTATTTTGTGACTGAGCTCTTGGGGACCGATCTCCACCGCTTGTTGACTTCTAGACCGCTTGAAAAGCAGTTCATCCAATATTTTCTTTATCAAATCCTGGTACGCTGCTGATCTCCCGGAAGATCTACCCGGATCAATCGAATCTAACTTCTCACGTGCAGCGGGGTCTGAAATACGTACACTCGGCTGGCGTCGTCCACAGAGACTTGAAGCCTAGCAACATCCTCGTAAATGAAAATTGCGACTTGAAAATCTGCGACTTCGGCCTCGCCAGAATCCAGGATCCTCAGATGACGGGTTATGTCTCAACCCGATACTACCGAGCCCCGGAAATCATGCTGACTTGGCAAAAATATGACATTGAGGTAGATGTCTGGAGTGCTGGCTGTATCTTCGCAGAAATGCTCGAGGGTAAGCCCTTGTTTCCCGGCAAGGATCACGTCAACCAATTCTCCATCATCACCGAACTGCTCGGAACACCACCACAAGATGTCATTGAAACCATTTGCAGTGAAAACACTCTCCGATTCGTCCAGTCCCTGCCCAAGAGAGAAAGACAACCTCTGAGCGCCAAGTTCAAGAATGCCGACCCTCAAGCCATTGATCTTCTGGAAAAGATGTTGGTGTTTGACCCGCGGAAACGAATCTCGGCCATCCAAGGATTGGAACACGAATACCTGTCTCCCTACCACGACCCCACTGATGAGCCCGTGGCAGACGAGAAATTCGATTGGTCTTTCAATGATGCCGACCTGCCCGTCGACACCTGGAAAATCATGATGTACTCGGAAATCCTCGACTACCATAACATCGATAGTCAGGAGGGAGAGCTCGGAAAGGGACTGTCGGTTGAGCAGGCCCAGGCTGTCAACGGCCAAACCGTTCAGTAGACGATTTGTCCATTGCATTCCCGGCGCCCGCGATGGTGCTCGCAGCGCTGGTCGTAGTCATGGGACAGTCCCTATGAGAGCCGGGCATGTATGACTTGGTGTGGACGGAGGAGTCTTTTCTCCCTTGATCCCCTTCGGTCTCTTTTGATGAAATGATGAATTGCCACCGGGGGCACTATGGTGGATGTTGGGTTATGCAGTGTACGATTTTGCTTGCCAGCCAATAGGGAGCGTGTCGATAAGCAGCAGGCGCAAGCAAGAGCGCAGACCACACCGCGGGGACTTGGCAGTGGAGGCTTGACGATGGAGATGATAATCTGGATCGAACAAACCAAAAAAGACAACGATGAACATTATTCGAAACCCAAAAACCCCCCAGCTTGAATGTCAATTGACAGAACTCCACACACAGGCGGCCGACACACATCACATGGAGACTGGTGGTCCCGGATGCAATCTCGACTGCTCGTCATGAGTTGGTGACGCGGCCAACGCTCGATTCCATGCCAATGCCGCCATGAGCCTTGTGGTCTGTAGTGATTTTCATCTGGTGGCCCAGATTGAACTGCGGTGTGCGTCGGGTATAGATAGACTATGTTGTTTCATGAAATTAACTACATTGCGACCTGGTCAAAGTAAGAATCGATGAGTTATGATGTTCGCCAAACAGCCTCGCGACTACTCAGTGCCCTTTCAAAGCAACGAGCCTACAGCCAGTAGTAGACCCTTGGTGTCTGGCGTACACTCGTAGGATATAGAAATCCATGGGCTTTGTGGAGAATGTATCATAATGTACACCCCTCTTTAAAGATATGCAATATGCATGCTGGTTCAGTCGCTGTTCTTCAAAGAAAACCCGCTCCAGCAGCAGCACCCAAGCCTATGATCTCCGAATGCAATGAATCTGCCAACAGCCTCTAACAGCATGCAAGAGTATAGGTCGCCCATCCAACTCTAAGCTTATGCGTAGCGTCGTCACTCTCGTCTCGTTGAATGTTGAAGTCCCGGGACCTGCAACTTCTGTGGTCAACATAAAGAGACAAAACTTCACTCTAAGATGGCACTCTCAACCCTGTCCAGAGCCATTGGTCGATTGCTTCCCACCCATCATTGATGGTAAGTAAGAGGTGATTACGGAAGAGGATTTCGGATCATCGAGGCGCGGGCTTGCAAGGTAAGGCTTCCCCGACGTGAATCCCCAGGCTATGATGCCACTCACAGTCTTACCTGTGGCTGTGTCTGTGTTTGCGTCATTACCAGTGGTCGATGGCTTGTGGGCGGATTCCGATGAGGGAGCTTTCTCTTTGGGTCGCACCGAGAGGTCGTCTGGGTTATTCTTGCTACCCGTTGCAGAGGGTTGAGTGGGAGACATGTTAGGTGATAGTGGTGTTGTATCGATACTCGCTAGACTTTGGTATAGTGCTTTGGGCAATCTGATGTCTGACACTGTCGATCGGTAGTGTCAATCGATGTTCGTCTGATGGGTTGAAATTCCTGTCAGTAATGAGGCGCGAAGGGTGTTGTAACATGGAAATTGCAGGGAGTTCAGGTGGAATGGATGATTGAAGGTGAATGTTCAGCTCGATCCTAGGAAGGAGCAAATACAGTGGAAATCGCTATTGATGGTGTTGGAAGTGTCTGCCTTGGTCAAAGGACTAGAGGGTTCAACCTTTCCTCTCATTGTCCTGCGCAGGCTGATGCTGCTGGTTAGATAGGGTTGCTCTGATAGCGCCCGCCTGTTCTATTCAGGCATTGTCGTCCAAGCAATATCACTTGCCTGATCTTCTGCACCATCCATAGCAAGATCGTTCATGTTTTGTCCACCATGGATAGTCGCACAATCAAGTCTGTCCCTCTTCAGCTGATCCCACGTGCAGCCTCAACGTGAGCAGCACTCATCGGGGATTAAGATCTGTGGGACATGCCATGATTCAAAGGGTTGGTGCCTCTGGATTAACGAAGGGAAAGCACCGTCCCTCCCAGGTACGTGTCCCAAGCAATATACAACATACCTGAAAGCTCACAAGAGAGTGGCCTATTGATGGAACTTCTCATTCTGACTCAGCCACTCAACAGTGGTTCCAAGTCCAGTATTCGGAAAGAACCTCATACCCTCCATGTCTGATTTCGGTGTCTAGAATCCCCAGATCTGAGGTAAGCTGTATGACGGAAACGTGAACACTCGATCCACCACCTACCTAAGTAGGTCGATAGGTAATATTGGACGTACCTACCACTGCAGCAGGGCAGACACTCCCAATACTAAGCATACATTTCAGCTCGGCTAATTGTGAATTGTGTCATTGGGAAAGGGCCAAAGCACATTCTCGAAGTACTTGATCACTTTGTCAATGTAAAGGAGATCTGTGTGTTGGCAAGTGCCTGAGTGTGTATTTACCTACCGACCCCCCTTACAGGGGCCCGAGGTCACCTAACTCCCTCGTGCTCCCCCAAGTTCACCCCCCGCATGTTCCTCTATCATTAAAGAATCTGGACCCAAGCACGAACGACCACGGATTACCTCGGCATTCCTCAACAGGGATTCAGTTCGAGGCGCTTCTTATTATGAGCTGTGATTTACGCACACAAGTCCCGAATGGTGAATCCTGCTTCACCCTACATACCTAGGTCGACTGCGAGCTCCCGCGGCTCCGCCTAATGAGAATATATATTACTCTGGCCCACTTATTTTAAACATCCAGGCATGTTTTGAGAATCCTTGTATCACTGCTGATTGCATAAATTCAGCCCGGTCCCGTGTACCTTTCTCCTTCCTCAGATTCCCAACAATCATCCAGTTGCTCATACTCTGTCGTGATCTACGGTAAAGTCAATCTACAATGGCAGTTCCAGCAACCCCAGCTCAGGCACTTGGCCCTAGCATTCATCAGATCTCCTTCACCGAAAAGCTTGATCTACCGCTAGGATTGATCTCCGTTTGTAAGTCTCCCTTTTCGTAGCTGACAGAGGCTCAGAAACTGATTGTATCTAGTGGGAACTGCCATATATACTGCCTTGACTGCGCCTTTTCGTGGTGAGTCGGGAGCATATCGCTTTGGTCAGCATGTCAGCACTGCTGTCGTCCGCAAGGTATACCTTCACTCAATCATCTTGTTTGCCGAAACCAGCTCACTTGCTTCTCCACCAGCTTGTTCAAAGATTCAGTACTCTGCAACTACAGTAGGTTACCTGTACTTGGCCTTCCACTCCTTCATACTCAAACGTCACAGGTATGTTGGCGAACCATTTGGTAAGGTTTACGAGAAATGGGCACAGCAAAACAATGTCCCCGTACAAAACGTCAAATTGAAATCTGGAGTCAACGCTTTCTGGCTCGGTGACCACAAGACCGCCAAGTACATCGTGGTCTACTTCCATGGTGGCGGCTTCTCACTCGATGGAGAAGACACTCATTTCAAATTCTGGAATACCGTGCATACCGACCTCGAGTCAACCAATGTGACCGTCGCCACGCTCTTCTTGGAATATACCCTGGTACCGCACGCTACCTATCCAACACAAATCCGCGAGGCTGTAGAAGCAGTGAACTACGTCCTCGCTGATCTCAAACGACCAGCCTCGGACATCATACTCGCTGGGGATTCTGCTGGTGGCAACATGGCTCTAGCCGTTCTGTCCCACATAGCTCATCCTTCTCCTGACCTGCCTCCAATCAGCCTTTCCGCAAATGACAAACTCAAGGCCCTTGTTCTCATTGCACCCTGGACCTCTTTCAGGCTAGACTTCCCAAGTGCGGACCGTAATAAGTACAAAGATATTGTTTCGCCATACGCTGGTTCAACCTGGAGCAAAGACTACATGGGTGGGAAGGAGACAAGCCCGTATGCCGAAGCCTTGAACGCACCAGATGGCTGGTGGACCGATGCAAGAGTTGAGCAGCTGCTCGCGGTTGCCGGAGCCGATGAGCTCTTGGTAGATCCCATCAAAGAGTGGTTTGCTAAGTATGAGGTATGTACCAAAAAGCGAAGACATTCGCACTTGTTGAATATCGTGATGCTAAAAAATCATTGCACAGGCGGTCAACCCATCAACATCAACCTTGGTAGTTGCGCCACACGAGCACCATATCGAGCCCATCATGACCCTGCGGTGGGGAAACACTACTGAAACGGAACAGGGGAAGGCTATCAAATCGTGGTTGAAGTCAAAGTTGTAAACTACACGCTGCAAACAAATGGAAAATCAATGGCCATATGACGTTAGGAGAGGAGACTCTTCCGGTTGGTAAGGTGATCGCTCACAGCGTCCCACTGAGTATCATGAATTTCAGCCTCTTTGTGCTGGACTGCTGCGGGACTTCAGCATGAGCTTGTTGAATGATCTACTTCACAATTCTACCACGGAACTCAGGGTCTTCGCAGGGTGCAGAGAGCAGTTCACCACTTACTCTCACTAGAGGTCAGCAGACATTTTTGGTACCGAATGGACCTTGACATACCGATCTTTGCAGTCCGACTCGACTCGTGACTCCTCTCAGTGCCGGTTTGGTTCTATCATCAATTCGCTAACGTCTGTTTGAAGCCCAGACTCTATTGTTCAGGTATAATGTTTTCCCAATGTTCGTTTGTGCGCGCCCTATAGCGAAAGTCATAGTGACAAACTGGTGACTGCGAACTTGTGACTATTCGCATGCCAATTGGAGACCTTCTAGAAAACGGAGGCGTCGTCAAGGACATGCCACCACCTTAACACTCAGAAGGCCATTTGAGTACCACTTCTTGCAATTTGCACTCATATCCCGGGTTGGTCATCTTGCCTCAGTGTGCAGTTATCTCGTCCTCTGCTGCTGTAGCACTTCAAAGACCAGGATGGAATTTCGCTTCCCCAAAATCTCACATGAGCAGTCCAATCCAGTGTCAAGCCTTGGTCGAAAGAATTCTTCCCCATGGCGGTCAATCTTCAATCGACGGAAGCACTCAGTTGATACTACGCAAGCATTGGACATGCGACCATACTTGATCTCCGTCCCACTCGAGCAACGACCAATGTTGTCATTTAAGGAAAGGAACGATCTCCCCCAAGGGCAACAGAGAACACCCAGCCGAGCGAGTTCGAGAGCATCCTGGTCTCCGTTCGGGAAAAAGGACCGGACAGAGGACGACTCTGTGGGTCTGACGGCTCGAGAAGTATACCATCAACGGCGAGTGAAGAATCCTAAGGTTGCGCAGTCATACCCGAGTCGATCTAGATCCCTCGCTACTCATGGTATGAGACCGCAGATTAGCGCTCCTGTCTACCAGCCCTGGGATACGTGGGCTGAGACTTCTGATCTAGTCACTCTCATGGAGACACAGTCGTTGGTAGGTCCTGAAGATGCATCGGAAGCAGTATTTACACTCACTAGGCACCCTGACCCGGAAGCGATGATCACAGTTCAATACTCTCCACGAACAAATTCATCGGGAGCTGCAGAGACACTTGACGATGTTCATAGTAACATTACTGATGTTCAAGACCTCGCCGAACTCGATGCAGACAAGAGGAACCCGATATTTGATCGGATTCATGCAGATGGGTGGAACCAAATCATCCCCAAGCAATGGGTCGATGATGAATTTAGCGACGAAGAGGGGAAAACATCCGCAAGCCAAAGCGTTTATTCTCAGGATACCAAAGGTTCTGACATCGCCAGACAACCTTCGGCGCATACATCGCCGAGACAGGGGTGGCAACTTGGTCAATCCCCGAAGGCAACATCGCAGTCTGTGGAAACTTCCAAGCCTCGATTTGTTTTCGAAGACGATGGTGATGAGCCAGAGCGTACGAAAAAGAACAGCAGGTGGCACCAGGATCAGATCTGGTGGCAGAAACAAACCGATGCCCTGGAGCTCTCCTCCACTCCGTACCACCAAAACCAAGAATGTCCATCAGATCGCCTTCCATGCTACATCGAAACGGTATCACAAATCAAACAAGCAGACGAGAGCCCAGCATCTCGGCCCAAAGGCCTACGTCACAGCGATGGGATTCAGAGGGAAAATTTGACGACCCGAGCTGGCAGGTTGAGGACAATCACGAGTCCAGCACAGTTAATACAACTACCCAGCCCTTCACCTAAAAGTCCAACACGCAAAACGGTGGACGAATTTTACAATCTTTCAGACTCTGAATTGTTGACTCCCCTGCCGCTGAGACCCAGGCGTGGAATATCCGATGTTGTTCAGAGTCATAGAATCCACGATGATGAGCAACATCAAAGAGACCCCAGGCAGCCCGGAGCGGAATATCCCCCTGTTGGTTCCAGAAACCAGTTCGCTAGCACTACTGCAACCTCAGATCCGCTTGCACAGGGCGAGGCGTCATCATCGTCAGATCGGTCATGGGAAACAATCCGCTTTGAATCTGAAGAGGACGAAGGCCAGAAGCGGAAGCCTTATACCGACGCAGAGTCCGAACCCTACGGAGCTGTGACGAGTACCGTTGACAGACACGACCTTTGCTCCAGTCACGGCGGAACGAGACTAAAGCCAAATCCTGATTCCAATGAAAGCAAGCTCGCTCGCGAAGTCGATGAAATCCTCAATCTCTACCTCACTGGCGGCGACTCCACATCCCATCTGAGCACATGGCGCAAGAAACCGAACGAACCATGGTCGACACCAGACTACGCCGAGGAACTTGTCGCCACCCCTCCGCGATACAGCGACACACACAATCCACCCACGTCAATAATCAAGCCACCATCTCTATCCTTCGACTCCTCAACCCATGTCCCCTACCCGACCACGAACCCATCAGTCCAAACCACCACGCCGAACCGCCCCGCCCGCTCCAGCACCGAGCCGCTCGCCACATACTCGCACGACTACCGAGCGACGCCACGGCACGGGCATGCACGAGCCTCGAAACCCTCGCACCACCAATACCGACACGGCTACCGCGGCGACACTTTGGCGACGCTGACGCTGCGTCAGCATGCGCGGTTCGCCGGAGATCATCCTCAAAGCCCCGGTAGTCGCCGGTGCAACGGGTATGAGAAAACCAGCGGCAGCGGCAGTGGCAGTGGCGGTGGAAGTGGCAGTGGAAGTGTCCGGGAGCGGAGGAGGACGAGTAATCCTGGCGTCACGCTGCCTGTCACGGTCATTGATGAGTTCGGCAATACGTGGATCTGAAAGCCATCGTCGAAGGGTGACGATTGTGAAAATTGACTTTTTGGCATGTTTTTCATTACTGCGCCGTGCAGGCAGACGAAGCTTCAAATGGGATCGACGAATGCTGTTTCAGGGATCTTCTAGCATGCAGCACAGTGATCTGTTTTATTCTTAGTGGTTCATTTTATTGGGAAGAGCTACTTTGAAACACTTTGCTCAGGTTCGAGTGCTGAAAAGCTATCTCCTCCACCGGCACGATCTGAAGTCTAAGAGCATTCTATGTAAGTTGTCATTGCTTATTTGAACGGTCAGAAGAATCTTTTTGACATGTATTTTCATTCTAAGACTACTAGTACCTGTCCTTTTAGTCTCTAGAAGCTTTTGGTCTGCCACATTCCGTGAAATTGATTTTAGTTCAGGAATTTCTTTCACATTCGTAGACACCAATTTACAGATGACTCTGGACCAACTTCTTGAGCTCTTCCTCCGTGTAGCCCTTGATTCCAAGTAGCTCGTTGTCCGACGTCGCAGACCACTCGCCACCATATCCTTCCTGGAAGACAGCACTCATGATGAAGCCAACCATGAGGGCCCCGATATTGTCGACCTTACCGGACTGAAGAGCCTTGAGACTGTTCTGGCGATTCTCCTCGGTATCAGCGACAGTGGTTTCCCAGTCCTTGCCATCTTTCTCCTTCGCGTATGCGATCAGCTTGTTTTGCGTAGTGGTGACGTCCTGGACATAGACAGCGCGATTGGCGGTCTCAGCCTGCTTCTTGATGACTCCCACGACCGCCTTTCCAATGGTGGCGAGTGTTGTGGAGCTGAAAGCACGGTCTCCGCCGTTGTACAACGTCGCCTTGTGATCCTTGGCATTTACAATGAAACCAACGGCGATACCCCAGTCTAGGAAGGGGCCATTGTAGACGAGCGTGTAGGTAAAGTTGGGGTTCTTAGCGGCGACTTCCTCAAGATACTTGGCTGTGGAGACCTTTGCTCCGAAGACTGGTAGAGCAGCAGTGTTGGGGTTCCCAAGGTTGCTGCCGAATTCAGAAGGCAGGAATCGCTTGACACCCGCGGCGACGGACGCGTCGATCAGGGGGTTCTGAGACCCAAGGGCTTCAGAGCCCACGTTTGAGACGACGACTTCAACACCCTGGAGAGCTGATGTGAGGGACTCAACTGAGGCGTAGTCGACCTCTTTGATTGTGATGTTGGAGTTTTGAGGCACTTTGCTAGAGTTTCCTCCCTTGCGTGACAGGACTGTCACTGTGAAGCCGGCGTCCAGGAGAGCACTTAGGATGGAGGGACCTAAGTTACCAGTAGCACCGGCGAGAGCGACTTTCGTGCCAGACATGTTTTAGGTGAGTACTGAGTAGTTTGTCTGAGGGACAACGTTGTTCAGGTGTTGGAAGCTGGGGTTGTGAGTGAACCTTAATATATAGTAACAGGTGGGGCTTGCGATGGGGTTTCTCAACACTGATGGCGTTTGATGTGGAGTAAGTGTCGTTTTCCTGCTGTGAGAGAGATGTAGAAGATTTGATTGATTGATTGTGCGAAGTGAGAAGATCCAGATCCTGTAGCAGGAACGACCTACCTTATATAAATGTTTGCGAACTTACGACCATGGGTGGGTAGCTTCCATTGGCATCTGCCGTGAGGCTTTCCGACCAGGTCTAGAAGCCGGCTACAAGGCTACCTTGTCGATTGCGAATCCAGTCTTCGTAATGCGGTCAACGATTCTGAAGTAAAACAGTCTGCTTTGTCAAACGAATTGCTCGCCAATAAGGCCGTAAGTGGCGCTACAGCCATTTCGATTATGAACGAAACAACCCTTCTGAGGCTTTCAGGAGATGGCATGGGATAGCACGGAGTAGCATGGGATGGTGTGACAAGGCTACGCGGGGTTGAGTGAACTTTGACGAATGAAGTCTTCTGGTAGGAGTGCTGCTGAGTAACAAGAGAGGGTTCAAGGTTTGTGGGGATTCCGAAAGCCTCAAAGTTGCTGCTTGTCGTAAGCAGGCCACGGCCAGGCAGGCCAAAAGAAATGTCTCCGAGCGGATGAAGATTCCTCCGATTATCAAATCAATTCCGGTGGGATGAACGAAGAACGGTCAGCGGAATTCTATTGTATGATACTTAGGTATCCGTATGTTTGATGCCAAGTTAAGCCTCCCCATAACATATCCCGTACTATTCTCCTTTCAAAAACAATATCGTGACTTATATACAGTAATTTCGTAATTAGTTTCACCCGAAGCTTACGATGGTACTCCTTCATAGTCCCATCCATTATCTCCCCGTCTTCGAGTCCGACTGCTCCTACGATTCTCGTTGCACTTGACAAGGATAGTCAATACGGTGAGTATCAGGACAATTAACGCTGCGATCGTTGGAATTAGCACATTCCTTTGCCGTATTTCGTCCCCATTGTATACGTAAGGGCACGTTCCGTTGGGCCCCTCTGCGGTCCAGCAATCCGGCACATCCAGACAGTTGAAGTTGATCCAGACCCCTTCCATCAGAAGTTCTGCATCACTGCTGTCGAATGTCTGCGAATCATTCAATATCTTGTGATATAGATATGTATTCTCCAGACCAGTTCTGGGAAGATCGAAACTCGTGTCGGTGGGACATACATCTGGGGCGGCTCCAAATGGCACGCTCATCGTTGAGAGTCGCCATAGATATGGCTGACCTGATATTCGACACGCTGCACGACGCTTCTGCTGGCAGTTTTCCACTCGCCAATGACCCTGATAGCCGCTTGAAGGGTCAATGACGGCACATTTGTACTCATCGTCATTTCCTTGAACGTCGACTCCTGGAGCTGAGGTGTTCCTTGGCTCTCCTTTGGCCCATCCAAATATTGCAGCTCGAGCGAAATCCCGGTATGGCTCCAGATTGTTCAGTGATACTGAGCCTGTAAATGTCATATTCAACATGGAAGAAATACCACATCGGGTGGCATTACCGATGATGTTAGACAAAGGGTCGGAGGTAGGTTGGTCAAGTGTGGCAACTGCCCAGGATGAATTGTCTTGCGCTATCGAAAAGACGTCGGGTCGATAGTAGCATGCCGCGTCGACATCACTTTCAGCCTCGATGATGCTTGAGGAATTCGAGTTGATGTAACCATGCGGAAAGACCCTGCTCGAGTCAGCGAGAAAATTGTAGCCCTTCATCTGCGGGTCGATATGACCCCAGCCAGCAAGTAGACGTCTACTATCAGTGAGAAGGATCCATGATTCCCCAGGCCAGCCGTCAAGGGTCAGGACATTGTTATCTGGACCGTCCTGTGTCTGAAAATAGCTCGTTTCAGTACTCGAGCTGAAGGAGTCACGAAACCAAGATTTTTGCAAGTCGAAACGATCGTCCTGTAGTATCTCGGGTGTATAAAGGGATTTTGGAAATGCTGCTTCCAGTTGTGCTCCAACTAGTTCTTCGGGTTGCGGTAAATGGCCACCAGTGGGTGCGATGGCAGCATCGGATGGAGCAGTGAAAGGGGCGGCTGCATGTAAATTTATATCTAGATATGCTAAACGCACTGATACTGTATCGGAGGTATTCGAGAAATATGAGTCGTATAATGAAATGATGGAATCCAGGTTCAAGTCCAAGCTGCATTTATAGTTCCCAAGCTCGAGTAATGTTGTCCCTTCAAGCCCCGTAGTGGTGGGGATAGAAGCAGGCATGGTCGACGTGCTGCTGGGAGTGAGGCTAGACGTTGGTGTGGTGGTGGTGGTGGTGGTATTGGACAGTTCTGACTGACGTTTGACGAAGAAAAAGCCATTGGCGTTTGGGCTGTCAGTAGGATTTGTTGCTTGGTCCAGGGCCGAGGTTGTGGCAAGTAATGAGCTCAATGCGGATACATCAACGCTTATGCCACTGGTGGCATTCCCAGAAAGTGGTGGCAGCTCGACCGGACATAGCGTGAACTGCCTATTAATAGTATCCCAGTATAAATCGATAACGAGTCGACGAAATTGAAGAGCTAGCAAGTTAGAAATACAGGTTTGTGCCGGGATATCATCATAAACTCCATCTGCAAAACACGCTTTCGTGAGATATACCCCTGGGCGGGTAATGAAGTTGATTGGAACCTTGGACGCAGCATCTCTGGTAGACTTGAGAACAAAGTAAGCTTCGATGTCCTCAAGGGGATTGTGTCTTGATCGTAACGTACCAGGTACACGATAGACCATAGGGAATCCAGAACGGCTTCGTCATCGGGATTATATATAAGAGCCATTTGATGAGATCGGGCTCATGCTTCTGGTCACGACTCCAAAGCAGGCATCATCAATATTTATCCATTTTACGTGTCCATCACGGGCGAGATGAAATCAGACGGAAAGCAATGTCATAGACTGTTCCAATCGTGCGGCAGATGGCACGTATTGATCGATGGACCGAGAATGATGCTCCTTATAGTATATAACATATGTTCGTATGAGATGATGTATCGGTTGATTGATGAATATAAAGATTCCTTTGATGAGATGGAGACGTTGATGGATGAGCAGTGGTTGAGCAGAAACGGCAGCACCGCCACATCTTTCTCGAGGTCCTGTGGCTGGTGTCAAGGCAGAGGCTGAGAAACTTAGGTAAGTTGACAGGGGTCCTCATCTTTGTGGACTTTTTGACACATCGACATATTTCATCCTCCACGCTGTACATTACTCTCCTCTTTGGCCTGACAATATCACCCACCATCGGCCACTCCCTTTGTCCGCTGACAACAATCATTCTCCTGTTTCTTCTTCTTTCTGGTTTTCTACTCTAAAGCGCCCGGCTCACTTCATCTCTCACGCAACCTCACTTGACTTTCACTGTTAGCGCACCCCTCCACACACCCGCCGCCGCCCTTGCCTCCAATCTCCAGACTCATCACCTTTAACACTCACCCACCCATCATGTCCCAACCAGGACCACCCCCGGGGATGCCTACCCCCCAACAACTCCAGCAGATGATTGCGCTCGAGGCACAGAAGCGAGGCATGACCGTCCCGCAATTCCAGGCCTTTCAACGCCAGCAAATCGAAACCGAAGCCGCAAAGCTCAACATGAGCCCACAGCAGTTTATCCAGATGAAACAGGAAGAGGCGAGACAGAACTTCCAAAGACAACAACAACTACAGCAGCAGCAACAGGCACAACCAGGACAGGGCCAACCGTCTCAGCCCCAGCAGCAAGGCCAAGTTCAGCATATTCCGGTTAATGAGGGTGTCGAGGCAAAGCCAGAGGCCATTGCTGTTGCGAAGTTTCTGCGATCACGAGATCTAAAGACGAGGACTTGCATCTTCAACGGACAGAGGAAAGATATGTTTAAGGGTGAGGAGTTTCGCCATAGTAATTTGTCTCTGGTCATGCACTAACAAGAGCCTAGTCAAACGCGCATTCCGCGAACTCCATTCCGAGGCTTATAAGAAGGCTCGCACCAAGGATCCTCTCCTACCTCAAGTCGAGACTGACCTGGAAGCCCGCCAGGCCGTTCAGCTCCTCCCTCTCTCCATGCTCGCTCTGCGTGTGTCGAAGAAGGATCCTCATGAAGGCCACAACCATGCCAAACCAAAGAAGGAGAAGCGTGTCAAAGGACTTTGGGAGGTCAAGCTTGAACAACAACAAGATTTCGAGCCTATGATGCATTATGTGTGGCTGTACGAAGGCTCACAGTGGAAGACCAAGATGTGGGCTGGTGTTGTCCTTGTTCTGGTCTTTGCTGCTATCCTCTTCCCTCTCTGGCCTCTGGTCCTGAGACAGGGCGTCTGGTATCTCTCAGTCGGCGCCATGGGTCTCATCGGTCTCTTCTTCGCCATGGCCATCTTCCGCCTCATCCTCTTCGTCATCACCTTCTTCCTGTTCGCTCCCGGTCTTTGGCTGTATCCCAACCTGTTTGAGGATGTTGGTTTCTTCGACAGCTTCCGTCCCTTGTGGGGCTGGCATGAAACTAAGGAGGATATCAAGAGGAAGAAGCAGGACAAGAGGGCGAAGCGCGCGCAGAAGGCCGCCGCCGCTGCAGGTGGTGAGAAGCCTGCCGTGACTGTTGGAGACAGCTCTGCCACTTCCGCCCCTGCCAATGGCAGTGCAGTTTCTTCCGGTTCTCAGGCCGTTGTCCCATCCGGTCCCGCACGACGACATGCAGCTCCAACGGTGGAAGAGGTTGATGATGAATGAACTGCCTGCTCTATTTAGAGAGGTACAGGATGTATCAACACACATCATGTGGCGTTTTTGGGCTGTATTCGGATGCGCGTCATGTTTGGCTTGCATTGCCTACCCTCGGCAGTTGAACTGAGTATTTTGGCTTTTCCCATCAAGTTCTTTCCAACAATCTTGCCAATTTCTGTGCATTCGTCGTTGATTCCGTGCTTGACTGTTTGAGATCTTTGTCCACAGGTCTGCTATCCAAATCCGCCAACCCCGCAGAGACCCGCGCCATTAGCACTCGCATACGATCCAGTTCCTGACTCAACTCCCCGTCTCTGGACACGAGGTTTGGTTGAATATTGGCTACTGGGTCTTGCAACGGATCCAGTGCCTTCTGTAGTTGCTGATACTGCGCAACTCTCCGTTTCAGAGCGTCTCGCTTCAGAGCCATCTCCACCAATTGACCACGCAGTTCTAGGTATTCTGAAGCTTCATCGTCCTGCACCTTGTAATCCTGGTGGAGGTGTAACTCGGTGTAATCTTCGGGCAGACTTTCGATCGTAGCGGTCTCTGTAAGATCTACCTCTCGTCGGATCGCGACTGTATCTATTTCCGCACGGTCTTGTTCGGCAGTGGCCTTATTCCAATACAGCGCCTCTATTTGTTCTGCGATATGGCGTTGAGATTGGGTGGAGAAGATCATTCTGTGGTGGGCTTTGATCTTATCATCAACTAAAGGGCGTATTCATGTCAGTAAATTAGGCGATGGGCTAGGAGTTTCGTCGTTCACCTTTGGAAACAATGTCTTGTATGGCTTTATCATTGAGTTGGCCGTCTCCTGGTTCTGGCGCAAAATCTCGCCATGCTGTTGATGGTTGTAAAGGGGCCGATAGATATTTCAGTTGGGATCTTATGAACGCCGCCTTGGTAGCGGTGATCGAATCCTCTTCCATGATTGCAAGGATCTTGAAGAGGTGACTGTGTGATGGATCAAACTTGACTGCGACCACTGTGTGTGCACTTGCCCCGCCAGCGACCAACTGCTCGTAAAGTGGTTTTCCACGCGTACGCGTTATACGGCGGAGCAAATTATGCTGCTAGTGTATAAAGTATCTAAGCGGCCACATACTCCGAAGTAAGGATGGCCGACCGAATTCGTCTGTGCCTCGGTTAACTCGCGGTGATCATCGCTATGCCGTCCGAATATCTCGGATCTTTTTACATCTTTAAAGGAAGCCGGCCATTCGAGAATCTGTCTTTGGTAGTCTATCGGTTCAAGGCTGGTCTATCTTTACTTTGTATATTGGAGACTAGATCTGCTTGAAGGGCTCCTGAAAGCCAACAAGTACTGATCCATAATTGTCTGTCTAGCTTTGGCCTTGCCCTCGTCATGGTGTCGCCGTCTAGGCCAAAGGTCCTCCTATTTGACATAGGAGGCGTGTGTGTAAGTCAGCCAGAGGAAAATCATGTGCCCTCAATCATCGCGCCCCACACTTGGATTCGCGCATGTCTTTCAAGGGCTACTCCATCTAACTCACTTCCAGGTCGTGTCACCCTTCCAAGCCATTCTCGACTATGAGATCGCACGGGGTATACCGAAGGGTTATATAAACTATGCGATTCGGGAGCTGACGCCCAATGGTGCGTGGCACAAGCTGGAGAGGGGAGAGATCCCAAACGACGCCAACTATTTCCGAGCATTCAAAGCCGACCTTGAGCGGCCCGACTTGTGGGCGAAATTCCAGAAGGATCGGCTCAACGTCTCCGATGCTTCCAAGATCCCATCGGTGCCAGACATCGATGCAGAGACACTCTATTGGACCATGATGAGCACGTCTCGAACCCCGGATCCATACATGTATCCGGCTCTGAAACGGCTAAAAGCGGACGGCAGGTACAAGCTCGCAGCGCTGTCCAACACCACCGTCTTCCCCGAGGGTCACGAATTCAACACTCCCAGACCAGACGACGTGAAGAATATTTTCGAAGTCTTCGTCAGTAGCGCCCATGTGGGTATGCGGAAGCCGAATCGAGATATCTACGAATACACCTTCAAGCTACTCCAAGACACTTGGGGTCAGGACATTCGACCCGAAGATGTCGTGTTCACCGACGACATTGGAGAGAACTTGAAGATGGCCAAGAGCGTGGGTTGGAGGACCATCAAGGTCACGCTGGGGAAGATAAAAGACGCGGTCAAAGAATTAGAAAAGGTCACCGGGCTGGAATTGCTGGAGGCCGAAGAGGTCAAAGCCCGATTATAGAGATTTTGATGTTTGTGCCGCGATAAATCACTGAATGTATAGACTGTTCTCTTCAAGTCTCAGAACAAGGATCGTATGCAATAGGCAGCGAGCCCTGATACGATACATGATGAACCTCAGAGGTTCCAATAAGAGAGATCGGCTCCGCTCAGCATTTGATCCCGATTCCCGACCGACCCACGAAATGCCCAAAGTGGTCCGTAGTCGTAAAACCATGACATGACGTCCGAGCACATACATAACTAATCATTGAATATGTTAGAAGCTCATTGACACTAAACCTTTTCCTCACTCGACATTCAGTCTCCTCCCAGGCGTCAATGCGGTATTTACTTAGGATCCCTTTATTCGCCAACGGTCCATCAGACCACGAACTCCTTCGAATTCCCACCACGTATTCGTACTTGACGTCCACGCTGTATGTACATATAGCCCGTACGAGTAACGCAAAGACGCAATCTTAGGAAATACCCCTCCAACCAATAAGACGCCAAAGGGCGCGCGTAGCCTCGCCGAAATCCGACCAGTCAAGACACGGAGCATCCACGCCTTTCGACATGAGCACCTCAGATTTGACACCCTCCCATTATGACACATGTAGCTCACAGAGTTCGACACGCCACCGAATCGAGATGACAAATTGCCTAGGGGCGTGAGGCTGTACGCGGACTGCACCGTTTTGAAGTTTTCCGAAGCGTGACTTACGAACTCCTCTCTGTGTTTGTTCTTCGAGTTCTGTTCCTCTGGATCAATACCGTCAACCAAGTCAGCATCTTCGACTTGGATTTTGACGGCGCACTCGGCATCTTTCCGAGAGTATTTCATGCACTCAAAACACGTCTTTTGAGAGTGCGTCACAAACTATTGATCCGGTCGAGTGATGGGATGGGCTTTCGACGACTTTGTCATCGGACCGTCGAAACCCGAGACGCTTCCAGAAACCAAAACCTTGTCACCGTTCGCTTGATTGAAAGCCTCGAAACAGCTTCCGAAACGCAGGTGCTGAAACTTCATGTCTACTTGCGCCCTCGCCCGTGGTGAAGTCGGTGTATGGGGGTCAAGCATACCGTATGATGCCCAGGCATGCCTATGAGTGGGAGAGCAGAAGACAGACAAAATGGCAAAGAGACTGATGCAGGAGAAGCATTATTGAACTTGGACGGATATGTTTGTGAACCACAGACATTGATTCCTGTCTGAGGTATAGATCATTAACCTGGCTCGTCCTATCACGAGCAGCTAGACATCCTGGGCTTTCATCTTTGAACATCCAACGCACACAAGGCTCGATCGAATTTCATATACGGAGAGGGAAACATGACTGGACAAGATCCTCCACCCCCTTCAAGCAAGCCAGAACCAGAACTTCTCGATCCAGTTGCGAGGAATGCGTTCAGGCCATTCGACAGCGTCCAGAGCAGCCTTTCCGGTGTGCAAGTCGGCATCCTCTGGCTTGACGAAGTGAGTGCGCTTGAAAACTTTCCAGAAGAGATAGAGGCCGAAGAAGATGGGGACACCGATGTAATCGGTAAGGAATGCCTGGTAATCCCAACTGCCTGCAATCGAATCAAATCCGTTGAAGAAGATGATCAAGCTGAAGAAACTGGCCGAGATAATAGCAAGGTATGGCTGGAAAGGTGCCTTGAGAACCAAGGTATTTCGATCAATGCCTTGTGCTTTAAGAGCGGCATGGAAACGAACATATGCGATGCAAATGCTGACCCAGGTGAAAAGGGTACTAAAGCGATCATGTTAGCCAGAGTTGTGGCAACGAATTTCAAATTTCTTACCTGATTGTGGTCAAATTTTGGAACCAAGCAAATACTTTGGCGGAACCTGCAGAGCAGGACAGGTAGGTGATGAGCGAGATTGAGCAAGTGATCAATACACACCAGATTGGGACACCACTCTTGGAGCACTTGAGCAGGAATCTGGGGGCCTGTCGATTTTGGGCAAGAGCGTAAAGATAGCGAGAGCCCGTATACAAAAAGGCATTTGCCGAGGAAGAGGCAGAGGTCAAGATGACAGCATTGATGATTGATGGAAGGACATCGATACCGGCACGGCTGATGGCGATGACCCATGGGGATTGGGCGGCGCCGGCAGCACCAGATTCCCGGGCATTGATGAGGTTCTCATCGTTGGATGGGACCAAGACACCAATTGCAAGAGATCCCAAGACGTAGAAGAACAAAATACGCCAGAAGACTCGTTTTACGGCCTTGGGGATGTTTCGTCGTGGATCTTCAGCCTCTCCGGCTGCGACAGCCACCATTTCGACACCACCATAAGAGAAGGCGGCATTAACAAGGGTTGACCAGAGACCTAGGAAGCGACCAGTACTGCCACTCGCGATGTACGGCTTCATGGCACCAGGGTTTCTCCAATATTGGAAACCCAAGCGATGCTGACCTGGAACACCACCAACATCGATGATGAGAGCTAGTATCAACAAGCCGACGATGGTGATGATCTTGATCGAGGCAAAGATGAATTCAGCCTCACCATAGATTGACACGGCGAAAATATTGAGGCAGAGGACGAGAACAATGACGAGTGAGATCCAGGCGGCCACGTTGATGTCACGAGCCCCGTTCCAAAATTGAATGACAGTGGAAGCGGCCGAGATTTCAGCACAGAGAGTGATGGAACATGAATACCAATTGTTCCAACCAACGGCGAAACCCATGGCATCGTCGACATAACGAGCGCAGAATTGTGGGATGGCACCAGGTAGAGGTAACCAGGTGGCCATTTCACCGAGGGAGTACATCATGGCGAAGACAGCAATACCAGTAAAGGTATAACCGAGCAGGACGGAAAGAGGACCAGCGTTCAAGAATGCACGACCAATGCCGAGGAAAAGACCGGTTCCGATTGTACCACCGAGTGCGATGAATTGAATGTGTCGAGATTTGAGACCTCGAGAGACATAGCCATATTCCTCAGCCGTGGCGATGTCGCCATACATGTCCGTGGCTTCATTGAGCTTGGAGCCTCGGCGGGCCTAGAAAGAGGAGGGTCAGTACATGGAAGAGATAGCAACCGATCGGGAGCAAACTCACCTCACTCTTGTTCGGCTCATGGTGACTTTGGATGGGGTATTGCTCTGGCGAAATTGAGCCCGAGGTCTCATGGAAATCGGTCTGCTTCTCTGCCATAGTGATGGGATACTCAAGATGGATGGGAAAGTGAGATTGAATTGACAGGACGGTCCGACGTCCTTTTGATGCAACAGGTCAGTTTGATAGGGGAAGCGCAATGGTGCGGACCTGACCATAAGACAAAGGCTGAAGACAGGTGGGACAGTGGGTGAGCAGGCGGAAGACGTATGGAGTATAAGTATGGCATGATGATGGCTGGAATCCGCGCAGACTCCTGGTAGGCAGATATTGAGCCTGGGGTTGGGCAACGATGACTTTGTTCAGCCAGAGAGGCATGAGATGTGAATCGGTGTTTACGACGGATTGAGAAATGTCACCTTGTGACCCACTCGGGGCCAGCTCGAGACAGGGCTGGCCACGATCAGGCGAGGGAAAGCGAACGCCAGACAGCCAGGTTGAGCAAGTCGAGGCCGACGGAACAGAATTAAACTCACAGGGTTCACAGTAAGGCTCAATGATGAGTGGTGGCTATTTGGAACAGTAAATGTGGAGGCCATTTGGCCGAGTGCGAAGGAAAGGAAGCTAATGTCGGTGAGTGGTGCAATCAGCGACGGTGCGTGGTGGAGAAGAGAGGGAGTGATCTCCGTGGGAGTATGGATTTGAGCATCACAGCCAGTCAGAGGGTGCCAACCATCACTGGCAGCGAGTGGCGACGACTCAAGTGACAAGGTGTAAAGTTCGACGACGCCCAGTCATAAAAGTGCAGAAGTTGAAGTCGACGCCAGCCTCGGTTGGTCAAGTTGATGGAGATGAACCGGGTTGAACAATCCACTTCAGGCGCAACACTGCTATCAGTGAAACCAAAGCAGTAACAGCCTCGCACCACTCAGAAGAGGGAGGAGATGGCGCCACTATTGCAGGTTGTGGCAGCATCTCTTGGCTGTCATGCTCATCTGTGGCCTGGCAAGAAACTCGTGCAAAGTGACAATTTGACATGGTTCAAGGTTGGCTACCTGGTCAGTAAGGGTTAGCACTTGAAGTCGTGACACATGGAAAAGAGCACTCAGTGTGGGGTAAGAACTAAATAAGCCTCTCCCTTCAGGCTTGAGGCAGCCAGCAGCTCTTTAGTCACAACGCGGAAGCTGAGAGGGTGCAGGACCAAAGCATCGATTACGAGGACAGATGAGCGTGAGGTGAGAGGGCGCCCAGGACTCAGAACCAAGGCCTAAGGTGTGATTATTGACTTTGGACACGCGTTTGTTAATGGCAGTCACAACCTACTTCGTATAAGTCGACAGGCCCGACCCTTGCCCCAAACCAGATGCTCCTCCAATTGCCAGTTGCAGTGCCAGTGGTTACAGTCCTGCCTCGGGGATTCCCTTCAGGCTTCAGGTAGTCCCAGGGCCAAGGCCCAAGAAACCCCAAGCAACCGGCAAGAGGCCTTGATTCTCTTCAAGAGTTCTGGCACGCCATCAAGAATCCTTCCAAGCTTTGATTGTCCTCTGGGCGCGAATTGCTTAATGGAACAGTTTTCAAACGCAACGTTTCCATCCAGAAGATGATAATTCAATACCATGAAAATTGGTGTGATTTTCCATGGCCCATGCAGCTCTTCTGATCCAATACGAAATGATTTGGCACACCCAAAGTTCGATCGTTGCTTACTCGTACTTCTCAAGGGGCATCGACAACTGTTGACAGAGTCGCATCTGGCACCGGGTCACAGCCTTCAATTTCCAGGGCTCCCGGCGAACTCCAGATCGAATCCGCCCCTTGGCCTTAGCAGTTGCTCATTCCGCGCGGGTCCACCATTCCCCAAACGGTTCGCTCCCCGCACAGAGTTCGGACTGATGCTGCTAGTGGCTTCAAAAAGAAAACGATCACGCCTTCTAGAAGCTCATCCACAATTCACTCCACTATCATGCGCCGTCAAATCATCATTTCTTTCTCCTCATCCTCCTCCTTCTCTCGAAAGTCAAAAGCCATTGTGCTGTTTCAACTTCTCTTAGTATGCTCAGCAGTCAAAAATCGTGGCGTGCCTTGATCGAGCAAGGATGAATGACTGAACACTACAGGGTACTACTGTGTAATTCTTTCCCAGTGCAAAAAATATGAAGAATACGCTTTCAGACTATCTCAACGCCACCTCCTGCTCTTCGCCTCGTGTTACACGCCATGTAACCTCCAATAACAAAAAGCAATACACACAGAGATCACCATATACAGAATGGATCCTACAACTTACAGCCTTTCTCCAAAATCGGCCATGTTTGAGTCCGAAGGTAAGCACCCCTGACATTGAATAACTCGTGAACAGCTTTGACCGGCACGTATGAGAATTCTCACTGTCATGCAGATGAGGAGCATCCCATTGGTATTCGTATTTGCCCAAGGCTAACCAGCCCCCAGGAACTTCTATCCATCCTTGCTGCTGGACATAGGAGTTGTCCTACGGAAATCTCAACAAGCAACATCTATCCGCGATCTGACCCGGTTCCTTCCTTCCTCGGGATTTTCCGAGATCCACAGCCTTGCCCGTCCTTATCAATTAGCTTCCCGATGTTTGCTGCTCCATGTGAAGCATCATGATCCTTGTACCCTATGTATGAACAGCCTTTCCTGACCCTGCATGCCACCATCCTCAATCGCTTTGAATTCATTGATGAAAGAGGATTGCCAATCCAGAAGAAAAGACATGATTAAATGACCGAGAGCATGTTGTCAGCGGTAGCCTTTATCCGTGCCAAACCTCTAGGAGTTGTCACATAGACCTGGTGGTTGGGTTCAAGCATCCCGGGCAGTCTAGGCACCCCCCTCCACATGTTTTCATAGCCTCTCTGCACTGCCTGGTCCTGCGGCCCTTTTCGCTCCTGAGGGAAGGGACTCACGAAGCGACGTTGAGGCGACGCACCTCCCGCTATGGGAGGAAGTCTCAGTGGTTGAAGCCGCTGCGGTCGCTGGACGACGGGAGGGATGTCGTTCGCATGGAGAGGTCCCCTCTGAAATGGCAGCCCTGGCGCTGGTCGACCATCAGGCAACCGCTGAGGTCCCAATTCGCACGGGGCCGGTCGCTGAGCAGGTGTATGCTCCGGCGCTCTCACGCCCGCGTTCTCCTCACGAGCTAGCCTCACATATTCAGGGTTCGGAGGGCGCCCTTCCTGCCGGCAGCGGCCGCAGACTTGATTGACTCTTTTATCGACGAATACGGTGTCGTGGTTTGGAATCTGACGGTGGTGCTTGCTAGCCGTCCTTGTTTCGCAACTCCAAACGTGCACGCTCCAGTCATGGCCGCAGAGAAAGATACTGTGGACGCCTCGACACATGGTTCGACAACTCAGATGGTAAGGTAAGCGTGGTGGACGAGAGGTGGGGTGGAGTTGTTGGGGTTTTTATTATCCGCTGGATAGCATGGCGTAGTCTGAATGGAGAGCATCCTCACCAACGGCTAGGTGATGCGCTTTGTGCTTTATGTTGGTGATAGGTAGGTGGACTACGTATGAGAATTCTGCTTCGCTTCACTCACTTGTTTCCTTCCCGAACAGTGTCTTTCTCTCACATCCCAATACTTACCCGAAGTGACGAGCATTGTCACGCTTTTACAAGAAAGCAACATTCAAGAGTGACAAGTGGTTGGTAGCTGGAGTGCAATGTATTGCTCAATTAGTTGGCGTTTACTTCACTGCCACTCGAGGGATACAGAAGCTTACTGATGACTGGTTCATGAGACTGAAATGTGATATGACATTCTGACTTCCTGGTGATCCCGGTGCCACACAACGGGGTTTTTCACCGGCATGGCCCGCCTCCCGTCTTCTACACTCTCTAGTCGGTCATTGTGCTCTCTGTTACACCTCTTCATATTTGAGTCTCCTCAGACATGTGACGGGATCTGCAAATTGGTACTGAAGCGGCGGAACTCGGCTAGCTCGGCAGCACGCCGTGTTGATCTCACTTCCGGGCATTCGTTCCCCGGCCCACGGTCCTGCTTGTCCGCTGTAAACGAGCGCCATTCCGTTGCGCACTCTGAAAACGCGATAGACCCCCTCCTGTACCTGTTGACATCGATTCTTCGTTTCCGGGCTCGGAAACACGTTGTTCGGTAAATTCATCGACGCCTCCGCGTAGAGATGCGGTGGTAGGCGGTCGAGACCACCCAGCTGCGTAGACAGGGGCGTCTACGGGCGGTTGCGACCGATGGAACGTCAAGCTGATATTCGTGCTCTTCCACACATAGTCGAAGACGGTGGAAACGAGCACGACTAGGGATCTGCACGACATCCCCATCACGAGAATGCTGATGATGAAGACGGCTTCAAAGACCCAGCTAGGTTTGACGTGGGTGACTCTCCGGAGAGAACCATCTGCAGCTGCGGGCTCATCAAGCAGTCTGTCCCCTTGCTCTTGAAGTCGTCCCAGAGCGTCATGATCTCCATACTCCAAACCGGCACAAGAACAACGGCCAACATGATCCAGAACTGCCACATTGGCGCACCATCTCTCTGCTGCGTATCAGCCGGTGTACTGATAGGCTTGAGATTCATACCAAAGACTCCCGTAATGAAAGTCAGCGGCAGAAAGATGAATGCAAGTTGCGTTATCCAGCCAACGGAATGCGTTTCTCGAAGGCTCCGGCGGGCATCTTGCATCTGCAGACTTGTGGTCTGGATTTGAAGAGCCTCATGGAGGATTGCAACCTCCTCCAGAGCCGCGGCGTAGGCGGGCTCAAACTGATTCTCTGGTGGATTTTCATGTGAATTGACGGTGCGATGCTCTGCAGACGAGGAATTCTGCATCGAAGGGAAACCGCTGAGAAGTAGCCATTGCCTGATGTTAGGCTTCGCGGATACAAGATCCACCAGTGTCCGGGAGAGATCATGGGACGAGTCCTCGTACCATGGGCTTATGTTGCCTTGGTACGTGACTTCGAGGTCGCTGGTGTTCTTTGAGCCACATTCTTGCAACGTAATAGGTCCATATGTATGTGGGATAGGATTTGGCACTCTCGCTGTAGCAACTCAGCAAGAAGATATGCAATATTGAATCAACGGTGCCATCCATGTGCACGTTGTGGTGACAAGCTTCCACGGGTTCGATTTGTATCGATATCGATAGCTGATAAGACAAGCGAGGGTAGAGTCATGGTTGCTGGGCGACCCGCTCGGCAAGTCCCATGTCAACAAAAATTGACGACACCAGCAACCCTGCACGACCACACCTTGGACTTGGTTACTATTATTATTCGCTTGGACAAACTTGAAGCTGCGCACTGACTCTCTATAATCTCTAATCGAATTCCAGACTCCATTCCTCTTCCCACCTGACATCCATCCATCACCAGCATTCTTTCTCGAGGGGGCAAGAATGGGTGTCGAACCTCCATTCATCTACGACCGTCCCTCGGCCTATACCTTTGGTAGTCCCACCTCTCGTGGGTTCGATCCCAAAGCTGCAACTCGTTCATCATGGCAGCCGCCTCTACAGAAGCCAAAGCAAGAAGGGCCACTGATTGAATTTAATAAACACCCAGACTCGGTGAGTTGCGTAGATAGAAATCCATACAAGCATCCATTCCTGACATCACAAACTGCAGTACCTCGCCGTTCCTTATGGCAACCTCAATGTCAAACCAATGCATCCTCGAACCAAGCTCCGAGTCGATCGAGCCCGACTGCTCCAACTCTTCCTACGAGTCTGCTCTTTGATCGGAGCCTTGGGAGCTCTTTTCTGCGTCATCGCTATCAACAAGACCGCCACCAGTGTTGGATGGATCATTCGTGCTGCACCAGCTGTTGCTATCTGCCACACCATCTACGGCATTCACCACCTCTGTCGAGCCGCCACCGGTCGAACTCCCGCCTCGACTGCGAGCTATATGATTTTTGCCGCCATCGTTGACACTGGTCTGATACCATTCTTCGTATTTTCTGCCTGGTTGGCCAATGCGGACTACACAAGAAATGAATATGGATGGAGCACATTGTTTAACAACTCCGACCTCTCCTACAAGATCATATTTGCCTTCTTCATTGTGTCATGTGTACAAGGAGGCCTCTTCGTTGTCTCTTTGATCCTGGACATCTTCTTGGCTGCCAAGTTCAAGCAAATTGCCAGGATGCCACCGGACATGAATCCCCTCGAACCAAATTTGACCTCCAGACACAAGCGAAATAAATCGGAGGGAATCACAGAGAAGAATATGAATGCATCTGCTCTAGCCGCAAAACGAGAGTCGAACAAATCGGGCTTCAAACGCGTCCCATTCATTCACACTCGAACCGATTCCGCAGACAGCGTCACTCTATACGGAAATGAAAGCGCTCGAAACTCGAGGGCTGAGTTTCGTAAGGAACTCAGTGAGAATGAGAAGGACCCGTGGCGATTTTCGGGCTCGACTGTTTCACCTTCACGACCAACATCTGCTGTCAGTCCATCTCCAAACGCTCGCGGTGTTGGTGCCGGCCTTGATTATCGTCCCGAACGTGCTTCTTCCCCTCTCAAGGAAAAGACTTCCAGACCGTCATCTTGGCTCTCATACTTAGATTATGAAGGCGTCCCTACCGATATGAGTCAAGACGCCACGGCTCACCTCGACAGCGAAGTTCGTCCCATTTCTCCTGTTTCAGCCATTTCGGGACGTGATCCATCCATTGATCGACGCAACCAAGAGAGGGAGAATTGGTATGAAGGAGGTGCCAGAAACAGCCAGATGTATTTGCCTTCGAACAACACCAGTAGATCCCATCTCGATCAGCACTTGGCAGTACCGACTGTCGAGACCACTCCCAAGAAACGAAGCAGAGAGCCACTGGCCATGAACCCTCCCACCCCGACTCTTGGACAATTCACCGATGAAAATTCCCATGCCACCCCACACCGAGAGGGAAGATACTCTTTTGAACAAGATGGAGAAGTGCTCAATGATACCACTGGAAACGCTCGAGGACGACCGACAGGCAACTCCAGACCATCAAGCTTCGTAGGTAGTGGTGGAAAAGCACGTTTCTATGGTGATCTTCGATCGTCCATTGGGTCAGTCAGCTTTCCATTTGGAGATAAGAAGGAGCCCGAGCTCAACGTGCACGAGGTGGATCCATATGAGCGGACCAAGACGATGCAGACTGAAAGTGACTACAGTGCCAATTTTGAGGTGTATGAGTCGGACAGTGACGACGAAGGACAGCTCCGGGCCAACATAGTGGATGTCAAGTCTACGTTTGTGCCACCCTATAGCAGCCCCTACGGTGTCCGACAGAGCTCCAATTCAACTGGTGCCGATCTCAATGCAGGATATGCAGGTCTCGGGGTCGAGTTTGGCCAGGGCATGGGCAGAAGACGAGATGTCAGTGGTAAGGTTGCGGAGGAAGGTCGTGCTGGCAGTGAATCCCCAACCCGAAATGGCGAGGCTGGCTGGAAGCGATTCAAAGGATTGTGAGTAGCAATCACCTCAATTTGCACGGAATGGGAATGGGCTTCTTCGGTATGGTATCTGGTTGGCTCGGCGTCTGGTTCCAATTAGCATGTGAGAGGGGAAGATGGATTCAACAGTTGTGATGGAGAGTACGACGGGAAGACTTGATTATGTACAAAGGCAGACTCATGGGCTTGATGTAGATGACCTTGGAAGTGCCATACGACTGTCTCGGATTGTCAGGTCTGGTTTCGGGGGCTGGATAGCTTCGGGGATATGCGAATCAAAAAGTACACTGATTGATCACACAAACTGTATCGTCTCCCAATCGTTTCACAGTGATTGCCATGTCAGGCCTGAGGTGCTGTCAGCATCTGAGGAACTCTACCATAGGTATGAGTCCTACCTATCCACCTGTAACACCGCCGCTGACCGAGATATACTGGCCGGTGATCCATCTGCTCCTCTCAGAAGCAATAAGCAGAACAGCATCGGCGATTTCCTCCACAGTTCCCTCCCGCGCCTCGGCTCTGGTCATCGGCACGAGAGCGTTGTGGATTGCATCTGCAATCGGACCTTTGGGCATGCCGTCCGTCGGCACCGGCCCTGGCGCGATGGTGTTGATGGTGATTCCGTACTCGCGACCTAACTATTCGAGACGAGGGGAATGCCCTACATGTCAGCCAGAGATCGGGCGATATTGGGTCCCCGTTGCCCCTCAAAAAATGTGGAATACTCCGCAGTGGAGGAGGGGATGCTTACCTCCATGGCCATGGCGAAGGTGAGGGCATCGAGCGCTGCTTTGGAAGCCACGTACAGCGGGATCGGGGCGACACCCAGCTTGGATGCAATGGATCCGATGTTGATGACCCGACCTCCGCGCGGCATGACTGGGACAACTGCCTGAATCATGAACAACGGTGCGTAGACGTTGGCGCCAAATGTCCGGTCAAGGTCCTCTTTGGTGGCCTTGGTCGCGGGCCCGAAGGCTCCCATCGCCGCGTTGTTCACTTCACATGAGAAAAGGATTATTTAGTAATCGCTGGTCGTCAAAGTCGTTGACCATCGAAGATCTGACCCTGGGGTGCAAAAGCACTGAGTCGACTCACCAAGGATATCGATCTTGCCTGTACCAAATGCGGCAAGAGCCTCTTTCACAAGCCTCGCTGTACCCTCTTGGGTGCTTACGTCCGCTTGAACGACAATCGCCTCGCCTCCACGCTCGCGAATGCTAGAGACTACGTTTGCCGCCCGAGGCCCTGTTGAATCGGAGACGTGGTTGATTACAACTCTGGCTCCGTTGCGTGCGAGTGCCGAGGCGATGCCTGCCCCGATACCGTTCTCTTTGCCGGAGCCGGTGATGATCGCAACCTTTCCGGCGAGGGAGAGTGTGTCTGGTGCCATTGTAGTGGATTATTGATGAAGTGTTGTGAGACGAAGAAGGATGGCTCCTATTGAGACACACTCAACAGAAGACAACGGATCTTTTATAGTTACTCGATTCGTCCGCAATTGCGCCGTCTTCATGTCCTACAAGGTAGACGGCGTAAGCTGTGGGCTTGTATACTGGGTTGGTGGAAGTGGATATCCCACTCCACTCGGATGGGAAGTATTTTCGAAAGGCTTGACCGTATTTGGAAAGAAGAGACCCCTGTCGTGCATACGAACTATTCCAAAACCAGGTTCCGGAGCCAAATCTCTCACCATGATTGGATGTGCTGGATTTTCGAGACATCTTGAATCTTCCTTACATTTTATGCTGCCCACGACGGACGATCATGGGAGCAGTTGGCATTGCGACTTTCGTCCGGGCAGAGCCTGCTATACGGTCACACATTTTGGGTGTGATTGTGATGGTGATTGTGAGAGGATTCGAGTGAACGGAGTCCAACCAAGAGACCCTGTCGCTCGGACGGAAGTCCTCTCATCCTTGGGGTATCTTCCCCCAAGGGTGAAGCTACCCCAAGGCTGGCTCCACTATAGTAGTTGCGAGAAAACTTTCGCAACCTTGACGCCAATGTTGATACATTTATGTTTATTGCTGCTTCGCTATGACCATCAACCTTGGAAGTTGACCTAGGATCGATCATACTTCCAACAGACCGTTTTGGCACCAATATAATATAGTTTTATTTCTTGCTCAAGAGTATATTTTAAACAGGGTCGTGCTCCTCTTTACAACACCTTTGGTCGAAGCAGATGCTTTCAATGAGTAAAGCCCTCACACCCGGGCCCATCATATCATCAATGAGATTAATTTGCCGTATCAAGTGGAAAGCTTTAGCTCCGCACTTGATTTGCATCAATGCCGCCCACTTGTGAACTTGACTGAGGTAGAGATTGCGGGTTGGGCCTTGAGAAGCCATAGACCCAACAATACCGAGTGCCCAAAGCTGAAGGTCTGAAAATTCGTCGTATGGACTACAGGTGTGGAGGAACATCCGGGCGAAGCGCTCCTGCAAAGGCACGAGCTCATCCGCAATGCGGATAAAGGCCAGCTTCAGTCTGGCCAGGACAACCAGGAGTGCGAGTCTGGTCATTTCTCGTAACGCTTCATCTCGATAATTGGAGAAAGTGGGAATAGTTTCAGATACTCTCGGAAGTGAGAGCAGCTGGTGAGAAAGCGGACCGATCAGCCTTGTGCCATTGATGCCGTTATTCCAGAACAGGGGTTCCTCTGCGTGAGAGTTAGCAATGTCAGCAACATAACTGGCATCTTCAAGACAGAGAGCGACATCGTTAAGTGCAACAGAGTTGAGGGATCTTAGGTTGGATAAAACTGATTGAAGATATGGCGAGGCGGCGTGTGGTTGCGATTCAACGGGTTTCAATTCGACAGGTAGATTAAAACGAGGCATGGTGTCGGAGACGGCCGAGCCTATGATATCCATCCTGTTCTTTGTTAACACGATCACATCTTGTGGGTATGTGTATGATTGTGAAAGTATATACCAAGAGAGGAATATCGCAATTTGACCGCTGAGGGTTTGCGAATTGTCGCGGAGCTGCAACACTTGTTGAAGACCATTCATATGAACAGCCCACCTTGGCCAATTGCTGACATTTGACTATTGGCACTATCAGAAGCAAGAAGGAATTGTACAGCTTGTGGTTTCACCAACATCATGGCACAAGAAACCGAGAATGGTGGTAATGACGCCTTCACTCGATCGTTCAGTGTTGGATTCGAGTCTTTTGGACATGGTGGCCAAGCATGTACGGTAGTAATCGGACGACTCCAGGCAATCACTATACTCCAAGCTGCCCTGGTACTTGATTCTGTTCATGTACAGGGACGCATTGGCGAGTGATATATAGTAGGCGCTGACATCAACCACTGCCATGGAGAACCATTCTCGTCGGAATGGGCGATAAAGGTACTCAGCCTCGACATGTACTGGAAAAATCAGCGCTCAGTGCAAGTTCTCGATCTGTTCATGTGGCTTTCCCTACTGAAATGAATGAGTTCACGGGCCCGAGGAGTTGGGTCTACTGCGTAGATGCCGTAGGGAAACAGGGCCCTGGGAACGATTGTGCTCTCCTGAGAATTGGCCATAGCTTGAGTATCATTTCTGAGGATGGAGGGTTCGGTAACATCGTCACTAGTCAGGAGTTCCAGTTCGACGGTGATGAAATTTGGCTTCTTCCTCCGGGAACGGCCAACTTGTGACATGACATGATTTCGGATTCTCTTCTGGGTATCATGATGCCTGAGGTGTTGGGGTTGGAAGACTGTAATGAATACCAGGTCTTGTTGGTCGGATTGCGGGGGAAATGAACGCTTATGAGAAGTGCGCGGCATTATTTGACATGTACCGGATCACCTAAAATCACCTTATGACAGCAATTTACCTAGATAGACGTACACATTGTGGCTCTGAGAAAGTATGAAGTCCCAGGAGAGGTTGGGTGGAAAGGTCGGCCCAGCCTCGTAGCCTCGGAGTTGGAGTTAGTTACAGACTTACAGTAACTTTAGGACCGGACTGTTCTTCCCCCACTCTCCAATAAATAATCCTCCATCCTGCATTCATCCTGTCCCATCACTCGATCCATTCCCAGCTTGCTGTTCAACTCTTCACAAGACCGCCGTCGATCCCTGTATAATATGGCCACCAAGCAAGCTCTATCGACGTTGTCCCGCTGCACCAAGCAATTCGAGACATATCCCCGGACTGCGACCCTCGCACGACCGCAGCTCCAATCGACCTCACGGTCTTTCAGCAGCATCTTATGTAAAAAGCATGGCCCTACAGCTCAACCCTTCAGGCAATCACACAATACTCAGTCTACAATAATGCCTCGACTCCGCCAACCCAAGCGGCATTTCACCACCACACTCACCACGCGCAAAGAAGAACCCTCCTCCTCCTCATCAACACCACACACCCAAGCCCCTCCCCGAGTTTACACATTCGCGGAAATTCAAGACCTCAGCACGGCCAGCCCGCCCGACGCACACCGGATACTCATCGACGTGCGCGAACCCGGCGAACTACAGAGCACCGGCCGCATCCCGGGCTCGCAGAACCTGCCGGTCTCGAGCGGCGCAGACGGATTCTTCCTTCCCTCAGACGAGTTTGAGGAGCGCTTCGGGTTCCCCAAGCCCGATGCGGGCAAGGACGAGGTTATCTTCTACTGTAAGGCGGGCGTGCGGAGTCGTGCTGCCAGTGCGCTTGCTCAGCAGGCGGGTTTTGCGGCCAAGATCGGCGAGTTTCCTGGCAGCTGGATCGAGTGGGTTGAGAAGGGGGGTGAGGTGCAGCGGTGATGAGGAGGCGGAGGAGGAGGAACAACTACGTGTCGAAGCTCACGAAGATATTCTGGGAGGTTAAGATATCTTTGGTTCTAAACAGAGGAATTTCGATGGGGAAACATGTTGCTGCTCGACATCGCTTGCTGTGTCTACAATACCAACCCTGATAGGTTAGCCATACAGGATACTTCACGAGACTGGACTGAGACCGGGAGGCCATTCTATGGTATACGTATATGTGTGGCTGGCTGAACAGCCCTACGGGAAATGGCCGCCGCGGATGATAAGAAAGTGATGCCCACTATCACGAGCCGTGCCGTTGACCCCTCGTATTCTACCATGTAGACGACACTTCAACTCAGGAATACTTCATCGCGAGTGATATTCAATTATCATTATTGCATACACCATGGGCAGTATGTATGTACCTAGTCATTCCCCTTCCTAGATTAGAATGGATTCATTAAAGTCATTCTCAAATTCACCCAACCACCCATCGCATCACAACCACCGCGACAGATCCGCCTGGCGCTTGTTCTTCATCCACTCGCCGAAGCGATACGGCTTGTATTTCCTCTCTTCACGGGCACTGCGCTTCTTCAACTTCGCTGCGGGCGGGCTATCTGTGCCATTGCTCGGGCTGTTCGTCGTGGTGTTGTAGACACTGGTGTCGGGCGTGACCTCGAACTGCACGGTCGCATTGCCTTCCTGGTAGGTGGAGAATTTGGTGCCGTTGGTGATATATTTGGGCGTGACGACGATGTCGCCAGTCGCAATGTCGAAGCCGTTGAGCACCCGATCCACGAGCTCGAGGCTTACCAGGGGTTGGAAGAAGGGAACGAGATGGCCCGATTCGTAGATGCGCACGAACGCGAATTTGCCGGATTGCTTGACTTGGCCGTGCACGATGTTGTCGGACGAGGTGATGTCCACGAAGCCGGCGGCGGCGTAACCTGTTGCGTTGACATTGTCCGCGACCACTTGGCCGCCCAGCCAGTTGCAATTGAAGTCGGCGTCGCCAAAGTACATGACCACGGTGACGTTTGCGGCGAGGAGTTTCTTGACAGCCTCGACGGTTCCAATCTCTCGGTCGTCGTCTCCGGTTGATGCGAAGGCGTTTCCGACTGCACTGTTGGAGTCGCTGAAGTTGACATATGCCCCAATCGCCTCTTGTACGACTTCTGTGTTCAAATAATCAAGGTGGTAGGAAGGAGGGAACGGATTCGGCATGAGGTATCGGAAATCGTACTCGTCTCGCTCGAGGTAGATGTCGTACAAGTTCTCCACTTGCTGGTAGCAGAAGTTGTCGGCCGCGGTGCAGATGGAGTCAATTCCACGGGTGTTGCAGTCCACGGTCTGGTCATAGCAGTTGCCTGGCCCGTAGAGATTGTTGTACCACTGATCTAGACAAGACATGTCAGCTATGGCCCACTGGAACAGCTAGCAGTAGCAACTTACCTTTGACAGTCTGATTGAGTGGATCATAGCCATAAGTGTTACCAGGGGAGACACTGAAGTTGTAGTACGCCTGATACTGAATCAAAGGATCATACCAGCCATTGCCGATCAGCACACCCTCGAGGTTGATCTCGTGCGCTCCACTGATGTTCTTTGCGTTCTGTTCCACAAAGTACTCCGAGACAATCGGAGCGTAGTGGCCACCATAACTGCAGAACAGTGTTAGTATGCGCTATGCGAACTAAAGAAATGATTCGACATACCTCTCGGTTGTGAAATACACCCCCTTTCTTGCGTACTGTGGGAAGGCGCCCATGAACCCCTGAAGAGTCTTCCACATGTTGGGTGCAACCGCTGGAGTGTTATTGGCAGTCAACGACTCGTTCCAATAAGAGTATGTTCCACAAGCCCAGTCGCTGGCATATTCTGGGCAAGTATTGTTGGGCAGTTGAACCAGGTATCCTGACGCAGGATCTTCGTACGCGGGGACAGGTTCTGAATAGCTGAAGCCAACTTGCGTCGGTTGGTCAATGAAGATGATGTTGGTGACATTGGACCACGAGTACGGGTTGTCTTCAGCTTCACCGTCCGCATTTATTCTGCAAGGGCCAAGCTCTTGGAACAGACCGATCATGCTGGACGATCCTGGCCCGCCATTGATCCAGATGGTCAGTGGTGCTTCCTCAGGATCGACATTCCTCGCCTCAAAGAACCACCAAAAAATGTGTTGACCGGGCGCGACATCGGCATAGCCGGAATAGCTCTTGACGTCTGGGTCTTGCTCACAGATTCCTGCTGGAACATCCTTGTAGCGAACAGTGACATTCGCGTAACCTGTCTTGGAAGTGAGGTTTGTGGGAGCCGCCACGAATTGAGAAAGAGCCAGCTGGCCGGCGCTGGCCAGCACGAGGGCTGTTGAAAGCAAGGAAATCATGATTCAGGCTCTTCCAGATGTAGCTTTCTGAGAGTTGTCCACCCACCTGGGGGAAAAATTGAGGAAGGGGGAGGGCAACTGTTTTTCTAGCTCGGACAAGAGCTTCACTGTCGATGTCACCCACCGTTGGGATCCGATGATCCTGCCTGCGACCTTGAACCTTTCATCATCTAGTGTCATGATATTCCGTACCTACCGAGGCAGCTTTGGTTAGAACCATGTCGGAATGGAGGAAGATGTCTGGCCTGACGGGGGACAATTCAGCGATGCTCATCCCACTTTACCACGTCGGATTTGCCCGAGATAGCAAGGTACCAGAGGAACTAACAAAGGCACAAGCACCTAGCGTCATTCCTGATGTCTCTCGAAGCTCTGATGACGATGCATTCGCAGAAGGAACTGATGTTTGTCTGCCCTGATTGGTAGACACATGGCCTAGGAACCGAGGATACCGGTTGATCGTTGTCCTGGGTCCGTAGCTGCCTGTTGAGGCAACGCCTGGGGCGAGAGATAAGAACCAAGAAGCATTTTGCAAGCATCACACCCTGCTTGGAATAAATCTTAGTGCTTCGAACTAGGATGAAAGTGTGAGGTTATTAAGGTCGGTTGTGGGGAAAGGTAACATCCAAACAAGAGGTTAACATGGTGGCGAAGGAGCTTGACCCGTAGATATGCGATTGGTCCAGGAAGCGATCCCTATGACCATCTCATCTTCATATCTACCGTGCCTTGTTCGCTAGGCACTGGTTTAAACCCATTCTTGCTATGTTCAACTCAGAGAAAGGTTCAATACCCTTGATAATTTCAGCTAGCAAGCATAGCTTTTCTTCAACTAGCCTATATCTGTTTATGTATGTTGCGATAACAGTATTGCCTCTGGATTTGTGAAGGCGACAGGATCCGGGCAACTCTCATGCCCATAAAATGCAAATATCTAATCATTACTTTTCCTCCTGCGTAATTCAAGCTCCATTGGTATGGAGAATGCAGAAGAACTCTCAAATTCCTTCCCACGCGCTGTAAACTCAATTGCAATAAAAACTCAGACCATAGCACCTCAGATCAAATCTCTACGCATTTCAAAGATGCGACGTCGCGCTTCCGTGGAATTTCAAGTTCTTCAACTGGTCCTTCGTCCTCTGGCACCAGCTGGACATCTGCCTCGACCATGCTGTAGTCTTCGATCCACACTGACCTGATTGTGAAAACGTTGCTTGCAGCATCGAAATCGTCATCGACACGATAGGTGACCTTGATCTTTCCCTGTGCGATGAGTGCATTTTCTCGTGCTTTGAGCACGTTTTCGTCTACCTTTTTGATGACAGGTGGACGTGGCTGTTTCTTTGTTGGCACCTTCGCTCTATTTGAGGCTTTCGCTTTGCCACTTGTTCGAATATTGGACACTTCGACTTCGCTGGAATCTTTTGCATTGCCGACCGACTTTTCTTTGCCGGTCGCGACTTCTTTTGGCTTGGGGCGGGTGATCAAGAGCTCCAAAGGACAAGTGCTATTCTCATAAGCCCAGGACCCTGGAGAACTTCGGCCACATCTTGCACAAGCGCGACGATGGCGCCAGAAATCTTGATGGAGATCAAACTTTATGTCATCGTTGATCTTTGCGTCCAGATGTGAGCACATATCGTCCTCCTTTGCGTCCTGAGGAACCCAACCGAGCAACTTAGCCATCCCTGCAACATGAGTGTCGACCGCAAATACGGGGAGCTCCATACCAAAGGCCATGATGCAAGACGCCGACTTGACACCGATCAGGCTGAAGCCGACCAGATGATCAAATAGGGCCTGCTTGCCTTTGGTGATGTATATGGTTCTCAGATAATCCACTGAAAGTAGGCCTGGCACAAAATCTGGAGCGTTCGGCGCATTGTACCTGTAAGTCACTTCTCCAGCCATGAGCGAGGAGAGGTTAATGTTGTGAATTTTATCGAGGAAGTCTTTGATGGCCTTAGCTTTGATGGCATTGAGTCCTCCTCTTTTGAGCGCCTTGTCAAGCTTGCTTTGGCTTTGGATCCGCATCAGATGATAGTTTGGTATTGTACCAACTACCTTTTGGCCGTTGACGATATAAGGGTAGGCGTGGAGCATACATTGTTGAGCGTCGAGTGCACCCTCATTTGTGCTTGACTGAGATAGGATCACACGGACGATTGCATCAATAGTGAACTGTTTCCCGGAATGCATAGGTGTGGCAGCACTGTCTTGGCTGGCTTGGGCGAGCAGAGATGGGCGCTCTCGCCCCAAAATTTCCGCAACAAGTTCGATGTCGCTTGGTCTTGGTGCATTGTGGTACTCCAACTTGCTAACACCGAATGTGAAGTTCCACTTGTTGGTGGTAGGCGCCTCAATACCTTCCGCTGCAAGGGCTTTCTTCTGCAATTGTCGCTCTCCTGCAAGCTTTCTCATATGCATTCGACGAGACAAACCCGCCAATCTGCGTGGAGCGACTTTGAGCGTGATTACACCCACGGTTCGAACGATTGCACCCTGGCCTCGTCTGCGGAGAAACCGAATTGGTTGTTGGCGTTGATCAGAAATTGTCGAAGCGATTGCTGGACTATACTCCTCGTCTTCTCCGGTGTTCTGATTGATTGGGACCACTATTGTCTGTTAGCTTCAACAGTTCCACAAAGTAGTTTGCAACAGGAACTGACTCTTGTTCGACCGACGTCCCTTGGTGGCTGGCCCAGGCTCTGCCTTGGTGAATGGCGCATTTTTGCTTGCATGTTCTTCTTCGTCACTCTCAATCTTGACCTGAGGCTGCTTCTGCTTCTGCTTTGGCAATTGGCCGTTGATGTTCCCTGCATGTTCGTCGTCGCGATCCGCAAGTTTGACCTTCTTCTGCTTCCGGACTGGCCCTGCACATAAATGAGAAGACGACACATAAGTCACAGGGGACGAAAACTTACATTTCCCATTCAGAGTTCCTTGGTGTTTAACTGCAGAAATTTTGCGGATCTGCTTCTTTGAAGTGGCCGTCGCATCTTCTGTCAATGGTGCAGAAGGGGCAGTGCCGGAAGAGACGGCTGCAGAGCATGCTGCATCTATTACATCAATTTGAGCAGCATCGTCCTCCGCCTGTCGCTTCCGTGTGAAAACCATATTGGAGGGTGAGGATAAAGTTACGGCAATAATGAAATCAAAGGACTGAAACCACTTGTTAGCTTTATTTGCACGTAGAGTATTGAAGCATCATGGCATTGAGACAAGGCTGGACGACGTTGGAATAAGGCGTAGGCAGCGGGTCCTGTGAGTGAAGTGATTGTCGCGCTGCCATTCCTGGCCGCTTGGTTGCCACATTCGGTAATCTCCCAAGGCAGACCCGCTTTGAAGACTCGCTTCAGCCTTGCCAGAACGCCTGTGCCGGACTGATGACCAGGGACTGATACTGGCAGGTTGACATGCTCTGGCACTGAAGCAACAGTAGCGACATCACCAGCATTTCAGGCTTTGTCTGAAAATGACCAGCCTGTTTGCAGCTGCTACACAGTCTGGTCCACTGCTCGATGGATGCTTGACAGTTGTAGATGGGACCGTCATGGCAATGTAGATTTGGATATGGGATCAGGTCTGTGATTTGTGCAGATGTGCTATAGGTTTTCATCATTGAACAGAGGTTTGACTTACCTTGGGCGAAACAAGGAATTTGCGAGGAACGTTGGAAAAACAGATCAAAGTAGTTTGTAGACACCTGTGCTTCGACTGTCTGTCGTATAGCTCTTTGCTTTGCAACTGGAAAAAAGAAAGAAAAGAAACAATTGTGCGATGATGAGATCACAATGGGTCAAAGACAGGAATTGTAAAAGCTCTCGATGTCGGATGGAGGCAGCTGTAGTATCGAGTACTAGTTAGTGGGATGTCTTGACAACCAGAGAGAAAAGGTGGTAGTGTAGAGGAGGTTGAGAGAGACAAAAGTCGGTAGATAAGTATAGATATATAGTTCTGGGATCAGGACCCTGGATTGTTGCCTGTAGATAGACCCTGGATTGGTGAAATTTCATGACTTCGTGCTGTCGGTAGAGGTCCCTGAAGGGCTCTTTACAATTGGTAAAGTGACACATGAGAAGGTCACAAGATCGTCCCATCATGTTTTCATTTCTTTTGTGAGTATCAAGAGGTAGGGGCAGGTCTATCGTGCTTGGGATGAGGGAGGGTATAGTGTCTGTGCTTGGTGGGAGAATTGGGACCTCACACAGGGTCAATCTAGTTAGAGTAAGCAGTGTGCTCGACAGAGGGCCTGCCTCGTTGTGGGAGGCGACTTACCTCAAACCGTGCCACTATGAAGGGCAACTTCCGGAACGCTCAGAAATAGAAGGAATTCTAGGATGTCTGCCCGAGTTAACAAGATGATCTCTCTCAACGGAGCGAGGGACAATACGTTTGCCGACATGAAAGGAAAGAAGGACGGCATGAATAAAGCTGGGATGGGGATTGGCGGGGCCAAGTCTGTTCAACATCGTGGACAAGGCTTTGACACATCAGGAGGAGCAGACCTGGTGTTCACGACCAGCATCCCAAACCACCTAAGGATGTCCAACCACCAATTGACTTACCTTGCTTGAACTTCCACCACTGTGACAGAGGGAGAATGACCTCCAAAAAGCGAGGAAGGTAGACAGAAGAGTCAAGTTAGAGAAACGGTCGAGGTTCGTGAAGGAAAAAACTGCACTAAGAGAGGCAGCTTGTGGAGACGAACGTCTGGATGGAGAAAGAAAACGGAAAGAAGAAGCTGAAGAGGAAAGAACAAGAGATGAAGTCAAGATCGAGAGAAAGACTTGACTTTCAGGTGTTTGGGAGTCAAAAGCAGGACAGAGGAAATTCGAACGAGGAAGTAACGGAATAAAGAGCGAAAAGACGAGGCAAGAGCGTTGGCGAAGTGACGGATAGACGACGGTTTTGGTTATGCTTCAGACGCTTGGAAACAGCGAGAAGTCGACGACAAGTGCGAGCAATAGTGACGGCAAAATCAGCCAGAGTCTTGCCAGTTGTAAGGAATGTCGAGAGCATGAGAGAAGTCGACTGAAGAGAGAAATCTGCAAAGAGAATTGATCAGATGGCAGCAAAGACAGTGAGCACTCAGGTGGATGCGATTGGGCTAGAGTTGGTGTCGTGCTTGCTCATTGGACCATCCGGGTCATAAATGTGGAAACCACGGTGTTGAGGGAAGGAGCAGCCATGGTGACCCCGCCATCCTGTCCATGGACAACCTCGCACCTCCCAAACTCCATTCTTGATGCTTCAGCAGCTTGATGGTTCCCTTTGTTGCTCGAGGCAGAGGCATGGTGTGGTGCGGGAATCCTTCTTTTCTTGTGGTTTGGTGACAGGTCAATGGTTTTCGGAAAAATCATTCCTTGTCGCCTGGGCGGTCTCAAGAGCCACAAACAGAAACAGTGGTAACAATCGTCCATACAGGACGAGACATAGATGCACAGCAAGACTTGTAAACAGACAAATCTCGGAGTTGGCTTATACAACAGTTCATCAAGCAATCAAGACGTATCCTTGTTGCCTGGAATCTCTTTTGTACCAGCAAGTTCCTTCGCCTCTCTCGCCTTGTTTGTCTTTCCCCAGTCGATGTACTCCTGTTTGAGCTCTCCATTTTTCTCCCGGATGTTGTACTGCAGGCGATGCCACATTTCCAACTGTGCAACGAAGCCGGGGTTTGGATTGACCTTGGGGCGTCCCTGCCGAACATAGCGAAGTGCTGTTTCGTATTCCAGATCCATCTCTTCCATCACAAAGGCGATCATCACCGATGCCGATCTAGACACACCTTGGTGGCAATGAATGAGCACACCCCCGTCCTTGTTCCCAAGACTTGACTTGATGAAGTTGCAAGCTTCGTCAAGAACTTGCAGAAGATTCTCGTTGTTATTGTCACGGAGCATGATGAGTTTCATGACAAAGTCTGGCTCCTGAGATGGGAGCATCTGAGGTTGTTGGTGAGTTGCATTGAGCAAGGACAAGATATACCGGATCTTGGGTCGGTTGGGTGTTTGATAATTTGGACTGAGGACTGCTCGAGCCGTCTGAATGCTACTGATCATAAGTTGTGTCCATGTTGATCATCTTTTCACGGCAAAGTGGGCTTACTCAGACAGGTAAACCCCAGGAATGATTTGATCAGGCAATAGTGGTGCAGAGGTGGTGGAAGCCATGTTATCCTTGATCTTAGGCCGGGGTATCGAGGGTTGAACAGTCGGATTTCCATAGATGATTGATTTGTTCCTGCGTGGATGACCAGGTCGTAAAGGAGCGAACAGGGCCAACATTATGAAAGATTAAAAGTGAGTGTAGTGAATGTGAAGACTGCAGTGACACGACGGCAATCTGACAGAAAATCAAGGTGGCGTACGTCGCGATAAATGTGAAGTCCACCTGCCAGAGATGATGCGACACAACAGCATTTTTGTATGTGTCGACTCTTAAGCTAGAAGACACAACATGTTCCTAGTCACTGCTTCCAAAGAAGCTCAATGTCATGGGGACAGATAAACCGGCCTAGCCTTGCATCTAAGCAATTGTGTTCAGCCAACGACGATGCAAAATGCTGGCACGGAGCACGAGGTGTTGAGCGGGAAGGCTCTTGGTCGTTCAAATAAGACGTTGTTTCTCGGTAACTCTGACGCCTCCTAGCCGGAGATCGCCCCACATGGTGAGCAACACAGCTTGGAGGACATATCCGTGCGAGGACAGAATCGACTCATGGTGCGGCGTGGCATGTCAATTGTACTCTGTATCATGTATTGGTCGGTGGTTGACGTATGTGATTTGGACTCCTCCCACAGGGGCTACATGGTTTGTTGCCTATATACAGACTGGGCTACATTGCTCTCGAGCCAGTCAGTGTACTCCAAATCGAGAGGCTGTTGCGGGTCTGTCTTTGCTACTACGGATAACATGAACAGGTCTAGATGCATGTCGTGGTTCTTTGTTCGAGACCCCAGATTCTTCAAGAGTCGCTACTCTAAAAAAAATGGTGGTAAGTGATAGAGCTATGAGTGATGTGTGCACTAGAACGTTGGTTCATTGTCGGCTACAATGCTGTAAAATTTGGTCCAGCATTTGGGTGACAAGATGGGAATCGATAGAGGCCCCAGCTGTAATTGTATAGCTTGGAACACCTCATCAATGTATCAGTCGCTGTGGATCATCAACTATCGAAGAGTTGAATGCTCAGGACCAGGAAATGCCAAGCATAATTGCTGCACCAACAGCCATAGCTGTGAATTGCAAAGCTGTCTTTCGCAACTCCTCGCCCTTATTAGGTCCCGTCTCCAGGAGTTCCGGAATCACAGCCACAGTTCCAACATAGAGGAATGTGCCTGCAGTGAAGGGTAGAAGCATATCACCCCATTGAAGACTTGTGCCCCAAATTCCTTTGACTGGACCTGCAGATGCATCTGTTGAACCATTTCCATACTCTTGCACAAAGATACCAATCAAAGTACCAAGGAATGCTCCGACGGCAGTGACAAACTGTGCACCCATTGCCTTGCGCTTGGAGAAGCCCGATTGAATCAACAGAGCAAAGTCGCCCACTTCATGTGGGATTTCGTGAAAGAAGACAGCCATTGTCGTGGTCGCTCCAAGGGCTGGGGAGGCGTAGAAGGAAGACGACAGAGCCAGTCCATCGGTGATGTTGTGTGTGAAGTCGGCAATGAGATTCAACAGACCCGCAAGTTTCACAGAGGGATTGATAGGTTGTGATTCTACCACAGAGCTCTCAGACTTGCCCGTCTGCTGTCCCTTTCGTTTCCGTAGATCACCATTTGACTTCTTCTTGGAAACACCAGAAGCAGAGCCATTGGAAGCCTTCTTATGGTCATCTGCTTCGTGTTTGTGATCATGAGAATGTCCACCTCCACCAGTAGCAATGCGCAAGGCTTTGTCCATCGCCATGAATGTTACCAGTCCAACAATGATCCCGACGCCAAGCAGCAGATTTCTGTTTGGCTCAATCATTACAAACTTTGCTTTGTCATGTTCGTCTTCTCCCAGGAAGATTTCTGGTAGCAAATGGAACAAAGTGTCTCCTAGCAAACCACCAACTGCAAACGCCACCATTATGCTCAACGAGGACGGATCGATATTTGGTGGACATAATGCGAGCAGGAAGTTTGGCGGTCCAGAAATATATGCTGTCGCTAATAGAGCATTTACGGCCGGCGATGAGGATGGAAATAGTACTTCGAAGAGTTTGGAGGTTAAGGATGCATGGGGAGGTGCATTTTGAACTTTGTGATCAGACAATCTTTGTACAAATGCACATTGCTGGACAAAGAGATTAGTTTACAAATGGTATACACAGAGTGCTGGCATCATGGAACAAAGGGATGCGCACCTGTAGGTTCTCTTCGATTTCCTCGGGGGTAAGCAAGCCAATGTCTTTACCGTAGGCCTTTTCGGCGCAGACTGTAGCAATAAGCCCTAGCAATATTGCACATGACACATAGCGTGTTATAGGGAATGACCGTAGTAAAGGGATAGTCATGTTTGCTTGTGTTTTGTGGACGTTGAATATTGTTCTGGATGTATGATGGGAGAACACGCGACTCAGGTAAACCTACAACTAAGGTACCTTTGTCGCAAGCGTGAATAGGGATAGTGTATCAGGGGGGTTTATCGATAGCGGCCTTATCGCCGATGTTAAGCCGGCTGTACCACAATATCAAGCATGATCAAACACGGACGTCATCGACATTGTACTATTGTTACTCCAGTGAGAAGACTATGAGTTCTGCTTCAATCTATCCGAATCGATTCTGTGAGCTGTAGGAGGAGAACCACTAAGAGCAATCATAGTCGCCAGCACTGACGAAAGATTGTTCAAAACCATTAATCACGTGCAAGCCTTCATCGGCATCTCGGAAAATTAACTCCCCTATCGATAACGTCGCTTGGCAATTTCTTTTCAACTGCGGTCGGAACAAGAAAAGTTGGGTGGTTGCTTCACACCCAGACAGAAGACCTGAGACAAAGAGACATATTTCTGTACCCACGAAGCGGACTGGACCATCAAGATGGGGCGGGAAAGACAAAAGAAGAAGAACAGATCCTCGATCTCCAAGGCAAAACCCAAGTCCAACCGGACAAAAGCTGGCAAGAAAAAGGTCAACTTCCTGGGCAACGAGATCATCAAGCAAAACTGGTATGGAACAGAACGAGTCCTTCCCAATCGAGACATCGCCAGTCCTCAGAAACTAACACACAGACAACAGGGACCGCAAACTCACACTCTCGCAAAACTACAAAAGACTAGGACTGAGTTCCAGACTCAACTCGGCATCTGGGGGCACAGAGAAGAAAATCCCCAAAGCGGGCGAAGATGTCGAACCACCGACTCGCGACTCCCTTGCGATCGCCGGTCCACGGGCCAGGGCGAAGATAACACCCCAAGAAATCCAAGTCGAGCGAGATCCCGAGACCGGAAAGATTCTTCGTGTCATCCACCCTGAGACGGAGGCAGAAACGAACTTTAACCCGCTGAACGACCCGCTCAACGAGCCCATGGACGTTGAAGCCGACGAACCCGTGCGGCGCACACAGATGCAGAACGACATCATCTCTCAGCTTGAAGCGCAGGCGGCTCATGAAGAAGAGATGCTGCTGAACAAGCGGCCGAGACATCAGAGCTCGCGCGAGGAGGAGTGGATAACGAGATTGGTGGAGAAACATGGCGACGATGTCCGCGCCATGGTGCGCGACAAGAAACTCAATCCGATGCAGCAGACTGAAGGTGATATTGCACGGCGCTTGAGGAAGTGGAAGGCTAGTCGTGAAGCGACGACTTGAATTACCCTACGGTGGACAAGATATGAAACTTCTTCGCGGCTCACAATCTCTGCGATCATATGGTACGAAGGCACGGCTCTCTTGACCAATACCACGAAGGACATCGATTGGCCCAAGTACGTGAGGATCTATGGATTTGTGTCGACTAAGTAATTCCACGGAACAGCACCGCGACGCTACTGATCGTTGTGGCTCCCGACAAGACTTCAACGCATCTTCACTTTCACAAATCGACCATAAGACTGGATGAAGCACAGAAAGCCACGCTTCCAGATCAAACCTGGTCGTTGGCTGGCTCATTATAACATTCAAGACCCACACATAGACCTACCAGCGCCGTCCATCATGGACAGCAATACATGAATGACAAAGCTTGTGCGAGGAAAAAGAGTCACTTCGCAAGTCTCCCCAAATGAAATGAACGGCAGAATATACTGGGCGTTAAGGGGATTCGTGGCAGCGATGGCTATCACAGGTCCCAGAATTTAGAAAATTAAACGGCTAGCATGAGCACAATAATACAGGCCTGCTTCTCCTCTATGAATTGCTTTTCGTTTGTACACTACTTTTCATGCACTCACGTCTTCGTATCCGGATCGAGACTCTCAGCATTCTTATCTGTCGCTTTCCTCACAATCGAACGATCACTTCTCACAAGCGCAGTAAGCAATCCCGTTACACTCCCCACCCATTCTGCCCAACCGATGGCATACCCCGTGCCCACCACGCCCTTGCAGACATCCCAGCCGTCTCGACTAACGGGATATTGCAACTTTGGTGGGATCTGGGTGCCAATACCTAAGAGCTTTGCCCAAGGCGCATCTTCACAGACGCTCTTGACATTGGAGAGGGCCTTGAGGCCTTCCTCGCCGCCGAAGCGGCCATAACCCGAAGCCTTAACGCCGCCAAAGGGCATCGAGCACATGTAAAAGGCTCCGAAATCGTTGACGGCCACCATGCCAGCTTTGATTCCTCGGACGCACTTTTGCACATCGTGGCTGTTGTGCCCAAAGACACTGGCGCCAAGGGCGTAGATGGTCGAGTTGGCCAGTTCCACGGCTTCGTCGATTGTATCGGCTTTCATGAGGAGGAAGACCGGCGCGAAGAGTTCGGTTTGAGCGATTTGCATCTCTGAGCGTACGTTACTAAGCAGTGTGGGTTGGAAATAAGTGCCGTTGGGGAAGTCGGGGTGGTTATAGCGCTTCCCACCACAATGAAGGACAGCACCTTGGGCGACGGCGGTAGCTATCAGATTTTCGAGCTTTATGAAAGAGCTTGATGAGATCATCGACCCCATGTCGACAGGAGAATCAGGAGGGGAAAGGAGAATCGAGCCAAGTTTGAGTCCTTGGATTTTAGGGAGGACATGACTGAGGATTTTGTCATGGATTTTGGGTAGTGCAATGACTCTCTCAATGCCTATGCAGTTTTGGCCAGCTGTTCATCAAGTCAGGAGAAGGACATAGGGTGAAAGAGGTCGACATACCAGATTGGAACACTCCTCGCAGGAGTATCGACGCGACATTTGGCAACCTCGATATCGTCTTCGCATCATCATGGACAATAACTGGATCTTTACCTCCAAGCTCTACGGTCACTGGGGTCAAGACCTTTGCAGCAGATGCACATACCTTGTGTGCAACATCTTTGCTCCCAATGAATGTGATATGAGAGATGCCAGGATGTCTTGTGAGATAGTCGGCACCGTCTGGAAGACAAATGATATTCTGCACGAGCATAGGGCTGTGGTTGCATGCATGTAGGGCTCCTCGAATGAGCTTGAGAAAGTACGAAGTACTCCAACATGTCTGTTCACTAGGTTTGACCACAATGGCATTACCAGAGAATAGAGCAGATATCACTGGAGATATGAAGTTGTGAAATGGATAGTTCCAGCTCACACAGGCCGCGACCACCCCGAGAGGTTCATAAATGACGGTGTTTGACTTGTAGCACATGAGCAGATTTGTGGGTCTTTTGGAGGGCAGTAGAGCCTTCTCGCCATGTTTGATGGTCCATTGTAACTTCTCGACAGTGACCAGAATCTCGCCAAAGCAAGCATCAACCCTGGTTTTACCGCTGTCAAGACAACATGCAGTGACTATTTCCTCCTGATGATCGAGGATGTACCGCAGGAGGGTCTGGAGTACTTGTCGTCGTTCAGCGAAGGTGGTTTGGGCCCATCTTAATTGTGCTGAAGCTGCAGCAATTATGGCCGCATCGATATCGGAAGAGTCCGCGGGGTCGATGGGAGGCCCAAGGCTTCGGCCATCGGCTGGACATCGAGGGTAGATACGCGAACCGATGACCTGTTACCAACATCAGTGTTGTTCCTTGGGTACGATAGCATTATAAACTGTATACCTCTGGATCGCTCGCTTTGGCTTTTTTACCCTTGACTTCCCATTGATAGTCAGATGCTAGTTGTGGTGGGATTGCGATCGAGAAGGGTACCGCAGGCTCAATTTTGACCAGGGCATGCCGGGCAACGAGGGCAGCCACAAGGGCAAAGAAGCACGTGTACAGAAATGAACTCCACGTGGATAATGCTGCTGTCCAGGACTTGTCATACAGCTCATTCTGAGAGGACATCTTCAGGCATCCTGGGACCGGCACCGACGCTGTTTGGCTCTCGCACAAAAGTGGCCATTGGTTGAGGTTAGATTGTGCGAGGCTGAAAGTCCCAGCCTGGCGCCACACTCATCAGCCACACTCCTTTGGCGCATGACGAGGATCACCCTGGTCGGTGACGTGAGGGGCACCCACCTTGGGACGAATTCCTGTTTTTTGGGCTATGACATCACATCTCTTTGTCCGAAATGAGAACGACCAAGTTCCAAGAGATTCGGTGAGTGGCTCTTGCCATGATCCCAGTAATCCCAAGACACAGGAAGTTGCCGTACAGGCGTTAGTGCAACGGCAGCCGCTTCATCTTACGCCACAATTACATCGAATGGCTGGCAGGAATGTGTAAAGATCTTCACTTCTGACCCCCCATCACGAGCCTTGACCAGCCTTGGGCCTTGGTTCTGATTCGAAAGTGCTGGCCACCTGTACGTCATAGGCCGCAAATTGGTGAGATTGCCATCAAAGCACTGGATGGGAAAGACATCCATCGACGGTGAACATGTCTGGGGCTAACGCGCAACCACCAGAAGCGAACTGAAAACGTGATGTAGTTTGTGATGCGCTTTCGATTTCCGATCTCTACGTTTCCGCTCTAACCGTCAAGTCTCTGATATCGCAAAGTACAAAGAGAAGGTTCAACCCTCTGAGCTTTGAGGTTCTTCTCCTCTCTCCATCACAACAACAAACATCAAACCAAACACTTGACCATCATCAATAAAGTTCATCAAAACAACACACCACAAATACTACATCCCTCAACCATCCTCACTTATCTACACTACTACTCAAAATGGGTGCCGTCGTCTCTTGCGTATGTGCTTCACCTTCCATAACTTGCCCCTAAGCCTCTACTAACAATTCACCAGGTCCAATCGCTTTGCCGAACCATCGGGAGCGTGTTGATGGCCATCGTCAATGGAATTGGCTCCATCATTACCGCCATCGTCAACGGCATCGTCTCATTCTTCAACATCATCATCTCATGCCTGACATGCGGTCGCACTGGCAGGAAGCGAGGAACCTCGACAAGACGCCATCATGGTACGACGACTAGGAGTCGCATATGATCGATCTGTTCTTCACACGGTCATGATGATGGGTGCCTCAAACGGAGGACACTGAGGCGTTAACGGAGGTCGTGTTGTATAGACCAGTTGGTGCGCATGGAAGGGGGCAATAGATGCATGGATCAGCAGTCCACTGCACGCCTCAAACGTTCTCGATCAGTCGTCAAGTGGCTGGAACTGTATTTCTACGAATTATCACGATACCCGTTCATAGCGTTCAAGTTTCAAATTCTAATCAACCTTTCGAAACTCATAAACGTCTTTCTGCCTTATTTTTTCAATAACCAAAATCCATTAGCAATATAACAAGGCTATCCAATCCCTAATCTTACACTCTATATGCGGGGATAATTGCATTCCTGCCCATGACCTAAAAAACAGCACGAAACCCAAAACGCTCCAGCAACCTAGCTGGTCAGCGAAACCATCTGGCCTTCTACTTCCGGGTTCCTCGTCGCCTCGTCGATGAGGTTCTGGAAGATCCAGTGTCCGACATCGGCGCGTTTGATCGAGTATCCCGTTGCGGGCCTGTGCTCGTAGCCAGAGCGCACACCCTGCAGTCCACTGGCATCCGTATAGGAGACCGTGCCACTCAACAGCGTCGGCCGAATACCGACCACACTGCGGAAGACAGGATCTTGCTTCTCGACTTCACCGCGGTAGATGTCCTCCATCTTTTTCTTGTCCGCGTGTGGGATCGCGAGCGTCTGGTGGTAGAGGAAGCGCATCGCGAAGGGTACATCCTCGGGGCCACGAGTGACGCCCGTTGTGGAGAGAAAGACCAACAGCGGCTTGTTGGCTTTGAGTGCGGGCTGCTCGGTGAAGATCTCCTCGAGCGCCGTCACGAGGGTGCTCGCGGCGGTCGCGCAGATCTCCGGGTTGTCCAGCGTCGCCAGGTGCAAGGGGTGGCACATGTTGAGGTTGAGCTTGGGGCTTCCGCCTAGGCCACTGACGATGTATGTCGGTAGTCGGCCGGCGTTGACCGAGAGGAGAGTGCGCTTCACCGCAGCGACATCTAGCGCATTGCCTTCGTTCAGGACGAGGTTCTTGGCAATGGTCATTTCGTCGATGGCTTGGTCGGAAAGTTGTTGTCGTAGTTTGGCTGGTGTTCGCACGAGTACGGCGGCCTTGTAGCCTGCTTGAATCGTGTGGACGAGCGCCGAGTTGGTCACACCACCAGTAGCGCCGAAGAAAACCACGGAAGGCTTGGACGACATATTTACAGAAGGAGCTGGGTCTTGTTGTTTCAGGGAGTTTTGATGTGATTTGAGGTCGTGTATGGAATTGCTTGCGGTTCAGAAATACCTGTGCTTTTGATTGTGCTTGTAGTTTTTATGAGTAGAAGAGACAGAACCAGACTGGACGTGCGGGTGAGCCATGATACCTATATAGAACATTACCGTCAAGAATGAAAAGTTCGAATTGGGCTCCGCATCAAAGTGTCCTGTCGTAGGCTGTGTTCTCTGAAATCTCAAAATAGTTCGAGACGAGCGGCCGTTGAAGAGCGGGTGAATGCTTGAAACGTGCGGCTCAAAGGTTGAGCCGATTCTCCACTTTTACACCTTGAGGAGCCGCTTGCACGTGACTGTCATGGGCCGACTTTTCTCCCAGAAGTTTCCATGTTGTGCCGGTCTGGAAAGTCTATTATTTACCTAAATGCTCTTCGCTACCACATTGGGTCAACAAGGCTGTGGCCTCAAAGAGCAGGCTGAAATTCAGGGAGCCTATCTTTGAGTTCCTACCGTTTACTCCTACTCACAACTTTCCACGAAATTATTCTCCACCATGGTAGGCCGCATCATCGCCGCCAGAATGCGTTATCAATTCTCTAGGCAACAATGACGCCCCTATCCCTTCTTTCGCGAGACTAAAATTTCATTGAAAGGACTTCTCCTTAGGGCTACCTCTCTAATGTGGTTTCAGTATCTTGAAGTGGCGCAGACTACTCCTGATGGTGTGGTTCTGACAGTCGATGTAATACTATTCCACGTTAGCGCTATCATCCAGCCTGAAAAATATGTAGATACGTACGTTGCCCACACAGTCGAAGTTATGCGTTCGGTCGTGTAAACTTTGGTTGTGCGTGTCCGTGTCGGGGTTGGGCCAGTTATCGTGATTGTTGTTCTCGCTCTGTCGGAATATGCTGTTACTGGAGCTGGCGTGCTATTCGGAAAATCAGAATCAAAATTCGAAAACATAGTTGCCATAGACTTACATTGTAGCCGTAGTGGTTGCATACTCGCTGACGAGTTCTGTGCTAGTTGGCAAGGTTACAGTGATCCAAGATGATACTACTTTGGCAGTATCCAAAAATGTGGTCGTACACAAGTCTTTTGTCTCGTTAGCGGCAGCAATTGGTAGGAGGGTGTTCAAATATGTACCTGGTCCACTCCCAGGTTTGACCGATTCGCCCTCCTGTCGTGGTGAGACTCCACGTTGTCTAACTCTCTCCAAAACATCTGGCTCCCCACGACGTATACGAGGAAGAACAGTGACAGGAACATCTGCAGCAGCCAAGGTAGCCCGTGTCGGGCGAAGGGTACATGTTCGATCCCTCTTTGGTGGCTGCGTCTTACAACTGGTTGTAATGGTCGTAGTGGTAACGGTTTTGGAGAAGACTCTTGTGGTTCGCTGTCTCGTCTGAGTCAAGGTTGACGTCACGGTAACCTGCATTGGTTTGACCGTGATTGTGCGTGTCGAAGTGGTGGACGGTAAAGTTATTGTTGATGGAAGCAGGGTTGTCGTATAGCCGCTCGTAAATGTTGTGGTGACCGTAGTGGAAGGTATGTACGGGGTTGTAAATGTCAAGGTCGGAGTGCTAGTGACAACGACAGGAGGAGCTGCATTGATCGAGAAATTTCTCATCCATGCGAATGTCAAACCTTCAATAACGACGATCCAATCTCCAGACCACATGGAGCTTTTCGGCAGTTCGTCGCCTGGTACATTACTGGTAGGGGTCAGAACCGTAAGGAGCATTAGGAGATGGACTCTGACCAGGTAGATTGAATATTGGCACCATCAGGACTGGTAGCGATGTCTGAACAGAAGTATTCATCGCTGTTTGGGGCTATCAGAATAGGTGTGACGGAATCTTGAATGTCCTCCGGTTGACAGCCTCTTCAACGTCAGCAACCAATTTCATGACATTTTGACATTTTCTATCACCTCGAAAAACTGTTCCAAAGGAAAACCAGTCGTTTGATGTGGTGTTGATACAGTATGGTCCACCACCATCAACGAAATCATAACCCGAAGATTGGCAGTCGGCTATCGCTCGACCAACCAGTCCAGCAAGCAAAGGCACAATCAAACAAGAGGAATGCATGACGAAAACGAGTGTCGAGGATGAAGATCAAGATGCATAGAGTGATCGGTGCCTTCAAACATATATGAAGAGCTGCACGAAATGACATCGCTCACCTTGTAAAGATGCATCCTTGGAGAAATGAAAACACCCATGACTTCTGCGCATCTAGAGTGATAGTCTATCATTAGCACTCAATACCCAGACCTTGATATCAACGAGAACTGAGACATTGCAAGAAAGCCACACAAAACCAATTTTACAACACGAGTGCCGAGCGGAGGTCCAGAAACATCAACAGACCCATTGTTAATGTGAATGTCTCATGCTGCGAATGTGGTGCTCCAAATCCCTTAACCACGCAGGACAACAGTGACCCGCCATTTTGGTACTCCTTCACTTACCTGTGGAACAATGTCATCTTTGTGCACCTAGACCATTGCCCTTTAAAGCACAATGGTCAAGGGTAGGATTGCGGACAGAAAAGTACTGTGTAACCGGGCAGCAGGCAGGATTTCAATTGGAGCATTCGCTTCACATGCGAAGGATTGACCATCTGGGCAACTGGTTGAAAGTAAGGAGTGTCTATATCGGATGAATCTGAAAGACAACTGGGAACACTCGGAACACGAGGTTGTCAAGGGGTGTTTTGATCCGACCTGCTGGTTAGCGAGACTGGACCCTCAATCTGATGCCAAGAATGCCAAACATATGGTACTTCAGCCTCAAGTTCATCTTGTTCCATTTCCAAGTCGGGTCGAGAACAACATTCACAACTAGCCCATCCACAGAGATTGGAATCTCTTCCATATATCGATCTCTAACCGACATTTCAATGGGCAGATTAGCAACTGTGAATGCGATCAACAAGAAGCGGAGATTGTTCTGGGAATCTCTGCCTTCGAACCCGAGCCTTTTGTTTCTCCAAGACATTCTTGCCAGGAACTGGAAAGAGACACTGCCAATGAAAGCCACTCTCCTTTCTAGCAGAGATTTCGTGTACGACGCAATTGATTTAGCGACCCGTTGTGATCTGAGACTGCATGACAAAGCGCTCCCATTACCACGTTTCCACATCCCCTCTCCTTGCTTGATCTAAGTTGGGGAAAGCGAGGGAAGCTTTCAGCTTTCATAAGGCTGCTCGTGCCATCAATATCAGAGCTGTGGCTTCTCACACTTCCAAGGGCCGTTCCTGTCTTTGCATTGCTTCTCTTCTCTTCTTTCCCTTCCAGTCACTCGCTATGCTCGCTTCTTTTCCACTCGTTGCTTTGTTCCTCTTCCAGGCCTTTGCTGCCTTCATTCCTTCTGCTGAGCTTGTGCCCATTGGAGAGGGCGAGCTTTTTCGACGACAGGCATCATCTTCTTTGACTCCTTCTGCTACTTCTACCACTAAGCCAGATTCCCAATGCACCAACTCTCCATTCACACGCCAGTGCTGGGGCAACGGCTTCAGCATCACCACTAACTATGATAGTACTTGGCCTGTCACCAACAAAGTTGTCTCTTACCATCTGGAGGTCAAGAATACTACCTTGGCTCCGGATGGAGTTCCAAGAGTTGTCTATGCTATCAACGGACAATTTCCAGGACCGACAATCCGGGCCAGTTGGGGCGATATCCTGGAAATCACCGTGACGAATAGCTTGACAACAAATGGTACCAGCTTCCACTGGCATGGTATCCGACAATACAAAACCAATCATATGGATGGTACCAATGGTGTAACGGAATGTCCACTGGCTCCTGGAAAGTCTCGGACCTATAGGTTCCTCTGTACACAATTTGGCACCACGTGGTATCATAGTCACTACTCCGATCAATACACTGATGGTGTCGTTGGAACAATGATTATTGACGGGCCAGCAACTTCAAACTATGATATCGATCTTGGTGCCATGCCTATCACAGACTGGTACTATCGTCCTGCATTCGAGCTGGCGCCCTTGGTTCAAAGAGGAGCTTTCCCGGGTGGTCCTACCGGTAGTAACATCCTCATCAACGGCACCAATGTCAGTCCCAACGGCACAACAGGACAATATCATCGCACGTCTTTAACCAAAGGAAAGAAGTATCGTCTCCGCCTTATCAATACATCTACCAACGACAATTTCAAAGTCGGCCTCGACGGGCACAATCTCACCGTCATCAGTGCAGACTTCGTCCCGATTGTGCCTTATACCACGCAGTGGATCTTCCTTGCAGTTGGTGAACGCTACGATGTGGTAATCAATGCCAACCAAGCAATTGATAGCTACTGGCTTCATGTGATTCCTCAGAGGGGCTGTAGCAAAAACGCTGTCACAAATGCGCTTGCCATCTTCAGCTATGTTGGTGCACAGTCACCAGTTCCCTCCAACGCCACAAGATCGAATGCTCCACCAGGTGCCGACTGCAGTGATCCCAACGACAAGCTAGTACCATACGTCAAGCTGAATGTCCCTGACAATTATACAATTCCAGCAAAATCGCGTCTCGATGTGGGATTCGCCATCGTTCAAGACAAGGCAAACCAGACTTTGTTCCAATGGAATCTGAACTTCACAGCAATCGTGGTTCCCTGGGGTACACCCACTCTACAATATGTCTTGAACAACAATAACAGCTACCCGTCGAACATGAATCTGATCTCGCTCCCCGATGCGAACGCATGGTCATATTGGGTGATTCAAGCCATCCCTACCATTGCACCTCCAATCCCACATCCAATCCACCTCCACGGACATGACTTCTATGTCCTCGGCGCCGGCAGTGGCATCTTCAACAACTCACAGACACTCAAGTATAAGAACCCTCCACGGCGCGATGTTGCTATGCTGCCAGCGTCGGGATACCTGGTCATCGCGTTCATTACCGACAATCCGGGTGCATGGCTCATGCACTGCCACATTGGTTGGCATATCGGTCTCGGTCTCGGTGCGCAATTTCTCGAGGTACCAGATAAGATTGCAGGGCTGGGCGTTGGATCTGAATTCAATCAGGTGTGTAGTGATTGGAATAAGTACTATGATACTGCTCTGTTCGATCAAGAGGATTCTGGGCTTTGAAACATGGCGGAGTTCGACGCGCCGTTATAAAAAGGAGGAGAAGGACTGAATGCAAGGTCCAAGTGCTCGCATACATAAATAGTCAGAACAAGTTTATTGATTTAATACATCTGGCAATGGTCCCTGGGGAATTAGTAGCCTTTGATCATCGAATGGTCCAACTTGACTCTCCAACAAATGTAAGGCGAGTAAGCTGGCAAGGAAGACGATCATATAAGCCGTCGCCTCCCCTAAGAAGTGGACCACAACGGTCATTGATTCTGTACAAGCCATTGTGCAGTAACATAGGATGATAACTACGACGAGACTCATTCATACAACCGAGCACATTACTATGGCGACCTTGTACTATTTGCTTGTCATCTGTCCAATGTGTAGTGGAGCTTTTGGCTCACTCTATTTTCACTAAGTCCGATGAAACCCAAGTCTTCGGTGGCACCCCGGCTGCTGCCCCCAGGTAAGATACCTACCATCCCAGGCACATTCTTCAGCGCATTGTTAGGGCCCTTCAACTCCAGGGATTTGAACTCGCTGACCTCGTCCGCAAGCTGTGCTCCAAACTTGAACATCTCAAGGCCATCAAGTGTTTTGGCCCACCTCCTTCCGGCAAAGAAGAGCATCCACGCCGCTCCTGCGCACATGATACAGGCCCACAGACATAGCAGAGTCAAGACATATATCCATGACACCGCACCCGCAACCAGATAGGTCGCCGATCGCAACGAACGCAATTCTCCATAAGATGGATTTATGCCTCCCTCATCCATCATGGTGATCACGCTTTCTCCCAAGAGTTTGCACATGGCCAGCTGCAGATCCTTTGGCGTTAAGGAGTGATAAGACCTCCAGGTCGAATACTCGGGGTCTCTTGGTATGGGAAGCGAACCGATAACATCATGGAGAGCCACCCATGTCTGTCTGCTGAAGCACCCGAGGCAGTCTTGGTTAAAAGGCGTCAGAGGCCCCACGAACTCGGATGAACTTCGCTCATTAGCCAAGGCCTGTAGTGCGAGGATTTGTGGGGGTTAGATATCGCTCTGACCAGGCCTCAGACTTGGTACTTGTGGTCGGTGCATTGATTCGGCACTCACGAACGATGAATAAGTTAGGCGAGCAGGATCCAAGTCCGCATAACCTACGGAAGATGTCACATCACAGTGAATACCAATGCCAGCATAGTACTGTCCTGGATACTGGACCACCTCCACGGGGCCCTCAATTGTCCCATTGATTAGCCCGATCATAACCTCGTCCTCATAGAAATGCTGCTGCCACAGGAAAATCTCGAAAATTGATGTCGTCACTTCCTCGTGCGGACGGCTGCGCAAAATGTGGTCAAATGTTGCGTTATCATGGTTGCTGTTGATGATATATGGACTTCTGAAAGTGAATGAGCCATCATAGTAACCATCTGCGGCAGCTATGATTGTATAACCTGTTGAGTCGTCACTCGACCCTGTTTCGTTCAGCCATGTGGGGATAGTGATCATCTGGAGCGACTTTCTGCTGTCCAATTCCGAGACATTTGCATGCCATTGAGGCTGACAGCCATAGTCAAGGCTCCCAACGACGCACGCATTCATGGAAAAGTTCAGGGATCCGATTCCTTTGATCTGTATCATTTGCAAACGATCCTTCGAAACAGGCAGGCAAGAGATATTGCTTTTGATGCCCCATGCTTTACCGTAAACGGGCTATGGACCACTGGACCCACAAAGAATTCTATATTCGTGGCGTACGCAAAAGCTTGGTCATCAAGGTACAAGGCTGAAACATTCTTCGTTTCTTGGGGTGCGTATATCGGGCTGCCGTTTCGAGGAGTCGTTGCCCTTCCCGATTGACAATAACTCCGTATTTGAGGTGGAAGGTCGAGAACGCTTCGCTCATTGAAAGTAGTTTCGTTAGGTCCGTATATTCGAGCTCGATCAGCCGTAGAGATTTGGACTGAACCGAACTCCATAGTGAGACCACTCAATGGAAGACTCACAAAAAGCAAGAAATGCGTGCAGCTCAGAAACATCCATAAATGGCCTGGACTAACTGAATGTTCGCGTACTAAAGTCTTTCGTCTTTGAGAAGCCTGAGTAATGGCAACCCAGAATGCTCGCACCCACCAAAGTGGATAGGCCCTTTTGCTGTCGGCATGCCACATCAATTGGGTTGCCGTGGTCGGAGCAAGTCGTGGGTGCATCAGTGCGGCAGCTTCAATATTGGCCAACCCAGTGCGGAACCAATCCAGCACGAAAACGGAGAGAATAAACCAAATGTAGAATGTCGCACGAGCATTGACGCTGATGATAGGAACGATGCCATTCTGCGGAGGTCGTCTGAGAATCCCAAAGCAGATGTATAAGTAGAATCCAATGATCGACAATGGGCCAATTAAAGCCAGTAACGATCTACGTCAAAATCTTTTCTGTCGATACTGTCCTTTCACAACCTTCGGATGGACAGGATGAGTAAACCAGGTGCATAGACGTCGAAACACCTGGCTAGCAAAGGTGAACAAGAATGTTGCCATGAGAGTGGTTTCATAGCCTAGCCTTACCGTGCGGATGATGGATGCAGATTTCTTTGCCACGTAAATTAGAAGCCCTTGCTGGTCTTTCGAGAGAAGCAGCATGAAGCAGCAGCGCTAGATTGCCGCTGATACCATTGTCAGAGCATGCGCTACAATGGTGGGTAGCGTCAGGCTGATGATAGGTATCAGCGATAAGGCGCGCAAGGTGATCTGGGGTTCGCCAAGCAGTGGGGTGAGCTGATGCGTTGAGCTAGGCCTTAGTTGAAGGACGAGGCTGAGCTCGGAGTCACATCCTGTGCCTGATCCATTCGTAGATCTGGCATGCCTACTTGTGCTGTCTCAGTCGATGTTCCATGAAGAGCGCAGGGCAGTGGGAAGCGACAGATAAGAGTCCTGCTGCGCCAGTTCACTGTCGTCGAGTAAAATGTTCGGTATGGGAGAGCTCGTTTTATTCTCCGTCGATCACATGCTTGTCCAGGGAGTGCTTGATAACGTCGTCGAGGTGCTATGATCAGTCCAGCCCAGCTCTATGCGTGACTGCAGAAACCGCTCCACAACTAAGGTGGCTCAGAGCAGTGTCGCCTCACCAATGTGGAATCCATTGTAGGTCAGTAAGATTGAGCAATGCTGGACTCGCCGATAACAACAATCTTCACCTCCCTAGCTAGCAACCAGAGATGCTTCCCATGCACCGCTGTTGGCAGGTCCTGCTGATGATACAGGCTGTTGGCTTTGAGACCCACTAGCAAATGGGAGAGCTGAAACTGAAAAATCTGTACCATTCGATACTCCTCAGCCTTCAGTGTCCTGCCTTTGTTTGATATGGCGTTCCTCGTAGAAACTGACAAACTCACCAACCAGCTGAAGCTAAATGCTTAGATCAGAGTCTTCATGATCGCAAGCACATCCAGGGAAGCGGCCTCTTACCTCAACATCCCTGATCAACATTCTGAGTTACGGCCCATCGGGTTTACCGCCCAACAGCTTGACTGAGACCTTTTTAGACTTTTCAACACTAAAGTGTTAGCACGGTGGATATCTTTATGAAATGTCAATTCATGAGGATACTCGCCGCTAGTGTCATAGGACGTGTTTCCGGGCGAATGATAGAACTTGGCCGGTTAGTAGACCTGGATCTGCGAGAAAGGGGATTGAGGAAGACACCTAGGGCTTCAAGGTCGGGAGGAAAGCGGGCTTCAACTCCAAGTTGGGTGGAGATACCGCCTTCGATAGCGATGGACTGCACCTTGATAAAGGTATGATGCAGAACAGCGGAATCTTTTGATGGGTCTTGAGATAGAGAGGCGATGGGAAGGAGAAGTACGAAAGAATTTCAGGGATCAAAGATATCGAAATATGTCTTCAGCAAGGACTGCCTTAGCCATCCTGTGCGTGACAATCCTGGCAGTCACCACTTCACATAGAGCGCAAAAGCGCGACAAACGCAAGGAAGGAGCCATGCTGGGCGGGTAACGGCATGCAAGATCTGGTATGTGGAGGATTGCTCCCGCTGCGTCATTACCATGCTGCATCAAACCTGTAAGATCTTGCACGCGCAAGAGAGCATTCGTACGTAGATGGATAGCGTTCGAGGACTGAAATTGAGAGACAATGGGATTTTGACGAAATCTGATTGTTCTAAACCACTATACACACATCCGCATCCCGGGAAAAGAGCATGACGCTCGCCGAAGAAGCTTTTGGATAAATTTTTTGAGTCAGGATAGCACAGTTGTCTATAGAACAGACAGATTGGGAAATCTCTCCTATAGATTAATGTGTCAGAACCGGTCGAGTTTGTAAAACATGTTTCACGTACCTGGTATCCCGGTGGCATCCATTTTCCGCCCTTGACCAATCTGGCTGTGTACTCATCGACTTCGGGCTCAGCCTTTGCGATCTCGTCCACAGTGGTCTCATCCCATGATCTGGCACCCTCGATGTCGGCCAAAGCCTTCTCCAAGCTCCTCAGCTCCACCTCGACCTTGCTCTTGGTCTCCTCAGCATTCTTGATAGCCACCTGCTCGAAGCTCTCGATGGCTTTGATCTGCTTGCTGACGTCGTATGTCTTGGGCTGGAAGGATTTGTAGTATTGCTCGATTTCGTCAATGACTGCGGTGTTCTTTAAAATTGATCGGTAGTGACCGAAGTCGACCGTCGTAGGCTGGTCTGACAGGACCTGCACTCTGCGGCGTGCATCGTCGTTTCGCTTCTTGAAATTGGCTAGAGCGGAGGCCGTGCTGCCACGTAGACCGAGTTGAGTACCAACTTTGGTCCAGTCGAGCTTGATGGCTGTGCGGGTGGTCTGGTGAAAAGGGTCAAAGTGTTAGCCTATAGCTTTGCGTAATCGCTGAAACGTCTTGAGAAGCTCAAAACACCATGGGAGAAGCTTTTCCACGTACCTGTGCAGCCATTTTGGCGAATTCGACTTGGTAATGCTGAGTTTAGGAGCAAGTGGTGAGCTTTGTCGGATCTTGAAGTTAAATGTTCCTGGCTTCGGCAGAATTCGCCTTAGCGTGAACGACACGTGACCTTTCTCTAAAGTGTCGTTAGCGTCCTTTACTCCTGACTAATTTGCTGGTTATGTCTGACGTCGTTTCATAGGATCACAATTGAATGCTTCTGACTGAGTCTAGGTACGCTACAACGGGGAGTCCGCGCATGATCTAGAGAAAACGAGTAGGAGAGAAGTTGATGTGAGACATTCGTAAGCATTTTGCAAACCTGTCTACATATGTGCAGAAGTAAAGGCCTTTTTCCTGGTTATTTGCACACTCTGCTTCACATTGATCCCGTTGGCATTACGATGTGGAGCGAAAGAGGACTTTTCTCAATCCAAAATCGTGCGGAGCTTTTCTCAGATACGTTGCCATCATACGCTCAGCGCCATGATTGAGTTGACTATGTCGTTGCCGTTCTCCTTGAGCGCTTTGACCGCTTTCTTCCGAGAAACCGATGCCTGGGTCATGACCAATTCAATATCCTTGGCCTCAAGTCCACTGTCATCGACTTCCTCATCGTCGTCATCCTCTTCCTCGACCTTCTTGTCTTCGACTGCCTTGCCCTTGCCGTGGTCATGATCATGGTCATGATCGTGGCCAGAGTGGTCAGCGTTGGCGGCCTCGGCAGCAGCAAGTTGTTGAGCAGCAGCGGCTTGCGATTGAGAGTTGAGATCTTCGATCTTGGCTTCGCCGAAGATACTGTAGTTATTGTCAGCATGTTTCCTTCAACATTCGATTTGCTAGACAGTTCAACTCACATCCATGTGTTGCTTGTAGGGGATCGGTAGACGTCCGGGTTGGAGATCACGAAGAGAATCTATAGAGCAATTTCAGCCATCACCCTCTTATATGATAAAGGGGGAGCGACGTGAATCGCAGATTCACATCATCTTTGATCAAAGGCACTCACTCCTTTTGGTCTTCTCAGGGTAACTCTCGTGATACCAGGAACATGCTTCAATCCCAGCTTGCCAATAGCCTTCCGTGCCTTCTTCTCATTTCGGCTGTGCACAGCGACCGCAGAGCCAGCAGGGATGTTTGCCTCGCCCTCACCAGCCTCAGGTTCCGAGTCGGATGAGCTAGATGCGTCATCTGCTGCTGCCTGCTTGCTGGGCTCATCGTCAGGGAGCTCTTCTATTCTTGGGTTGGACATGTTGAAAGAGTGAAGGACGGAGGGATGGGAATAAGACTGAAAGCTGGAAGAAACGTCAGTTGACTGCAGAGAGCAAGAATGACATTCAGCGTGCGGAGTTTGAGGGTGGCTCTGTTGGACGAATGCTACGATTTTCGGTGGAAACTGCTCGGAGAGTGCAGATATCGTTTGAAGGGATCTTACATTTGGGTCTTTCAATCGTGATCTTGCACCGTTCAATTTTGTAGATTTTGGTCTGGAAGCTCGAGGCATTGTGAATTGATGCCGAGCTTCATCGTTCTCCAGGTCTTGGCGTTTGATTGCCGCTTTTAACACTGCCGAACTATGAGTAGTTCAACGCAAATGAAATTCACGTAACCGACTTATTTGCTGACTACTAAGATGGGATCTACGCAATAGTTGGCGGTCTTACTACTGCAGGTCAGTGGCATCTACATCTGTGTGCTTGTCTCGGATTGTGAATCGTTGAGAGGCACCGGTTGTTGTTGGCAGAAGTGGCTGGTGGCCATGGACTGACTCAATATGATCGGTGGGCGAGCGGCTTTCACCAGATCTATAGCACCATCGTATCCAGGGCTCTGGTTTCATCGTCATCGCAAGGGGTGCCAAAGTTCGCCCATGGGCAGAACGCTGGGAGACGGCCTCTGAATGCCGACATTTGTAATCTTGCTTCCCTACAGTTGACGATCTCCTCATGCACCACATGGAAGTAGTCACCTGGACAAATAAGTGATAGAACACAACCGTAGAGGCAGAACGAAGTAGATAAGCAAACAACAAAAATGGAAAGTCATTGAACTCCGCGAATCCGTGATGAGAAGATATTCTGCAATTCATGAATTTATTGTATCATGCTGTGCGAAAAAGCCAGCGCGGTGGAGCGACTTCAATGCCCATCACCGCGGAAGGGTGGGTGGTCAGTCAGTCTCCTGACGACCGAGGTTCTGGTGATATGCCCACAAGCCCTGCATATCTTTCGTTCCCATCTTCGAAAAGACAGGGTGTTTGATAATGGAATTGACGCCTGGAATCATGCCCGAATTTATGCCTTTGCTGATGCGCGGATCTTTGCGTGTGCCTTCGATACCTCGAATCGTGCCTGCGTGTTACAACATGTCAGCCTCCTCAAACAAAATATTCCCGAGGCCCAGTATGGTCTACCCTCGTAGAATGTTGGGGTTCTCACCTGTTTCTTGAGTCTCAGCACCTTGAATCGCTCGAAGTCTGTTAGGTTCTTCCGTCGGTCTTGTTGTTCTCGCTTCTTAGCCCAGCTCGACTCGGCCCACTTCTTGTCTACCTCATGCTTCTCCCACAGCTTCTTCACCGGTCCAGTACCGGCGGCCTTTGGTAGATTGGGAATGACCCAGGGTGTGAGGGAAATGATGCTGGTGGGAACTGCCTGTCGGGGAACAACTGCGCCTTCTTTCGATGAGGGTCCATCAACCAAGATCTGTGAGTGGTAAGTCTATTGTCCATGAGTAGTCTTCAGTGTCTCTGGAAACGTACTCTGCCAGGGTCTATTATCTCGACGATGGTTGCGAGTTTGCCCTCATACGGTCCTGATCGAAGGGTGACCACTCGACCAACCTCGATCAACTTCCACCCGGCTGCCTTAATATCGACGTTGGACATCTTGCCGAAAAGACTGCGCACACATATATCAGTGAATTGTTTGGACTGTTAGTGATTAAGAAAGGCGTACGAAAACTTGTGGAATTTCTTGTCGCACTGAGTTGTCGTCGATCCTAAGCGTTCAAATGTTCCAAGTTGCGCTGGTCATTTTCTCTCGATGTGTGGTCCGCCAAGGCTGACTTCTGCCAAGATTATTCTGTCCTGGCGCTAACCCCAGATTGGATTTGTCTCTGCCAAAAGCTCCCTCTTCCTTTTCTTACAAAAATTTCCCTCTCATCTTTGTAGCACGCGTCAAGCTTTGTCTGAGTCCTCCCATGCAGTACATTGAGCACTCTTATCATACACTGAGCCTGGGGGTTATATGTCTATGCACCATGATTGATTGTGCATCTAAGACAGCAACAACAGACGCTATGGCCACTTATTGATTTATCTGAACTGCTTCCACTTTCTGCTCGCAGTGCAGGTTCGCGGGACTAACAAGGTGTTCCGTTCCAGCTGAGTCTTCTCAACTACACTTGACGGATTCCATAATCATCAGGTATGATACTCAGTCTTACCCTCGTGTTTCAGTTTTCATGATGTTATAATTTGCGATTGAATCTGATATTGGAACCTCTCGCCGGAGGTTCTCAACAATGTCAGAGACATGATATTCCATTCTTACATATTCTGATTTTGCTCCAAGACCGAAGCATGACTGTCACCACTTTTTGTGTCTGTTACACCAAACTAACAGGTGTTCATGCTAGGTTGTCCAACAACTCCCAGTCACTTCGGTGTACACCCGACTGTGCTCCACATACCATCTATCCATTTTCAATTGTCTTTTTCCCATGTCTTGACTGCCACTGACCTAAAGCTTGACCATGGCTGCAGCCATCAAGAAAAGGTATGAAAGTATTTCTTTCACTTCACGCTGGCTTTCCGATGATTACAACCCATATGCACTAGATAGTAACTGATCAATTTTGACGTGATTGTACCCCATTACACCAAGATCTCTGAGGGAAACCATTATCGAGCATCACGAAGTTTAAATTTGAGATGAACCATTACTGATCTGCTCAACAGGTAGGGAATCCATCTGTTGTATTGTCGCCACTTGACTACTGTTGGATAGATGCTCGTGTTGGACGGTCCCTTCTAATATCTGTGGCATCTGTCTTCTCAAGAACTGGAAATTTATGTACAACGCTGAACAATCCATTAGTGGCAATAAAACAAGCCTTCGACCAAAACCATTGTGACTCTTGTGCAAGTTGTTCACCTGTATCATGTCACCACGTAGTGCAAAACTGTTGACAACATTGTTCTGTTGTACAGGTCAATCCACTCCGACTTGAGACAAAATTTCCGAACCGTCTCAAAGCAGAGGCTTGCTCCGAGGAAGGCAGTGATGGAGCTCCTTTAATCACCCTACTGTTGCTTCAATATTCAGCTCTAGCGTTTAATACTATCCAGCCTCGTCACAATTGGTGGCGGAATTTTCGGACACGTCAACAATACTGACCAGTGATTCAGGCCCAGGATACTAGTGCCCTCTCACACAACCTTGCTTTCCGTATAGATCTTCCCTGGGAATATTCTCAGCACGCCAGGGTCATTCTCACATTTTAGAGTCTGTTTATTTGGGAAGGAGAATATTTACTAGTATTCAACGTCTACACATGGCTCATGCGTGGTGAAACAATAACGACGTTCCGTATGACGAGTTCTACTGATCTAAGTATCGACACTCTATGATTTTGCATCTTCGGGTGGACACCAACAGAAAATGTGGTGGCGTAATGTTTAGCACCAGATTCATCTAGCTTGCGAAATAGTTCTCAACTTTTGTTGTTGCGGAGAAGAAGTGTTTCTGATCGCGCTCTGACACACCGAAGCGAAATCATATATCGATGAGGATGAGGATTCCTCGGTACTTGAGCCGGGACAGGGCGTGGAACACGGCAAGAACAGAACGTGCTCCAGTGTCTATCCACTTCGCCCAATCGAGTACGACAGGTGAGGGAGCATTTGCCCAAAGAGCAGGCTAGTATGGCGCGCTTGTTTGGGCACGGCGACGGTAAGCATTAGGCGAGAAGGAGAAGCTTTCACGGATTGTGAGAACAGTCTAGCAGGACTCACCATACTTGCGAATACGGAGTGATTGTCACACCAATGCAGCAGTAACATACCTAGGTAGGAAAGGTGATTGAGATTGGGGCCAGGCACACCAGGCAAACAGGGGTTGATCGGCGTCGTCGTCGATGAGTGAAGTCTCCGCCAAGCCTCATCTCCGGCAGGGCTTTTCCTTGCCTCAACAACGGCTTTTTCTTGAAAACCACTGTTCGAGGATGACCAGTTCAACTTTCCACCTGGTAGTCGATCCTACGGACTCGGTAGCAGCATACGGATCAATAGTTGCTTTTGTTCTGTTGGCTGTGACTTAGAAAGCCTTGTCCCAAAGGACTGAGCTACAAAGCGAGAGGCAAGGTTCCCGCCGCATGAAACAGCACATAAAACCAGTTCCGAGCCGACTTCTCCAGGTATCGAAGGCCACGATACACATGGAAGCCGCAACGATCGATCACAGTGTAACACCCACCTGTGCTCTGCCGCGCCTCATTGAGAGGACTGGATCGCATTGACCCTTTCCAAGATGGATGGATTATCTACGGTGCACTGCTCCTTCCTCAGCCATGACGACCAGCAGCCATGTGGGCGCAACCTTTCCTCAGTTAACCACCACTGACACTCACTCCTTCCCTTCCCTTCTACTCTTCTTGATCGCTTCATCTACGTTTTCTCCACCCGTTCCTCCCGAGTCAGTGTGACCATTGCTCAATTCTACTTTAATATACGGATCGTCCTTGAACAGGACTGCCAGCAGCCGCCATTTCTCACGCTTGCTCTGCGAGTCAAAAACTCGTCAATATCACCTTGCATTGGCATGTGGCTCACTGAAACTCCTTTTGTCTCCCTTGGTCTTTCTTGACATTATTGCGTTCTCCTCTTTCTTCAACCCTTTCACTTTGGTATCCCCATATTCCTCGAGTGCAGATTTCAATTTTCAACTATTCGCTGGTCCAGATGTCCACCCCAATTCCACCATGCAACGGTGGTGCTGGTGCACCTCGGACTGTCGTTGACAAGGGAGCGACCATACCTGACCTCCCTCAATATGCTCAGGGATACGACGGGTCGCTCAGATACAACACAGACGGACTTGGCATGACTTATATCAGCATTGTCGTGGTGTGGACCTGCCTCCTACTTCCCGCAATCATTTTTCTCCTCAAGAATCGAGATCTTCCATATCTTCGCATGCGAAACATCCCTTTGGCAGTCAGCGCTGTCGCTACTCTCCATGTGTATTGGATACTATGCTTAATTGCATATGTTTTGAATGGCTACTTTCCATGCACCACAGAATACTGGATCATGAGCATCTATCTTCCTCTTGGGATCGCACTATTCCAGGCTTCGAACTCTCAGTTGCTTTCAATTGCCACCGCCCAGAAAGAGTACATTCAAGGCCGTGCCGTCGGCAGGCCACAAGCACCTCCACCTGCTCGGGCCCGTGGACTACGCAAATATTGGCAGAGACTTAGGGAGTATAATGCTACCAAGAACACTATGGCATGGATCGGCATTGGGATGGTTCTCCAAGTAAGTCGTTGACGTCCTTCATCAACGCAAAATGACTGACGAGACAAGGTCGCCGTCGCATTAATTGTCTTTCTCACCTCGAGGCAATTCCGCCGGGCATTTGGAAACTCACAATCTGCTGCTGAGAACCTTCAATGTCGGAGGGGCTGGGAATGGTTGGACTCTCCACTGCACCCGCACTTCAAGTGTGCTAATGGTACTTTAGGTGGCCCTCAATCGCCTGGCAATTATTTTGGGCTTGGATCTATGCCCCAATCCTGCTTTGGCGGGTTCGCAATATTCGTGATGTTCATGGATGGAGATCACAGACTGTCGTTTGCATCGTGGCTGGGTAAGTTTTTCACCATCTGCAGGTGACATCAACCACTAACAAACACAGACTGCCGGCTTCACCAATGTGGCTGATTGCTTTGTACGCGCCTGGCATGCGTGCTGCCGATTTCTATTTCATCCCTCCCATGTGGTAAGTGTCCCAGACTACTTGGTCAATCGAACCCATCGTTGAAGAACTGCAGGTTCTCCATCTCTATTGTTCTTATGCAGGGCTGCATGATATTCGTTCCCTTCTTCCAAGTTTTCAAGAACCGTAGCTTGGAGACCGAGACGCGCGAGATCATCGCCGAATGGGAGCAGAAACAGAAGTCGAATGGTTCTGTCATGTCCGAATCCACAAAGAGTGGTGCTCGATCGCGAGTCTCAACCAGGCAATCAATCAAAACCACCGCGAGCAATCGCCACTGTGAAATGTATACGATGGGCACCCTGGAGAAAACACTCCAACTCAATCCACAGCCTCTCCTCATGTTTTCGGCGACCAAGGATTTTTCTGCAGAGAACATCAGTTTCCTGATTCATGTTAAAGAGTGGAAGGCCAACTGGGCCTCGAAACCACCTAAGTCGATCAAGTCGAACAAGCAGCAGAAAGCTGAACCTGCAAAGGTACCAGACAAAGCACTGGTGCGCCAGCAATTCCAGCGAGCCGTTGGCATTTACGCTTCTTTCATCAGTCTGAAGTATTCTGACTTCCCAATCAACATCTCGTCGCAACATCTGCGAGACTTGGAAGCCATATTTGAACAATATGCTGCATTGGTCTGTGCCAGACCTGCGCCAAATGCTGCTACTCCGTTCGACAATTTTTGGTCTTCCACTGTTGCTGAAGATCTCGAAAGCCAACCGGGTAGAGACCAGCTGTCAGTGGTTTCCACCATCACTGAAGAGACTGGCAGGATTGAAGATCGGCTCATTTCTGATCCTACTCGTCAGCTTGGAGAACTCAAAATGACCAACTTTGGTGAAAGATTGCCCGACAACATCGGCATTCCTTATTTATTCGACCCGACGGTCTTTGACAAGGCCGAATCGAGTATCAAAGAACTGGTCTTGACGAACACTTGGGCGAAATTCGTCAAAGCGGGCTTTGCACAGCAAGAAAAGCAAGGAGTGGCAGCCAAGTTGCAGGAAACCATAGAGAAATGTCGAATACGGTTCCCAAGACGGCGATACCACGGCGGAGACACACAAAAATGAGATACCCCTAGACTCGATGACGGAGAGAACGAATTCACTACTTTAAATTTTATTCAGATGGAACAAAAATGGCATTGATGTTTTTTATGCATGAACTCAAAACAGTGGAGGAATTACATGATCAAGCAAAATCCAAAAATGTGTGTGCTCATCCTAATTTTCAGGATTGCTCAGACATACTCACTCTCGCTGGGACGCTGAACGGAAGTGCAAGAACGGGCCTTGACCTGGTCGTACAGAAATATATTTATTTTGTATGAGATCCCTTGATGCTGGGACGTTGGCATCGTGGTACTTTAGAAAGAAAAACAACAAAGTTTGAGCAGGAGTACCTGAGTACTGAATGTTGAATACTGAGCAAAAGTAGTTATGATTCCATCGGCCTATGCAGAGTAGTGACGGCGGTCTCTCGTCGCCCTGCAGCTATCAGCGGTCGGAACGGCTGTCCCCAGAGTTTTAGGATGTACGCAACACTCACCTCACTAGGTACGCATGCAGCTTGAAGGGGCAATCTCCTGCTACTGTCACTGTCAACGCCCGATGTGAGGTTGGGGAAGCATTGCTATATCATCTTTATCAGAGCACACAGCCCGAGAAAAACGGAGGAAAAGGGGGGGAAGAAAGAGGTGCCGAGAACTACCACTACAAATCCGCGAAAGCACACACCGATTCTTTTCCAAGGGATCGTGTGCGCCGAGTGTGTTTGTGTACAATTGACGTTTTGCTATCAATTACTGCTTCCTTTCCCCTTAGCACCTAGCACCACCTCCACCCAGGCGAAGGCCATGCCATACCATGCCATGACAACTTTTCTTTACCAGGAGCCATGTTTCTCTTATTTCTCATGTTGCCTTTCTAGAAAAGCATTTCCGCGGGATCACAAATCACATTGTCAGGTCTTTTTTTCTTCATGCGTGCATGGCCAGTAAATCAATTCATGCCAATCGGAAGGGTCGGACTGTTTAAAAATTCATGCTGTGCTTGTGTTTTTTTTCGTTAAGGGGTCATGGTCTGGGTTTCCCTTCTCTAAAATGCGAGGAAAGGGAGTTGTCTACAACTTGTCTGTTATCGACGAGGTTAGCGGGAGTTCATCTATTTCACCAGTCTCAAACTGGGTGGTTCTTAGAGTGAGGGACTTACCATAATAGTTATCATATCCAGGAGGAGCGGGCTTGAGACCCTTTCTGGTACGTGTCTTCTCCACGATCTGACCGGGCATGGTGGTGTTGTTGAGGACGGAGCCTCCAGGGAGGATTTGCCAATGGTCGAACACCATCTGGGGGAAGGCTTGACCGGATGTGGCGGCGCGGAGATCTGCGTTGAAGCCGAAGGACTCGGCGACGGGAAGGTAGGCACGGACTGTGAAGAGAGGAGTTCCAACACGTTGTTCCTCAGAAAAGACGTGACCTCTTCGGCGAGTGAGGACACCATAGATACCACCCATGGCTTGCTCGGGGACTTGGATTTCGACCAAGAAGACGGGCTCCTGGAGACCGGGCTCGGCCAAGAGAGTGGCAGCGTATAGCACACGTCTGGCAGTGGGGATGATCTGGCCACCACCACGATGGATAGCATCGGCGTGGAGAGTGACATCCATGACGTTGAATCGGATGGATCGCATGGGTTCTTCGGCAACGGGACCCTCACGAGTAGCCCATTGGAAACCAGAGACGAAGGAATCCTTGATTTCACTGAGGTATTGAACAGCCTTGGTCTGGTCGACGAGCAAATTGGGACCGTTGGTGTCAGGACCGAAAGCCCAGATCTTTCGAGCATCGGTAACATCCCAGCCGAAGTCGTCAGCAAGGACACGGGCACGAGCCTTGAAGTCGTCACGGGGGTTGATCTTGCCAGCCTCGATTTCCTTGGAAACTTCCTCACCAAGAGGTTCAGCAATGACATAAAGACGATTGTGCTTGTTGGGAGACTTGGAAAGTGCGGTCATGCTTGACTTCTGTCCAACAGTCTCACGGTATGGCACGACGGGGTCACCAATCTTGAGAGGTACACCAGCATGGTCTTCTTCCAAATCCTTCAAGCAAATTTCCAAATGTAACTCGCCAGCACCTGCGACAATATGTTCGCCGGATTCGGAGATCATGGTCAAGACACAAGGATCAGACTTGGACAACCGCTTAAGACCTTCGACCAACTTGGGTAGATCGTTAGCGTTCTTGACCTCAACTGAGCGCTGGACGACGGGCGAGACTGAGAATTTCATGACTTTCAAGTTGTGCGCGGTTTCGGATGTGGTGAGGGTACCGGACTTCAACAAGAACTGATCGATACCAACGAGACCAATAATGTTGCCGGCAGGCATATCATCAATAGGTTCAACGGTGCGACCCATCATGAGAACAGTACGCTGGATGGCCTTGACGAAGAGATCTTCCTTCTTGCCAGGGATGTAGTTGGGGCCCTGGATGCGGACCTTGAGACCAGAGCGGACAGTACCAGCGAAGACACGACCGAAGGCATAGAATCGGCCCTTATCGGAGGTTGGCACCATCTTGGAGACGTAAAGCATGAGGTCTGCCTTGGGATCGCAGTCTCGGATGGCAATGCAAGCTGCATCATCAGAGGGACCCTCGTAGAGAGTCTCAGCACGATACTTCTGAGCGGTGACTGGGGATGGCAAGTGGATAACCATCATCTCCAAAAGAGCATCGGCAGCTGGCAGGAACTTTCGCATAGCTGCTTTCAGAAGGCCCTTGCCGGGTAGTTCCTTCTCTTCGTTGGTGATCTTGATATCAAGCTTGGTGGCCAAGTTGACAAGCTCGTCAACCTTGCCCTTGGTGAAGGCATCGAAGATCTTGAAGATTGGGTCAAGAATGAACTGGTTAAAGGCACGCTCAAGAGTCTTGCCCTCGAAGTCGGCAGTCTTGGTCCACTTCTTGGTCTTGGGGTTGAAGTAGTTGTCGCCCCAAAGACGCTCCATCATCTTGGCCTTGTCGACACCGAACTTCTTAGCATATCGGATGGCGAATTGGCGGATAGTGAAGGCCCAGCCGTGAAGACCGGAACCGAAGGCCACGGTACCCTTTTCGGGCCAGACTTGGACATCACCAAGAGCCTTGTCAAAGTAGGTGGAGATGATGACGTTGACCGACTCGATGGTTCTCAGGAATGATTGGTAAAGATCTTCCTTCTCGACTTGCAATTCAAGGAGGGCACGGTCGACCTTGTTGATGATGACGACGGGCTTGATACGTTCACCAAGAGCCTGTCGAAGGACAGTCTCGGTCTGGACACAGACACCTTCAATGGTGTCGACGACAACGAGAGCACCATCGGTGACACGGAGAGCAGCAGTGACTTCAGAGGAGAAATCGACGTGACCGGGCGAGTCGATCAAGTTGATCAAGAACTCGTTACCCTCGACTTTCTGGAATACCGTTAGTGTCGGGATTAGTCATTGGCATAGTTGCAAGGTCTTACCTGGGGAATGTCCTTGAGATCTTCCTCATCTGGTAGATGGGCATACAGAGAGATAGCGGTGGACTTGATGGTGATACCTCTTTCTTGCTCGTCCTTGCGGGTGTCTGTAAACCGGCTAAAACGGAGTTATTATGTGATGTTTCTTTCTCGAAGGGGTAGACAAACGCTTCACCAGCTTTGGCAGCTGAGATGATACCGGCACGCTGGACAAGGGAATCGGTCAAGGTAGATTTTCCGTGGTCGACTAGTCAAAGGTGAGATGGTGTTTTGAGCAGGGAGAGGGCGAGATGGACTTACCATGTGCAATAACTGACATGTTACGGATATTGGCGGGCTTTTCCATGAGAGTTCGAATCTCATCGACGGTGAAGCTATTGAGGACATGTTAGCACCCGTCTTGAGATGGGCAGAGGCGCAAAGGTGAGGTCTTCATACTTGACCATGGTGGCGGTTGGAGGGGGAGATGGAACGGCCTTAGAGCGGCGGTGAGGGTGCTCTCTTGAGCGGTAGACAGAGGAGAAGCAGAATCGAGGGTTCGACTCGATCTGCAAAGTAAGACTGCGCTTGTCGTCGCGGACAAGATGAGAGAGGATGAGATGAAGTTTCACAGCTTCGTACGAAGTCGAAGTGATGAGACTCGGCAGGTGGGAAAGCAGATATGAAAAATGCTAGTCCGCAGAAGTGGTGCGCAGAGGGGCAGCGCCAAGCCAAGATTGGTGGTGGCAGTTAATGTTGCAGTCTGACATTGAATTTTTATTCAACTGGGTAGGGACTCTTAGCCACGGGTGGTCACTTCTCTGTTCTTTGGAGGGGTCATTGAATGTGACTGTCCGTCAGACTTGCCACCGATAAACCCAGTGCGCCCCCACTATTCAACGAACTAGACACATTCAGGTTAGAATACACATCACACTGGCACCGGAGATAAGTCTATGTTTTCCAATACCTGCTTCTTCTGGAGTATTGCTACCTAACTTGAACCTAGACAGGTGTGAACCAATGGCCAAGAGAAGGAAGACTCACACAAATACTTGAACCCTAATGGAAAGCCATGCAGCGCCCACAGTTCGAGAAGCGATGAGTCCCATTCACGAGGCTCGACGGGCATTATTAATATTGCGATTGATGCATGACTCACGGGCCGTCAAGACACGGACTTAGCTTTTCTCATTAGCCAATTGCAAGATATTGCATTTGTTGTGTCTGACAATAATAGCATGAATGTGCTCCATCACCAGTCATTCACCAAAGGAGTTGTATCAGAGCTAGATCGTCGTGATGTCTGAAAATTAAAAACTACTTTGGTTTACATGACTAACTTCACTACATACCAGAATGCATGCAACTCTCCACTTCTTACAGAATACACTGCCCCAAAACGCCATCGCTATGCACTCGTCTTTGTGTCACCTCAACTCGCCCCAAGAATGCGGCCATATGCATCTTCAACCTCCCTGGCCACTTCCAATAGGGAAACAATAGCAATCGAATGGGTTGCTTCGGGCAGCTTGTCTCTATGTAGCCCTATCCATTCCAGAGGCGGAGTTGCTTCACCCATGTCTCGTAGCTGTGGAGTGTCAATGACTGGGGGTACCAGAGCAACATATGTGAATCGCGACTGCGGAACATTGACCACTGCAGTGATCTTCTCCTGCCCACCATTCTCTCCATCCCCTTGAGGCTCGGCAGTGATTTTGACCGCTGAAGGTGGCAAAGGCTTCCCAAGTCGTTGAGCCAGACCGCGAGAGTGCGCGGTCCACATGCCACGAATGAAGTTGATCCGCGCAAAGTTCCAGCCGACATCAACCTTGCCCTCGAACGTGCTGCGGAAGATATGCTCAATAATGTTGGACTCCGGTTCTTGCCACGTCTGCATGGACGAGACTAATCGGGGTACCTTGACAATCGTCCCTCCCCGAGACGTGGTCGCTCTTTCAATGACCTCGGGCACGGATACTTCGCTCAACGCCTTGGTGGTCACTCGGTTGACATTGGACAGAGCTACTCTGACTTGACCAAGGCTCATTCCCAGTCCACTATGAGTTTTGCCGTCAGTTGTCGCTACGGCGAATCGGGCTTGCACATCCGTTGCCTCTAGCTTCAGGATTTGGTTGTCAAAGAATGTTGTCGGGAAAGCACCCACATCGAGTGCTCTAAGTGTCACAACAACATCTGTGTGGAGAGAGAACATGCTCTTTGTGGCGGAATTTTCCTTGATCCGTGGAGGCGGTGTGACCCAATTGCTGGATGGGAAGACGGATTTTCTTCGCAGGAATTTGTCCAAATCGCGCAACGAAGTCTGGTATGCCTCTTGCTTCTCTTGTACCAGCCTCTCAAAAGCCTGTACCAAAGCCAAAGCTTGCCCAGCTGTTGCTGTTGTGCAGAAGACTTGTACTTTGCCACCATCAAGAATAGCCACCAGACGATCATTGGCATTCTGTGAGTCCTGACGGACATTGTACATCAGAAATTCGAACGAGGAGATATCTGCCACTATGAATGGCTGATAGTCGAATGATGCTTTCACTCGGAAGTGTTCAAAAGCAATAGATGCTTGAACTAGTGGAGCTCTCTTGTGTGCCTGCGAATCCACAGGCCACCTGATGGATGTCCTGGCTCTCATATTTTGTAGCTCGACGAAACCACTCATTCGCCCCGTGCTGTCAATGCCAACCCTGTCAAAGCCAATGCAAAGGTTTTGCTCAGAGTCATTGTTCTTCTTGGAAGATGCCCATAGCTTGGAAATCGTAAAGACTGATTTGCCTAAGCCTTGACCCAAGTCAACTTGTAGCTTGATCTCTTGCACTGAAACAATAGCATGCCATGGCAGCGTGCCCTGCGCGGAGATCTCTTGGAAACGCTGCATCGCATAGGCTTGCTGATCCTGAGTTGTAGCCACAGATGGTGTTGGTTTCGAAGTTCGCCGAAGCTCGGCTGGATACCATATCTCGCGGAACAGAAGAAAATCTTGAACCTGCTTGGCGTTGATGTCGATGTTCATCGGGCTAAAATTGAGTATGGCAGAAATCCCAGTTCGCGAACTCACATGCTTGCTGTTCATCAAGGACATTACAATCGAGTCGACCCCGAACCGCGCGGTGGATTCTCTAGAGTAGACATGCTGCACAGAAGCTTCCGGCTTGTTAAACGTCGTAAGAATGGCAAAAAAGCGTTCTTGGTCGGGAGCCGATACCGTATTGATGGTGATAAATATATCTGCGAAGCTTGCGGTTGCAGCGACCCGTGCAATCGGCTGGCAACTAAGGCTGAACTCCTGCCGCTGGATGTAGAGACCGGCATTCAACTTACAGCGACCTAAGATGGCCGTTGGGCTAGTGTTCGTCATCGTGGCATCTGAGAGATAGCTAGTTGGCTGTACTGAAGGTTTGGCCTGTTCAGTACTGGTATCTTCGTCACCGAGCATCTCTTTGACGCTTGATGAAATCTCTAGGATGAGAGGTACAACAGTTGGATATAGCGTGTTCGACGATGCTGCCACTCTCACCTCTGTACTGAGGGTCGGATCATCCTGTCCGTTATCGCTATACTCGACTTTGAGTGCAACACCAGGGGACTGCAATGTTGCGGATGTGGCATCGTCGCCTTGCACAGCTTGTCCATAACGGCCCGCCCGTGACCTCTTCTTCCCCTTGAGGAAACCAAAGACAGAAGTTTGATGTTGGACTTCAGCACGTGGGCTGATATGGACAACAGCCCCAGCAAAATCTGCATCCACGAGAAGCGACGCCAGCCGTTTCTTGCCGAGGAAGAAATTGGAATGTTCTGCTTCTGGCGTCTGTGGACTGTCTGCAGTATATTTCTTTGCCTTTCGTAACTCTACACTCGCATTTCCGATGGAGCTCTGTAGAGCATGTGCTGGAATGACAGAGTCCGATGCAAGTCGAAGGTCCAAGGCCTTTCCTTTGGCATGGAAGGCAAATCGGCGATCACGCTTAGTGGTTAGATATGCCGCACCGAAAACTACCTCCGGCAGCAGGGCAGAATTGGATGTACGCAGAGTGGGACGGTCCGATTGCGACTGAGGCACGATTTGTAACTGGGTGTCAATGATAGACAGCCTTGCAGTACCCTCTTGTCTGGTCTGAAGACCGACCTGACGAATTGAGAAAACCAGATCTTCGGGCTCTCTTGTAGGGGATAGCACCGAATGTCGCTTCAGGTTCCATCGGACGCAAATGTTCTCTAGGTCCAGGGCGTATGTAGAATTGTACAGTGCCGAAGCTGTTGAGTCTTGTGACATCGTAGCTACCAATGCTGTCTCGATCTGGTCTTTTGGTTTTAAACGATCCGTCAAGCCAGCGGTAGTCATCCTTCTTAGTCGCGTGATGTTATCTGAAGGGTCCGCAAGTTTGATCGACTGAATGCGCTCCTGAATAAAATTGGCGATATCAACACCAACTGACACGGTTTCTTCGTAGAGTTCAATCGTGATAGCTTCGCTCTTCGCGCGATACACTTGGACTGTTCGGGATCCAGTATCTTTTGACGTTTTCCCAGATGCCTTGAGACCCACAATGCACCTTCCAACATTCACCTTATTATGCTCATTTGTGCGGTAAACGCTTAGCCCAACACCTTTTGAGTTAAGAGAAAACTGCGGTTGTTCATATATCGTATCGGGATCGTCCGACTCGTTGTGAACAAAAAGAGTGGTTCCTTCCAGCCTCAATTCCATTTCAGCCTTGTACTTGTTCCCTTCGACTATTGAAGGAGCACTCATATGGATGTTCACCGCAGCAAGAGTGCCATGAATTGCGTAACGTATCATCAAAGTGTTGTCCGGTAGCTGTGCAACTTGAGATTTAGATTTTCCACCTACAACCCGATCCAGCGAAGATTGGATCCGCTGTACTGATATTTTGGCATCGGGTATAAGTTGCACGACGCCAGGTTGGTTCAATGCATCAAAACAAGCTCGCACACCTGCAGCTTCAAGGTTGACTTGCTCCACAGTGGTACGGGCGTGGACTACCACAAGTTTGGAAGTTTGTCGCACAGAGAGTCGACCATTCACTGGGGGCATTTTCATGATTGAAAGATTGTTTTTGGACGTTCCATGGGGCACCTCGAATAAATGTTCATGTTGCTTGATGTCGAAATTGATGGCTAAGCCACCGTCCTTACGAGGTAAAATCGAAGTCCGAGCAACATTGCCTGCGATGGTGTAAGAGAGAGATGGAACAATTGAGGCTTTCAATCTGTAATCGTCCAAGAACAGTGCAACATGGAGATCCAGACTAATGGGAGCATTCTTCCGCAAGAGTTCAGGTGTCGCTGTCCTGTTGTCCTCTTGCGGTAATTGATCCTTCAGTCGCACTATGGCATGAACTTCGTCGTATATGACTGACTCTACTACGCTGAGAAGTCCCACAATGTTCTCCTTCATCTCGAATCGAAGCTTGTTGGACGCTGCACAGACACGCACAGTTGTTTTTTCTGTCGGTGATGCTTGGGGTGACACCGACCCGTACACTTTGGGTGACTTCAGTCCCCACATCAGTAGTGAGCGAGAGTGACTTCTGAATCTGGCCATGGCTGTGTTTGCCGCAACCGTGAACGATGCGACTCCAGGTCGATGGCTACCTCCATCGAACGAGACAGCACTTCTAAATCGCTCAGCACCCCATTTCAATCTTAGGTTTGTCGTCATGAGGTAGATTGAGGCAAGATCGCTACCAAGGATAATTTGAAATTGTCTTCTGGTTGCAGGCCGAGTCCTTGCGGTCGCTGTTGCTTTGACATCGATTGTTGGCTTTGAAGCTTTTAGAGGATTTCCCAGTTCTATGACCTGGCGTGCCAGCTCGAGCAGTGCCCAGTTGAGATGTAGAGCAGTGTCTGCGAGGTAAACTTGCACAATGATCTTCTGGACAAGTTCGCCATTCAACGAAGATTCATCAATTGGGCCAAGAGCAAGGTTGAAGTCAAGGCCGAGCATCGTCAGGTCACTCTGTCTCGGACCCGGATCTAATATGATACCCAGCTTTCCGACAATCACTTCTGTTGACATAGCAAGAGAATTTTTGAGATCGGGCAATGGTGATCCTAGATCTTCGAAAAGCTTGTTCACTAGAGGGACCCTGTCCCTCGCATAATCCCATCCACGCCAGCGTTCAAAGGATGACAGAACGTCCTTTCTTGCTGAACCTTCGAGTTCAAGTGTTTTGCAGTCACATCCTTTCGATAACAAACCATGGTTTTCGCAAAGGAGTGTAAAGTAGATGTGTCTGAGTCGGGTCATTATTTTCCAAGAATCTGTTAGACGGACATGATTGTCGGCACTACGCAAAACGTAGGACGGTTTGGTCAAATAGACAGGGTCTGAGACCGAGTCGCCCGCCAGGGTGAGATGATAGATCAAATGTTTTGACTTTAAGCTTTGATCCAGATCTGAAAATGCGCCTGCGATATAGTCTACCATCGTCGTGCTCCGTTGGATCAACCCGGCCATGTTAGCGAGACGGTCCGACCATAGAACTACATCGAAATTGCTGATTTGCAACTTTGAACTGACGGCCTCTTTAATGCAAAGCCAAAAGCCTGTATTGGCGAGTGAGAGTTCTGCTTGTGCTGCTGACTTGCCGGGCTGAAATGCCTCATCCCGAACGCTCATGGAAAGGCTCTGAATGGAGCCGTAGGCTATTTGGCTTTTCTGCAAATCTTGTTGTCCTCGCCCATCGGCCTTCCGGTGTAATGAACGGAGCATGACCCGAGATTCGGAGAGTTTGATATCATACTGATCGTCTGAAGCTTCGTGATTTGCGCTGCAACTGATACTGTTTATAAGTCTGATATGCGCTCGCGGAAGCTGAATCGCTATGTCTATCATGTGCCCATGATCTTTGTGTTTGTAGACTTCCATAACCCTTTTCATGACATCAATTTGAACTTGATCGAGCATATCCACAGGATGATCCGTAGTCAGCTCGCGAATTAGTTCTCCAATAGACAAGAACATGTCTGGTGTACAAAAGCCAGACAAGCCATTTTCCACCAAGCAAATGATTCCGTTGTGTGGAGTATGCTCGAAGTCATCATGCTGTGTGTCAGACATGCTAGTGTGCAAGACCAAATTGTTCGACTCTGAAGCCCCGGCAATCAACGCTGCAGGCATATTGGTGGTGTCTGGGTGCACGTCATGCAAAGTGAAATGAGGGGGAGCCCATGGGCTCGAGAAGGTTACTAGATTTATATGACCGTGTGGCTCGGATGGGTGGAGATGAGCGGAAGCGCGTTTGCTCTGAGTGCTAGAGTGATCAGACGGAGGTGCCAATGATGTCTTGTAGACCCCTGTCCGATGGCTTCCTTGGAATGATCCGAGTCGTGAATGTGGTTGTGATGTATGCGCTCTCGGGGGCTCTCTGGTACGCAGGGATGCTGACGAGGAAGAGAGGAATGAACTCTTACGAAGTCGTGCTCGGGATGTTCGACTATTTCCAGATCCAGCGAACAAGGTTGTGGTTTGCACTTTACCAACTGGTTCAGGCAGTACAGGCACAGGCATTGCGGGCCGTTCACGGGCCCATTCAGGGGTCTTGTGCTGTGCTGAGTGTAGCGTCTGGGCTTTCATCAGCCAATCCGCGCGGTGGGTACGCTGGTCATGGTATCGAACATGCTGTTGTTGCAAAGCTCTAGTCTGCGCAAGGTCTGCAGATTTGTCTAGGGAGCCTAAGGTGATTGAAGTCTGAAAGCTAGCATAGGTTTTCACTGCGCTAGGACTATCGTCGTGATGGCGGACAGCACTTTGATGGTCGACAACCGCAAAAAGAATGCTCGGGACATGAGCCCTTAGTGTTTTCGCAAAGCTAGATCCTGCCCAGTCTCCAAAGGAGAGGTCACATTCAGATAGTTCGAGCAGAAATGCGGCTCCTGTTGTGACAAGCCAGAGACGCACGGCTGCGAGACTGACTCTCAAAAATGTCACATCATGTATTACAGCGCCCCTAAATTCTGGAAGTGCATTCTCATCGTCGTCAAGCGTGAATATAAATGCGGCAATGGCAGGAATCAAAGTCCGAATGAATCGGGACGAGCATTCGCCTGTGATCTCGCCAACATCAATGTCCCAATTGCAGACATAGGTTGGTTCAGTTGGCGGGGCTCCAAAGAGGCGATGTCCGTAGATGCCAGCACTGTCGATGAACAGTTGACAATTGGAAATGACAGTGCCATCCTTTGCGTTGTCCAGAGGCGTAGATTGAGTGGAGGCTTCGAGAGGGCTTGAATTGACCTGTAAGTCCATGTAGTAGTTGGTGAAGCGCATGTCGGCTTCAACGAGGAGTACATCAAATCGCACGCATTCATTTCGTGCGTAAATGTTGGCTGGCAGTAATATGCTTGACTCGTCAGCTCGAACTGTTAGAATGACATCTAGGTCGTTCTCCTTCTTCAGCCCCGGGCGAGGAGTATCATGATTCTGATCCGCAAGCATGTTTTGGTATTCTTCGAGGGTTCGGAAATGTAAATCTTCTCCAAAGTAATTCTCCTTGACATTCATGAAATAGCGGATCAGGTAACCGTGCAAGAAGAATTGGGGAGCACCGCCTATGACGGTCATGAACAGAGAATCGGTCAAGGACGGTGCAATGTTTGAGTAATAATTGTAGGATCCCTCTAGATTGAGTTTCTTCAGCGTTGCCATAGTTTTGTCTTCGACGAGAGTGTTGAGGGTGTTCCACAAGGGTGTAATCAGCTGCAAATAGGCATTTTGACCTTCAGCCAGAAATTTAACACTGCTTTCACGCGGAGCGAAGTATTGCATGGGTATATCGACATCACCACTCAGGTGTCCAAATCCCAGGACCAAGAAAGCATTCTCCTCCACATTGCAAGGGTTGTCGATGATGTTGTAATCATTCGCATTGAGGTAGAGCTTCAAGTCTGGAAAAGTCAAATGGAGCTTGTATAGGAAGGGAACAAAAGTCATATAATCTGGCTTCTGCCCTGCGGTAAAGTCGCTGATCAAGTCAGTCAGAAGAAACATATGATCTCGCAAGAGAAACATTTCCATGGCATTGTTCTCAACGTCAAAGATCCATGTGTGAGGACTGTTCCATGCAAGGGGATTGGAGAGATCGCAAGATACTTTTTGTGATTTGCAGCGCCATAGTAGATCATGGTTAACGCTTGAGGTCGCCTTTGTATTCTTTAGTTCGAGCCTTAGCTGATTTTGATAGCCTTGGCTCCCGGGTACCATATCCATATCGTAGCGAACAGTGGAGTCCCTTCCAGCTGAGACCGTTAGCCAGCCAAAGGGTCGAACATCAGGACCAAGCTTGGTCTTCTGAGATCTGCGAAAACGAAAATGTCGCTTCTCGCGTTGTTTACGGACAGCGGCTGCATCTTTCACAGTATGTGCCCGCCCTCTCCACTGCCAATCTTTGGAGCGTTCTTTGGTGGGTACGCGGAGGCTGACCTCGTCCTCTAGATCGATTCGGATGACCATGCTCGTACTTTGCCTTGGCTGGCCAGTACTCAAAGCAACTGCAGGGGTGACCGACTTGTAGGGATTCGGCAAGAAGACGTTCTGGATTTCCACCCTGAGCCTATCTGCCCATGGTCCATAATTGACGAAGCCTCCTCTGATGGTCAAATCAAGGCCATAGGCTGGGGGAGTACAACCGTTCACCATGTCATGATTGGTGTCTGCTTGCTGGTCGCTCTGTTCTTCTAGGACTTCCCCTGGCATATCCCAGTAGAAGTTCAGATGGATTGCAGGCGAATCCAAAATCTGTGAAAATCTAGCATAGTCCACATGAGACCAACTTTCATGATCATCTTGATCGTCTTCATCCAGATAGCGGGTCAAGCCGTGCCATGACCTGTTGAGATCTTGAAATTCTTCATACAGAAAGGGACCTTTGGACTCTCTGTCTGGCGAGGCTGAAGTTCTTAGAGAGCCTCGAGAACTGCGAAGGCCCGGAAGGAGACGCTTCATTCGCTGACCAATTCTTTTAAGACGTACGAGGATGCCTAAGTCGATGTGCCACCAGCGTCTTTTCCTGCGCATCAATGACTCTGCAGCTGAGATGTATTTTTCAGCCGCAGCAGTCTGAGATCTGCGATAATCTGGATTGGGTTTCATTTCAACCTTTGGAAGTTTGATCTCGAAATCGAAGACCTGGCGAAAGATGTCAAGCGGGCCTGCAGCGGCGGCGTCCACATGCCCAAAAGCCGAAGTAAAAGTGGTGACAACGATAGCACGCGTGTTTTCATTACCCAGAGTGATAGCTCCTTTGGTGCACTCGATTGATATTGGCAAAGTGCGTAAAATGAATGAGTAAAAGCTGGATACATTCGTGTTGAGCTCGTCTTCACCAGACACAGCACTGGTATAGGTCTCCATACGGGAGATGGGTACGCTCATTTCACCTGGCTGCAACGACTGGTGAGCTTTTTCGCTGGACAACCTGTCTGCCGACGAGTCCGTCGTGGAGGTATCCTTGGACTCTGGTCTAGCAGTGCCCCTGCGATGGCGCAGTTTCCCCGAAATTGATTTTGGAAGGATCCCGCTACGAGCCTCCGGGTCCGGATCTTCGGTTTTGGTCTTGGACAGGTGTTCGTCCTGGAAGATGGAGTCGTAGACAGGAGTACGGTTGTATACAAACCACTCGAGACCGGATACGGTGACAGCGACTCTTGCATCCGCAGAGTCAGGTTTTCCAGTCCGACCTAGCTCTTGGTCTTCAGCAACAGGTTCGGAGGCCTCTGAACCATCTCCGGTGGTGGAGGGTTTTTCTTTCAGGCTGGGAGTGCTTTGGTCATCGGTGACAGACAAATCAACCTGACGAGCGGATCGGAGCCAACACCTCCAGGTGATGTAGCCGCTCTGAACGAAGATAGTTTCATTCTCGCCGTGGTACCGGAGACCTTTGAAGAAGATCCTCCCGGCGAGGAATGACAACTGTAGAGACTGTATATCGATCCATACTCTGTACTTATGCCAGGTGAAAGCCCTCAAGCCGTAGGAAACGAGAGTCGCGAAGAGACGGTTGAAGTAGAACAGAAAGAAGAGGCCGAGACAGGAACAAGTGACAAGCTCAATGAACCATGTCCTGTGAGCTGTTAGTAACTGCTGAAATACATATAATGACACGGGATGTACCAGTTGAAACTTGTGCTCGCGGATATGGGCCGCCCAACAAGGTCATCCAAGTCTGCCATGGTGATAGCGAGGTACTCCGTGCGATACTTCGCTCATCTTTGAGAACTGAAGGGAGAAATCGTTGTGGGGAACATTCGGGAACTGACACTGCGCATACGGAGAGCGTTGTGAGGGAGGCTTCCTCGATGCTATAATGATGTGGAGTCAACCGAGTGTGGTGTTACTGTGATCTACTTTGATATGAATGGAAGGAGCCACATGCGCGTCGTTGGTGGTTAAGCCTTTGGAGGTCGCTCTTGCACTTCGAGTCTTGGGGTGTCACGGGCTGCTTTCCCCGCATAAATTTATTGCGGCAACGCCCGGCGTATTGATACAGTAAATACAGCTAATACAGGCACCCACAGGATACAGCGAATACCTCAGGTGCGTACACGGGCAGTTTGCCTGCAACTCCATCCCCAAATCCATTGACATCACTGTCACTGTTTAGTGTTTACCTCGACAAATTCCCTATCTATCACATCGCTTGTCTGCTTCAGGCACCAGCCACTGTTTCTTTTTCGCCTCACGCCTCCAGACCAGAATCTTGGTGGTTATTACACACTTCATATTATGAAGAATCAATGATGTCCAGCTGCAGCGCAAGACTTGTTATCAATTTCGGGTAGCGACCGCACACGAGCCCTCTCTTTCGTTACCAACATGGCCACCGAATTCACCAACAGTACTGGTGGAACGGGCAATAGGCTCACCACCGTGACCATCATCCTAACCGGTGTCGCCTCACTCGCCGCCACTCTCATATCCTTTCTGTACGAGGTCTCCTACAACTTACAAACTACAGACTAACAGACCAACAGGTCAATTTGGTTACAGTCTAAGAACTACAGAAAGCCCCTGCTCCAGCGATATGTCATTCGAATTCTTCTCATGGTCCCCATATACTCTGCTTCTTCCTGGACCTCGATTGTCTCCCTAAAGGCTGCCTTCTATCTGGATCCCTTGCGGGACATTTACGAAGCCTTCACCATCTACACCTTCTTACAGCTGCTTGTCAATTTCCTCGGCGGCGAGCGTTCCTTAATCATTATGATGCATGGCAGGCCACCAGTCTCACACCCGTGGCCCTTGAACCTCTACCTGGCAAAGGTGGATATCTCTGACCCTCATAGCTTTCTGGCCATCAAAAGAGGTATCTTGCAATATGCTTATCTCAAACCAATTCTCTCCGTCGCAACCATCATCCTGAAGCTCACGAACACCTATCAAGAAGGTTATATTGGTTTGACCTCGGGTTATCTATGGGTTGGCATCCTATACAACGCCAGCGTGACTTTGAGTTTATACTCGCTCGCGATGTTCTGGGTCTGCATGCATGAAGACCTGAAACCTTTTCGTCCCATGCCCAAATTTTTGTGCATCAAGCTTATCATCTTTGCCTCTTACTGGCAAGGCTTTTTCCTCTCAATCCTTCAGTTTCTGGGTGCTATTCCAAGCAACGTACCAGGTTACTCGGCCGACAACCTGGCTGCTGCCATTCAAGATGCCTTGATCTGCTTTGAGATGCCCATATTTGCCATGTCGCATTGGTATGCGTTTTCATGGCACGATTATGCTGATGTCACCATCTCAGCCGCCCGCATGCCTGTTAAGTACGCCTTGAGGGATGCGTTTGGGCTTCGTGACTTGATCGAAGATACCAAAGAGACCTTTCGAGGCAAACAATATGATTATCGTACCTTCGATTCCGGTGACAATGTTATCGCTCATGAAGACTCTGACTCTCGTGTAGCAAGGATGATGGCAGGCATGCGATACGAAAGAGGCGGAAAGGGTAAATACTGGATACAGAAACCTCAGCAGAGCAACAGTCGTACACCCTTACTTTCTGGGGCTGCAACCACCACCGGTCCTGCACCCGAAGCCAGGGGGAAAGCCGGTGATTACCGAGCAGCAGACCCTGACTGGGAAATAGGCATTGACGCAGAAGATGAACGGTTATATACCAACGCCCGGGCGTTGGAGTTTGGTGACTGGAATGTGAGTATTCTGACCTGCGACCTCTGCATACACGTTTGCTAATGCAGCCAATTCCTGTAGTATCCCGTTATCACAGCCCACCAGGCTCGTCGCGAAGACTGGATGCATCGCACACCTGGTCTTCTTACAACGTCCGCCAACCGTAACCTGTTTCAACCTACCCGAGACAACAAAAGCCGCCGGCGGACTGAGATTCGCCAAAGCATACAAAAGGGCAAGGCTAGAAGTACATCTCCATCAGAAGGATCATCAGAGAGACAACCAAGAGGAGCAATTGAATCAAAGCTCGCACAGAACCGCGACCAATCGGCGGCTTCTAGACACTCTGATCGCAGTCAACTCGTTGATCTCGTTGTAGAAGATACCGAGGCTGAAGAAGCAGAACGTGTACGAGCTAGGAAAGAGGGCGGAGACACTTGGAACCGTACAGAACAGAAACATTTCGTCCGGACTTACAGTATTGACGAGGGTGCTCAAGCGGGTGAGGAGATTCGCGAGGGCTTCGATCCAGCTCAGGTCCCGGCCAAACATCCACCACCAGAGCACGCGGTTAGCGATAACGAAGAAAGCGACAGTGACGGAGGTGAGTCTTCAAGCCACAACGGTCCGGGAAGATATGGAAGTTTAGTAGAGGAAGACAATGTTTGGGGTTCGGCTCGTTGAGATGGGAGGTACTCAAGGCCTAACTCGCCTTCCCTGCGCAGTATGACAAACCCTGTCTGTAACATCATTTTGAAGTCAAAGCTATGGCTTGGTGGTGGCCTTCCACCCTGTACACGTTTTGGTTGAGCGTTCAAGCCTGTCACAGTACCTATGAAACTTTTAGCTGCTTTGATAATATCAAGTTGCTGCTTCATCGAACCGGGTTGGAATGTCTACATTCCAATCACGCAATCCCATTGTTTCGAAATGTTGCCATGACTACATCAGGTATGTATCTTTTGTTTGCAGTTGTGCCGGGAACGGAACAATCTGGCAATCACAACTCAATCCCATATACTCAAACATCAGTGTGATGTGTGCATCCAACAACGTCGTCGGGATCTTCTACGTTCATCGAGTGTGCTTCAAGCTCTCACCATGAAGCTTGCTTTCTTCGCCATCATCTGTTTGCGCCTGGCGGAGGCCATTCGTGTGCAGGATATACCTTCTTGTGCGGTATGCCAAACAAAGATCGCGGTCGAAAGGCGTTGTGACTGACAGCTTTGCAGCAAGGATGCTTGGGTAATTCGACAGCTGCGCAGTTATCATGCGCGGTGATCGACATCGCCTGCCTCTGTTCGTCTACAGCATATGTCAGTGCCTTGTCATGCTGTCTGTATCAATCATGTTCCTCTGAGGAACAAGCCAGTGAGTGGCAAGCAAATGGACTCATGACACAAAGAAAGGCTGACAACTTCAGTTGCGATTCAATTTAACCAGCAAGAGTGCGAGGCGGTCAATCGAACGGCACCGGACTTCGTTGGCTGTTCGCCTGCTGGCCTTTCAAGCGCCCTTGCCAGTGCCAGTGCCGAGCAAGCCACGAGACCGCCCTTCTCGAACACAGCGACCTCAAGGACAGCGACCAGTACTTCGTTGTCCCAAAGCGTGTCCACAATCACTGGAGATGTCGTGCTGGAAACTCCACCATCTCAGACCACGAAGAAACTCACCGCCCAGTTTGCAGGCCGACCACTGATGACAGGGAGCTGTACTGTCCCTTATTTTGCGCTGGCGTCTGATGCAGCAGGAATGGTCACCCAGTACCCAGTCATTGGTTGTTCAGAAGGCCGGCAGGATTGCTGTCCATACGATTCTGATGTGGATGCGGTGCTCACCCAATGTCCTCAAGATCATTTCACCACGGCAGGAGCCTGCTGTCCACTGTGAGTTAATCTATGCCTTTATTTGATGTTGGGAGGACTAACTTCTTACCAGCGGTTACCAGATATACTATACGGCCATCGGAGCCGAGACGCCTTGTTATTCAGATCCAGTCACCAAATACATACCAGCGTCAACGCCCACGGTAGCAGGACTGAGTGTGATTACAGACCACGTATTTGCACAGAAATATGCTGTGGTCTCACCGTCCAAGGGAGGCAAGGACATCCCTACTGGAGGCAAAATCGGCATTAGTGTGATGGGCGTGAATGCTGTACTTATCATCATCGGGGTGATCTGGTATACGAGGAGACGCAAAGCCAAGAGAATGGCAAAAGAGTCAGCTTCCACCACATACCCACCAGTGGAACCGACCCTCCAAATGTCTCGAGCACCGACAGCACACGAGCTGGACAGCCCAAATTCGGGTAATCAGTCCGCTGGGATACCATCAGCCGCCTGGCCGCCCATTCCCTCCGTGATACCACCACCAGCATACGACGTGACTAAAGGGCGACCAGTGGCAGTATCCAGCAAGCCTCCCGTGCCACAGGAACTGCCAGGAAGCACCTTCATCTATGAACATCACCCTGCATTCTCAGCATCGACACCTGCTGGTAGTGATGTTCCCAGTGAGCTGTCGCCTACTACGCCTCCAAGAACACCAACGCAGAGTGCAGTGGATAGCGAAAGGAAGTCACCCTTGCTATCTCCTGGGACGTCTCGGGCTGGTGCGCAGAGCCCACCAGTTATTTCTCCGTTAGCATCTCCAAAGTTGACATTCTCGGAGACTTGACAGTGTTATATTCATATTGGAGAATGCCGTGCTGCTCGTCCCATGTACTTGTAGAGAATGAAATTCCCCAGGACCTAGTATTTGGTAATTTCCATGCCCGTTCTATAAGCATATCATAACATCATTGTCTCCGTCCGAGTGAAAATCGGCTTGGGTTTTAGAGAGTTTCAGGCACGCAGTGTTCTCGCTTCCAGAAATGAGGATGTCGTTGAAAAGATCAGTTTGGCCCTAACAAGGACAATACCCAGGCATTTAGTAGAAGGCACTCAGGGACTTCAAATCGCCAAGTTATGAATTGGAATGATAATCTTGCGGCCGTGCCGACAACGGAGAAGAAAACTAAGTGGATGGAGTAAATTTTTTATGGGTTAGGGTTACCGTCGTGTGCTCAAACGACTATCGATGGCCTTGCCCTGGTTTCAGTCAGGATTCGTCGCGATTCAGCTTTATGATATCTGTAAAGAGATGTGGAGTCTCATTCGAGCCAGGCACTGGCTTGCCACATAGTGAATACGGGGGGCCAAAGCATCTAGCATTGAGCCCGAAGGCGAAGGTTCACAGTTGCAAGGCTGCAGGCTATCAGGGTGGTCCATTGGCATGATGCAAGCCCATGCCACGGTCCGAGCTGCGCACGAGCTGGGTTAGGTCATTCAGAGACTAAGTCTGGGAACCATGTGTTGAAGCACACTTTTTCAGTAGTACAACTTGTATAGAAGACCAGGAAGAATATTTAAGCTGGGTGCACAGAATGAGGAATGAGTTGCGTGACAAGTGCAGAGACTAGGTTAGCGCGCACAGCCTTGCAATGATGACTAAGTTTCCTGGAGATGTGCAGACCACGTGAGGCTCTGATTTCAAGTGGCAAACGAAGGCGAAAGTCGGGTGGACGAATTCTGAGTGACCCATACCCGGAAGAAGTCTTGGGCGCCCGGAGGAGGAATTTAGGCTTGACCATTATTGCCCCCCAGGATTGTATCCAGGTCACTAGAACCCTCCATCGGCACTGGAAGAAGCGACCTCCATATGGGTGACCACCTTGTGCCCTCAAGCCGTCATCCCGCCAATTCTGCTAAACTCGACTCACCACCACCATTGACATCGCACTTGGTCTCATCAGCCCATCAACTATCTTCTTCATCTTCAGTTGCCGCGTGGCGAGGCAACCGTATCTCCTTCATCTTTCCTTGTTCTCTTAGTTATTCCTCGACACTCCTTTCCTTGCTTGATTGATTCCTCTTCCACTCACTCGCGGCGCTGCCGCCTGCTGCCCGTCAAGATGGCCTTCCTCCAGACTCAGCTACCAGTAATTTCCACCGCCTCTCTTACTGCCTCTCCTGTTTTTATTTCGCTCGCTAACTGTAATCTACTAGAGTCTGTCTGCTTTAGGACCCGATATGTATACTACGCTGCCTTCTATTTTGACCTCTCCACTCAAGACTTTACGTCGCCATCGCCTGGCGCGCCTGCGGGCTGAAGGAGATACTATCGGCACCGCTCTACAACCTGGCAGTCGTCAATATAGCCAAGTACATGTATGTTATCCTCATTTGAAGATATTCCGGGTTCTAACATCAGTCAGGGATCCTCCGGAGCCAGTCTACCTGACTTTTTGACCTCCGTTCCTATTGCCAAACTCCAATCCAACCAGCCGCTGATATCTACATCATACTCACCCCTCTGGATGTCTAGCGGCGTTCGCCCAAATGTATTTCATTCCCAAAACCACCTCGCATCTCTCAGAAGGGCATTATCAAGCGTTGGCGCACAAAATGTGGCAATCAGAAATTCAACGAGAGGGCTATCGACGACAACTACAAGGAATGTCTGGAACCAGCCCGTAAGGACAAACTTCTTCCTGGGGCCTCCTCGGAATGGTGGATTGAACATCAGGGCGCAGCATCGCAATTTCTCCCATACCACCAAGCTTGAGAACCAGAACATGCTCGCCCATACCGAACGAACCGCAAACAACAACCCTACCAGCGCCACTGCTCAAACTGCATTTTACTCTGCCCTTCTTCGGGCTAATATGCCAAAGATTGTCATCGAAAGATACCAGACCGGTCGTTATGCTTCCAGTCCAGCTGCAGATGCCTCTTACCTCAAGGCTCTGCAAATGACAGGTTCAGTGCCCGCACCCGGAATGCCCGGTTCAACCTCTGTATCTACCGGGTTGAGTCCTGAAAGATTACAAGCCGTGGGTCAAGCAGTAGCCGGGCAGAACTATGGCGGCGGCATGGTCACACCTGGAACTAAGCCCGGAACAGGGGCCAAGGAAGCACCCCTCTACGTGGTCGTTGAAGAATCCTGGGGTGCGACGATCTTGAAATGGTTCAAGACAATCGTCTGGGTCGCTCTTGCAGGCTATTTCCTACTGGTCGTTCTCACTATGGTCGTCGAGTTTACTGGAAGCTTTCGTACTCGTGTTGGACAAAATAATGAAGTTCAGCCACAGCATCAGACTGTTCGATTCAATGATGTCCACGGTTGTGACGAAGCCAAGGAGGAACTCCAGGAGCTGGTCGAATTTCTCATCAACCCTGAGAAATTCAACCAACTTGGCGGAAAACTTCCTAAAGGTGTACTGTTGGTTGGTCCCCCGGGTACTGGAAAGACCATGCTTGCCCGCGCTGTCGCTGGTGAAGCAGGAGTACCTGTTTTCTACATGTCTGGATCCGAATTCGATGAGCTTTACGTGGGTGTTGGTGCCAAACGTGTACGGGATTTGTTCTCCCAAGCACGAACCAAGGCACCGGCTATTATCTTTATTGATGAGTTGGATGCTGTTGGAGGCAAACGCAACGCTCGCGACCCTGCCTACGCCAAACAAACACTCAACCAGTTGTTGACCGAGCTGGATGGTTTCAGTCCTAGCACTGGAGTTATCCTGATTGCCGCCACCAACTACCCCGAATCACTGGACAAAGCCCTCACCAGACCTGGTCGGTTCGATCGACACGTCAATGTTCCCTTGCCTGACGTACGAGGCCGCATCGAAATCTTGAAGCATCATATGAAAAACGTACCTGTTGCCGCTGATGTCGATGCAACTAATCTTGCCCGGGCCACAAGTGGCATGTCCGGTGCCGACCTCGAAAATCTTGTGAATCAAGCCGCTGTTCACGCATCCCGCATGAAGTACAAGAAGGTCAACGCCACAAACTTCGAATGGGCCAAGGATAAGATTATGATGGGTGCTGAGGCAAAATCTCGCCTCATACGGGAGAAGGACAAGGTCATGACTGCCTATCACGAGGCTGGCCATGCACTAGTCAACCTTTTTACGCCCAGCAGTAATCAGTTATACAAGATGACTATTATTCCCAGAGGTCGTGCTCTTGGAGTTACACACTTTTTGCCTGAAATGGATGCGGTCAGCATGAGCTACGACCAATTCCTTGCCCAGATTGATGTGTCTATGGGTGGCCGGGCAGCTGAGGAATTGATATATGGACCTAACAAGGTCACGAGCGGTATTCAAAGCGATGTCCAATCGGCCACTCAGACCGCTTACCACCTTGTCACCCAATGCGGCTACTCAGCCAAACTTGGAAACGTGGATCTTGCCAGTGACTACAATAATTTGTCGAGTGAAACAAAGCAGGAGATCGAGCGTGAAGTACGGGACATTATCGAGGCCGGAAGACAGCGTGCGGATAAGATTGTCAAAGAAAAACGGAAGGAGCTTGAGGCTCTGAAGGACGCTTTACTCGAGTTCGAGACTCTTGACGCCGAAGAGATCAACAAGATCATGCGCGGAGAGAAATTAAGACGTCTCGAAGTCGAGTTGCGGGAAAATGAAGAAAAGACCAGTGAGGGTGGTGGTCGAGGAAACAACCCTCAGCCACCCAAGAAGGAGAAAGAGACAGGCCCGAAGGGTGGTGTAGGAATAAAACTTCCTGACGTCCTATTGCCGCCTGGCACTGGTGGACGTGGAGGTGAGAAGGAGAGCGTTCGAGTGAGCGAGAGATGACATTCCGACTGATGGATGCTTGTCCACTTCTCCTGTACTGCGTTAGCGGGTTAAAAGGACTCATATGGTCCTCCCAATTTTTGTCGCATTGAAAGAAATCATGCTTTACTGTGCAGCGTCAGCTCTTCCAAGATGAACTATAGCCCCCTTGGGTATCAAACCGTCTTGGGAAAGCCACAGAATCGATCTCATATCAACCAAATGACTTGTCTTCAAACCATGTGCCAAGATGTGCCCTGCCTTCTTTCCCCAGCACATGCGAGCGCTGCATTAATGGTGTTAGAGACGTGAGATGCGCAATTCCTTGCTCACGTTTAATCGGGATTCGTATCATCGTTAACCCCAGTGCGATCTGTCTCCACTGGTCGACAGCCTTGCCCGCCTGGTGCGATACCGGTATGATAATAGTGGCGCAGTGGACGGGCAACTTAGCCGAAGCCTTATCTCCCTCAATGTCATGGACTCTTCATGTCTCGTTGCCTGTACCACTTGACCTGTGCTCCGTGACATCTTCCTCTAGCAATGATTGTGAACATCGGCCCAAACTCAACGACTAGAACGATTGCTGGTTATGCCAGCATCTTTTCGAAGTCGACTCTTCACTTCGCCTAGCCATGTTGCTTCCAATGCCAGGATCGCCATCCTCCTCGTGGCCCGTGTTTCGTGAGCGTCTGAAGCAATCATTTAAAGGCGCGGACCCCCGAGTCTGTATTGCTTTCTGGCTTTTCGGTGAGTAGGGTTGTCACTGAGTTGATTGTCAGCGAGAGTCTTGTCCCAAGGATCTGCTTCTCGATTTCAGCACTACTGTTACTGCCTGCGGTTGCTCATGTGATGTAAATAGGCCTGATCAACAATGTCCTCTACGTTATCATCCTCACTGCGGCGCTGGACCTCGTGGGGCCCAACATCCCCAAAGGCGTCGTTCTCCTCGCCGACGTGATACCATCTTTCCTCCTAAAGTTGCTGGCGCCCTACTTCATCCATGCCGTTCCTTACCCTGTCCGAATCTTGATCTTCGTCGCCCTGTCCGTGGCGGGAATGTTGCTGATCGCATTGACGCCGAGTTATTTGGAAGGAGGAACAATATCGACCAAGATGGCGGGTGTGATACTCGCGTCGTTGAGCAGCGGGGGTGGGGAGCTGAGCTTCGTGGGTTTGGTCCACTACTACGGGCCGTTCTCCCTTGCGGCCTGGGGAAGTGGGACGGGGGGTGCTGGCCTGATCGGGGCGGGCGCGTATGCTCTGGCGACGACGTCTTTCGGGCTGAGTGTCAAGGCAACTATACTGGCCTCGGCGGGGTTGCCGGTGTTTATGTTGGTGAGCTTCTTCCTCATCCTGCCGCTGGAGCCGCTCTGGTCACATGCCGAATACAAGCAAATCCATTCTGGTGAGAGCGACACCGACGATGTTGGCGGAGCCGAGAGTGAACAGAGACAAGGTCTGCTGGCAGAAAGTGCCTCACTCGGCGAAGGCTATGCTCCCTACGACAAGCAGGTTTCTGCCTGGACCAAATTCGAGCAAAACTTGATCAGGGCAAGGGCCCTGTTCTTCCCCTTCATGTTACCTCTTTTATTGGTGTACATTGCGGAGTACACAATCAACCAGGGCGTTTCCCCGACATTGCTCTTCCCGCTTCAACAGACACCGTTCAAACACTTCAGGGCGTTTTATCCAACGTACAACGCGATCTATCAGGCTGGAGTCTTCATCTCACGGTCATCCACTCCGTTTCTGCGAATCCACAATCTGTACCTACCATCTTTCCTGCAAGTACTGAATCTGGTCGTGCTGACGGTCCACGCGCTGTACGATTTCATCCCCAGCGTGTACATCGTATTCGCCATCATCTTTTGGGAGGGACTTCTGGGTGGACTGGTATATGTCAACACATTTGCGGAAATCCGCGATACGGTGCCGAAAGAGGAGCGAGAATTTTCCCTTTCTGCGACAACCGTAAGCGATTCGGGCGGTATCTGCATTGCAGGATTTATTAGCATGGCTTTTGAGGTCTGGCTGTGCAATTGGCAAGTCAGACATGGTCGAGATTATTGTAAGAAGCTGTGAGAGACCTCTGGGGTAGTCATTGGCAGTCAGGCTTCATGGTTCGATATATTGAACAGACGTAGCCATCTACCAATCAGGAGGCCTTCCCGTGCAATCGATAAGTTTTAATGCTCCTTTGAAGTGCAGCAGTATGGGTACAAGTGGTCGTAATGCTGTGGTTTAGTCGGACCCATCCTCGTGCAGCACCAAGGACCGTCGAGCCGGTTACTCCTGAGTTATCCATTTTGGCCCAAGTCCCTGACAGGTTCAGGATCAACAAAGGGCGGCATGAATCATTATTACGAGTTGGTATCTTGAGGGACAAGCCCTTTGGCGCAGCCTGCAGCCTGCAGCTTGCCGGCACCATCTACAGACTGGCTGAGAGCCCCGAGTGCAATTTGGGGCAAGGCACGAACAAGACACGGGTGCCCCGTACCTTTGAGGTCTGCATGCGACAACATTAGAACACGAGTCCTGACATGCCAGTGTGTCATTGCTCTGTGGAGAGGCTCGTGGGTGATTGCCTGGACCATGCCATGTGTTTATGTACTAATTGATCACAACCGGAAGGTTTTATTTTACAGTCTCCTCTGACGGGCTCATATAAGTTTATTGCTCACCCAGCTCAATCATAATGGTTTCGGATATGAGCCGGTTTAGTACCAAGCCAGAGTCGAGGATTTCCGAGTACTTCGTAGTGCACTTCACTGGCAGGGCAGGGGTCTCGGGGCCCGCATTCGCCTAAACCCAATAATGAGCTCGTTTGATTTAGGGTGTCGCTTTACGCCCCGAAAGAGCTAGCTATTTCGCTGTTCTAAGCCTTATAGGTGGCGGTGGAACCCCCTTAGCCTCAGGCGGTACCCGTACCTGGATCTCCAGCACATTTAAGTGTGAATTTCAAAGGTCGTTTGCATCCCTGCAGACACCAGGAAACAGCCTGTTTGTGGGTTCAACTTCACGAGGACATGCGAAATGCTCGAGAAAAAAGGGCTCCATCCTGGATCCATGCCATGCAGTGCAGTGTTCTCTTGCTGGGTCTGAGCGCCCTATTGATTGACAGGCGCTGGGATCCGGAACGGAAAAAAAACATAATCGTGCCTTCTGGTCAAACCCTCTGGCACTGACAGGTTTGCTACAGTAGCACATTATTTGTTGTTTCTGGTGTCTCCGTTCATTTTGCGTCCTCTCTTCTTCTCCGCTGGTTTGTTGAGCTTCAAAAGCATTGCTTATCTCGTACCTTGTATTCGCATTGCATCTTTGAAGGACTTCTAACCATCATACTTGAAACCTCCCATTCGCGACATCTTCGGCCGTCAAGCACATCCTCGAGACTTGGCCACTATTATTATTCTCGAACTCGTGAGGAAAGTCTGAAAGCGGTGAAAACGCAGCCTTCCGTCAGAACACGTGCATCGAACTCGAAGTGACCAGTGGGGCTTTATCACAGACTCGACGATCTGGTCAGCATGCAAACAGCAATAGCAGCTTGCGGTGAGCCTTGAGACTAGTGTCGTCCCGAGGTCCGACGGACCACTTGGGGTCATTATGAACCATGTGGTCACAAAAGAAGAGATGGACAGACAGGTGTACCGACATTGGCAAGAAGAAACTCGACAACATGGTTTGGTCGCCAATCAAGTAAGCAGATCGGAAAACAGGACAAGGGGACCGGGGCCAACAGAATATCGCCCTTACAACGAAGACAGCAGACTGGACAGGGAAGGACAACCGTTTCATTGGGGTCAGCCTCAGCACGGTTATTCAGCAGGCTTGATGCCGCAGCAGAACGAGCAGATGTGGGCATGGCAACATATTCAACACGATCAGCGTTATCGAGATGGGTTTCAAGGTACGTTTACACTATCGTCAGTGAATAAAGCATGCAAGTTTGTCGCCGGACAGCCATTTTCGTGCGCCAATGGAAATGGTGATATATCTGTCGAACACATCCGAGCAATCTTCATGCACGTGCCCTCGGCCACACCCCTGTTTGTCAGCGTGCATTGTTGTGGCTTGCCGAGGAGTCATGCCACCTCTTCGTCTTTCAGGTTTGCAGCGAGAGGGAGATCAGCGGCCGCAGCAGCAGCAGCATCAGCATGGATCATATCAGGACACCGCAAGTCTCGAACCATCGTCAAGCTCTTTCAACAACACCACAAAATAGGACAGTCAGCAGCACAAAAAAACGACACCGACAAAATAGGCCCAGGCTTTCTGAACGGTGAACCCCATCCTCGGCGGATCGACGTCATTAGATCTGCCGCCCACCGTCCAGGGTGGAAAGCTAATGAGAAGCCCTTGGAGAGGTTAAACCTTAACTGAGTGGGGGCCGAACAGGGCTCCACGGACCTTGCCTATTAGGTATGCTAATAGGCGTTTTGGCGGTTGACAAGTGGCGCGTTTGGGCTTAGGCTTCCCAGCTGAAGCCTGCTCTCCAACACGGATGTGGGCCAAATGCCTGGCTCTCTCGGTACCACGATCCCTGGGCCCACCACTGAAAGACCAAGGTCAATCTTTCTCGAAAAAAAAGGGCCAACTGGCAGCTCCAATCTGCCATCTGCCAAACTACCATGATGTTGATCAGGATTCGGGGCTCAAGAGTGGCCCTTGGGTCTTGAGCAAGCCACCCAGCAAGCCCACCCTTTGCCGTGTGACGCCGTTTCGAGGAGAATAGTTCTACTTTCTCGCCCTGGCCCAGCCGGATCAACTCCCACCTGGAACTGTGGCACTGGCACACCACCGCGACTGGGAGCACTACTAACCGCCATTGCCCTACCCTAAGCCGAGTGGACCTGCCAGCTGTTAGGACTAAGCTTAGTGCCTGGCTACACCCATGCTTCACCTTGTCATCTGCTGCTGTGCATGCTCGGTGCTGTTGCTTGCTGTTGTCCCTGGCTGTGGGATTTTGGGTTGCGCTGTGTCTTCCCCCAGATACTACTAACTCATCCACACCTTTTCCTTTCCCCATCTAGATTCTGCCTGCACTACATCACACATCTTCACCTCGTCTCATTTTCCCTCCTGAATCGCTGCTGGCCATCAAATTCCCGATTTCTACTCAACATTGGCTTGAGAGCCGACGCATGCAGATGGGCTTGCTAACCGCCTTCTTCTGCCCATAGCACCACCAAGCGTACCCACATCCGAAGTCGCGCCTCCGCATCATCTGCATCACCTCCCTGTTGATCATCCCGCATTCCAACAGCATCAACAGAGCCAACTCTTGACTCAATCAGCCTACGCCCAGACCTCAAAAATGGCCATGCCAGGGCATTCTCCCTTCAACGGGCCCTCGAGCCCACCACGCACCTACAACGGTACGTACCTAGGTGTTATCATCGCATGCAAATTCTTCAAGTCCCTTGGAGTGGCCGTGGGAGGTTGTTGTGCACCGAGATTCTTCACTGCGCACTCTCTCTCTGTCACAGCGTGGTACCCTTATAGGATCTTTCACAGTGCTAATGCATTCTTCTAGGTTACCCAGAATCACAAGCATCTCGCCAACCTTCACAGATTTACGCTCCTCACCCGATGCTCCCACCTTCTCCTTCACAATATCCTCCTCGATATTCACAACCTCCCCTACCTGTCCCATCCCCAGCGATACCACCAAACAATGGTCTTCCACCTCCACACAAGAGACCTGGGAGCAGCATGTCGATATCGTCCATGTTGGGCCCGGAGAAATCTGCACCACAAGAGCAATTCCACCACCACAGTCAACATTCGAGAAATAATTCGAGACAGGCATCAATCCCACTTCCCACCGTTATGTCTCCCCCACAATATCACTCAAAAATGCCATCAGGAGGTGAATACTCATACAAGCCAAGATCAGAGACTCCTGACCAAGTTGCAATCACATCTCCAGGTGGAGTGAGGGCTCACCGCTCGAATTCAGGGACACTGATACAACGATCAGGTCCCTTTTATGACCCACCACCTCGATCCACCCCAAATCCTCAATCTATGGGTCGCTTCTCAGAACCAAACTACACTCCTTCTAATGGACCTACAACCATGCAAAAGGAGGAGAATGAAGATCGAGTCAGGCGCACAAGCATCTCTGGACTTTTGCAACGACCTGAAAGCCAGCCACAGCTAAATACTGGCGCCTCGGGTTTTTCCTCCAACCCTGGCCCACACATGCGACCAGATAGTATTCCCCCTTCTTTTGCGCAAGTGGACCGAACTATCCAGCAGTCCCTGAATGGTCCAGATATTCCTCGATCTAATGGCCTTGGATCTTACGATACCCGACCCCCTCCCAGCTCAACTCCCCTTTCTAGATTGACAGCTGCGGCGCCTACGCCTCAAAGCTATCCTCATTCTCAGGAACGACCGCTGCCCCGCTCCCTCTCCCCCGAGATACGAAGGTCACAATTGAATGGAGCGGAGACTAGAGGTCTAGCTGGCTTACTGAATCAACACTTTGAACATGGTCAAGGATCTCAGCCTATGATGCGACAAGATTCTATACAATCGCAGAGCGACAGGTCCGTTCTTGGCGATCGACCTCGCATACCCAACCGGGCTTATTCACCATTTGCTGGATCTGTGATTTCGCAACATAATGGTCCATTTGATGACCTAGGTCGTAAAGGAAGTGATGAGTTATCACAACACAGAGCTCTCCTGTCTCTAGCGAACGAATCAAAACGGGGCAGATATTCTCCTGTTCCGCAAGCTGTTCAAGGTGCCCAGGCCCAGACTCCCACACCTGATGCTGCGATTAAAACTGAACACGGTCGGGTTTTCTCTGGTTTGGGAGGAGGCTTGAACACAGCCAATAGTGGACCCACATCAACACCACAGCCACTACCTGCAAGTCCATTCAAGCAAAACGAAGGAACCACCCGGCTTAGCGAGGAGAACTTGATGAAAATGTCGAGAAGTACCTCGGGCATCAGTAAACGCCCCCGCAAAGCTTTGAACGATGAACAGCGCGCAGAAAGTGATGTAGGTGATGTGAAGAGAAGTGGTGCTGGAAAGGGGAAGAGAAGCAAATATCAACACTCGTATAAGCTGGAGCTCGAGGATGCTCCTGCGGGACAGAGGAAAAATGCGACCTTCGGTTCGGCCTCGACTACAGCTCGGCGAGGAGCAACACCTACATCACACCCGTCACAACTGCATCACCATCAATTGCAAAGACAAGCATCAGCCACTGGGAACACACCCGTCTTCCGGCCTAAACAGACAATCAGAATCGCGTCAGTGATTGCACTTGCTGGGCGGAATCGACGTCGCCATTTGGGATCATTCAAATACAGTCCCACAGTTGGCCCTACCGAGCTAACCAGACCAACACCGCTCAAATTCGATGTTTCTATCAGACCCAGTCTCTTACCGTCCTTTTCAGAAGCTGAACACATCAACTGTACATACACAATACGTGTGTCAAGAACATGGCTTCAGGAAAAGGAGAGAGGAATCATCTGCGCAGAGAGGTATTTGTGGGGCTCTGGCATCTACACTGACGATTCAGACCCGCTAGCAGCAGCCATGCATGCAGGATTCATAAGTTCCGTTCATCCTGCAGGGATTGACGAAGCACTTCTCGAACGAGTGATTGAGGAGCAGAACCCCAAGATTGAGGGTAGTACCGCACCGGAAAAGCCCAAGAAGGTCGAAGAAGGAAAAGATCTACACATAACTCTAGTTGTCCTACCTCCTTTGGAGCATTACACAGACTCGGTCAGGTTTGGTATTAAATCACGATCTTGGCCTGAAGAATCATGGACAATGTCAGAGGGGCCAAGCTCCGGCAAAAGCCCACACGATGGTGTAAGTTTCATGGTCTTGAAGGTTGATTTTGTAGAAGACGGGATTGAGGCGAAGCGTGTTGGAAGAACGGGTGTTGAGAAACGAGAACGCCTCAGGCGTGAGTTGATGGAAAGAAAACGCAGTGGCGAACTTGAGAAGCAGAAGATTGCTGAAGCAGTCGCTCGAGCGAAGGTTCGAAAGGAGGAGCAAAAGAGACGCGCAGCAGAAACCGCTCTGAAGCGCGTCAAGTCGACCAACGGCACGACCAAGTCCGATTCTCTGTCTCGACCATCCGAACCGTCGCGCAAGGAAGCGGATGAACAACCGCCGCAACCACAGAAACCTGTCGAAGAATCGAATATGCAGCTTGACGTCGGTCAGAGTCCTGGCGAGTGGATCCGGCAGTTAACGGTTGCTGCGGCGTAGGAATCGCTGTCTGTTGAGCCGAAGCGTGATATGAAGCGTGAACATCCTTTTTGATTGATGATGCGCACTCGAGCTCAAGCTCGAGTTTTGAGACCGGGGTAGATCTTGATGCAATATCCACACGAAAAGAACTTTGAACAAAAACTTAGGTGTTATTATCCTCCTCCTCAACTATCTAGATACTCCACTAGTAATGAAATTCTGTACGATACATTGATTGACGTTCGCGTGAGATGACGTGTATCCCTCCTATGTCTATCTCCGCGCGTGAGGGAAACGAGTTGTAATTTAGACCTACATCTTCTAAGGAGAGGGAAACCTCAGAAACCCACGAGCGACATCTGGCGAAATGGATGGTTGCTTCCTGGGTCGGGATCGTACACACCTCCACCGCTTGCCGCATCCATCGGGTCGCGTTTCGTTTCTGCGTCTTGCCTGGAAGTGTGTATCCTCGGGCCCGGGCACTCCTCTCGCTGAGGAATCCTTGTCGTTGTTTGAGATCGATTCGAATGCGCCTTGCAATGATGGCGGGATGATTCGCCGTCAAGTCGTATATGTGAACGAATATACATTCGCCTTCGCTACACAATCAAAAGCAAAACGAAACGACTCCGAGCCTGAGTGGTGGCGCATTGTATCTAGAGTCGATATATACATTGATCTCTGCTCTGCATGTCTGTTTCTCATCGTAGGGCAGATCACTCGTTGTCCGTGAACCCACGTCGTGTCATCATGGATGGGCTCGAATACTAACTAGTGTCATTCACGAGACACCCTCACACCGTGACACTTCTGCATGCATTGAACTCGGTATGATGGATATTGTATTCTGTACAAATGTATTTTACGTACCCACCAAGCGACCCACCCGACCGCCTATCATTTCTCCCGAGCGCAGAGAACCAACTGTTTTTGGGTTCCTAGCACGCGAAGAAACAGTTTGGGAAAAAAGTATGAAAAAGAGATCACCCGTGCCGCCACAGATCCTACTGTCCTGGAGCGATTAACATGCCCTTCTTGGCTGCGTCCGGCTCCCAGCCTCCAGCAAGTGCCTCGCCGCCATTCGCGAGACCATACTCCTTGACGCGTGCCTCGAGTTCGGGGCGGAAATGTCGAATCAAACCTTGGATGGGCCAGGCGAATGCTTCGCCCAGGGCTGTAGATGCGTGATAGGTTAGTTACGGCGAGTCAAGAAAGGGAGTATTGGGGTGAAGAAGATCATGTGACGAGGATGGGTTGTGCTTACCGCAAATACTGTGGCCTTCGACCTGCTTCGTCAGTTCCTGGAGCATGTCGATCTCTCTGGCCCTCGCCTGACCCTTCTCAAATCTCTGCATCATCTTGGCCGTCCACGTGCTGCCTTCTCTGCAAGGTGTGCATTGACCGCAGGATTCGTGCTTGTAGAACTGGGATAGACGGGCGATCATGCGGACGACATCTGTGGATTTGTCCATGACGATGACAGCAGCGGTACCGAGGCCGGACTGACTGTCCTTGAGGGCGTCGAAATCCATGAGCTGGTCGTCACAGATTTTCCTGGGCAGGATGGGTGTCGAAGAGCCGCCGGGGATGATGGCGAGGAGATTGTCCCAGCCGCCACGGACACCCCCACAATGCTTCTCAATGAGTTCACGGAGCGGGATGGACATCTCTTCCTCCACGGTGGTGGGGTTGTTGACGTGCCCTGAGATGCAAAAGAGCTTGGTGCCTTGGTTTCTCTCGCGCCCGAAGCCGGCAAACCAGCTCGGTCCGCGACGGATGATCGTGGGCACTACGGCAACGGTCTCAACGTTTGTGACAGTGCTAGGACATCCAAACAGACCGACGGCAGCGGGGAACGGTGGCTTCAGTCGTGGTTTACCGGCTTTTCCTTCGAGAGATTCAATTAAAGATGTTTCCTCACCGCACACGTAAGCGCCAGCGCCACGGTGGAGGTAGACGTCGAAATCGTAACCTGTACCGCAAGCGTTCTTGCCGATCAGACCGTCCTTGTATGCTTCCTGGATTGCTCGCTGTAGAACTGTTGCTTCATGGTAAAATTCACCTCGGATATAAATGTATGCTGCGGTGGCGTTCATGGCACGGCCAACTACCAGACAACCTTCAACGAGCTTGTGGGGGTCTTTGCGCATGATTTCTCGATCCTTGCATGTTCCAGGCTCGCCTTCGTCGGCATTGACAACAAGATACCGTGGCTTCTTGTCATTTTCCCAGCCCTTGAAATTCATGAATGACTGTGGAAAGTCTGGAGTTAGTATCTCGGACGCATGCCGTGATGATTAAATGAAAATGCTCCTGGCAGACTTACAAATTTTAAACCCGACGGAAAGCCCGCACCACCTCTTCCTCTCAGCCCAGAAGCTTTAATCTCGTTGATCAACCAGTCGTGACCCTTCAGCACAATTTCCTTGGTTTTGTACCAATCGCCGTATTTCATCGCCGATTTTAAATCTGTGCCATGGTGGCTGTAAAGGTTCTGAAATATGCGGTCTTGATCTTTGAGACCTCCATAACGTCTCTGCTGAGATGCTCCCTCCTGGACGGTGGCATAGCTGCGTGCTTGAAGGGACGAGGAGCTGGTGGCGGCGAGTGAGGAGTTGAGGGCGGAACAGCTACGCGACGCAGCTTTGGCGACCGCCCTGACCGTTGTCGTCGACCGAACGATCATCGCGGTGCCAGTGTGTGTCAAAGAGAGGAATGGCGTGATGAAAGGCACCCGGTGAAGGGGGCAAGGAGTGGTGGCCGTGGGTTGTGGGTTGTAGTAACTGGTCGTCGGGTGCAATGCAGTCGAACTTCAACTTCTATGATGCCCGCTTCCAAATTGCTGCATGGTAATTGGCGAGAGCTGTTGCTTAGTGGGTGGCAGTGTCGACGGGCTATAAGTGCTCCTCCGTAACGAGTATTTCTAGTGCGGAGTACATGTGCACTTTTAAGCACGATTCTTGATCATGTGCGAAACCCTCTTGAGTTGTGCACAATAACGAAATCATACAAAAGACAACTATAGCAACAAGGAACTATCTCTGATGTATATTTGATAATTAGTTAATTGGATTAATATAGCTCCCGGTGAAGGTGTTTTATATGAGAGCTCTGAAGGCTCAACGCCCCAAACGCTACCCAATACCGCCCCTCAGCATGACGTTGTCTTCTAGAATAGTCTTACATCCAACGTTGACTGAAGTCAGAACTCTTTCTTCTGTTCAGCATTGCTCCCAATAGAGTACCACAGTAACAGGGTTGTCTTCAGTTGAAGATACCTTTGCAGCTGGAGCGTGAAAAACACTAGTTGGCACTTGCACTATCTGTTCCTCCATCACATTCCAACCCCAACAGATTCGATCCGGTCGCAGCCATTGCTTTGTGTTGAAATCGGAAACCGTCGATGACATATGTCCCCCACATCGAAGAAGATTCATCAAGGCAGGTGGTGGCTCTTCCTCATCAGTCGGGACATACGCCCATGAGTCTGCATCAAGTGGATACCATTGCACTAACTGCTCAAGCCACGATCTGACGCGGCGTCGAAGCTGGATTCCTTGATCTAACTCGCTGTATAGTGCAGATAGTATGATGGCAAACTTGCTCTTATCCAGAACCGCCTTCCTTTGTGGACCGCTTTGAGTTCCGAGACAAGCCTCAAGCTCGCTCAAGCATTGTACTATTCCTGATGAGACGCTCTTAGGTAACATGTCAATAACTGACGCAACCGACAAGAGTTCAAAAGGTCGTGTAAGCCTTTTGTCGTAATGAGTGACAAGAGTTTGTAGACTTTGGGCAATAGTCGTTGGCAAATCATGCTGCATCTCTTCCAAAATGTCTTTGGCTTTCATGTCTTGGACGGCACCCTTCAGGACGAATGTACACACAGCGGCTGCGGTCTCAACAATCTGAAGTTGACTGTCCCGATACACCTTTGCATTCTTCTGTCTCGAATTTCTGGCTGTCAGCCCAGGTTCATGAGTGTTTGGGTCCGTGGTTTTCAGCCGACTTGCTCGAGCGGTGCAGTCAAGTAGTAACTGGCTTAATGTTGCCAGGATAATTCGGCCATCTGGAAAACAAGGAGTGTCTTCAAAAGGCAAGAAAAGGCTCATCAGAGTTTGTTGATGTGACTGCATGATCCCCTGTTCGCGTTCATTAGCGCACAAAACGGACACATTGTCGAGCAGATCGAATGAAAACACCGATAGTTCTATAGCAATAGCTGATGTCGTCGTTGGATGACGGTAATCAAAGATGAAGCATCGTGAAAGTGGGTCCGATCTGTTATCCTTCTTCCATTTTCGAACTTCGCTCAAGGGAGACCCTGGAGGTGCGTTGATACTGATCACGTAATGATCAAATGGATTGTCTCGGATTGTGAATCCATAGGACAAGAGGAGAACTTCATTGTCTTTGGGTCCATAGTTGTTGCACAGTTCTTGGCCTGCCTCATATGGTTGCAAAACCTGGAGCCCAACAAAACTGTATCGGGCAAGCCACTCGACTTGGACAGCAGGTCTGTGGTTGAGTATGTCAAGAAGTGGTAACAACACTCCAAATCTTTCCGTGAAGAGGTTGATAACATCATACGGTCCCGTTTGTTTGCTGAGCCGGTCGTGGCGAGCCAGGTCTGCGGGTAGTGTATCATCAAGGACTTGAGAGGTGAAGGAACGGCTTCCAAATATTGTCGCAGCCCACCGGAACCGTTCCCTGTATGTTATGTAAGTTTCAATCATTGATGTTTTGCTCTTTCAGAACATACCATGTATAGCTTTGATCAAGCGCATGAGGCCATTTCAAACGTGTAAGGTGGTCAAGCCCGTGCTCATATAATTGCCGCCACTTATTCGACTGTGTTTCGAATGCTTTCTTCAGATTGGTCCCTTCAAGCCATATCACATCTTCAGCTTGGTCGAATTGTTGAGTGTTGACTTCTTTGACTGTAGGCAATGAAGCAATGTACGAATACCACCACGATTTATCTCCTAGCACCAGTTGTTCCATCAAGAAGAAAGATTGCAAAGATTCCGGGCGCTTGGCTTCTGCAAGAAGGAAAGGTGTAGGGAAGCGAGTTCCATGACTGGAAAACGGTTTCACGTCAAGAGCATTCAAGACTGACAATGTGACTTCCATCGAACAACTCGCGATCCGTGCACCAGATGGCATAGTCGTATTGGTAGTCACGACGGCATGAAATCCTTTTCTTGAGCTGAAAGCAATCTGGGCATCGGGATGAAAATAGCCGTTGTTTGTCAGAACCCATTCGATCAGATGTCGATGCTGGGCAAATATGTCTTTCGTCGACGAGGTATCTTTCTCCATCCGCAGAGGCGGACTGGCACTATCAGAACGTGGTCCGACGACATTCTGATCAAGCTGGGTCCTATCGAGCTCGATCGAGTTGAGCGCTGCAATTTTGGATTCCAGACATCTGCTGCTCTCACGCTGCGCCGCGACTTGTGAGCTGGAATTCGATTGAAACGAATTGGTTGTTCCACTTGGATGGATTTCATGTATGGATGAGATCTTAGCTGTGGCGAAGGACTGAGGGAGATTTGGCTTCGACAGGTCACTGTTGATATTGACAGAGTTGTCCACCACTAGAGGATCCATAGCTATGCCGTCCAGCGTTGTTCTTCTGGATTGTGGAAAGATTTCCAAGCGCAGAGAAATGTCATGTAGCCGCGCTAAACTGGCAGCATATATTTGATACTATTGTTAAGTATTCGGAATGATTCTGATAATTTCGTGAACACCAAAGTTGCATGAGAAAAGAGATCGAGAGTAGAATTAAAATACTGGGAGTAGAGATAGAAAGAAAACAAATGAGAATGAATTACGCCTGGATAACACAAAGGCCGTGGCACTCTGGTGAGTTTTTGCTGTGAGAAGCAAGTCGCTTGAAGGGGTTTGTCTCGAGTTGAAGTGCGCGCAAAATTAAAAATAATTTATGTTAGCAATCAGGGAAAAGTAATGGTGCTTTGAGCGAGCAACGCGCACGGGAGTGCCATTGCGTCAAACATGAGCCACCCTATGACACCGTGAACCCTAGGGGTAACAACAGTCATGATACCTACCTAGGTAGGTAGGGTGCTGTGTGTTTGATAGTCAACCGTACCAATCTGAGAAGTGCCCACCTCGCTGGCGACTGCTATCGCCCACCTCGTTCCATGACAGAGGCTATTGAAAAGAGGGAGTCCAGCGGATTCATCGGCGAGTAGATGTACAGAGGATCGTTGTAGCCCGTGGGGTTCGCTGGGCATTAGAAATGCGGAGTTCTCCCAGCCTAACTAACAGGGTCCCTTTATCTGGGTGCTACCAATTCTCATCAAGCAGTATCAGGGCGAGAAGACAAAAAATCGAGCAAACAGTGGAGCGTTTTGGGCCCGTAGGCTGGTATGGATTATGCTCATCATTGGAAAGAAAGATAGTTTGGAACGGTAATATGATGCCGAGATGATTTGAACAAGGCGGACAACTCCTATGAGTTTTCATATCACCCGCAAGATGCCCATGCCGTCCTATCAGATACAAGTGGCAAGATGTTACTTCAGTGGGTTTCGCTGGGTAAGTTGAGTGGAACATAAAAGTGCTCAAGGAGAAAGTCGTTGTTGTCGTTCTCCTTCTCGGATGTCACTCTCTACAGCTTGCAGTCGGTTCCTTGAACAAAGCTGGAGAAACCGCCGAATAGCCAGACAGTTGCCCTGGTCTCGGACCACAGCTCGCACCTTTAACTGGAATACTTGTACACTAAAAGCCATGGCGACCAACGAGGTAAACGGGCACAAAACGAACGGCGTCAACGAGACTGCCACCAAACATGATTTCTCCAGCCTGAAAGTCAACCAGTCCCGACTGTTGGACGCGATCCATACTGGGTGCAAGTTTGGAGCAGACCATAGATATGGAGACGATCCTACAGAAACTGGAATGGCGAGGCTGAGTCTGAATGATGCTGACAAGCAGATTCGCGACTGGTTCACTGCCACGGCCGAGTCTCTCGGTTGCAAGGTAACGTTTGATCAGATGGGCAATCAATTCGCGATTCGAGCGGGTAAGAACAAGACGGCCCCTCCCATCATGATGGGATCACACTTAGACACCCAGCCGACGGGTGGGAGGTACGACGGCATTCTGGGCGTGAATTCTGGACTTGAAGTTCTCAAAGTGCTGCACGAGAACAATTTCGAGACGGAAGGGAGCGTCGGTGTTGTCAATTGGACAAACGAGGAAGGCGCAAGGTTCCCAATGATGGCTGTCTCGTCTGGAGTGTGGGCGGAAGCAGTGCCTTTAGAAACTGCCTGGAACCTTGCTGAAGTGTCCCCTAGAGAAGATGGCCAACGTAGAACGATGAAGCAGGAACTGGAGAGAATCGGCTATCTCGGTACTCAGCCTGCATCATACAAGGCTTTTCCGATGGCCGCCCATTTTGAGGTTCATATTGAGCAAGGCCCAATTTTGGAGGCAGAAAAGAGACGGGTCGGAATTGTCAAAGGCGAGTAGCACATGGTTTCCACAAAAACGTGTCCAGGAGTTCTGACAGGCGATAGGCGTACAAGCTTTCAAATGGTTTGAAATCACCGTCAAGGGCCGTGACACTCATGCTGGGACAACACCATTTTCAGCACGTATGGACTCTATGCTTTGTGCGGCCAAATTGATCGTTGAATCCAACAAGGTTGCGAAGAAGCTGGGCGGTTTGGCTACCACTGGCATTCTGACAGGGCTGCCCGGATCCATCAACACTATGGCGCACACTGTGACATTCACACTCGACATACGACACACCGAAGACGAAAAACTCGCCGAGGTAGAGAAGGAATGCCGCGCCGAATTTGCCCGTATATCACGGGAAGAGAGTGAGAAAGGGTGTCAAGTTGAGTGGCAGGAGTTGGTGGACAGCCCGGCGGTCATCTTCCACCCAGACTGCATCGCCGCCGTAGAGGCCAGTGCAAAAGAGATCTGTCAAGAGCTGCCGATGACGGCAGATGATGGCCAACTCTGGAAGTACATGATTAGTGGAGCCGGCCATGACAGCTGCTATACCAATCGTCGGTGCCCGACGAGTATGATATTCACATCAACTCGTGAGGGAATCAGCCACAATCCCCAAGAGTATTGCAGCCCTGAAGACTGGTAAGTAAACCCGATTTTGAGACCTAAGTCGAGACGAGATAAATCTGACGAGTAAATTTAGTGCCATTGGTGCCCAAGTCTTGCTTGGTGCTGTGCTTCGATACGACAGATCAAGAGTTGAACAAGGGGACTTGAAGTAGTTCCACTGGGGGACAAGTTGCGATGGAGAACAAAAACTCAGGTTTAGAGCCTGGTCAAGACTGAATTTCTGGAGAATAAGAGTGGTCGAGTTGATGTAAATTACATTTCATCTGGATCTGAAACTCCAGAACCATTAGGTCGGTTCTCGTAATATACTATGCTCCTGTCAGCATAGGCCTAGATGACCTGAACTCCTATCGCTAATTGCATAATGCTACCTACTCGCTAGAGACAGTGATATCAACCATCACCTGCGAACATCACGAGCCAGCTCCTCCCTTCCCTAGGACTTCGCCTTCCACGTGCTTGCGCGGCGCTGCTGGGTGAGCGGCTTGAGTCTGCTTTTCAGCGTAGAGTTTAGCAATGAGCTTCTCCCACAAGGTGAAATACTGCTGCATCTCCTCCTCACAGTCTCGTTTCGGATCAACTCGGCAGTCTTTGAAGTTGACAATCAAATCGCCTCCCTGCCACATACTGTCATGGGTGCGAGTCATGCCAGTCGCGGAGTCGCGGATTGGTGGTGCAGCATGGTTGTAAGAATTAATTCGCCGTTGTTCAATAAGAACCAACTTGGCCAAGACAGTTGGATGCCATTGGACCAGGTGTTCCAGGGCATGTCCCTCTGCCTTCTGGAAGGCGTAGGCTCGATAAAGAGGATCGAACCAAGCGTCAAGAAAGTACTGTCCCCAATTATCGGTTGTGGTGGGAGTAAACGGGGTATTGCGGAGGATGAAGGAAGTATGGGCAAGATTGTCCATATCTTGTGACAAGATCAGATGGGTCCGCGAAGGTTTGAGATGCGAGAAGGTATGGATGACGGAATCTGGTGGCACGACGGGAATATCCTTCTTCATGAGGGATTCCAGAGGTTGCAGAATATGTTCCTCCAAGGATAATACCGGATTTGTTATCAAAGCGTCCGCCGACAGGGCCCAGAAGAAAGTGCTCGAGGAATGGAGGGTCAAGGCATGCCGCAGAGCTGGAATGATGGACCATGATGAAGGAGAAGGATGGATAAGATCGAAGTAATGAGAGGTATTTGTGTAAAAGGTCTTGTAACCTGTGTCGAGGAATCAGTCGGGTATTCTTTGGCATTGTCTGCGGGCTTCAGCGAGTTGTCTTACCGTGCTGGGCAGCATAATGATCACGGTTTTTCTTCACCATGTTTATGTAGTTCTCACTCACGAGTCCGTCCTCAAACACGGTGACTATGACAATGTCTTGTGGCCCACGAATTTCGGACGCGCCATTACTGTTGTGGTCTGCATGCGCTTGCAGAATATACCTGAGCACTAGGTACAAGGTCAAAAGGGCGAGTATGGCATAGCCGGCGAGTTGTACTTGTCTCCGCCGTCTGTGCACAAGAGCGTTGGATGTGTTCCGAGCGTAGGGAGGGGGGTGCGAAGTCTTCCGAGGAGGCAAGGCGAAGTGCATCTTGACCGAAGACCAACTGGCCCTGTGATGTGACAATCAGGGTATGAGTCAGTGGGTGGGATCCTTATGGACTTGAGTTGCGAGTCCTCATTGTCGCTCGTAAGGGAGATGGCTGCGCTGAACAGGGAGTGATCATAAACCGCATTGGAAGTCAAATTCGGATCAAGTCGACAGTTAGTTACCTAGGTAGTTACTCGTTCTCATCCGCGTCGTATGAGTACTTCAAGTTGGGAAGGTACAAGTGGCATGCAAGGAGCCTTCGCACATGCTCCAAGTTGAGAAGTGGTTGGATTAACTTAAAGCCGTCATCCCCGAGCTTGAACCAGGATCCCGAGATATTCTTAGCTCAGCCATGCCCGTGTTCTTTGCCCTCGGCTCCTCAAGAACCACTAGCTCCAGGGTTTTGATTGATGGATTCTTCGAAGTCGAGTGTGATATAGTTGAGGTTATTACAGGTCTCGTCTCTACTATCCATCTCCGTGTTTCTAATGGCTATTTATACAAGATAAAGCACCCCAGTGCGCTTTTGTATCAACATCGGAAGATGCTGTCAAACCCATGTCAACATTCTATTCACCAGATCCCGGGAAGCATCGTGTACCTCTTCTTCTTGTATTTGTCGCCAAATTCTTTGCGATAACGTCGCTCCTTCTTTTTGGCCCACTGCGCCATTTGAGCCACCGAGACAAGCGTAAATATAAGCACTCCCCAGCTCAAGCCACTGACGAGATAGACGCCAATCCACGAGATTGTCTCGGTCATGTAATTAGGGCATGTCACGAGTTTGAACAATGGTCCTTGCGGTATTCCTCTTTCCGTGCCCCCCGAGCTGCGTAATCCCATGAGAGTCAAGTGAGACTGAAGATTGCCTAGTTCTCCAGTCGTATAAAGCAATAATCCAGGGTACAAGAGCGAAGGATTGGCTGGTTTTGCCGTAGCGGAAGAAGGTGCGTAGACAAAGGCAGCGATTAGAGCTCCAGAGAGTACCCAGTAGTGCGCGCTGTTCTTGAAGATGTTGCGGAGGGGCATGGTAGCCGCTGAAAACCGATGAACAAACAAGGTCTCCAACTCTCTCTTGACAAAATGCAAGACAACCAGCCACATGGTGATTGTTTGCAGTTGAGAAGGGACGTCAGGCGCAGAAGGATACAGATATGGACGCAAAGTGTAGACGAGTGGATGTATAAGGATGGGGCCGAGGTACTCGACTAGGAAGACGGTCCTCCATGCAATCTGGGTGCCCAAGTCCTTGACATAGATGGTGCTTTGGTTTCGCAAACCGGTAGCATAGACCGAGCCATCTGTTGAGTTGGTGATGGCAGTGCCGTCGCTTCCTTTTGTAACTCGTAATTGATGAATGGAGAATTTGGTCTCGGCGGCCAGCCGTGAATAGATTTCAGCAGTGGATGAGGATGAGTCAATATCAATGGATTCCGGTAACGTCTTGATAGGCTTTCCTGCAAGGGGGTCAAAAATGAGCGATAACTGGAGACGGCCCAGGGTGTACACTACCTCTAGGACGGATTTGTAGAGTAATTGGCTTGGAAGACATTTTGTCGGATGAAGAAGCGGGAACCTCGCAAGCACAGTGACAGAGGATGCCGATTTAGCGCTGAATTGAGTGGCGTGTTCAAACAGTGGGATCACGAGGACTTGGTAGTGACTCGTGGCTGATGGTGTAACGAAAGCACCAAACTCAAGGACGACAAAAAGTCAACGTGGTGTTTTGCGAACGGCTGATGGAGGAAAGGTTGTTGGGGTACTTATTGCGTCACACTCCAAAAATCAGTGCAAACTGCCTTGGGCAGCACCAGAGGCCCCTCGGGCCAAGGGGGCTGAGAACTAGTCCCAGTAGTGGGTGCCCGTGGGTGTCAGTTCCTTCTAGCGACTGTACCTGGATTCCCGGCGGTCTTGCTAATGCTTGGCCCTCTTCAGGCTTCATCGTGCCCCAAGGGCTCCTCCATCAGAAACCGGTCAACAAGGATGATTCAGGCCAGACCCTTGAACTCAACTGGGAACAGGCGACTGCCACCTTCCCGCTGGCCGCGGGACAAGCCGTATCAAACTCTTCGTCGAAGCGAGCGTCCTTCGCAATGGGCGTTGTGTACATCGAGCCTTCCAATCACGTTGCCAGTATTGTCACCATCCAGGTCAAGCAAAGTGCTCGCTTTCCACTAACATCTGAATACGGGCACTTATGTACAATCCCCCCTCGAACGTTCGGACAATCGAGTTCTAGCCTGTCAAAGCCGGCGCTTGCTGTCTTCTTGGCTGCCATTGCCCTTCAGAGGCTTGGAGCTGAGGCCGACACTATTGGTGGCGTTTCCCCAGACACGACGCCAAATTCAGCTCTACCAAGTAAAGGGGCTGGCTGACCTTCGGAATGTGACTAAATAACTACGAACTGTACTGTCGGGACTGCCTCGCCTCTCCTCATCAGAGGCCTTATCCCAGACTCGTACGAACTGATTTATCTAGCCCTCGTGTGCTGTTCCAACGGCCAGCTCAAATACACCCTGTTCGCTGTCTTGACACTTGAGTCTCTTCCTGTTGCATGCCTGGTCCCACTTCTTACAATCTGGAACATTCGTCCTCTGTTCAAACACTTTCAAGATGCCTTCCTTTCTCAGCAAAATCACCAAGGGTATGAACTGCTTGAGTACCTCAGGCGATGCTTCTCACTCAGAAACAACAGGTTCGTCCTCAAAGCCACATCCACAGCCAATCCGGAAAACACACGATGATGAGGGACCGAGACCGAAAGGCTCAGACGACTCGCTGTCTTCTTCTGACAGTCAAAAGTCAAATTATGTCCTCGAAGTTCTTCGGAAATTTAACATCAAGCACATTAATACTGTCAACGATCTTGTCATGGAAGGCGTTGAAGGCAAACCCTTGGACGACAAGACCTACCTGATGGAACGCATCATACAGCTCGCGGCGGACTTACCTGTTGAAAGTCGGACGAGTGCTACACTGACGAATGCCTTTCTAAACCAATTGTGGACCGACTTGCAACATCCACCTCAGTCTTACCTTGGGACCGAGTTCGTCTACCGCAAGGCTGACGGCTCCAACAACAACATCCTGTGGCCTCGTCTGGGCGCTGCTGGACAGCCATATGCCCGTACTGTCCGTCCCAGGATGATTCAGCCAGTTGCAAAACCGGATCCTGGTCTCATCTTCGATAGCCTGCTAGCACGAAAGACGTTCAAACCACATCCTAACAAAATATCCAGTGTGCTCTTCTACCTTGCATCCATCATCATTCACGACATCTTTCATACCAGTCACCAAGACTTCAGCATTTCCGAGACCTCTGCCGTCGTCCATGCTGCCGTCGTCCATGTCGGCATCGCGAGAGCTCTCATGTTCATTACTCGCATGGTCCTCATCCACGTTGTCATCATCCGAGCTGTCATTCTCACCGATCGTGTGGTCCTCGTCCGTGTTGTGCTCTTCGGTCATATTGTGCTTGTCATTAGACATCTATGAAAAAATGTGAATTTATTGTGAACGGAGGTGCTACAGACCTTGACAACCTACCAGGACTTCGGCGTTCATGCTTTTCGAGTTGAAGACCTTGTTGACTAGGTGAAAGACTTGTGATAGGTCCATTTGCCCTGGTTTGGGTAGCTGTAACGGTTGTGACCCTTCACTGCAAGAGGTGGTTCAGGATCGGTTCCGATTGAAGGTAATCGAAGATGTCTTTTCCTTATTATATGAGAAATATTTTCACATTATTCCTGCGCTAGCTTTACTGCACTGCCTTGTGTTGCCCGCCAAGGTACGAAGGGTGATTCGTCACATAGAAAATAATGACACTAAGACCCTTAAATTTAAGCCTTGTTATGATTCTGTAAATATACTCACTTTCATACTGGGCCTAAATCTCTATCTGACCAGGCCAGCACAGGGAGTATGGTTGCGGAACATTCTTATGGAAGATCCGCAGGGCAGCCTTTAGAAGAAATCGCATCTACGGATGGGATTTTGTAGCCATTCTATTTGATTCGCCTGGCTTTGTCTCCGTGTGGTCTTGTGAGTTTGCTAGCAGATTAGGGAGCGTAATAAAGGAGTGAATAAAACCACACTCATGCGGAGTCAGGACAAAGGCTAGACTGATTGCTCCAGAGCAGGAGGTCGCATATTACAATGAAAAGGATCAAGGCTGCTCTCCCTGGCTGCTGAATCCAACCACCGCTCACCCATGGGAATGACACATACCTGTATGAAAGAAGAACAGCCATCCAAATGAGACGCTGGGAAGATCTGGGCACCGACCTTTAACCCCGAAACACCGCAACCAAACTGGAGAAAATGCCACCCATCAAGTCCATGATCTTCTTGACCTTAACACGCTCTTGGGCATCCTCATCATTCATATCTGCAACCACGGTGTTGTACTCAGCCGCGAGCTCCTGGAATGTCTTGCAGACTTCATGTTCGAACTCTGCGGTGGTAGTGTAACGCTTCTCGTCGAAAACCTTCTCCATGTCCGCAGCTACATCCGTCAGTCTTTGTTTCAGTTGAATCAATTCAGCATCGGCTTTGCTGCGTCTCTCTTTCAGTGTTGCGACGCTTGCTAGAGCCTGCTTCATGGTCTCTTCCATTGCCTTCAAAGCCGCTGCTGGCACAGTCACATCGCCTGTGGAATCTTGGTCGTCGCCCGGCACCTGATACGCAACACTGGAAAGGCTTTCACCTTCGGTCAGACTTTCATCTGTGGTCAGTGGTTCGGGGGAGGAGGAAGATGCCGATCCGTCTTCTGCTATCACGAGACTCGGTTCGGAGATCTCGTCGCTCAATTGTGAGGAGTCTGCTTCGTATGGTGGTGGGCTCGGCTGATAGTCATATACGGCTCAATCCGACATGGTGGGTTCAGATGTTTCCAGTTCTACGTGAGAGTGGTGGGTGATGGAAACTTGGTCTTGTCACGTCCTGATCAAGTGAGATTGTGTTGATCGATTGCATTGGAGAATGACATAGAAAGGAAGAGAAAGAGAAGGATCTTACGAGTCTAGCCATCTGAGTACTCTCTCTGGCCCATAGGCAGTGCCTCTCATAGGCAGCGTTCCGTGCCTCGAGGCTTCGCTAAGAGACTCAGCTGCCTCGCTGTCCACTGTCACTCAATTGCACAACGATTGAAATTCTACAAAGAGCTTGTCTTAATATGATTTTATTCATCTCTGGAGCTGTCTGCATGGTCGTGGTTTCCACAGACATCAGATATGCCAAGGTTTTCTCCCTGGATAATATCCGCAGTTGATCCCTCAATCATCGATAATACTCAACATAAAGATATCCCAGACAGGACATTGTCGTCTGGACGGGGAGGATACCGAGGCTTGTCAGGACATCCACTTGTGAAGGAGTAACGGGTGGGAAAACACCAGAGCGATTCATCCTCGATGCTCACTATTTGGATCCTTTTATAACCAGAAGGCTTCGCTGTGAGAGCCACTATATCCACCAGGGACGCGGGAGCGCTGCAATGCCGCAATTTGATTATCTCGTTCTCTGACCCGCTGAAGGAGGTTTTTGATTTCCCCGGCTTGGTTAGTGATTTTCTTGGAATGTTTCGCGATGGTTTTGGAAAGCTCTGCGACTTCTTTGTTGAGACTAGTAGTCTTCTGATCACGATCAGAAATATCCCGCTCCAGGGATCTAATTCTTCTCCAAAGTGCGTCGGCTCTGTTGTTGCTCATCATAATTTTCTGATCACGTTGTAAAGTCCCAGTGGTAAGTTGTGTGATTGCTTCATGGCGTTCTGCGAGCTGCTCATTGAGATCTGCGACTTCCTTGTCAAGAACGCTGCCTTTCTCAGTGAGGTCCCTTATCATCTGTTTATCATTTCCCGAGCTAATGGCAAGTCTTTCAAACGTCTCTTGTTGTCCCACAATCACATCCTTAAGCTCTGCAATTGTCTTATCCTGCTCTGCAGTCCTTTCCAGGAATTTGGCAATCTTCTCATCGCGTTTGGCAATCTTTTCGTCGCGTTCTGATATCATATCGTCCCGTTCGGCAACCTTCTTAAAAAGCTGTGCTACCTTGTTCTCATGGTCTGCAATACTCTGGAGAAGCTGTGGTGCTTTCCCTTCGGATTTCATAGTACTCGCATGAGGCAATGTAGAAAGATTCCTCAAAGGGTTCATCAAGGAGCTGATCTCTTTTGATTTTGCGTCTTCTTGGCTTTCTGGCACGATCTTGACATCTGCAATAGCCCCATTTGAGATTCTGGTTGAGTTTGGTGTATTTGTGGCGCTAGTAGAGGTCGGAGTCAGCACAGAACTAGTAGAGGACGACTCTCGACTGGGCTCGCGTCTTTGTTGAGGTGAGAGGAGATCCAAAGATCCCACCCAGTAGACTTTGGCATCAGTGGAGTTAAGACGTACATAGAATTGGCCGAGCCACACAAAGCATCATTTCTATCTTTGTAATTGCCAGACCAATAAGTGTGGCCACCATAGATGCTGGGATGATGATGAGGCGGATACCCAGGAGGGCGCGAGAAGTTCGGTGCCATCGTTGAGAATTTCAGTATTGTTTCTATTTTTTTAATTGTGAGTTTTGAACGTATCAACAGGGCCGAAAACTTTCTGGGATAACGACAGGCTTCACGGGAAAAGTCGCACAAAGGGTGAGCTTCCCTGATGAGATGAATTTGAGGTTTGTAATGATTGCTCTCAAAGTTGATGAGAGTGTTCAAGCCTTGAAGAAACTGAGCAATGAAAAGATCGTATGAAGGGTCGGTAGGTAACGGCGACAGTCATGGAGTGAAGATTTATCCGACTGCCTGAGTGCTAGCGCGAGCTCAGTGTCGCTCACAACCTGCATTCACCTGGCGGGCACTCTGATGTCTTGACATGCATGGAGAACTCCCCACTCAGATGCTGCCGAAGCTCAGGTCGGGGAGCCCATCATCGAGGCTACGACATGAAAAGTTCTCAAATGTCAAACATCGTACTATCTCAAGCAGGGCTATTGTGCGATCCGCTGACCAAAGCGAGCATGTCCTCACAGTGACATAGGCCTGCCTGAAAGCCTAGCCTAGTCAAACTCCAACGTAAGGCTGGTGGTATTTTCCTATCGTCCATGCCCAGATGGGAGCATTCAGAAACCATGACTAACCACCATGACAGCCCAAGCTGATCAGTGGTCGTGCTAGCAATGCTCATCATGTTATTTATGACCCAGTATCGCAGAATGTTGAAACAGCGGATCGTCAAGCCGAATAGTGGCTGATATCTCGGGCTACGATGCCGCTCAGAGCCGAGCCCCATCAAATCTGCAATACCGGTGAATTGTGATGACTGTGACGCAGTCATATTTAGGGAGAGAATCGGCCTTGGGCATGGCTATGAGGCTGAACGGCGTGGGCAATTTGCGTGTCAGATAGTCAAGTCATTGCAGACACGGCAAGAATGAAATCAACGATTTTCACTGAAGACGTTGTTCCCCAAGCACCGGATGACCCTCACTATGGCCTAAGAGCAGCATTTCGAGCTGATACATCAGATCAGAAGGTTGATCTCATCATCGGAGTATATCGAGATGATGATGGTAAACCTTGGAATCTTCCCGTGGTAAAGAAGGTGAGAAATTCCAATCCGTCAACACCCCTCCTCCAAACACCTATCTGACATAGACCAGGCTGAAGCGGCCTTCCAGAGAGATGCGACCCGAAATCACGAATATCTGCCCATCACGGGCCTTCCAAGCTTCACGTTGGCTGCACAGAAGTTGATTTTGGGAACTGATTCACCGGCGATCAAAGAGAACCGTGTATGTCAATTCCCTGTTCTCCTCTTCTCGTGCCACTAACGATGCCTCATCCAGGTCTGCACAGTTCAAACCATATCCGGCACAGGAGCTGTTCACTTGGGAGGTTTGTTCATGGCAAGAAATCTGTCACACCCGCCTCCTAAGCTCTATCTACCCACGCCAACCTGGGCAAACCACAACGGAATCTTCACGAATGTCGGGCTGACGGTAGACTGGTACCCCTATTACTCACTGGAGACGAAACTACTTGATTTTGATAGGATGATCTCAACAGTCCGCCAGGCTCCACCGCACAGTATCATCCTGCTTCATGCATGCGCACACAATCCCACAGGAATCGACCCGACGGAGGACCAGTGGAAGGAAATTGCGCAGGTCATCTATGAGACCAACCTAATCCCGTTCTTCGACTGCGCCTACCAAGGATTCGCGTCAGGATCAATCTCGAAAGACAACTTTGCCATCCGGCATTTCATTGAGCTCGGAATCGACATGCTGATAGCGCAATCATTCTCGAAAAACCTCGGCCTCTACGGCCAGCGAGTCGGCTGCCTGCACATCGTCGTGGCATCAGGACAAGAAGACGGAACAGCAACAAGCGATGCGATCAAGCGCATAAGCTCCCAAGTATCAGCCCTCCAACGCGCCGAGATATCGAACCCGCCTATCTACGGGGCCCAACTCGCGTCCATTGTCCTCAACACACCCGCACTATTCGAAGAATGGCAACTCGACTTACGCACGATGGCCGATCGAATCCTGCAGATGCGACAGCGCCTGATGAGAGACCTAGACGCTCTCGGCACGCCGGGTCAGTGGGACCGTCTTGTGAGCCAGATTGGCATGTTCGCCTACACCAGCTTGACTGTCGCTCAAGTGCGGGAGCTGAGAGGGACATGGCATGTGTACCTGACGGAAGACGGGAGGATCAGTGTGGCGGGATTGAATACTCGGAACGTCACGTACTGTGCGCAAGCGATTGATGATGTTGTCCGACGGATCGGGTGAATGTTATGAAAAACTGTGGGTCCTCACAGCCTTCCTTTACACAGGACCCGCTTGGATGACTAGATTGAGAGTTTTACTGCAAAAAAGAGTGCTATGTGCAGTCAAATATGCTGAGCTTCATTCCCACCATCCGATTTTCTCGCAAAATGGAGATGCTCTCTTTGGTTCAAGACAGTGGCTAGCATCCCATTATACCTCTGCACCTGACAAGTGCTGTGGTCAGGACTATACCTGTGAATCTGCGAATGCTAATATTGTACTTCTTTGATAAGCCTCAGAATAGACCGCTGGCTCATTGGGCGTCCGCTCCTTGCACCACATCTCTCAATTCCTGCCTGTCCGTGAAAAGATCAACTTCAGCAGGTCGGAGCCACCCCGTGCGCTTGAACAGCTTCCAGAAAAGAAAATTCCCACCAAAAAGCACAATGCCAAGGTATTTAAGCACGAACGTCCTCGCCTTGAAATGCGGCACGAACGCGTCGTATCCTATGATTTGTTAGTCCAAGTCTACCATGTTGCTTCGCATCATATTGTTTCCCATGCGTTTCACTTACCATTGAAAATTAATATGGCGAATGAGATGACCAATGCATAGTAAGCGCCGTAAGGTTGGAGGTAGCCAACATACGGCAGCTCCTTGACCTGAATGCCTTGTGCCTTGAGCGCTCGGCGGAAGCAAAGGAATGAGATGAGGACAGCGATCCAATTCAGAACCGCAAACACGGTCACCAGGCTCACAAAGTATTGAAACACTGAAGCGGCAGACTTGCTAGAGTTGAGATAACCGACTAAGACAAACAGTGAAGATAAGATGACGGCCATGATGGGGTTACCGTTGTCCAGAGCCTTGGCCAAGACACGGGGAGCTTGGCTGTCTCTTGCTAGCCCGTACACACACCGCGATGCAACGTATATATCTTAGTTGTTGGAGTTAGTATAGTTGATTATGAAGCGAACAGTTGTCAACTACTTACCGGTCATGGCAGCGCTCAAGACGAATGCTAGTAGTGCAGCATTCACTATGTCTGGGAAAACGCTGATATCGGCTAAAGTAATGGCGACCACAAATGGGGACGCAGCTGTGATGGTACAGTTAGATCAAGATGATCACAAGTAAATAGGACTATGAGCGCATCCTCTTACCAGCGCTAGTGCCTGCGCGAGTGGCACCGACAAGTCTCTCATTGTCGTAAGGCACGCACATGCCTAGGACAAGTACACCCAGAATATAGAAGCAAACAATCCGAAGGAAGGTCTGTCTCACGGTATGAGGAATGAGTTTGCGTGGGTTTGGCACCTCTCCAAAAGTCATGCCGACAACTTCAGTCCCTGTGTATGCGAAACATGCTTGACACATTGTAGCCCACCAGCCAAGAAAATGGCCCTTCTTTCCAGGTAGAAGGTATTGTGCAAATGCTCCAGGATCATTCCAATAGCGAAAACCGATGCGATCATGCTGGGGGTTTCCTCCCATTGAAATGGTGAAGCAGGTAATGATGAGCACAGTCAGGGTGATGACCTTGATCAGGCTAAGCCAGAACTCGGCTTCACCCATGACTCTAACCCGAAACATCTGTCACCGTCTTATTAGTGATAGATTCAGAGCCTGCGAGGTGGTGCATGAACATTGAGGAGGATTATAACCACTCCAAAAACTGTGATCCAGATTGACACATTCAAGTCGGGCCGCCAGAATGTGATGATCAGACCTGCAGCTGTCAAATTGGCGGGGATGTTGATCGCATATTTGAAAAAGTAGTTCCAGCCCGTGGCAAAACTTGAGAACGGTCAGTGCTCGCAGTATGTGCCCCTGCCAGAAAACTCACCCAAAGGCAGGATCGACCATGCGGGTAGCATATCCCCCGAATCCCTTCTTCATAGGCAAGAACGTGGCCATCTCACCCAATGCCGTCATAACAAAGAAAACGGTGACACCGATTAGGATATAGCTGATGAGTAGAAACCCGGGGCCTCCTCTCGCCAATCCGGTACCCGAACCGATGATGAGCCCCGTCCCGATTGCACATGCCAAAGAGAACATGTAGACTTGTCGACGCTTGAAGTCTCGGTGGAGGTCGTTCGGAAGTGCCTCATCTTCCACACGTTGCGTCTCCACACTACCATGCTCTTCACCGGCGTAATGGTCATCCGCTCCTTTCTCCATATTTGATCAATGCTTGAGGAAGTTTTGGATGGGTACTTGAGGGCAGAGAGAAGTGCTGGGCTTTCGACCAGACAACCTGGAAATATGATTCCTGTTATACTAGACATCATGTTGTTCTTATCAGTCCATGAACATGGCTGTAGAATCCTCCGCAGATCTCTTGTGAGAATGTGCTTGCTTGATTGGTATTGATGCAATGATAGACCTTCAAAACCTTGAGCCCCTGTCTTGATTTCGGTTTTGAGGCTCGGTGGTGGGGTTCCGAGATATTCACTTGACCAACCAGAGAGATTCTTGGCTGCCACCCGTCAATCTTGATCAGACAACCATTCTTGCACAAGAAGGGACCACTAGACGATGCTGGTGGCATTCCGGTATTGCCTGGTTGTCGCTGGTTGACAAAACACCAGATAACACCATATAAACAGCGTCACGTAAACAACGCTTGTGGAGTTCGTGGACAGAATGTTTCAAAACAACCTTGTTCGTAATGTTTCACAGAATCGATTATGCACCGTATGAGGCAATCTGTTGTGGGGCGGTCATTGTTGCTAACACATCCAGGGCATCGGAATCAAAGTCGTCACTAAAACCGAGATCATTTCTCTCGCCCGAGCGGCTGGCTACGATACTGTCTTCATCGACCTCGAACATTCGGTGCTGTCAGAAAAAGACTCCAGCAGATTGTGCTCAGCCGCTCTGACCGCCGGCATCACTCCATTGGTTCGGGTACCGTACCAATGCGGACAAGGTTATGTTCAAAGAGTACTCGATGGTGGTGCGCTCGGTATCGTGTTCCCTCACATTAGCACTGTTGGTAGGTTTCCGTCATGTCACCCCGAAGCGAGTTCGGGTCGATTAACTAGAATAGACGAAGCAAAACAGGCCGTGGCTTGTACCAAATTCCCTCCCGAGGGTAAGCGTTCATTGACGGCCGCGTTACCACAATTTGATTTCCAGAGAGTGGCTGCAAAGGACGTCATTCAGCAACTGAACAGATTCGGTTCGACTGTTCTACTGCTGATTGAGACCAAAGAATCTCTAGACAATATCGAGGCCATTGCTGCTCTAGATGGAGTTGATGTCCTACTAGTGGGTGCCAATGATTTGTCGCTAGAGCTTGGTGTTCTAGGAGAATGGGAACATCCGGTATTCCAAAATGCATTAGAGAAGGTCGCAGCAGCATCGCAAACATCTGGTAAAGTGTTCGGCATATGCGGCCTGTACACTAGACCAGATATTTACCGGCGTATAGTGAGGGATTTGGGCGCAAGGTATGTGCTGGGTCACTTAGATATTGGACTACTGGCAATGGCCATGAATAGTAATGCGGAGATGCTGAGAGATGTTAGCAACAGCTTGGTTTCGAGCATGGTTGAATGATAAGCAGGAATTGAAACTGTTGTCGTGGGTCCTGCATACTCGGGCAGAAAAGGATGCAGGTTCGGGAGCCCAGCCGTACTGATGTTCTTCGACGGCCCCACTCTTTAGGAACCACCAAACACTCTTCTGCCGGATCGGTCTGCTTGCGTGTCTCTGAATATGATTTGATGTCGTGCTCACCTACCTTGATCATCCAGTTTTAAGCCAAGAGTAAAATTCACCCCCGGAAACTCAGACAACCTCGACGTTCTGAAGATCTTGCAGAATAACATTAAAAACCCCTAGTCCAACATGGCTGCTCTGAGGCGGATCGAAGCACTTCGTGAGAAGCTGAGAACGCTAGGGCTTCGGCCAGCCGTCGCGATGGCTGCACATAACCCTCTGTCGGCGAAATTGGTAGCAGAAGCGGCTGGTTTTGATGCGATTTGGGCAAGCGGATTCGAACTTTCTGCGTCTTATGCTGTACCCGATGCAAGTATAATCTCTCCAAGCACTCATCTCGAAATGACAAGGGCAATGGGGGAAGTCCAAAGCCTTCCCATTATCGCGGACCTCGACACAGGGTTTGGAAATGCCGTCAACCTTGCGTATGCAATCCCAAAGTACGAGGCCGCAGGCGTGGCTGCTATCGTGATCGAAGACAAGACTTTCCCAAAAGATAGCAGCCTTCGTGTTGATGGCCGACAGTCACTTGTATCTATTCCCGAGTTTCAAGGAAAAATTACGGCGGCCAAAAACTTGGGCTCAATGCTGGTTTTTGCTCGGACGGAGGCTCTCATTGCAGGTTTGGGGCAAGCAGAAGCCTTAAAGCGTGGACTGGCGTACGTTGAAGCTGGGGCGGACGCAATCTTGATTCACAGCAAGCAGAAGACTCCGGATGAGATCCTTGAATTCTGTCGTGCCTGGCCCAACAAAGTGCCATTGATAATTGTGCCAACAAGTTACCCTCAATTGTCTTTTGAAGAGATTTCCACACTGACTCAAGGCAAGGTACGTCTTGTGATATGTGGAAATCATAGTATTCGGACAATAACTACTGCATTGAGACGAACGTTCAAGCAAATATTGCAAGAGGGTGGTATTGCCGGAGTCGAGAGTGAGATTGCACCTGTGCGAGATGTCTTCAATTTGCAGGGTGATGCAGGAATGAAGGAACTTGAGGATAAATATCTGCTGAAGTAACATTGTCTTTGGATAAAAAAGAGCATTCGTCATAGCTGTCAAGAGAAAAAGAAATCTCTCATCACACAAAGTCTAGCCAGTTTGAGTTCGTCAATTCCGAGTCCAGTTGGATTGCAGTCGCGTCAAAGTAGTCCAAGAATATCGCATCGCTCTGAGACATGTTATCCTCAATTATAGGCGGCGCAAGCACCAAGCTCGAATCAACTGTTGGTTGTAAATGTTCACGATTCTCTCGAGGAACATCAATCGTATCCAGAGGCGCATCGCTTAACAGACGCTGTGGGTCAGAAGGCTCAGAATTGGAGCTGTAGGTCTCTAGAACATCAATCCTTACTATATCGGCGACTCCACAATTGAGAACATGTCCATCGTAATTTAAGCGTATTGGAGTCTTCGGTTGAGGCACAAGGCTGATCTCTTGTGGCCCTGAAGCGCTGGCGATCAGACAAGAAATTTCATCGAGCTCCATAAGAAGAGCATCAGCTGGAATATTTCCGGAACGTTTCATATCTTGCAAAACCTCTCTTGCAGTACTCAGGAACTGTGGATCAATTGTGCCAGGAAATAGTTTGGTTGACAATGTCAACGACAAGGCTGCCGTCATTGTAGCCTCAAGGTCCGTAAAAATGAATGTTTCTATCTGTGGTCAGTTTCGGAGGGGGTTAAAAGTCTTCAGCTTACCAATAAGATTCTGCTCCCGAAGTGCAAAGATGATATTCAGACTATGCGCAGCAGCATTGAGGCAGGTCGTCCAAAATTCGGGTAACAGCTCGGAGCTTAGGCCGGTTATCATCATATCATTGGGAGAAGAGTATTTCGCAATGGCAGCTAAGCATATTGGGTTCGTTCCGCGAAGGACGGCCTGCAATTGAATGAGACATAGTGCACAGTGTTTCCCTGTCACTTTGGACCTACCTGGCAATATGAAAGGTGTAAGGTAGCGACAGATCGTGAAATCGTTGAGAGGGCATTGCTTTGACACAGTTGATACGATGAGCTCAATTCCCGTCCAAGTTTATTGGCAGCCACAAATTGCCTCGCGATTCGTGGGAGGAAGTCATGCACAGCGACTCCTCTGGTCACGTACAGTGATGAAGCTAAATCTTGTCAGATCTAAGAAACACAGAACAATATCTGTAATTATACCTGAGGCCAACTTCGCCATTATCTCGATGATGCGGAAATGTGCATATAATGTGGTCTCTCTCAGCTCACTGTCAGCAGTCCTCAGAGAAAATAGTTCATCATCTCTTGCGCTAGGTTGGTAATCTAGACCAGGGCTGACGACCAACCCTAATCTGTCGTCTAATAAGCAGACAGTACACCAAAGTTTATGTCCATCGCTAAGAGTTGGAGTAGCATTATTCGTGGGATTGAGTTCCTGCTTCCAGACTTGGCCATATCGACCTAGCCTTCGCGCCTGTCCTATCTGAAAGACATTACTGGGACGTATGATGAATAAGTGGGACGTATACTCACATAGAGGTAAGCAGCTGCATGTAGATCTGCGGCTTGTGCGTAGATAGCCAATAAACTCAACGTCTCAGTCGCTATCCGGGGAAATTGACTTATAACGACACTGGGTGGCAAGATGTGGGTGGCATCAAGAAATTCTTGAATCCCGGGAGGACCAAAGGCAGTGGCACCCTTTTCTAGGAGAAGCTTTCCTATTGCTACAATGGCGAGGAGCTTGGTCCGCTGTAGAGCTGACAGATGTGGCAAGAAAGCTAGCTCAATCTCCCTCTGCAAAGCGGGTAAATCGAAGAAGAAATGGGTCGTATTGAGATGAAAGTCGACAATCTGTGCTAAGTGACCAATAAAAGACTTAGAAGGAAGATGGAAGGAAGTTGAGTTGTTGTGGTTCTCAATTGAGCTTTGAAAACTGTAGGTAACTCTTTGATATGCTCGCTTGTGATAGGGATCATCGTCATCTGGCAACCGTAAAGCCTGACGAACCTCATCACAGAATGCCCATGGAGAAGCATTCTTGCTCGGATCTGAAGATTCATCAGTAGGGAGAGTCGAAGCTTGATGTATCATTACTAGCCTGAATGATGTGCCGAGTTCCCGATAGCTGGAATGGAAGGAGCATGTTCATGCGTGGTTGCTCTAGGTTGTGGAATGGTAGTGGCGAAGGATGGATGCAGCTGGTAATCAGGAACACCTCTCAACGGCCCTTCAGCAGATCCTCTGGCATCGTTACATCCTCCAATATCCAGATTTTGAACAGGAACAGAAACAAGAGGGGATGTCACACCGGATCTGGCACGCTCCCTCGAGTCGACCCCAGATGCACGACGTTGGAGTTCGCGAAGACGGCTTTGTAGTTGATCAGTATGTAGCGATAGCAAATGATCATGACCAACCTTTCGGAGATGACAACCTTCCGCTCTGCTTCATCAAAGACACAAACCTGTCTGCGGCGTACGCAATTGCTGCATGGTTGAAGTCCCGAGCATTTCACTTTTCGCTGGCGACATCTACGACAGCTGTGTTTCAATCAGCTTTTGGGAATGGCAGGCTCCGACTTCCACCGAGACTTACGCAGAAGTCACTCTGCTACTCGCAATTGCACTTGAATCATCTCTTTGAGTCGGCATCGACTTCCATCTCACTCGTGATAAAACACGATGGCGAGTAGCACAGATGAGGTTGAATGCCCTCAAGGATGAGTGATCCGAATTTCTCGGATGTCCTTAGCCACGCCAAGCCACTATTATCAATGCATTCTAGTTAAGAACTTACCTTTCCAGGTACCTAAATGAAGGGAAACAACGGTCCCTCTCATTCCTGCCACTAATATTATAAGTCTACGATATCAGGAAACTTCAGGAGGCGATGCTCAAGTTGATGTTGTACTATGATTATCAGAATTATCATACCGAGTATTTTCGACTCAGCCGAAAAGCAAAACGCAATCAGTGGATAGGACTTTCCAAGCCATCCCAAGATTCATTTGATTCAAGAAAAGTCTCTCCCTGGACGTTGTGATAAATATTCCCGACCAAGGTATCTCTTGTGATATAGCACCATCAACAGCTCACCGCGTCTTCATCACTTCAACCTTGACCATAAAAACGCCACCAAAGAACGTTGCGAACAATATTGGGGTAAGGTCGAGCCTTCATCTCAGGAAGCCTCGTTGACCCATTGGCTTGACCACTTGACTCCACTGTTCTTGAACAATTGAGTAACAGGACACCTCCGTTCCGTCTCGGTCGTGAACTTCTGAAATGCAGCATCATCCTTCGCATCCGTTTGAACATTGACGATCAACTCAATCGAGCTCCAATTTCCATTGCCTTGCACTCCTTTCGTGAGCACAGCAGGGTCCAACTCGCCATTGACACTGACTTTCCACCGCCCAAGCTTGACACCATGGTCCTTTGCCACCAGAGAGCCTGTCACCTGGGTGCAAGATGATAGACTCGAAAGGTTGTATGCCAATGGGGAGGGTGCGGCGTCCTGCCCACCAAACGATGGATACGCATCCACCGAGATCTTGTGAGGGCTGTCTTTGACCTCGATCGTCTGCGCGACGCCAACGCCCTGTCCCGAAATTCGAAATGGTATTGTACTGTTGAGCTTTGGAGTCGTGCAGAAACCTCGTGAAACCAGAAGTGGTGATGCCGAAATTCCGGCCAGACGCGAACGTACGGCAAGCAGTGTACTCATGCTGGCAAGCCTTGGGACTTTCGATGAGCTTTCTCGATTGATTGGACCTCGTCGGAATCACAATACTAATTCTCTCGTTCTCCTACCTGATTACCCATCCTGGGCTATTATATACGATGCCACCCACTACGTGAAGCATTGCATCGTTTTAGCTCGGATGGTGTCACCAGGCTTAAATAATGCCCATATACGCCTTTCGGGAGGCCTGGATCGTCGCAAATCTGACCAGACGATCTTCATAGGCCTTTTAATCCGGAGTGACGTGCTCAATGGGGGATCTTCCCGCATTTCGGGTCTTATGAGGTGTATCCTGTGGTAGCGGGAGAAGGCTGCAGATCGAATCGGTCGAATGGGGAACCAGATCTGAGCTGCGGAGAGAGTGAATTTTAAAGTTCCTGTATACCTTGATTTGAAATATTTGCAACAGTCACTAGGGGCTCATTGAAGAATTGCATACATATCTACACATATTTTAAACAAACCCCCATGAAGGGTACCAATATGACTGGCAAGACAATGCCCATGCACGACGTCAGCCAAATGCTCGGTAGATTATGGTAGCCTCGACATCGAAGTCCTCATATCGTCTCCTCCAGAAGGCAACTGTTCGCAAGCCAAGGATCGAAGTCCCCTATCCCGTAGTGCCGGACTGTTCTGCTGCCCACTAGGCGATGAAACATTCCAAGAGTCATGCAAAAATCACAATAAGACTGCCTCAATATTCGTCTCGACATTCCCCCTCGTCGCCCGACTATAAGGACAAACCTGCTTTGCCTTTGCGATAATCTTATCGAAATCCCCCTGCTCCAACCCCTTAATACTAATCTTCATATCGACTCTAATCCCCATATCCAGCGCCTTCATATCACCGACCAGATAAACCGTCGTCTCGATGATCGAGTCCTCCTTCTTCTCCGGCATCTTCAGACCCAAACTTGCCGCGGACGCGTTCATCGCCGATTGGAAACACGCGCCGTAGCCCGCCGCGAAGAGTTCCTCGGGGTTCGTCTTGCCCGCGTCCCCGGCTCCGCCGAGCGCTTTGGCCATCGTGAGGTCGACATTCAGATCATCGCCTTCGACGTGTCCGGTACGCGCGCCGATGACTTTTGCGTGCGCGGAGTAGAGGACCGGTGCCATCGCGGTATTGAGATATCGCCGAGCGACTGGCCTTAGGAGCTTTGGCGTTGTTATTGAATAAATCTGGCAGGTGATGGGCCGCAGGAGTCGGAAGGATGCCATTTTGTGGAGTATCAGTTTGGTGTTTGATGGCAGATGCAGATGGCCACAGAATGAGTCTTTGGGAATACAGTCTTAACGGTGTAAAGCAGGACTTCTTCGAACGTTAAACGCAGTGGTATATGCAGCTGTAGCAATCGCAGTGCCTACCGTGCGTGGTACATATCAACTTACAAACTCACGTTTCGAGGTGACGTAGACATTGAGCACCGATCAAAAAGTCTAGTCGTCATTACTGGAAAGGCAATTCTGACGAGGCTGGGCAGGGGCGGCCTCCATCTGTGAATTGCTTAAATGTTGTAGTAGCGGTTGGAGAAAAAGACACCATGATGGGATCCAGCATTCAGGAGGTTGAAGTGTGACATGTTTTCTCGATGTTTTTGTGAGTGTCTTGCAGACATAAGTTTGCCATGCCTGGTTTTAAAAAAGTGTCGCAATGGTTCAAGACACTGCGAACTAGGATGTAAACAGTACTATGTTCGATGACGTAGCTTCCCGAAAATACTCGCGGGCACGGATGGGGTAAAGCGAGATGTGCCTGGTTGAGAGCAGTACGTTGATGTATAACATATTCCGAAGGTACACTATCTACCACCAGTTAGGGATGCTTCTTCAAAAAGTCAACAAGGAGCTCCGCGATCTCCTCCGGCTTATCCTCCAGCGAGAAATGACCCGCGCCATCAACAACACTCAATTCGGAGCCAGGAATCGCCTCATGCAATCGATGCGCCAAATCCAGCACCTGCCACGCATCATCCCTGCCCCAAATCAACTTGACCGGCAACTGCGACAGCTCGTGATACCGGCCTGCGACCTCCATTGTATGCTTGGGATCATAGTGCCGGACCTGATGCTGGAAGAAACTGGCTTGGCCAACGGGTCCAGAGATGTAGGAGAGGTAGGTGTCAAGACTCGTGGCCGCGAGGTTCTGCGGATCGTGGACGGCGGAAATTAGCCATTCCCTGAAATGGGCTTGATGGTCCTCGTCTTTCGTCTTGATGAGGACTTCCAGGCCTTGCTCCATTTGCTGTTTCGTGCGCTTCGAGGGATAGCTGTCGAAGCTGACGACGTCGATCATCGTGAGTGATAGGACGCGCTGTGGGGAGAAAATGGCGAGGCGCTGTGCGATCCCGCCGCCGATGTCGTGCGCTACGATGTGGGCTTGCTTCAATCCCCAGTGTTCCAGTAGTCCTTCGAGGATGGGCACTTGGCCTGAAATGGATGTGTCGATGCTTGGATCCCATGGGCGCTCTGAAACACCATATCCGAGTAGATCGTGGACGTGAACTTTGAATCCAGCGTTCACCAAGTGAGGGATAATGTTCCGCCAGATTAGAGAGGAGGACGGCGTGCCGTGTAAGAGGACTACTGGATCACCTTCTCCGTGAATCCCATACGCGATGCGCGCGCCGTCTACCAACACGTTCTCCGTGACAACTGGCTTCATGATTGGTATTTGTTCTTTGTTCTAGTGCTTTACCGCTCAAATGATTGCTTGACTGTATCGCGCAAGATAGTATATGAGTTTGGTGAAGGCACTTTTGTAATGTCATAGCCATTTGTCATCCGATACGCGGCTGTGGGCCTTTGCCGAGCGGGTTTGGGTCGGATTCGCAAGATCACTGCGAAGTAGGTGACGAGGCTGGCGAGCAATGGATTTGTCTTTCTTGGTCGCACCAGTAGCCCTAGCTTACCTGGAGTCTTGCTTCTGAGCACGGTAATAGTGGTCGCCGGTATGACCATCAAGCTGTGGGTCTATTCCTGCATCGGCTAAATCATATTAGCGTCAACCTGTCGTCAGCAGGCTGAAGGTGTTACAACCAGCCAGTGAAGTGGTCGTTCGGTGACCTTACTTCACATGCTATCCGTCAAGAGAAAGCATTCTGCCCTTCGATCCTGGGGGCTGGTGTCTGGCACCCCTTATAGGACCCGTGGGCCATTTTTTCGCCCTGACACTTTTGGTGCAAAATTTCGGCCGATGGTCTGAAGGATATTAGACATTCGCAGACTGTGAAACAAATTGATGACATCAGGAACTGAGCGTGACAGGCTGGAAATTTCTGGATCGGTGTTCGGAAAGCTGCAAAGGATAAGCATGATTTAGGGAAGGAAACCACATGTCGTCCGAGCAGGAAGTATATCGATTAGTATCCTCGGCGCACCAGAGGAACTGAAATCTGTTTTGCAAAATACTGTCAAGAAAAGGGGATACAACTTGAAATATCACCATGGTTTGGTTTTGGAAAGCCTCATGTTGAATTATGGAATTGCATGTGTCGTAACAATGAAACAAATAACAGTTGCCAGCGGCAGCCTGCAATGACGCCCAGTAGTATCGTGCCCACGGCAAACATGCTAGACCGGTAGCAAAAGCCGACAAAAAAATAAACAAAACGGCATTTCGTCCTCAGTCTCGAGGGTCCTCGAACAGTTCTCTGACCGGGCTGCCGAGCGCCCGTCTGTGTGTATACGACCTCCTTCAAAATCTCCATACATTTCAGACTCGTACATTCCGCAGTCCGAAAATCACGTCGTTATCCAGGTGGGCAAATGCAAGGTATGCGACGTCGTTACTGATTGAGTCGCTCGAGCAATCAAGAACAGATAGTGTATTTGATCACCCTTGCAGTGAAAACGGTCGTTTTAACAGCAATCGGCGAAACATTCGCAGCAATCAGCACAGCATTCGCATCCCTCTTCGCAGACGAAACAACAACAAAGGGCGGCCAGACTGCGAAATGGGTCAACTATGTTATACCGAGGTTTCAGAGGGATCCTGAACAACTTACCATGCACCCAAGCAGCCGCGGTCCTTCTTCTCACGGACAATCACTTGCTGAGGGGGACCCTGTTGGTACTGCATTTGACCTTGAGGAGGGCCATAGTATTGTTGCTGTGGGGGTCCTCCATATCTGTGATTTTGGAAGAGAGTCAGCGGATATTGTTCAGTTTTGTAACAAGTTCGAATCTGGGAAATGAAAGAAATATGCGAAGTCCCGCTATGGTAAGCGGGACTTTGTGTGCCTTTGGAGCGCGCTCTCAAACTCGGATCGTAGCTGATAGCCTGAGCGACTCAGAGTAGCAGCTTGGGAAGGGAAGCGGTTTCGGCATAGTTATGGAACAGTTCCAACTTACGTTTGTTGAGGATATTGGGGACCGCCCTGATAGTAGCCTTGATTCGACATGGCGAAATTGATTCAGATGATGATATCTAGAATGTAGGGGTAGCTCTCCTTGCAGTGGTCGCAAGAAAGAAAAAGCTGAAGATGCAACGGCGCAGGTGAGGGAAAAGCGGAGTCGAAGTCGCAGTTGGAGGATGAAATGAGGGACGAAAGGTCAAGCAATAAAGGCGAGACTCGAGCGTCGATTGTCCACGAAGCTTAACTGGACTTGGCTTTTAGGGGTGGTTGGCACTTTGATGATGCGTCGCTGAGTCCGCTGAGTCCGCTTAAGAGATTAGGTCCAACAGGGCTTGGCTTTTTAGGTGACAGCTGCCGAACTTCCGGGGGGCTTCGGGGCTGTTTGCGTGTTACAAGTTTTGTCAGAGAAGCTCGATCAAGACAGATGAACCTCAATGCTTATATCTTGGAGAGCTGTTTCTATTTCAAGCCCGATGAGTAAGTTTCATGTTCATTAGTTTATCGCATCGAGGCTGCTGTCGTAACTACCGAGCAGTATGTAACCAGAGTGACGTTCGGTCGCTAGGCCAAGTCTCGACGTAGCAATTCCAGGCCCATTTTCCCTCACTGGCAGCGCCCGAAACTATGCCCTGCTTCGAGTTACCCACCTGGGCAACACGCAATACTTTCAGGCGTAAGCTGAAAACCGAATGGAACCTTGAGGCTTGACACTCCAACGTGCCCTCGTACTTCGTATATACGATGGTTTCCAAGATTCGAGTCCTCTTCTCTGGTCAACCCGCGACGCCTCACACACAGCTGAGCCACAATCACAACACACCAACCATGACGATGCATCGACACATGCATCTTTCGTAGACGGGGCGGTGCGCTGCTGTTCTTTTACCCACGGGGCCCTCGGGCGCAGAAGCAGAAGCAGACGCCTCTACTGCTGGAAGGTGGACGCGCGGCCTATTGTGACTGATTGGTTCGCGACAACTTTCAGCCACATTGACTAACTCGTAGTCAAAGCGTTCAGAGGGTCTCCCATCATGGGCTGCTTCCCCTTGGAGCAAGATACGAGCGAGCATCAAGATATAATACCATAGTTGGCTAAGCGATGAAAACGAGTTTATATGTAGCAGTGCTGGAGTGTCCACACGTCATTCGACAGCCAAGGTATTTTCCAAATAGAATTGATTGTCAAGAGCAATATGATGCAGATAAAACTTTTTAGATCGGTTCAGACTTTGCTTCCTTGAGATTCGAAGGGTCAGATAGAGAAATCTTTAACAAAGAGCAAAACCACAGCTCGCATCCAATATAAACGAGCCACTGGAACAATATCCCAGCAAGAAAGAACACCAAAAACCCATATCAATGAGAGACACTGATCAATAAAGTCATAAAAACATGACGAAGTCTGGTCGTCCACAATAATAATGATCACGAAGCCACCGCCTGTGTCGGGCTCGCGCTGTTCCTGTCTTTTTCCGACATGACTTGTCTTGTTCATCCCATTTGCGTTTCATCTTGTCCCAACCAAGGGTTCCGATGACTTCCCTTCCCTTTCCCCGTTTTCCCAAAGAAAAAAAATACATTGATTGGTCTCATGGCATTTCATACATGTAAGCTTGGCTCTTATCGTGGCCATCAACCTCCACCCACTCGACTCCATCAATAGGCAAAGGGAGGTTCTTCAAGAGCGACGGGGTAGGCATTCATGTCGTACATGACATGAGGAGCCATTGGCCGGGCAGTAAAGTCGGGGCCCATCGCATGGCCATAGAAGGATGGATCGTGCATCACGGGTATGTCGTACTGTGTTGCAACCAGCTGGTCCATGTTGTGATGGTCGAGGGCGAAATCCTGATGAGTCTGCTGCTGCTGCTGCTGTTGATGAGGACCGTTCAAGTTGGGGTTGCAGCTCAAGAGTTCATTCATGTCGGCGGCGGTGTAGACGTTATCTGTCAAGACATCCTGGATGATGGTTTTGCCCTTGACGTTGACCTCGTACTGTTCGTACATCCAGTGCTTGAGGGCCTCCATCGAGGGCCAGTTGCCGCCGCCCATGCCGCCACGGTTTTCGCTCTTCTTGCCACGGCCACCGCGTCGGTTCTTACATGGATTGAAGTGTGCTCGGCGGAGATGGGCTGCTGCGTTGTAGTTGGCGCCGTATGTCTTGCCGTTGCGGCAGGCCTTGCAGCCGGCAAGGAAGTTGCCGGTCGGGTCGGCCTCTTTGCAGATCCAGACTTTGCGGCACGTCGAGTGGTGTCGTTCAATGTGGCGGCGGAGTTCATGCTCACCATGAAAGCCTTGAGGTTGTTCAGTACAGAAATGACAGAAGGTTGTCTTACGAGGAGGCTGTTGTCGAGTCGTGCGAGTGATCTCTGCCTTGTGCTTGACTGTACCGTCTTCGCCTTTCACGAGTACCATTTTAGGCTGCGGCAACTCTCCACCCGGGTATGAGGCGTTGTTGTTGTTGCAACTCTCTACCTTGGGCTTCAAGGGCCGTGAAATTGGATTACTCTGACGCGACACTACCTCTCGGAGAAGGGGTTGCGCGGACAAGTGATGAGACTGACTAGAAACAGAAACAGATGAAACGTTACTACTTTGAGAAGTAGTAACCTTCATCGCAAAACTAGAAGGAGATGATGCGGATGATGAATGAAGTTCATCATCAGATGACAATTGAGAAAAAGTAGTATGATACCCAGATTCAGGTATCATACGAGAAATAGGAAAGAACAATGCATGGTCGATATCGTGTGAGTTCGAAAGGTTCGACTCAAGCATGTCAGGATAAATGGATTTCGTCATGGGCTTCGCGAGCGAATCCATGTGAAATAAATCAAATCCATCACACAGAACATCATTTGTGTCACTTCGAGTCATTGGCTCCGACAAGATTGTCGATGGAGCGGTCAGACTCGAGTCGCTAGTGGCAGTGGCAGGAGAGCTATAGCTCCCTGGCGACTCTAACGCTGAAGCATAGGGTGATGTGAGTTGAGATGGGTGGGCGGTACTAAACTCACCACGTCCCACTACAGGAGGTGCAAAAGAGATGACGGGTGGTTGATAATCATCTATCGACTTGGCGAGATAGTCAGCAGGAGACATATCAGTTACCTCCTCGATGTGGTTGAGGTTGGATCCAGGATATCGATTGGGGAAGGACGATGCCGCCGATGTTCGTCTTCGGTTGATCTGGGTTCGAGGAATGAGGACTGGTCCGGTCGTTGCAGAAGCTGGATATGATGACGAAGGACGCATGGCGATATGGCCTGGGCGATTTCGAGAACCAGATTGACCAGCTGGTGCCGAGATATGTCGTTCAAGGAAGGGAGCCGACGGAGCCGAGGACGCCATCGAAGCCTTTTCTTCGTCAAACCAAGAAAGAGGGATAAAAAACAACGAGAGTACATACATGGCCAGGACGTTTCGAAGCGGGTTCCAAACCAACTACCATCGCTCTGGACGCGGATCGCTTTTGGGGAATTGAGGTGCCATATTGGTGGGAAGGGCTGGATATCACTTGGGAGTTGATTGAAGCCCAGTAGTCATGCCAACCTGATTCGCGCTCAGCGGGTGAGAGATCAGAATTCTCCTGGTCGTAAACAGCCCGACAAGAACGGATAGCCGAAATAAGTGCTTCACTTGTATCCATATTGGAGAATGTGTTGTGTTAGAACTTGGCCACGGAAAGTATTCGGAACTCTGAGTCGACAGACTCAATAGCTGTAGCCAATCTACACACGTATCAGCCGCTTTTGATCCATAGGTTAGTTCTTCCCCCGATAATGATCCAACACTCACATTTGACGATTGGAGGGGTAAACTGGATCAGGAGTGATGCAGTAAAAGCGTAACCGTTGAAATAGAAACAATAAGGGCGAAGTGAAGCGGCAGCGACTGGGAAAAGTTGAGAAAAGAAGGCTAGGAAATGGTGGGAGCGACTTCGGGGAGATATAGAGGGATTCCTTTTGCTCCCACACGGCATCGGTGAGAGGAAAAAGGCAATCATCTGGTAAAGGCTTGGAAGTTCACGATGACCACAAGCGTGGGGACAACCTCAGAGGTTAGAAGATGCTAAAGAGGATGACGGAGACTCTGCCGTTGGTCGTTTGAGGGTTAGGAGGAGAAGTTGGCGACACCGTCTAGGGTTATTGCTGATCGGTGGGCCTTTGTGGCTTCGTTTCTTCGACGGTGATGGGCTGCATAAAGTCCCTTTGTGTCATACCCTGGCACGCAGACCAGGCGGCCGGACTCTGAGGCACCCTTCAAGCCTAGACTCCCTACAAATCCCCACTGAACAAAACGCCTTCCGGGCGTCCCAGTGCCTATCGTCACCCTTCTCGCGATAGGACATCGGGGCGTATCCTCCCGCGGCACGAACCTGGTAATAATGGCCTTAGTGCCACAGGGGGAAACTTGTAAAGGCTAATGACCTCGTGAAGGGGGTTATCCTTGAACCACTCAATTGGGGCTATCACACTTTGGACTCCAGATCACCGTTGGCGAGTGGCCGAATTCCTCGAAGCGAATAGAAATTGTGTGGCCGCTGCAACCTGAACCACGAATTGATTGGCAGGATCTCGAACTGTTTGATCTTTCTCGTCGCCTCACTTTTGTGTCTTCCGAGCTTTCTGCGAACTCATTTGACGAGTGAGCTTCTCCGTGTGACCAAATTCGTGCCCAACTGGTCTGATACGAACATTCTCATGCAGAGTCTCCTCTGATGCAAGTTGGATCACATGAGTTTTGGCTCTTGGATTGTTCCACCGTGGTACACGAGCTTGGTTCTCCGCTATTGTTTGGCTACAAGTCAGATGCTTATCTTGTGCACGGCTTTCGAAGAGTTCGAAGGATGGTTTGCTTGAAGTCGTACGACAGTCTGACGCGCAGCAAATCGACCACCAGACCACAGAACGGGAAAGAACAATGCGTCTCTTGACACTCGCGAGATGCAGTCATCGAACGTGGTTGTGCAGCCGTCATTTGTTCTTTGTCAACCTCACTGGTGGGAATGAGAAGCAAGACAACCCGATGTTCCTGATGTTCATGTATATATTTCGAGTCATATTCGGTACCACTACCTCCCTCCATCTCTGAATCGGGCTGGCATTGCTCAATCTGATGAGGATGTTGTCCTTCGTGCCCAACAACCCGTCCTTGTACGAGTACATGAGGTTGTGTGACTTCGTTTCAAGCGGAATGCCTTCCCCAACCACTCTGAGCGCATCTCATTACTCACAAACACTGAATGTTTGCCAGCAGCGCTCGGTATCAGTGAAAATTTCTCAAAATCGGAAACTCTTTGTGCGACCTGTTCGTAATGACCGCTTTAGACCCCTGCCGATCACCAATTCTTAAGATGAATTTCGTGATCGAGACATCCCCAGGATATCTGCTCTTTTCGATTGTCTCTGGTAGAAACTCAATCACTGGTCTGATGTAACTTGTCAGGTAACAAGAGACTAAACGAGATGTTGCTTGATGGTGCAAGGACTACCATTGTCGACATCCCAAAGGATCGTCTCATGACAAGGTGGGAATACAGCAAGAATCATCGAAAAATTGGCTGATGTGCGTACCGGGGTCATCTCCGAGATTCCAAGACCCATGTTCGCAAAACATGTGTCTGAGCATCGCACTACGCAGTGCGCGAATACCACGTCACACTGCTGTGGTTGATAGCTCTATCAGGACTGCGACCTGAAGATCATGCAAGGATCTCCTAATCCTTTCAAATTGTAACAGACTATCAGCACTTCGTCAATATTGAAGGTGCATCCAGCCAGGTGGTGGAAATAGACCTGAGATTCATACGAGGTAGTGTCGCGAGATTCAGCAGATGGAACCTACCAAGGTAGTCTTTCAACACATCTCAATCGATTTTGATAAATTGCTTCGTGCGGTCGTCGATAATGTAGATTTCTTGATTGATCTTCCTTGCATTCCGGGGACCTTGTACAGTCGTTGTAGATCGTGGCTGATCATAACGTCTCCCGATTCCCCGTCGTATCAAGGATGATCACTGGGGAGGAACCAAGGATCGCGATCTTCAAATTCAAGGGGCCGATCTGAAGACCATATCTCAAAATCGGATCAAATATCTATGATCAATACATTCCAAGGTTCTTACTTGTAGCTCTTGCCCTACAAGGCATTAATTACCTATCGATGCGTGACGGGAACTCGGCTCGTGGAGCACGCTGCCGTAAGGCAAGCCCCCAGACTCAGGCCCTTGAGAACAAGTGGCCCACTGGAGAACTCCAAGTCTAATGTGTCAGTGTACTGCATGCGATGAGGAGTATTACTAAAAGCGTAGTATGAGAGACAACTGTAGACTAAGAGGAAGCGGTTTGGCAGGAAACGGACCTCGTTCCCACCACTGTGTTCGCGGTGGTAGAGGACTAGGGCTAAGGGCACAGTCTGATCCGAACAGGACTTTAGTCCAGGCAAAGTCCTGCCGATCAGCTCAATTCTGCGTGCTTGAGATCTTTTTTCCTCCTCACCATAATGTTATGATCTGAATTGCGAAGAGGTCTGGCCAAGGTGGCTCCTTGACATAGCGGATATTAACAGGGCCGTGACTAGGTACGAAAGGCAACTTGTTCAGGATATCCTAGAATGCAGGTATAGTTATTTACAAAGTTGGCTACGAATAGTCCTATCCAGTATAATGACTGTATATATAAGAGTGGTATGCTCAGCGTATTTCTCTCTCGTCAGCGGGCGTCAGTGTCATTCAGCACTGGTCAGGCTGATCTTCCCCCAGGGCGACTGGTATTCACTTTCTCCCAAACGTCCTCAAACAACCTGAACTTCGGATGGTCGGTAAGCCGCAAATGCTTTCCAACCCCTTGGACATCGGCGCCATATTCGAGGAGCATTCTCGCCATGGACAGATAGTCATCATTTAGGCCCCCGTCAGGAATACCATAAACGATATCACTATGCAAAGCGACATGTAGTGCCGTTGGCCCGTGTGATGGATAGTTGAAAACATGACCGCGACTATCATCGACCTCATATTCGTCAGTCCTCGCATTGACATCCACACCCAATTTAAGCAGTCGCAACACTAGATCTTTCTGGCCGGTCAGAACGGCGAGATGAAGCGGTGCACCCGTCCACTTATCACCAATCCGAAGTCCGGTAGGCCGGTGCCAGTCATTAGCCCACTGTTTGGCTGCAGTATGTACAAGAGGCTGTCGCTGCTCGATAAGTTTGTCTACGATGCCCGCCCGTCGCTGGTAGATCGCATGGTGAAGAGCAGACCAACCATACCCATCCGTCGTCGCGCAGTCAGCTCCGGCGTTGATCAGTGCAACTGCGAAAGGTTCGTTGTCGAATGTTATGGCGGTTCTGAGAAGTTCAGGTATGTCTGGAGATTGGTGGTCAAGCTTTCCAGCAGCCCTCAGTGCTTCACAGACGCTGAAAAATATATCTTCTTGTGAATCGTTTAAGTCTTTCAAATGGCGAGTCCAGTGACTTTCGGGAATGGTATCACAAGCATTGAGGAGCAAGTGCCGTAACATTACGGGCTTTGAATGCCTAACAGCGCATGCGAGGAAGACGTCAAATTCGGACTCATCCTTCACAAATGGGTCACAATCGCGTTCCAAAAGTACCGCCGCGAGTTCTGCTGAATTCGAACAACGAGCAGCTGCGTGTAGCATTGTTTCTCTGAAACATTTCTTGTCCTGATCCGTGTCGATGACTTGGCGTGCCACACTGTCGAACGATTCAAGATCAAAGTCCTCACTGCTCATGGCCGTCCGTAGCCATTGCACAATGTCCATTCTCTCTGGTCTCAAGGAAGTGTTTCGTTCATCTTCGGGTTCCAGGCGGTGGGCGAGAATGAGACTCACGGCAGGGGCACATAACGCACCAACAGCATTGTCTAGTAGATTTATTGAGTCGCGGGGAAGCACAGCTCCGGCATCTGCCATGACTTGGAATATCTTCCAGTTGTTCATCTCAATCGCTAGAGACAACGGAGTATGTTGATTCAATCGATCAAGGCTGGACCAAAAATTCCTAGATTCGCGTCGGTCAAACTCAGCATTGAGAAGCATTGGACTAGATTTGAGCAGGATCAATGTGAGTAATCGTCTCAAATTCACGACATCGTGCTTATTGTCAGAACCCATGGCGAAGAAATGAAAACAATTCCTACCAAACTTGTCGATTTGGGACGCGTTGGCCCCAGAGTCCAGGAGTAGTTCAACACTATGTATATCACAGGTTTTTGCGGCAAGATGTATTGCCGAGACTCCATCGATATCTGTTTGATTGATATCGGGCCCCAAGCGATGCAACTTCTTTATAATCACCAAATCAGCGCTCTCGATTGCATAATGAAAAACGGAACGATTCTGCAGATCCAACGATTTCGTATCTGCATTTGCTGTGATCAGGCAGTCCACAATCTTGGCTCGAGAGTCCAGCACTGATATATCCTTGTGCCGGAGTCCACAGGCCAGCATAAGCGGTGTTTTCCCTTGATTGGCTCTCACTTGCCCGGTGGAATCATACATGGTGTATTCATCACGACGTTCATTGCTTTCCCCAATGCGAATATTGACATCAGCACCCCCATCAACCAAAGCTTCCAAAGTCTCCGCAAATCCGTTCAGCGCCGCCTGGTGGAGTGCCGTCTGGCCACGACAATCTTGAAGCGTAACATCTGCTCCGAAATGAAGCAGTATGCGAGCGTACTCAGGATTTTGTCGAAAGGCAGCTGCGTGTAGCGGTGATCTTTGGAGTCGATAATTCGGGTCAGCTCCGAGTTCCAGCAACAACTTGAGGCCCGAAATTTGATCGTCTTTAATTGCTGAATGAACTAGACGTCCCCTCCACTCGTGTTTGTTCTCCGGGATCGACTTTTCGGAAAAGAGATGCCAGCTCGGGCGCAGATAGCTCTCTATACCGTTCATTCTTTCAGCCTTATTCATCGTCCGCCACAAGTTACCGAGCGGAGGGTCAAAGCGCCCTGTGGTCCACAGAGCTTCAAAATCCGGCGTTCCGGTATCCATATGTGCATTGAGCAGGATTCCAAATATATCCAAGTCGTTCTCAGTTGCAGCGATCTCCAACAGCTTCTCCGAGGCCACAAGTTCCAGTGGTTCGCCGTTTTGATTCCGAGCTTTAGAGAGTGCTTGAGCAGGGTACTTTTGGGCGTGATGCAGCAACAGTATCTTCACAGACTCTGCCTCACCTCTGGAAACCGCCCAATGGAGAGCGGTCCACCCATTGCAATCCTTGGTAGTATGATCAGTGCCTCTCGACAAAAAGAGCTTCGTACCTGCGACATCGTGATAGAAGCTAGACCAGAATAATGGTGTCCATCCCCGCTCGTCTTGGGTATTTGGATCCGCTCCGTTGTCGAGCAGGACTCGACAGACCGCAAGATGACCATTGTGCGCCGCCCAATGCAAGGGGCGCCAACCTTGAGAGTTCCCCGTATTTGGATCCATTCCATCATCAACAATTAACCGTTTTGTAGTGTTAGTCAAGCCCCAGTATGCCGCAGCATGTAACTCGCTGTGTCTGCTCGGCACCAATGCGAAGACCTCTTCGGCGATTTGTCGATCCTGAAAATCGACTTGATAGAAGAGGGCAAGGAATGAATTGGCTCGGAGACTCTCGTTCTTAAGTATCTTGCATATGGACGAGTATAGCCGATCCTCAGCACCACTTTTGAGCATATGAACACCCCAGAACCGTGCAGCGTACCGGAGAAAAGGTGCTGTCTCTTGTCTGCGGATTACCTCGTCTATCGTAGAACACAATTCGTTTTGGAAGACTTTCATGCCGAGGTAGTTGAGAGAGGTTGAGGTGATATCGGTGTGGGCTTGCTGTATGGTCTCCTCGTTGTTGGTGAAATACTCATAAGCAGTTGAGTGAACCAACTCCAGAGAATTAAACTTCGGATTGAGAATGACCAGGCCTGCGCAAGTACGAAGTAAAGTAGGGAGTCGTGTCAGACTCTCTTCGTCAGCCTCTTCATCGCCTGGCTCCAGGGCTAGGGCATGTATAATCTCTTGTGGATGAAACGGCCTCTCCGCATTGACAATCCAAGAAATCAGTCGAAGTGTTAGAGTTTTCAGGTTGGTGTCTAGAGCCTTGATCCTTTCCAAGCTTGACATGTAGGCATCAGCCAGTGTTTTAGGCGAACGATCCAGAGCACGACGCATCTGTTTGATATTTGTACATGTGAGTAATCGATCTGCGATTAACTTTGCTAGGATGAACAAGCCATCAGCGCTGTTGACGAAATTGTCCACCAGGCTGTGAGATTCATTGATCGTATCAGCGAAGTCACTTTCTTGGAATCGGTTTATCACAAACTTTCGGATGTCTTCTTGATTGGCGAATAACTCAATGGCGGCTGCTTGATTAAAAGCGGTGCGGATATCGGGATGATCACGGCTGGTGACCAGTACCCTAAAATTAGACTTGACCAGAAACATGAGCCAGGATGCGACCATTTTCGGGTTCTCAACCTCATCTAATCCATCAAAGACAACGTATATAGGCCGATTCAAGGGCAATTGAGCCATGATATGCGCTAATTCCTTCGGCGTCGAGGAGCGTGAGGAGATAGAGTGCCGTTTTGCGTAAAGATAGGAGACAATCATGTCATCGCCCTGCTCCACAACCTGAGACAGCAAATCTTGAAGAATTACCATCTCAGTCTCTTGCTGTCGGCTAGCAAAATTGCAGAAATGATGCAGTACGTAGTACCTTTCTCCTTGATCCTGCATTTCGGAGAGGCTCTCAATCACAACGGAAGCTTGCGATGACTTGCCCACTCCAGGTGCTCCGTGACACCATAAAACAGAAGGGTTCGAATGGATCCAAGCCTGGTATTTTGCATGCCGCAGGAGCCACGTACCAGTTCCTAACAACGCATCGGGTTTCGATCTAAAGACTAGTGTCTCCTGACGAAGTGTCTCGAGGATCGCATCTCTACCCTGCCCTGTCTGCAGTGCCTCAACACCATTCAAAGTTGCAGCGGCAAGCGAAGAAGTGCTGGCAGCCACGTATCCGGCGAAAATTTCTCGAAATCGGTGTACATCTTCAACAGCTTTCCGCAGATCCTTCACTTCCAGCGGCCAGATAAATCTGCTCGTGTGCTTCTGTAGCTTTTTGAGTTGGTTGTCAAGCAGGCCATAACATTGCTGAACCGTGGCGTTGCTTGGCCGAGGAATATCGGCACCGAGATATTGCCCTGCACCGTTTAGTGCCTCTTCGAAGCGTAGCAAAATGTCTATCAGGGCGGATACTTCTGACAGGTATGCTTTCTGATTTTTAGTGGCGCGTCGGACGTCTTGAATATAGCCATATATGACTTGGGTGATCTGTGTTGAGATCGTAATAAGTCCTGCGATGCTCGCAGCAATACCTACACCTTCCATGGTGGCAAGAGAAATCCCGAGAAGCCTTTCTACCCTAATGTCCACGGTCCTATGCTTCAGCCTAAGAGGCGGAACATAGTTTTTGTCGGACAGATAGGATTGGGCTTCATAGTGTATGCGCAGTGCCTGAGGCGGAGCAGGGGCACAAGTGAGACGCCTAAACTACGAAGCGATTGGCTTAGCATGTCTCAGGCAGAATCAGAGATATATGGCGCGCAGCCTTGAGATCTGTGTGGCTGTTGAGGCGGTTTCTGGAGCCCTCGTCTTCTTTAGCGTAGTGAATGGTACTCCGTAGTGATTTCAAGAATGGCCGATAAATGGATTTTGGTCGTTGTTAATATTTAGATTCAACATTTGTCTACCATTGTCGGTCAATTCTAGCTTATCGGCGCTTAGGGTCGATTTTGGGACGTGGAGTGAGCCTCCAAACCCTGACCGGGGTTTCTGTAGCGTACGAAGTACTCAAAAGTTGCGCCCCCCGGCCGGGTCAGCACCACATCATATCAATTGTTGAACGAATGAATCAAGACGCTAGCCAACTCTCATCGAAATTTTAGCTCGAATCAACCTGGTTGTCGAGAGACTCGCAAGAGTAATCAAGTCTGGCTTAGACCGCTACTGATACTGTATTCGGCGTTCATGCATGTTGCAAGGGGTTGGCGAGTGAAATGACGGCCGAAGGGACTCTGGTACCTAGATGTCGGTGTCACATTTGGAAATCGTGAGTTTGCTACAAGAAGATCGAATTCCCACAATATGAAGGTAGAATTCCAGAGCGAGCAGTATAGACTCTGACAGATGCGCTTTTACTTAGAGCATGATGGTTAGCCTGAGAAGGCTATCCTCGTCATTTGCTGTGGTTAGTGCTGGTGACGACTTTATTTTATTCGGCACCACAAGAGAAGGGTGGAGCGAAAAGGGCTGCGGCGTACTACGGTGTACCACAATGCGGCCAGCCGCATTGTTTACTTTTTGACATCATCAACCAAAACACGCACGGCAGATATTTGTATCGTCATGCTAGAATCGCAAGCACCAACACCATCCCTTTAATGACCAATAACTTCTGCAGTGCTCACTAAACACCCTCACCCACAATGTCCATAGGTGAAGTCTTCGCAGACGCGCAGCGTTCCCTCGTTGGGCACAAGTCTTTGGTAAAACGGCTCAAACGACTCGAAAACAATCCAAACTTTGAAGCCAACATCAAACAATGCACTTTCCGCCTTCTCGAAGTTAGCAAATCCGAGCCCGCTGCGAATCGTGCCATTAAATTTCTCACCACATACTTTGAGAAAACTTCCGACGACTCGAACCAGATTCCATCAGCGATACTCCTTGCGCTACTCCCTTTCCTATGTGCGAAGGACAAGACTGTACGCTACAGAGCAACACAAATTGTGTCTCAGGTTCTCAGCGTATTGACGACGATAGATGATGATCTGTATAAGGTCATTCGACATGAGCTGATCAAGAGACTGAGAGACAAAGTTCCCGCAATAAGACTGGAAGCCGTCCTGGCTTTGGGTAGACTGGTCGAGAATGAAATGGAGGAGGACGACGAGGAACAGGATTCTGACGATGATGTGGCCCCAGGGCTGCTCGAGAAGCTACTGGATGTGTTACAGAATGATACAAACGCAGATGTTAGAAGAACCCTTCTCATGAACCTACCGGTCACACCCAAAACATTGCCATTCCTACTTGAACGAGCCAGAGATCGCGATGGCCCAACACGACGAGCACTCTACTCACGCCTACTCCCTTCCTTAGGAGATTTCAGACATCTTTCTCTGGCCATGCGGGAGAAATTACTGAGATGGGGTTTGAGAGACCGCGATGAAAAGGTTCGAAAAGCTACAGCCCGACTATTTCGAGAGCACTGGATCGAGGATTGCGCAAGAACGAGGCTAGAAGATTCTGAAGAGTCCAAAGAGAAGAAAGTCGGATTTCACGACCCTAGCATTCCAGCACTGGTTGAATTATTAGAAAGAATCGACACTCTGAATACGGGCAATGAAAGTGGCGTTGCACGGGATGCTATGAAGGAATTTTGGGCTGGTCGACCAGACTACCTCGATATCGTTTCATTCGATGATGAATTCTGGGACAACCTTACACCAGAATCAGCATTTATGGCTCGCACATTCAATGATTACTGTCACCAAGATTCCAACTACTATTCGATGATCGAGGAGAAAATGCCCGAGGTAACACGGCTAGGGTTCCATCTTCAAAAGCATATCAATGAGCTCCTTGGCAGGGTACAGGCTGCCAATGAAAGCGAATCAGACGATAAGATCGCTGAACAAGCTGAACAAGAATTCATTGTAGAGCAATTGCTTTATATTGCCCAAACACTAGATTATACCGATGAAATCGGCAGGAGGAAGATGTTCGCTTTATTGCGCCATGCACTATCCGCGGCAGACTTACCCGAGGAGTGTACTCGACTTTCCGTTGAAGCTTTACGGCTTGTCTGCAATTCTGACGAAGCTGGTGAACGTGAGTTTACCTCTGTCGTTCTTGAAGCCATTGCCGAGGTACATGACAATATTGCATCATCCGATGTCGAGGATGAAGAGCAGGGAGACGAAGAAGACAGCTTCGTTTCGGCCCGAAGTGAAGTCGATGGCGACGCGGACTCCACCCCCAAGCAAGCCAGCAAGAAGAACAAACACAACAAGAATCTTTCAGAAGAGGAGCAAGAAGCCAAAGCGATCAAAGAAATTGTGATCAACATGAAATGTTTGCACATTGCTCAGTCTATGCTTCAAAATGTCACCGGCAACCTACAAACCAACATACATCTTCGAACTATGCTCGACAGTCTTGTCATACCGGCCGTCCGATCCCATGAAGTCCTCATTCGCGAGCGTGGTGTGCAATGTCTCGGACTCTGTTGTTTGCTAGAGCCAAAACTTGCTGAGGAGAATATGCGTCTCTTCACACACTTACTGAAAAGAGGTCACGAAGCTCTGCAAATCATGGCATTGCAGATTCTCTGCGACATTCTTCTTGCGAAAGGGCCACCTACGCCGACGCCCACCACCAGTAGCGATGATCCAAATATTACATCAGCAAGCGATCCTGAAGCAACAGAGATCACCAGTGCCACCACTCAACTTCTCGCTCCTTTCATCAAAGCTCTCTCGACAACGTTTCCAGAAGAAGTTCGCTCTACGGCCACGAGCAGTCTGTGCAAGCTGATGCTCTGTGGTTTCTACAAGGGCAACGAAGAACTGTTTGACCAGATCCTCGAGCGGGCAATGCAAACAGGAGCCAAAGGTTGGGAATTACTTGAAAAGGTCAAGAACGCTGTGCAGGTTGAGAGAGAGAAAGAAATGGAAACTGAGAAGGAGAAGGAGAGAAATGATGACGGGTTTGGTGCTCTACGAATGTCTTCAGGTCATGCCCTGGGACTGAGGCCTAGTACCAGTGGTAGCGAAGGATTCGCGAATGGAAGTGCTAGAGTCAGTGCGGAGGGTGTCGATACGTGAAGTTATGAACATGCGTGATTTTCGTTCTTATGCACGACCCCTTGGTTTTAACTATAGCCTTATGCCACAGTATCAAGATAGCGACCTACCTCATGAATGGTGCGATATACGCTTTCCATCTTACAATGATTGAATCATGCCACCCGTCGTGTCAGGAATTGGCCATGCAGATCATTCGCAATGCTCCAGTTTTGCTGTGCCTTGCGTTCTTCGGAAGCAATTCCACACCCTGAAAAGTCAAAAACCCATGCTGGGCGTTGGAGCAGTTAGTTTCACAGCTTCCCTCCCCTCGGCGGAGATAGCCTTAGTGCCGTTGTGGATTATCTACCGAGGTGGACCGGACCGGTTGTATCAGTAGTATCAATGTCGGGGTTTACTGGATTTATTGGACTGGAGCTGAACAATATAAAGACAGCGGCATTCTCCAATTTGGCGAAAAGTATCTTGCAGAATCTGAGAGACCTGTGGTTTGCTAGAGATATCGACCAATATCATTCCAATTTCTTGATATTTTATTTATATTGATACCCAGGCGCCAACAACCCGAGGTCACATAGAGGCCTGCAGAAAACGACACCTCATATCATAGAACAATCAACCAGATCCCACCAGTAAAAATGAGTCTCTACCAAAATCTAGGCAAGTCAGGCCTGAAGGTCTCCCGCGTAATTCTGTAAGTCTACCCTACCAACCCGACAACCCACCAATCCAAACATCCCATCAGATTTCCAGGGACTGACAAGAGAAATCCCCCAGCGGAGCAATGAGCTACGGGACACCAGACTGGCAAGGCTGGGTGCTCAACGAAGAAGACTCACTCCCCTTACTAGAATACGCATACAAAGCCGGAATACGCACATGGGACACAGCGGACGTGTACTCGCACGGGCAATCGGAGCAGATCATCGGCAAAGCGATCACCAAGTACCAGATCCCGCGGGAGAACCTGGTGATCCTGAGCAAATGCTATTTCGGGGTGACGCCGGACGTACCGGGGAACGCCATCTCGGTGAGCAGCGTCAACGACAACGAAATGCTGAACCAGGTGGGGCTGAGCCGGAAGCACATCCTGGACGCGGTGGACAAGAGCGTGGCGCGCCTGGGCACGTACATCGACGTACTGCAGATCCACCGGCTGGACCGGTCGGTGCCGCGCGAGGAGATCATGCGCGCGCTGAACGACGTCGTCGAGTCTGGAAAGGTGCGCTACATCGGCGCCTCCAGCATGGCCGCCTGGGAGTTCCAGGAGCTCCAGAATATCGCGGACCGCCATGGCTGGCACAAGTTCATCTCCATGCAGAACTATTATAACTTGATCTACCGCGAGGAGGAGAACGAGATGATCCCCTATTGCAACCACACGGGCGTCGGGTTGATCCCGTGGTCGCCCGTCGCCAGAGGCGCGTTGACCCGGCCGTTTCAGAGTCGAGACACCCTGCGAGAGAAGACGGATAATTACCTCAAGGTGTTGGTGCGGTCGAGGGACGACAAGGTCGATGAGGAGATCATTGGACGGGTTGAGGAGGTCAGCAAGAAGATTGGGAAGAGTATGGCTCAGGTGGCGATTGCGTGGGCTTTGAGCAAGAAGGATGTTTGTCCCATCGTTGGGCTGAACAAGCCGGAGAGAATCGACGAGGCTGTCGAGGCGACAAAGATTAAGTTGGACGATGAGGATATCAAGTATCTGGAGGAGCCATATCAGCCCAAGAAGCGACAGGGGTATTGATTGAGGCATTACTGTCTAGACTTGGTGCACGAGATCTACGACGACTTGGATGAGCGGACGAGATTAAACATACAATACTACTACAGCTTGACAACCCACAGGGCGAGCAATTTTCTTATAGGGAAGAACAATATCAAACTGAGTCAGGCGACAAGGCTGTGACAGCTTGTGGTTTGCTGCAAATGAGTCCATCCAAACACCCGTTTGTGTGAATATCAAAGCTGTTTGCCACCACAAATCCTTCCAAGTGTATTCTCACTTCACTTTCACATCAAGTGAAGTTGCACCACTGCCTCGTAGTCTATATCTTTGACTACCGGCTGATCTACTGTGCCGTCATCCTCTTTATCTCCCACCCTCACCGTCGCGACCAACATCATCCACAACTAGCCTTCTGGTCTCCTGAAACCCACGGCTCTTACTCATTTCCTCACATATCATCCCTTCAAAAGTGTAAGTTCACCACTAATCTCTTTTCTCGTCGTCTCATCAAGACGCGGTGTTCATTAATTTCATTCTCTTCATCCTCCTTGTCCCGCGCATCCCCTTTTTCTCTTCTTGATTGATCCGCCCGGGCAACATCAAGGCCCTGTCTCTAGATCTCACAGCGTCGCAACTGACGACTAGTGCCTAACTTCCAGAGTCTCTCGGCGTTGGTTGCGCAAATTATCCCTTCTCACTTCATATAACCTGGCTCATTGCATGATCACTAACTACCAGGGTGACCTCAGACGTCACTGCGCCGAGACCAGAATTCTCACTGTCTTCCAGTTTATTCTCGGCGTTGCATACTCAATTTATCCTGCCTTGGATTCACAAAGGTAAAACCCTACTAGCCCTGGCACTCACCCTGAAGACTAACAAGTATCGGCATAGCGATCTCTTTTGACACAATGTCTGACGTCGAGTTCAGTGAGAGTGAGAATCGTGGTGATCTCAGTTCTCTGGATTCAGATGAGTCGGCCGACTCTGAACATTTCATCCCTCCTTCCCAACGATTCTTCAACCGTCATAACGAAAAGGAACGCCGCATTGATGAGGCACATGAATATCTCACTCTGAAGCACATCCCCGCCTCTATTTTCGAGGATACCTCAGACGAAGAACCACTTCCCACAACTTCTAAGCGCACCAACTTTCTCACCAACCAGTATCACTCCGTTGTCTTCCCCGGTAAGAAAATTCCGGTCAAAAAGTACAGTAAATCCAAGAAGGCCAAGAACAGCAATCGAGGTGAGGTTCAGCTTCAGAAGAAAGAACTTGCCCCTGCCATGCTTGTTGAATGTCCTCTCCCTGGTGGTGAAGCAGTCACCGTGGTCACTGATCCTGTTGAGCGTGCAAGCTGGGGCCCATTGACCAGAATCGAAGCCACCAAAAAGGCCAGAGATATGGTCAAGGATTGGAATATCGCAGTTGCAACCGCCGGAATGAAAGACTCCAAGAGAGACGAAAAGAATAAAGCCAAAGTCACCCCACCTTCAAAAGTTCAAGGTGACGAAAAGACCAACAAGGACGATGAGACTGAACATCCCACCTCTCAAGCCGAGACCGACGTTTCAAACTTGAGAGCACGATACCTTTCACCACCCCCTCCAACACCCCCTGAAGCAATCTTCCATGCAAGATTGTCAATGCCTACTCTGCCAAACTTGCATCTCAGTTCTGACCCTGAGGAAGTTGAGCGTTACCGTGTTGAGAGAGCCAAGGACCCAGTCTCATTCGACAAAGAGACACGTAACATCAAACGCAACCTTGTCGATCTGAAGATTGCACGTGGTGGAAAATCCTCCTTGCTCCAGAATGAATACACTGTCGAGCTTGCGTGCAGAGAGGATGCAGTCATGGCTGAGAAATGGGCCAGTGGAAAAGTTGCTTCAACCAGATCTAGGTCAGATACCACCGGCGCGGCTGCTGTCGAGATTGCAGATCAGGCTGTTATGAGAGGTGGTGAAATAGAGGAACCCTCCGCCGTTGCGAAGGTCTTCCGAAGCGCCAAGGATAAGCTTACGAGCATTGCAGGTTTGCAAAACCAGGGAGCAGAATTGAAGGAGGAGATTGGAAATGTTGGCAAGAAGGACTCGACCGACTCGACCGAGACAGCAAAGGGAGGAATTCAGGATGAAAAGAACTTTGGTACTACCGCCACGGACATGAAGGCTGCTCGCAACGAGCTCAAGGCAAAACTCAAGTCTTTCGACCTACCATCCCACGTTGGCAAAGTTATCGCGTCTGGTATGGTTCGTCATCAACACTCTGAGAAACGAGAAATTACACAGCTTGGTGAGAAGCGTACTGTCACAACCTGGATTCAAATCGAAGAGGTATATGAGGTCCCTGCACCCAGTACTTTGACCTGGAAAGATGTGGCCATAGCTGTCGAGCAGGAGGAATATGATGAAGATGAAGGCAAAGGAAACAAGAAGGGTCTGAAGTACAAGAACGATAAAGCCAAACGCCACTCTCGATCGGCTGTCAGTGGCAAGCAGCGAAAGACCGAAGACGTTTCTTCTGACTCTGACGACTCTGACGACTCTACCCAGAGCTCAACAAGCGATGAGCAAACTCGCACTGAAAGCCTTTTGGAAGCTCTATCTCGTTCTGACAAGCTCAACGAACAAGGGATCAGTGCATTGGCACACGACCTGAAGCGCGTCTTGACTACGCTCAGAGGAAATGGTCAACTCAAGGTCGAGGAAGAAGGTTGAGCCCCCAAGTCAGACTGAGGAGATGGCTGCTCAAGGGCAGGATTGGTGCTACGCGGAACAGAGTTAGCTGTAAGGTAAAAAACAAGGGCGTTATGGGCTGAAAATGCATTGCCAGTGACACAAGGGATGGCTGAGCTGACACGCAAATCGAATTTGCAATATGAACCAAATGTGGGTTGCCATGAATGGCTGAACATGGAGCTTAGGATGCGGAGCAACAGAACACCCGTTCAGCTTTCATGTACCGACTGGATAGCCGATGACAAGATCAGCAGATGGATCAATCACCATCAGGTTGGGTTGCCTAGTGTTGTGATTCTTGCGAATGATCACTTGCAGAATTCCACATTGCAAGGCAGCTGTGGTCCGCAAGTCAGTCGACAAAAGTGGCGCTTTCAGGTGGCTGTGTCACGGCCTGGACTTAGGTGCTACTCAGTTTCCGTCCTAGGTAGCGAACAAAACAACCTGAAAAGCCACACCGTTCAACGTAATGGTGATAAATCCGTAAGGCTGATTTGGGAAGTCTCGGTCACTGGTAGCCTGGTAGGATGGGAGAGAGCCGTCATCTCCTGCGCGAACACGGCGATGACTTAGACTGTGTAGATCACCGGGGCCCTCACTGGGACAGCTGCTGTACTTACTGGACAGCAGGCCTGATCAGGTAGCGGGATGCAAACGTGGAGAGAACTAAAACCTGAGGTCTGAATGAAAATGCTAATTGTGCAAATGATTCGTGTGAATTTGTACGGATATGGGGTTTACATGGGAAGGAAGATGTTGCCCCTTGCAAGCTTGCCTGGGTAGCCTCAGGAAGCTACCGACACTTATCCGTACCTACCTATACATACTCATTTGGGTCTGAAGTTCATGCCTATTCCGGAGGTTCTTGGGGTTGAAACGGGGAGGTGCAGGTGCAGCCTACCTACTGAGCCTCATCGGACCGGGTTTCTAAGCACAAATACCGATTGTCAAATTGTCAATGGACCGGTGACACAGAACTTTTCAAGCGCCAGAGGCATGTTTCACGGCTCAAGGCTGAGTGTGCGTGTAGGTACATTTGACATCTGTATCTCGTAACAAGGAGTCGAGACCACAGCCCTACGAGTACCTAGGTAGTATCACGTTACGAGTACGAGTCACAAGGCGCTGACTAGAGAAGTATCGATGGGAGGCCTGGAAGGCTGCAACACCAGTCGCGAGGACGGGTGAACAGCCGAAGTACGAGCTCCCTAAGCCCAAAGCACCTTCAATCTCCCCAAGCGTGCCCCCGTCAAGCGTATCACTACCTAGGTAGGTTGGTAGGCCTGTGGTGCCTGGATCGATCAAATCTCGCTCCCAAAGTTCGGGCCGCCAAGACCAGTGCGAGCGGGATCTCTGGGGGCCATTCTATGATAATTGGTGGTGCCCAAATGCCTAATGCCACCTCACCAATCGAGATGGTATGATTATCACCCTTGAAACGGTTGTGTCCGCTGTGCCAAGACCTTCGGGTTACTCGACTGGGGCCTCCCGCATCGTGCAAGTTCTATTTTTTGCCTATCCGTGCCCGTCAATAATTAATGGTTTCGAAGGTTCGCTGGAAGGATTTATTGAACAACTCCATTTTGCGGGAAATAGTGTCACATAGTGTATTCTAGTGGTTGATAGCTATTTATCAACAAGGAATAGTGGACACAATCGTCCCCTGGATGGCCTATCAGACAAGTCACGCTCGATACGTGCTCGTTCAGACCCGGGAACCCACCGAAAGTCACAACAGCTTGAGGATGTTCCAAGCATCCTTTGGTCTTGGAAGTTGCATCACATTATCAAGTCAAGGGCCAGACACCTGTCAGGCTGGTCCCTAGGTATTCACATTCGCCACTCCAAGCCCGCATACTCCGTCGTCTGTACACGTACCAAGGTCGCATTACTCCAGACCGTTACACACTGGCAACAATGAAACTCCCGCGTTCCTTCTTTCAGCCGCCAAGGCTGTGGCGCGAAGTTGCTCTGCATGAGCCGTGGGCTATGTTGAATCCTTCTTAATTTGACTCTCGCTGCCCATGGCTCCGCCAAAGCTACCTAGGCAGACTCGGGGAATGGGGCTCTTCATATAACAAGGTCACTTGGTCCCGTTGGATGAGTAACGAGACGTTTTTTTCTCTCCCGCCCTTTGTCGCCAACATCATAACTTGAACCTCTCTTCAGGTTCTTTTTCTTATTCAATCATTCGAAGTTGACACTGACCTGACCTGATCCAAGGCGGGCTTTTTGGAGTTTTGGTTCTCTGGAAGAACACGTCCCCCCTTCTCCTTCATTCCCGGATTAGTCATTGCAGGATGATCCCCATTGTATTGGGCTTGGCAGCCAGCCTCAGCGTCGCTTTTGCACAAGAATGTCCTGCTGGATATGCTCTCAATACTGGCAAATTGCCAGACAAACAAACGTTGGATTGGGTGGCGTGCCCTGTCGACGATGAACCCACTCTAGAATGTGCAACCCTACTTGTTCCCATCGACTATAAGAATCCTGACGTTGGACTCTTGACACTTCCCGTCGTTCGTGTCCCGGCAGCCAACGCTACTGGTAATGCCAAATCTATTATTTGGAACCCCGGTGGCCCTGGTGTTGCTGGCATTGCCAACTTTATCGGACAAGGTGAAGCACTCGTCACGTAAGTCACCTGGTTGGACCATTGTACATGCTTGCTGACATACACAGATTGGCTGGTGGTGGCTATAACCTTGTGACACTTGATCCTCGAGGAACTGGTTTCACAATTCCCTACACGTGTCCCACCGTGGATCCAGAGGAAGGTTCCTCGTTACCACTAGAGACTGATGCTGGACTAAACGCCACCTTCGTCACCAATGTTAACCAGGGAAACCTTTGCGGCGAAGAAGAATACAAGCTTGCAGGTGAGCTTGTCGGTACTGCTTTTGTCGCTCGCGACATCGACTCCATTGCCCAAGCCTTGAATGAGGACGGCATGATCAGATACTGGGGTTTCTCATACGGCACTTTACTTGGATCCACGATTGCAGCAATGTTCCCCGAGAAGATCGATCGCATGATTCTGGACGGCAACATTAATCCAACTGACTATTATCATGGTACAAATGAGGAATCAGTCGACGATGTGGACGCCGCTCTCCTCAACTTCTTCGAAACTTGTGTCGAGGCAGGCCCTACCTTCTGTGCCCTCGCCGATGGAGTCTCCACAGGTCAAGAGCTCAATGACGCCTTCATGGCGGTTGTAGAAGGTCTCAAAGACGGATCCGTCACTGTCTCTGTAACCGATTCTAGCGGCGATCCGGTCGAATTTGGTTACGCCCAGCTCGTCAACCAAATCTACCCAGTCCTCAAAAGTCCACGTCAATTCCCCGATGCAGCAGAGCTTATATCGGTGGTGTATGCGAGTGCCAGGACCGCTTCAAACCCAGGGCGATTGATTCGACGTGAAGTATTTGATCCTCTCGCTGCAAATAGTATCGATCCACCTCAAGCCTTGAACGCGATTACTTGCGGCGACTGGGATGATTATGACGGTACCTTGGCAGATTTTAAAGAGTGGCTTGGTCTATATCAAGAGCGGAGTAAATTCGGCGGTGACCAGTTGATCAGCATTCTCTACGGATGTGCAACCTGGCAGGTCAACGCGAGGGAGAAATACTCCGGACTGTTCACAGGCGTTGAGACCAAGACTCCTATCCTCTTCATCAATGGTCCTTTCGACCCCGTGACGCCATTCAGTTCAGCCAAGAATTCCAGCTCTGGATTCGTTGGGAGCGCTCTTCTCCAGACCATGGGAGCAGGACATTGCTCTTCAGCACAACCTTCAACATGTGTCCAATTGAAAGTGGCTTCTTACTTCAAGACTGGCGTACTGCCAGATACGTCAGAGATTTGTTATCCCGACAAGGCCGCTTTCTCTGGAGCGATTGTGCAATCTGTCAACGGCACCAATATCGGCCCGGAGACGAACTCCACCGACAGAGCTGTGGGAGATCTCGGAGTAGACGACGACTTCGCCGCTGCGGTGGCTGGTCTTCCCAACCTATTAGGCAAGCGCGACAACGTTGTGTATCCCGCAGCGTTACAACATGTGAAGCGTGATGTGTACCAGGTGCTGAAGGAACGACAGGCGAGCTCGGCTACGGCAACGGCGACGTTGATCCCGGCCACTTGCACTCCCACTGCTGGAGGCTCGGGATCCTCCGGTTCATCGAGCTCAAGCGGAGGCGGAAATAACAATGGTGCCTCTCAATTGCTCTCAGTCAGCCATATCTGGAGCGTTGTTGGTGTCGTGGGCTTTGCGTTGTTGGGCGCTTGTTTGTAGAGAGATACCATGCCCTCTTGTTTTACCTCAAAAGGCACATTATTTGCATTAACCTGGCGGCATCAAAATGGTCTTGGGAATGGATTCACCATGAACTTGTTATTACTACCCTTCTGAATAAATTGACAGGATATTTTTTATTGCATGATTGCCTCAATATCCTCAACTTGACATCGTGTTCTTAAAGGACCTTGGATTAGCCTCACGAACACGACTACACCTCTTCGTACTCGGACCGGCCCATTGCTGTCGTCTGCAGTCACTGTAGTGTCACGCTTACGAAGTAGCTGTTGGAGGAGACGCAAGAAGGACAGTGCAGATCTTTCAGCCGAGGCTGCCCAATGGCTGTTGCCACCACATCAGTGGCTGAGATAATCACGACTCGTAGTCCGTTGAGGAAGCCTTAGAGAGGGCCTCCAAGGGCCTTCCCCACCAAGTGACACTTTGGAATTGGATCCCCGCGTCTCTTCTGCCTGTGCCATAGTCCGGGTCTCTCTCCAACTCATCATTTGCCTCCCTGTCCACAAATTCAAAGTCCTCATGAAAGTCCGCCACCTGCTTCGAGAACGGACGTGTTCGCTAAACAATTGACTGCGCCTCCTTCTGTCCTTACCACGAATACCGACTACCAAGCCCTCGACTCAACTTCACCCATAAGTCCATCTTCTTCACCCTCTCCTCTTTATCTTGCCTTCCCTTCGTCTTTCCAACCATTCAACGAGGACTTACCTGGCTTTCATACAGCCACCAGAGAAACACCTCAAGCCAGCCATAAAGGCTCCCTCTCTTTCCCTCAATATCACAATCTCGTGCCACAAACATGGCGGAACCAACAAACGAGCAACAAACCTCTCAGATCCCTTCACCCCTCCAGACACAAAACCTCTCCTTGACCGCATCTCCGCCGCTCTCCGCCAGCCCAACAACGCCCTCACCAACCCTCTCACATAAACGCTCCCGATCACCCTTATCCATCGACCTCTCCAACATCCCACCCCTTCAGCAACCCGCACCTCCCTCCAACACTCTGCTGATAACTCGCCTCGACGATTCCAAAATCTTCCACCCAGCCTCAATAGCCACGATCCGGGCGCACATAAATGGCATTGCCCCACTTAACTCATTCTCCCCACTGAAATCTATGCACCGGATCATCTGCTCCTTCTACGACGTAAACTCCTGCATCGCTGTCCGACAGGCCATCGACGGCACGCCGTTCCTCGGCGGCAGCGTCGCGAAATGCTACTTCGGCGAGCCCACACCCGTTGGCGACGAGAAGATGAAATACCTGGAACGGCCAGATGCAGGACGACTATTCTTTATCAGCCCTCCGCCTTCCCCGCCTGTAGGCTGGGAAATGAAGAGCGAAGACCCGCCGAACAAGCAAGTCCACGCCGACGACCTAGCAGCGCAGTTGGAGAAACTCGGCGGTCGCCTCCAATCACTCGACGACTCCAACGACCAAGAGGACGACATGAAGCAATACTCGGCCGAAGAGCTGGCCAAAGTGAAAGCGGGCAGCCACGCACACACACGCTCAGCCGCCGCGGCGAGAAGTCTAGCCGAGCAGTCCCCTACGACTGGATCCTCGTCGCCGCGCAAAGGCCACCGCAGCCGTAGTTCAACACTGATCTACGACCCGAAAGCGCACGGCGACAGCCCCGCGCTACCGGCGGTGATGCTGGAGACGGAAGACGACTCGGAGGTCGAGCTGGACGATGGCGGTCCCTCGAAGAAAATCCTCGCACATACTGAACGTCCGCCTGTTGAGTTGATGCAGGATTGATTTTAACCTGTCGCGTAGAGCACTTGTTGGTTCTCAAAATGGGTTTGGAAGGGTACGCTCCGCTTGCTCGGAGCAATTGCGGGCCATGAGACAGAATGAAGAAGGGACATCTTTTGCAGAGTTATGTCATGTGGGAGTTCCAGGAGTTCGTGCAGCGCAGTGCAGTGCATGGGGACACCACCAGCACTTAGTTCGGGCGTTTGGACGGAGACCGAGAAGTCTAGTTGATTATCCATTGACCTGAAGCCGAAATGACAGTAGACACATCACACCTGTCGCGATATGTGCCAAAAAAAAAGGACAACGTGTGTTGCATTATTGGCACATATCATATCCCTTTTACTCGTCTCATCACTATGTACATTTAGCGTAGATACCTCGGTCTGTTTGGATAGTCCAGAATGGATTCATTGAGATCAAATCACCATCACCATCACCATCATCACCGGGGACACCCGTCAGCTGCAGGCCACAGTATGGACCTCAAGTATGCGTAGACACCGAGACCGGAAAACAAAAGCATTGCGATCAAACGAGTCAAAGTGAAAAAAACACCGATTTGTCTCCAAAAACACCGCCGTCTATAGTTGTAAACGCCATCGGGTAGTGTATATATCCAAGGTCCCGACCTGGGAACAAACACGCCGCAACCTCCGCAAAATCGCCGGCTTGCTTTGAACGCGCACATCCCCACCCCCACCCCCCCCCCGAAGTCCACACCGA